ATGTGACATCCTTGGACTCGGCGCTGGGTCCGGGTCGGAGTTGGGAGTGGGCAACTTTTCGTGGTTGTCGCCCCAACTACTACGCTACATGAGAGCAACACTAAGTTGCTTAGCCTCGAGCAAGAAAAGGCCGGTCCGGTGGGCAGCGCCGTCGGCGGCGACCATCTAACTGCAGGGATTCATGGCAGTGCCCGGGCCTAACCACCTAGATGACGGCGCCGTCGAGTGCATGAAGTCGGGCTTGTCGATGCTTGGTTGTTAGAAGGAGGGGGGAGAAGATGGCGGCGAGCTAGCGGGATGCATGAACAGAAACGGGCCCTGAATTCGACACGAGGTTTGAAAGGTTAGTTAGCTCGGCCGCTTTACGGATAGTTCGTATGCAAGTTCAAGGACGGGGGAAAGCCAGAGCTAGAGTATTGAACAATGCGCTGAGGCGAGCAAGCGGTTTACACAAGGAGATGAATCTCCGGTGACAGCGGAAGACGGGAGAGAAGCCAAGTCAAAGCTGTAACTGAAAGAATGTCTGGGCTCGGCTTCTCTCGCCCACAGCAGCGAGTGCATGAAGACAAGCAAATGGCAACTACCCACCTACGGCCCAGGCTGGCTACATCTTACCCTGTATCGCTGCTGTAGTCAAAGGTGTTGGCTGCCGGGCTTATTTCCTCGATAATGGCGAGACTAAAAGTGCTTCCATCCAAGGCAGGTGGCACAAAGTACAACCTAATCCCAGTAGACTGGACGATGTTCACGGCGGCAGCCTTATTGGTGCAGAAGAGTTAGAGTGATGTTGGACATTGTCACGCGCAGAAACAAAAAAGAACCAAGCAAGGAGGTGGTTGGTGGGCTCGCGGGGACGGTGTTACAGAACGAACAACAAGGGTGGTTCTCGCTGCAGGTACCACCAAGGTCACATGGTGGCCTGTGTCGTTGGTTCTGGTCTAGAACCAGAGAAATGGGAGAAGGTGAGAGCAGTAGTTGAAGGCAGACAACACGCGAGGCAGCATCGTTGGTGGCCGAACGGGCATGAAGGTACAGGTAGCACTATGCAGGCGGCTACTTGATGAGGATGGCAGCGTGGTAGTGCTAACTACAGAGGAATGAAGATGGGCAGATGCAGAGCACGTCCCGGTTCCTATCCCAGACCCAGACCAAGTCAAAAGACAGAAATAAAGGAGAAAGAGGAAAAGGAAGATATGTCGCATTGGCTGACTTGGCCCTGTAGTATTCCTTGATGCATCCCGGCGCATGTTTAGTGAGCTGGATAATGGCGTATGACATTGGAATAAGACAAATATCCTGTAGCGTGGCAAGCAAGGGTCTTTCTTGTTACCTGTTCCACAGCGAGTTATACAGCACAACACGCTCACGATACTAGTTTTTGCGTGGCACATATGCTCGTCATTCAGAGAAGCCGTGAGTCGTACACGCCAGATGGTGATACCCCGTTCTGCGGTGTAGTTCCGTCCAGATGCGAGGGGAGGGGTCCCCTCTCTCGCCTTGGATTCCTTCTTTGTTCCGTCTCACCCCCCCTGGCCCTTGCTGGCGTTGGCTGTTAGCCCGTGCTCGCCAATCATGCCGACTGACATGACATCCCTGCTCAAGTGAGCACCACCCCGGTTTTGGCGGGCAGCTACCTACCGATTACAGCGCCTGTGCTTTTTGTGTCTCTGAACACCCAGAGATTGGGCGATTCGTGCAGAGACATTGATCAAGTTGCGTGCCTGGGTCTAAAACGACGGCTGGCAATATACCAGGAAAGCCGTTTCCTCGCATAATTGGGAAGTAAAGGCTCTTGCTTAGATTTCGAATGCACGTGAATGCATATCTTTCTAATTGCCTCTATTCATTTTGTTTTTCTTCTAATTATTTCTCTTGTTCCCAACTAGAGGCAGAACAGATCTATTGCGAGGCTGGAGGAGCTCTTGCATCACGGTCAAGCGGCTAGCTGATGGAGGTGGTCGAGGCGTTTGCCTGGCGCCCCAGCCTTTTGACACTGGGCGACCCGGGCTAGCACAACGCTAGGGATAACTAAACAGATCGTTTTGAGAGGGGAAAAAAGGAAAGGGAGCTTGGATTTTCTGGGAATCTGGGAATCTGGTAGCTAATAATAATACCAAGGCCACGAGGGAGCAAGAGAGCGGCCGGCCACTCCAAGTGGGTGCGGTTGGCCGGTGCGGTCTGCAGCAACTGGCACCTGACGGCAAGATGGCGCTGTCTTGGGGAGACGGTGTATTCGTGTGTTGTCCATCATTTCTCGTGGGAAGAGCTGAAGAGCAAGAGAACGACGAGGCTCCATGGCGGTGGCCCTGGTCGTAGTGTTGGAATCAATCCGGCAACATGTATTTAAGACGCATGTGCCCTGCCTCAGGTCTGGCTGACTTGCATGATCGATCTTGGGGAAGAACACATTCCGAGCGCAAAAGGCAGAAAAAGAAAGCACGTAACTGCAACGTTTCTTTCTTTCTTTCTTTCTTTTGGCTACTTGATCCTGCACTATATCCGATACTATTGTTTCTCTTATACATTTCCTTCTGACGGACTCCTAAAGAAAGAAAGTCAGTGGACGGACTTGGTTACAGTTGACTTGTTACCTTAGCTAACCCGACAGAAGAGCCAAAGCGTTGGTTGTCGTGCTGCCGTTGCTGCCGCCCACCCGTCGTTCTCTCGCATAGCATATCCCGGCTTTCCCGTCGCTGATATCCAAGAATAATAGCCGGACGCGCCCCCACCGACAAAACAGAGAGTCAGGCGCTTTTATGCTTGGACGGGTTTGAAGTGGGAGAAGGACAGCGAAAGGAGGACCGAAAAAAGAGGTGAGTGAGCTTTGTGCTCCAACTATTTCTATTGTCGTCTGTCTGTCTGCTCTGTCTACCCGCTTGTGGTGGGTTTGCTTGCTGTGACCCAGTGGTCAACAGTGTGTGTGTTTGCTGGTTGGAGGGGCGGGAAGAGGCATCATCGACGGACGCCACCATGCATACGATAGTGTAGAGTGGCGGCAGGAAAAGAGACGCACAAAAATGACTCGAAAAAGAAAGAAAAAGAAAAGGCCGATGAAGATGCAATGCCAACAATGGCGACAAGCAGCTCGGCGCTTCGACTGGTCAGCAAGTGCTGGCAAGTGGTGGGTTGTTGTTGGCAGCCTCGGCGGCTAGCGAATGGAACCACTTTGTCCAGCGCGTCGTGGCACTTGCGGTGTTATTTGTGCGCATGTGTTGCGTGGTGCCTTTTTTTACTTTTTTTTTTTTTTTTTTTTTTTTTTTTTTTTTTTTTTTTTTTTTACGGCTTTCCTTTTCCTCCTCTTCTCTCTTTTTTTCTTCTTCATTTTGTTACACCCCCCGCCCTCCATCCCTCCCCCTGGATCCTGGACCGTGGGCCTGGATGCACGCCCCCTGGGCCTGGCTCGGACTGGGCGGGCGGCGCAATCTCCTGGACGGCGCTCTGGCTTTTTTTCTCATATTATTTTCTCTCAGTGGCTGCACTCTGTCAGTCAGCCAGTCAGTCAGTCGGCCGGCCGGCCAGGCAGTTGAATTCGTCAAATCAGCGCCCACACGCACAGCAGCACCGTTTGGTCCCCAGCAAAAAAACGAAGGGCATCCACCCGCCACACCCGCCACACCCCACCCCAGAGCAGTTGCCGGCGGCAGGTACTTTTTCATTGTATCGGTTGTTCCTGCAACGCGCCAGAGCACCAAAATAACAGGTACCCAGCAAGACAGGGTACAAGCTTTGCACCAGAAAAATAAGGTAGCCCAGGTACCCGCACCGCTGAACCCGCTGGTACCTGGCGCCCGCCCGCCCGCCCGCCTACTGCCCGCTTTTTACTGGGTGCCTTCTTGGGCTCTCGCTCTCTCAAATCTCCCTGGCTGGGCTGGCTAGGGTGGCCACTGGCTAGCCACTCACTTGGGTCCTTGCTGTTTGGTGCTTCCATCCACTCACTCACTCACTGCTCAACCCACTGGACTGCCCACTGGCTGGACCACCCAGCCAGCCAGCCAGCCAGTCAGTCAGTCAGTCAGTCAGTGCCACTCATTGCTGCTGGTCCGGCCTGGCTGCACTGTTCACTGCCTGCTGCCACCCACTCACTCAACTCACTGCCCTTGCCCATGCCCACGCCCACTTACTATCAGTGTCCTCCTCCCTTCCCTTTCCCTCCTTCCCGCCTATATCTCCCCCTCTTGCTCTTGTTCCTCCATCTTGTTTCTTCGCGGGCTTCCTTTTGTCGCTCTCCCATATTCTCTTCCAACCTTCACCCCCAGGGCCCGGCTGTCCCCTTCCTTTACTTCTTCTTCTTCGTTTTTTATTATCGCCGTCTCTGTCGCCTCACCTCCTTGGCCCTTTATCGCTAACCTTGTTCTCTCTCTCGCCCCATCTCTAGTTCCGTTCGATACAAACTAGACGACCGTTTCCTAACGGCCCTGGCACTACTCTTAACCGTCGCGCCGCAGAGAACGATTCTTGGAGCTGGCTGGCAGCTTCAGCGCCACTTGACGTTTATATTCATATCGCTCTCTTTCTTTTCCACGTCTCACATCGCTCGATTCTGCGTCCCCCGATTCCGCCTGTGCCAGCCACGCCGCCCCTAATCCGCCGCTCGCCGAATCACCACTCGGCAGCCTCCCAACAGTTTGCTTGACGCAGTTGTTGGGCCTTTGTTTGTGCTGCGTGCTGCATATCGCTCAGAATCACTGTTGTCTTTTCGGGCTGGTCTCGAAATTCTACCCCCTTTTCTATTTCCGCTACATATCGCCTCCGGAAGCGCCCGCCCATTCGCAGCCCAACTCTCGCGCGCTTAAGCCATCGCACCAACAACCGGACTGTGTCCGCTATACCTTCTCCAGTTATCGACTTTCTGTTTTTACGATCGATTGTGAAGATTGCGACGCCACTTTCGTCGTGTTTCGCACCTTTCACGACCTCAATTACTGTTAGGCCCCTGCGCAACGGCCATAACACAATCCATCTGGATTCCTTGCGCCAACATGTACTCACAACATCCCGGAATGGCTGCACCGCAAAAACCTGAGACCTTCATGCTGAGCACGGAGGCTCAGCAGGCGCTTCCTCACGATGCGCAAGTTGCCCTCCAGCAGGTTGACAACCGTATGTATTGGAGCGCACCGCACCCTCCTCTTCTTGCTGCTGACATGCTGTCTAGTTAAATACTTTCTCATCTCCGCCCCCGTCGACTGGCAACAAGATCAGTATATCCGCCGTTTTCTGCTCCCTACCGGCGAATACGTCTCTTGCGTTCTCTGGAACACGCTCTTCCACATCTCTGGTACCGACATTGTCCGCTGCCTGTCCTTCAGATTCCAGGCCTTCGGCCGTCCTGTAAAGAACTCCAAGAAGTTTGAAGAGGGCATCTTTTCCGACCTCCGAAACCTCAAGTCTGGCACCGATGCCTCCCTCGAAGAACCCAAGAGCCAGTTCCTGGATTTTCTCTACAAGAATAACTGTATCCGCACCCAAAAGAAGCAAAAAGTCTTTTATTGGTACAGCGTTCCCCATGATCGCCTCTTCCTCGATGCTCTCGAGCGCGATCTCAAGAGAGAGAAGATGGGCCAGGAAGCTACCACCGTCGCTGTCAGCGAGCCTGCACTCTCCTTCCAGTACGACTCGTCACAATCGCTCTACGAGCAATTGACCAAGACGCAGCAAGTCAACTCGTCTTCCTTCAATGCCCAGCAATCTGCTTTCACTCAAGGCCAATCTGCTTCCCCCATTATCAAGGCCATGGACGCCATGCCTCCCCCCAACATGATGCCCCAGAACATGGGTCACATGCCCGATAACATGGACCCAATGGGCGCCTACGACACCGTCACCATGGCACCAGTTGCTCCTCCTCAGGTTGCTGCTGTCAAGCGCGAACCCGACTTCACTCGAGTCCAGTACAACCAAAATGGCATTCCCGTCCATGGCCACCAGCGCCATGCCTCCATGCCCGCTTACGGCCTTGAGTACTCTCCTGCCCCCTCTTTCGTCTCCTCTCAGTACGATGAATATGGCAACCGCGGCCTGTCCTTTGAACCCATCACCCCTCCTCAGCAGGCTCTTGGGGTCTCTGCTGAGCCCGCTTACATTGCCAATGAGGAAACTGGCCTCTACCCGGCCATCCCGGACCACCTTTCCGGTATGAACGGCCTGAACGGCATGGTTCAGCTCCCCCCCTCGACCATGGCTGGTCATCAGTTCAACCGCTCGTATGGGAGCAACAACGTCTACTCTGTGATTGAAGGTTCACCAACCTACAAGCAAAGGAGACGACGCTCCTCGATCCCCCCTGGCATGTCGGCCATTGCCGCTCCTCCTTCCTCGAACCCCAACGTCCCTCACAGACCTTCCGATCTTCGCCGCTCTGTCTCCGTCTCCGTTGGTGCCGTTGCCGAGGGCGACGAGTCCGAAGACAACTCTCCTCCCGGCCTCTCCTTTAGCAACGGCATGTCGATGACCAAGCAAAAACCTCTTGACGATATGTCGAGACACGGTACACCTCTCTCAACTGTCGAATCAAACTCTGGCCTTAATCCTCTTGCCCTTCAGCAAAGCTTTGGAAGTGATGACATGTCTGGAAATGGCTCCTTCCACGAGCATCGCAGAACTATTTCTGGCCCTGCCGGCGCCATTCGCCGCGCGCGCTCCGCCACGGTCATGGAACTTGGTCCATACCCTCACAAGTCACATTCATGCCCGATTCCCACCTGCGGTCGCCTTTTCAAGCGTTTAGAGCACCTCAAGCGACATGTCCGCACACACACGCAAGAGAAGCCTTATGTCTGCCCCCAGTGCAACAAGGCCTTCTCTCGCTCAGACAACCTCGCGCAACACAAGCGCACTCACAGCCGCGAAGATGGCGCCGAGGGCTCTCTGAACCTCTCTGCTGAAGAAGAGGAAGAATACTCTGGTGAGGAGCCTCTGGGCTCTCTTGAGGAGGCTTCTCCCTCATCAGAGATGGCTTACATCACGGGTTCTCTGAGCAGCGATGTCAACCAAAGCGGCATGGCTCCTCCCTCAAGCATGCCTAGCACGCAGTACAGCAACAGCCTAGACGCGCTAAGGCTACCGATGACGATTAGCCAACCATCGATTATTTAATTGCGTTGACCATTTGTCTAAATTGGGTTCTTCTTTCACTTCTAGCTGCCTATGAAGTAACGACTCACCTTCATTTGCTTGCTTTCCGCGTCACTTGCACATTTTCCTTACTTTATTTTATTTTCTATTTTCTATGCTTCAATCTGCGCTTTTTTTTTTTCATGTTCAAATGATTTTTTTCTTTTTTTTGGAAAATTGGAACATGTCGGCGGCTGAATAGACGAGACCTTGCCTGGGGAACAACTACCATCTGTATAGTATGCCTCAATGAAGGGAGAGGCGCATTTGGATGCTGGTCGTGGCAAGACCACTACGGCGCATTGTACATATACGTTTGTTTGCTTATTCAAATTAAGCGAGGACGGTCTTTGGGGCAGCTCTTTGCTGAAAGCCTTGTAAGGCTATAATTGAAAAATGCAAATTATTCTGTAACTGCTCCTGCGTCTTTTTCCTGTTTCGTGATGCACAACGCGATCGTGATGTGTGTGCATGTTCAATACTCTAAAACGATGATGACCTTTGCGCCTGCCTGCTATATAAATGCTGTGAAATTTTGTCCCCATCTTTTGGCCGCTGCTTTGCCTGTATCTTGCTTGAAACTGTCATCGGCGACCGTGTCTGCCGAATGCATCTCTGCCGCCCTCAATCTTTCTCACGTCGCTCTCGCTGATGCGCAACTCCGCGCCCCTCATGCGCCCGATGCCCGGCCCATCCACTCCCCTCCCCTGCCTACCCCTACTCGCACTCTTCTTCGTCTTGCCCTTCCCACCACCACCGCCGCCACTGCCACTCGCCCTCTCCAGGATGACGCCGTTCTCCCTGGCTTCGCGCCTGCGCTTGGCCTCGCGCGCCTCCGCCTTGGCCACCATGCCCTTGCGCATCTTCATCGGCATGCGCTGCTCCTGCGCCTTGTTGGCGCCGAGAGCTTGCAGGCGCAGCTCCGTAGCCTTGAGCCGCGTGCGGCCCTCGGAGAACGGCTTGTCGGAGGCGGAGGGGCCGCCGTGGACGACGGAGGAGGCGAAGACAGAGGCGGAGGCGGCGTTGTTGTGGGAAGGGGTGAAGAGGTGCGACTCGGAGAGGAGGCGGCGGAGTTCGAGATCCTGCGCGAGGAGAGAGGGGGCGTCCTCGGGGAGGGTGGTGGTGGACTTGGGGGTGGTTGTGGTGGTGGAGGGGTTGGTCGTTTTGGGGGCGGAGGGGTCGATGACTTTGGAGGACTGGAGGAAAGGTTAGAGATGATTTGCGCCCGGGGGATATGAGGGGGGTAGGCGTACCATGAATGCTTTGAGTTCCTTTGTGCTCATCTTGGGCTCCTTGGGTACTTGCGGTTTCGAGTGGTCTATTATTTGTACGGCTGGCGCTTCGTCATTGAGATCGTCGACGTCCTCTTCACTGTCGTCTTCCCCGTCCTCGCTGCCGGAGATGCCGCCCCATTCATTGTCGTCACCATCACCTCCCTCTTCTTCGCCGTCCTCCTCCCCTCCTTCCCCCTCGCCATCATGTTCCGTATCTGAATCGAGGTCGGGGGAGTCGTGTCCGCGCCGCGTCCGCGCCGGACCAGCCTCGTCGTCGTTGAGCGGCTCGAACTGCGCCTCAAAGTGTCGCCGGAAGATGGCCTCAGCGTCGAGTGCCGAGATTCCGTTGGGGGAGGAGTTGCCGTCGCGCGACTTTCGTTTGCCGAGGACTGTCATTGTGAGAAATGAGGGACGGGCGTTATATGTGGAAGAAGTGTTGCTGCGGCAAGGTACGGCGGTGGGCGGAAACTTTTTTTTTGGGTTATAGCTATCGATAACGCTGGCCCATGAGAGGCCCACTACTAGGAACCTACTTTAATGTAAGTAGAAATTAATCAGAACTGGAATAGTATCTCAAATAATAAATTTATTATGGGTTGCTTTTAAACATTAGTAATTTTATAAATTTCACCTATCCGGTACTATATCGACTAGGCGTGGTAGCTGGTAGCCCGTCCTACAAAGGCGCAGTATTCCCGTCCTACTAGCCAGATCGAATCATCCTGAGGTTCAGCTGTATAACTGTCTGCCTTAATGATTTACCGGAGCACTAAAATGAACACTCTCACACTAGTGTTAGCCCTTTCGAGCGCTTGCGACTTACTTTAGCCATGCCGGAATAATGGAGGCCAATGTGCGTAGCGCATCTTGTGGGCGAAGCGGCGTAGACCTGAACCGAGGAACAGGACGAAGAGAGAGAGTTGCGGTGTTCCGGAAAGATGCCCACCGAGGAGCATCTCCCTGCAACCACACTCATGTTCTCCCGGCCATCCGTGCCCGTCGCGAGTCCTCGTCACGGATTGCCTGGCTGCGCGCCAAGAAGTCCTGCCGCGCCGCGTACGAGTGCTTCGAGCGGCCCGCGAGCGCCAACTCGTCTTGGATACCCTCCTTGTCCACGTAGCCGGCCCAGTCCATGCGACTCTTCTCGACCGTCGTCAATTTCTTGGCCTGAAACTCCCTGGCCGCCTGTGCGCGCGCCGCGATGCCGAGATTGAGGTCGGCGCGGCGGCCGCTGCCCGCATCGGCCGTGGCCACGATGGGCTCGAACGCGGAGCGAAACGCCTTGCGCGTCGCGCGCTTGGGTGGTGAGGCGTCAGAGGCGGCAGCTTGGCCCTCCTCGGAGGCGAGGTATAGCTTGGCTTCGGCGGAGTCGCGCGCCACCGTCTTCTCTTCGGCATGCATCTTGCCGGCGAAGTTGTAGGTGCGCTTGATCGTGATCGCATCGGACGGGTCGAGTTGTTTTGCGGTTTCTTGCGCGATATCGACTGTCTTGGTATCTTTGCTTTCACTTTCATTGGTTTCTTCTTGGACTATCGGCTGCCCGGAAAGCATTTGCTTCCAGATCGCATCAACGTCGATCGTCACCGGATCAGTGTTTGCTGCATATCGTCGCTCTTCCTTCCTATAGGAATAAAGGTTAGTATCATTGATTGATTAAAGCATGCAAGTTCTTACTCGGCCGCGCGCTGCGCTCTGGTCTTGATCAAGCCGCCGTCACCGCCTTCGTCTTCCGCGTCCTTCGCCTTCTTCAGCTTCTTTTTGCCCCTGCTGATGATGGCTTCATCTCCCGAATTTTCGTAAACCACATCGTCGTCTGTAGCGGCAGCGTGGTTGGCAGCAACCTTGCTTGGCTTCTTTCGTTTTCGCCCTTCATCACCGTCGTTGTCTTCTTCGTCAGAGGATACTATGTTGGGTTCGCCGGCCGGGGCAAAATCGGAATCGTTGGCGGAGTCATACTGCTCATCGTCGTCCGTAACGGGATCGGCAGCCATTCCGAGTTGTACAAAGTGAGTTTTAGATGTTTGTCTGCTGACGCAGAATGCAACAACCGGCTTTGGTCAAAAGTCGGGTGGTGAAGGTTGCAAGTTCGAGGTTGGGGTAGCTTGCGGGGTTCCACCCACATGGACGGGTTCTAATTCGTAGGCCTGGGCTAATAATGATGCCTGACCCATACCGCCAACGTCCAGCCACTTCTCTCTCCCTCACTTGCCCAATTCCTCGCCACGGTGGTGTCCCCTTCTTTCCCACCTTGATAATTGCTCGGCCTTTGTTCGCCATAAGATGCACGCAGTCACAATGCCGAGCGACGATGATTTCGAGGTCGAGGTCCCAGAATTGGCAGCAGATGACCCCATGCGAGCGTTTTTACCAACGGCTTTCGGAAAGAAGGATAAAACTGCGAATATCGCGGCGCAAATCGAAAAGAGCCGAAGGGTAGTGGCTGGAACTGCGTCAGCATCACATCAACAGAAGAAAAAGCGCAGCAATTCCAGCTCGGATGATAGCGACAGCGACAGCGACAGCGATTCTGACGATGGCGACGAATACCCCGTTTCCCACGAGATGGTGATACCAACGGCCACCCGAGCTGTTACATCCTTATCTCTCGACCCTTCTGGCGGCCGATTGGCGACGGGCTCGATTGACTGTACAGTGAAGCTCCACGATTTCTCCTCCATGACGCCCACAACCATTCGTGCTTTTCGAACGACAGACCCATTTGAAGTCAAATCCGCAGACAATGCAGAGTCGCACCCGATTCATCATGTTGAATTCAACCCGCAAGCCGGAAGCGTTCTGCTTTGCATTTCTGCGCACCCACAAGCCAAAATACTATCTCGTGATGGCGATGTTCTGACGACATTTGTCAAGGGAGACATGTACCTCCGAGATATGCACAACACAAAGGGTCATATTTCGGAACTTACTTGCGGTACTTGGAGTCCCACGAACAGAGATCAATTTGTAACTGCGGGCACAGACAGCACTTTGCGCATCTGGGATCTCAACAACAAGCGGTCGCAGAAGGAAGTCGTGGTATTCAAATCCAAGGCAGCAGGCTCGGCTGGCCGGTCAAAGATGACAGCCGTTGCGTGGGGAACACCAGCACAGGGAGGAAACAACATCATTATTGGAGCTGCATTGGATGGAACGCTTGTCATGTACAGCGGGAATGGACCATTTTCAAGGCCAGCTGGAGAAATTCTACAGGCGCACAAGCCGCAAACATGGACTGGAGGCATTGACATTTCTGGTGACGGGCGCATGGTAGTCACACGAGGAGGAGATGATCTGATCAAGTTATGGGACACGAGAAAGTTTACCAAGCCTCTGGTAACGGTGTCTCACCCCTCCACGTCGAATACTCACCCAACAAGCAATATTCGCTATGCGCCCAACTGTACGAGCATCATCACAGGCTCTGCCACGGGTCACTTGCACATTCTGAACCCAGGAAATCTGCAACCGGAACATACTACACCCATCACACCCGGCTCACCCATTATTACTGTGGATTGGCATCCTAAGATTAACCAGATTGTTACAGGGTCTGCGAACGCTGAGACGCGTGTTCTTTACAACCCGGACAAGTCCATTCGAGGCGCAGTTGAAGTTATGTCACGCGCACCGAAGAAACGCCATATCGATGACAACTCTTCATTGACTACAGACCAGTCGATGGGCATTTCGGGCGATTCCATAGTAACACCGGGCGCGATGCCAAAGAAGACGGGCGGCGGCTCGAAGGACCCACGGCGTCCACACGTACCGCAGCAGACACCTTTCCAGCGCAGCCAACCTGATGAGAAGCACGTTGCGGAGAACATCCCGCTTTCCCGAATGCTGTACGAAGACCCTCGAGAAGCTCTGTTGAAGTATGCCGATAAGGCCAAGAGTGACCCGATGTTCACTAAGGCTTGGAGCAAGACACAACCAGAGACGCAGTATGCGGCCATCAGTGATGATGAAGACGACGGCCCGGACAAGAAGAGGGCTAAGAGGTGAAGAGTGCGCTACGCTCAGATAAGTAGCAAGTGACATGGTTCAGTTGCTGGTCGCCGCATTTTTAAGAAGGTTGAATCTAGTCATCGTGCAACGCTGAGTGCGTGTGGCGGCACGAGAAGACGTGACTCCTCGCTACCAGTACAGCAGCGAATCTATAAAAGGTTAAACTGTCGCTGTTCGGAGCTAGGAAAGACATTTCTTGTACCTCGATACCAAGGTACAAAGGTACATGCTGGCCTTACCGTGCTCCGGAGTGGATCACGTGCTAGTAGATAGACCAGCTTACCTAATGTTGTATTTTTTTTCCCCTTCTGAGCGCGCCCGCGCCTGTCCGCCTCGGCCACCTGAAGCTTGAGTGGCTGAGGCGGCAACCAAGCAGGATTTAGCCTGCGCAGGGGCCCGTGCTGAAAAATACTGTGGCTAGTGGCCACACGAGGGCACCAGCCATCACGCCCCAACTCTGTGTCCTGTGTCTTCACCACCTCCCCATCATCAACCAGCGACCGCGCGCGCATCCCAAAAAATCGCCAGGTCCGTCGCAAACCATCGGCGTCCATCTCGAAATTCCCGGCTCCGTCGTGTTTCACGCGATTTGCACGCCGCCCGCACTCGTGGTACCGTCCCCGACGCGCCGCATCGCCATTTTCACACTTTTCTTCCTTCGCCTGCTATTGCAGTCCCCCTTTGCTTGACGTTTTCATCCTGCCCACGCCACGCGGTAGCTCAGCATCAAAAAGCCGGAGCTCCAGCATCCCGGTTGCGCCCAACCCGTCCACCATCCCATTCACACACTCTCTACACCGCGGCATTCTCCTCGAGAATTCCCTCGTCCCCACGCCCAGCGCATTCGCATTGCAGCCGACGCGCGGTTTGTCCTGCCCTTTTTTTCCTTCGCCCTTTATCACGCCACTCCCTACCGCGACGCCCACCCATCTCGGCTCGCGACTGTACCCTTTGCGACACGAGCCATAACGCCTCCGCCCATCTCGATATGCAACAGATATAGAAGCGCAGTTTATTAGCATCCGTCACAGGTCATATCAAACACGCTTCTTTGCCTTCCCCACAACCATGGCGTCTGTGCAAGCACCTCCCGGTGTCCAGCACCCAGGGCACCCAGGGGGGCCTATACCTGCCGGCGCAACAAAGCAGCAGGCCGAAGAAGTTTTCCGGGTATGCTTCCCAACGCGTCCCGTGCCCTTTCTAACGCGCGGATTGTTGCTACTGCTCCAATTGACTCGTCACTAACCCGTCGGCGCAGAAGCTTAAGCAGATGAAGGAACAGGGCGTCCCCCATACGGACCCCGAATACATCAAGGCACACCAGTTCCTTACGAGCTTTCAACAGCAACACAACATGCGGCGCACCCAGCAGCAGATGATGCAACAACAGCAGCAGATGCAGGGCATGCCTAATGGCGCCCCCAATGGCGCGCAGGCTCAGCGCTCTCAACAAGGGACGCCGCAGCCTGGACAGCCCGTCATTAATACCCAAGGCGCTGCTGCCGCTCCTGCTCAGAACTCCGTGGCCACGCCAACTGCTGGCGCATCACCGGCCACCAGCGCCCCGAATATTTTCAGTCAGCAGCAGCTTAACCTTCTCAGACAGCAGATCCAGGCCTTCAAACTGCTTGGCAAGAACGCCGGTGTTTCTATGCAGGTCCAACAGGCCATCTTCAACCAGCGTCTGCGCCGGCAGGCTACCATGGCTGATTCACCAGTGTCTACACCGACTAAGGGTCCTGTGGCTGACGCCAAAGATGCCTCTAACGGTGGTGATGCTGCTGTCCAGGATGAGGCGAGCCAACTGCCGAAGCAACACGTTTATAAAGCGATCAAGTCTCCGTACGGGACAAACATGGTTCGCCCAAGCATCAACTATTTTGATCACACGCAGCGCAAGAACCGTTGGTTTATTCCTGGCATCTTTCCCACCGGTATCGATGCCGAGCACCTGCGATATGAAAATGAAGTCGTTGTCTTCAATCGCATGAGCCAGCGTTACGCGGAACTGAAGAATATGCCTGCCAACATTGCTCACGTTGATGCTACCGACGATAGCCTTGCCGTCCATGATGATCTTAAGAGACGCGCGATCATTGAGATGAAGAAGCTTGCGCTGTACTCGAAACAACGCGCACTTCGTGAGAAAGTCGGCCGTCAAATGCTGCACTACGACAATCTAGCAATGACGACGAACCGTTCCAACTATCGTCGCATGAAGAAGCAGAATGTGCGCGAAGCTCGCATCACCGAGAAGCTGGAGAAGCAGCAGCGGGATGCTCGTGAAAACCGCGAGAAGAAGAAGCACATTGACTTCTTGCGTGCCATTTACAACCACCGTGCGGAAATCCACGAGACCGCCAACTCCCAGCGCGCCAAATTCCACAAGCTCAACCGTCTCATGTATTCTCAACACTTTAACATTGAGAAGGAAGAACAGAAGCGTGTCGAGCGCACTGCGAAGCAACGTCTGCAAGCTCTCAAAGCCAACGATGAAGAAGCCTACCTCAAACTGCTCGACCAGGCTAAAGATACACGTATCACCCACTTGCTCCGCCAAACCGATGGTTTCCTGCATCAGCTTGCCTCGTCCGTTAAGGCCCAGCAAAGGCAGGCTGCTGAGCGTTACGGCGATGATCTCGATAACTTTGCGCCTGAAGAATCTGAATCTGAACCTGATGAGGAAGATGAGGAAACTGGAGGCAAGAAGATTGACTACTATGCTGTTGCCCACAGAATTCGCGAAGAAGTTACCGAACAGGCCAACATGCTGGTTGGTGGCAAGCTCAAAGAGTACCAAATCAAGGGTCTGCAATGGATGATTTCGCTGTACAACAATAACTTGAACGGCATTCTTGCGGACGAAATGGGTCTCGGAAAGACTATCCAGACCATTAGTCTGATCACATATCTCATCGAGCGCAAACAGCAAAGCGGACCATACCTTGTTATTGTTCCTCTCAGTACCCTCACTAACTGGAACCTTGAGTTCGAGAAGTGGGCACCCAGCATCAGCCGCATTGTCTATAAGGGACCTCCCAATGCTCGCAAGCAACAGCAAGAGAAGATTCGCCAGGGTCGTTTCCAGGTGCTTCTTACTACATACGAATACATCATCAAGGATAGGCCAATCCTCAGCAAGATCAAGTGGTTCCACATGATTATTGATGAAGGTCATCGTATGAAGAACAGCAACTCGAAACTGAGCGCAACCATTCAGCAGTATTACAACACGCGTTTCCGCCTGATTCTTACCGGTACACCGCTACAGAACAACCTTGCCGAACTTTGGGCTATGCTCAACTTTGTCCTGCCAAATATTTTCAAATCTGCCACGACATTCGATGAATGGTTCAATACTCCGTTTGCCAACACTGGTGGACAGGACAAGATTGAGCTCACGGAAGAAGAACAAATTCTGGTTATTCGTCGTCTACACAAGGTTCTCCGGCCATTCCTTCTGCGCCGTCTCAAGAAGGACGTCGAAAAGGACCTTCCCGACAAGACTGAAAAGGTCATCAAGTGCAAGTTTTCGGCCCTTCAATCCAAGTTGTACAAGCAAATGGTCACCCACAACAAGATTGCCGTTAGTGACGGCAAAGGTGGCAAGACTGGTGCGCGTGGTCTGAGCAACATGATAATGCAGCTGCGGAAACTTTGCAACCATCCTTTCGTTTTTGGCGAGGTTGAGAATGTCATGAACCCGATGAGCATCAGCAACGACTTGCTATGGCGAACGGCGGGCAAGTTTGAGCTGCTGGACCGAATCTTGCCAAAGTACCACGCAACTGGGCATCGTGTCCTTATGTTCTTCCAAATGACGGCTATTATGGACATCATGGAGGACTACCTCCGCTACCGTCGCATGGAATACCTCCGCCTCGACGGTACCACCAAGTCCGATGAGCGTTCAGATCTGTTGCGCGAATTCAACGCGCCTAATTCCAAATACTTCATGTTCCTGCTCTCCACCCGTGCTGGTGGCCTGGGTCTGAACCTGCAGACCGCCGATACTGTCATCATCTACGACTCTGATTGGAATCCTCATCAAGATTTGCAGGCACAGGATCGTGCTCATCGTATCGGTCAGAAGAATGAAGTCAGAATTTTGCGTCTGATCAGTTCCAACTCGGTCGAGGAAAAGATTCTTGAACGCGCTCGCTTCAAGCTGGATATGGATGGCAAGGTCATTCAAGCCGGCCGTTTCGATAACAAGTCTTCGGAAACTGATCGAGACGCCATGCTTCGAACTCTGCTGGAAACAGCAGACATGGCTGAGTCTGGCGAACAGGAAGAAATGGAGGACGAAGAGTTGAACATGCTGCTTGCACGTAGCGACGATGAAATCATCAAGTTCCAGGCAATTGACGAGGAGCGCGCCAGGAATTCCCCGTATGGTGGGCCCAAGGGTAAATCAAGACTGATGGGTGAAGACGAGTTGCCTGATATTTACCTCAGCGAAGGCAACCCTGTTCCTGACGAGACCGAAGACCTTGTGCTTGGCCGTGGCGCTCGTGAGCGCACAAAGGTCAAGTACGACGACGGTTTGACTGAGGAGCAGTGGCTCATGGCAGTTGATGACGACGAAGATTCGCCAGAGGCGGCTGCCCAGCGCAAGCAAGCCCGCAAAGACAAGCGCGAAACGAACAGACTGAAGAAGTCGGCGATCTTGAATAGTATGGATGATTCCCCTGCCGCTAGTCGCGCCAGTACGGAAGAAATCGAGACACCCAAGAAGCGTGGTCGCAAGCCTGGTAGCAAGAATGAGAAGCGCAAGGCGGAAGACGGAGACGATGAGCCGCCTACGAAGAAACGCCGCGGTCCTCAGGGGCGACCCAGCAAGAGTAGCGCTCACGAGTCACGCCTGAATCCTCAGCAGCGCGAGCTCCTACAAAAGAGCTTAAGATCCCTCTACGACGCCTTGATGACCCTTGAGGTTGACGATATTGAACCGCCGGCGGAGGATGACGAGTCCGATGCTGGCAAACGCCTCATTATTGGACCCTTCATCAAGCTGCCACCTAAGCGCGACTATGCTGACTACTACCTCATCATCACGAACCCTATTTGCATGAATCAGATTCAGACTCGCATCAAGAAGGAAGAGTACAACGCTCTCAGTGATCTGAAGAAGGACTTTGACTTGATGATCCGCAACTGTCAAACGTACAACGAGGATGGCAGTATCTTGTACCAAGACGCCAAGACGATGAACAACTTCTTCATGGCTAAGTACCAAGAGCAATTCGAATCTGCGCCTGGACTGGCGGAGCTGGAAGAGGGAGGCAACGCTGGCTCTGTTGCGCCCTCAGCTGCCGAGAGCACGCCACAGCCCAGTGGCACGCGTATCAAGATTGTCACGAGCGGATCGCGGGAGGCGAACGGGGCGCGGTCTGCAGCCCAGAGCGACGAGGAGTAATGACGGATGAGGAAGCAAGATGAAAAAAATGGTGCGTGGTGTATTACTGGATGCGAGCCAAGGAAAATGGAGGGTTTTTGTATCCCTCGGTGGCGCAATACTGGCAAGGTTGACCTGGAATCCGGTCACGGCGACAGGAATGTCGCACGACTGCATTTATCTATATTCTTTGTTTTTGGCGTTTTGGGGGTTTCAAGATGTGATTTTTTTTTATCGTTCATTCTGCGTGATACAGGCATACATATATTGTTTGCAAGATGCGAAGAAGTATTAGCGGGGGGAGGTGGTGGAATGGCAAATTGCAGACGGGGAGTAGGATGCAAGGACCTTTCCAATCACGAAGCTGTACCAACGGGGTTTGCGAGGCCCTTTGCGGGTTTTGTTTAGATTAGGGACAAGTGTACTGTAATAGACGCTCTAAAGTCAAGCTTTGTGACTTGGTATCCATGGTGAAGCGCTTACTGTGATTGAAATGCTCACACTCGCACCATACTGACCAACTTTGGCTCGTGCCATCCAGCTGGTGGTGGTGGAACCGATGACGATGGTGGAAGCTTCGCACGTGTGGCTCTGGAACCGCTAAGCCACTGTGGCAGGCTGGACTTGGACTCTCAGCTTCCACCGTAACCATCTATTAATCAAACATCAATCCGGTCAACCAGAAGCCGCGCGAGCACCATGGCGAGAAAGACACTTGTGCTATGCTTTATCCACGGCTTCCGAGTACGTACCCCACGACAGAAAGCCACCGTAGAAGCTGCGAATGGTGGCGCTGGACGTCGGCTGGGGCGGTGCGCTGACTGACACACGCGCAGGGTGGCAACCTTACATTCGGGGATAACTACAGGTTCACGGAACACCTGCGGGACATGGTGGCCAAGGAGCTGCCGAAAATCGACGTCAAGGTGCTGGTCTATCCCAAGTACGAGACGCGCGGCGACCTGGGCGAATGCGTGATGCGCTTCCGCACATGGTGAGTTTTTATTCTCTGGTTCACGGCTGCGCGCGGAACCCGCAAAAAGTCACTGACCGCGCCGGGTGACAGGTTGGAGGAAAAGGTCATCGACATGGAGGTGGCGGCGGGCACGCCGTCGCCGACCATCGACCCGTCGGTGCGCACGGTGCTCGTCGGGCACTCGATGGGCGGCATCATGGCCGTCGAGTCGGTGCTGGGCATCGCCTCGGAGCGGCCCATCTACTCCGAGGACGGCATCCAGAAGCCCGACGAGGACGATGACGGCGCCGCCGCGCTCCCCGACTTCAGTAGGATGCCGTTCCCCTACGTCCAGGGCGTGCTCGCCTTCGACACGCCCTTCCTGGGCATCTCGCCCGGCGTGGTGGCGCACGGCGCCGAGGGCCACTACCAGGCGGCCTCGGCGACGCTGGCGCAGCTGAGCGGCCTCGGCGCGAGCCTCTGGGGCGCCAACCAGGCGACGACGAAGACGCGGTCGGTCGCCACCACCGCGGAAGGGGGCGGCGGCCGCGGCGGGTGGGCGGCGTGGGGCAAGGTGGCGGTGGTGGCCGGCGCGGCCGGGGCCGTGGCCGCGGGGGGCGCGGCGGCGTGGCTCAACCGCGCGCAGATCGGGCAGGGCCTGTCGTCGGTGACGTCGCACCTCGAGTTCGTGGGGTGCCTGGCGCGCGCGGAGGAGTTGCGGAAGCGCGTGCGGTGCATGGTGCGGCTGGCGGGGGAGATGGACCTGGGCTTCGCAAACCTATACACGCGGCTGGGGCGGGCGGCGGCGCCGAAGCAGACGAGCGTCGTCGGGACGGTCATGGGCAAGGACCGCACCTTTTGCAACTTGCCGGGCGGCGGGGTGCCGGCGGGGGAGTGGCGGCCGGCGATCAACGACAAGGCGACGGACGAGATCGGAGCGCACACAGGTACGTTGTCTTTCTGGGGATCTAGCTGTGTCCGCAGAGCGAGTACTAACCGTGGACGGGACTGTAGCCATGTTCGAGGAGGACGAGAACCCGGCCTACGACGCGCTCTTGATTGATGCGGCGGCGTGTATTACAAAGTGGCTACATAATGATTGGTACGAGAGCAGTACGGAAGAGATACCCAAGCCCAGTGAGGCGGCGACTTCGGCATAGCATCAGGATGGCATGCTACAAGCCGGAGAGTGTGTGTGGTTTAAGAATTTGTGCGATTAGAGGGCCTATATGGCATTACTATTGGAGCTTATGTGTAATTTTTACATCGTGACTCGGCTCGACCGGGTACCGGTATCGTTGGGTCGTTGCCACAGTCGTTTACTGGGTCTTTTTGGTAGTCTGGGCGCCACCAAGGACCTTAGATCGCTGCTTCATCATGTACGTGTACAGAGTGTAGGAGCCTGGTCAATCTATCAGCATGCTTGCTTCGAACCTTGCCATGATGAACAGCCACGATGAACACAGCAAAGAGAGATCATACCTGGGACGTAGATAGCGAGGATGGCGTAGAGGGTGTACTGCTCCAGGCCCTGGAGGAACTTGGAGGTTATGAAGATGAGGGAGCACTCGGAGAAGATGCCGAGCGGGTAGAGGATGAAGAAGGTGTTGTAGCGCAGGAAGGTGAGGAAGGCGGGCTGGAGGCCGGCGAGGGTGGTGGCAAAGTACGAGTAGCGGATGACCTCAGTGACAGACCAGGCGACGAGCATGGAGGCGTAAAAGGGCGCCTGGGTGACGAAGGGGAAGGGGTAGGTGATGCCCCAGACGAGGAGGAGGCGCGACATGACCTGCATGACCGTGGTGGAAATGGGAGCGCGGACGATCCCTGGGGAGTTGGATGGGATGGTTAGCAAGGGCGAGGCAGAGACAATTGCCGCGTCTTTGGGATGAGATGCTGCTCACCAAATAGGGAGTGCAGAATCTCGAGGCACGCGGCCGTCTGCGTCCAGCGCGTCCACTCGCCGACCTCGAGGTACGTGAACGGGTAGCCGACGCTGAGGCAGCTGGCGATGGTGCGGTACAGCACCACGGCCCAGGCGGCGGTGGACACGGCATTGTAGAGCACGAGGTAGCCGGTTCGGAGGGGCGACGAGGAAGCCATGGCGGATGTCGATTGGGGGTTCGTTGTCGAGGGATTGGTGGTGGTGATGCGGTTGTTGGGAAGAAGAAAGAAGAAGAGAAGGAAGGGGTCTAGTAAATCTCGGCGGAGTTGGCGGTCGAACTTGGTGGGACACGCGATGATAAGGCAGGTACGGAGTTCTCGTGGGGGTCCTTTTTGTTGACCGAGGTTGGAGGCGACCAGTCATTCCCAGGACATGGCATTGATATGGACATATCATAAAATTTCATAGACTCTTTGTCTTTACTATAATTATTTTTCATTACCTTTATTTATGTCGTAACTTTGTACAGTGGGAGAAGGCCGCCCCAACCATGTGGCACGTGCTACAGCTTCTAAACAAGGACTTCTCAATAGAGAAAAAAATCCAGCTCTAACTTTATCTTCTTTCATGCCGTGTCTTTCACGTCTCGGGCCGGAGACATGATGCGTATACAGGCCGCACCTAACTCACGCTTTGACAAAACCCGTTTGCCAGCGTATCCTGCCGCCATTGCTCCATCACCGCCAGCAGCCCATTCAGCCTGACCAGCGCGCCCGTAAACACCAGGACGTGCATCAAGTTGTGGCTCTGCCCGAGCAGGTCGAACGTGCCCGGAAACCACCGCTCCGGGACCCTCGCCGCGTACAGCGCCGCGCCCGCAAAGTTGATCCCAGCGAGGCCCAGGAACGACCCCAGGCCCATCATCTCGCCGACCGCCGCGAGGCTGCCGGACCGCGCCCAGCCGTGCAGCGCGGGCGCGAACAGGCTGGCCCCGAGGCCGCAGTACATGAGGAAGCGCATCGTGCGGTACGTGGGGTGGCGGAAGGCCGGCCGCAGGGTGAAGACGCCGCAGCCGACGGCGGCGGACGTGAGCGCCGCGTGGTAGAGCGCACGGATGCCCGGCGGCTCGCAGTACAGCGTAAAGTGCGCGCCGGAGACGCCGGTCCCCCACATGACGAGCACGATGCCGAGGTGGTCGAGCTCGTTGCCGAAACGGTGCGCGGCGGCGCTGTGGTCGGCAAAGGTGTGGAAGGCCGTCGACAGCACGAAGCAGACGACGACGCAGAGGTAGTAGACGCCGACGGCGGCGACGTCGGAGGCCCACGAGCCGTCCTCGCTGGCTAGGGACCGCAGGTGCAGAAAGTTGACAAGGCCGAGGAGGAACAGCGCTGCTCCGAGAAGATGCGACCAGATGTTGGCTGGGTGGTTTGCCCGTTTTATTAGTCCAAGACATGCTTGTTCAAATGCCCTTGGGCTGAACTTGCCTGTCTCATTGTGAAGCTCGAGGATGCTCCCGAGAGAGCGACGGACCGAAGAGGTTGGCGAACTACATGTCGCTTCGGTCGGTATATGACTTACAGCAATACTGTGGCGTTTGAGTCCTTACCGATAGCTCGTTAAAATAAATTCGTTATCTCTGCAATTTGTATTCCGCGTTAGCTGATGATATTCATGGCTTGGCCCAGAGTTGCCGCTACCGTTGCCATGGCTCTTGCGTTAGCCAGCGTTAGTTTCCCTGCTTTTCCTGGGCATTTCTGGGTCGTTGACGGACCGATTTCCTTCCAGGCCAGAAGTCGTGGCTTTTTGGACGATTTGGACCTCGACTCCAATTGTACAGACGTCTTCTTGCCCATCCTGAACGGGGTGAAGATTCGTTGATGAGGACGGGTCGGGTCGGTCAGCTACCAACAGCAAACAAACAACTGGCGACTCTGTGTAATTAATCCACCGGGCGCGTCAGATGGGTTCGCTTGTAGCCAGCCCACAGTGTCAAGCACCTGGCTCGGTTCGGTCCAGTCCCATAAACAGCCGGCTCTGCCCACCGTCATCTCATCCCCTCTTGTTAGAAAATAATTGTTTCTGGAGCTTGAGGTTCATCGAGAATCATCTACTGGTAAAATCGAATCGTCTTGACCAACCTTGCCGCCGAGCTTTCGCAACAAGGAGCCGGACAGAGAGTCTAATCATAACCTTCCTTGCCCGCTCGCTCATTACTACACGCCTTGAGTGAGTCTCAACCACTGGACGGGTACAGTAATTCATGTGAGGCATGCATTGCTGTTGCATTGTTTTTTTTTTGCCGCTTGGCATCTCGGGTCCACCGAGAAATGAGCGGTTGCATTCAGCGAGCCTGGTTTCCGCGCCGGCGATGGTCGCCTGCATCCCGGACCCAGGTGACAGCCTTGCCACACGAATTGTCAGGTGAGGAGAAAACCTCCAAGAGTAATAGTCCTCGCCACATAAAAATCACAGCCATTGACCTTGAGGCATGTTCTCAATGCGACATCTTTTTGTGGCAGCCACGTTCTGCGCAGTGGCAGCCCAAGCCAAGCCCGCCTCCGTCCCCGGCGCCGAGTGCAAATGCTTCCCCGGAGACGCCTGCTGGCCGACCATCCAGCAATGGAACGAGCTCAACGCCACCGTCGACGGCAACTTGATCGCGACCGTTCCTCTGGCCTCTGCCTGCCACGACCCCAACTACAATGAGACTGCGTGCGCGACTCTCCGCAATGCGTGGTTGTCCCCCACAGTCCAGTATGTCGACCTTCCGCCAATGATCCATCGCACCCTAACAAGATTTACTTTCAGCCTGAGCTCCTCCTCGTCCGTCATGGCTCCCCTCTTCGCCAACCAGAGCTGCGACCCCCTCCAGCCTCGCGCCGCGCCCTGCACCCTCGGCACCTACGTCCGGTACGCCGTCCGCGTCCGGCACGCCGCCCACGTCGCCGCCGCGCTGCGCTTCGCCGCGCGGCACCGCGTCCGCCTCGTCATCCGCAACACCGGACACGACTACCTCGGGCGGTCTACCGGCGCCGGCGCCCTCGCCGTCTGGACGCACCACCTCGACGACGTCTCCGTCCTCGACTGGCGCTCCGCCTCCTACACCGGCAAGGCGCTCCGCATCGGCGCCGGCGTCGTCGGGCACGAAGCGCTCGCCACCGCCGCCGCCGCCGGACTAGTCGTCGTCACGGGGGAGTGTCCCACCGTCGGTCTCGCAGGCGGCTACGTCCAGGGCGGCGGGCACTCCGCGCTCAGCACCGCGCACGGGCTCGCCGCCGACAACGCGCTCGCGTACGACGTCGTCGTAGCCACCGACGGGCGGCTCGTCACCGCCACGCCGGACAACCGCCACCGGGACCTCTTCTGGGCGCTGAGCGGCGGCGGCGGCGGCAACTACGGCGTCGTCGTCGCCATGGTCGTCCGCGCGCACCCGGACGCCGTCGTCAGCGGCGTCTCCTTCGACGTGCAGCTGCCAGGCAGCGGCGGCGGCGACGATGACCGCATGATGGACGTGGTGGAGGCGTACCACGCCGCGCTCCCCGGCATTGTCGACGCCGGCGCCATGAGCATCTACTTCTTCGGCGCCGGCTTCCTGCGCAGCCCTGCCACCACCTTCTTCAACAAGACCCGAGCCGAGGCCGAGACCGCCCTGCGGCCTTTCCTCGCCGCCGCCGCCGCCCTCAATGCCACCGTCACGCCCACCTTCACCCAGTTCCCGGCTTACCTCGAGCACTACGCGCACTACTTCGGCCCCCTGCCCGCCGGGAGCATCCGCGTCGGCGAGTCCCTCTTCGGCGGCCGCCTCGTCGACCGCCCCTCCCTGGCGCGCTTCTCGCCGACCGCGCGCCGGCTCTCCCGCGCCGGCGTCACCTTCATCGGCGTCGCCCTGGACGTGTCCCGACACGACGGGGTGAGGGCGGCCGTGCTGCCGCAGTGGCGCGGCGCGATCGTCAGCGCGTCGCTCACGCTGCCGTGGAGCTTCGACGCGCCGTTCGCGGACATGAGGGCCGCGCAGGACCGCATCACGACGGAGGTGCAGCCGCTCGTCGACCGCGCGACGCCGGGAGGCGGCGCGTACATGAACGAGGCCGACTATCAGCAGCCCGACTTCAAGGAGGCCTTCTTTGGCGACAACTACGACCGTCTGCGCGCGGTGAAGCGCGCCTGGGACCCGGAGGGCCTGTTTTACGCCGTCGCGGGCGTGGACAGCGACAGATGGGAGGTGCGAGGGGACGGGCGTCTTTGCAAGGCGTCGGCGTAGCACCTTCGCGTCCCGAACATGTCGAGCCGGTGGGGGGTTTTATGTATGTCGTTTTTCTTTTATTCTCGCTTGATACACAAATGTCGCTACAATAAAAAGACGGCGGATGTCGGACAAGTAACCTTTCGTCATCTCGTCTCCTTCACTCAATTGGCCACCAGATGCTCCTCTTTTCCTATCCGTCCGTTACAAAACCACATCGTTTCGTTTCCTTCTTTGCCGTATAGAAAAAGGACATAATCCACAAAAGAAGACAGATCTCAAAGAATAAGCATTCCATCCCATGTTATGCGTAAAAAGCTACCCATGTTCTTCTTTCCTACCTCCTCTCCATCAATTCTACTCTCTCGGCTTGCGGTTCGCCAAACCTTCTTTATGAGCGGGCTTCTTCCAGTTCCAGCTCTAATTGCCGGATGCGCTCGTTCTGGTCCTGCGATCCCGTGGAGCCAACCTTGCGCTTCAGCAGCTCGACTTCCTGCGTCAGCTGGCCGATCTTGTCATTCTGCTGCGTGATGATCTTGGTCTGGTTCTCAATCAGCTGCTTGATCTGCTCCAGGGACGACTCGACGGCTGTGCCTCCCACAGGGGTGGAAGCACCGACAGGCGTGCGGCTGGGCGTGGCGGCAGTGACAGGCGCCGGAGCGATGATGGGAGTGGCAGCCGGTGCGGGCGCCGGCGCCGAGGTCGTCTTGGTCGGCAGCTTAGGCTCGGCGGCACGGACCGGGACGGTGTTGCGCTGGGCGGGGCGGCCAATATCTTCGAAGCTAGAGGTAGTATCGGCGTCATCGTCCTCGTCCTCCTCGTTATCCTGGAACTTGTTGGCCATGTTGGAGATCGAGCTCTTCTGGTCCTTGATGCTGGGCGGGGGCGCACGGGAGACGGCAGGCTTCGGCTCCTCGCGTTTAGGCTCCTCGCGCTTCGTTTCGGCCTTTGGTGTGGAGGGCGCGGACTGAACAGGGGCCTTGTAGTCCGAGGCAACCTCCTTGGGGGCAGTGCCCTCGTAGACGCTCTCGAGATCGATCTTGCTGGGAATGCCGGTCTTGCCGTCGAGCCACTCCTTGGCAGAGCAGGCAGGCTTCGTGCCAACGGCGGGGGGGAAGATGTCAGCCTGGAAGGTCTCGGCGCGACGAGGCACGGTGAAGGAAATGGGCTCGATGTAGCTATCGCTGACGGTCTTGTAGGCGCGCATGACTTCGTTTTCGTGGACCTTTTCAAAGTTAGCCTGAAGGTTGCAAGTGGTAGGAAATGATCTGTCTTACATTGATGCCACGGCGGGGAACAAAGGCAATACCACGTTGAGGATCGGGAGACTTGTATTCGCTGAGGAACTCAAACTTATCGTTCTCATATTCGTAGTAGCGAATGTTGCCGTCACTAGGATAGTCAGCTTGATTGGTCCACGGTACCACCGTAGCATGCAGCTTACCCCTTGCCAGCAAGGTAAAGGCAGTTGGAGCCATCATCTTTCACACAGTTAGTCATTTGACATCTGTTCCTAGCTTCGTCCTCGACTCACCCCAGAATGGCATGCAGACACCAGAGATGGAGTCAATCATGGTGAAGCCGCCGATGGGCTCAGGGTTGCCGGGCTCCCAGAGGGCTATTTGGCGCTCGCTCATCTTGGAGAAGCCCGTAGTGGCGAAGCGGTTGTGCTCGCCCATCCAGACGGCCCTGCTGTTCTTGGCTCCGGCGTGGCCCGGCGCCTCGTGGACGGGCTTTTCCTGGCGCACATCCCAGACGCGGATCTTCTTGTCGCGCGAGGTGGTGGCGAGCATGCTGCCGGCGGCGTTCCAGGTCAGGCTCTGGACAATGTCGCCGTGGGCCAGCGCCAGGGGCGACTGGCCCGTGGTGACGTCCCAGATCTTGATCGTGTAGTCACCCGAGGCGGAGGCGAGGATGTTTTCGGCCGAGGGGTTGAAGAGGACCTGGCCGACTTTTCTATGACCGCGAGAAGAGAGTTCACGTTAGCGAGTGTCCCCACGAGCGGCCTGCAGAGTGAGTGCGCAGGGCGAGGTTTTGTTGCGTCTTACCTGGAGTGGCCTGCAAGCTTGCTCACGGGCGAAACGTTGGGGATTTCTTCCGCGTCGGTGTAGAGGGTAAAGTCTTCCGGGACCTCCCAGAGGAAGACCTTGCCATCTTCAGAGGCCGAGGCAATGAATCGGTCATTGAAAGGGTGCCTGGAAACGGGGGGGGGGGAAGCACGTGGGTTAGCAATCACAGAACGCAAGCACGAAATTGCCCAGTCATTCTTTTGACACCGCAAAGATGACGGCCTCTCAGCAAGGGGGCGTTGATTTTGTTTACCAGTCGGTGTCGAGGACGGCAGCTGTGTGGCCGCGAAACAGGGGAATCTGGTCGGGCAGCTTGCCTCGCTCGTTGAGAGGGATGACAGCAAAGGCGCCGCCGCCGGACGAGTCCCAATTGACGGAGAGATATTCGGGGTTGACCTGTGTTTGAGAAGAAGATTGAACAAGTCAGCTTCTCTTTCGATTTTCGTCTCATGTCTCGCCTCGACGTCGCTGCGGCAGGTGGGGTTCGTCGTCGTACCTTGATCAGGTTGGTGTCCCAAGCATTGCGGCTAATGTGAATGTTGTCGTAGCAAAAGTCCTTTCTCGTAGGCTTGCCAAAGACATGTCCTGTTGCGCGGGGGTGATGATCATCAGCTTCTCCTCATGGTGTGCGCGCCGCGGCCTTAGGCGAAGGAGAAGAGGGGGTGGGCTTACGATACTTCGACGCTCTGACGAATCGTCCAGCCATGTTTTCTTGCAACCCCTCGTGGTTGTTGGTGCAGTTGTAGCGAGAACTCGGCGGCGGGGGAGATGAGGGGGATTTTGGGGTTCTGTGTTAGATGTCGCGTGGTTGAGCAAGACGGTGGGAACGAGTTCCTTGGAGAGAGAGAGAAGCAGAGCTCCAGGCGCAAGTTGGTAGAGAATTGGGGCCAGACAGCGGCGAAAAGGTGAGGCTGTGGAAACGGGCAATGGGGTTGGCGGGTGCTGGTGGTGGATGCAGTGGTGATGAATTGGCTGCGCCTCCAGTTTTGGCTTAGGGGGGAGGCGGCGGCGGCGGCTTTCTCACTAACAACCTCACTACGGGCTTCACTCCCCGCTGTCTCGCCGTCTGCCTTAAATAGCAGGGCGGATACGACACGACACCCCACCCCGTTTGGCAACAGTGATACGACAGCCCAACGCCCAGACGACGACGACGAGGACACACACATCAACTTGGCCAAAGATGATGGCTTCTAGATAAATGGTCACGTGCCCACCTCCTTATCAAAACGAAGCTCTGAAACTACCAGATCTCAGGGTCTCAATACGTTCTGAAGCAACCCAAGCAGATGAGCATGAAAGAAGTGCGTTCGTGAATTGTCCCAAGGGTAAACTACAGTCCCCTCTGAAACAAGCCATCTCATTACACTGGCAATGCGGAGTGGCGCATGCGACACCTTATTCACTACACTACACACACGCAACACATCAAGGTGTCGGTCGCATATACATACAAAGAGAGGGAAAAACATGGAATTCATTATAAAATCTCTAACGTAATACATCGATCAAGCGAAATGTAATAGGGGGAAATGGAGACGCAAAGGGAAATAGCATGATGCTTGAAAAAAAGAACAAGCCGGCCAACACCAACGACGCCATCGTTTTGCTCAAATGGGAACCCAAATTTCCCACATTGATTCATCCCATCTTGACAAAATGAAAATGGCAACCAGATTCCCGCCATGCATAAAATCAGAAAGCTAATCCCAGTAGCAGCTCTACTCTCACTCCGCACAAGCTTAAAACAGAGTACCGCCGCTCTGCACACTCTTGCTGCGGCTGTGGCTCGATTTCCGTTCTGCTCGTCGCCGAAGCTGCTCCTCTCTCTTCAGAACAACTTCGCACCACTTTGCACGGGATCGTGGACCGCCGTCGTCATCTACACTGCTGGCCCCCCGGCCAATCACTTCCTGCAACACTCTCATCCAACCATCTTTGTCCTCAGCCGTGTCCGCATAAAAGTCAATGACTTCGCCATTGTTGAAGCGTATGCGAAACCCTTCCTCGACAAACATGTAGCCCTCTTCTTCTTCTGCAAACGCTGATCTGCGACGCTTGCCACCCTTGACTGTCGTCTCCTTTTCCGTCAACGCGCGTCTGTCATCAATCAAGCGCTTCGCATTGCTCAGGTTGATTGTAGCGCGCGGTTGTCGCGTCGATTCGTGGTAAGCAGTTAGACGTGCGCCGGACAGCTTGAAATATCTTCTGCGCCAGTACTATCCATCTGATTAGTCTTTCATCACAATGCGTGTTAATGTCACCGGTACTTACAGGACAGTCGCCTCCTTGTTGACTTAGGTGACCTTCCCAGCTTCTAGCCAGTCTTTCTTCAGCCGCTCTAAGCTCTCGGATGCACGAGTTCATACTCTTGGGCATTTCATCATCGCTTATGTTCTTAGGTCTGGGCACAAACAGCAGCTGCAGTTCGAGCTTGCCAATCTTGTATGGGGCCCGGCGGACAACGGCGCCAGGCCCTCGCTTGCTCTTTACGCTGCAAGCGAACGACTCCTCTTCCTCGGCCCACTCATTGAAGCAAACAACCTCAGCCATGTATGGGCGTCCAAAGCATCGATTTTCATGCTCCTTGAGGCAAACGTAAGAGCGAGCGAAGCTGCCGTCCACCTCGGCAACAAGAGGAGATAGGAGCTCATAAGCGGAAGGTGTCCCATTTTTCTGGCGCGCGAGAGCCTCCTGGTGCTGCTTTGCGATACGTTCCTCCTCTCGTTGACGGAGCTCAATTTCCTTGCGCTTCTTGGGAGAAGCAAAAACTTTGCTAAATGCCGAGGTCTTGGACTTGCCACTCTTGACAGGAACAGGATAGCTGAGGTATGCAGGCTTCTCAAGTTTCACGTTGAGAGTCAGCTGGAACTCCAAGTCGTTGGGCACGACCAGCTCAAACTCTTGGCCAATAGGCGCATTGCGGGCCAACTCCAACCACGAAGTAGTAACACAGTGAACGCCGTTGTCGAGAGTCAGGCTGAACCAAGTGCGTTCATTTCTTGGCAGAGGCAGGTCAAGATCCTTGACTCCCATGACCTTGACAAACAGACGGCCTCTCTCCGCACCGTCCAGAGTAGTCGCATCCATGCTCATGTCTTCCTCGGGAATCGACCGAGTGGGGATACTGTTGCTATCTTGACCGGGAAGAGGAGGGACAGAACCAGCAAAGCTGATTGCCTTGGAGCTGGTGCTCTTCTTGCGGACAGCGGGGTTCCATGGCTCAACAGTCCAAGACGGCGGTCGATCGTGCTTGATCGGGGAGTTGTTGGCAGAGCGCGTCTTGCGGGTGTCCTCGCCATCTTTGTCGCTAGCCGCCACCAGCTTCGTATTCTGACGCATGAGATAGCCGCGCTTTTGGCCTTCAATAACTCTCTCAAAGTCCTTGTCGAGGCTGAGACCAGTATCAAGGTCCAGAGTCAGGCTGCGGTTCTTGAAGCTGGAGTGGCGCTCAACGAATGGATCATCACCATCCTCCAGCTGCACGGACATATCCTTGGAAAGACGGTTTTTATGCTTTTGTGGAATCGGGGGCACAATCGGTACTTCCTGGCTTGCTAGCCGACGAGCCTCACGCATAGAAGCCATGTCAGCTGGCGTGTTGGAGACTCTTGTCTTGAGCTTGGAGCCGGACGCCTTGATGGTGGCCAGTCTCTCAGGAATGACGGGTGGTTCCACGGGTGACACTGGGCACTCATCAAAAAGATCTTCCTCATCGTCGACAGGGTGATGAATGACGGAGCCGGGGCTCTCAGGCTCATCGGCATATTCATCGTCATCGCCCCAGCCACTACCGTCATACTCAGGCTTAGAGAAGCCCTTCTCTGGGGTGGCAGGCCGCTTCGTGAGGGAAGGCGGGTTCAGCGTAGGCTTCACGGGCTCAAGAATAGGCTGCGGCTGGAGGCTGACGGGCTCGGGGGACGCAGGAGGCTCAGCAGGCGGGGCGAGTCGGGGTGTCTCATCCACGATGGCTTCTCCTTCCGGAGCATACTCAGCCTGTTCATCCTGCTCAGCGTGGTGCATATCTTCTTCATATGTATCGTCATCGGGCAAGATGCTGATTTCATCCTCCTCGTCGTACAGATCCAATGCATCGTTTCCGTAGTCCGACGGGTTTCTCGTAATAATGACGCTGCCATCCTCGACAATGGTGTCTTCCTCAATCATGGAGTCTTCTGTGGATGGGATTGGGATATCGGGGTCCTCGGGAATAACAGAGACGTCAAAGTTTCTCTCGGCACTGCGCGAAGGGCTTTGGGCAGGGGAAGAGAGGTTGAAGTCAGATTCGCTCTCAGTGACCTTGTTGCCGTTAACACGACGCATGATGGATTCGCGAGAGATTTTGCCGGGCATCTGGAAGTCACCAAGAGCCGACATGTCTGCAATGGTGTCATCGGCCTCAGCGTCTTCAGAAGCTTGGGCGTTGGGCTCCTCCTCCACCGCGGGGCTATTGATGCGCTCGCGTGCGCTGCCTCTCCTAAGGCGTCGCTCGCGCTGCTGCTCAGCAGCCGTCTTAGCATCCCCATCATCAGACATCATCATCAGCTTGAGACGCTCTTCAAGAGGCATCTTGCTGTGACCAAAGTTCTGGATATCAGACTTGCTTGCCGGTGGAGGCGTAGGCAGGTTGCGCTGACCCGAGTTGATCATGTGCTCGGCACTGGTTGACTGGCCGGAGGAAGAGTCGCTCGACTTGATGCGCTCGTGGCCCCTGTTCGGCACGGGGGGCAGGGGGCGGTGCTCAGCGCTGGATGAGACTGAGCTTGAACCGTTCTTGTTCTTCTGGTTATTAGACAACGCCATGGAAGGACTGCCATCAGGTTTAGGGCTAGCTTCGTAGCGCCCGTGGCCACGGCCGTATGGGCTATAGTCGTCCGGGCCAACAACTGGAGTTTTCATAGTGTCTTCGAGGGATGCGTCAAAGCTATCATCGAGGTTTTCGCCGTGAGCGAGATCGTAGTAGCCGCGGTCACCGTCGGTGTCGTCAGATTCGTAGCTTCCTTCGCGTGAGTTGGTTCCAATGGAAGAGAGATCAGGTGTGGCCATTTCGTACTCATTAATCTGTGGGGGAGCAGCATCAAAGGTCACGCTCTTCACATGGCGATGCGATGACCGGCTCGAGGAGAAGTCTTCGTCAACGTAGGACGTTCGGGTAGACCAGGTTCCGGTAATGGGATCAAAGGAGTCCTTGAACTTGGACGGGGAGAGAGACGACTTGTTAGGCGAGTTGGCTGACTGATCGCGGTTGGAGCGTGGTGTGGTGGGAGCTGCGACGGGCCCAGTGGTGGTGTTTGTGCTCATAATAGAAAAGAAGGAGGTGGTGGTAGAAGCAGTGTCACTGCGTTTGAATTCGGGGATCTGGTACTCAGATTCGATGGAGCGCAAGCCGCCGCTGGAGCTGGCACTGGAGCTGGTGGAAAAACCAAGGCTGTTTACTTGGACCTTTGCGAGCGGTCTCTCGATTGTCGGGATGCGAGTGGGATCATATTCCTGCTTCTGTTCCAAGGCCAAGATGTTGCTGTTCTTGACTCGGGAAGCTCTCTGCAGTCTCTCAATGGAGGAGCGGCGTTGTGGCGAAGGGGAGGTGGCGGTATGGCCGCCGCCGTAGGGCACGTTTTCCGAGTTTCGGTTCTGCCAGAAGTGCCGTGGGGAGGAGCCCCCATCGAGCGGCGACGACTGGAATGGAGAGGAGTCGTTGCCAAGGGTTGGCTTCTGCTGCAGGGAGTTAGCCGGCGGAGAAGAGCAAGACGGGTTGGACCGGCTACGTGCAGCATTCCACATACCTTGGGGGACACGATCTGGTGCCAGCTGGGCGAGTTGCGGCGTCTCTCCGTGGGCGAGAGCTCGGACAAAGGGCGGGGGAGACCGCTAGCCATCTTTGTGGGCGATGACTTGGGCGTAGTGCCTTTGGCGATTCGAAGGGGATGCACCTGGGGGACTCGAGTTAGCCGTGATTCTATTGTCAGGACTGGCAGGCACAGGCAGAGCAACGCAAACAGCCGCCAATCTCCGCGGGTACAAAGCATACCTGTTCCGAAGACATTCTAACTTAGAGATGGATCGGAGGTGTAAATTGGTTCTGCTAAGCCGATCGTGGCGGCATTGGAACGCAAAACGATGGAGTCAGGGAGTGGTGATGATTGGAATGTTGTGGCAGACAGAGTAAATCCCGGTGGACGGGGGTGTGTAATTGGCGGAGGAAAGACTTGGTGCAACGAGGACGGCCCGGTACTGACTCCTACTCTGCATGGGCTAATAAAAAAGCGACGGCCACGGCAGAAGACAGCTATTGATACCAGCGGCGGCCAGAAATCGAGGCCTGCTCAAAGGAGAAGAAGAAAAGGGCAACAGTTGAGTTCTGATGAAGCAGCAAAAGAGAAGAGGATGGTCTCACAACAAGCCAGGCTGGTGGACGAGGTCTGGTATGTAAACGGACTTGGAATGCACGCGCGACGGCCGCTTATTGGCTGGCGAAAAATAAACAGTGGCGGGCAGTGAGAGGAGGGTGGTTGTCCTAGCAACGTGGGGGATGGCCTGGGCTTGGATGGGGGGGTTCGCAAGTTCAACAACCCGATGTGAGTGGGCATTTTACTGGGTAATATTGCAGGGCAAACTTGCGGGAAAAGGCCATCGCAGACATGGCATTGGCCAGCTCAGCCGCAGCAAACTCACCACAAGACGGCGCTAAGCAGGGCTCTGCGACACAAACTGACAATGCCTCGCAGCGACACCCCGCTGTTGTGGTAGGTGAATTACTATGTCCAACAAAGGTAGCACAATCAGCAGCCCACCTAAGATGGAATTGATATTTATTAATGCAGTCAGAGTTGCTGCAACTTCTCTGCTTAACTCTCTTTTCTGACCCTCAGCAATTCACACAACGAAGAGCTTGTGTGATAAAACAGCAGCCGCATGTACATAAATCAATGCAAATAATAGTCACCCCAGCAGCCATGCAGGGGCCCGCCCTTCTCCCTCAAACTCCATCCTCGCCGGTGCAGATCTCGCTTCCCCCAAAAAATCACAATGCATGACATGATATGTTATCGGCTCTTCGCTATTCCACATTCCAGCTAACCCGCCTCTTTTTGTCCTAGACTATCTTGCTCCACCATGTCATTTTTTATTTTTATTTTTATTTTCATTTTAATTCTCCCTCTTCGTATTATGCGGTCTTTTGTTTCCGATCCCATTGTTATGGTGGGAACTTGGACCGTCCGTCCCCATCCATCGTCAAACAGCCACCCCATCACATGTGCACACACAATGGGCTCGGCATTCCATCTCCTCTACTCTATTTTAGTAGATTCTCCATCAACAACCGTCGCCTTGCTTTGAAGATGTCTATGGCTGCTGTTTATTCCACTCCACGCAGTCGTCAAAATTGACTCCTGTGCCCCCGAAACAATCCAACGCGCTACCTATCGTCAGATCAACCTTGCCGCCGCTGAGCTTTTTTACTCGCTCCAGGTCCTCCAGATTTCGTCCGCCGCCCGCGTACGTCACTGGGATGGAGCACCACTCAGCCAGCCGCGTTACCAGCTCCTCGTCTATCCCTTGCTGTAGCCCCTCATTGTCTGCCGCGTGGATCAAGAACTCGCAGCAGTACGGCTCCAGCTGCTTGATGGACTCTGCAAAGTAGAAATGAGCATACATTAACACCAGTCATGAAATCACCCCATCATGCAAGTAAATAAACTGACCTTCGTTGACTTCCATGTCCGTAATCGTCTGCCATTTATTCATGGCGACGAACCACTTGCCCTCCCCGCGCCGCCGACAGCTCAGGTCAATCACAAGCTTTTCCTTGTCGCCGCCGAGCATCTTGAGGATAGAGTCCAGTCGGAGATGGCTAAACTGTCCACCGGGGAACAAGAACGACGTCACAATGACCTGCGCGACGGTGTTTTGCGTGAGCATCCAGGAAACAAAAACCCGTGACTCAACCCCGCCCAACATACCTTTTCCGCGCCGGCCGCGATCCAGTCACTGGCGTTCTTGTCGCTGATGCCGCCGCCGACCTGTAGTCCGTTGGGCCAAGCCCCAATCGCCTGCTTCGCCGCTTCCTCGTTGCCGGGCCCGAGCATGATAACGTGCGCCCCGTCGAGGCCGTTGTCCCGGTATAATTGCGCATAGTGCGCCGCTGGTTGCTCTGACACGAAGTTGGTCTGCAGCTTGGTGGCGTTGCTGCTGTCGAGCGTCCCGCCCACAATCTGCTTAACCTGCCCTGCGTGGAGGTCTATGCATGGCCGGAAGCGAGTCATTTTTTGAGTATTTGAAAAGCGCAATATTCGTGCTGAGTATAGATCATGCGGCGAAGTTTGATGAGTCTTTGGGTAAAAAGGTAGGATGTGGGGCGTCGCTTTCATCTCCGAGTCAAGCTTATCGACAAGGTTGAATAATGACGACATCGCTAAAGATAGTCAAGGTCTCGATCTCAAATATACGTAGAAACAAATAATTGATTTCAGAAAGGCAGCTTGTTAACAAATTAAACGTCTGTAAAATGGGATTCGGCCGGCGAGATTTCTCGCACCAGTTCTGACGCAAAAGTTTAGGGTAGCCCACTACAGACGAACCAACAACAGCATGACGAATACAGACGGTATGATTGTAAACGCTCAAGACTTGTACAAATTAGAAAATACAGGCTATTTAACACATATAGACCAGATAGTCGACATATTATATGCGGCACCTGTCTCAACACTAATGTTTGTGCCCAGCTGCTTTCGAAGTCAAATTATATACCATAGAAATCCATCCATGCATCATATCCCGCTTTATCCAAGCAAAATGTCAACCTCGTCCACTGCATGCGCCTCCCACGCTTTGTGCAAAACGTGCCCAATGCCCCTTCTATACGCCACGCCCAAAATGCGCTCGATCCACAGGACGTTGACCACCTCCAGGTAGCCCCTCGAGTCCGCGTGCTCCGCGTACCGGTCCGGCGGGAAAACGAGCGACCCGCCGCGCTCCAGCGTCGACGAGATGGCAATGAACTCGAGCTTCTCGTCGCCGTCGTAGTTAGACGACTGGATGCCCAGCCAGCCGTCGTGCGCGCGGAACTCGCCGATCCACCGCCGCCCGCGGCCCCAGATGCTGCCGACCGCCACCGGAGGGTTCACCGCGTCCTTCGGCACCAGCGTCACCGCAAAGTCGACGTCAAAGATGCTCGATGTCGTGCGGAACGCGAGCAGCGGACCAGGAAACGCCTGCTCGCCCGGCGGCGGCAGCGGCAACGACTCGTCCTCGTCTTCCGGCAGTTCCTCAATCGGCACCGGGTACCGGAAGAGGGTGTCCTCGTCGCTATCGTGCACAAAGTGCGCGCCCTGGCGGGACCACCCCGGCGGCAGCTCCGCCGCGGCTGCGTGCGCGCTCGACGAGTGCCGCCGCGATCGCAGGTCCCTGTGCCGGAAACCGCCGTTCGGCACCGGCACGCTCGTCGCGCGGTCGCTCAGGTGCCACACCACCGTCGGCTTGATGCGGAACGCGCTCGGCGCCTGGAACCTCCGCGCCGGCTGGCCGTGCTTGCCCGCGGCCCGCGTGGCCTCGACGTAGTCGGCCGCCGCCTTCCACAGGGTCAGGTCGACGCGCACGCCGTCGAACCACCAGCCCATCCAGGACCACGAGGGCAGGAACGGCGGGCGCGACAGCGGGCGCCGCCGGATCGACGCCTGCGGGCGCCACAGCAGCGCCGCGTCCAGGAACAGGAGCGGCATACCGTACACGAAGCCGCCCATGAACACGCTCGTCAGTGCCGTCGTGATGCCCGAAAACGCCCGCAGCGTGTCGTCGACCTGCGTCACCCGCCGCGCGCTGTAGTCGGCCGCCACGCGCGCGTACTCGTCCATGTCGGGCCACGGCGCGTGCTGGAAGCCGAGCGCCGCGGAGGAGACTCGGTTGGTGCACGCGGGCTTCTTGCCCTTCCACGCGCCACTGCGGCCAAACGCGCCGCCGTTGCTGCTGCTGCCGGCGGCTCCCTGCCACAGGTCGCAGTGGCACTCCCACGTTACAGCCTCCTCGAAGAAGAAGACGGCACGTCGTGAGTATAGCAGCTCCTGCAGCGTCCAGCCGCGAGTGTTCCAGCGCGACGCCAGCAGCAGCTCGTTGTGATCCGGGCCGCTGCTGCCACCACCCACGCGAGGTGGCCGGCTCGGTCGCCGCGTGTTGAGCGGCAGCAGGCCCGTGTTGACGTCGTTGTGCGCCGCGACGATGGTCAGGTACGCGTTGGCGAAGACGTACGCCATGTGGCGGATATGGTTCTCCTTGAAGGCCTCATCGTCCTGTATGATGCACATGCGGTCGATCCAGATGTGGCGCAGCCCAAGCTTGCGCGCCAGCCAGATAGCGTCCGCAATCGTTTGCGGCACGTTGTGCTCGGGCAGCGCGATGAGCCACTCGTCCAGATTCGACTTGATCAGCTGCGCCGGCGCATCCAGCCCGCCGGCGCCGGCGGCACGCACGCCTGGGCCCCAGACGTAGCTCAACGCGATGTACCGGTCGTCGGGCTGGGCCCGCACCAGCCGCTTTTCGGCAGCGTTAATGAGAAACTGCGGGTGAAACGTGTTCGGTACTGAAGGCGAGTTGATATCGCCGCTACAGTGCCGCCCGTGCTGGCTGTTGCACGTGTCTAGCCACTCGCGGATGCGCAGGATGGGCGATGCTTTGTTGGCGGATAGCCCGCCCGCTGCCGCGCCGGCCGCGTTCGAAGAACCGCGTCGCGCGGTGGGCGAGTGCGGCCCGTTGTCCGCATTCACGGAGTTTCTGCGTAAAAATGTCCCTTTGAGGCGTTCCGTCAAGCTTATACGGCGGCTGGGCGGCGATTCTGGCTGCTGCGGCGGTGGCGGCGCGTTGTCGCGGGACAGATAGCTGCCGCGATGACGACGCTGCCTAACGCGGTCCCTGTCTCTCTCACGCTCCCTCTCGCGCTCGCGGTCCTTTTCCTTCTCTCTCTCATCCGCCGTCGATTCATCCTCCGTGTCTTCGTCCTCGCTCTGGCTGCGGTCCCTCTCTCGGTCTCTGGCGTCTCTCCGCCTGTGCCTGTCTCGGTCCCTGTCTCGCACAGACGACTCCCGCGGATCGTACGCTGTGCCTGGCATGTTTGCTCACCGAAGGCATTCGCTATAACTTGTGCGTTTCGAAAATGGGCTCACAGCGAATATAAAACTCAAGGGGCGAAGGAGGAAAAATCGAGGTACAACACAGGCCCAGCCGGCCACGGCCCTTTTTTCCTGAGTGGACAGCAAGTGTTGGCCGTTTGTTTGTGCCCGTCCAGCTTACACAGCGTCCGTGGCGCAGGCGACGGCGGCCTCTGTAAGGCGGCGTTGAGACAAGAACAGGCGCCTAGCAAGGCAAACCAGAGGGAGAAAAACGATGCGATAGTAGCTGGCGTCTAGATATGTAGTGGCGCATACTCCGTAGAATATTCCTTATTGTTAATCAAAAGAAATAAGCCAAAGGAAAAAAAATCGACGAAGAGCCTGGTCCGTGTTGGAGCAGGGGCAGTGGTTGCTGGGGCGGGCAGCCTGGCGTAAAGGCGATGGCTGATGAGGTACATTCATATTGAGAGGGCTGGGGAAACGAGAGATAGACTACCAAGACGTAGGCACTTGGAGTTTCCAGCCTTGTAATTTCATCTAGCGTATAATCTAGAAGTGGTCGCCGGAAGAAAACAGTTTGGTATATTTACGGATATTAGAGACAACGACATGCCCTGACATATAAACTACTTTGTATCGGTTATTGTTCTCATTACTAGTTTTACATGACAACATGCAGAGCCGGCCTGGCTTCCTAAACTAACTGTTGAATTGTTACCCGTGGAGCTAGCCCGTCAGAAAGAAAACGATTCAAATTTAACTTGGTCCAAATACCACAAGCTTCATTTTACAGTCGGAAATCCTTTTAATCAGCCCACAGCGGCCCAACCAAACTGGGGAACCGGAAATGACAGTTCTGCGGTTGATGCCCAACAAGCGAGAGTGAGACTACCTTTAAGGACTTTAATAACTCCCAACTCCACATCGAAGGTCGAGTAGTATAGTGGTTAACACGCCAGTCTCACACACTGGAGTCCCGGGTTCAATTCCCGGCTTGACCTTTTGCGTCGCGCCTCAATGTTCGGGAGGAGGCGTCCATACATTTTTTATCATATTTGCACGTCTATCCTGTGTTTAGAGTAGTAGATTCTGATCATTGATTTGGCCGTTTTATAGTTGAATGCTTGATGCAAGGCGCTAGGCTTGGATGGCAACGGCGCTCCGTTTGTTTGTTGGTGGCGCCCTGTCAGCTGGCAACCTGTAGGGCGAAATCAGTCACTGACAGAGTGGTAGAGTCGGTGTTTGCGGATTGAAGTGTTGATTCATAAACTATCAAAACAGCCACAAATAACTGCATGCCATGCCATATCTTCATCACGAAATGATGTAGTTTCAACACAGTTTCAAATTCACCATAGCCTCCCATTCTGCCATGGGGCTTTTCAGTTCCCAGTTCCCAGTCCTAGAGTGTTTGTTTCCATTCCCTGTATCCCATTTCCCTTTCCATCAACAACACCGAGAAAAAAGCAGCCGCTAAATTGTCAAGATAAAAACAACAACAGTAATGATAATCATACAACAACCGATTTCCTTCCACAGCCACCAAAGGAACGACGAATGAGTCATTCGTGGCACTGTGTTATCCCAGGACTGGCAAAAAAAAAGAACAAGAACCCAAGCAGCATAATGCAGGGCCACATACTGTGGCACAATCTAACAAAGATGGAATGCAGCAGCTTGAGAAATAGAACAAGCCATGCTGATAATAAAATGCTTCGAACCGTGAAAGACGTTAAACGCCTGTATAAGAAATGAAGGCTAGAATGGAAATGATTAAAGGAGTGACGTGGTATAAATGTACAGGGGTATTTGGGTGTTGTTAAGGGCTGCTGCTTAGTTGGCAGCTTCGTAGGCTGGAGGTGGAGGACGCTCAGCGCCCTCTTCCCATCCCTCGTCAGGAGCGGCGTGGCGCTGCTTCTCGTCATAGACGCGGCGGGCAATCTCACCTGCCATCTTCATGATCCAAGCTTGCTCGAGAATGACGGACGAGGTGTCTGAGGTGGCGGACGCGCTGTCGCGCATGGCGAGCTTCTCTTTGGCATACTGAGTGGCGGATGGCTCCTCGCTAGCCTCATGGACTTGGGAGAGGGGGGATTTCGCAGGCTTGGAGTTGCGATTGTGCGATTTTATGTGGTCATTGCTCGTTTTTTCTTCAGCCCGATCCTTAGAGCTCGGCGACGTAAAGCGGACCTTGCTCGAATGCAGATCCTCTGACACAGCCCGGCCATCCACGGATTCGTCGGGAACGGAGGGGGCCATTAGAGGCTCGGAGAGAGGCACATTGACCGAGGCAGTGTCCGATGCGTCGGCCATGTTGTCGCTTGAGCCGGCTTCGGAACGAGAGCGGCGGAGATTGACGACACGAGTCTTCTTCTTGCGACCGGGACGCGATCGGTATGCGGAAGCAGCAAGAGGAATATGACTTGCGCTGAGAGTGGAGAGGGATGGCCGTGCAGGCAGGTAGCCATGAGACGCGCTGCCAGTATCGGAAAAGGTGTATGTGGTGCTAGCACCGCCGGTGAGTGAATACGTCTTGGCCAGACTGGGTGTAGCCACAGCAGGGCTCGTCACATCAGAGTGATCGGCATGGCCCGACCAGGCGCGAAAGACGACATCGCGGATGCCAGGGGTGAAAAGCGACAAAGTGCGATGCGAATCTGTCAATGCGGCCAGACGCAACAAGTTTTTCTGCGAGAAGAGATACTGCATTTCTCCGCCGTGCAGGGTCAATTCGGAAATGGCATTAAGATCAAGCAGATTGCCGTTGGAATCGACAGGGTCTTCGGGAGGGCTCGAGAAGGGGTCCAAGCCCTGGTTGTCAGTATCGGCGGTTGGTGTCTCGGCGCCTTTCTGTGCCTGGTCAGCGCACCAAAACTGCAGTGACAGACGGTGGATGATGGCTGGCAGCTCTTCCATCATGAGATTGCGGAGCTGCTGCTCAATAGTACGCTGGAGGTAGTCGCGGACGAATTGAATCGAGTCAAAAGTTGATGAGACTTTGAGGGATTCGAGGGGGTCGTTGCGAAAGACTAGAGTCAGGCCTTTTTGCTTGGAAAAGACCAAGATGATGAATGCCGAGAGCTTGATCTCGGAGAGGGAAATGGCGACGGGGATTGTCAGGCCGGAAGCAGCAGCCAAAGGCTGCGGCGATGTAAACAACGGTTTTGAGTCGAGATAGGTGTTGAGCGGGTTTGCCTATATAGTGGCGTTGTTAGTCTCGTCGCGTATAAAGAGGTATCCCATGCTTGCTGTGGGGATGGTATAGTATATGACATATAGGCGTATAGGTGCAATCAAACGAGTTTATGCATGAAAATGACGAAGACGCGCCAGTTGTTTGGACGAGCGCGTTGTCAAGGACAATGGAAACACGGGAGTTCGGCAGGGCGGGGTGTGGGAGCGCAGCTTGAACGTACCTGGACGCGGGTCTTGAGAGTCAGGAAGGCATCGCCAGAGTAGCACATTTTGAAGATGCCTCGGAATCTGTCCTCGGCGAGGTCGCCAATCTCCAGAATCTCGAGATCGGGAGGCACGGTACCGAGATTGAATTCGCTAACGAGAATGTCGTCAACGATGATGGGAGGTTTGGGCGACTTATTGAGCGCCTGCGTCAGGAGGTCTCTGGCGCGCTGATAGAAATCAGCGTCGGCCGTAAGAGGCGACCAGTTGAAGTTGAATGCCATGTTGAAATGGCGATTATAACCTCGCAATCATTGGGGGGGGTCGCGACCGATCGATGACTGTCGGGGGCCGGAATCGAATTGGTGCTTCGTTTTTTTTTTTCGGCGCGCAACGGGGATCCCGAAAGCTTGCTCAGTATCGGCTACGCTAAGCAAACAGGTAGTCGAATACAAGAAGCAAACGTTGGTAGCTCTGCCAATAGCTGGGCAGCGGGAAAGTGACTGATGCCAAAATTCGCCGCGGCGATAAAAGTTGGAGGGTGGTGTAAGAAGGGAGGAGGAATGAATCAATGATTCTTCGTAAGGTAGTAGAAAGGTGGAGCGAGATGGTGCTGGATGCTGGAGAAACCGAGAGGAGCAGGCAGTGTAAATTGGACCTCTGTGGTGGAAGCCTCGGGCGCAAGGCAAGGGGGGGGTTTTTTTTTTTTTCGCGCCTCTCCCTGCTTGGTGGTACCGATGTAAACACGGGTAGAGCTACCAGCGCGCGGTACGTACTGGCCAAGGGAAAGCAAGAAAATCGGCCACCTTCGGAAGCAGGGGGTCAAGCGGCTTGTACCCTGTGCATGAGCTTTTGCTGGTACACGACAAGAGAAAGCTCCGGCAGTGGAGGCACAGCGCTAACAGGCCCTTGTTCCTTTTTAACCCGTGGAGCTGAACTTTCGGCCCCTGTATTAGATATTTTGTTAGACAGGCTTGGTAATGAGGGATCTTTTTTGGCTCCTGCGAGCACTTGAGGGATGTGGAGTAGAAGAGGGGAATAAAGATATTTAAATGGTAAGAGCGCTGGATCAATAAAAGGAACGAAGATGAAAACAGAAAGACGTAAAAGACGCGTCTTGCAGCAGCAGTCGAGGATGGGCAGAGGAGCAGAATGCGCTGATTTTAGTACCGGTATTGCGTGCCTCCTGGCGTTCATCAGGTGACGAATGGAGGCGCGTGAAGACCAGTCCTATCACCGTTGCCCTTGTGACGGACTTTGCGGGGAGCAACCGCCGAGGTAAATATAGAGAAGAGTATCGACGACAGTAACACGGACTGCTGTCGATTTCTTCTTTCTTGCCTTTCTCTCTGCCTTCTTTTTACTTTTCTTCGAAACCGCGGTGCTTCCCTCAATTACCGTGCGACAGCACCACCTGTACCAAGGGCCCCGCTACACAACAAACCTGTAATAAGAAGCATGAACTGGCTTGCAATTGATGAGTCAATGATTCTGCCTTGCCGTGCTTAGTGCCACTTATTTATCACACTACTACTCCCATACTCACGCCTCTGAAAGACCTGGGAGTGATCTAGATAAGTTGCATACTTTAAGAGCAGCCAGATTTGCAGGATCATACTTCCTGCGCAAGCTATTATGACCACGGACCGATATAGGTTTGCACCTGAAAGCGTTTACGGTAACGCATTGTGCGAATAGGGCATCTCTATGAAGTGCTTCGTCACTCTGTGTAACTCGTTCATGGGCCGTTGAAAACCGCCTAGAGTCTGACCCAAGCCGGTTTCCGCTTACACCCAGTGTGCTCTGAACTTGATAGGCCCTAGGACTGTAGGTAAATTGGGCTCTGCATTTTAGAGGTGCTTTTTATATCTCGATACTTACGAGGTGTGACGTATCTACCCACGACATCAGTTACTGCATGCCTTGACTGCTCTACTAGATGAGTTCAATAGTAGATAGACGTTGCTCTTGTACCTTGGGGTTCTCAAAGTAGCGCACGACATCGACACCTAGGTAGTTTGATCATCATATGACAGTCTTGTATCGATAAAAGAGGACGACAATTAGGCTCATTTTTCTTGATGCCCAACAACTTGCGGGAATATTCAAAATTTAGGACATAATTGCCAAGCATTGTTTCAGGCGGACCCGAAATGTTACCGAGAGATCACAATATCCTGTGGAACCTGTTTATCAAAGAAATCTGCCAGGAAATCTACCTAGGTACTGTGTGAAACCTATAGAATTATTGTGCAACCTCGCACACTGGTTTCCCGAGTGTTGCTGCAGTGGAACCGAGAGGAGGCTGCCCTTTGGCCTCTCACGAATCTAGGGGTGTGACGCTATCATAGATCCGCTTCTTGGTGTGTTTGAGGCAATGAATAAAGCTTGTCATGATCATGAGCTTGGCCATGGCTTGAACCAAGGCACGCTATGTCAATGGTCGACCAGTGATGATGCTGCAACGGGTGAGCTGAGAGATGAAGGCGACCTGAAAATAGTGACGGATATAGTGATATTTTTCTTATGCCTTCTAATACTATGGTTAGTCTTTAACTGGGCTTTATTATACACCTTTGGAAGGTGACTCTGTGCTGACTGTTGGACTGTTAGCCTCTGTCAAGTGGTGGTAATTAGTCAGGGTGGGCGCCAAGAGACATGCTCTATGATGTCGTTTTTTGATGATACACAATGTTATCTATCCTCCCCGAACTCCAAAAGACATCTCAAGCATTCTATTGAGCCTTTTCTCATCTACCGTACTCTTTGCACTACGTTGCGGCGGTTCACGATCCAAGCATGTGTGACTATCAGGTTCATCTTGCAGGCGCAGTGCAGGAGTTCGCCTCTTAACTTCTCCTTTGGGCTCTGAGTATCAACAAAGCGATACTGAATTGGCGGTTGGTACCTACCTCCCGCGACGAATGGTTCATGCATGGCAGATTCCCTAAAGAACATCAAAAAAGGCTGGATAAAAGGGGTTGTACTCGGCTAGGTTGGACAAGCGAGAGGAGCTAAGCCCAGGTGTAGGTGTAGGTGTAGGTGTAGTGGTTTGAGGTGGGAATTACCTCGTCCGACTCCCGGCTGCTTTATGAAGCCTCTTGTCCAACTTGCTATTTTTTTTAAAGGACAAGATGAAGACTAAACGAGTTTAGTTTACACCTCTGAATCTAAATTGTACTATGGACTCGGAAAATAATAAATCGACAGCGTTCCCTGTCAGGATATCCCTTTCCAGACCCCTATACCTAGTAGTAACTACAGTACCCGCTTCAGTTCGTTACCTTAGTAGTTTAGTATCACAGCCATGGGCCTTCGGCTGCAACCAGCCCACTTCCCCAGAGCAGGTGAGGAGGTGTCATTAGGCTTCAGCCTCCGCTGGTCCACTGGTTTGATGATACTCTTCTATCCCCAACTACCGTATCCCCTACCACGTCACGCATCAACGATCCCGTGTCCTCTGCTTGCAATGCTCGACTCGGCTCGATAAAAGTCAACTCAAGTCGCATATCGCACGCGGCAAACGCTGATCTAGCAAGCATCGACCGACCATGCAAGCCGCCGAGCGCCCAAGCACCTGACCCATCGTCGGCGCTGGCAGCCCCAACCCACCTTGACCGCAGTGCCTTGCATCTCGCACACTTGCATACCTCCATACATGCGATACGATACTGTACACCACATGCCGCGACAGCCACATTCACACCCCCCCTGTGCTGCGCCCGAAAAAAAAAAAAATACTGCTACCTACCTACTAGTACTTCAGAGTCCATACCTGGGCAACCAGTGGCGAGGCCTCGCCCTCATCGCCCCCCCCAATCATGGCCCTGTCAGAACTGCCACTGCGTCAACCAGGGCCCGACCGGCGTTGCACGGACCTGCTCCAGCATCAGCGCCAATCCAAGGCCAACCCCCCGGCTGCACCTCCGATCGAGGCTCATCATCCGACTACGGCTGCTGCGACGACCGCCATCACAGAGCAGCCCAGACAACAGACAAACCATGTTCCCGTTGTGACCGGCAATTCCTTCCTGGCGGTAGAAGCTCCCGCACCAGCAGCATCCCCTGCTGCCAACTGCGATGCAATGTGGCAAAAGCACTTGAAGCACAAGCACCTACCTAGAGGCTCCAAGCCTGTCGCCTTTGTCGGTGAGGGCGCCGCCAACGCAGTCTTTGAGATCAAGGTTCCCCAACACGGGGCATCCGATCACAATTTCAAAGGTAACGACCGCGTTTTAAGTCCGCCACTCGATCCCCTGTAGATGAAAATGTGAAGCTGACCAGCACGACTCCTACCTAGGCCTGCTGCTCCGCGTCGCCAAGGTCCCAGCACTCGGCCAACCCACCGTGTACAACTACCTCTTTCAGCAAACCTTCTACCAGACAACCATCCGCCCGCTCCTCGGCAGCCATGCTATCCATCAAGAGCTCGTCATCCTCCGCAACTCGGGCATCATCGACGAGCTCAACCGCCTGCTCCAGGCCCTCGACCATACCCGCAAGCCCAAGTTTCGCGGCTCCTTTGTCGGCCAGTCCGACTGGGGCCTCCTCATCGAGGACATGCGGCCTGATCCTAAGGCACTGAGGCCGCGCCTGCTCGTCGAGTTCAAGCCTAAGTGGCTCTCGCAGTCGCGCAGCGCCCCGACACGCGCCGTCCGCTGCCGCCAGTGTGCCCTCGAGCTCCAGCGCATGCTCAGCCGGCCCGCCGCCGGCACCGCGGCCTTTGCCCCTGAGCGCAAGCCGTGTCCCTTGGCGTTGGTCGATGAGGAGTCGCCCACGCCCGTGGCCTCGCCTTTTCGCATCGCGCCGCACCTGGCCGACTTGCCGGAACGGGAGCGCCTCAGGACGTCCCTGCAGCATATTCTGCATGATCCGTTCCTGGAGGACCTCTGCGCCCAACAGGAGGGGCTGGACGTGACAGGCCCGCTAGATGCCAGCCCTGACGACAAGAACTTTGGCATCGCCATGACGATACGTGACTGCACATGCTTTGCGCTGATCCCCAAGGACGAAGCCGCCCGCGACGTGGGGGACATCAAAATTCGGCTCGGAGACCTGGACTGGAAGGATCCGCACACCAAGATCCAGCACTGGCGCGGCACCGAGGAGTCACTCATTGACGGTGGCTTCTACACAGCCGACTGGATCCTTTACGACGGTGTCTACTACTACCCGCCGACGCTCTGCTTGCTCGAGTGGAAGCCCAGGTCGTCGCCGACCAGCCCGCCGGACGTCATACAGCTGCAGAATACGGCAGCAGCAGCAGCAGCAGCAACAGCCACCAGCCTGCCTACGAACGGCTCTGCCGCCGAAACACGTGTGTTTAGACACCATGTGGCAGACACCGCCGCGCTTCGGGCAAAATTGCAGCCATACCACGGCGGTAGCAACGCGGCGGCGGCCGCCCTCGCGAACCCGCACCGCCCGCCGCCGTACTGGACAGCGCAACTGATGCACACGCTTGCACTTCATAGAGAGCGTGGTTAGAGGTACCAACAGCACAGGACAATTGAGAGAGACAGATGGTGCTTTTACCGGATGATACACAGGGACTTACTTTTTGCCTTTAGCTGCCTTGCATTGGACTGGAGCGTTTGACCTTTTGAGAGACAATCATCGGGAGTTATCTGCTTGGCTTTTCTTCCTTTTTTTCTTCTTCTTCTCCCGATTCCCCCTTATCTTTATTATATTTGGACTATATGTACTTTAGCTTTCTTCTTCATAATCGTAGTCATTATAGAGCAATAAACAAAGACGCTTGATTCCTCTAGAGTGCGTTTCTAGCGTAACTTCATAATAAACACAAAACTCGGAGCATGTGGCGGAGAGGTAACACAACGGCCAGCGTGAACAAGCTAAGAAAAACTCTCTCTCGCCCTCTACCAGCTGCTTAGATGCCCGTAATTGAAAAGCTCAGAACGCTACCCACCGCGAGACCAACCATCAGACACAGGCCCATGAAGCCGCCGGCCGCCGCGCGCTCGCTCTCCTCGACCCAGCTGCCCGCCGACGTCATCAGCCGCGAGCACAGCCAGCCGTTCGTAAAGCCAAACGGGGCCTGTACAAGCAGCAGGTAAAAGACGTCGCTGGGCACGGCGGCGCCGCGGCCGCCGATGTTGCAGAGCAGGTACAGCGGGAGCTGGACGACGCGGAGCGCCGCGAGTTTAAAGAGCAGCCGGGGGCGGCCGCCGTGGCCGTGGCCGGCGTTGGCGCCGAGGCCGCGGCCGGCGGAGAGCGCGGTGGACAGGCGGCCGCCAAAGTCGCCGAGGTTCCAGAAGAAGAAGGCGAGCGGGATGAATGCGTCCGGGCCGAAGATGGCGCTGCCACCGCTAGGGGCTGCGGTATCGGAGCTGGGCTCGTTGACGGAGCGAATCTTGGCCGTGAAGACGGGGAAGAACATGGTGGTGATGAAGACGAGGGCGATGCCTGAGGCCAGCCACTGGAGCTTTGCGAAGAGCACGCTCATGGGAACGGCCTTGCGAAGGGCCTCGCCATCCTCGTCGCAGGCAGCGGCGGTGATGTCGTTGTCGTCGTCGTCGTCTGCTTGGTTCAGCGCACGGTACTCTGTGTTGCGCTTGTGGTGCCGCACCAGCGGGACCATGGCCACCATGGCGACGACGGAGATTGCGACGGCTGCCAAAAAGTAGACAAATGCCGACGTCTTGCCCTCAGCGCGCGGTGCGGGGGGGGCAGCAGCGGCGCGACGCTCCCGGCGGGCCGGGAACACCAGCACGCTGACGAGCTCGGACAGCGCCGGGAGGACGCCGGCGACGCTCTGGCCCGTGACGAGCGCCTGCATGTACTCGGGGCGACCGAATCCCGCAGCAAAGGCGAGTGCGCCGTTTTGTAATAAACCGGTGGCGACGGACGTGGCGGCGACCATGGCGAGGACAAAGGCAAAGTAGGCGCGCGGGGAGGCGCCGAGGGCGACGGTCGTCGAGGTCGTGAGGAGGGCGAAGGTGGCGGCGTTGATGATCAGGCCGCAGGCGATGCGGAACGGGTACGAGGCGGCGCGCTGCAGCTTGGTGAGGGTGAGGACAACGGCGAGGCTGGTGGCCGTCGAGACGGTCATTATGGTGGGCTGGAAGTTGGCTTCGATCCACGGACTGCCCTGGAAGCGGGACTCAAAGTACGGCGCGGCGGCGAGGAACATGTTCCTGTTTTGCCATTCAAATATTAGCGACCGCCCCCCGGTGGGAATCGGGGAGGGCAGGAGGAGGACTTACCACGCCCAGAGCATGGCCATGCCCAAGAAGCCAAAGACGCCATAGTCGACCCAGGAAAATGGCGGCGCATCTGAGTCATCTTGGGAACTGGCGGTGTCGTCGTCGATGAGGATGTCGCCAGGTTGCATCTCGGTTGGCGTCTCGGGTCCCGTCAAAGGCTCGTACTCTGCCGTGTGTGACGACGACCCGCATTGAGATGACGGAACTCCTCTTTCGGAGTTTTTCATGACGTTACAGCCGGCGTCGACAGGGCAGAGCCTAGCCGGTTTCTTTCTGAGATCCGGGTCTGAGGCTGGATGCCAGATTCAGTCTGGAGCGCTCTAACCAATGTATGTTCGTCCTTCTGTACCGAGAAATGTCGTAGTGCCCGTCGATCGTCGATTTATTGCTGGTTGAGTCGGTCCTGCGCCAGTCTACGGCAATGACTGCGCTAAGAAAGGACGGCAAACGGGGCCGGGGGGAGGAAGCAGGCAGCGAGAAGCTCTGCTCCAGCAAGCTGGCTCGCCAGATAGCGATTGATGGTAGCCGGGATTGCAGGGGGGAAGATGAAGACGTGGAGATGCTGAATCCAGATGAAGCCAGTCCAGTGGCTTCCGATTACAAAGCGAGGCAAGCCCAGCCACGACACCTGGTGGCGGTGGTGACGACGGCGCTAACATTTGGAGCCCCTTGTGACCTCCACCAAGCACGGGTGCGATTGGGCGCAGGAGGCAGTTGGCAGATGGTCGCTGGAAATGGGTCAGTTACCTGACTTTTTAGGTGCCCCCTTGTGCTTCAGGAGGCATCGGGTGCACTAAGCCCAAAGAAGCAATTTTTCGTTGACCGGTGGGGTATGGCCCAGCCTAATGGCCTCCCTCATTCCCCGCTTGCAAGCTCCTCCTTGAATAATCGATAACAGCCAACCGTGAACAACTGAGACTATTATAAGGAAGTGAACCCCAACCATCCCAGCCACGCTGGCTACCTGGACCATGTCCAACAAAATTAGCCACGCTCGTATTGAGGAGCTCCGGGAAATGGTGGCCAAAATCCAGACGATGCAGAACAAAATGCAGGAGCTCTAGGACAAGATTCCCAGCGCCACGGAACAGCAACTGCGGTCGTCGTCGACTGCTGCAAGGCGAATTCGCCAGAACGCTAAACCACTGTCCCTGGAATTCAACGAGGAGATTCGAGCGCTTAATCTGATCATACAAGCCGTGATGGATACCAAGGCTAAACTTGAAGAGGAGATAGAGCTGCTCAAAGGCTGGGGTTAAAGCCGCGCGCCTTCTCCAGACGGCGGCAATGGCGAGACTGGCAGCGATGCTCCAGCCAAAAATGCAGCTGAATCCTAGGCTCTGTTGCAGCCAACGGTTCTTAGTGCTGAAGAAAATTGTCTTACTTGGTTCTTGTTCTCTTCCCTATCCTTGCAATCCTCTGTGTCAGTTACTAATTCGAGCTCCCGCGTGCACTTGCGTTGATCGTGCCCCTTAATGTCGACCAGCAGCCGACGTAAAGGGTCTTTTGCTAGGAAGGCTGAAATAACTTCGATGGCGACGGTCTGATCTTCGTTCATGTAACGATGAACAAACCAATCCACATCAGTCCAATTCTCCAGCGCATTTGCCACCAGTGGTTCTGCGTGACTTGTTCGTTGCGCCCATTCATCGTGAAGCTGGTGGTTCCCGTACATAGCCATTTCTCTCTCCTTGACAATGGCCAGGAACTGTTTCAGGCCCCTTTCGAGATAGAACCGCCACGAAACACGGCCGGCCAACTGAACTGGCCCATCCCCGGTGAGCCACAGAGGTGGTGAAAAGTACTGAAGGGGAACGACTCGGCTCCACTCGCAATCAAGAATACCAATAACGCGTGCCTCCTCGTCAAGCATGAGATTCGATAGATGAAAATCGCCATGAACCATGACAAAGGGGCCTGAATCAAGCGTTGGGTCTACCCATTGCTTCACATGCTTCGAGAATATATGGTGGTTGTAAAGTATCTCTCCTGATATGTCCTCATTCATAGCATTTGGACTTCTCATCAGTGCATTATAGCCGACGCACAGCAGCATGTTCGTATATGAAGCAGCCGACTGAAGCTTCCCATGTTCGTCATGGCATCCTTCTTGTATGTTGAAAGGGTCGAGCCCCTCGAGTTGCTGAAAGTTCATCTCGAGCGAGGCCGTTTTTTGGTTAACATGGAACTCGCCGTCCTTGCAATCGAGCCTGCCGATAGAAGAAAATCCTTGCCCCCGGAGCTGCACGTAAATATCTGCCAAAGATGTAAGGAGCGCGGTTTTTTGGTCTCCCGGGAGACTTTCTAATGCTGCGGGTCCAATATGTCTTCCATTGATGAACGATAGGATGACAAAGGTTGGCAAGGCATCAGGGCCGGCCTCGGTGCGGTGAGCGAGAACTCTTGGACAGGTGCGGCTGTATTTTGGGATAGATACCTGATTTCGATATGCAAATGAGCCGGACTGGGAAAAGCAAGTAAGGAAAGATGTACCTACTGCATGGTGGCCACCTTCGCTCTGGAGCTTCCGGTGAGGGCCGTAGGCCAAGCACGGCCGCAGCGGAACACGGAAGACACCCTTTTGCCCGTCGTCAAACTCTATTAAAAAAAAAGACATGTTATCGCTGCCCCGGACAAAATAATTGTCCTGGTTTGGGGGTTGGAAGAACGGGCGGACGATTTGCGACTTGCTGAAGCTGCACACTTTAGGATGCGGGTCTCGGAGATGTAGTTGTTTGGTGAATAAGTCACGGCGCCGAGGTACATCCCCCTCTGTCATTTCATTGCGGAAAGCTTTGGTCAAAGACATGATTGCATCACGGTTCAGTGCAACCTGAGATGCTCAGGAGGCGTGAGCATGTCTGGGCAATGTTGTAGCGATCGGCGCGTTGTTGTTCTGGATACAAAGTTATGTGGGCGGGCGCAAGGGGGGGAGGGAGCCTCACGACGCATTTACTTGCAGATATATCCGTACATGATTCATCCATTTTGCTGGTCTAGTTATCCCACTTCTCATTATTCATCTCAGACAAGCTCCTCCTCGCGCAAACCTTCGTTGTGATAAATAAATAGGAGTAAAAGGCGTTAATGATACCTATATATGGCCCTGGAAACTCGGCTACTTTCTATTTGTTGAGGCATGTGTCGATAACTTTGGAGATGGCCAGACACTCTTCGTCTCGCATGGTTGGCGTCACAATCTGGATGGTGCAGGGCATGCCCTCCGACTTGGCTGGCTTGTCTACAATTAGAATTAGCATGGAGCCAACAGACGAAAGAAAAGAATATACTCACATTCTGAAGCATACTGGCCTGGCTTCACCTCAAAAGTGTCCCCTTCCTTGGCAGTAGCCTTGCCAAATGGAATTACACATGCCGGGTACTGTGACAGGTCAGACCAACTCCCTTGCTCAACCACCCTTGGAAACACTTACATCAATCAGATTGAAGATGGTACCATACGCCGAACTTGCGAATTCGTCATGCGGGGCCGCGGTGTGCTGCATCAGCGGCCCAATTACCGCATCCAGGCTGTGCTTGGTGTACGTCGCGTGCCACACGCCCGTAATCTCCGCTCTCTTCTTGTTCAGCGCCGACAGGAGCGCCAAGCCCTCGAGGCCCTTGGCGTCCGCCAGGTACGTCCACGGCGCGAACGTGATGCCCTTGTACAGGCTCGTCCGCGAGGGGATCGGCGGCTCGCCCGCCGCCTCCACGATGCGCTGGCCCGTCGTGTCGAGTGAGAAGAGGCCAAACGCTGCCTGTATGGACTCCCAAAGCATGCACTCGGACGGTTGCAGCCGGACGACCTCGTGGCCGGCCGCGGTGAGCTGGGCGGCGGCCCGCTCGACGGCGTCGCGCACCGGCGGGTGCAGAGGCAGGGCCGGGTCGGCGGGCATGACGCCGATGCGGAGCTTGCGGCCGGCCTCGACGGTGACGGCCCGCCAGGGGATGTCGATGACGCTCGGGTCGAGCTGCCAGGGGCGGGCGTCGATGACGACCTTCATGAGCAGGCTGAGCGCATCGATGTCGTTGGCGAGCGGGCCGATGCACGACTTGATCTGGCGCATGCCTGGGTCGACGCAGATCTTCAAGTCCCCGCCGGGAATACGGCCGACGGTAGGGCGGAACCCGTAGACGCCATTACAGGCTGCTGGAAACCGAACAGACCCTGTGATAGGTGTGAATCAGCGGCGACACGGAGATGGATGGAGGAAATTGGCGCCCCGTCACTGTACATACCTCCTACATCAGTGCCCAGACCCAAAGGCGAGCCTCTGAATCCCACAATGGCGCCTTCACCACCACTAGAGCCACCAGCCGAAAGACTCGTATTGTGTGGGTTCAGTGTCCGTCCAAAAATGTTGTTGTGGCTGTCGACTGTCTGCACATGCCAACGCTTCAGCAACATCTCCTCCGCGCGTGCAGCACCGGAAAACTCACCATCATGGTCTGCGGCACGTTCGTCTTGCAGTAGATGACGGCGCCATTCTTGAGGATGATGTCAACCACGGCCGAGTTCTGCTCCGACACGTCGTCGAAGAAGCCCACCAGGCCGAGCGTCGCGCCGGCCCCCTCGACTTGCACGTTGTCCTTGACGCTGATCGGCAAGCCGTGAAGGGCACCCAGCGGCTCGCCGGCAGCCCGCCTCGCGTCCAGCTCTGCGGCCCTCTGCAAAGCCCTGTCGAAGAGGATTTCCGTGCAGCAATTGAGCTGATGTCGCTCACCGTCAGCGATGGAACCACCAACAAAGGGAGATGAGGTTGCGAAAGACTACTTACGAGTTGGTGACCGATGGCGGCGCGCTTGCAAAACGCAGTCGTCACCTCCAGCGCCGTCAGCGTCCCGCCCGCGAGCGCCTGCAGCAACGCCGACACGCTGTAGGACTCGGTGATGGCGAGCTCCTTGTCGGAGAGGATGCCGGAGTGCCGGCAGATGCCGAGCTCGAGGACGTTGTTGTCGTGCTCTTCGAGCGGCGTCTGGAGCTCGTTGATTAGCTCCGACTTGAGCCGCCAGCCCTCCGGGATGGTGTTGGTGAGTTGTTGGCGTCGCTCCGCCGCTTTAGTCTCCCAATCAGCAGCCATGATGTTTTTTGTATAAGAGTACTGTGATGAAAGTATTGCGGATAGGAGCAAGATGAATTGCAAAAAGAAGCAAGGTGTGTTGAAAAAGTCAGAAACAACGCGGTGTTGAATAGCTATAGCTAATTCCAACCTACAGCTGCAAGCGGGAACGTCTGAAGTAGTGCAGAATGCGGGGGAACCGGCGTGTCCGCGGACCCGAACGGCCGAGGCTGCGGCTGCGGCCGGGGAACCCCTTCCTGTGGGTAAATTTGCGTCGATCACGTTCATCCTATTTACTCCAGAAGTGGCACCATGGGAAAGAGACGGGAATTCAAGGTGGAACTCACGATTCGCGGACTGCCTGTGTGGTAGGTACTATTGAAGTAGTAACAGCATGGTAATTGACTCTATGTTGAGATACGCTGAGCTCTCAACTACTATCCTAGGCATGTCATCGTGTCGCTAGAAGGCTGCAGAGCAACATGCAAGGCACATTTCTTCTCATTGTGGCAGGATGGCCAGTTTCAGAATAGCTGCCGCACATAGTCCGATATCAGCCCAGTATCAGCCGCAGCCGCTTGCAGACGGATATCCTGTATCTGCGTCCGCTGAGCTAATTTGGCATCCAGAGAGTCTCATGAGCCCATCGAGCAGCGTAGGTATAGTAGCTGTGGATTATGCATGAGCCCTGAGAGGTACGCGGCCGGCGGATGAGCTTCATGGTGGGCAGCCCTGCACCGCAAAAAGCAAGGTACACACAGCACCTCAGTTCATTCATACGCCCGGGACTGCTGTGTTGCTGCAGGGCCGGAGTCTGTTCTGGCCCGGAGCGCGCCTCTAGTGGTGCTCATCGAGGCCTTGGGTTTGTTGGGCTGTTTGCGCGCGGTGGACGGCTGCCGAGGTCGTGCGCCGCCGCCAGCCTTCTAGACTGGCTTCGGCGCCGCGCTGTTGGCCGCCGCCGCCGCCACGTTCTCGGCCTTGAGCTTGGCCAGCAGCTCCTCCTTTCCCTTGAGCTCCGCGAGCACCTTGGCGCTCATCTCCTCCGTACGGGCCTGTGCGTCCTTGAGCCGCTTTATCTCCGCCGCCTCCGTCTCGCGGCTGAACGGCGCCGCAGGCCGGTTTTGTTTGGGAATCATGGCCGACCGCTCCCATACGTTGTCGCTGTCGGGTGCCGGGAGCGGCGGCGTCGGTCGGTTCTTGCCCTTGCCCTTGCCGCCGCCGGCCGTCTTCCAGCCCTTGGGCACGGCGCCGCTCGTTAGAATATTGTAAAAGACTTCGTATGGTTCGTTGAATAATTGCTCCTCGTAACTCCACGCGCGAACCTCACCATTCTTAGTGATCATTGCCTGCTTCTCCTCCTCGGTTCTTCCAAAGGGATGCAAGCGCAAATAGTGGTAGAGTGTTTGCGGTTTCTCGCCAGATTCGTTGACGTAGTATAGCTTGACGGTGATGTCGAATTCGCCCCATCCGGTTTCACTGACCATGAACGGCTTTCCGGCTTCGCCTTCAATCACTGTTGCGTAGAATTACGGGATCAGTCATCTTTATTTTTGGCCGATGAAGACGGCAGCTTATCGTGGGAGAGGGGCGGACGTACTGCGCACATGATTGGGGATAGACTCGTGCAGTTTGAACTGGACGCGTCGCAGCCAGTATGTGATATCCGTGTCTTCGAGGCCTTTGACAAAGACGGACCAGGAATGCGTATGGTTATCGGGCGCGCCGACCGGTCGGGGGTTCGTTTCGCTGAAGGGCACTGCTGTCGTGCCGACAATGAATGGGCGGCGAACCTGGGTGAGCTTGACGCGCTTGCCCAGCTGGTTGTTAGGCGCCATGTTGCTACGCGTCACAGCAGTGTCCCAAAGTTTGTGTCTATCCCAGTCGAGATGGGGTCGTGTTGACTCGCAGTAACGGTCTCGGTCTCGATCGCGCCACAATGGATGATTGATTATGCAAAGAATGGCGACGGGACGGATTTTCAGCGGGCACGGCCATCATGACTTAGCGCTGCAAGTCCGCTCAACAGGGTTTGCCTAAGGAATGAACCACGCCCCACCACAGCTCCCAGTTCGATCGCTGGCGCCGCGAAATGACTTCATGGTTTCATCTTCTGATCTGATTTCTTTCCCTTTCCAATTCAACTCCGCTCCTGTTTCTTTTTGGATTTTACCATCAGCACTGAATTGAAAACGCCCAATCCTCCCGATCAAAGTGTGTTTTTCCAGTCAATCATCACACTCAGTAGTCGATTGCGCAGGGCCGAAGCAACTACGCTGTCACGGAGCTCAAACGACCATGGTCGCAGCAGTAAAAAGGCTCGTTGTTGCCGGAGGCAACGGATTCCTTGGGTCAAGGATATGCAAGTATGCAGTGGGAAGAGGATGGGATGTTATCTCTATTAGGTACGGAATTCAGGCCTTACAATTGTATTCATTCCACTCACACATGATGTAGCCGGTCTGGACAGCCCAAATGGGACAACGTCACCTCATCAGCAGCTGCACCGAGCTGGTCGCACCAAGTGACCTGGGAAAAGGGCGACATACTCAAGCCTGCCACATATGCGCCATTCCTGCAAGGCGCCGACTACGTCGTCCACAGCATGGGCATCCTGCTGGAAGCCGACTACAAAGGTCTCGTGTCTGGCCGCGAGTCCCCCATCGCGGGCATCCAAAAGGTCTTTGCCGCCACGAAGGACCGCGGTATCAACCCGCTAGAGGTGAAACCGGGTGAGGATATCAAGCCTTCCAACCCTAGCGACCAGTTCTCCTACGAGGTCATGAACAGGGACAGCGCCGTCGCCCTGGCTCGCCACGCCGCCGACGCCAAGACCAAGGCCTTTTGCTACATCTCAGCGGCCGGCGGATCTCCCATGCTGCCCCAGCGCTACATCACAACCAAGCGGCAGGCTGAAAACACCATCGCGACCCAGTTTCCCGAGATGCGAGGCGTCTTCCCCCGTCCCCCCTTCATGTTCGACGAGTCGAGGAAGGTGACCATGGGTTTGGCGGCCATGGTCGGTGCCGGGGCGCTGTTCAACAAGGTCACCGGTGGGTACCTAAACACGTTCATGGGCGCTGCAGGTGCCAAGCCGGCCAAGGTAGAGATGGTTGCCGAAGCCGTGGTCGAGGCGCTTGCCGATGAGGAGGTCCACGGGCCGATCGAAACGGCACAGATGGAGGACCTGGCGCACAAGGCTTGGAGGAGAACGATGTTGTAGTGTCATCTGATCAAAAGTTCTATTTCCGGGAAACCCCATATGCAAACGCTAAAGCTATAATGTACAATAAATCCAACCCGTAACCCATGTATCCGAATTAATAACTCTCCCTTCTAAATCATGGTCCCGCGTTCAAAGCTGTCGCGGATATCAGACGTGTACTTGTCGTAGAAGCGCGCCAGCTTTTGGTTGAACTGCTTGTTCTTCTCGTTGATGTACGTGCTGTCCCCGTCGTCGCCATTCTTGGCCTGGCGCTCCCTTCTCTTCTTCAGGCTCTGCGCCTCGGCCCTGTTGATGTCGGCCACAAGGCGGTCCACCGCCGCCTTGTCGGGCTTGTTCTGCGCAAACGACGTCGAGTCGGCCGTCGCGTAGAACGTCCCGTCCTTGTCCACGGCCAGCATCTCGCCGTCCTCCGTCTCGACAATCTCCAGGCTGCCCGCCGCGGCGGCCTTCTCGATCGCCGCCAACTTCTGCTTCGTGTACGCCTCGAGGTCGACGTCGAGGTTCTTGAGCTGGCGCTTGTAGACATTGTTGCTCTCGGCCTGGTAGTCCTGGAAGGCGTTGTTGTCGCGGTGCGCGGCCTTCTTCTTCAGCCGCTTATCCCAGCGCTCGCTCTCGTCGACGGTCCAGTCCCACGCGCGCTTGCGCTCAAAGTCCTCGCCCGCGTCCTCGGCGTCGGCCTTGAGCAGCTTGTACGCCGCGATGTCGTGCCGCCGCCGCAGGGCCGTGAGCTGGGCCGGGTCCTCAGCCAGGCGCTGCGACTCGCGCGTGACTTCTTTCATGTTGGTTTCGGAGGAGCTTTTCGCGCGGGCCTGGAGCGCCTTGAAGCGCACCAAGCGATCTTGCGTCTTGGAGGCAGCATCAGAAGTGGATGGTGCTTCCTTGTCCTTTTCGGTGGTTTCTGGCACTGGTGAAGGGGCTTTTTCCTTGGACTGTTCTGTGGTTGCGTCGGGCGCAGCGGCTTGAGCTTCCTCGGCAGCGTCTGCCCTGGTTCTTCTCTTGTTTGCGGGCGGCGACATTAAGATGGGAGTCGAGGTATGTGCTGTACGTGTCGAATCAGGTCGGAGGTATGAGATGGTTAGAGGTGCACGATCTTTTCAGTGGTGCTGAGAGGCAGAATGCGGCGCAGATGTAGTTATGGGCTCGAGAGTGCCTGCATCGACTGGGATGGCACCACCAAACTTTCAGTGACCATCGGAACAACAGTGGCTGCGGTTCCGAGAAAATTGGCCTGCGAATCCCACAGCGCTGATTAGCGGCCTGACAGCGCGCCCAGCTCCCCGAGCGATGCGCTAGATTGCCAAAATACGGGGGTGGACCTTCGCCAGATCCCGCTGGAGTCCGCTGGAGAACAGCTTGCCCGTGCCGTGACTTGTCTGTCCCGCTTTCCCCAGACTGTTCAGACGAAACTGCGTTTGCACAGTACGATCGAGATACTGTGGTAGCGGTAAAGGGACTCCCCCAGAGGCTTTCAGGCGCATATTGGGAGCGCCATACCAAGTTGCCGAATCCATTTTAAGATCTCTCTGCCTTGCCAGACCCCCCACGATGAGCCTGATCGTCCAGCGGGCGTGGCGACCCACGACCACGAGACCTCATCGTGTCGCGACGCAGCGGCGCTTCAAGATGTTTGAGCGCAGAGTAGACAAGAACAACAATGTCTACTACACACTCTCCAAGCGCCGGCCTGTCCAGGATCCAAACGTGGCTCCAAGTAGCCAGAAATTCTTCGAGATGCCCAACCTGTTACTGGACCTCGATGCGGAGGGAACCCGCAACGTGCGCACCTTCGACGACAAGGATGAGGAGCAGCAAGTGGCCATATGGCGCGTCAATCCTAAACGCGAACAAGTCAAATTGAAGCTTGCCGACTTGGAGAGCCAGCTGATCGAGTCGCGCAAGCGAGCGCAAGACGTCGCTGCCAGCCCGGCCAATATATGGCGGCTGAGCTCGCACGATCTCCTGGCTGCCGCGCTCTACGGGCCACCCCGCAGTGACAGCGGTGCTGTCACAGAGACTCCATGCCCAGACACCCTCGAAGGCTCGCACCTAGTTGATGCCTTGCGTCGAGAAAACGGCATTCCGGGTCATGTGAGTGCCTCGGACGCTCTGCTGCTGGAATGGATGCTCTCGCGCCGCTACAGCACCGACAGCACAAAGAGCAAAAACAACGAGCCTTTACTCAACGCCTTTGGCCTTGTGGAGTCTCTGCAATCACAGACCTCGATTGTCGGGATACGGCGGCTACTGCGCAACAACCTGTGGTCTTTCACAAGCATCAAGGCCTACTTTGGCCCTTCCAAGAAGGAGCACGGCGCTGCGGCTGATGTTGCCAGTGAGATTCGAAGACGGTGTATCGATATACTGGGCTTGGGAAAGATACAAAAAAACCAGGCCTTGAACTGCCTCGCGCTGGTTGGCGGCCTGTTGGAGAAGACGTCGAAGGGGGGGATGGAACCTGATCAGCGCTTGCTGGGTCTGGCCCTGAGAGTATCCCCTTGGAGCGGTTCTCTTGTCGTTTTATCTGAATGGATTCGCCATATCCACACAACCATATCATGGGAAGAATGCTCCGAGATTGTTGAGGATGCGGCAGCATGCATCCAAAGTTGCTCCATGTTGCTAGTGACGCAGCCAGAGACAATTGCCGACCGTCAGCTGCTGCTGCAACTTTTGACCGGCCTCGACGAATATGAGAAGATTTCTGCCGAATCCCTAAGGTCGATTATTTTGAGCTGCTTGAGAGGAAAGGGCTCCAAGAGCGTAGCAAGCCAAGTATGCGGCGCGTATGCGAAGCTTCTCGGCGAACTAGGAGCTGTACGAACATTGCTCAAAGAATCAGAGAGCAAAGACGGGGCTCTTCGTGAAGCTTGCATTGCTGTCTTAAAGGGTACGCTGAAGTACAGCGAGACCTTGAAAACTCAGGGCGTCAAGATGCTGTCGATGGAAGAGTGTGTTAGAATGGATTATCACGATATAACGGGGTAGAGGGCCACCTTTGAATTTATTGTACATTGTCTTAGGCTACTTCAGATACAAGCTCCTTATTGAATGTATTTGTGCCGTCACAATGAAGATGGCTTACGGTTACGCATCTCTAGTGTTTTAATGGGACATAGTGCGCGCGAAGGGCTCAGACTTAGGTGCACAAGATCAACGCAGTCAATCGCTTGAATGACAAAATATTGAGAAGAATTTTGGGGAGAAGCTCTGGGCTTCCAACGGCAAGTGTGGCTCTGAAAAGTTCCGTCTTTCTTGCCGCGCCTCAGATACCTGTCCTGCCTTCTTGCTGCCTTGCTGCCCTCCGGTTGCCTTTGTGCAACAGAGCTTCACGAACGTAAAAAACACACCGACAACCATTTTCCCACCATTTAGGTCTTCTCCATTTGCTCACCTCACACCAAGCAAACTATTTGATACCCCCCGAATAAAAGTGTTCTGAATAACGTTTAGGATGTGTCCAGCAGACACACCCAGGGCCGCGGAGGCGGCGGACGACAGCAACGGCCCGCCGTCACCAGAGTCCCAATACACCGCTTACAATACAAAGAGCGAGACCGTCATCGCCGTTGAGGAATTTTTCATGGCTTCCACTGAGTCGATCAGATCACCAGAAGAAGGTATTGAGAGGCAGATTGAGCTGGACGAGGGCCTCAAGGTCAAGGACGAGCGTCAAGACGAGTCCTTCACAAGTCAGAGTTCCGCTGGCTTGGAAGACAAACAGAATGTCAGCTTCAAGAGAGAAGCAACCGAAAGTTCCGACGCCCAGGTCTCCTTCGAGTCCCGGTCGAGCGACACTCAGTACCAGCAACAATGGCGACGTAGCGCAGCGCCGTCACCGGGCTCTTCGGTCGCCGCCGCCGCCGCCGCCGCCGCTACCGCCGTCCGCGACTACAAGCTCATTGACGACCTGGACGTCCTAGACATTCTCGACAACTACCCATTGATAACTACAGTGTGGGCCACCACCGTTCCCTGCCGGTGCGGTACGTACGAGTTCGTCGGCTTGTGCGGGCATGTCGCCCGCACCGAGGAGTACAAGTGCCGCGAGACTGTCGCGCAGGACTCCGGCGAAGTCGTTTTTTGCAACCTCCCAGTACCGCGTCACATCGCCGACGCCTACGTTCTCAACCGGGCTTGCCCGAGCTGCCTCAAGCTCGAAGACGCCGACTTGCGATTTCCCGCACCCGTCCGCAAGAAATCCTACCCTGGCCCTCACGCCGGCGTGTTCGAGCCGTGAAGAAAGAATGCTTGGCCGGGCACCAGCGGGATGAAGGCGCATTGTATTGATGAGGCAATTTGTTGTTGCAGATGCAGGCTGTTCTAGCGGTGGCCAGGAAGGGAATGTAGTCACATGTGCGGCTCGCAACGGTTGATGATGAGGCCCCTCGAGAACGTTACATAGGCGCACACCCCGTCGGCTTACAGCAGGTGTATGAGCGATATTGCCTTCTAGTTTGGCGGGATTTTCTCTATTCGGCTCTTTCGGGTGGCTTGATGGATTATTTTTGGCATGGAACTTTTGCAGCCCGATCTTCTGGTTTCATTGCTTGTGACCCTCGTCAGGAAAAGGAGGCTGTGTTTATGAAGTGACGCAGCGGGTGAGAATTGTCGCATGGAAATTCGGGGTCGAGGCAAGCCTGGAATCTCGGATCTGCAGAGAGTAAGAGTCACTAGTTATTACCAAGAATTCCTTTTTTACGTCAAGGCTTCCCTTTCGCAATGAAAAGTGAAATGAGACACGTAAAATGAGGTTACTACTTGCCGCGGCTCACCGTTTTGCTACAGAGCCCATCGTCAATGTAGCATAAACTATTAGCGGAGCAGCAATCCGCAAAAAATATAACGTAATTGAACTCGTGGTCGGCAAGTCCCGACCTCTGTTGCGCTTTGCAATCGTGCGCGAGATGTCCAGGTTTGACATCTTGGCATATTGAAACGTCCGGGCGTCGTTCGACAAAACGCGAACCGTGATAGATTCAAAGCGAAATGGGCAGAGGCCCCAGATAAAGCAACTCTATATTTGAAGAGATTTCACACTCTGTGCCTTTTTTCTGGCCGTCAATGGACACCAACACATGTCAAGGTCAACTGCTTGGCAGGCCGGAGATCGGCCCAGTCGGCCGCCGATCCGGGTGCCAGACCGCCAGAATGTCACGGATCGCGTCTTTTCAGATTTGCGTGCATTTGATCAGGCTGCATGTTCTCCGTTTCCAGGAGATTGGGTTTTTTTCGAAAAGTTTGTTTGTTTTTGATCCCTAGTTAGCTGAAGAACTGAAGCCTCGCGTTACAGCCCCGCAGCCAATCAGCCACTGTGTGGTCTTCCTGCTTCTTCTATTCACGTAGAAGGGATCAACGGAACAACTTTGGGTCGAGCCTATTCGGCTGAGGCAATTCGGCCCATCTAGTGGAAGCCTGATGAAAACCCCATAACCGTGAGTTGATAACCGTCATCGATACGAAATCCTCCAGTAGAGCGGCATGGCAAGACATATGGATAGCAGCATGCTCTGCTTTATTATTTCACGCGTCATTTGAAAACTGAAATAATGTCAATACGTAAAGATCATCGCACCAAGTTACAGGTTCATAGTCGACCAAGCTGGAATGTAGAATTCAAAACCAGTGCTACTCTGAAAACAAACATCCGAAAGAGGCGTCTACGTGGCGGCCGACGAGAAGGATTGAATGAGTCCAAAAATAGCCCAAGGAGATTTTCTCGAGAGCAGCCAAGGAACCGTTTACCTAGCCAGATAAGGTACTATCCTGTATCCCATAGCCTTGCTTTTGTTTTCGTGTCTGTTATTTGGGTTTTTGTGGGAAAATGTGCCGCGGCTAGTATTAAAAAAGTCAAACCGTCAAGTGGTATAGGCCGGTTTGGGCACGACAACCCTATTCCCCCTTCGCGCTTGGCATTTTCGACAAAATTGCATGAAATCGTCATTCTGGCATGTAGCTTGCTTCGCGCTGCAGTCGATTTGTGCACCCGAGAAAATTTTTCGTCGCCACGCGTTATGACTTGTGATTAGCACCCGATGCCTCGACTTGTCATGTCCACTTGTGGGCTCCAAGGAAGGGAATCGCTGGCGGCAACGTGCATCGTGGACTGGCTATTGTAATGCACGCCCCGTTTCCACAGGCATCGCCTTGTGGGCGTTGGCATCAGAGCGGCCTCAGGTGAATCTTGACGGCAACACGCGGGAGGAGCAGGTGGGCTTTCGATGAAATCTTGGTTGAAAATTTTCAAACGCCAGTCGATGCCGGCATCTTGCACGGGGCGAGGAACTCCGTCACGAAACGGCAGTTATTCAAATCGGTGCCTCGTGTACGGCACGCTGCGCTCCATCGTCCGTACTTGGCGGGCTTGTCAGTCTCGGGTTTCCATTAAACCAACGTTGAGCATCCGAGTAATTGCAAAAGGTCCTCCGGAATCCATATTGGGGAACTATTTGTCAGGTCATCGGTGTGTTCTCGCTTTGAGGGCTATCAGGATACCGCCTGTAATGAAGTTGGCGTAAGGCTCGGGCATTCTCAGCTTACTGATACCAGCTCGACAGCCCGTGGTAGCGCCAACGCCGTTGGACAATCAGGTCCCTTCATCTTTATGAGGCTGTTGTCTGTGAGATTTTGGATCAAGCTGGTAGTTGCATTGCCCCTCCACCTGTTCAAGACCTCCCATGATATGATATTGTGCATGGCTTCCGTCAGCAGGTCTGACGGCAGCCCCAGCTTGAAAATTGCCGACTTATAGCCACAGCTGATACTATTCGTAGACGACGCAGCTAATGATGATGAGAACAGAGTTCCACCATGTGGAGAGCGAGTTGGTTCCCAGCTGAGAGCATGGTGTTGCACAACCTGGTTGACCTGTTCCAGCCGACCCGGATGGCTGACCACTTACTCGCCTGTAGTAGTTAATAATGGAGCGAGCAAATTGTGAGCCAGGCCCGAATCCCACTCAAGCATGGAAAGCAAGTATTCGGCTCTATTAAATAATGCAAATGCAACCCCTCGCGCCAACGAGAATGGGCCGGGTAGCTTCAGGCACATCGAAAGCCCGTGGCGTGGCAGCATCGGCTGCGGGCCGTTAGCTAAGAATGTCCCCGTTTACACCACTTGCTCAGATAATGGCACTATTGTGCTCTTACTTGCCTTCCATAACGCGATTGGATATCCACAAAGGCGATGTTTTCTCGCCATCAATCCAGGAATAACGCAAGTGTTGCAAAGAGTCGGTAAAGGCGCAGCTCGTGGGGTTCAGGGGTTCCGCGACGGCAAACCAGTGCCTCAGCCCACTCACATAGAACCTGGTACTGATACTTTTACCGACACGGGAATCGGAAGCTGAGACCGTTCGCCAACAGCGCCGAGCCAGCTGCTGGACACATTCCGTACGTCCATGGTGACCTCACCACTGGCGTATTAGTGCCCGTGACGGGTTAGTTACCAGTAGCTTAAGCGAGGGCCGTGTGTGGGCTTTGCTGCGCGAGAACGCCATCGTGGCCCATCTTGCCTCTTTTCCATCTTGCCTCTTTTCAGCCAGTGTCACCTGGACCTTCGAATTGAACTTGGCTTGCTTGGGATGCGGGGGTTCTATCCCTGGTCAGCCCAGCCCAATACCTGCGGATCCCCCGCCAACATTGCATTTTAGCAAGCCCCTTCAATCATGTAGGTAACTAATAGATGTTCCTGGCAGTTGGAGAACAGTACCAGTATGCAGGAGATTCGGTATGATGTTGACTTGTTCATTGATGATTCGCTTCCGGCCTGAGAAACTGTGCCTGGCGTATTCGTACAGTCGTCATTGGATTTGTGCAGGCATCTTCCAGGGGCCAAGTGCCGTAATGGCTGGGCGAGTGGTGTCGCAAGGCCAATCACGCTGGCCTATGTTCGGGAAACCCTTTGAACAAGCAAATCCGAGCATGGTGTGCGACGCTTCTCCCTTCGTTTCTGCCGGGTTACTGGAAATGGTGTAGCCAACCCTATCCCGCGTGAACCCTGGCTGCATTAGGGCGGTCGAGGATAGAGCCAGCCCGAGTATCAACACGGCATGCTTCGACAGTAGGGTAGCAGTGCTGTCGCACCAGATGGCACATCGCTAGCCTATTCAATCCAGAGTTTCAGCGCACTGCCGTTGTGGTCAGGGGCCGCCACTCTTGGGAGTAGTCATCGCGGCCAAAGCCAGCGGAAAGAACCGTATCATGGTCTGGCAGGAATGACCTCCTGCTGGGGTGATGTATAAAAAAACAGGCCGAAGTGGACGGCATCTCGCAGCGCAAGGGGCTTATCCCGATAGCGAGCGATGCTTGGGGTAGATAACGCTGGTCGTTTGCGTGCGGGCTTATCATGGTTGGCGCGATGGCCGGAGTATATCGCGTGGCTGGTTGTAGTACAATCGGACTAGATAGACACTTCAAGATAGAGAATGGTAGCTTTGGTTACCATCGATATCGGGTTGCCATTCTTGTGCGGGCATACCAATGTAGAAGGAAAGTTAAAGAATGTGGTTTTGCCCGTCACCAGCTGTCAACAACTCGCAGCTGGCAATTGCTGCAACAAACACCCCTCACTCTCAACTCCCTGCTCTATGCACAGACATCCCATGATACAACATCGTCATCGGCATTCGCCATAATACCATTTTCATACCTGCTCAAAATATCTTCTTTACCAAAGTCCAGCTGATCCATTTTCTTGGCTTCGCTAGTTTCATCAGAAATTGTCGCTGCTCAACCCACCCCGGAATTTGGCCAACCGAGGAATAGCACATCATACCCCCGCGTCTTGCATCAACAGAAGCGCCGTGTCCATCTAGTCTGGGCTGCTTCCACGACAGCTGCGAGAGTTTCATCGATAGCTGCAAAGGGTACCACCTAGCCCATTTGTTTGAGAGCCTGCAACCCTCGAAATCCCCACCATAGCTGCAAGACTCCGTTTCGCCGTGCGGGGAGCTCAATAGAGCTTGCAGTCGATATCCTTGCTGTGAGTGGGCAGCGAAATGCAGACATCCCGAGTCTCCCAAGACAGCTTGACTAATAATGAGCCCAAACTAACAGATCAGGGTCGACACGTTCACCCCTTGAGCCGTCCATACCATACCATACCAGCCATCTCGCTCGGCCGGCCAAGCTCGCAAGACGACACACTGGACCGAGACGGACCACAGGCGTCACGCCCTGGCTCTGCTGCTCCACCAGACAGCAATAAACAAGAGACGGACGGACACAGAGGTCACTGGCTGGCTATCCAGGTTATCCAGGCCGAACACACAAGGACCTTGTGGGCTGGCAGCTCGGACACAGCGCCGTAGTGGCACCAGCAGCGCACAACACTCCGGCCACTGGGTAGACACCACCGGGGTGCAATCCACTTTAATAGTTGGTTCAACAAAAGGCAAAGACTGTGCGTGTGTTGCAATTATTGGCACATTGGCGCAAGTGTGCCTGTTTCGCAGCCTGTCAAAAGCCGTCAACCAGGGCCAGCGAGGCACCCGCTTCTGGTACCAAGAAACGCCGCTACGTCCCACCCAACGCTAGGGGCTTTTGAGAGAAAAAAAACGACATTTTTATGCCCTTTGCAGGCGCAGCAAGTCTCCACTTGTAGCCGATTTGCAAAGTCATCCAGTCAATCACGACACCGGGTCGAGTCACACGTCAGGCTTGCGCAAGTCCAAGGGGGCGTGTGTCGTGTCTCTTGTTCGCTGCTGGCTAAAGTCAAGGGCAGCTGCAAGAAAATTTATTCAAGGGAAGCCGGGAAAATCTATACAATATACCCCTGCCCGTCACCAGGCTGAAGAGACATCGTCCGTTTCTTTCCTTCATAATCCCCATTCCCTCCCATCCCGGACGGCAGCCTCTCTCTCACTTGTTACACACACGCATAAGTACAAGTTGCCCAGCAAACTCTCAACCCTGTCTTGCCTTCGACTCGCCGATTCGGAGAGCCAGATCCACCAACTGCTGACTACGAGCAAGATTAGTCACTTGCTCACGCATATTTTTTTTAACTTCTCGACCAACTTGGAGACTGGGCTCTGTGCGTGGACTACCGATCTCCGGTCCACTTGTGTACTCCGTCAGCGTACGGGCCAAGCGGAACACCGAGCTACAGTCGCATTGCGACAAGACAGGACAAAAAGAGTCACATCGGTAATAAAGCCGGGCCTCCTACCATTGTCTTCTCGTCTTTCCCTTGCATCTCCTTTCACGCTTCTCCAAATTGCATGCAGCCTGCATAACAATTGCGCGCCCAACAATCGACATCATCCGATTAATGGTCTTGTTCCTGTACTTCGGCCCAATCTCTTTGCCCGACGTCGACGTTAGACTCGGCAACCTCAACGGCGGTGACTAGCAGCACCACTCAACACGCGTTCAGTTAATTCTCTATCCGGTCTTGGATCCGTCTGTTTTTCTTCCAACCCTACCGTACCGGGGCCTTGCAGCTCCTGCAAATCTCTCCTCTACACCAATTCACCACCCTCCTTCAACAACACGGCCATGCCTCATCACCAGAGACGCAAGTCCGGTCACGGCCACGGCGGTGCCACCGACACCCGCAAGTCCGACTCCTCGAGACAGGTCCGTCCTACACTGTCACGCCGATACACTCCCACAACGATACAACGCTCGTCGAGGACTCCGCGTTACGAATCGTCTTCAGAAGACGAAAGCTTCCCACAATTCTGGTACGTTTTCTATCATCAATGCCGCGAGCCGTCTGGCGTATCCCGTTTCACTCCACCCAATCCCCGCTAACGTCATCTCTACAGCATGTCTTGCGAGAAGCAATTCCTCCCTGCCAGTGACAACTTTCTCTACTGCTCTGAAAGGTGAGTCAATCCGACGCTAATGTGCAGTCTTATATCGCCATGTTTGCACCTGCTAATGCGCCGAGTATAGCTGCCGCCGATCCGACCAATCCTCCTCGTACTCTGCATCGTACAGCTCTTACAACGGTGCCAACGATTACAGCCTGGCTCGCCGCCAATCATACTACGCTTCCGACTCCGAGCCCAAGGACATCATCCCCCAGGCTTCACCATCGAGGCCCGGATCCATGCTTTTTGCGACGTCACCTCCCGCGACTCCCGGCACATACTACGGATCCAAGCCGGAGTCCGCCCTCTCCGCACTCCGTTCGCTGACGGCGATCCACCCGCCCAGCCCACCTTCACCAACGGGAAGCACGGGCGGATTCTGGCCCTTTGGAAAGAGCGCCGCCACAAGCCCCAGCTCGTCCTATGCCCGCCAGCACATGCTCAGCATGGAAGGCGGCTACCCCTACCACAGCTCAATCGACCGCCCGCTTCCGTCGAGGTCGTCCCGCCGCAAGAGCAGCGAGCTCGTTACTCCCATAGTTGGCCGATGAGCGAGCAAGCTGCTACAACGCGGCGTGCGATCTTGAGAGAAAAAAAAGGGGGTGGCCGATTACCAGCAGCAGCGGACGAGCTGGACAGCATTCACATTGCTCTTAATCTTTCATTCCAACATGGACTACGCATTTTACGAAGCATTCGACGAACATATTTCAACATCTCTTCTTTACTTGTTTTTTTTTTTGCTGAAACTAGCGTTTCTTGGATATTGTACACTTTTCGCTCCTGTTTGTTGGGGAGGTTATTCTGTACACGCAGTTGGGAAACCACGACGGAAACTGGAGTCAAAAAACATTGGGAGGTGAAGGAATCTTCATCAAAACATGAAGGCGTTTTTATTACATTATACATGATTTTATACTTATACAGAGATACACCAAACTTGTTGACATTGCATGGAAGTGGAACAGGGGGCCTCGTCTGTTCCGACTCTGCTTGAGTCGGACAGTCGAGAGCAAACGTGGCGTGGTTGAGGCGATTTTGGTAGTTTCAAGGGAACAAGGATGACGTTTTGGGGTCTCGGAAGTCGTTCTGTCTATACGGTGATACAAATTCACTTCTCTGATACCAACCGTATGCCAAAGAATGCTATCTTCATACGTCCTGCTTAAAGTGAAGGCGTCTTAGAAAGAAGTGGTGAAAGGATGCTTGATTTGATCGACGTAGATGTGTGTATGTACCAAGTTTGGGGAATGCCCATGCGAATGCAAAGCCGTTACGAAGGGCAAAAGAAACAAAAAAGACATCGGGACTGAGAAGAGGAAGAAGAAGAGGTGGTGAAAATCAGCTCGCAGGAAAATGCCATACATGAAGAAAAACAAGAAAGAAAAAAACTCGCCACCCTTTTCGCGCCAACGTCCTGTCCTCCTCTTTTTTGGTAGTCCCACCCGTAGCAAAGAATGAAGATGTAGAAAACAGCCCAAATCAGTCTCCCTCCCTCTCTCTCTCTCTCTCTCCTCTTTTTTCCTTCGAAGCAGAGAGAAGCACAGTTCGAGAAACAGATAGAAAATACTACAGAAATGCAAAATTCTGCACGCCCCCAAACACACGTACGAAGCTGCGGCTATTGCGGACGTGAGCTCGCCATCTCGCCGTACCGTCCACGGTTCTTGGTGGTGTCGTATGCCTGCAGCACGCGGGTCTGGCTCTCGTCGGCCTGGGAGAAGGCGTAGCCGCGCTGCTTCCGCATGCGCTGGACCTGGCGGACCTTGCGGATGGCCTTTTGGAACTGCTCCATTCTGTATTTTCACGCGCGCGGTTAGCAAGGGAAAGGAAACAATCATTGAGGGTTGACAGGGGAGGGGCGGCAACGAACCTGGGGCGGTAATCTTGAATGTTGTACTTTTGAATCTCTTGGATATGGTGGTAGGTCTGGGGGCGGTACATGCGCTTGGCGTACTTCCAGGTGAAGTCGCGCAGCAGGCAGATGCCGGCGAGGGCGACCGTCTGCAGCCAGAAAATCGGGCTGCTATACAGACGGGGCACGACGCCGTGGTACTCGGCCGAGATGGGGATCATGGGCGCAACGGTGCCGTACGCGGCGATGAAGACGTACCAGACAGCCATGCTGCCCGGGATGGCCATGACGTGATACTTTGTCCAGTTGTTGGTGACGAGCGCGGCCTTGCCGAGGACCGTCAGCAGAACGGCACCGTAGAGCGCCGTGCCCCAGACCCAGTGGCCCGCCGTCTTGCCGTCGCCCTGGATCAGGTCCCCGTACCAGATGAGCTCCGCGAAGATGTACAGCACGATCGAGTGGTAGACGGCATTGGCGATCCACTGCCAAAAGACCTTGATCTTGAACGACAGGTTCTGCTGGCCCATGGTGTACAGCTGGGGGTAGCGGTCGAGCAGCCGCGCCGAGATGAACTGGTCGAGGATGCCGATGGCGAGCGGGGGAAAGACGGTGTAGAAGACGTTGTAAAACGACAGCGTCCACGACTCGTAGATGACCTGTCCGGAGAAGACGTTTTGGAAAGCGTACCAGAACTGCGTCAGATACAGAGTGATATTCTTGTAAAAGGAAAACAGAATGGTCTTGCTGATGCGCTGGTAGCTCCACGCGCCGTGCACGAGCAGCAGCTTGCGCAGGTAGCGGAACTGCGCAATCGCCACGTCGGCACTGCGCGCCGCCTGCAAGCCCTCGACGCCGCTGATGCCCACGCCGATGTGCGCCGCCTGGATCATGGAGACGTCGTTGGCTCCGTCGCCGATGGCGAGCAGGATCGAGCTGCGCTGATACTTCTTGACGAGCTTCACCACCAGCGCCTTCTGCAGCGGCGACACGCGGCAGCAAATCACCGCCTTGCACATGATGGCCAGCTTGAGGAACAGCTGCTCCAGGTCACGCTCAAGCGCAAACGTCAGCGACTTGCCATCAATGACGAGCGCCAGCGTCTCCATCTCAATCGTCCCGTCGCCTTGTGTGCGGATCGCGTCGATTTTCTTCTGTAGGTTGTCCCGGGTCGCCTCAGCAGACTCCTCATTGACAATCAGGAGCATCATGTCTTCGCTGAGCAGCTTGCAGCTCATGCCAATGTTGATGGCGGTCTCCTGCCGATCGCCGGTAAGGACCCAGACCTTGATGTTGGCCTCTTGGAGCGTGTGGATGGTCTCAGGAACACCGTCCTGGAGACGATCCTCAATGGCAGTCGCACCGAGCAGGGTAAAGTCGTGCTCAATGATTTCTGCAGCCTTGTCCAGCTCGTCGGCTCGGTTGCCACCGACGGTGGTAGCCGCCGTCTCGAAGATGCGTTGCCACTCTTGGAATTCCTGCTCCGGAACTTCACGCATGGCCAAGCAGAGTGTTCGAAGACCTTCAGAGGCGTACTCCTCCAGGTGGCGCAAGGTGGCATCCACATGCGGATTTTGGTCGTGTAGGCGTTCCAGGATGACGGTATCGGCACCCTTGCAGTAGCAGCGAATTTTTCCATCTGGGCAGCGGTAAATCGTCGACATTCTTTTACGGGTAGAGTTGAACTCGCAGACGGCCAAGAGCTCGTATTCTAGCTCCTGTCCGCCAACTTCAATGATGACCGCTCTGGGTTTACGAGCAAAGAATGTATATCCAAGCGTCTTTGCACCGTCAACCAGCGCACCCTCATCGGGCGAAGCTGCCTGGTACTTGATTCTGCCTTTCTCGTCCACCTCCGGAATGACAGTGTGGCAGGTAGCCAAGAGCGCGAGGAAATGATCAATTGCCTGCGCGGTGTAGTGGCCCTCTGCCAGATTGGATCTGAGCCGCTTAAAGTCGTGAATACCAGTTTCGATGTCATCCGGTGAGGTTGCACGTCGGTCCTCCGGAGCATCGTCCGAGTACATGATGCCACCAATAGAGCACTGCTTGAACTCCATCATGTTGCAAGTCAGAGTGCCAGTCTTGTCAGAAAAGACATACTCCACCATGCCCAGTTCCTCGACCAAGCTGGACGTTCGGCAAGTGGCGGGGGTATCCGTCTTGTCGTAGTACATATCCAGATCGTCGTTGATGAGGATAGCGTGCCAGTACTTTACCAGCTCAACAGTGACGAAGAGCGAGATGGGGACGAGGGCAGAGAACAAGACCCAGTACGTCACCATGTCCTTGAAGAAGGTCTTGAGGGCAATACCGACACCAGAAATCTTGTCTAAATACAGATAGCCATAGTTGTGGCCACTGACCTGGCGCGTAACCAAATCACCAACGGTACAAGCAGCGCTGAGGACAAGAAGCATGCCGACAAGGATCAGCACAAGAGAGTTGACCTGTCGCTCAACTTTGGTTCGCTTGATGGGTGCAGCCGTAGCATTGCGCATCAGCTTGGTCTCGTGGCCGGTAAACACCACAACACCGTGGATCCAAGGTGTGTTTCGTAAGGTAGCGCCACGAAGGACGAGTTGCTCCGGGTTCAAAGCAAGCTCACGCTCGCCACCGCCGGCTTGCATAGTTAGCGTAGCCTCGTACGTGTACAAACTGCTGTTTGGCTGTTCGGACTTGATGCGGCCCGTCAGACGACTCAACTCGCTAGGGGAAACCATAGTTGACGTCTCGGGAAGCGCCTGCTTGATTTTCAGATTGGTCTCGCCATCGAGGTTTGCAGTTTCAATGTAGCAGAGACCTTCAGGCTCCGAACTAGCCAAGAGAACGAGATCCGCAGGAAAGGGCTCTTCCGATTCGACTCGGACGACGTCGCCGACTGCCACGTTGATCCATTTCGTTTCCGTGAAGCTGGAGCCCCGCAGGACTTGTGCTTTCGAAGTATTCAGGGCATTGTCTGCCTGTTTTCTTCGGTAGTCCTCCACCAATTCTTTACCAGCAGAGATCAACAGCACAATGAGTAGGGGGGCGATGGTCGTGTACCGATTCGTGGGCGAAAGACCGGGAATTTGTTGGAGCGCCGCCGTGAACAGGAAGAAGACGTTGGCGACTTTGGAGAATTGTTCAAAGAGAAATTTTGGCAAAAAGGTTGCAAAGTTGTATTTGGCGGTGGAGATGTGATTGTCGACATACTTGTTCTCGGCATTAGCGGGGGGATTGTTGAGGTAGATGATTCTAGGGCCTAGGGTCGAAGGATCTGGTTTGCGGGAGCCGAAGCCGAATTTGAAGTTCCCTAGATCGAACCCGCCACCTCCGCTGCTGCCGCCGCCTTGTTTTTGCTGGGGAGGTGGTGACACACCGCCGCCCCTGTCGTGGCCTCCCTCGGTCAGCGGGAGATCCATCTCCGAGTAGCCCTGGCCGCGGCTCATTCGGTTTCGGAAGCGCCCCAGAAAGCCTCCGCCGAGGCCGAGGACGCTGTTTCGTTTACGCGCGGCTTGCAGGCCGGCACTCGTAGAGCCGCGCATGGTCGAGGCGCCATCGTTCTGGTAGTACGAGGCGCGGTCGGCGGGGTAGTCGTCCAAGTCGTCAGCGTAACGCTGGTAGTTGCCCAGCTCGGAGGTCTGGCTGTATTGGCGGTTCATGTAGGGGCCGGCGGCGTCGAGGTCGGAGGGGTGTTGTTGCCCGGTGCCAGCACCGGGCTGGTGACGGTTCGGGGAGCTGCCGGTGGCGCCGACAAAGTCATCGTAGGACACTGAGGGGCGGCCCTCCTGGGCCTGGTTGTAATTCCTCAGGAGGTCGTCGTCGTTGAGCGCGGATCGCTGGCCCTGGCTGTAGACGGGCTGCTCGTTGTCGAGGTCCAGCAGCAGGTCGTCGGCGTCATGCGACCGGCCGCCGCGGGGAGGACCCCCAGGAGGTCGTCCAGCCATGCCGGGGGGGAGCGGCAGAGCGCGCGCGCAGGTGGTGTGGTGAGCTCTGGGCGCAGGACTGGGGAGCTCATGCGAAGGAACCAACGCGGGCTTGGGGAGCGGGCGGTATAGCGGTCGTGTAGGAGGGGAAGGTGTTCTAGGTTTTCAGTCGTGAGGGCGGGTGTTGGGATGAGGGGAATCGATGGGATGGTCGGATGGGTTAAACGTTGGCGCGAGAATGGATGGGATCGCCAACCTGCGACGTTGTAGATGAAGATGCCAGGAAGCACAGCCTCCTTGGTTGCGTGAGCTTGCAGCTAGCCCGCTGTGGCTGGCTGGCTAGCAGTAGCAAGGCTTAATTTTGGGGGATGGTGATTGCTCAGAGCTCGGGCTTAGCTGAGGGAGAATATGCCTGGTCCGCATCAGAGTTGAAAAGAACAAAAAAGGGACTCTTTATTTGGCTTTCTTTCCTGCGTGGTAAGCTGTTAGTTGAACGGAATTTAATTTGGGCGAGCCTGACAAAGCCGCCCTGTCCCCTATAACACGAGAGAGGTGCAGCATCCGCTCCAGCCAACACTTGAAAGGGGGTCTGCCTGTTTGGTTGGCGCTGTCGCCTAGAACTTATTCGTGGCCTTCACCCCTCGTCCACGTATAACGTTGTGGGTACGAGGAGGGCCTAAAATATCTATTCTCCTACCCAAGTGCCTATTTCCAGCGCATCGCTATCTGCCTACCCAGAATACTTTCTCAAGGGGCAGGTTGGCGCGCAGCATAGCCCCTGACTGCGTGTCGCTGGTGCAGATGAGCCACACCATTTGCCACGTTCCAGCCTGGGGCTGGCTGACTTGGCCATCCAACATGATGACCTAACCGCCTTGTGAAACTCGTGAGCTTTGCCATTCCACCGTGGGATGCTCAATGCTCTCAATGGACGGGCCAACTGCAACAACAAACAAGCGCATATTATTATGTCATTATCATATCGATCGCTATATGTTCATCATGCACTAGTGAGGCGCCGATAGCAGAACGCAACGCAAGACCATCTACCCGCCAAAAGTCTTGATATCATAGTACAACTTGTTATTTGTTTTGTTTATTTGGTTCTATATATTCATTTACTCATCCTATCAGCTCTCGTGGCTTTAAAAATAAAGCCCCTTAAAGCGATGCCTTGGACGTCGTCGTCTTCTTATCCAGCCACTCGCTCACGATGCCATTCACCTCGTCCGCCTTCTCCACCAGCGCCCAGTGGCTCGCGTCCACCTCTGCCCTCGTCAGGTCCTCAAACTGCGCTTCCATAGACTGCGACATGGCCGGCGGCAGCGCCGCGTCCCTGCTCGCGGCGATGAACAGCGACGGCACCGCCACCTTGCTCTGCTGCTGCTGCTCGGCCAGCTCTTTGTCCGCCTCGAAGTTGAGCGGGCGCGTGCGGTACCAGTTGAGCGGCCCGCGCAGCTCCGGCGCCTGCTGGCGCGCGTACTCATCCGCGTAGAAGTCGAGCTCCTCGGCCGACAGCAGCGGCGACGGGCCCAGGCCGTCGAGGTTCTCGAACACGACGCCCGAGCTCACGCGGAAGCCAAGCTCGCCGTTGGGGCCCTGGCCGCCGTACATGGCGTTGAGCAGCTTGCGGATGGCCTCGCGGCCCTGCAGGCGCGCCTCGACCTCGGGCCCGCCGAGCTGCAGCTGGTACTTGAAGTTGGTCAGGATGCCGGCCTGGATGAGGTCCTCGAGGGCCGTGTACTTGGCGCTCGCGCGGATGTACGGCGTGCAGACGACGAACGCGCGGCGGATCAGCTCCGGGTACCGGTCCACCATGCGCCACGCGACGAGGCCGCCCCAGTCGTGGCCGCCGAGCACGATCTGGCCGTCGGCGCCGACGTACTTGCGCGCCAGCTCTGCCAGGTCCGCAGTGGTGCTCTTGAAGGTGTACTCGGCTAGGTCGGCCGGCGCGTCGGTCCGCGCGTAGCCGACGTTGTCCGGGACGATGACCTGGTAGCCCCGGGACATGAAGAAGGGCACCTGCGCGCGCCAGCCGAAGCCCATGTCCGGGAAGCCGTGCACCAGCAGCATAGTGCCGACCTTGGCGCCCTGCGGCTCGCCCACGATGTAGTGGTACTTTTTGCCGCGGATGGTCTCGTAGTGGCTGGTGACCCGCGGGTCGTTGGGCTTGAGCTTGCTCGTGTCCATGATCGGAGGCTATGTCTTGGTCGAGAGAAGGTATTTGTGTGTGGATGGATATAAGATGGATGGGATGAGAGCTGGACTAGAGCTTGCCAGCACGGCCTATTTATAACAAGAGAGGGAGCTTAGGACCAAACTTGCTAGTGACATCTGACAATACTATAGCTAGCTGCCCGCAATAAATGTAACTCAATGGGTAGGGCGGGGTGGTATTTATTAGTGCAGACAGGAATCGGACTTTTGGCTTTCAGACCGTCTCCCAGACCCTGGTATCCTGGGCCTCGGCAATTGACCAGTGTTGATGAGACATCAGACGCCGTCCGTTATGCCATAACCTTTTACCATAACGCCCAAGTAATATTTGAAATGTTTAATTTTTCAGCTAGAAAAAAATTGTCCAATCCGTGCACGGGTCAGTTTGTTTGGTTTGCCATGTATCCGTATTAAGTAGTGTAAAGGCAAGCCGTGCAACGATGACGTCCCCTCCGGACACCTTGCGGCTTGCGGCCCATAAAACTTTATCACTTCCGCCTCACATCCCCGCTCCGGAGCTTCCAGGCCTGGGTTGGGTTTTCGTCCCAAGATGGATTATAAAAATGCCCTGATATTTTTTAATCTTGGTGTAGTATTGGAGCCATTTTCACTGTACATTGCGGCGCCTGTCTCGCCTATTGCGTTAATAACCCGTGACCCATGTTAATATATTACCATGTCCTCTCCGTCGTGTTCCACGATGTCTCCCGCGTCATCGTGGGCTTCATGCCGTGTACCCTCGTCGTCTCGATCGCCCGTGTCGCTGTTCATCTTCTTCGGTGACTCCGCATGGACTGCCGTTCCGGGCGAGGCAGCTGACGGTGACCGTGGCCGCTCCCTAGGCGGCGACGACGGCCGTGGTCTGACGGCGGCTCCGTGTCGCTCAATGTGCCACCGTCGGCGTTTTTCGAATTCGCTCTCCTCGCGCTGCACAAGCTCTCTCGCCTTTCTCCTCTGCTCATCTATAACATCTTGTTCCTCGTCCGTGCAGCGCCAGGGTAGGTAGTACTGCAGCAGCTCCCGTTAGCTCTGTATTCTCTGCAGCCGTTGTGTGGGCAAAGGCAAACTCACAATCTTGGGCTCGGCTTTGGTCTGTAAATATCTTGCCACCGCCAGCTTCTTCACGTGTCGATTCCGCATCTGCGCTCACACAAACTTGTTAGCTGGCTGGCGCACCCCAATTGCATTGTCAAACAGCCCACGTACAACCTCCTCGTCAAAGATGATCTGCTCTCTGACGCGGACCGCTCTGAGCTGCGCGAGCCTCTCGGCCCGTCGCTGCCCATCCTCGGACGCCTGCTTATGCATGCGCTCTTGTTGGCGCTTCTCGATTTCTTGTCGGCGCTTCTGCTGCGCGTTGCTCGGGCCCTGATTAAGCGTGCTCAGCAGTCCGCCGAACAAACGCTTCCCCCGCTTCTTGTCCTCCTGCGTAGGGGTCCGGCGCTCCGGCGCGGGTGCCTCGATGGCCATGTGGTCTCGCTCGGGCGACCGCGAGGGCCGTCTTGCGCGGTCCTGATCATCCTCGTCCGCATCGTATCGAGTACGTTTCGGTATCTCGTCGCGGCTGCCCGGTTCTGGAGACGCCTTGCGCTTTAGTGGCGGTGAATCGCGCGAGTCTGTAATCTCCATTACATCCTCAGCTTTGGTCTGTACTTCTACAGTGGCCATCCTATCAAGATCAAGTCAGAAAAATGCCACTTGTCTCCATTTGCGACCGGCACTTACGCGTCTGGCGACACCATTGCTTGCCCTAATCGCCGTTGCTGTTGAAACAATGTGTACTGCAGCCGTCGAGATACTGCGCATGTACCAATGGATATCTCACAGCATATCGCATGCTCAGCGGTGCCGGCGCTGAGAACAATATGGTAAGAGGCGTCGCAGAAAAAAGTGTCGTTGGTGGCGACTGGGCCACTGTAGCTTCCCTGAATGACGGCTTCTTCAGTCCTTGTTAGCGCCCCGCTATCGGTTCACTCGCTGCTGTGTTGAAGCTTCGCCCCCGCTATATGATTGGCCAACCGCCGAGGTCCCAGGCTGAGAAATCGACTTCACATCTCTTGCTGCTCAGGCGACACTAAGCTACCTAGGTATATTTGCGACCGAGCTCTTCTTCCCCCAGCAACCTTCTCTTCACCTCCTACAACATCTCCTTGTGCAATCGTCTCTACCAAGCGAACTTTCTCCCTCTGAGCCGCAAAAATGTCGCGCCATCACCCGTAAGCCCGCCTCCCCTTCCTCCCCCCAGCCGCGCAAAACTTCGCTAACCTCCTCGCCCACGCCCTCAGCGATCTCGTCATGTGCCGCAAGCAGCCCGGCATCGCCATCGGTCGCCTCTGCGACAAGTGCGACGGCAAGTGCCCTGTGTGCGATTCCTACGTGCGCCCGACCACGCTCGTGCGCATCTGCGACGAGTGCAGCTTCGGCAACTACCAGAACAAGTGCGTGGTCTGCGGCGGCGAGGGCATCTCTGACGCCTTCTACTGCTTCGAGTGCACGCGCCTCGAGAAGGACCGCGACGGGTGCCCAAAGATCATCAACCTGGGTAGCTCACGGACAGATGTACGTCGTCGCGCGCTTTCCCCCCGTCCTTGCCGTTTCATCGCGTTTGCCTTTCCCGTTGCTAACAAACACGCCACCCCCCTCAACAGTTATTCTACCAGAAAAAGACAAATCGAGCGCCGAATTACTAACCACGGAGAGGCCCGGGTCGGGGCACGCTTCGTGGTACGTTGGCAGCGACCAAAATGAATATAAAGCAATTACACACAAGACTCGTCTGTTTGGTTTTTCGCATGGGCTGGAGTTGACGGCGTTTGGGTGACGCATGTGATCATGGACATCTGCTACCACATAGACATGGGAAAAACAAAAGCTCATAGCAAGATAATGTTCAAAAAGTTATATTCGGATTTAATATGCAACCTGGCTTTTGGCAAAGTGCACCTCTTTGTACTTGCAAAGTGGCTTGTTTGGTCATTAGTGATACAAAAGAAACCGTTAAAAATCTCCAACAAAAAAAAGCGAACCCGCGATAAACTCCGTCAAGGATGCAGTAGCAAAATATATAGTTATTATACACTAGATGCACGAGAATGGATCGCCAAGGCTGTCGAGCTTAGATGTAGCTGACCTTGGTTCCCATGCCTGCTGTGGCAGCGACCTTGGCCCACGACGCACCGAGCATGCGTTGCAGGCGCTGTCTCAGGCCCTTGTGGCCGAGCATGATGAGCAAGCTGACGATGAAGCCGAGGAGTCTCAGGACAATGACGGGGTTGCTGTTGAGCGTCTGGGCAATCTGCTCAATGACAATCTTCAAGCGGCTAAACACGGCGCTGGCACGCGCGGTGAGGGTGGGAGTCTGGCCAGGACCGCTTCTGCTGCCCGCAGGCCGAGATATTGAGCTGGATGACGGTCTCGATGCTCGTCGCGGGCTGGGGCTGGGGCTGGGACTCGACTCGACGCCGAAGTCAATCTCGCTCGCGGACTTGCGGGCCTTTTCTTCCTCGAGGTGGCGTCTCTCTCGCGCCTCGCTCACCTCCCGCAGACGACGAGCCTCCTCAATGTCTCTGCGCAGTTGATCCTCCTGGCGCTGGCGCTCCTCGCGCTCCTGGCGTTCCTTTTCCTGCTGCTCTTCCTGGAGGCTCTCCAGCGCCTGGAGGAAGGCCTCGCGGCGCTCGTCGTCGAGGACGGCGCTGACGCTGATGAACTCGCGCGCGTAGTCCCACTCGTTGTTGCGGAGCAGGACGTGCAGGGTGTACAGCTCGAGGATCTTGACGCGGGCGTTGAGATCCCGGGGCGTGTCCGTGCCGCTGGTTCCCTTGGCTGGCGAGGCGTAGCGACTCATGCGAGGCCCTGGGGAGTGACCCCCGTTGAGCCTGTTTCCGAAATCCAAGTTGGGCGCGGTGCATGTGGCGAGGTATGTCTCAAGCTTCTTCTGGTTGAGGGTTTGGTTTTGGGCATGGGCAAGTAAGAGGGTGGCTCTGTGTATCGACGGGCGGTTTCTTGGTTAGTTCAAGCTGGTGGCAGTGCAGGGAGAAATGCTGGGCGGGTATGGCGGCCGGTGGAACTCACAGATTAATGACAACCTCCGAGTCAACGTCGCCCTCAGACCCGTGGTATCCATTCCTGACAATCTCCTCCCACACAGTGCCGTCGCGAACCTTGGCGCACAATGCCCTCCATTCCTGTGAACCAAAGGCGGACTTGCCCTCCTCGGGCTCCATCTCCACAATGGCATTGAGGGTGGTGAGATATAAACTCCAGACCTTAACCCTCGTGGTGCGCGAGGCACCCGAGACTGGCGTGGGCTCGCCCTCAGTGGCCGGCGTGATAAGCGGCAGTAGGGTGCTGAGGGCCTCGGGGAGGCGGCGCGTCAGGAATAGAGTTGAGGCTTGACGGTAGGTCTTAGAAATGTGGGACGTCTGGCGCTGTGCGGCAGGCGAGGAGAAGGAGGATATGGAGGGCGAGAGAAGGGAGCGTCCGAAGGTGTCGCTGCTCTTGGCCGTCGCGGTCGGGCTCAGCGACGGAGCGTAGGAGACGTCGAAAGACATGGTGGGCGACAAGCAGGCGGGCAGACTTGACGTTGAAGGCTCAATTCGTAGACTTCGGGAGGGCAGTTAGTGCTCGCAGTTCGACGCGGAACGCGAACGCGGCGGACGTTGGTGGTCGTGGTGGTGCGCCTCTCCCAAGGAAGGGAGACTTGTACCAAGGGCGGGTGGTTGGGTGGTTCGGCAGAGGCGGTCGCTGGGCGAGCTTTATGGCAGACAAGCGGCGGTGGTTTGCAGCCTAGGCATTGGGAGACTGCAGTTGCACAGTGATGATGAAAAAACGTAATGCAGGAGTGGATGGGGAAGAATGAAAGAGAGAAATGTGCTTCCCCAGCTTTGTTGAGGAGAAGCTCCCATTATTACGGGAGGTCGTGGACCCGCGCACTTGATCCAGCGAACATGTGCTGACGGCTTTTCTCCAGGCAGGAGAGAAAAGGCGTGGTGGGGATTCTTCGGGCCTGTGCAGACATTTAGCCTCGGCAGGACTTGGGGAAGTCGGCCACCGCCGAGTCGGGCCAGCCATTATTAGAACGTGGGCCGTGGTACATGGGACTTGGAAACCTCTGATGCTTTGTAAAAGCCTTATTTTGTTTTTCTCTCTTTTCTTACTGCGGATTGAAAGAAAAAAATTGAGTCCAAAGCTCTGTCCAGAACATCCACCTGTATGGACGTCCTTTCGCAGACTGCCGACACAAGCTGCTCCAGCGGCCTTAACTGCTAGAGCGGGCCGGCCGAGGCCGCTAGCAGAGTGAGCATATGCACGGAGGAAATGAGTGGTGGACAAAACAAACCGGACTCAAACAGACATGTTAGCTACACCGCTGTATTTACGTGCACATAACCCGTTTTAAAATCTAAAACAAAAATAGTTCCATTCTCTAGACAATCGTTTCCATATTCCACAATTTATAGCACCTTTTATACCTTCTGGTGCTCTTTATCTGTTGTTGAGAGTGAGCTCTATGCCGTCTGTCGGCGACCTGTTGTCTAAGTAGGTGAGTGGTTTGACATGGTTGGTTGATGGCACATGCTAAGGAGTGACCTGTTTCCTACCACGTATTTACACCTCCGCTCAAGTACATCCCCAACCCCCGCTATCCCTCGCTTATTCCTGATACAGTAGGTACTGGTCATCACTTTGTCTGCAGAGCACCAAAGCATGGACGCACGCCAGCCAGCCAGCCAGAGATTTTAGACACCGTTTCTTCTAAGACGGCCAAGGAATTTCGCGACTTGTAGCTCCGCCATGTCGATACCATACAGCGCAGCATAGAGAGGCGCGAGATGGTGAGGTCCACACGGCCGAGAATCGCCACTGGCGCGCCTCTTATCGAGGAAATCTGAAAGTAGTAGCCTCATGGCCTCTTCCACAGACTTGGAGGACAGCTGATCGCCGCCACTGCAGCAGATGTTTCCAGGAATGTGATATAAAGATGGTTCTGCATCGATAATAGCGCTCTTTATCACCTCCGACTCCTTGAACGAAAAGTAAGGCTGGCTGATATAATATTCGTCGACGGTACTATTAAGTCGTCGTTCGGAATCCGGGTCTTTGGAGATGTTGAGGAGATCGTAAATCAGCACACGTAGCTTGTAGCCGAGATTTGGATCGTCCCTCACTGCCGAAGCAGTACGAATGGTTGGTAGAACTTTGTCTGCTAGAGCTGATTCTTCCGGGCGTTGGGCCCTTTTGTCTGTGTTGCCCCGTTGGGCCTTTTTGCCTCGCTTTCCGCTCATCGTGAATCTGGTTCGAGTTTGTGGTATCTGGAAGAAGTGAAGTGAAGGTCACGCTGCCCTGGAGATATATATATATTACAAGTGGCTACCACGTGATACTCTTCGGGCGGTGCGCAGTGTTAATGTGAAGGTAAATGTAAAGCTAAATGTGAAGCTAAATTAAATATGATGTGAATCGGCTTTGGTGGCAGCCCAGCCACGTGCAAACAGAGAACTTTGTTTTTTGAAATTAAAATCAACCTCCGCTGAAAGAACATTTCTCTTCCGTCAAACATCGACCGCACGACAAATTCGAATCTCCGATAATGGCTTCTGGTAAGGGTAAAGGGCCTGCTGCAGCTGTGCAAATATGGTTCTTCCTCAATGAGACGATGTCGAGCTCCGCCTTTACTCAAAAGGTTCTCACGCTCCCCGAAGTAAAAATATCGAATATGACTCGTGCAAATTGTTTGAGCCTTTCCGGAGGAAAAGGCAATGTCAATGACCATGCGTTCTATATTCACTCAGAGAGCATGGCATCGGCCGTTCGAATGCTCAGCGATGAAAGCATCATCGCGACATATAACCTCTACTGCTCCCAGGACAGTGTCGTGACAATCATCGTCCGTCGAGCCCACGATCCGTCGCCGAACACCTCCTGCACTCCGTCCCATTCCAACTCGCTTGCATCGCGCAAAAGTGCGTCTCGAAGCCGTGGAGTAATTGCACCTGAACTTTTCATTCAGCCTCAGATCCGCCATGCATCTGGCAGTATGGACATGACTACTCTCGAGAAGATTGATGACGAGGATAACATGGTTTCCATTGCCGTGGGCAATGAAGTTATGACTTTCACGGCTGACTATCTGCTTGGTATGGCTTGGCTCTCTCCATATTTTATTACTCTACATCAGTCACTAATATTTGTAGGTTGGATTGAGTCTCAGCTCGCGGGCTTGAAACATCCTACCCGCATCACCGTCTTCTCCATTGCGCCCGACGGTTCTCAGCAGAGCGTTCTGCTTTCAGCCAGTGTTTGGCAGCGACATCTGCTTCGTGGCCCCTGGAAAGATTACTTCACCAAAATCTGGGAATCATTTACCATCGCTGAAGCAGAAAGAGAAGAGATACTATCAGGTATTACATCTCGAGATAGTTCCTTCTACAAAAGCTGCCAGGATTTCATCTACGACTTGAGACACTATGGAAACAACAAGTCTTCTCGCAGCCGCCTGGAAAGCAACGGCCATCAGTTCTACATAGGCGAACCTTACTTTCGCGCTGAAGTTCGTGACAAGATTCTTCAGCTTCCGACATTCCGGGGTACCTTGCAGACTAGCTTGAGAGTTCTGGAGGCTAAACGCGCCGACAGCACTATTTGCGCATCCCATGATTTATCCCCTATCTTTGAAGCTGCTCTTGGTGTCTCCTAGGACAAGGCACAAGGAAAAGGCGTCTCGGCTAGGCGACAGATCGGAACTCTAAGTATCCGTGCGAAAGAAGTTGTCAAGAAAGGAAGCAAGGTTTTCACCAAGGCACGGAAGGCATAGGTATATCTACTTAACGAAGCAACATTGATGATTGGGATTTTAAAGGACAGGGAGAATAAGAATGGGAGAATGAACACGGCAATGGAATTCCATGGCAGACCTAAAAGAGAATTTTAACCCGAAAAATTATTGCCCTCATATTTATCTCGCAATTTGAACAATGCCACTGGTAGAGTACTGCGGCAGGCAGTACATACAGTAGGTGAACACGTGTATTTGTCCCGTATGAGGCGTCAGGCCTAGAATAAGCCAACAGAGGTGAGAAAACTAAGAGAGGCAAGATACCTAAGGCAGGTACGATACCTGAGAAATGTAAATACCAAAGAGAGGTAAGATACCTCAGAGAGGTAAACCACCTAATATAGGGCATAGACATGCTGCCACCCATGTATAAGTGTTCCCCCGCAGCATCAACTTGTCCTTGGAATGCGCACCATACGACAGCTAATCTCTTGGCCTCCCTGTCCGTTTCGATATCGTCAGTCATAGCTGCAAAGGGCACCGAGAGGGCTGAAGTCGAGTGATTGAAATTGCCAGCCACTGTCAATCCTAGTGTAGTCGTGCAACCAGCCAGCTGAGTCGACACCTATGTACAGTACATAGGTACCAGCCCATGCTGCTGGGGTAGCATTTACAAGGAATCAAAAGGATGAATGGATACGATATGCGATGGCCAATGCCTCGCCCCATTTAGCTTTATCTAAGATAGAATAGAATAGATCATTTAGCTTTACCTAAAATATAGAATACAATCCGGCCATTATAGAAACATTTTCAATGTCGCCCGCTAATAACACAGTCCCGCCAGTCAAACTCCACGATGCTTAAAATGTACACTTCAAACCCGGCGCTGCCATGCATATCCTTACGCCGAGGTACTCGGTCGGTACTGGCTTCTCCTCGGCGACCGCCTCAGCGACGACGCCTCGTCATCGTCGTCATCCGGCGACACTATGATGCTTTCCTCGCGCTCCACCATCGAGTGCGACGCCCCGACCAGCTGCACCTCGTCGATCCAGCCGGCCTCGACGCCGAAGCCGACTACGTCCGCGGCGCAGTTAAAGCACGGCACGTCATCGCCGGCATCGGGGTCAAGATACTTCCACAGCTCCCGCGTCGTGCGGCGGAAACTCTTCAGCGCCCTCTTGTCGCCCTTGAAGTTGTCAACGAGGTACACGTACAGGTATGCCAGCCAGAGCACGTTCGTGTACGGTGCGAAGACGTCCCACGAGAGGGCGCCGTCGATCCCCTTGGCGTAGGGCGTGGTGTGCTCCGCTGGGGGCAGGCAGACGCGATCCGCGCGCAGCAGAAATGACCTCATCTGCCGGTATACGTTACACTGCGGTGCGTGCGTGCTGGTGAAGAAGCTGAGGTCCCTCTCCAGGTCGTTCGATACGGGCGGCGCATAGTCAACGGACAGGTCCTCGGCCCTTGACAGCCCGTAGTCCAATATTGTGATGTCCAGGCCCGAGTAACCATAAAATCGGCCTTGAGACTCTGGCGGTCGAGCACGCGGCTCATGGACTTGTCGGATACACAAATTGCTCTCGTGAAGATCGCGATGCTGTGTATGGGGTTGTTAGCAGCCAAGAAAACCGTCATCGCGATCGCAACAAGTATCACAAACCTCAAACATGGCCAGGTCTTCCGCTCGCCCCAGCGCCACCGCCACCAGGAAGAAGACGTCCCACAGCTGGCTCTCCGTCGTCAGCCTCCAGTCCTCCAGCGCGACGCCCGCGTCCCCCAGCTCTACGACCAGGAACCGCGTGCCATCCAGGTACCTGCTCGGCGACGGGTAGAACTGCGCGCGGCCGGGGTCCTGCCGCTTCGCGCGCCGCTGGAACGCCTGGTGCGTCTCCAGCAGCTGCCGCGTCGCCCGCCCCTGCACTACGTAGCGCTCCTTGTAGACGACGAAGCCGGGCACGTCGGCGAGCCACTCGGAGATTTGCAGCTCGCCGTCCACGTCGGCCTCGGCGTGCGGCTCCTCGTCGACGAGCCCGGCGCGCTCCTGCGTCTTCGTCTTGGCCTTGATGTGTGAGTGCAGCCGGATCACTTTGATGATGCTGGTGCCGCGGGCGTTGGTGACGCGGTAGACCTCGGCGTACGAGGCCTCGGCGATCTTTTCGATGCGGTCGCCGTGGGGGCACACGTCCTCCCACGACAGAATGCGGAGGGTTGTCTCGGCGGTGACATCTTCTTCGTATTGCCGATCATCTTCCGATTCAAGGATGTCGTGGTTGTCGCCAGATGGCGGTGTAGTCTCTTCGAGCTCATCACACACCAGCTGCTCCTCTTTCCACGCTTTCCTGTGTGGCTTGCCACTCAATTTCGGCCCTTTTTCTGAATTTTTGCCTTGTTCCTCAATTTTGATATCGGAGAGCTGCTGGGTCAAGTCTGTCACCGTTACAGGCTCAAGATCTTTTGGTTTGGTGGTTGCTGTTGTGGTAGGCGGCTTGCGTATCGGGCTCTGCGGCAGCTCAGCAAAGAGCCTTTCGGCTTTTGAGGCCTTTGATCGCTTTCCATACGTTGCTTTTGGCGGCATTTTGTCGCTGTGGCGCGTTTCCTCCAAGAAGCTATGTCGTTGAAGTTGGTGCATAGCTTAGTCGGAGCTCTGAAGCTGTAGACATTTGTGGTTGGCTAGGCAACCGACGACAACAGGCTATGGCCGAGAGTTCGCCGCGCCATTGTCTGCTACACATGAGATTGGACATTGAGCGCAACTTTGCTCAGAAATAATTTTCTCGAACTTGTCAGTTTGTGTTCTCTTCCTGAGGAAACTTTTTTTTTCATCTTCATAATGGACCACATGAAAATTGAGGTGGGAATTTGACAGGGTGTAAATGATAGCTCCTGTACTCCCATGTTCAATAGAACGCAGCAATAAGTTCAAGTTCAAGAGAATAATCTGATTTTGGGCATCAAAACGAGCAAGGTTCTTTCCAGAATCAGGAGTTTTGCTTCTTATATTACCCGAAACCCCTTGAAGATTTCCCGTTTGATCCATATCACGGGTTTCTTATTCCGCTGTTTAAGGCTGCAGGGTATGTTGGGCTGCATGGTAGCTTTTCGTAGGGCGAGTTTTACCCAGGATACGGCAGAAAAAGCAAAAACCGATGACAGTCATAAATCATTATCCGCAAAGTGAAATTTAAAATTTCTATCCCAAGCATCAATTGGCATTGCAATGTGGCAGCAACCTCAGTAGGCGGCATATGTGTTGGCTACATAGTACAGTATGTCCGGATAGATGATCGGCGGTTCTATGCACATGTAGCCAATTAACTCTCTGTTTTTTGGTAATTTTCTGCGCTGTGAACGGCCGCCGGACCGCTAGTTGCCGGACCACTCAGCTACCTGGTAGACATATTTCCGGATGGTCCGCCAACGTGATCGGAAAGGCCGTGCATATGCCCCGCGTTGCTTTTATTAGTTCCATTTTCCATTTCCATCATGCGTGCCCGTGCTGTTGGGCTCAGCATCCAAGTTATTGCCGTGGCAAGGGGCAGCACTTGGCAAGCAGGGGAGAGAGGGCGGACGGGCACAGACACATTGTCTAATTCATCATGACATATCTTGTACAACTCGGTTGACAACTCCTATCCATTGCTGCAGAACAAACCAAGGCAAAGCAAGGAGAGGCTGACGACAGCGTGCCACAGCCCTTTTGTCCCAAGAAACTCTTTACCCACTTGACGTCAGAGTGCTTGCGTGCTGTCGGCATACGCAGTAACTTAGTTAGTTGGTTCTCGGGACCGGCCAGAAGCGCCCTTCCTGAATTCTGACTCGCTGCTAAGCCGGACACGGATCTCCACGTTACGGTCTCGACTTGCAGGGACCCTGGCTGTGCTTTTTGATCACATGGAACGCCAACGGGGGTTTACTGGTAATTAGTTGTCTCCGGCGCATCTCGAGCACAGCCAGAGGCGTACACGAGAATCCACCGAGTCCTGGCTTGTGCCTCATCGTGTTCCACCATTCTCTCTCCCCGATGAGCTGACGACAAGATGACAAGATGCAAACTTTGTCAAAAAGGTACCCGACGGAATAGCCAGCGCCGAGTTCATGCTGCCAACCCCACCTACCACGAATCGTAGACTAATTTTGTGGGATTTTAGAGAAGGAGCTTGGCTTCCCTTGTCCGCGCTCGGCTCTGCTGGTGGAGGGAGGGGACTGAAGTATTTTAGTAATAAGTTGACGGATGCACCCGTCACAACTTTTCTCTGGTTGAATCCCGTTTGTCTGGTATTTTTGCAATTTTTTTCATACTCATATCTGCACATTCCTCTTGTCACAGTGCTGTTGGTTCTTGCCCTGCCGTACCCCTCCCTGCTGTCGGAGCAGCACTGCAATGGACGAGTCGGGCGCATCGACCACACCGGAGGACCCGGACCCAGGCTCTGAGAGTCGACCCAAGTATGAAGACTTTGCTCACCACCAACCAGTGTACGGCGATTGGCCCCCTGAATCAACCACAGAGACAACACCGTCTCAGAATGTCGCGATCCAAGACTGGCCTAGATCGACGACGGCACCTGCTGTCGAATTTCAATCCACCCCTCCCGAGGTCACGTCACCTGCCGATGTCGCCGCCGCCGTGAAGAAGGAAAAGGGACGAGTGCGATTCAACAGCAATGCCGGTGCTCAGCTTCGACCGCCCATCAACCCCAGTGTGCCGCAGACCGGCCCCGAGCGACGCAGCTCCACGGTGCCTCCGCGACCCTCGGCGCTTCGAAACCATTCGTCCGGCTCGATCCCAACGACGGGTTACTTTGCGAGGGAGGCTGCCGCTGCCACCGCCGCCGCCGCCGCCGCCGCCGGACATCATGAGGTCTCGGGTAACCAGTTCATCGAGGACTCCCCCGAGAAGCAAATATCAGCCGCAGCCGCCCAGGAGCGAGCCAAAAAGGTGGCTGACAAGCTACAACGGGGTTCGCCCACGCACTCCCGTAATAACTCGTTTGACTCCCCTCCAGTCAGCGTCGATGGTGACGCCGAGCCATTCCCCAGCGACGGCAGCATTCCTTTGCGGAGCATGGGCCACACGCGCTCTGAGTCGGGCGAGGATGACTGGCAGCTGCTACAACAACTCGAGGAGCCCCCCCAGACTCGTAATGACGAAGCGTTCGACCTTGTCCGTTCGCACACCATGCGCAGGCAGGAAAAGACGCCCGACGAGGTGACCGTCGTCGATCCCGACGAGCAGGTGGCAGCGACGACGACGGTGACAACGACGGGTAACGCAATCGAGGTGGATGACTGGAATGCCGGCGGGTACGACGGCGTAGTGTCGGTGCCCACGCCAAAGCACTACCGCGGCGGCGTGCTCGCGCAGCTGCTAAAGCTCTACAAGCCATCCGAAACGAACGGCGGCGGCAATGCACGGCGCTCCGGCGGTCACCAGCGCAACATATCGGCCTCTTCCGCCGGACACACCACCTCCGGCTCTGAGTCGGGCCATACCACGCCTAGCCGGCGAAAGTGGTACGAGCAGAACCGCTCACAGGACACGCTGGCGAATCTCATTGAGGCATCGGCACGCCTCGCCAACCCGAACCTCGGCCATCACCATGACGGCGGCGCCGGGTCGAGCTCGGCGTCGCCCAAGAAGAAGCGGCCCAAGGCGAAGCGCATGGGCAGCAGCTCGCTCTTCCACGGGCACCACAACGGGCACAAGGAGGAGACACGCATCGCTGTGCACATTGCCGGCATTCTCGCGCGCCAGGGGTACATCATCAAGCTGTGCCGCGCGCTCATGCTGTACGGCGCGCCCACGCACCGCCTCGAGGAGTATCTCAGCATGTCGGCGCGCGTGCTCGAGATCGAGGGCCAGTTCCTGTACCTGCCCGGCTGCATGGTCATCTCTTTTGATGACAAGTCGACGCACACGACCGAGGTGCGCATCGTCCGCACCGTCCAGGGCATCGACCTCGGCAAGCTCAAGGACGTCCACCAGGTGTACAAGGAGGTCATGCACGACGTCATCGGCGTCGAGGAGGGCGCCGAGCGCATCGACGCCATCATCGCCGCGCGCGAAAAGTTTCACCCGTGGACGCGCGTGCTCATCTTCGGCCTGACCAGCGCCACCGCCGCGCCCTTCTCGTTCAAAGCGCGCTTCATCGACCTTCCCCTCGCCTTTTGCTTTGGCTGTCTCGTCGGCGCGCTGCAGCTGATTGTTGCGCCCAAGTCGAACCTGTACAGTAACGTTTTTGAGGTCAGCGCAACGGTTATCGTGAGCTTTATGGGTCGCGCCTTTGGTAGCATCTCTGACAGCAACCTGTTTTGCTTCTCTGCCATCACGCAAGGCGGCATTGTCATGTTGCTGCCTGGCTACTCAGTCTGTAAGTCATCTCTCCGCTGCGCTGCACTGCCCCTGGCCGGCCCATTTCTAACAACCTACAGTGTGCTCCGCGCTGGAATTGCAGGCCCGTGCAATCGTCCCAGGATCCATCCGCATTGTCTACGCCATCATCTACTCCCTGCTGCTCGGCTTCGGCATCACCGTGGGCGCCTCCCTCTGGGGCATCTTTGACAAGAACGCCACGTCCCAGACGCAGTGCTCAAATCCCATGAGCCCCTACGTCGCCTTCACTTTCGTGCCCCTCTTCATCATCTGCATCAGCGTACTGTACCAGGCCAAGTGGCGCCAGATGCCCGTCATGGTAATCATTGCCTTCTCGGGCTACATCGTCAACTACTTCAGCAGCGTGCGCTTCGTCGCGAGCCCGCAGATCGCCAACACGCTCGGCGCCCTCTGCGTCGGCGTGCTCGCCAACCTGTACTCGCGCATCCGGCACGGCGTCGCCGCGGCCACGCTCATCCCCGCCATCTTTGTCCAGGTGCCAGGAGGGCTGGCGGCGACGGGCGGCCTCCTGAGCGGGCTGCGGACTGCCAACATGCTCACCAATTCCAACTCCACAGAGACGCCGGGTGAGTCGGCTAATGCCATGAGCACGGTGGTGTTTGACGTGGCTGCCTCGATGATTCAGATTGCCATTGGCATTGCTGTTGGCCTGTTCTTGAGTGCGCTCTTGATTTATCCCCTTGGCAAACGCCGGAGTGGTCTTTTCAGCTTTTAACACGCTGCAAGTACTGTCGGAGGATATTTTGGACTCTTTTATTTTTCAATTTCATTTTCGGAAAATGCGTTGGGGTTCTTTTGCATTCTTATGATATAGCTGTTCGTTTTGCATTGTTAGCCAGCGAGCTTTAGCATAGCCTGTTGGATTTCTGGAAAATCTGTGGTTTTGTACGGCGTTGTGGGAATCTTTGCATTTTTCGTCTTTTATAAGAATAGTTTTCAGAAGTAAATACATTTTATTCTCAAGCGGCATCATGTGCTTCCAACTTCAACAAGCTCAACTTATCTGGGGGAAAGGAAGATACGGGTTCGGACAAGCTGCCAAGCCAGCCATTCCTAATTTGGCGGCGCAGCTTGTGGAGAGAAGTTGGCCCCAAACTCCTCAGCTTCCACGACTTTCTTTGCCTACGCCTTCATCCCCTCGCCATCCAACAACAATCGCCATGGCTGACATTCTGAAGAACGTGCTCGGCGGCAAGCAAGCTGCGGCTGGGGCCAAGGCCGATTCCGGTAAGAAACACACATTCTGCTATTGCAGTGCAATGGCAACTGGATGCGAAGGAGACAGAGAGAAGACCGCAAAATAGGGTCTCCTCTCTCCTCCTTCTCCAACAGGCTGCCACGCACTCGTCTCCCAATTGCATTGACATCAAAAAACACAATTCTAATATTGAAACCAACTCAGACTTTGCCGATTTCGCCTCTGCTGCCGACCCGGCCCCCGCTGCCGGCGCGACTCTCGGCGGTGCGACTCCCCTCGCAACCGGTCGGCCCTACACCAAGTGGTACAATATCCATGAGCGTCATTCCCTGTCCGAGTTCAAGGTCGAGGGCGTGATTTTGCTCGTAACGGCCTTGATCTTCATCTTCCACTTCTTCGGCGCCAGCTCCAACCGCACCAAGGCCAAGAAATGGATGCGCTCTCACGCCGCCGCCCTGCAGAACGAGTTTGCCCTCGTCGGCTTTGGCCGCGCGCCCACCGTTGACACCGTCGTCAACCCCGACACTTTTCTCAAGGAGAAGTCGCTCTTCGAGTTTGCCAGCTATGCGACCGGCCGCAAGAACATTGCCTTTTTGGACGTCAAGATCACCCTCACTAAAAAGTTCAACCCGATTGTGTACCTGTTTGAGACGGTCAGCAGCTTCCTCGTTGAATCTCTTGGCCCCGCGCCCGAGGATGTTGCCGAGGTGCTCATTTACCCCTTTGACGGCAAGGAGAGCCTGACGGTGCCTAGACGCCGCGGAGCCGAGGAGAGCGAGTCTGTGGTCGACACCAAGAGCCAGTTTGACGGCTTCGTCTGGGCCGTGGTCAACAAGACGCGCATGCAGCGTCTCCGTGACCAGCGATACGACGTCTCCCTGACGGTCACCAAGGACAACTCCAAGCTGCCTGAGTGGTTGACGGTCATGAGCGAGAGCGCCGAGATCACCGACACCTTCCTGACGGCCGACCTCATCGCCGCCATCGTCGCGCTCGGCGACAACTTCCAGTACCTCGTTGCCTCGGATCAGCCGACCGACAGCCCGACGACGCTCGACGAGACGACGCCCCGCAAGCGCCTGCACCTCAAGTACAGCCTGCCCAGCGACGGCGTCTACGACGCGTACGTGCCGCTCTTTGCGTACCTGCTGCGCATGCCCGACCAGCTCGTCGCCCAGGCGCACTTCCGGCCCGAGGTGCTCAAGAAGCTGCGCGGCCCGCGCGAGCAAAAGATCAACCAGATCAAGAAGGTGGCCGAAGAGGAGCGCGCCGAGGAGCGCGCCGCCGAGAAGGAAAAGGCCAAGAAGGCCAAGCGCGACGCCGAGCTCAAGGGCTTGGACGCCAAGGCCCAGAAGAAGTACCTCGAGAAGGAGCAGGCCAAGGAGCAGCGCAAGGCCCAGAAGAAGATGACTATGCGATGAGTAGGTTTTCTTTTCCTGTTACACGCTTTGTAAGCACTTGTCAGTTTACCAGGCGGCTGACGGCAGGCGGCGGGCTTTCCTTGGGGTTGGCGGAACGGGTGGTGTCTTGTGATGGTTTCTGGGGATACCAAAAGTACTGCAGTTCTGTATCATGTGTTTAACTATGTACTAAAAGCAGCAATGAAGAACCGGGTAAATAATCTTTTGTGCTAGGTTGAAAGCCCCGTAAATAAGTCGGTGCGCAATGTAATTTGTGGCTTTTTACATGCATTACATGGTCGTGACGGCTAGGCATCACTGGCTAGAATGTCATTGACGCGCTTTACCTTGTCCTCTGCTGTTTGCTTCTTGTCCGTCCTTGTCGAATTCCATTAGCACATGAATGCAAAGAAAATCTCAAGGCGGCGGATGGGCGCCTTACCTTGACCCGACACGCATCGACGACTGCACGCGCAAAACGTCGCGCCGGTGGACGACAGTATGCGCCTTGCCGATGACGGTCATGACCTCGTCCCAGGCTCCTTCTGCCCCGACAGTCAGCATCCTCATCTCCTTTTTGCAAACAGTGTCTTATTCAACAGGAGAGACGCGGAGAGTGGGAATGGACATACCGACGGTGGTGCCGGCAGAGTGCATCGTGTACTTGAGCCCGCTGGCCTTGAGGACGCGCTGCACCTCTGCGACCTCCTCAGCGACGGAGATTTTTCCCGTGCCGACCTATTAAGTGGTCAGACGAAATGTGAAACCCCCGATTAGCTTTTCGGCATGCCCTTGCATTGTGGTTTCTCATGGCCTTGATCGGCTTGGGAGAAAAAGCACGCAAAAACGTACAGGAATCAGGCAAAAGTCGGCATAGCAAGCAGCCGGCGTTTCAATCGATGCATAGTCCATTCTGAGGAAAGTTCGGGAAACTCGAGGCTGGGAAAAGGTTGGAAGTTGATGCTCGGTCAAGGCATGAGGTTTCATCTCCAGCTTTGATGGTGGCGATGAAGTTAGTCACGGCAGCACAAACCCCACTTTGACTTACAAGGTTCTAGTGGGAGAGCATCACAGACTGACTGCCCGACAAGAGTTCATGTATGAATTTTGGGATGACGGCAAATTCAACTAATTCTACTGTATTCAATTGTATTCCGTTTTATGCCCAAAAAAATCTAAGAATGCCAACCAGTCATGATCCCTCACTCTACGCCGTGCTAAATGCTTCAAAAACAAGACAAGAAAGGGCCATCATTCTGCCCGTCTATATATACTCATGCCCATGCCCAAAGGACCATAGCAGTAGCGAATGAGACCAAGAGACCCCCGCTTACACCGTGGTAACCAAAAGAAGCATCCGACGAGGACGAGGCGGCCTTGTCACTCACCGACGCCCGGCCCGTAATGTCACTGAGACCATTCGCCCTGTCGACCGCCGTAATAGGGTCCTCCATGTTCCAGAAATCAACGAGCAAAAAGTTGGGCCGCGTGCCCCATTCCGAGGTGCACTGCTGCAGGTGGCGGCCGATGTTCCCCGCGGTGGCCGTGTTCGGGCTGTTGGTGACGTTGATGGAGTCGACGTCCGGGATCTGGATGCCAGCGAACCCCAGGTCCTTGTATTGGAAGTGGTTGACGAGGCTGAGGTAGTTGAGCGAAATGGCGGTTGTCGGCGACTTGTTGAGCTTGGCGGTGCTTGGGCGGTCGAGGGTGCAGTTGAAGCCCACGGGCTCAGTCACCTGATACGGCGTCTCGAACATGAAGTCAAACTCGGGCAACAGGTAGGGCACGGAAGTGGCGTAGTCAAAGTCCGTAGCGAACGCAACCAGCCGGGTGCCGGCGTCAATCATCTTCTGCAGCGTCGGCCAGTCGCCTGTCGCCGACGTTGCCGGCGGCGTGTAGCCCAGCTTATCGAGACCGGCCGACGCAAACGCGGGGCCAAGTTCCGCAGCTGACGACTTGTCCGAGTTCACCAGAAGGATGGTGACGACATCGTTTGTATTCGAATTCATCCAGCCGGCAATCAGCCGCAGCCAGTCTGCCAAGGGCCCGGCGTCAAGCAGGCTGCAGTCCGAGTGACAAAGGTGCAAGGTGCCGTTCTTGTTGTGGACCTGGGCTTGGAGGAAGCGCAGGCCTGCGTTAAGGGCGATAGTGGCATTAAGGAATTGGTTGCCAGAGACGGAGTTACCGGTGCTAGCGTCGCGCAGGAAGGCGCTGTCGTGGGCGCCCATGTGCGTGATGTTGTTGTAGTGGCGGCCACAGAGCGTCGGCGAGTTGTTGCATGGCTTTGAGCTTGAGGAAGAGGTGGTGCTGGCGGACGGGACGGCGGCGGATGTGGCCGAGGTAGTGGTGGCGGCGCTGACGGCAGCGGCAGCGACCGTGATGCCGAGTAAAGCTGTGCGAAGTATCGATGGCATTTTTCAAATGGATTTTCGGTGCAAGAATGTGAGATTGAAGGATGCTGAAGATAAAGGAAGAATGGCAACAGAGGATAGCGTTGCCGTCAAAGAAAGGCTCGTCCGCAGCTGCCACGCGGCAAAGTCCGTACAACGAGGGTGGAAAAGAAGGCGGTACCGTACGGATAGGGAAGACGAAGAAAATGGACCAAAGAAACAACAAGAAGACGACAAGAGATTTATAAGAGATGTGAAAGGCAATTGACAATGAGCAAGCAGAGAGGGGATCTACATATGTACTGGTGACCAGGTAGGTGGAGTCGTCTTGTCAGACACCGTTTGTATGCACTGTACATACATAAGGTAGGTAAGAAGCAGTCAGCGTCCAAGCCCACCATCAACCTATGTCGGCGCCCCCAGAATTGCGTGGCAACGGCTAGACTTTTACTTACATTCACATAAACAGGTAGGCTGTAGCAGGCTGCACGGCCACTAAAAATAGCACCATCCATCACCATCGCGTCGACAAGCGTCGTATCAAATCGGCCTGGCTGAACTGCACAGCCTTCCTCGTCGCACAATGAATACTGAGAGCCTGAGACCGGATCCCTTCTCACACCAGTAAACGCGCGTCAGGGAGGGGTCCAAGGGGGGGTCTGCCCCAGAATTTGACGACTGCGAAAAGGTAAATGGGGATGAAGATCGCGACTGTGAGGATGGGATGGGCCACATCGCACAGCATCGAAACCGCCCAGGTGGAGGTCGTTTCGAATCTGACGCGTACCTGCCAAGTAGTTAACTGTAACCGTATACTGCCAAATCCCCGCCAACCCACCATTTCTGCTGTGCTCATTCGGAGAATTTCTCTTCTTTCTCTTCGTCCTTTTCGTTCCTCCGAACGTCTTGGCGGATGCAAAAATCGTATGCTGGCTGTTCGTTCGTCCCTGCTATGCATGCCCCTTACTTGGCGATAACGCCAAATGCATGGAACCAACCCCGCAAGTTTCACGGCTCACGGCTACTTTACATTGTCATCATTCAGTTTGACGGAGCGAGTAACTTCAAAGAGCTCCGCGTCCACGTACATGCTGGTTGTATTTATGCCAACGAATGTCTCCCTTTGCCTATTGTTTTCCGTCCCGAGTGAAAGTCGACGTTTTATGAGACGATGAGACGCAATAGGGGTTGGACGAAGGCGTATTCAATCATCCACCAAGAATATCAATCATCCACCAAGAATACAGACCCCATGTTCGTCGACGAAATTTTTTTCGGCCTATTCCTTCGGACGAAACTATGATAGCAGAGCGCAATGCTTCTGCTGTGCCTGCGAGGCACCTGACTCGACCTCTACACGTTTTTGTCTCCGTAGCGCTTGCCTTTCTATACTCCCAAGATCACGACTATCTTGCCTCTGCCGACACAGTTCTTCACAGGCTTGGCAACTTCTCCCCTCGTCTCTTGCTGCTACAGCTATCTCGTGCGCGCGCTTTCGGGCACTTCCTTTAGTTAATTTTCATGTCAGCCGTTGACGCGTGGCCCCGGATCTGTCGGAAATCCAATCTCGCAGTGGGCCAGACGGGGCTTGTCTGCCCTCGGCCCGGGACTTGCTCCCGAAGGACTCGGGAGAGTCGGAGCGCTTTCCCGCCGGGTTTGCAAGTTGTACAGTCTGCGGCTTCAGAAAGTTGCCTATAAGTCAGGCCAACTTGTAGCAGTGCAGTTGACTACAAGCGTAGAATAGCTTGCGCCATCGATGGCGGGCATCAGTAAACAATACCAACCAACATGGGCTTAGCTGTCAGACCAGCCAGCCTTATTAATGCTCGCCAGTGACGCACGACAGAATCTCGTCACGTAGAGTCAACATTCACACTGCTCACCAGTAATTCAAACACAATGTTCGCTTACAACACAGAGCAGCTGGACCGCTACTTTTCCCTCATTTCGCTCACGAACTGGAAGACCCTCCTCGACCACGATGTGCACGGCTTCTTTGACCAGATGATCAAGGGCCAGCTCGCGCACATCACGTACAACACGCTGTCTCTGCACTACATGGCGGACAAGGTTGTAACCCTGGATCCGGAGCTGCTGTTTGACAAGATCGTGGACAGGGAGCGCGGCGGCTACTGCTTTGAGCTCAACGTCCTTCTCATTCATGTGATTCGAAGTCTGGGCTTCGAGGCCATGGCTGTAGGGTGCCGGATGCGCGAGAAGAATTCGACGAGCGAGGGCATTGATCGCTGGCGAACTACGTAATGTTTTATGCCATATTCTCCGCAGCCGCAGCTGTTTCGAGTCCGTCCATGCTAATCACCACCTGGGTGGGCGTGTAGGAGCCACATGGCCATTGTCGTGCTCATTCATGGCGAGCGCTTCCTTGTCGACGTGGGCTGCGGCCTGAAGAGTCCTGCGACGCCTCTGCGGCTCCAGTCGGGGCTGGACGCGGAGAGCGGCCTGACGGGCCAGACGCTCAGGATGGATTTGAAGCCGCTGGCGCCGACGGCCGTGAGCCAGCCCGTGTGGATCTACTCGATGCGCTTTGGCGGCGAGGACGCGTCGTGGATGGAAGTGTACGCCTTTGCCGACGCCGAGTACCTGCCCTCCGACTTTGACGTGCTCAACTACTACACCGTGCACGCGAGCGCGTTGACGCGCATTGTGGCAGTGCAGAGCCTCTTCTTCGAGGACGGTGCGTCAGGCACGCTGTCGCTCGTGAATGCCAACGTGACACGGAATATCAGCGGCGAGGATGAGCCGGTGACGGTACTGCAGAGCGAGCGCGAGCGCGCGGAAGCTCTAGAGAGGTACTTTGGGATCAAATTATCCTCGGAAGAACTGGACGCGATGAAGGGCTCTGCGTATGCGTTGCCCATCAGCGACTGATGTTTGACGTGGCTGTCGCGGGGGCCAGTGTCACCAGAGGTGCTGTTGTGCTTGGTGAAACCTTTCGCGACAGATGCAAGGGACAGCGGTCATGAAAGGGGATACGGTATCACAGGAAACTTTGACAGGGACTCGTCGACCTTGTCTACCCAAGAATTTGTACAAGGGCCTACAAGAAAATTTGTTGCCTGAGGAATCAGTCCAGCGTTGGAGCCAGTTGAACGACAGCTCGCCATGATTAGATACTTATCTGTGGGTTGTCAAAGCCAGAGCAGAGAGTTTCTTGGAGCTGTGATAGTCGGAGATTCTTTAATAGGATTTTTGGGACGATTTACCCTGAGCGGACCGGTGTGGACGCACTTCGTAGTATTGGTACGAAATATCAGTAACCTGCAACCGTTCCTCGATGTGCCTGAGCTGGGGTCAGGTCCCGATAGTCAGTTTTTCGATTCGCGTTAGGCTTTTTGCGTGCCCTTGTTGCCGGGCCGCTTCATTGGCCACCAGCCTGGGTCTAATTAAAGTCAGTCCGGGGTTGCATGATTTTAGGTGCATTACGAAAGTGCACGCCCGCCTCAGGGTGACAAAGAGGCGGGATAGCAGACACGGAAGATCAATCATTCCTACTGGCTGGGCAACATGATCCTGTAATCGTTGCGTAGTGCAATGACTAAAGAAAAGGGGAGAGGGAGGCTTCTTGTCCCTGCTCACTGTCCTGTCCTGCTTGCCCGGCGACCGACGGGGCAGGAATACACGGACGGATGAGGCTGATGTGCAACGCAGTGGCGTGCCACGCAGAGAGTAATCACACGGCGCGCTCGCGGAGTTACTGGTCCGTGCATCAATTTCCAGGATCGCGAACTCGCGTCCGGAGAGAGCACCGAGAAGCTGGAGAGGTCTACGGGAAAGTTTGCTTTGTCCCAGATGGCGATCGGGCCCTAGTATGTATGTAACTAGCGCAGTGACCACGAGAAGAGTGGCCTGCAAGGGGGGAGGGGCGGCAAAGAGAACAGTTGGCTTGCTCGGATGGCGCCTTTTCAGAGGCTTCCCTTGTTGTAATTGAGACTGAAGAGTACGCCACTAGCCAGAGGCATAGAGGTTGTGTCGGTATTGGTCCGGTGAATACATGGGTTTTCCCAATCTCGAAAGGGACGAGTTGTTCATACCTAGTAGGTACTAATAAGACGCCATGATCCTGTGTTGGGCGGTTGCCTAGGTAGGAAGCATCTTCGGCTGCAGCTGTGGCTTGGTCGCACATCTTGCAGTCCGGTTCTAATTGTGTAAAAAGATTAAAGGGGAGTTATAGCAAAAGAAAACAGTTATATAGCATTGATGACAGACTGCCCAGTTAGTTACTCGCAATGAGAATGTTGTCGTGCATGCATGTATCAGAGTGAAGTTGAAATCTAGAGATCGTGGAGGACCAAAAACATAAACAAAGAAACTTGTTAGCACACACAGTTGGCTGGGATATTTTTGTACCTCTCAATAGCCTAGCACAACAAGCCATGTCCTCAGCTGCCCAGTAAACGCCGCCAGAGTGACTGGTGAGCGGGCCTGAGATGGGGCTTCATGGGAACCTGAAGGGGAAGGGGTCAAGGGGGTAAATGGACACTGCTCATCTCGACGGGAGTGATTTCCATGCAGAAACAATACAAAAACATAGGCTTGCTTACCATTTCATTGTCTGGTTCATTTGCGTACTCTACAGCGTCAGGTAATACTAGTTAAATTCCGTTCCTATCAAATTCGCTGCGGGCTTATTTTGGCAGCCTCAAAGGGGGGGGGCCGCACTTGGGGCAACCAAAAATGGTGCTAGAGGCAGAAAAAAAAATAAAAAGTGGACTCTACCAGCGCCAAAAAGAGCAGTAGGCGAAACAAGCAAACGGGCTGGCCACTCCGTGGGCAAGAAGTATAAAAGTACATGTTGTCACATATAGAGGCCCGGGCTGCCCCTCTACCCGATTTCTTCTGTTCGTTTCCCCCGAGTGCGAGGACGCTCACGGCCACAGCCACAGCAAGTTTATCAGCCAGGCTGCGCTAGCAGACAAGCACGCACACTTCCCGCAGCACTACTTGGCTACTTGTTGCATTGTTGCACCCTACCAGCTCCCAGTTGCCAGCTGCCAACTCGACTTGCTTGTTTGGCGTTTTTGCACCTGCCAGCTGCCAGCTGCCAGCTCCCCACTCCAGCCAACCAGCAACCAACTCGCAAACGCACGCACTTTATCGGTATCGCGACTGCTCGTCATTGGCGCGCGCCACCCCTTCATCGCAAAACTGCAGCGCTTTGCTTGCACAGCGAAAGCGTTGAAGGCCTCGTTCAGCGTCCTCGTCTTCATCGCTGTCGTCACAATTACCACCTCACCACCGCCACCATCATCAGCATCACTACTCCACCCCCCGGTCGCGTACATTCAGTCTCGTCGTCTTTTATCATCCCGTTGCAAAAGCGCTCTCATTCTAATCCATTATCGCCATTACCTCCCCGCGCAGCGGCCTCAATGCTTCGCCTTTGAAAAATCTTGCTACAACCAATCTCCATCTTTTATCTTGTGAGTACCGTCTCTCCTTTTGCACTGACTACGCACATCTGTGATGCGCGTGCAACTTATATCCGTCATACCGCTCGTGTCACGCGCCTTGTACGCTATTTGTTGCGCTGCACTGCTGCTCACAAACTGCTACGCTTGCCGGTTGCCGCCCCTTGCTGAGCTTCACTCGAGCCCCATATCATCGCTAATGCCCACTGACCACTCGTTGCCTCATAGTCATTGCTGCGCCATGTTATAATTCCGTGCATGCCACTCGCCCGCACACACACCCACATAGATCATGGCCTCGAGATTAGATCGCCTCGTCACCATCCTGGAGACTGGCAGTACCAGACTCATCCGCGATACTGCCGTCAACCAGCTGGCCGACTGGCAAAAACAGCATCCCGATGAACTGTTTAATCTACTCTCCCGCGTGGTTCCCTACCTGCGCCACAAAGACTGGGAAACTAGATCCACTGCCGCAAAGGCAATTGGCAAAATTGTAGAGAATGCCCCCCTCTACGATCCCAATGAAGATGATGGCGACCAGGTCGCACAACCTCCCAAAAAGGAAGAACCCTCGTTCACCGAGAACGGCCATGTCAAGAAGGAGCAAAACGACGACAATACTGCCGGCATTTCCAATATCGATCTCGGCGCGGATCAACACTTCACCCTTGATGCCATTGATGTTGAGTCCATTCTTAAGTATGGTCGCGAACTGCTACGCGGCGGAGGCATCGAGTATAGCCTGGCAGCCATGGACCCCGCAGACCGTCTCGCTCATCAGAGGAAGACTCTTCCTGGCCGCCTTGGTTTGTTCGGTCGCAAAGTCGACGACGAAGAAATTGCGCCTCCCGAACCCGTTGGCGTGCCCCCGACACCGATTGAAGGCCCCAGCAATGGCGGCCTCCCTCGAACTGACAGCGTCGGACAGCAGGGCGAGGACTCCCAGCTGAGCTCCAGGCAGCTTAACGTTCTGAAGCGCAAGCGAAAGAGAGAGGCAATGAGAGCCTCCCAGGGAAAAAGCAGTTTCGGCGACCTCTCTCTCAGGCGCTCTACAACGGCTGGCTCGGAAGCTATGGCCGAGGACACAATTATGACTGATGCGGATTCCAAAAAGAACGGCAAGATGAACGACTATTTCAACCTTGATCGACCTGTTGAGACCGATGAGGACACCAAGGTCGTCAGCGAATTCAAGGGCCCTATTATTCCCATCAAGTCCGAAATAGAAACCGACGATGACATGCACGGCGCCGAATGGCCCTATGACCGCCTGTGTGACTTTTTGAAACTCGACATTTTCGACCCCTCTTGGGAAACTCGTCACGGAGCAGCCATGGCGCTGCGAGAGGTGATTCGTGTTCATGGTGGCGGCGCCGGTAGAGGTCCTGCCAAGTCTCGATCCGAAAATGATTCCAACAATAAGAAGTGGCTCGATGACTTGGCTTGCCGCCTCTGTTTCGTCTTAATGCTCGACCGGTTCACAGACTACAGCTCAGATACATCTGTGGCACCCATCAGGGAAACCATTGGCCAAACCCTGGGTTCCGTCCTCAAGCATGTTCCCGCTGCGTCTGTCTATGACACGTATCGCATTCTGCATCGCATGGTGCTCCAGGAAGATCTCAAGATGGAGCGCCCCGTCTGGGCTGTCTGCCACGGCGGTATGGTTGGACTTCGATACGTTGTCGCAGTGAGGAAGGACTTGCTGCTACAGCACAATGACATGATCGATGGCGTAATAGCCGCGGTTATGAAGGGCCTCGGGGACATGGACGACGATGTTCGCTCCGTGAGCGCTGCAACGCTGATACCCATGGCAAAAGAATTCGTCATGATGCGCCCTGCTGCACTCGATGGTCTCACAAACATAGTCTGGGAGAGTTTGTCAAACCTGGGCGACGATCTCAGTGCCAGTACCGGACGTATCATGGATCTTTTAGCAACGCTTTGCAGCTTCCCCGAAGTCTTGGAAGCCATGAAAGCCTCTGCCCAGAAAGACGAGGAACGCTCATTCACCCTTCTTGTGCCTCGTCTATACCCATTTTTACGGCATACCATCACCTCTGTCCGCCTCGCCGTTCTGAAAGCCTTGCTCACCTTTGCCAACCTTGCTGATGAGTCCTCTCAAGGTTGGTTGAATGGCAAGATTCTGCGACTCGTCTTTCAAAACATTCTTGTCGAGAGGGACAAGGAGACTCTTAACGTGTCGTTGGAACTTTGGACTGCCCTAGTACAAAATCTGGCAAGAAACCCGGCTACTCTGGCAGATGAGTTTGCCCCCAATATCGATGCCCTTATGGAACTGACCTTGCATCCTATTGGTGTCTCTCGATACCCCATTCCGATGAACGCCACGCTTTTCCAGAAGCCCTCTGGCGGCACATACTCCATGCCCGCCAACGCTCAAAACACGACCGGAAGACGTACATCACCCGAAGTCGTTGACCGCGCCCCTAAACGGCGCAGAAAGTCTGCCAAGACAGAGGATCCAACGCCGACACACGTTGGTCACGATGTTGACGGACACATGATGACTGGCGATGTTGATCTTGTTGGCATGGACATCCTTATTCGTTCGAGAACTTCAGCAGCCAAGGCTATGGGTCTGATCATGTCTCATGTGCCATCTGCCAAGCTAGATGACTTTGATGCTCTTCTCGTCCCAGGTCTTTCTTCCGCCTTTGCCTCTACTCAGGTGACCGCCTGTCTGGTCATTGATGAGTATTGCAAAGAGTGTCGGACTGAGGACGATATGACCACTCGATATGTCGATCATCTCCAGCGCATCATCGACAGTGACAGACCGACCTTCTACCGCGACCTTGTCATCTATATGCAGCGTGTTCGCTCGCAATGCCAGCAGCTCTTATACATGTTCAGAGATCATGGCAAAGTAGCACCCGGAAAGCTGCCAGTACTGCCTGTCGTTGTGCAGGGCGAAGCAGAAGCGGGCCCTAGTGCTTTCTCGCTTCTAACTGCAGACAAGTGCATCGGCGATGACTTTGACAAGCTGAAGAAGATTATGCCACCAGGCCAGCGCCTCATTGCGAGCCAGCAGCTCGCCGATGCGCGTGACATTACTCAGACCGCCGTTCAAGAGGCCAAAACCCTAAAGGAAACTCGGGATGTTCGGATCAAGGCTGTCGCCGCATGTGCACTCGTTGCTATGAAGGTGCTTCCTAAGAAACCCAGCCCACTCATCAAAGGCATCATGGATTCCGTCAAGACGGAAGAGAACCAAATTCTACAGTCCCGCGCTTCCGATACTATCGCTAGACTGGTTCAGCTCTTTGCTGACAAGGGTCGGCGAGGCCCTGCGGACAAGGTTGTCGCTAACCTGGTAAAGTTTTCATGTGTTGAAGTGGCTGAGACGCCAGAGTTTCCCGTCCACGCGACAAAGAAGGATTTTATCTTGTCGATGCAAAAAGAAGAGGACAGAGTCGACCATGCTGACGCCGCCAAATGGGCAAGAGAAGTCAAGGCTGCTCGTATAACAAGAAGAGGCGCAAAGGAGGCCCTGGAAATCCTGGCCCGCACATACGGTGCCGCTATCTTTGAGACTGTTCCCAGCCTGCGAAATTTCATGGAGCAACCCCTGCTCAAGGCCTTCTCTGGCGAACTCCCAGAAGCAGCCAAGGACCCAGAAGACACTTTCGGCCAGGAGATTGTCGATGCGATGTCTGTCATCCGCACCATGACTCCAACGCTGCATCAAGACCTCCACGCCTTTGTTCTGGAAATGATGCCGCTCGTCATCAAAGCTCTTCGCTCGGAGCTTTCCGTCTTCCGCTATATGGCCGCCAAGTGCATGGCTACCATCTGCAGCGTCATGACGGTCGAAGGCATGACAACGCTGGTCGAAAAGGTTCTTCCCTCCATCAGTAACCCGCTCGATCTTCACTTTCGACAAGGCGCCATCGAAGCAATTTACCACCTCATTGCTGTTATGGGTGACTCCATTCTGCCATATGTCATCTTCCTCATAGTGCCTGTCCTTGGCCGAATGAGCGACTCCGACAACGAGATCCGTCTGCTGGCTACTACTTCGTTTGCAACCCTTGTCAAGCTCGTCCCACTGGAGGCTGGCATCCCAGACCCGCCGGGCCTCTCCCAAGAGCTTCTCAAAGGACGTGACCGTGAGCGCACCTTTATCGCTCAGCTTTTGGATCCAAAGAAAGTTGAACCCTTTGCTATCCCCGTCGCTATCAAGGCTGAGCTTCGATCTTACCAGCAAGAAGGTGTCAACTGGCTCCACTTTCTCAACAAATATCATCTTCACGGCATTCTGTGTGACGACATGGGTCTAGGGAAAACACTGCAGACACTGTGCATCGTTGCTAGTGACCACCACCAGCGCCAGGAAGAATTTTCCAAGACACAGGCCCCGGATTCTCGCCGCCTGCCGTCTCTCATCGTCTGCCCGCCTACGCTGTCTGGTCACTGGCAGCAAGAAATTCGAACATACGCGCCATTCCTCAGTGTCACTGCCTATGTTGGCCCTCCTGCCGAGCGCAGGCTGTTGAAACCGAAGCTCGGCGAGACGGATATTGTAATCACGTCTTACGATGTCTGCCGTAACGACTCTGATGTGCTGGAGAAGCACAGCTGGAACTATGTTGTTCTTGACGAAGGTCATTTGATCAAGAACCCCAAGGCTAAAATCAGCCAGGCCGTCAAGAGACTTGCCAGCAACCATCGACTCATCCTGACTGGCACACCGATCCAGAACAATGTATTAGAACTCTGGTCGCTGTTTGACTTCCTGATGCCCGGCTTTCTAGGTACAGAAAAGGTCTTCTTAGACCGATTCGCCAAACCTATCGCTGCCAGTCGGTTCAGCAAGGCTTCTTCTAAGGAGCAAGAAGCCGGTGCGCTAGCCATCGAGGCTCTACACAAACAAGTTCTCCCTTTCCTCCTCCGTCGTCTGAAGGAGGAGGTCCTGAACGACCTGCCACCCAAGATTCTACAAAATTACTACTGCGACCTCAGTGACCTGCAGAGGAAGCTGTTCGACGACTTCAACAAGAAGCAAGGCAAGCAGCTGCAAGCCGAGGCTGGCAGAGAAGACAAGGAGGCGAAGCAACATATTTTCCAGGCACTGCAATACATGCGCAAGCTCTGCAACTCCCCCGCCATGGTGATGAAACCAGGGGTCCCCATGTTTGACGAGACGCAAAAGATTTTGGCCAAGCAGGGCACATCGCTTGACGACGTTGCGCATGCACCCAAGCTTGGCGCACTTCGCGACCTGCTGGTTGACTGCGGCATTGGTGGCGATGATGGCGATAGCAATGATCCCCTGTATCAGCCAATCAAACCTCACCGTGCTCTCATTTTCTGTCAAATGAAGGAGATGCTTGACATGGTGCAAAACAAGGTCTTGAAAGAAATGCTTCCTGGTGTGTCGCATCTGCGCCTGGATGGTTCGATAGAAGCCAATAAGAGGCAGGATATCGTGAACAAATTCAATAGCGATCCTTCCTACGACGTGCTACTGCTGACAACTAGTGTCGGTGGTCTGGGGCTCAATCTGACGGGTGCGGATACTGTCATTTTTGTCGAGCACGACTGGAACCCGCAAAAGGATCTGCAGGCGATGGACCGCGCTCACAGAATCGGCCAGAAGAAGGTTGTCAATGTTTACCGCCTCATCACCAGAGGCACGCTGGAGGAGAAGATTCTGAACTTGCAGCGATTCAAGATTGACGTGGCGTCGACGGTTGTTAACCAGCAAAACGCAGGTCTAGGAACAATGGACACGGACCAAATCCTAGACTTGTTCAACGTGGGCGATTCAGGGCCAGGCCTGATATCAGACAAGCCTCAGAACAACCTGGAAGGAAGAGAGGAGGACATGGTGGATATCGAAACGGGAGATGTACTACGACAGCCAGGCAAGAAGGCGTGGTTGGATGACTTGGAGGAGCTCTGGGATGATAAGCAATATGAAGAGAGCTTTGACCTGGAGGGGTTTATGAAGTCAATGTCATGATTATGACGGTGGGAGGTGCGATATTCAATCTTGAAGCATGCATTTATTTGCTTCTTATCTGGATACGGAGGATTATTGCTACTTGCCTCAACGGCGAGGCTTTTACTGATTTTTTTTGCTACTGGATTGTACTTGGGCGGGATTCGGCGTTTGGCTTGCAACTTGTTCTACTTTGATAATTTTGTACAGTAGATCAATCATCAGCGACTGCGCGGGGAATACCACTTTTGTCGAGGCTCGTAGGAGTCTTTTCTTTTCATCTCAGCTTGTTCGCTTGGTTGTGAATGGGACGACTTTCAGGGATTAAATGTAGAATAACAATAATTGATAAAAGACGCCCATGACATGGTGTCTCTTTCCATATTTGTGGTGCAGTTGCGTTTGATCACAGGCAGTGATTCCTAATTGTTAGTAGGTCGGTAGTGATGGGGTTGTGGTTCATCAACTTCAACAACCCCACCACACCCACCACTGTGGCAAGCTACGTAGAACCTTCATGTCGGAGGGGCAAATAGAGCAGCTTCAAGCAGATATTCGCATCACCTCCGTCTTTGTGTCATAGAAACAGAGTGTGCCAGGATCACAGTCGCCCATCATGCCGCTCGACTACAGCAAATGGGTACGTACGCTGGAATGCCAGGCGTTCATAGCATTACAAGACCACACACAAGCTCCCGCAGAAGCTCTGCTAACCAAGCTTGCCTTGCCGCCCAACAGGACGCCCTGGAGCTCAGCGACGATTCCGATATCGAAGTCCATCCCAACGTCGACAAGAAGTCTTTTATCCGAGCGAAACAAAGCCAAATCCACATGGAGCGTCAGCAGCGCAAGCAGCGCATGGAGGCGCTCCGGTACGAGGTAGCCCTGCACCAGGTGCTGCTCAAGCGCATCTCGGCGCTGCTGGCGGCCCTCCAGTCACGCGCCTCCGAGGCTACCACCACGGGGGAACCGGGTCAGCTCGCCTTCCAAGCTGTCATGGAGTCGGCGGGCGACGCAAAGGATGACGCCCTGCCGCCCGTGCCCGAGGGCCTCCGCGTGGACCCCAACCAACCCAAGACCTACTCGGCCATGATGGCAGGCTTGCTCGACCAGGTCAACAAGGCCATGGTGGCCAAGCAGCCCGACGACCGCTACACGGCGATGCTTGAGGAGATTCGGGTCCACGAGACGCAGGTGCAGACGCTGATCCGGGAGAGCGGCGACGAGCTGGCCAAGCTGGAGCAGCAGGAGAGGAAGAAAATTACGAGCGCGGATATCCACACGGGCTTCGATAGCTCTTTTGTGAACAAGACGCCATCGGCAGGCGGCGAGTCAACAAAGGTCGAGCTGCTCAACCCCGACTACGACCCGTCAAAAGCCAAGTCCACCGGCAAAGACGACGACGATGACGACGATGACGGCCAGCCGTCGCCGCTCGCCGAAGAGTTTGGCAAGATTCAGGCGGGCAACTACTCGGCGAGCCTCGAATTCCTGGCCAAGCACAGGGAGGTCCTAACGGAGCGGGAGTCGGACGGCCTGCTGATGATCGCTTTTGACGAGGCGCTCGAGGGGCGCGAAGAGAGCGCGCAGCAGTACGTGCACCAGGCGCTGCTGCTGCAGTACTGCCGCTCGCTGGGCCGCGACGGCGTGGCGCTCTTCTTCCGGCGCGTCACCGAGAAGGAGCCCAACAACGCCAAGGACGTCTTCTACAAGGACGTGCGGGACACGCACCAGCGGATCTGCAAGCGCGCGCGCGAGCTCAAGGCCGAGCGCGCCGCCGCGGGGGACGACGGCGAGGCGCAGATCCAGCTTCACGCCGTCGAGCCGGGCACGGTCATCGCGATCAACGTGCCGGAGGCGGACAGCGCGGACCCGGAGGTGAGAGAGGCGCGCGAAATCTTTGAGGGGTTCAGCGAGGAGATGCGCGCGGCGCTCGAGACGGGCGAGCTGGAGCAGGTGAACAAGGTGCTGGGCAAGATGTCCGTGGAGGAGGCGGAGGAGTACGTCAACCTGTTTGGCGAGGTGCGTTTTCTTCCGTTCTTGCTCTTGCGTCTCAAAATTTTACTAACAGTCGGGTCATGTAGGCTGGAATTCTGAGCATGGAAGAGGAGATTATAGATGGGACGACGGCCGAGGGCAGACAGAAGATCGAGGCGCTGGAAGCCAAGCACAGCGCAGAGAAAGCAGCGGAGGAAACGGCGGGAGTGACGAGTGATCCGGAGTAGGCTGTGCTTTTAACTTGAAGCATTATACCGTATACACACAGATTTCGGTCAATGAACATTGGCTACAACAATTGATACTTCTTGTATGAAAACTTGGATCTGAAGACATGTCTTTGGTTTCTTTGTCTTGCTCAACTTTCCTCTGTCGGTTTTCATTCTTCTTTTCTTCACCTCATCATTCAAGTCCTGCACTATGTACTTGAATCTTTTCACCGTGCCGCGCAAAAATGTCCTCCTCCCACTCAGTCAGCAAGCCCATGATCTCGACCGAGTTGTCCCAGCTTGGCGACGGCCGCGGGGCCTCCGTCAGGCCGGCCGCGACGCAGTCCTCGACCCTCTTGACCTGGTGCCCGAACGCGTCCATGCCGCCGCCCGACACGGTGACCGTCTCGACGGCGCCGCCCTTGTACGTCTTGATGCGGAAGACGCTGTCGCCGGTCGGCGGCAGCCACGGGTTGGTCACGAAGGTGAGCGACGCGCGGTCGCCCTGGATCGTGAAGCCAAAGTCGTTGCCGAAGGAATCTGAGGACTGGATCGTGGCCAGCACGCCGACCTCGTGGAAGGACACGGTCAGCGCGGCGTCCCGCGCGTACGTCACGCCGTCCTCCGAGGTGGCCAGCGCGCCGTGGCCGAGCACCGTGCGCCGGCCGGTCCACGCCGCCGGCCCGCCAAACGCCGACTCCAGCACCAGGTGCAGCAGCGACACCGGGTAGCAGCCCAGGTTGTAGATGGTGCCGCGCCCCCGCGGGTTCGCCTTGGCCGCGATGTCCGCCGCGTAGTACCCGGACACGGCCCGGACGCGGCCCAGGCGGCCCTCCGCGAGCACCGTCACCAGCGCGTCCATGACCGGGTGCGACAGGTACATGAGGCCCTCGAGGAGGAAGACGTCGCCGGCGGCGCGCGCGGAGGCCGTCATGGCGCGCGCGTCGGCGAGCGTGGTGGCGAGCGCCTTCTCAGACAGCACGGCCTTCTTGCCGGCGCGCACGGCGAGCGCGACGGCCGAGGCGTGCGCGTGGCTCGGCAGCCCGACGTAGATGACGTCGACGGACGGGTCGGCGAGGAGCGCGGCGACGGAGGCGTGCTGCGTGGGGACGGAGTGTCGCGCGGCGAAGGCGGCGAGGCGCGAGGGGTCGCGACCGAAGACGGCCTGGATGCGGGAGCCGGGGCTGGCGGCGACGGCGCGGGCGACGACATCGCTGATGAAGCTGGTGCCGAGGATGCCCCAGCGCAGCGTGGGGGGCGTCATTTTTGGAGGGCGACAGAAGGAAGAGGGAAGATGTTGGTTCGGGTGAAAGGCTGGTGAGCTTCTGGGCAGTGATATCTCCAAGTACTTATATCTTAAGGCCCCCACGGCAGAACCCACCTGCTTTTCGGGGCTCGGGCTTGCTAGACCTTTTAAGAATTAGTCGAAGGGGTTATTGGATCTACTATTCCGAACTGCTTACCTTGTCCGTTGGCCGTGTTAGTGGTGGAATGGAGTTTGACCGGCGTCTTCCAGCGGCACGGAGCGGGGTTCCAACTCTCACCATCCATCCATCACGCGACAGCCCAAACAATGCTAGGACGCGACTATTGGCGTCTGTTTCTGTCACTATAAAGATGAAGGCACGGCAATTATTCAAGGTATGTTTCCAGAACAAAAAACTGAGAGGTCACAGGCTGGACATTTTGCAAGGCGATACTTGTTAAGCTCTCACCACCGTCGCCCGCCATCAACGACGAGACAGCGTCAACTCCTGGTAGCACATATAAGTCTACCAAGGCGACGAAGAAAGAACATTCGTAAAATTAATGGGTTTCTTTTTTTTTCTTTTTTGACGAAACGTCAAGGCCGTCAAAATCCAACCCCCAGCAACACGGGTCCCGTCATGCCCCCGAGTCGAGCAGCCATCGTCGCTCCGCGATACATTTTGGATCTGTCATCTCGTCAACCGCGTCTTTGTAAAGGACGAAGCGCTGGAAGAAAAACGCCAGGGCAAATACAATGACCACGATGGCGATGGCAAGCTTCACAGGGTTCGCCAGAGCCGGCGACTGATCGTGGTATGCCGAATCGATGAGAAGCTGCAGCAGGGAGAGCACGCCGCCGGTCATGTCCAGCACAAAGGGCAGCAGGGGAAGCCCCCGCGTGGACTTGCGCCGGTAGTTGAGCCAGGTCTGCGGCACGTATCTGAGCAACACGAGGAACGTCTTGATGTTGCTGACGAGGTAGACCTGAAGCGAGAAAAGAAAAGCGTGTCAGTTATAGGTGGGTGGTGGCGCGTCTTGCCCCGAACCCGGCAGAATAAACCTACCACGTCCAGCCACATCCAGCGCTTCAACTCGGGAAGGGTTGCGGCGACAAAAGCTCCGAGGAGCGCGGCGCAGATGCAGTACCAGCACGTCATGGCGCACCAGACGCTGACGCGCGCCGGCGGCCGCGTCCGGTCGAAGTGCCAGAGGCGGGGGTAGAACTGCGAGTAGACGACGGCGGAGAGGGCGAGCCCGTGCAGCGCGTAGGCGACGTCGTTGGCGCGGACGGGCGGCGTCGGGCTGGCCGGGTTGCGGGCGGCGTACTGCCGGCGGACGACGGGCGCGAGGGCGAAGGCGAGGTTGTAGACGGCGTACGAGACGGCGCCGAGCACGTCGAGGAGGCAGAAGTCGATGGACAGGCCGTCGGTGGACCGCCGGCGGTAGTTGTTGACCATGAACGGGTAGAAGGAGACGGTCCAGAGGGCGGCGGACGTCCAGCCGGCGAAGGCGGAGAGACGGGCCATGTCAGGAGGCATCACGGGCTCGGAGGGTAGACTGGCTATGGATACGTGTGCGGTGCTGAGCGGCGCAAAGTGCCATGTGTAAAGTCGACCCTTTCCAACTGATATAGACGGCGCGGTACCGCAGACAATATACCGCAATTTGGGAGACGCATGGAGAGCGGCAGCAATGCCGATCAACTCGTCTTCCTACTTTCTTCCTACTCCATCCATCCATGTCTCTACCTCGTTTGGGGGGGTTACACCCTGGGCCCTTGTTTCTCCATATGTCCTGTCCTGCAGTGGCTTGATCGTGCTTTTCCGCTACCCATCCCTCGTCATCCCCCTGCCCGGCGACCGTCTAGATACCATGGCCCGTGGCCGGGGGGAGAGAGCGGTGTGATGCTTCCAGCATTCTGCAGGCAGATATGCATGCAGGTTTTTGCGACAAGTGTCGGACTGAGAGGGAAACACTTTCGAATTCCCATCATCAAACGAGCAAATGTTTGCGCGGAGGACCACCTACCTCGAAGTACATGAACACAAGGCTTTGCAGCAGACAAGGACAAAGCCCAACATGAATGGCGCCCAATGTCAAGCTGCGTCCAGATGAGCCCTGGTGCTGCCAGTGGTTGTACCATCTATCCCCGTTACACACATGACTATGACTATGCATGAAGAGGTGCAAGATTTGGGCCTGACGGAGAGTTCGAGAGCGCACGCTGCGCAGCTTGCGACGTTGCCGCTGTTGCCCGCTGTCCCGCGCCAGCCTCATCCATCCATGATGGATAGACAGGGTCTCCCGCCTGAGACACAGATGGTGAGGTCGAGGCTGTTGTTTGCGTCAGCTGATGGCTTCTGGGGGCCCGCGTGGAAGCTGCATGTTTTCAATGTCCGGTTTTGCAACGAAATGTCTCGGGCGCTCCCGCTGTTCATGCCCAGTAGGCTGTGACAGTAGCCATGTACCTCCTACCATCAATGGCTTTGCAAAGGCACGACAGCCGGCTGACTAGATGCAAGCCACGAGTGATGATGGCCGCAAGTCTGGTGCGGATGGCAGACGGAACGGCTTCTGCATCACTGCTGCACGCGGCTGCAACATTGTGCCTGGAGCCAGCTGAGACTGCGCAAAACAGACAAGCGGCATGCAAGCCAAGTCCACGTATCACCACCATGCAACATAACGGCCACGCCAGCTTGCCACATTTTCTGCGCTCGGCATGTCCCTGGCATGGCAGAAATCATCCGGAATCGATACTAGTCGTGCAGAGATGAGTGAAATGCCACGATGGCGCTTTCCTCTTTCCCCGGTGTCATACTCGGACATGTCCATCAGTTCGTAGCGGCAGAGCAGCAAATATGCAGTGACGGCAACAGCGTGCCGCCCACGGAGATTTTTCCCGTCTGCCACATGATGAGCGATACTGTTACATGTGTAATCTATACATACATATCTTTCGTCGATCTTATCAGGACATGTTATGCCGCGACAAAGCTGCATCTCACTCACCGCCAGTGCAGTTTCACTTTAGTCGACTCTCAGCGAACAGCTTGCTCTGCTATGGACTATATGAGGCTGGGGCTCACCCACGGAGGATGCACGCGGCTCAATCAAGCATGAGGGTTCACTCGGCGGTCGCATGTAGCTGGCGGTTTGAGGTGAGCCGGCAGTAACAGTCGAAGCGGGACAGCGAATACTATAATCTGCACGGGGCAGCGGAATACGAAACCTACATCCCCATCCCGATGCCGAGGCACCTAGTGTAGGGTATGAGCATAGATGCATCTAGACATCGGTGATTTTAAAGGGACAGCGACGACCGTCATCTGGCAAGGCCTCTTGCCTGCTGTGAGGTCATGATGCAAACTCACACTTGGAGCATCATTAAGATAGTCAGATATGCCTTTGTGAGCAGAGTGGCCTCTGTCCCACCCGCATCGGTCTGGCACATACAACTAGACTAGAGAGATATTATACTGCAACCTACGAGGCGGCCATCCATGGCTCAGGGCTCACTGCTATTCCCATCACCAGCACGGATAAACCGGTGCTCGCAAGGTCGTGTATTCTCGCGCACTCGTGTTATAGCCGGCGGACGGTGAGCCTCTGTCCTTGATCACGATTTGCAGCAAAGTATGCATGGCATGCAGTAAAGCTGATAGATATACCGTCAGTCTATGCAGGTCTTGGTGCCTGGAGCGAGATGCGGCATGGTGAGAGCCCTGTCTCGGGCATCCGGCGAATGCGAGTCCAGAACCGGCTGGTCCGCTGGAGGTACAGTAAGCCACTGCGGTTCGTCTTCATGTCTATTGATAGAAAGGATGGAGAGTCGACGGTAAGACCAGCAATTGCACAGAGTTGAACAAACATCCGCAGCTCATCTCCCCCTCGTATGCCAAGGTAAAATGATATGCATATATACGGGTCGCGCATATATCGAGGAAATCTTCCCGTTTATTGCATGAGTCAAAACCCGTAACTAGTGGGCAAGAACAAGGCACGGTGGTTCCCCACCAAGCCCGGCTGAATAGCGGATGCTGCTGCATTTGGCCCAAAGGTCTGTGTCGCTCCGCCGAAACGCGCGACCCCATAACCACTTACTAGCAATTATCGCGGGCCATACGACGCGTCGTTTGCGCATCACCTCATCACGGCTTCTTGTCGCCGCCAGCAAGTAAAGTCGAGGCGCATTCATTGCACGCCGCCAAGTTGCGCCCGAGCGCCCGCGCAATACATAATGTATATTAAACAAATCATCATTCAAGGCTTCAAGAGGTTTGTCCCGCCCACCTTCCCACCCTCGTCCACCAACAACTCCCCCTCTAACCCGCGCCACAGCTACAAGGACCAAACTGTCATTGAGCCCTTCTCGCCCAAGACCAATGTCATCGTTGGTCGCAATGGCTCCGGCAAGAGCAACTTCTTCGCGGCGATCCGCTTCGTCTTGAGCGATGCCTACACCCAGATGAGCCGTGAGGAGCGCCAGGGCCTCCTCCACGAGGGGTCCGGCTCTGCTGTCATGTCCGCCTACGTCGAGATCATCTTCGACAACAGCGACGATCGCTTCCCCACAGGCAACAAGGAGGTTGTTCTCCGACGCACAATCGGCCTGAAGAAGGACGAGTACTCTGTCGACCGCAAAGTCGTCACAAAGACCGACGTCACCAATCTTTTGGAAGCCGCCGGCTTCTCTCGCTCCAACCCATACTATATTGTACCCCAAGGTCGCGTCACGGCCTTGACAAACATGAAGGAATCCGACCGACTGAACCTGCTCAAGGAGGTCGCAGGTACACAAGTTTACGAAGCGCGCCGTGCCGAGTCACTCAAGATTATGAACGAAACAAACAACAAGCGCGAAAAAATCGACGAACTCCTCGAATATATCAAAGAGCGACTAGCCGAGCTCCAGGAAGAGAAGGAAGAGCTACGTGGCTTCCAGGACAAGGATCGCGAAAGGCGCTGTCTAGAATACGCCTACCACCACCGAGAACAAGTCACCATCCAATCGGCGCTCGAGGATATCGATAACGCGCGGCAAGACGGCCTCGATACTACCGATTCGCGCCGCGCTGAATTCCTCCAGGGCGAAAAGGCGCTGTCCAAGCTTGATGCCGAAATTCATAAACTGCAGCGCCAGATTGAGCTTTTGCAAATCGACCGCCATCAGCTCGAAGAGGACCGCCGTGATAGTGCCAAGGGTCTGGCGAAAATTGAGCTCAAGGTCAAGAATCTCAAGGAAGGTCAATCGGCCCACGAGCAAGCACGCACTCAGCAGGCCGCGGAGCTGCAGGCAGCGCAGAGCGAGATTGCGACCAAGGAGAAGGAGCTCGCTAAGCTCCTCCCCAAGTACAACAAGAAGAAGCAAGAAGAGAATGACATTCGCAGACAGCTTGACGGCGCCGAGGGTGCCCGTGGCCGTCTTTTTGCCAAGCAGAACCGAGGATCTAGGTTTAAGAACAAGTCCGAGCGTGATGCCTGGCTGAAGCAGGAAATAAACGAACTCACTGCCACTACCAGCAGCCAAAAGGCGAATCGCTTGGACGCAGACGAGGAAGTGCAGCGCGTTCAGCAGATTATTGCGCACGGTGAGAAGGAAATTGCCGAATTGCGATCTCGTCTCGCCAACTGGAGCAACGACAGAACTGGCTACGCTGACCAGGCTGCCGAGGCTAGGCATACTCTGGATCAACTAAATGACGAACGCAAACTCCTCCGCCGTGAGGATGACAAGCTTAATTCTATCATCTCCAATGCACGCCAGGAGAGAGAGCAAGCTGAGAGAGAAATGTCACACGCAGTAGACGGAGCCACTGCTCGCGGTCTGACGACCATCCGACGGTTAAAGCAAGACCAGGATATTCCTGGTGCCTACGGTACGCTGGCTGACTTGCTCCAAGTCAACGAAGCATACCGCTTGCCGGTCGAGCAGATTGCTGGCGCCAGCCTCTTCCACTATGTCGTCGACAACGCCGACACGGCTACATATTTGGCCGATACCCTGTTCAAACAGCGCGGTGGACGAGTCACATTCATGCCTCTGGCACAGCTTCGACCGCGGCACATCAACATGCCAAAGTCAAGCGACGCGGTGCCGCTTCTAAGCAAGATTACCTTTGACCCCATGTATGCAAAGGCGTTCCAGCAGGTGTTCGGAAAGACTGTTGTTTGCCCGAACCTAGCGGTGGCTGCCCAGTATGCGCGCAGTCACGGCGTCGACGGTATTACTGTGGAGGGCGACACGACAAACAAGCGAGGTGCCATGACTGGTGGCTATATTGACCCTAGAAAATCAAGGCTCGAAGCAGTGCAGGCCGCCAACAAGTGGCGAGCCGAATTCGATGACTTGGTGGCAAAGTCCCGCGACTTGAGAGAGCAGATTGAGCGCAAAGACCAGGAAATCACGGCAGCCATGTCCAACGTTCAAAAGGCGGAGCAGAAGCTTCGACAGGCTGAGGATGGCTTCGAGCCATTGAAGCATGAGCTGCGAAACAAGACTGCACACATTGAGAGTGAGAGAGCCCACCTCGACTCCGCCCTGAAACGCCGTGATGCCGTGGAGAAGAACATGAGTGGTTTCATGGATGAGATTGCGGCGCACGAAGCCGAAATGGGCACTGAATTCAAGAAGAGTCTGACTTCCGCCGAAGAGCAAGAGCTTGAGAGCCTGACGTTGACGGCTCAGCAGCTTCAGCAACAGTGGAATGAAATCAGCAATACCAGACGAGAGTTGGAGCGCAGGAAACAGTTCCTGGAAGTTGATCTCCGCCAGAACCTGCAGATGAAGCTTGATCAGCTAAATAGTCAGGCATTTGAGAACTCGGCATCGGCTGGTACGTCTGGGGGCTTGGGCGATGCCCAAAAGGAACTCAAGAAGGCGCAAGCAACCCTAAAATCAGTCACTGAGAGCCTGCACGAAGCGGAACAGCAGATTGAAAGTCTCACAACACGCGCCGAGAATATCAGCGCCGAACGCTCCCAGCGCGAACAAATGCAGAACGAAATCTCTGCGCGGATAGAGAAGCAACAGAAGCGCCTGGAGAAGAGCTTGCAACGCAAGGCCCTCCTCACGACGCAGGCGGCAGAATGCGCCAAGAACATTCGCGAGCTGGGCGTGCTGCCGGAGGAGGCGTTTGACAAGTACGAGAACATGGAGGCCAACGTGATCACGAACAAGCTCAAGAAGGTCAACGAGGCGCTGAAGAAGTACAAGCACGTCAACAAGAAGGCTTTTGAGCAGTACAGCAACTTTACGCAGCAGGAGGACCACCTGATGAAGCGCCGCAAGGAACTCGATGCGTCGCAGGGCTCCATCGAGGAGCTTGTGGAGCACCTGGACCGCCGCAAGGACGAGGCGATTGAGCGCACGTTCAAGCAGGTGTCCAAGGAGTTTGCGACCATCTTCCAGAAGCTGGTGCCCGCCGGCCACGGCCGCCTCGTCATCCAGCGCCGGACCGACCGCCGCCAAGACGTCGACGAGTCGGACGAGGAGGCCCGCGGCAGCGTCGAGAACTACATTGGCGTCGGCATCAGTGTCTCCTTCAACTCCAAGCACCTGGACGAGCAGCAGCGTATCCAGCAGCTCAGCGGTGGTCAAAAGAGTAAGCCCCCCTCCCGTGCCCCCTCCTCCCCCTTGGTTCCCCCGGTTTTCAACGACACTAACCTCCTTTGCCCACAGGTCTCTGCGCTCTGTGCCTGATCTTTGCGCTGCAGCAGACGGAGAGCAGCCCCATGGTCATCTTCGACGAGGTCGACGCCAACCTGGACGCGCAGTACCGCACGGCTGTCGCCGCGCTGCTCGAGTCCATCTCAGACGAGGCCGGCACGCAGTTCATCTGCACCACGTTCCGCCCCGAGATCGTGCACACGGCCGACAAGTGCTACGGCGTCACCTTCCACAACAAGACGAGCGGCGTCAACTGCGTCCCCCGCGAGGACGCCCTCAACTTCGTGGAGGGCCAGGCCAAGCCAGCGGCGGCGTGAGGAGAGAGACGCAGAAGGCGAAGGATGAATGAACTATCGGACATGACATGTTGTGGGTTTTGGCTCCAAGGCGGCGCGAAGTTGGCTGGCAAGGGATTTGGTGTCGATTGTTGAATTTCTTTGGCTCGGAGTATGTGGCGTTGAAACAGGGGTTTTTGACTTTGTGTAAAGTTTTGGCTGGATATCCTGTGATGGAAAAGGGTTTCCTGACCTGTTGTCTTTTTTTTTCTCTTCTGTTTTTTTTTCGGGCCCTTTTGTTTTACCATTCTTCATATTATGTATCATCTCGAGGGTTCAAGATTTGCTTGGCTCGCAGTCCGAGTTAGCCGTGCAAGTGACCAGATAGTAGAGAAACATACACCATCACTCATATTTGTTCAACTTGATGTGCCATTGTCGTTTTGATGTGCATTGTTAAAGACAAAAAAGTATAGAGAAACAATCGCATAAAGCGACGGTTATTGTACATTGTCCTTGGTCACGAAGAACCAAGTCCCAATCTTGACCTCCCCGATCCTCCCACCATGCAGGTATTTTATACACTTTTCTTTTCTACAACCTGGCACCTCCGATCTCCGTCTCGCCGCATTACTCATCTTACACCCATGTGCTGCCTCTACCGATCCGACAGCATGTTGCGCACGCCGCGAAAGTACGTCCCGGGCAGCTCCTCCTCGAGCTCTTCGCGCGTCAGCCACTTGAAGTCGGTGTAGCCGAGCGAGTTGCCGCGGAGGTCGGCCTGGCCGGCCATGATGCGGCCGCGGAGGAAAAAGGTCTTGCGACCCTTCTCCTGGACGGCGCCGTCGGCGGCGAGCGCGGGCGCGTCGACGAGGTGCGCGACGGGGACGCGGCCGACAATCCAGGTGTTCATGTTGACACCAGCGGCCTGGTCGAGGACTCGCCGCGCGGCCTATTTTGGTGTGTTAGCTAGCTACTTCCTTTCTCCCTTTTTCGCCTTCGCTACTTTTCCAGAGCTTTTTTTTTTCTGCGCTGCCAAGGGAAGAGGAGCAGAAGGGAATGCATGTACGTACCACGTGGAGGTTCTCAGACTCGGCCAGGACGTCGGCCGGGAAGCCCCAGCCGTCCTTGCCCTTGACGACCAAGTACAGCGTGCGATCCAGCTTCCTGTCCAGACGCCTCACGTCCCCCTTCCTGTCCGCCTCCGTCTCCCGCGGCGCCGGCGCCGGCGCCTCCACCAGGTCCTCCGCCTTGATCACCTCGGCATCGTCGCTGACGCGCGCCTGCGCGTCCTTCAGCAGGCTCGCCGTCGCCGTCTCCGGCGCGCTCAGCGCGTCCCCAACCAGCAGCTCGTCGTCCCAAGCGGTGGCCGCGTTGCCGCGGCCGCGGTACTCGCCGAGCTCCTTGGCGGCGGTGCCGCCGCGCTCGCGCACCTTGAGGTCCCAGTCGAGGCGCCGCGGCGTGTCGGGCTTGTAGTAGATGGAGGGGATGAAAGGCGAGGCGAGCCGCTCCTCGAGCCGCTTCTGGTAGAAGAAGAAGGCGCTCTCGAAGGGGTGCAGGGGACGGGTGAGCAGCGGCGGCCGGGTGAGGATCAGCCCGGAGCGGATGTCGTAGGCGCCGGGGGCGGGTTGTGAGGAGATGGGGGAGGGGGCGCTCGCGGCGGCAGTTTCGGAGACGGTGGCGGCAGAGTAGAAGCGTACGGGTGCGACCCTTGTGGCAGCGCAGCGGGAGCAGATGCTGGAGGAGGAAGCTGGTGGTAGGGTTAGCAAAGGGAACCAGTGTCAAGGGGATCCCTTTTTTTTGCTGGCCGTTTGAGCTTTAGGGGCGAGCCAATTGAGAGACAAGAGCAGTGTCGGAGGAGAATAAAAGACTCACATGATAGCACGGATCGTAGTGCCCGGCTTCCCCTGCTAGATGAAGACATGGCTTGTGGTTGGAGTTGGTTCTCTGTCCCCCAGACTGCGCAAACGTGGGAAAGATTTTGGTGTTGCTCTCTTGCTAGACGACTTTCGTTACCCACTCAGTGTCAGTCCTCCCCCAATTAGCACGCGACCGAAAGAGCTTCACTGATGACCAAAAAAAGCTGCTTAGGTAATTTGCACCTGAATCTTCAGGCCCCTCAGCATTGCCAGCGTGCCCACCAAAGTAAAAAGGAGAGCCACCGCCGCCAGCCACAAGACTTTCTTCTCTTCTCCTCTCTTCAAGGCACAGTTTTCCTTATCGTCAAGACTTGTTTGCATACCCCCAAAACGTCCTGATCATTTCACAAGTGCCGAGAGAGAATCCCTAGAGCAGTCTTTTTCGCTAGCGGCACCTGCATTTTTAACCTTACCGGGTCCTGTTAGATAGATACTGCTCACATGTCACGTAAAACTCTTGCATCTTGATGGGCAGTCCCCATTTTTGCTCTGTAGGCGCATCGTCGTGGGAAACTCCATGCGGCGTGTGTTTATTTTGAATGTTAGAAGCATTGTCCAATCGACAACAGGTGATCGATACATCATCTCTCCGAAACGCCAGCCGGCAAAGGCCGACACCCTCTATGTGCTAGTTAAAAACAATCGCCTTCATCAGAAAATGACCCTCCAAGCCCTTGAAAACAAACGCCTTGCTTTCGTCACCGCTTTGTCTGAAAAATGTGATCAGACCAAATTGAAAGGAAAAAAATGCAGTTCATATAGCCAATGAGTATTGGAGACATTATTGTCGCCGGGAAGGAAAAATGAACGCCATTTTGCCTGTAATGTGATGCTGGCGCGCCTTCGCGCTGCCGTTTTTGCATGGTAGGGTATCAAACCACTGCAATGTGCATCGCCGCAGGAAGAAAAACACTCAAAAGGATTGCGCAACGCCAGACGTTCAATCCAAAACAGCAAACGATTGTATAATACAACTTGTCGTCTTAGGCCTGCGGCTTGTCATCATGTTATGCGGCTGTCAGATCAGACATGGCTTGCGCGACAGCCTGGTCAGCTCTTTGCTCCCATCTGCGTCGGGTCGCTTCGTCAAGCACCGAGGCATCTTTCACTTCTTCGTAGAGCCGCCGAGAGATGTCTCGGTTGATGGTAGCATACTGCTCTGTGGTCAGCTTCTGCGCACGCCAGTGTGGCCGCAGAGCCGACTTAACAATATCATTGATGCTTTTCTTGTCTTCTTGGGTCATGGTGAGCCTGGTCGGGGAGCTATCTTCTGTGCGACCAATGGTGGATTGCGGTCGGCGAGGTCGTGGCTGACGGATTTCCACGGTGCGGCTTGTATTCGGGCGCGCAGGCCGCGACTCGGCGTCACTATGGTCACTGTTGTACCGATTGGGCGAGTAATTGGCAGGGGCATACACGGGTTCAATGTGGGTACTGAGGGAAAGCGTTGGGGAGGTAGGACGCCCATTCAGTCGTGGGAGAGGGGGTGGTGTTAACGACATGGCCCTTGGGCTGCTGTGGTTTGAAGGTGATGGTGATAGGGCGGGGGATAGGGCAGGGGATAGGGCGGGTGAGGATGCATCCGGCATGTGCCGTGCAGGAAGTGCGGCACCGTTCTCGTCTTCGAACAACATACTAGGCTCTAGTTCCTTGAGAAGGGCAGAAACCAGGGCCGGTTCGCTTGGTGTTTGATGGAGTTGTGCTGTTCGCGAGGGCGAAGCATGACCAGGAGATGCTGCAACGGCCGGTCGAGCCTGCTGGTTGGAAGGACCGGCCGCAGCTGGCGATGAGGCGGATGCAGAAGCCTCGCCGTGTGTAGGTAAACGACGAGTTCGGGGGCGTTTAAGCTTTCTCTCGGGCTCGGGAGCGGGCTCGGCCGGGGATGCGATGGATGATGGCGCCTTGCGTTTGCGCCCGTTAAAAGATGTAGTAATAGTGCCTTCGGCTTCACGGGCCATCTCAAGGGCACCCCAGGCCCTCCTTTCATCACGAGTCTCCTGTATAGGCGGAGGGGGTGGCGGGGTTGCGACAGGTTGCAAGCGTTGGCTAATCTGGGGAGGGATGGTGCTGACAAAGGCGTCGCGGGCGCCAAGACGGTTGGCTATGCTCATGCGCTGCTGCCAGCGTTGAAGCTCATGGCGATCGAGCTGCTGGAAGCGACGGAAGTTTTCGAGATCCTCGTCCTCATCATCGTGGTTGTCAAGGTCGAGGTCACTCATCTCGTAGAAGCGACCAGAGAACTGGCCCCACGCACCTTGCCACTCAGCATTGCGAGCCTGTCGACGAGCCCGGCGCAGTCGCGCACGAGTCCGAACGTGCGAGCCGCGATGTTGGCGAGGAGCCGGGCGGTGAGCCTGCCTGGGGCGTGATTGGGGAGTTTCGGAATCGACGGTTTGGGAGCCGTTTTGTGATTCCTCTGTGAGCTCGAAGAGGTGGGAGCATTCCATGCAATACCAGTCGCCATCGGGGATGTAATCGAGTCCGATGCAGTGCGTATGGTAGGCTGCATCGCAGCTGTCGCACAAGAGCAATATATCTTCCCGTTCGGCCGAGTTGCAGACAGGGCAAGGGTTGGTGTCGTCGTCTTCGTCTTGGGCGTTGTCACCAAGCCACTGCTGGACATCGAACTCGGCAACCTGCTTCTTGTCTACTACTGTATATGTCGAAACGGCAGTTCCTAAAGCAAATGAATAGGTTAGCAAGTGAACAAGCATTTTAGACAGAAGAAGGGTGTCATGGCTTTTGGCATCGAGGGCGGGTGCGAGGCGGGTGTGACTGTCATACCATCATGGCCATTGTAGACGCGCACAGAGTGGAACGGGGTCCTGCATATAGGGCAGGTGTTGGTCTTGTTGGCCCACGAGCGAATGCAGGCATCGTGAATAATGTGTTCGCAACCGTCTAAGGCGGCGACAATGTCGAGATAGCTATCATCGGGGTCGGAGACTTGGGCTTGGAGGGCGAGGGTAACGGAGTCGTCAGATGAGGATGCGTTCAAGTTGCCCGGCGTCGGTAGGTGGTCCAGGCATATGATGCACTGGTCAGGTTCAGACATGGTGCCGATTGCGACAATACGGGCCTGAGTCTGACGAAATCATGTAAAATCAAGAAGAGGGATGAGGAGAGGATGGCAATGGAGAAGAATAGATAGGTAGTATTTAAAACGAGGAGAGAAGACGGTTGGTAGAGATGAGGGTGACGACTTGTTTGGTGCAGCGAGTGTTAGTGGGTGGTGGGTGATGGGTGGTGGGTGATGGGGAGGTGGGTGATGCTTGAGGACAACCTTGAAGGCAATAAATGTGCAGGGCGTGTGAACGGTACAGCGAGCGGTGCAGCAGCACGACTAGCGGAAGTTTTAGTGGAAGGTGCCTGTAGAGCTTCGTAGAGTTGGGTGGAGTGGCGCTGGTCTGGTGGGACAACTCGAGGCCGAGCAAGCGGAAAGAACAAAAAGAGGACAGGACAGGCAGGGGAAAATGGAAGGGAAAGGGAAGAGGGAGGAGGCACGCAGTAGCGACGGCGGGGGACAGGCAGGAGGCGGGCGGTCGTTGGTGGCAGATGGGCAAGTGTAACCACTCCAGCAGGTAAAGTTACCCAGGCAGCGTTAGTACCTCTACCTCTCTTCAGCAGGCAGAACAAACACTGACAGCGCGATGGATTAGTTGGGTAGACGGTTACGTTCGAAAACAGCCATATCTCTCAGGCAAAGCATCCTTACCTACCTAGGTAATAATAGCAACCCAAGAAAAATAAACAGCAGGCAGAGGTTGAGAGAGCGCGGCCAGATGGAGACTGACACAGGTAGACAAACCTGCAACGGCCAAGTCAGGCACTTCCAGTTCATGTCCCCGTCTGGGTAAGGCACACGACGCCGTCACGAGCCCCACCGGTGAGCCTGAGGTAGGTACTATACCTACAGTACATAGGTACATAGCCTATTGCCCTCCAGGTGTGTAGGTACCTCTAACGTTAACTAGCGTCAGTGTATTATCTTGGGTACCTGCACGCAAGAGCACAAGTACAGACATAGTTAGTGCCTCTCTAACCATACTTTTCAACTACTTTAATAAATCAAAGAAAACATAAATTACCTACCAAAGCAGCATCTATCTTTGCCGTCATGTTGCAACTCGGTACCTACCTACTTTAGTATGTAGGAGGGCAAAGAGGTCATCAATCGGCCCAGTGGGGCTGCTCCTAACCTCAGCTCCCTCTGCAATAATCGCCCACGAACAGCAAGCCTCCAAATGCAAGAACGTTTCTTATCCGCCTGAAAATACTATGTAGACAAAAGCCACTCGTTTCCGCTTAACTACTTAACTACTCCAGTTCCTTGCAGACCGACCAAAATCCAAATCATCAGGTACACCCGGTGGCTCCATGCTGGGGTTCGTCCATGCTATCCTACCCTGCCAGCCCCGCCTACCTGGGTACCTCAGGTACCTGATTGTGGTCGGTGAGTACATGAGATAGAGTCGTGCGAGGCACTCAAGAACCTCGAGAAACTTATCGCGCCCCCATTGCCAACGCATTCAACCACTCACTCCCTGCCATAATAAAACAAAATACTAACAAGTGCCACCGCCGCCGCCGCCAAGCCCCCTCAATTCTCGCGGAATGTGCTACCTAGGTATGCACAAGTAGCAGCTAGGTAGTCGTGCATTTGAGACACCCTGGCCAACGACCAGTTACCGCCCGTAACCCAAGCCCCAGTTCCACCATCCATCACCGACAGTGCCTAGGTAGGCAGGTGACTTGCAGGCGCGGCAGCCATTCGCCCGCAAACCTTTGATTTCCATACCCAAACACCTTGGTAGGGATATCTCTGCACGCAATAGATCCAGATGCACCTTCATGGCTCCCCACACTGGTCTGCTCTCCATGCGGCGCTGCCCACGAGAACGACATCGGCTTCCCCCAGCTGTTTGCTACCGTGCAGCGACTCTCACGTCCCTCACCACCGACGTGACCAGAGCCACTGCTGTCGCCGCAGCCAGAGCCGTGTCTAGCAGGGCGTCCTTGCCCTCCCGCAGCCTCAATCCCAGGCCCATGACTTGGAACGCGAAGCAGAAGAACAGCGCGTACGAGCGCGTGGCCCGCACCAGCGCCAGCGTCGCCAACGCCGCGTCGACGTACGGGATGAGCCGCGTCGACTCGTTATCTGGCGCCCGATCCAGCTGGTACTCGTAAAAGGCTGGTGTGTAGACGCCGTGTGTGAGGCGGCTAAGGGCACCCAGGTACACAATGGCCACAACGGTGTGCGTCGCCACTGCGCCTGCAGCCTGTGTGAAGGTGGACAGGGCCATTGGAGGTGGTCTTGGCTGGCGTGTGTATGTACTGGTAAGGCGAATCAAATGGAAGGCGATTTGATGCAAGTCAGCTTGAACTAGGCGGCATTGATGACCACATACCTACATCTAGCTACCACAGTCATCACTTATTACCAGGCTACGGCTACGAAGTACGTAAGCGAGCCGGACACGGCAAGGCTAAGTGACTAAATTTATCTGGTGGAAGCCTCTCTCTGCCATACTACGCACATCGTTACAGCGCCAATCACATCAAGCAGAATCACGATTCGGGGGCCATGCAATGCTGCCCATAGCCAAGCAGTTCACTCTACCATGCTCCAGCACATACGGATACACTCAACCCAACTAACTATCTTGTAACACTAAATGCCACGGAAATAATGTCTCCCCCTGCAGTCGTAGCATGGCCTTGGACCTAATAAGTATTTCCAGAGCCATGAATACAACATCTTTGTTTCATGAAGCCTACGGGAAGGAAATACATAGTTCAACAAGCCGGTTAGTGGCTTTCGATGCGCAGGGTCAACCACCAAGACAAACCTCACGTACAGGCTACAGCCGTTTAGAGCCCAGAACAGGGCCCTGGTTAGAACAGTAAAAAGCCCATGATTTGCTAAGTTTGATTCATGGATTCTCGGCCGATGGGCTGAAACAGTTCCGTACCTCATGCGCGCCCAATTTACATGTACCTGTGCTCATCAAGGGTTGCCTTGCATACTATGTACCAGCATCGGTGGCGCCGACTCACCAACCCACCTACCACCTGAATCGCAACATATCGGAGAAGCACAGATCTGACTGCTTTCCCCTACTTTTTCGCATACCTGCAGCTCCAAGCCATGCTCGCCGTAATCATGGCCAGGCCGCCGTGCACACCCGCCACAAGCCGTCAAGTCAAAGCTGCAAAGAGCCAATCACCGCCCAGGTCGGTGACATTTCTGGCCGTTACCAACACACCACAGCCCTTCGTTGCCTGCCTGCCTGCCTGCCTGTTCGGAAAGGCTCGTAACCGAAAATAGCCCCCTTGCCCTCGACCTCGTTCCCTTCTGCACGTCATTTGGGCCATCCTTGGGCTCCTTTGCCTTCAAGCCTGACCACACTTGGTGGAGAGTCAGATCGACGCCTCCTCCCTCTCGCCTCGCGTCATGCAACCACGTGGTGCACCCGCGACGCAGCGCTAAAAGCAATCTACAAGCCAACAAGTCGGTCAGCAGTCAGGCGGATGTGATGAGGCGTGACAATGCAAATGGCCAGTCTACCGGTCCAGCAGGATTTAATTTGTTCGTAGGCACCGTCCTCCTAGTAAATCTGTCCGATGTCGCACATCTGTGCACGAATTGCTCATTCCAGGACACGTTCCAGCGCAGCGATTCTGAAGGATTCCGTCAAAGCAGTGCTCGCATCGTATCGCCTCGTCAAAATCCATCCACCACGGTGCCGCAACCTAGGACCGTTAGTTGATTCACGCCGGTGCAATGGCCACGATCGATGCACCCAAGTTGGGTTGACAGCGCGAAGAACAGCGGCAAGTCACATCGGAACCCCAAATCAAAACGCAAACGTTGATAGAATAAAGCACCCAAGGCTGGTCGTTGCAAAGTTTTTTGTTTTTTTCATTGCTTTACCGACTTGACCTCTTGTGGTCGAAGCCGATGTGTCGAACATACAAAATATTTCGTCGACTCGTAGTGCAGGCACGCAAAGCCATGCTTCCCCGTACACCAAGACCGAAAAAAAAGCAAATGCCGTATATGTCCACCGGAATTTTTGTTTTCCTTCATCAACCCAAACTCCCATCGTCCCCTCCTTTAAACCTCGGCAATCTCTCGCAGACGACGCAGAGTCGAGCGCATGGCGGCAGCGGCAGGAGTGCTGTGGCCTAATGTTAGTCTTGGTTTTCTTTTCGCTCGCCGTGACTGCCTTTATTCTAGGACTTGGTCGTTGTGCGATGTTCCAGGGACGCTTGTCGGGTCGTCGAGGGAGAGAAGTGGGAAGGACGTACGCAACGGTGTAGGCGCCACCGGCCATGGTGCGCTTGCAGGAGCGGCAGTTCCAGATACCGGTGGACTGGCGGCGGACGGTGACCTTGCCGCAGAAAGTGCAGGTGTACTTGGCGTGCTGGCTGACTTCCATCTTCTTGACCTGCTTACGCAGGGAAGCACCGTAGCTGTGCGCAAAACGAGTTAGTGTCATGATGGACGTCGAGTTCGTCTTCGTAAGTTCGATTCGAGCCCGTAAATTAGTCGTGTGTCGTTGATCTGCGAGCCATGTGTATCCTAGCGAAACAAGAACGGAGGTGCGCCCCTCATTGCAAGTTGCTGTTGACCCATCGTCGAGCCGTACATTGTTTCCGGAGAGGATCGTTATTGTTGCAATCAATACATGGCGCATAGAAAATTCTTGTCGACTTCAGGTACTGAATTGTCGTACTCGTCGTCCACGGGATATTGCTGGATCGAATCGAACATCGAAGACATGTGTATAAAGTTTTTTTTTCGTCGACTTACCGAGTGCCGTACTTGCCGCTGTAAAGAGTAATTAGCAACCAGATCAAATAAAGTCTTCGGGCTCCATAGCTATACGTACGTAACTCCGACCTTCTTCGTGCGCTTGGTCATTTTGGCGGTGGTATGTGATTTGGGTGGTTGAGGTTGAGAGTCTGAATGCGCTTCCCGGAACGGTTTCCACCAAAGGCAAAGTTGCGAGTTGTGATTTTCCTTAGGGCAAGCACGTGAGTTCGTTGTGGGCGGGCCAAGCGAATTGGATTTGGTGGGCTGCCTTGTGGGCGATAAAATTGAGCTGCAAGTCACGGGACAGATCACGTGAAAATAACTTCCAAATGCGGCTTAGTCTTTCTGCTCGGAGCTTCAACGCGATGTTGATGCTACCGAGGTACATAGCTTGGTAGGAACTTGCGGACTTCCCGCCACGTTTTCTAATGCTGCCTGTTGCGTCAATGGCTCCCGCAATTAAAAGTAATGATTTTGTAGAATAGTAATGTATAGACAGCATTTTCTCTCCTACAACAGGTTGCACTCAATTCCATCTCTGCCACCCGAATCCTACATATCCAGGTGTATTGTCGAAGCTTTCCTGCGACGCAGCCGCTGCACCTACGTACCTACCTCTCTGTCCCCCCACGACTCCCCGCGTCTCATCAACATCAAATCAACTTGCTTTACTTCGTATCATTCCACGTTATATATCTCCCCGCGAGCTGTATTTCATCGATACAATGGCACCTCGCAGGCAGAACCGAAAATACGACATCGTCGTCCTAGGCGCCACAGGTACTTTTCGTCGACGCGGCTGCGGCTCCACGACAGCACCACTAATGGCGCAACAGGCTACACGGGTCAGTTGACGGCTGAACACATTGCCTCGAACCTGGCAACCAACATCAAATGGGCCGTCGCAGGCCGATCTGAGTCCAAGCTACAGGCTATAGTTGAGGATTGCAAACAACACAACGCGGACCGCCCCCCACCAGGTGAGTACTAAAGTTGCGACAGCTCTTGTTATTGTCGTCAGCTGGTGAACCGTCGCTGACCAGAACGCATTCTACAGGCATTGAAATTGCCGATATTGGTGACGAAGAAGGCCTCAAGGCTCTTGCCGTCAAGACCAAGGTGCTCCTGTCGACTGTTGGCCCTTACTGCAAGTATGGCGAAAAGGTCTTCAAGGTCTGCGCCGAGTCGGGCACTCACTACTTTGACGTGACTGGGGAGTCTGTGTGGGTGGGCAGCATGATAAAGAAGTACGAAGATGCCGCAAAGGACTCTGGTGCCATCATGGTTCCGCAGATTGGCGTTGAGTCTGCTCCCTCTGACCTGACCACCTGGCTGCTCACCGAGCATGTTCGCGATGAGCTAGACGCCGATACCAAGGAGGTTACTATTTCCATTCACAAGCTCAAGTACGTGGGTCCAAACTCGAACATCCTTTTGATGTGCAGTGTATTAATTCAGAAATTTAGGGGAACGCCCTCTGGTGGCACTCTCGCCACAGTCCTCGGTCTCTTCGACGTCTTTTCACTCTCTGAGATTCGTGCCGCATTCTCGCCATATGCCCTGTCGCCGACTCCTCACGCGGAGAAACCCGAAAGACAGAGCCTTCCTCTTGCGCATGCACTTTTCGGCTCTCACTACGATGCGCATCTCGGCCGCCTGACGACTTCGTTGGCCGATTCAACTGACGCTGCTATTGTGGAACGTACCTGGGGTTTGCTGCCCCAGATCCCATCGCGCAGTGCAGAATTTTACGGAGACAAGTTCGTGTGGAAGCAGTACATGAGAGTAGATAGCTGGTTTCAAGGCTTGTTCGTGCATTGGGGCCTGCTATGGGCGTCCGTCGTGCTCGCACTGCTGCCACCAGTGCGCACCTTGCTGAAAAGTCTCGTCACTCAGCCAGGAGGAGGCTCCGACGGTCATGCCAGATCGAAGGAGCTGCTCGAGTACCGAGGCATTGCGGTGCCCGATGATGAGGAAACAACGCAAAAAGCTTTCGCCAAGGCACGATACGATGGCAGCCCCTACGTTTGTGAGTTGATTGCCTGCTAGACTTCAGCTTTTTTCATTATTCTTTATGCTAACATTGAGAAAGTGACAGGAATTCTGCTTGCAGAGGCCGCTGCCACCGTGCTGCAGGATGATGTCAAACTTGACGGCGGCATCTACACCCCGGCTTGTCTCGGGCAGGCCTTTATCGACCGGCTTGACGACGCTGGATTCCATTTTGAGGTCGAGACTTTGGAAAAATAGGAGGCTTACCCCCTCGAGGAGATTCGTTATGTTATTCAGCTTGCAGTATAATATCTTTACCAGGCAAATTGTTGCGCCTCTATGTATTGTTGGTAGCCTCATAGGTAGCGCCACACCCTTATTAGCAGGTAGCCAGCAAGTGTGGCGCCGCCGAATGCGGTCAAGCGTCAATGCTTCAACATCAACTCCAAAAGTCTCGCGGCCAGTGACGACCCATCCAACGTCTTGTAGCTACCAACTTCTTCCTTCCTTATTGTCGTGTTTCCTCCACCGCGCAACGGTTTTCTTTCAACTTTCAGCTATGTCTACGAGTAATTAAGAAATACCGGCCGGTTAATTGAGAGGAAGAAGGGCTACAAACGACCCGATTTTGCAACGTCCTTCCCCCAACTCCCTCCCCCTCCCTTGCACGTCATGGACTCTTCAGCAGTATCAAATAGCGACGAGCGGGAACCGCTGCTTCCAACCGTCGAAACCCGCCCCAAGGCGTCGCGAAACGTCAAGTTCAGTGCCAACCCCGTCACGCGCACCATTGAGCCCGAGACCCGGATTGTCGCCTCAAAGCCAAGCAGCATCGCCGTCGGCGTCCCGAGCGGCGCCACGGCCGGCTCGGGTGCGGCACCGCACCATGGCACTGCCTCGGCAACCGGACCGCCAGTGCTCGCGGCGCTCAACAGCAAGCTACGACGACGCAACAGCCACACAGCAGTGCCGATGCTGCTGGGCGGTGCGGCGGCGACCGGGCTCCCGCCGACACCGGGGGCCAAACTCGGGCCCCAGCGAAGCACCAAGAAGACGGAGAAGCTCAAACTATTACCGAACCCGGAACGCGACGAGGATGACGACGGTGCGGACGAGGAGAGCGGCCGCGAAGTCTACTCGCAGTACACGCGGATCAAGGACCCCAACGCGCGGCGCGACGCCGCCCGCCTCGGCAAGTCGGACCGCGCCAAGCTGCCGCGTGTAACGGCCTATTGTACCGCCAACCGCTACGACATGGACGGCCTGATGCGCTTCCTTAAGGGCCGCGGAAAGTCGCGCGGCGCCCACCCCAAGCTCATTGACGAGTGCATATACACCCCCTACGCCTACGCAAAAGAGGCGCCCGCGCCGCCGCCACCAAAGTCCAGGCGCGACCCGGTCATGTCCTACCAGCGCCGCCATTCGACGGGAGGCACCGACGACACCTTGTTCGCCGCCTCCCTAGCGACCTCAGACAGGCACGACTCAGGCTACGGCGACGAGTTTACGCCTGCTGCGGAGTCGGAACACCACGACGGCGTGCCAACAGACCAGATCCTGGAGGAGGACCTACTAGGCGCGAGCGTGAACAATATCAGCGGCAGAGACGCGGTGCCAGATTTCGATACGCAGGTCCACACGCCCGAGGTGTTTCTGTTCGACTACGGTGTCGTGGTAATATGGGGCATGTCGGAGAACGAGGAGGCAAGGTTTCTCAAGTACATTTCCAAGTTTGAGCTGGAGAAGCTCGCACCGGACGATGTGGAAACGGAGCAGTTCAACTTTTACTATACGAAAGAGTACCAGGCTCGCATCTACAATGACTTTATCACGCTGCGCGACAAAAACAACTACATGACCAAGCTGGCCATTTCCCATGCTCTGGCTCAGAGTGTAAAAGTGAGTTCTAGCCGCCTTTTCTTGCCTCCGATAACGCCGAGGCTAACAGATGACAGACGTCATTGTTCGAGGAGCTCATATCATCCACGATTGAGACGTGCAAGGATATCCCCACGCAAATCGCTCTCACCGGCAAGATTGCGCTGAGCCGCTCGCAGATTAATATGCAGATCGGCGAACTCTTCATCCTGCGCATCAACATCCACCTCAACGGCTCCGTGCTCGACACGCCCGAGCTCTTCTGGGTCGAACCCCAGCTCGAGCCCGTCTACCAGGCCGTCCGCAGCTACCTCGAGATGGACCAGCGCGTCGGCCTCTTGACGGAGCGCCTGGACGTCATTGCGGACCTCCTCGCCGTGCTCAAGGACCAGCTGAGTCACGGCCATGGCGAGAAACTGGAATGGATTGGTGAGTTGTTCCCTATTTCTGCCCGGGCCTGGAACACGCAACGGCTAACCAGGGATGTCTCCCTTCAGTAATTGTCCTCATCGCAATGGAAATTGTTGTCGCCGGCATCAACATCATTGTCGACTTGTATGCTGGCGAATAGCCTTCTGACTGAGCACCATCTCGCGCAACTGGCGTTCTGGCACAGCGTAATTTTTTTTTTCCTGGATAGCGACCTGTACCCCCTTGCTCATTCCGCGGTTCTTCTTCGTTTTGCTCAAGCCAATTGTTTTTTCTTTCCCTTTGTACAACTTCTGTGTATGGGATTGCCATGGGATCAAAGGAAGGTTCGCTATAATACATAAAGAGAGTTTACGGTGCGGTAGACATACCGGTGCGATAGAAGCCCAAGCTACGCAAGCAAGATGTGTCAATATATGTAAAACTTTATATCCCGATTTTCTATTTCTGCCATGCCACTTGTACAAGAAGTGAAAATCGATTGGTCTCATTGCTCGGAAAAAAGGCCAAAATTACGTGAAAAGGAGTCTCAAACGCCAAAAAGTACACATGCTCTCCCCCCTCTCCCCCCTCTCCCCCATTGTCATCCCTATAAGTACCAATAGATGTTATCCTCTTTAGTCCATCTGTGTCTCTTGGTCATCCGAATCGTAGTTGGCCATTTCCACGTCCTCATCTTCGCCGTCGCCCTTGTTATCGTCACCGTCGTCGCCCTTGTCGTCATCCTTGTCGTCGTCCTTGTCGTCGTCCTTGTCGTCGTTGGCCTCCTTCTCGGGCGCCGCGTCGGCCTCGGGAGACCCCTCCTTGTCATCGCCGTCCTTGTCCGCACTCTTAGCCGCCGTCGCCGCCGCCTTCTTCCGGTACGACTCCTTGTCCTCCTCGGCGAGGTCCTCCCAGCCCTTGACGAGCTCTTCCAGGATGTTGCCGTCGTCGACGCTCTTGGCCTCCAGGATGGGCCGCGTCTCGTCGCAGAAGAGCTCAAAGGCCAGATTGGCGGCGTTCGCGGGTTTCTTCGGTTTCCGGACGCCGTTGGCCGTCTTGGCTCGCTTACTGCCTCGCGCGCTGCCACTAGCTTCCTGTGTCGGCGACTCGGGGCCGCCGTCCTCTTTGCCGTCCTCGGCAATGGTGGACACCTTTCGGTGGCCACGCTTTATGCGCAGGGGCTTATCCTTGGGCTGGATTCATTTAAATCTCGTGTTAGAACGGTGTATATGGACGGGCTCGAGGGGAATGGGGCCAAGGTTGGCGGTGACACGCACTGTGGGTGGCGGGCTGGGGCTGCCTTCAGAGTCCTCCACATTGGCGCTTGTGCGCTTGGAAAGCTGCTCGAGGAGAAATGCGCGCTCGATGCGCATTTTCTCTACTTGGCGCTTGATGCGCGTCAGTCTAAGCCTGGCGGCATCGTTGGCCTCCTCAACTTCGTTTGTGCGGTTCTTGAGCTGGACGCATTTTCGTCGGTACGCTTCCTCGACAGAGGGTGGAAGGGATGGGGGGATAGCTGGTTGAATTCAATGTCAGCGCCTGATATCTTTCGGTTCTGCGCCATGTCGACGGCTATCGTGTGCGATGAACAGCGGGCCTCAGCGTGTTAGACGGGGAAGAACTGCGAGGCGTTGGCGTGACCGAGGATTGAAGGGTCGCAGGAAGAATAGACGGGTTTGCTTGGGGTATTCGACATGCACGCGGGTTTATTGCTGGATGCGGTATGCGATGGGGTGCTGGATGCGACGTGACGTGCACTCACCAGTCTGTGGTGCCATGGTGTTGTCAACGGCAGTAATTGGACTCGACGTATGCGGAGGAAGCGCGATCGGGGCTCTTGATGAGGCTGGAGCTGAATGATCGGATTTAATGGCGGCCTCGCAATCTAGGGGTGCGCTCGGTGATGGGTCGAAGGTGCAATGGCGCGATGGCATGCGTGGGCGAGGAGGGAGAGAAAAATGGTTTCGGGGTGAAGCCGGTTTAAGCTGGCTCTGTCGCCCTTTGACAGGTGCTGCGACGCCCAGCGCGCCCGCCTGTCGGGCAGTTTTAGTGGTGGTTTACTGGCTGTGGCTGATGCAACACGTCTGCGCCACACCAACACGAACACGGTAGGTTGATGTGATGGATTGAGCTCAGAGAGAGTTGCGAAGAGTGTTGGCTGTGGTTGATAGGGTATTAGAAGTGAATGAGCCCAAGAGATGTCATCCCTACGCGTTTTTAAGCTTGAAGCATCTGGCTCCCAAAGGTAGATACATGGGTATGCATGTAGACATTTTCGCCATTGTAGTTCATACGAGACAGTCCAGCGAGAAGGTACAGTCATGCGCTGAATAAAAACGACACGAAAAAAAGGCATCCATGTATCAAAAAAAAAAAAAAAAAAAACTCGCACGCAGGAAATCAAAGGAACAGCACTGCAATACACACACTGCTCTAAGATACTGCACCAACACTCTACTCGCACCATACAGGGTATCTACACCACTAACAATGCCATGCCACCCTCTCGAAGGGAGGCAGGCAGCAGTTAGAACCTGTACTGTAACAAAGCTCGGTAAATGACAAGGAAAAGAGGCAACCAGAAAGTCAAAAAAAGGGAGCTACTGAAGAATTATGTTGACTTAAAATGGCTTCACCACCCTTACCTTGCCCTCAATTTGCATACTGGCTCCCTGACCCAAGCAAGACGAGCTTTGGAAAAGGCGGCGAGCTGTTCAAGTAGCGGGTACCTAAAGATCCTGCAAAATCTTAAACGTTACCATGTATCACTACCACCAGGCAGGCACCTGCCAAACACCACCCCCCCCAACCTGGAGCACCACACGAACCCACTCCCAAGATTTTCTAGAGCCTCTGTTGCACAGTGGAAGCTCTTGGAAGCGACATCACCACCGCCGAAGCAACGACAGCTCTTCGTCACCGTTTCGCACCTCGACGCCGGTCGATCCTATAGCCATGTCCCTCAATATCCCGCAGGCCCCTAACTCGGGCCTTTTCAAGCAGGGCTACAACAAGTACGCGCCTCTCCCACCAATCCCTCGCCTCCCCCGCGACCCCTATGCCCCGCCATCACCAGACGATAAACCTCGTCTGCCTCCCCGGCACGTACCACTGCTAACCTCACCGTCCCCTTTATCGCAGCTACGACTCCGAAGATGGTGCCGTCCTCCGCAACATTGACGCCTGCCGCGCCATCGCCCAGACCGTCCAGACCTCGCTCGGCCCCTACGGCCGCAACAAGGTCGTCATCAACCACCTGCAGAAGATGATCCTGACCTCCGATGCCGCCACGATCCTCCGCGAGCTCGACGTCGTCCACCCCGCCGCTAAGCTCCTCGTAATGGCCTCCCAGCAGCAGGAGGCTGAGATGGGTGACGCCACAAACTTCGTCATCATCCTCGCCGGCGAGCTGCTCCGCAAGGCCGAGGACCTGCTGCGCATGGGCCTCAAGACGGCCGACATCGTTCTCGGCTACGAGCGTGCCCAGAAATTCGCGCTCGAGACGCTCGAGCAGCTGGCCGTCGACAAGGTTGAGAACATCCGTGATCAGGAGGAGCTCACCAAGGCCCTTCGCACGGTTATCGCCAGCAAGCAGAACGGCAATGAGGACACGCTCGCCGACCTCGTCGCCGAGGCCGTCCTTGCCGTCCTACCCAAGAACCCGGCCGCGTTTAACGTCGACAACATCCGTGTCGTCAAGATTATGGGTGGCAGCCTCGAGCAAAGCCGTGTCGTGCGCGGCATGGTCTTCGCCAAGGAACCGCACGGCTCCGTCAAGAAGGCACGCCGCGCCAAGGTCGCCGTCTACACCTGTCCCATCGACACCAGTAAGACTGAAACCAAGGGCACGGTCCTGCTGCATAACGCCAAGGAGATGATGGACTTCACCAAGGGCGAGGAGAGCCAGCTCGAGACGGCCATCAAGGAGCTTTATGACTCTGGCGTCCGCGTCGTCGTTTGTGGCGACAGCATTGGCGACCTCGCCCTCCACTACCTCAATAGATTCGGCATCCTCGCCATCAAGATCCTCTCCAAGTTTGACCTCCGCAGAGTGTGCCGCGTCGTCGGTGCCACGCCCCTCGCGCGCCTCGGCGCCCCTATGCCCGACGAGATGGGCAACATTGACATCGTCGAGACGCTCGAGATTGGCGGCGACCGCGTCACCGTCTTCCGCCAAGAGGATGAGGTTACACGCACGGCCACACTTGTGCTCCGCGGTGCCACACAGAACCACCTCGACGACCTCGAGCGCGCCGTCGACGACGGCGTCAACGTCGTCAAGGCCATCACCAAGGACCCGCGCCTCGTCCCCGGCGCCGGCGCCACCGAGATCCAGCTTAGCACCAAGATTCAGGCGCACGCCGACAAGACCCCTGGCCTCGCCCAGTATGCCATCAAGAAGTACGGCGAGGCCTTCGAGGTCATCCCCCGCACGCTTGCCGAGAGCTGCGGCCTCGACGCCACCGAGGTGCTCTCCCGCCTGTACGCCGCCCACCACAAGGATGAGGACGGCGACACGGGTGTTGACGTGGAGAACGCCGACGGCACCGGCCTCCTCGATGCCCAGGAGGACGGCATCCTCGACCTGCTCGCCTCCAAGTACTGGGCCGTGAAGCTCGCCACCGAGGCCGCCCGCACAGTCCTGTCCGTCGACCAGATCATCGTCGCCCGCCAAGCAGGTGGCCCTAAGCCTCCGGCCCCCAATCCTGTAAGTTGCATCTAGGAACTTCTTACTGGCCGTGTGTGCTCCGTGCATTATGCTAACCACTTTGTCAGAACTGGGACGAGGACTAAAGTGTAAAACGGATACCCAAAATGGAGACTGGAAGAAAAGAAGGGAAAAATATTACTACAATATGTACACAGACTTGAGGAGGCAAATACTTGTCAACAATCTGGCCCAGGAAAAGGAAGATCTGACTGACCTGGGTGGCTGCAAGGGGAGGTGCCGTTGGTACTAGACTAGAATGCTCTCCAGACTGGAGAGCGGCGTACTGAAATCAAAAGGGCCAAAGAAGTCCGACTATTTACTACCTACCTCCTGTACATTAATTTTCTCATGCTACTTGTGAATTCTTGGTTGTACCCGCGCCAACGGGCTTAAATACACGGACGGCACCGCCAAGTAGATTAGTAGGCTGGCTTCATATTCTATCGAGGCGAAGGGAGAGGAATATAGGTAGCTATTGAGTTTTGCATAGAGCTTGCTTTGCGAAAATCACCAGATCAACAAGGAAACACGCGACAGACGAGGCAAGTGCATTTTCTCAAGAAGAAACGCTTTAGGCGCGGGATCTTTTTTGCTAAATCATATATAGCTAAAAGGGGAGGCATGCTGTAACCTGCTGATTTTTTTCCCACCCCAATAAACGGACAGGATGGCAGGGATAAACAACTGCGGTTGGGGGACAAAGGAAGATCTCCCTGAAAGAATCAGTATAAATGACAAAAGATATCAACATCTGATAAAGTGACGGACGGATACATATCCAGAAAAGGCCAATCCAAAAAAAAATCAAGAGAAGGCACGGTAGTCGACAGGAACAAGGCCATCATATCGCATGATAAAAAGCCCAAGCGGGTATAAGGGCCTATAGACAAGAGAATCCAAGAACAGTAAAAGGATAGAAGTGGAAAAAAAAAGGAGAAGAACATGGTCTAGCGACTGAGCTGATGAAATCCCTTCAGCTAGGATACAGTAAGAAATCTTTGTTGCCACATCTGTGGGCTAGAATGAGTGTCTTGGGTAGTCATGACTGCGTCGTAACGGGGTTGGTGATGTTTTGTGAAAGGGGCGTAATGAATGCAAGAGGCATCGAAGCTCTTGGCGAAGATAATGCGTGGTGAGAACAATTGTCTCAAGCTTCTTCCATAATGCCACCCTCTCCGCCACCTTCTTCGCGCCACTCACGGCTCTTGTCAGCTAGTCGCTTGATACCAGACACGCGATTGGCCCAGAGACTCTCAATGGGACTGCGGAAGGTGAATGCGCGTTGCGAGGAGATGACACCAATGGCCTGCAGCACAGCCTTGCGGCTGTCGCGGCCAAACACAGCCGGGTGGTTGATCCACTCCAGGCTGCTCTCCAGCTCAGCATCGAGCGCTGATACGGTGGTGGCATCGATGCCGGTGCCCAGGGCGAGACCCTCGCCAGATCGCGAGCGGAGGATCTGCGCAGACGGAAGTGCGCCGGCGTTTCCTGCTGATGAGGTGGCAGATGTTGGCGGTGATGGGCTGCGTTTGCGGTCCGGCGATACAGACAGGTTTAGAGAAGCCTCGGTGCCGGGGTGAGGCGTCGAAGGCGTCGACTTGGCGGGAGGCACAGGAGGTAGACCGCCCTTGCCGAGGCCCTTCAGAATAGAGCGCGTCTCATTTAGGAGTGTGAAGGCTCGGTCGTGCTGTCCACGGCTGACCAGAGTCAAAGCGCGAGACAGCATGTCCGAAGTGAGAAGTTCCATGCGACGCTGGACGATGCTTGGGTGAGGAGGGATCGGTGGCGTGTTGCCCCAAGACTTCTTTTGGCCCGAGGAAGGCAGCATAGTAATCGCGAGGAGTGACGGGCGCGGCATCTGAGTGACGCTACCTTCACGCAGAATGTCGCCCCAGCTCAGGTCAGCCTGAATCAGGGGAACCTCTTCGACGGACACTGTGCGCTCGCCATCATTGTCCACGGGGCCACCGAGCGCCTCCAACCCAGAGACAATGTTGTCCCAAGCATCCTGAGGCAGCTGCTCCTGGGATGCAGTGTCGGGAACAATGATAAGCTGGACAAGAATATCCCGCTTGTCGCCGAAGCGTAGATCGCCTAGAGCAGCCTCGGCATCGCGGCCCGTTGCGCGCTTGGTAGTCTGTAGCGCACCATTGATCTTGTGGAATTTGGCTGGAGAGCCCTCAGGCAGCTTGAGCTTGAGCTTGACGTTCTGGTGAGACAAGGCCTGCATGGAGCCCAAGCAGCCAGCAAGGCATTCACGAAGCATCATCCAATCCTTGACATATGTATATGAGGCCTTTGTTCTGGTGGAGAGCTCGATCATCGTGTCGGGCTTGTGAGTCATGCCTAGACCAAAGGTGTGAATCGTGATCTTGGCAGCCTCTGCTCTTGAGATGACAAAGTCTACCGAGTCGGCGTCTGAAGTTGAAGCATCACTAATGAGCATTATGGTGGCAAGAGGGTTGCTGTGCTTGCGCTGCATGAGCAAGTCCATGGCGACGTTGGCACCCTCGACCACATCAGCGCGATGGCTCTTCTGACCGACAGGCTTGATGGAGCCTAAGATACTGCCCCAACCTGGCCAAGCCTTTGTCGTCATACCAACAATAGGAACACCGCCGCCTCCTGAGCCAAAGGTGACGAGGCCCATGCGGTCACGCTCTCCCAGAGTATTGACCATGAATTTGAGGGCATCGCGAACAAGATTGATCTTCACGCCCTGCATGGATGAGGAGATTGGAACAACTACAACGACATCGATGGGGACGTGAATAGATGCCGACATGCGGTTGACCTTGGCTGCAAAGTTGTTGGTATACTCGGTTGGTGCTGTAGTGACAGACTTGGGGCCCCAAGATGACGTCGTAGACGAGACTCGCTTGGGTCTGGAGCGCTGCCATTCCGTCTCCTCATCTGTCTCTGACATGTCGGCGCGCTCAAATTCCGGGCTTCGGATGGGAGAGGGCTCGACGGCGTTCAGATCTAGTAAAGCCTGATTCCACAGCTTGAGCTGATTGCGGTTTGAGAAGCGCAGGTGGAACTGTGGTAATTCGTTGACCGACAAGCTGAGAGTGAGGATGTTTTCGTCAATGTTGCCAGTCTCTGTGGCCTCCTGAAGGTGCTTTTTGATCAAGATGGAGCCCTTGAGCGCAACACGGCTCGTCTTGCGGAGGTTGCCACTCTCATCCCATTGAGGCTGAGGAGCGCCAGCAGTTACTTTTTTTTCCTTGACACATATGAGCATCTCGCCAAAAAGGAAGCACTCAAGTTCTTGCCATGACTTCTTGTCTTTGCCGACATTAAGAGTACCGTAGAGTCGAAGTTGTCCGAACCTCTCAAAGTCCAAACCATGCCAACTCTCGACGCGGCGATTTAAGCTCTGTCTAGCCTCCTCCAGAGCTGCCGGGGACTCGTATGGATAAAATTTGGGCGCAGGTGACGGTGCCGGCTGAGGAGGCGAGGCAACATAGGCAGCGATGTCGTCGATGCGGCCAAGAGAAGGCTGGCGAGCAACGCTGTTGGAACCCAGATCCTCGGGGTCCGGTCTCCACTTGTTATCTGGGACCTCGATGGTGATGAGACAGGTGAGAGTTTGCTGCTGGCGAGACCGGCTGATGGTTGGAAACTCGGAGCGGACTGTAACCATAGGAGCGGGAATAGGGTTGCGGGCAATGGCGCGCTGGGGGCTTCCTGGGGAAGTCTCCATGGCCTGGACATCGTAGTCATGGCGCCATTGAGGGCCGCTTTGGGTAGTTTCCGGGTAGCCGCCAGATGAAGTGACACCGGTGATTCCAGTAACGTCGCTGTCACTGCGGGTGTGTCTAGAGGGGCCATAGCGCTCGGAGAGGTTTTCACGACTGTCGCGCAGGCTGCCACGAGCACCATTCTCCCTGCCGCTGCCGGGTGTGGGCGGTTGCAAGGTGGACTGAGGTTGTAGTTGTGATTGTTGCGGCGGTTGCTGTTGCTGTGGGAGACGGCGCTGTGAACTGTCGACGCTGGGTGGTCTCATGATGGTCTGGCTATCCCATGTGGGTGTGGGAGTATGGGTAGAGCGAGTGTCGCTTCCCACGGAGCGGACCATGTTGCCGATTTTGTCTGTTCGCGAGTTAGCGCTTTGCACCAACTCATTCGCGCGCGTCGAGGACGAACTTATGTCGATGACATTGCCGCCACGGCTAGTATCGAGGTGTAGGGGCGAGTCGCATGTTGGGCAGTACTGCGATTCAAATTCGCGGATGAACTCGTAGAAGCAAGCTTCGTGTGAGACGTGTGAACACGAGAACTGGAGAATGCGCTCGCCCTGCAGCGTGTGCTCGAGGGGTTCCTCGCAGACGGCGCATTCACTGCCGACAAAGGTTCGCTCTCGGCGCAGGCGACTGCGGTCCGTGGTGCTGGCCATGACGTTGTTTTCGAGGGCGCCGACTCTACGGGCCGAAGTATTGGAGCCGACAGATGTGCCACTTCCGCGAGGATAGGAGCCGGTAGGATGTGAATGTAGCGGCCCACCTGGGGAGGAGGAATAATTAGCGAATTGGGCAGTGCGCAGAGTAGGACGATGCTGAGAGGAAAAGGAGCAGAGCAGACGCGAGGATATCCGAAGATGCGAGCCTGATGACCAAGAAGTGCGCTTGAGAAGGGGAAACATACCATCAGCAGCAGACAAAGAAGAGCCGGTATAATCTGACCGGTGGTGAGCGGGCCCGGCAGCCCAGTGATCGATAGGCGGAGCAGAACGGCCAGGAGGGAGTTTTTTGCCTTTGAAACTATCAGGGGTGTATTGTGCGCTGGCGGGAGGGTGCGAGGCCTTGGAGAGGAGTCGATTGAACATGGAGAAGAGAGGCGCAGTCGCGGAACGAGTAACTAGTAAGCCAAGCGAGAAGGAGTAGATTGGATGAGAAGCAAGAGAGCGCGCGGAGGGAGTCGGTATAGTAAGAGATCGGAGAGGGCCAGTAGGAGAGGAGAGTGAATGCAAAGGCAAGGAAGGTATGGATTGGATGGGCGAGTGAGTGAGTGAGCGAGTGAGCGATGCAGCCAAGCAAGGCAAGGTAAGGATTCAGGAAAGAGGCTTGTGGGGGGTGGCCTGTGTCTGGACGGCGTTTCACGTTGGGGCTGGTGAACAATGCTAGTTGCGAGCAGGCGGGGATGCGTTGCGCATGATGATTACAGTGTCAGGGCCGAGAGAAAAGAGGGTTGGGCTTGGCTGACGGAGGGGTCGAGCGGAAGCGCGAGCGAGTGACGAAGGCGAGAAGGTGTGAGTGGTGATGTGATGATGGTGGTGGTGGTGGAGGAGGAGGAGGAAGAAGTAGCAATTGGCTGGTCCGAGGTGGGCAGGCAGAAAGGTGAGGCGATTCGTGCGTTTGCGTGGCGATGAGTAGATAGCGAGCGCTTTGTCCAGGAGGTCCCCTCCAAACAGTAAGCGGATAGGTTAGAAAGCAAGCTAATAAGAAAGAGACTTGCAAACAAGAACTGATTGACTGCGGGAGTGAAGCCTTTTTCTCGTCTTGAAACGTTTCTGCTTCTTGTTCGTTCAAAGGAAAGATGCTGCGGAGAGGATTGGAGGGGAGAAATACTGGTAGGGACGTGTGGGCAGCAGGAGGAATACTAGTATCCGCACAGGTTAACTGGCAAAGAGAATAATCAAGAGAAGGAAGGGAAAGCAGAATAAAACCCAGGAAAAAAATGTAGTACAAAGTAGTTTGAGTGGTGGGACGGGGGAAATCTGCAGGAGCAGAAGAAGCCAAGCAGAGAGACAAAAGGGGTTCAGCGGCGCATGGATGGGATGGATGAGTGCTGGCCCTGGGCCTGGGCTGGTGGATGGTGGGTGGTGGGCGGATGGGCCTGTGGCTACGCTACGGCTTACTGGAGCAGCCAGGGGGGTCCGCAGCCGTGGGCTTGCGGCAGGTAGATGCTTGGACTCCTCCTCTACGGGACGACCTACTACTGGTAGACCAAGCAAAACGAAAAGCCTCGTTGACAATGGGCTACTGGTAATAAAAACGAACAGGGGGCGGCAATACAAGGTACAAGGGAGAGAATTTGAGGACGGACGGATGGGGATCATGGGCAAATCGACAAGCCACCCCTGGCAAACCCTATCAAACGATGGACCCGGGTGCTGCTGTTACGAATACAATCGCGAGAGACTGGCAAGGGGAGCTGCCTGGGTGCGGTGGTCGGTGGTCGGTGGTCGGTGGTCGGTGGTCGGTAGCAGTGGCCGGGAGCAGTGATGGAGGCAGATAATGGGCTGTGTTTTGTTTTGTGTTTTGTCTTTGCGATGCGAGTGTGTCGACATACGGCGCGTCCGTCTGCGCTGAATCACCGACGTCAGGCGGGATATACAGATTACATGATCAACACCGGAAAGACAATTAATTACATGAAAAATGGAAGGAAAAAAGAAGAAAAGAACAAGGAGCCGCTACGGAGTACATCTAGTCTCCATACAGCCACAGCCAGCCACCAAGTACTCCGTGCCTCCAGCGTTGCTGCAGGGGAAGCAGGTGCCGGGGGGAGGGGGATTTGGTTTGGCTGCAGCCAGTAACTTAATGGCCCAATGACCAGCCAGAGGTTCCTGTCCCGCTGCTAGTCTGAGGTGACAGTACGGATAACCAGCGCTGTTTTAGTGGAGGGGCAGGAGTTGAGATGGGGGAGGGGGATTATCCAGTGCTGTCAGCCTCCAGACAACACTGCTCGAAATAGAAGCTGCTAACGATTGCAAAGCCTTACTTGTGTCTACATTTAGCAAGTTCATCAATTCCACGATTGCATCCTTGCATGCGTCATTGCAAAAATAAAACCATGGGTGGCTGCCCTGCCAAACGTGGCTGCAGCTTTCCCTCGACTCGATGTTGATGAAGCCCACCAAAACGTTGAAGCCTTATTACTGGGAAAGCCTTCCGCCAATAACCTGGCCTGGTACCAGGAAACGGGCAGGGTGGAGGTGGTGGCACTGGTGGAGATGCTTGATGCTTGAATACTTGATGCTTGATGCTTGCCATGCAATGTCCATGCACCAGCAGGGCACACTACCGGCGCCAGTGGCAGGCAGGGACCAACCTACCTTGCTGCAGTGATGCCTTTGGTTCCGTCCATTTCTCCTCACTGACTGCTTGATCTGCCGTTCTTTGCTCGGCATGCAAAAAGGAAGAGGCTGAGTATAGAGGTGCTCTCGCTAAATTTGGTCTCTGTTTCTGGAAAGAGCTGCAGGTCATGCAGCTTACCTGCTAAGCCTGCGAATCATGCATTGCTGGCCCATTTCAAGCGTGGAGGTATGTATGTATGTACATACATACCTCCTATCGGTACTGTACTACCTTGTATGTACCTACCTACCTATGTGTAGGCAGTTAAGGTAACATTAGTGTCGTCTTAACCGCTGTGTTATAACAGTCTTCAACGCATTAGAGGCTCCATATTACCACTTGGCCGGCCGGGTCCGCGCTAAAAAAGAAAGGACCATCAACTGCCCTCTTGACGCCGTCGGGGTAAAACCACCCACCAATGTTGCATCTCGGCCTAATAAGACTACTAATAATAGTTGGCTTTGTTATCAAGTCAACCAAAATACATAAATACATAAGGCTTACGAGTAAACCGACTTGTTAATACGCGAAAAAAAAGAGGGACCCTTATTAACTCCAAAGTTACCAGCGTGAATACCATGGACACAATAAGTATCCGTATCACTCTTTTTGCGCCAGTCACTCTGTCCCTGCCCTGTTTAGTCGTTTGGCAAAGCGCTGCAGCTGCAGCTTTGTACATCTCTATTTACCCGTGCATTAGTACCTGTATTCCAATTTCCCGCTGCAGCTATCTAATATAATTCAATTAGAAAGATCTACGTCAAAACGAATTTACCTAGGGTTGTTCTTAACTCCGGTCGACTGCGTTGGACCGCTACAACTCGACCACTTTTCTGTTTCTAGACTGGAGGTACTGTACATACATAGTACTGTAGGTACGTACCCACAGTCAGTCTTGTGCATTCGTCCCATCGCTTGCCATCCATGTTCTGCTTAACTCTACCAAGCCAGGATTTCAACAATCGAGTCCGTCCGAAACATTCTAACATCCACCATTCAAGTACGCCATTGTTCACTCTTACCGATTTTTAGGCACTGTACCAAGCAAAGCCGCTGTTTTTGCATGCACGCCACCTCCACAATCTTCCTCGTCTAACAACAGCCCAACAAGCAGTCCATGCCAACGGCCGGCCGCGTCGTGCTTCGTCCAAGGCTTGAAGACAAGTAAATACTAGGCTATGGTGCGTAAACTCTCGATCGAGAATGTTGGGATAACTGATATGCACTGGTAGAGAGCTTTCCGCATGGCCAACCGCGTACCGAAATGGCAAGTAATCGGGGCTGACCTCTCACCGTCAGTGGCTTGTCTGTGCAAACCAGCCATCAGAACCTTGCATCAGCCGTCTCCCAAGGAGTACGAATATTAGCGAGAAATTTGGCTCAAACTTGAAAAGGGAAAAGGAGTGGCCATACACCCGAAACCAAAACCCAACCCGACGTGGGCGTATGCATAGCCTTGCCGCCTGCATACAGACACCGCTCAGCCAGTAGCTAGTCGTACCATCGTCACTCAACAGTACGAAGCACCAACTACTAGTTGCCATTATGAAAGACATGCTGATCTCGGCATATTGGTGACTGCGCAGAAAAGAGTCTAAAAAGTATCAAGACGCCTCATTCATGCTTGTCATGGTCGTCCGTGCGATACAGGCCCGCTCCGTCAATTGCCACACTGTTCGAGATCCGCCAACAATTCAATGCCGAATCGTCCGCTACCCCCGGCTCAGTTTCTTGTCGAGACCCCTGGCACTATCCAATCAAAGGAGAAGTCTTGTCATGGGTGCAATTGCTCGCTTCCCTCCTCGTCATTGTCCGGCCTCCTCCCCTGCGACCGATGCTAACATTCCCAGTACGAACGACTCCGTACTCGAACCCTTTCACATGGAATCACCATCCCATTGTCTCAGGACTTTGCGTGGGGAAGTGTGGAGAGCTGGCCTGATGTGCTGGGACTTGGTTCTTGATTCCGGTCCTGAAATGACAGCCGGAGAAACCTTCCGCTTCAAAACTCTAATCTCGCTCGGATTGATCCCAAGTTCTGGGCTACTAGTCTGATCTATCCCCTTACCTTTTCGGTCTTTCATTGATGCCTCATCCGCGCTAATAGCTACCTAGTCAAAGCTTTGCGCCAAAGTCCATTCGTGCAAAGGTTCGCTTCGAGTTGAATACCCGCAACGGCGCTTCGCAAGAACAACCTTGAGAGTCGTTGTCATTGGTTAAGCAACTGTTTTCTTATTCGTATATCAAAGACAACTCATCTGACAAACAGGAAGTATCATATCCGGCGTCCGCTTTTAACACGGCGCCACTGTATGCCGTCCCCTCCCCCACCCTACGCCTCTCTTTTATTACATGAGTATGCATTTGCATTGCCTTGCTAGCCTCGGGCATATTGCTGTGCATACAGAATACAGAGTGTGCCACCATCTACCGGTACAACGACTGCAACCACTAGTTGCTCACTTCGAACCAAGTTTCAATGGCGACGCTGGCGTGACTGACACGGTACCGATTCGCACAACTATGTATGATTTGCGAACTGTGCAGGAATTAACCGCTGATGAACTAATTAACGTTGGTGCGATTAGACAGAGGGAAATTCGTCTCGTGTCCTCGGACATCCCAGACTTGCCCATTGCCGTTTTGAGCCATCCGCTTCCCTGTCACCTGCACTGGCTTCTCGAGACTGCAGACGCCTGATTCATAAACCCTACCTGAAGCTGAGGTGCAATCGAGGAGACCTGTCACGGTCCAACGACGGCTCGACAATCTCACTGGCTGGCGTGCCCTGCCTGCCTGCTCACTAGATATGCAGGTATTATCGAATGCGGTAATTGCTGGGACCCCAAGCCACCATTCAGACACATCTCAGCCTGGCCGCGCAGCGCGAGCTATCAAAAGTCCCTGCTGAAATTTCAACCATTCGGTGCGCTGCCGGCTGGCCAGCCACGTTGCCGGCCCCTTCCTTGCCTCCCAGAAATAAATTGCTGGCGAGTTGTACCGTGCAGCATACAGGTGGTCGGTACATCCCAAAGATACCAAGGACAGGACTCCCTTGCATGGATGGATGCAGGAGCAAAATTTTGACCGGCTGGCTTGCCCCGTGCAACTTAACTTGCCCTCCTCAAGTTAGCCTCGACACTGTTGCCAGCCTGCCACGCGTTTTTTCGATAATTAACTAGTGGATAGTGCATGCTGGTGCCCCAGTCCAATGGGATGCTTGCCCGGCCATGACGTGAGTGAGCATCCCTGTCAGCGAGATCCCTCGGCATCAGCGCCAGCACCAGTGTACGACTGCGTGCTTTCATGCAGCCTGAATGGACGGTGAACTTGGCACACAATCTTCGTTCCATGAAGAGATATTGAAGTTGACGTTGACGTCCTGACCTGCGGATCCCCGGCCTGATGTGACGGCCTGCTAGCCATGCAACTAACTAGCTTGACCTTGGCCGACTATTTGCTCATCGGCTGCGGCCCGTCACGCTTCAGCGCCAATGTTACACCAGTCAATGTGGCCATGATGGAGACAACTGGAGCCTTTGGTTCTGGCCTAGAACACAATGGCAAAAGACTGCTTGTTGCGATTATACAGTACGCGCTTCATCAGAACGAGATGCTCATCAGCGCGGAGTTGCAGTGAGAGTACCCACGCTCTGTCTGCTGAGAAACGCTTCCACGTTATCATGATATGGCGACAAATTGCATCGGCAGATCCAGGATGAGCATCATCTCAGTCACTGACTGCCCACGGAACGACATGCTGGCTCTGGTCCGGATAGGCCGACCGCAAATGTCTCAATCCAAGATTGCATCCGGTGGTATCTGCCACAACTTGGTCACGGCAATCGGCCGACTTTGTTTGTTCACGTCTTTGATTTCTTTTGATGGCTCTGCGAAATAGCGGGCGGGTCGCGATGCTCTACGCGGCACCAATCAGTGCCGGCTCGATCTTCACGGCTCCCCTGCTTGTTGCTTGCCGATCACTTGCTGCTCCAGGCAAGAGGACAGGATTTTCCTATGATTTGCAAACAAGCATGCATGCATGTCTTGGAATGCCAGAATCGGCAGAGGACAAAGCCCTTTCCTCCCGGAAAGCATATGGACCGCCCTTCCGATTATCCGGGGCCTGGTTCCTTGCAATAGCTAGAATTGCTACCCATGTGGCATCAGTAGCAATACTGCCTTAGTTGGTGCTGATTGCTGCATAACGCCAAGCAGCTAACATGACCGAAGGCATGAATTGTGTAGCACCAGAAGGACTGCAGCGAGCCACAACTCAGCGACCGGAAGCTGCACCTTCATGCAGATCCTTCTTCCACCGGAACTCGAACACTTCTGGAATAAAGCAAGCCCCGCTCTGTTGGCCAGTGTTTCAGACGCCCCATTGCGAGAGGAACCTGTGGTGGTGATATCAGCCAGCGTATTATTGCAGTGTCTTTGACAAAACGGAGATCGAATCACCCGAAATCTCGCTTGCGGCGACAGCAATAGATTCACCGGAAAGAATATGAACCACTTGAAAGTCTTGAATGAGGCCTCCACGTCTATGGCTTGCAGGGTGTCGGCACACCCGAGCACGGCTTGATGCGCAGGCGCGGCACTGGCTACATGGCGGAGAATACTGTAACCAACGATGGGTAACTTGGATATGATGATGAGGACTACGACGCTGGTAGTTCTGTGATTCACATTGTGAGGACGATAGCGCACTACGTTGGTGAAAAGGCGGAGGTGGCGTCGTGTTAGTCGAATGGCACAGACTGTTTTAGCTGCTAGCTTGAAGCCACTAACTCGGCCATGTTGCTTTGCCTAGTATAACATTTTGTTTTTGCGGTTTTATTTTCAGGTCTCTAACCATTGGTTAGTATCGTTCCAAACAGTCCGTCCACCGGAGGACTCTTCCGTCGAGGGCAAGGGAGGAAGGCCGCGCTCGACACCAACCATCTAGACATTTCTTGCTGTCGGTTTCGTCTGCTGACATTTTCCTGTACTGGAAAGGCAGCCTACCCTTCCCAGCTCTCGTATTCCCAGTCTTTGCGGGTTAGTCTGAATTGTGTGGCGTACATGGCGACGACGGCGACGCACTCTCGTTTTTCTGGTCGTCAGTATCAACACTTATCGAATTGTCAATTACCGAACTCAGAGTGGCAAATACCGACCACAAAAGTCGCGGTTCATACATAGTCGTATTGCTGGCCAGTGAGTTCACCTCGGTTGAGCCTCTGCTTAGAACCCTGGGCAACCAAGCAGCGCAGGCGACCGACGCGCGATGGGACAGAGATGACCGTCATATTGGCAAGGCGGCCTATAGTTAGCTTACCCATTTTCTGGTTCAGATTCAATACCGAATTCCTCCGTACTTGACTCCAACATCACATGGCTGTGGCGCAACGCCGCCCCGGACAAGGCATGCCAGCAACGGGGCAGGAATACTCCGTAGCAGACCCCGAAAATTCAACTTCCCAGCCACTGGAAGAACATCCCGAGTGACGAAGCCCCGTATCGGAGTGGGGACGGCGAAAAGGAAGAGGGAGAGCAGGTTGGCCGGCTCAGAATCCAGCCCTGCCAACCCGTTTTTTACAAGGGTCCTTTCACACTTTGAAGTCTTGTCGCAACAGCCACCGGCGCAGGCTCAAGCTCAAGCAAGCCGTCTTCTCGCTGATGAGGGCGCGGCCGAGTACTAGCGAGAAGAGATTTTTCTTCCTTTCTTCACACCACCCTCTCTGTCCCTTTTTATTGGCGAATCTCAGCGGGGTCACCGATAGTGACATCTTGGCGGTGAGGCGCTCGCTGCCAATGCCAGACGGCGTTGACAGCGAGCCACCAAGCAACTTCTTGCGGCCGCAGCTACCAGCATCGTGGTCCAGGATACAAGATGGCCTATTGATTCGGAGACGAGGTTGTTGATTGATTAATTAAATTAATCAACTAATTGAGATTGACAGCAAATCTATCGTGACCTGACGCTCGGTGCGCTAACTAGCGTCTTGTCCAGAGTCTTGTTCATTTTGAACCAAGACACGACACAGACGTGTCTCACGCCATCAAGGTATGTGTGCACACCAGTGGTTTTGTGCGTTATTGCCGTGATTACCTGGCCTACAGATATAGACCAAAGGTGAATCATGATAAAAACAGGACCCTTGCTTGGCGCTCCCAGAATCCGAACAATCGGGACACTATTAAACGCATGACCAAGGGTGAAGGGAAAGGCAGTCGACGTCTGGCAAGGGCAAGTGTTGAAATGCCAGTGACCGGCTGCACGTTGGCCACAGGGCGGCAGGTGAGGATAAGACTAAACGGTGAAAATTTGGACGAACTCCCTCCCTTGACTCTCCATTCTGAGCATTCTCCTACACACGAGGAAAAAAACATCCTGGCTGGATGTGGCGTAGGGCATGGGCTTCGGGGACCTTCGCCCTGCTCACATCAGCTCTGGGCAAAGGACTCCCTCGTTACGCGCGTAATAAAGAGCAAGTTGTGGATGGGCCAAGGGAGTTTCGTGGATGTGATCTGGGGCCGTCGCATCGTAAACACTTGCATTGTTGGATCTGGTACCTGAGAAGGGAAGAGTGGTTGAGCCAGGCACGGGAGGGGGGGTGGCAATTATGCGGATTCGTAACAGGTATATTCGTGCTCCGCCAGGGTCGGTGAACTATATCGCGGTGGTCGGTATGCCCGGTGGCTTTTATGCGCGAATTCTGAGGACGGACAAGCCAGCAGGCATTCTCTACAAAGGTCACATTCATGGGAATTGCTCATTTTTACATTGAAGATTGAGGTGAGCTACGATGTCCGTCACATCCATCACTTATCACTATTAACACTGTTCATTTGATGCACAATTAGGTGCTCTCGTCAATGACGCTTCTCAAACTACCAATAAAGGAAGCAATGATTTCACGCAGTCTCGCGGCAAGGTGCCACTGTGCTGCAGTCCCTCACTCGTCCAGCGCCTGACGGCTCTCGGCCCTGCGGCGGTTAATGGCGTCAATTTCCTCGTTGATCATGGCGACAAACGCACCCCGGTCGTCTCTGTAGGTGTTGAGACGCGTAAACGGCACCGAGGTGATAAACGTCGGCACCGAGGCATTTTCCGGGCCGACGTTCGCAAAGCGGTGGCCGGGCGTCTTCCGCGACGCGCCCTCGTAGACCTCGAGGAGGTCGGCGTCGAGGTCGACGACGTAGGACCACTCGCAGAAGAGGCCGTCGTTGGCGAACTCGGGCTGCAGCTGGAGGGGCAGCGGCTTCTCGGCGGTGGCGCGGGCGGCGAGGACGAGCACGGCGGCGCTCGTGTCGCGGTGCACCGAGGGCACCATGTCGAGGAGCTCCGGGGCGTAGTGGTTGAGCGGGTCGCGGCGGAACACCTGGAACTGGGAGTCGCGCAGCTCTTGGGTGGCGGGGTCGAAGGCCGGCAGGTGGTCGAGGATCTGGCTGGCCTCTTGCGCGTCGTCCAGCAGGTGCCGAAGCGTGTTCTCGTCGGGCTCGTACGTGTGCGGGAGGCCGGCGCGGAGCTCGTCGGGGAAGCCCGGCGCGGCGAGGATGCCGACGAGCTGGAACCCGACGACATCGGGGTAGCCGTCCCACTGGCCGTACTGGGCGATCCACCAGCGGCCCCTGTACACGACGACGATGAGGTGGCGGGTACCCATGATTTGCGTTGGTCTGGTTGGGGCTGGTAGGTTGCTGTTTGAAGGTAGAGCGACAGGCGCTCGTGTAAGACGCCGCAGGGGACTTGTATAGAAAGAGGGTAATCAGATATGATGGGTGGATAGGTAGATGGTTTTGTGTGTGTTGTGTGTGTGTGTGTGTGTTTGTGTGTGTGTGATTCTTCTTGATCAAAAGTGCACTCGACTTGTTATTTGTACTCTCTGTTTGTCGCAAAAAACGAGTTGGCGGTTGGCGGTTGGCGGTTGGCAGTTGGCAGCGGGCGTTTCCAGACAGACAGACAACCAGCCGTTCGCCTCCTCGCACATCCAAGGTATGGATGGCTTCCCGCAGCCAACCAGCGTCACCCATGGCGCGCTGCTGCCTGGCAGGGCGCCTAGGCAAGCAGAAACATGCTCCATCGCAACGCAGCACAAGGAAAAAAGAAACCCGGCCCGTGAATAGAAGGAGTGCGAGGGCCAGCAAAATACGCACGCTGCAGTGTTGGACAAGAACATTGTTTCTCGCTGTGTTGGATGCTCTCGACTAGCCCGTTGTCACTGCCTAGTCGTATCACCACTTCCCGCCAGCTAAACAGCAAAGAGACTAGGGAGGGAATTGATCGATTCCCGAGCCGTGCCCGATATTGCGGGGGCAAGTCTACATACAGTACGGCTAATCGACAAAGAACCCTACATAACTAGGTTACAGACATAGAAGAGTCCGTTATGTTCGACTTGTCTCTCTGGTGCCGCTCGTCACAGGTGTGTAGTTGGCGGTGCGGTTACATGAAAGAAATGGCTGGCAAAAATGTGCCGATCCAAAAAACACATGCACTGCAACGTCGAGATGATTTGATGCAAACACCCCCGGACTGGTCTCTTGCGCCGGCTGTTCTTATCACCACGGCTCCTGTACTCAGCATCCAGGAGACCAGCCTTCTGCCCCCCGGGAAGAGGGGTCGTGGTCAAGTATGTGTCGTTGGGAACTAAGCATTCCGATGCTGTCGGTAGCTGGTAGCTGTTCTCGCGGGAGCGGCATCTATCCGCTTCCGACGCATGCTGCCAAGCCCGCAAGGGGTTTGTCGAGGGAGGATTTGCATGAGGTGAGCTTACTCTGCACTTTTTGTTTATCTCCTTCCTGCCCACTAGCAACGGAAATGGGAGATGTGTAAATAAGAAAGCCAAAAAAAAAAAAAAAAGGCCGCAGAGCTCGGTGACGCCGTTTCACTCTGAAATGCCGAAGATGGGCCAGGTTAGCGACGGGACTTGAAACACGCACGATAACTTGACTTGTTTATCAACGGCGGATGATTGTTTGACTGACACGATGTATGCATAACTTGAAACAAAACCTGAAATGATATCAAGAAGAAATAGCTTGAATTTGTGTATATCTGTCAAGGTAAAAGGGGTTGACCAACAGAAAAAAAAAAAAACTTCCAATATTTTCAACAGCCCAACGCCAGCATTCCTGTATGATGTGTAATTGCGTAAACCCCAAGACGTAAAATGCCAACTTTTTTCCCATCCTATATTCCTCAACATCAATGCTTGTCAGGATTCAAGACCAGAAGCGTCGGATGCATCATGCGAGTGGAAATGGGCATATGTATGCCCACTGGCTGCTTGGTCGGTATAGCCGAGCCCATCCCATAACGATGCCCACTTCATAGCATCACAATCCAGAATGCAGAGCAATGCAAATGGTGGGTGCAAGGCCGGCACCGTCCGCATCCGCAGCCCTTTTGTCCACAGGCAGGCTGCCGCCAACTGTTGGATTCTGGCCCTCCCTAGCAAGAAACACCCACGCCCCCCCCCCAACGACGACACCAGTTTTTGCAAAGAGAGCGCCCGCAAAACGCCCGCCCTATCTCTTGGCGAGGAACCCGCCGGCGCCCTGCCGCCGCTGCTTCGTCGGCGCCCTGTTGCGCTTCAGCAGCATCTCCTTGGTGCTCTTGGAGAGCTGCTTCGCCTTGGGCGGCAGCCGCCCGTCCGCCGTGCGCGCCACCTGGTACACGGTCGAGCCGATGGTCGCGTCCTGCGGCGCCCGGTCCAGGCGGGCGAGGCTGCGCTCGACGGCGGCCACCTTGCGCCGCTTGGGCTTGGAGCGGACGGGGGCGCCGCCGGCGTCGTCGTCGTCGTCTTCGTCGGAGGAGGATGAGTCGGTGAGGAGCTCGGCGGGGAGGAGGGCGGGCACGGCGAGTTGGCCGACGCGTCGGCTGGAGCCTAATGGACGGGGAGCGGCGGTGGCGAGGTCGCTCGCCTGCTCTTTCTCGTCGTCATCTTCGTCGGGGCTGTCGGCCTGGTCGTCGGAGTCAGAGGCAGGGCCGGCGGGGCTGGAACGGGCCTCTGCCACCAGCCTCTTGCGCTCCTCGGCCTGCTTTTTGAGGAGGGCGTCGCGCTCCTGGCGCTTTCGCTTCTGCGCGGTCGCTTGCCTGCGAGATTGCGGTTAGATTGTGCTATCCTCCGCGCGGGTGTAGACAATGGCATTCTACCAAGTTAAACGTACTCTTGGGCGGCTTTTTGCGTGGCCTTGGCGGCAGCCTTGATCTCGGATGCGGCCTTGGTTGTCGAGACGGCCTCGGGCGCATCGTCGTCAATCTCGTCCTCCTCGTCCTCTTCGCTCTCCTCGACGTCGGCAGGCGCGGCGCGTTCTGCAACGGCCTTCTCGGCGACCAAGGCGGGCAAGTTCATCTCTTCGTCGTCGAACATGGTGACGGTGCCCTTTTTGGCTACCGACTTGGACGGGCTCATCCCTTCCTCTTTGCCCCGGAGGGCGAGCTTCTGACCTCGCTTGGACGTCGTGGCTCTGGGTGTCGAGGACTTGGGCGCGGGTGAAGACTCTTCGATTATGGATGAGTTGGCCTCCATCTCTGCTTGCTTCCTGCGCGTAACGGGCGCCATGGCGAATTTTATATATGTCACTCCCCTCTAATTTTCCACGAAAAAAAAAAAAGGTTAGACTGGTGCGAAACCAGCGCCGGCGCAATTCGATGACGAGCTTGGTGGGAGCCTGGACTGCTGAGCGGAAGCAGCTAATTCAGTAGTCTCGTAGCAATGAGAAACGAATCCTCTGGAAGCTTGATCTGCCAGGAGTACGACCGAAGTTTGAGTAGGCTGTTGGTAGTACAAATGGATTGCGCAAAGTTGGTCTTGGAGGTTGCGATATCAAAAAATTTAGGTGGACCCCAAGGTCTTCGGCCCCTGCAGGCGCCGTGACGCCGACGACTCACCAAGAGGCGCCCGTCGCTGATTGGCCAGTCGTCATCTTCCTTGGTCCCTTCATGCTCAGCCAGCAAGTAGAACGCTGCATCCTGGCTGCACATTGCACATCTCTCGTTTCTTGGACCAAATTGCCGTCTCCCTTGTCTTTGGGACTCTTTTGAACAACCTTTTGCGCATTGTAGAGGACCGCATTGCAGTTTGGACCCCACGAGCCAGAATGGCAGCTCGGCACAGCGCAAAGTCGGTATTGTCCGCGCTCATTCGTTGTACGGTCCGTCCAAGGTCAAGAATTCATCCTCAACCTGCCTCACAATTCCAATGCATGCGCTTTGCATCTTCTGGCAGACAACGGACGCATATGAAGTCGACGAGAGGACCTGCAGAGGCGACCAGCAAAAAGCGACTCTTCGTGGAGAGCATTGTCGACCTCACAAGCCTACCGCCATCGCTTGTCGAAGGCGTCATCCGCGACAAGAGCGACGACTTTGATCTTCTCTCTCCAGCTCAATACTATGAAAGCCTAGTTGACTTCACACTCTACGTCCGCGAGCACGACAATCCGTTTCAGCTTTTCTCGCCTTCGAGTATGTCCCCTAAACGGCAGCGCATTGAATTCGCAATTCACTGACTGAAATCAATCAGAACAACTACCGACAGCACCCGTCCTACACGACCTTGGCTGCATCGTCCTAGAAGCGTCTCGCGGCTCTAAGAGCGGCCTCGCGGCGACACTCTGGTTCGCCGCCGCGAACTGGGGCTTCGCGCCGTCCGCGTGCAGCTTCGCCGCCATGCTCGCACGCTCCGGCCAGTACGGTAAGGACTCCGTGACCGCTCCCGCCGAGCAGCGCTTCCGCGCACTCGTCCGGGCCGGCGACCCTGTCGCCGCCGCCATCGAGGGCGAGATCCTGTACCAACAGGGCAAGTACGCCGAGGCCGAGGCGGCGCTCCTCCGCGTGCAGCGCCGGCAAGCCGCCGGGACCGCCGACCTGGGCAGCTGGGAGCCCAACTTTCGCCTGGCGCTGGGGAGGACGCTGGGGAGGCGCGGCAAGGCGGACCAAGCGGTCGCCATCCTGCGAGGGTTGTCGGACGAGGGCTACATCGCGGCCGACGCGGAGCTCGGCAGGCTGCTGCGTGGCGCGGACCCGGACGCGGCGATGCAGTATCTCTTCAGGCCGGGCTGCACGGGTGCGCTCAGCTGCTTCGAAGAGATGGCGGCTATTGAGCTGGACAAGGCGGCCAAGGCAGAGAAGCCGAGCGACGCCGCTGACCATCGGCTCTGGGCGGAGGAGCTGACACGTCTTGCAGATAAGAATGCGGAATTCTAGCCAAGTTTGAGTGGGCTTTTTATTAACGTGTACAACATCTATTAATGTATATAGTGTATAAAATCTTGCGGTTTTTACTTCGAGAGAAATAACGGTTACGTCCAATGACGGACCACCTCACGTCTTCTGCTTCTTTGCTGATGTCTGCTGCGACTTGGCCGGCCTCTTTTCTCCCGGATTTTCATCATCCGACTCGCCGCCTTCGTCAGCCTTTACACCGTCGTCGCTCTCAAAGTCAAGGTCGCGGACACCCGCGTGCTCACCTTCAGCCGGGAACAGCTCCACCCAGGTGCCATCCGTCACGCGCTCGTCGTTCCCCATGAGGTTCGCTTGGTAGGCCGTCTTCATGGCCGCGAGGCAAATCTCCCGCCGCTCGTTGAAGTCAAACATGGGCTTGGGGTACGTCTTCTGCTTGCCCTTGCCGCCGCCGTCGTCGCCCGAGGACAGCCCGTCGCCGGTGACGCGCACGCCGGCCTGCTTCTGGTCGAGCAGGGGCGCTTTCCAAGGCTCGTATATGTACTTGACCGGCAGATCGCGGAGCTCCGGCACCCAGCGCCGGACGAAGTCGCCGTTCTTGTCCCACTTCTGCGGGAACGAGACGGGGCTGTACATGCGAAAGTACTGCGTGAAGAAGGCGGTGCAGGACAGCCACTGCCAGTTGCCGGCGTTGCAGGCGGGCTCGTGGTCGAGCAGGTACTCCTCGAAGACCTCGGCGCCGCGCTCCCAGTCGATGTAGCAGCCGCCGCGGGTGAGGAAGCAGGCGACGGAGTGACGGCCGAGGTGGTGGATCCAGCCTTCTTGCCGGAGCTGCCGCATCAGGGCGTCGATCCACGGGAAGCCGGTCATGCCGACCTTCCACCGCTGAAACCACTGCTCTGCCTCGGGCGAGTCGATGTGGTAGTCGCCGGTGCTGATGCCAGTCTTTGGATCCACCTTGGAGGGGAGATGCCAAGGGATGAACTTACAGTGGCCGTTGCCGATGGCCTGCGTGAACTCCGGGCCGATAGCAGCCTGCGCGGCAAAGTACATGTCTCGAAAGAACAGCTGGCCTGTAAGACTGGCCGGCGGCGAAGAGGCACCCTTGCCGTACTCGTCCACGATGTCCTGTACTCGCCAGTACAGTTCCCGAATCGACAGGGCTCCAAAGTGGAGAAAGGGTGACAGAAGGGTGGTTGACTGGGGCTCAAACTGCGCAGGGCTCGTCTTTGGCTTCTCAAACATGGCCGTGTACTCCTTGTCCTTGGCGATGCCGTCGAGAAGCTTGAGCGCGCGCGTCTCCCCGCCCTTGTGCGGCGTGGTCGCAGAAGGAAACCCCAGCTCCTCCATGGTTTCGATACTGAAGTCTCCTTTGGGGCCGGCTATGCTCTGATACCCCGTGTCCTTCTTTGAGCGGCGCTCTGCATTCGCGTCTGGCTTGCCGGTCGGCTGCTCGTGTTCAAAGTCGAGCGGCATCTCGCCCGGGCCGGGCAGACTTGATGGCGCAGGAATGGGCCGATCAATGGGGCCTAGCTTCTTACCTGCATTTTGAAGCTGCGTGGTGGACATTGTGGGCTTGCCATTATTCTTTGCGACAATCTGATCGCTGTCCCATAAGGTTCGGCCTGAGCAAGTAATGACTTGTACGCCGGCCGTTTTGGCTGCGGCTTTGACTGCAGCATCTCTCTCGCGAGGATAGGCATCGGTGTCCTTTTCGAAGACCAGATGAGTTACACCCCAGGCTTTGAAAATTTTGGGGAAAACCGTCTGAGGGGCTTCACGCAGCAAGAATAGCTTGGACTTGGAGTTTAGCTTGGTGATGGACGCTGATAGATCATTTTGACAGTCGAGGCTATTAGAAGTTAGGAACAGGTGCCAAAATGAATTACAGCAACTCGGGGAATGAGTTTCCTCATCATATACTAACAGAAATTGCCATCTGTTGAGCCCGCCTCGTGCCCGATACACGTAGTGAGGATCCCAAGTGAAGATCGGCCACAGCACTTCAGGGTCGAGGTCGAGAGCAGCCTTGAGAGCTGGGGAATCATGCAATCGCAAGTCTGTACGGAACCAATAGATGACTCTAGATTTTGTCATTTTTGCATGGAATTAGTATTGAATTATGGTGGTGATGGATGATGAGAGGATTGACGGCCAACAGCATATTGTCTCAATTAGCCGTTTTCGGGATCCATGATGTCAGCGCTGGGAGCTTGGATCGGAAGCCGATAGCCATGCGGCCGCCGTCCGACGTAGGGACTTTGTACTAATGGGTGTAACTCGATGAAGCTGACTCTTTTAGCCCTGAGCCGGGATTGGCTGTTCTTAATGAAAGTGATTTGAAATGCGTGACGCTAGATTCCGTCCTTTCTCTAAACTATCGAACGACGGGTAATAGCATAACTAAACAAAAGCAAAAAGGCGAGCAGGAAAAAAAGGCCAGCATAATATCTCCACAGCAGCCTGCATGTGATGTATATCGTGCATGAAAACACTTACACATAAATATGATGAATACCCTGTATTTCCTTTGTCAATTGTCATTAAACGATATGCCGTCGTACGATGGTCCTGGGCTCAGTGCTGTTATAGCATTAATAATAATAGGGGAGGGGGCATCTTTATAAGAAGCAGGCCGTCAGGGGTAAAGTGGCCATGGTAAAGGAGAGAACTTTTGCAAGTTGGTTACTGCATGGTTGCTGGAAGTCGGCCTGGACGAGGCTGTTGGGCCGTCAGCCAACTGAGTTGCACGTAAACATGCTAATCGTACAATGTAGCAACTGAAGCTATTGGGCGGAATAAGAGGGTCAAGCATGTCAAGCTGTTTCTAGTCAGAAGCTGAGCCGTATGTTTGTTTACGATGAGGGTGGATCAAGATCAAATTGCAACAAGACACGGTATTTACTCGGTGCGAGAGATTGCTTTTGCCTCGGTCGAGATCCGTTTGCATGGTGTTTTTGAGTTTGCGAGTTGCCAGATGTTGCCAGCTGTTGCCAGCTGCTGCCAGCTGCCACACGAAAGTGTTTGGTGGGACGAGACAACCCCGCGACCCCGCCAGCTGGCAGCTTTTTTTTTTAGTGGATCGAGACGCTCATCTTGCAGTAGGGAGGCTTTGAGGAAATGACTTTGGCCACAAAAAAAGGCCACCAGCTACATCTTAATAGGCCATCTTGACTTGTTTTTGCATTGATGTTTCTCGCATTTGCCATCTGACACCGTCGCCCGCTGCTGAGACCATTGTTGACACAACTTCCTAGCATGGGCGAGCAATCTATCGTCCAGGACGTGTTCAACACACAATAGAGCTGGCAATCTATAGCACATACCAAGTGGGTAAGTACCAATGCACATTTCGATCCAGGCTCTCCTATTAAAATCTCTCGCGCCGTATGCAAATGCGTGACTGTCGCGAAAACTTGCTGCTTGCTGTTTGGTATTCTGCATCATACCGGTTATAAAGTATGCCTTTCTAGTATTAACATTGACTTAGTGTAATGTAGGGAGTCCAGGCAACCTTATCCACCCCGGATCCATCTCCATTATTAGAGCGAGGATTAGTTAACTATAGTTACAAGGTACAGATTACTTACTTAACCTTGGCCATTTCCCATCCCATCCCATCCGCAACTTAGTAGTTCCCGCGTTGCCGATTGCCTCCTCCCGCCTTTCCCGCTATACACTCGGAAAGGAAACGCGCGCCACGAAAGATCGCCTCTCATCATCCCATCATCTGAGCCCACAAAGGTGCTGAACATCCGACACGATGAGGCTGACCGCCTACAAGGCCCTCTCGAACGTTCACTACCCGCCCGACATCATCACCCATGGAGTCGTGGACGAATACCTCGGCCCCTGTGGTTATACCATCGACCGCACAGAGTATAGCTTTCCGGGTTCTGACCAGCTCTGGCATTCGCTCCTGCGCAGGCTCGATGCCGATTTCAGGCAAGAAATCTACGTCTTTCAGCACCACCAGCATATACCACGGGAGCGAGAAGCTACCGAAAAGCTGATTTCACTGGTTCGCTTTGACGGTCGTCCGATCCATCACTCGACGGCCTGAGTATTGATCAGCTACGCACCGTCTTCAAAGACCGCATTGGTGGCACTCCCTGAGGGTGATACCAAGTTGACACGATGGTTGCGCGAACCACTGCGTTTGGCTAGCGGAGACAAGCCAGATGATTGTAGCGCAAGTCCTGGCTCCGGTAGCGAGAGGCTCGAATTTAAAAGCTCAATAAGCTAGTCTCGTTTTAGTTGAGAAAACAGACTGGCCCGTCACACTCTAAACAGTCGATTATCTTAGTACGACTGCTCCAAAACAGCGGATCGCAGACGTCGTTATGGGCCATTTGATACGGCCCGTTCTTATTGTAAGACGGGTGTTTCGTTACCCTTTCTGGAAATTGAGGCATCACTAGCCCAGGGAATGAGCTTTCTAGTCTTCAGTTGCCCATTGCAGCTCAACGGCTGGATACGACTTTTGTAACAAGGCAACAAGGCAACAAGGAGACCTTGAACTTGCCAGTAGCTGCCATGGATGCCTCGGCGAGTGACACGGACGAGCCCGTTGACACACATTATCAAGGACCCGGAGTTGGGGCATGTTAGCTTCTTCAGCCAGTCGAGCAGCGCCTTTCGTCAATATACTATTTTGGGGTTGAGAGTCTTGGTCACGTCCTGATACCTCCCACGACAGCAACTAGTCTAGCCCTCGCGTCCATTGCCAGTGTCGTATACGACGCTAAACATGTCGTTAGGGCAGCTATAGCTCTTAAAAGTTAACGTATAGTAGTCATAAAACTTCTTATTATTGTTACTGACGTCACTACAGAGCTTTCGCTGATGATCTCTATACTGAGACGGGCAGCTTAAACCAGTAGACCCTATAAAAGACGTTATAAGTTCTTTGTCTTTCTTACTATCCTTCCTGACGGGATAACTTAAAGAGCGGGAGGAGCATAATAAGTCAGTACTCTATTAATACGTATCGTATATCGCCATATTATCCATGTTAGTATCATAACAGGCAAGTTAATGTCCACGCCAATAGTAGAAGCTAGTCGATCTAATCTCCTGTATGCTACATCCACACGAACTCCCTCTATAAGCACTATTACTATAATTATACTATCCACATTTCGGCATTTCATTAGGAGGGCGGTAGAAGGTCTACACACTAGTGTTATATGGGGTCTCATCGACCAGAGTCTCATGGGACCGCGCTACAGGGTCCTAGCGGGGAACAGGAATCCATCCAGACGGACAGGCTATACAGGTTTGTTAGCATTAGGTGCTTTCCGCTTGTGGGAGTTAAGAAACTTGCCTTGTCCGCAGGTTGTCCATTTACACTGATTATGTTTCTTGATGACGGTGTCGCAATCCACGGAATCTGCCTATAAGTAAAAACAAGTCAGTGGTTGAAAAGTAGTAGTAAAAAGTCTTCATCCAACTCACAGGGTTTTTAATATCAAAGTGCTACAGGTACCAGTAAGAGGCCGGGAGAGTGATTAAAAGTTCCTTTCCAACGGACTTAAGCGCAGACTTTAGTCGACGCATAGAGATGGGGAAGGTTTTAAAGTCAATTGGTCGACCAGATCTATCGTCAGCGCCGGGATATTCCCAGTCCTACCCAGGATGGACTGGCTACAGATTGTAGCCAATTCTATCTGGCTAAATTAGGGGACACTGATAATAGCATCATTGCCGCTTATAGTTCATTTAACCTCGACGAGTTTCTAATATGGAATCCTACTGTCGGCCAGCCTTGTAGCCTTTTTCTCTCTGGGACGTATTACGTGTTAACGCCATAGACCGCTCCACGGCATTATCGACCACACTTGTCCCTGCGACTTCTACAACCCTGGGCAACAGCATTACGACTCTATAACCTACCCAACCCGGCATAGTAAAGGACTGTGTTAAGTTTCACTACATTAGTGAAGGCAACATATGTGGTTAAATTACATCCTATAATGGAACATCATAGAAGGACTTTACGAGATGGAACCCGCAAGTAGGTGAAGGGTGCACTGCGCTGTCGGCCAACACCTATGCCTGTGTTAGTGTCGCGGCATTCTCTCTAAAGTCACGCTATCGCGTCGTCTGCACAGGAGAAGTGCACAACAACGTCGCTGTGAAAATGAACGAGGGCTATTGCATGAACACAGACTGCCAGGTTGGCTCTTTAGAGATTGCCACTGATGGTCTCTGCGAGGATGGCGAGGTGCAGCTGTTACTAGGAGCAACCAGGTTGCAGTGGGAAGTGGTATGGCTTCGCTTATGCTTCAAAGGGTACCTGCCGCGGGCTTTGGACGCAGGATGGAAGTTTAATGCAATCCATCTATGGTGCACCTGGAGCTGGGATGATTGTGTTTCGAATGGTACATGGCTGTTCCTTGGACCCCGAACCTCAGGGAGGGGTTTGCTAGTTTATCAGAGGGTTTAACACGTGGTATGTAGGTACATAGTGCCACTTTGGCTTTCAACACACCTAGCAGGGCAAGGGGAGTGATTTACATGTGTAGATGGCTTCTTCCAGTAACATGCGCATATATTCCACTGTACTCGCAGGGAACAACGAGACCGCGCTCGTAGGTTAACTAACATGAGTTCTTTCTCAACAGGACAAATATACTGCATATGTGTATCCCTTCCTTTTTACGCATGCTGCTGTTGCGCCTGACTACTAAGTATCGGACTGCAAACAAACACTGCGATCCAGGGCAACGACGACGCGTAAAGGACGCGTCGCATAAATAAACTTTTACCCCGCGCCGCCAATGGGGGGAAGTGGCAAGGGGAAAGGGACAGGGAAATTGCTCATCACCCGATTCTATTTTGCGGGGCGGCCTCGGAACGACCAGCTTTCTCAATGTTGATGATCCAAGACAATCAATCCCCTTGCGCCGTCATGACTGAGAATTCTGCGACAACAACAATTCGAATTCGAATTCGGCCGGCCAACAGTATCCGTACATGGCCATTGTTGTTTTGCAATTTGTCCCGATGTTGACTGATGCTACCAAGCAAGACAAGACGAATCGAACGAGCGTTGACCGTGATGATGCCCATCTTACTTGCAGTTGACCGGAGCGAGGACGTGGTGCCAAGCGGCTCCAAGTGACGCACCTGGCTGATTGATGTGTTCCGCTGCGATGCACTGGAATGCAAGCATTGCTTCAGGTTTTGAAGCGAGGGCAGCAGACGAACCGCTGGGGGGGATCGCTGGGCAGCAGCTGCAGAGTTAGTTGTTGATTGCCGTGAGACATCGCGGCTGGGACCAAAACCCAGCGGACACAAACCCCGGGAGGTTGCTGGTACGATCGGTGTTTGCTCCTTGCATCTGATTCATCGGGGCCGCGGGACCAACTAACTAACATGACGGATTACGTGCAGATGGCGTTGGCCTAGCTCGTCGTCGCATGAACAGCAATCACGGTGGAGCGGACGAAGCAGAGCACAGAACACCACACCATTATGCGGCTTGGTTCAGCTCCCGTGGGCACGCTTCCTCTGCCGTGCTATTTTTCCTTTTGTCGATTTACCAGTGGTCGCTGGCCAGGCTGCTCATCTCAAGATAATTTTTTTTTTATTCCCCTGCGCCATGCCCACCCTTTTATGTACTGGTGCGACGCGTCCTGGCGTCCTGCGTCCTCGATTTAGACATAAGGCGTCGTTCCCTCACCATGCATGCTCTTGATGCCTCCCCAGCAAGTTACCTATCTTGTTGATTTTTTTTTCCCCTCCTCTCTCCTAGCATTGTGCTCTTCCGGTCGCATTCCCGACCCTGTCACTCGTTTGCGCTTCGCAAAGACCAGTGTGCTTTCCTCCTCTTCGTCTGTAAACCTTTTGCTTCGCCACGCGAGCTGGAAACGTCCATCCATTCCCATTCCTCAAAATCGCCGACAGCACTAGCCTTCCAGAGACACCCCAACTTTTTGCATTCCAACCGCAGAGAGGGCACCAGTTGTTTACTCCGACCAGACCAGAAGCTGCCGATTCGCATTGGGTTCCTCCGACCGTTGCTGTTGAAACAGAATCCTGGAAACCCCCGCACTCGTTGTCTGCGTTTGCGTCTCAGAGCATTGGCTGCCGCCAAGATCAACACCTGCGCCCACTCTATTCTCGTCTCAGCTGTGCTCGTTTCCACCCTTCAAACACGCAAGGACCAGATTTTCCCGACTCGCAGCTTCCCACGACTCCCTGCTTCGTCCCTCGTTTGCGTGCGCATCCTTCTGCGGCTTCCCGAGTCGTGTTATCATCAGACGCTTTCCGACTCTCTCACCACTTACACCTTCACCTGCATGCAGCCCTGGTCCCACCCTGTCCGACCCCAGCGGAAACAGCAAACATTGGACCACAACATTAACAGGGGCCTTGCGTCTGTCGCAGAACTTCTTTGCATCCGAAAACAAAGTCTTGCGCTTCTCGAGCCTTTCCCCCGCGAGGGTCAAAGCATCTCACGGCGCTTTTCTGCCGTGAGGATCACTCATACATAAACATGATCGCCTCCATTCTCTGCGCCAACGTTTCCTTCTCCCCCTCAGCACAACCTTCTCTTACAATGAGTCGAATATCGCTTGCTGTTCTTGCCGGCCTGGCCATCTGCACAACCGCTGGCGCCGCAGCATGCCTTGCCATGCTCTCCTTGAATCTATCGTCTCTCCCCGCCATCCGCGCAACAGCCATTGCCGCCGCCGCTCTCCAGGGCACACTTCTGATATTATTGTCTTGGCTCATCTCAGCGCACATCATGGTCAAGATACGTCAGCTGTCACGGCCCTACACCGGTGTTGCCCTTGCCCTTGGAGTGCTGGCGAGCCTTACCTCCCTGGCCGCCGCCGCTCTTACGCTGATATGGATGGAGACGTCCACCAGCTACGACGATCACGTTCATTCAAACCGGTCATCAAAGGTCATTGCTGCTTCAGTGATGCTAGCTCTCGCTGTCACCAGTCAGATTCTTTTCATGACAATCCACTTTGCTCAGCTGCATTACGGGAAATCCGGCCTTCGCCACCTCTTCGCGCCGAGAGAAGCCTCGCCGTGGTCGCCAGCCACCTATGTCAAGTCTATTCGATACAGTCAGACGCTACCACGCAAGAGTGACTCGGAAGAGTCTGAATCTTTTGGTTTGAAAGAAACCCCGCCTTCCTTGCGCAACAAGTTTGTGCAGGCTAGCCCTCTCAAGCTCGCATTTCCACAAGCTGTTCGCCACACTCATTCACGGACAAGACTGCTGCACGCCAAGGACAGCGCGCAGAGTCTGGCAATTGATACAGCTACGCACCCGAATGCTACTCAGGAAAGCTTTGATACCTGGGATACGTCATCTGTAGATGCGCAGAACCGCCAGGCTGTCATGGAAGCCTGTACGTCACCCATCACCAGCCCTTACAACTTGGAGCCGATCCCTGGCAGTCCTCGAGCCAGCATCAACCCCGAAGACATGATGTTCTTTGCGCCACCACGACCAATTTTGAAGCGCAGCCGCAGCCACAGTCCTGCAACGGGGCGTCCATCACTGCGAGGGAGAGCTCCGGCCAACCCCAACGAACTTCACATTCATCCGTTGTTCCGATCAGACTCTCCCAGCACACCACCTATCTTGACGCCGGGTACAAGGGTTGTAGCCGCGCCTGACGCTGGCCAGATCCTTTTCCACCGTGTTCCGTCAAGGCCACTCCCCCGCGTGCGTAGTGGGAGCCTGCCAACCATGTCGCGCAGCCCGTTTGCTCATGACCTGGACTTGGACAACGTGGAAGAAGAGGTGTACAACAAGCAGGACGTGCGGGACCAAGAAAGAAAAATGACACCTCCAGTGCCTGAATGGGTATTGAACAGCAAAGTGCCGCCACCGATTCCACGCAAATCGGCGAGTCGCAGCTCCCTGCGGGTGTCTACTACTAGCTCCTTGCGGGTGTCTACTACCAGCTCCTTGCGGGTGTCTAGTGCCTGAATCACTGGACATGGCTTTTGAGAATGGCCATTTGGAACTCGTCAAAGTCAAACCTTGTTCGTTATTTTATAATATTTCACAGATGGGCCGGGCCGAATCTGGATTGTACTTATATAATGGCTGGATCTTTTACGACCAGACGCGCACACGCGCACACGATTTTAACAAGCACGGCGTTGGTGGGGAGGCTTACTTTGTGTTGTAGGGCTTTGTTTTTGGCTTTGGAGTATAGGAGCACGTTGATTTCATAAACGATACATATACGCAAGTTTTTCCCCTTCTTAATTGATGACGCATGTGGGATCTGGCTATCCGTATTCGTAATGGGATGTTATCGTGATGGTTCTCTGCTGACACTCAATCCTGCGACCACACTCTGATAGCAAGCGTGTACGCAATATACGCGGAGACAATTGTCCGTACAATTGTGCAATGTAAGTAGATATGTACCGAGTACAAACACGCACAATACAAATGATTCGTTGCCGTGTTGTGAGGAAAGGAGCTGCCCCACCAGACTTCGTCGTCAGTGGGTGATGCCTAGCCACATCAGCCACAGGTGATATGGAAGCTACCTCTAACAAGTTCGAGAAGCGAGGCAGTATGCTTTACTTCACCCTACTTTCAGCTGTATCGCAAGAAAATGAAACTCCCTGAAGATTACATAGGTTGAAACTAAGCAGCACTGTCCGATTAGCCGATATTTGATTGTGAACTGTGATTTCGTAGTCGACTCGTCCTTCTTATCCTTCCTTAAAAGGTGTCTCGAAGGTCTCCACCACACAGGCCAACGACATCCAGCCAAGTCAAGTCGAACGCCTCCACATCGAAAACGCTGTCAGGCCAGCCGAATGAAACTGCACCACCCAGCCATCATTATTAACCTGCCTTTTGCATGCACAAAACCCAGGTCGACGATCTGTCCCTCGCACCGCCGTCCTAGCAGCTCTCCTCGACCGGCCTCTTCCACCCGCCGTTATATTTCTTGCACTCTGCTGTTCTTTGTTCCCGCTGCCGCAGCCGTCCAGCTGCTCCAAATAACCGCCCATCATGAAGGTCACCTTCAGAGTATGTTTTGCCACCTCGACGATCAACATCGGTTCGGGCGATACGGGCACGCCATGCCGCGACCGCCCAGCCGCGGAACGCACATTGACACGACGCGACACCGAGAAGCTGACTACCGTCTTGCGCAGGATCTGAAACAGCAAAAGTTCACCCTTGAAGTCGAGCCCACCGACCTGGTAAGCCAGCTGCCGCTGCCCCCCCGAGGCGGCTACGTCTCCTCGAGGCGCTTGCTGCCCGACTACCACCAACCTGATCCCGCGATACTAAACCTGATTTTACATAGATCTCTGCCGTCAAGGAAAAGATTTCGGCCGAGAAGGGATGGGAGCCCAAACATCAGAAGCTCATCTACTCCGGTACGGACCATCGAACCCCGCGTCATCTGCCCCGCCATTCCTAACCAACTCTTCAGGCAAGATTCTCAAGGATGAGGAGACGGTCGCCTCGTACAACATTGAGGAGAAGGGCTTCGTTGTCTTCATGGTGAACAAGGTAGGGCTCCTTCTCGTCGTTTCTGTTTCTCGCGCAAGCTTCTAACCTGCTCCTCAGCCCAAGGAAAAGCCAGCCACCGCCGCGTCCTCGGCCGCCGCTCCCCCCGCGACGCCGGCCCAGCCCGCCACAGGCACTCCCGCCATCCCAGCTGCTCCCAGCCAGTCGTCCGCCCAAAGTACTGCTCCCCCTGCCACACCAACTCCCAACCGCAGCACCGATGCCGCGGCCCCCGCAGGCGGCGACTCGGCCGGCCTCACCATGGGCGCCGAGCGCGCAGCGGCCATTACCAGTATGGAGGCTATGGGCTTTGAGAGAAGCCAGATCGAGGCCGCCATGCGTGCTGCCTTCAACAACCCCGACAGAGCCGTCGAATACCTCTTGACAGTACGCGCACTTTCCCTTCGCCTTTAAATGCTTTAACTTGACTAACTGATATGCCAGGGTATCCCCGACAACATCCAGCAAGAGCAGCAGGCTCGCCAGGCTGCTGCCGCCGCCCCCACCCCGGCTGCTCCCCAGACTACACAGTCACAGACCGGTGGCGACGAGGAGGGCGGGGGCGTCAACCTGTTTGATCTCGCCGCTCAGCACGGTGGCTCTGGCGGATCGCGTGGCGGCAGCGGCGACGCCAGCGGCGCCGCGGCTGAGCTTGGAAACCTGGACTTCCTGCGCACTAACCCTCAGTTCCAACAGCTCCGCCAAGTTGTACAACAGCAGCCCCAGATGCTGGAGCCTATCCTGCAACAGCTCGGTGCCGGCAACCCTCAGCTGGCCCAGCTCATCGCCTCCAACCCAGACGCTTTCCTTCACCTCCTCGGCGAGGATGCCGAAGACGACGTACCCCTACCTCCTGGCGCCCAGGCCATCTCCGTCACTGAGGAAGAGCGCGACGCTATTGAGCGAGTACGTCACCGACCCCTTCCCCCTTGTCATTACTCTTGTTTTTGCTGTTCGATGCTAATTTACTCTCGCAGCTTTGCCGCCTCGGCTTCGACAGAGACCAAGCTATCCAGGCTTACTTTGCGTGCGATAAGAACGAGGAGCTTGCCGCCAACTTTTTGTTCGACCAGCCCGAAGACGATTCGCCACCCGCGACCCAATAAAGGAGGATGACAGCGAGCGTGGGATTTTGTTTTACGATAATGAGAAAGAAGGTTTTTGTTACCCGACAAGGGAAAACTTTATCAATTGCTAGTATTAGTTTTGACCAATCTTGCTCTTGAACGGCACAAGCTTGAGGGCTTGATGACAGCGGCTGGCGCCCGATCGTGTGACAGGTAGCGTTCGTTTGAAAAGTAATCTAGCGAGAAATCGGAGCTTTGATGCGCGATTGATTGAATTTATTCCTGTCTAACGATAATCAGAAACGCTATACTATCATCTCCAGATCTCTCTCTCTCTCTCTCTCCTCTGTACAGACAAAAGGAAGTAATAACCCATTAGGGCAATCAGGGTATCGATTCCATTATAAACAAGCGCAACGAGGCCATCACCAGCAAAAAAGGCGAAACAATAACTGTGCCCTTTTAAAAGCAAGAAGCAGAAACAAAACCAAAGATACTTGCGCCAAATCCAATGCAATTCATGCTCGTCCGAATCCAATAATCGTGAGCTCATCCAAACTCTATTTGCCAGAACAGCAACAAAAGCAGCGCAAGGGGAAACAACCAGAGAAAAGCTGCGTGTGCGTTTCCGTTTTACCCTTCGTTGACAATGGGCTCGCCATTGAGGCCGTACTGGACCGCCTGCTTGCCCTTCTTCCCGCCCCTGCCCTTCTTCTTCTTCTTGGCGTCCGCCTCGTCGTCCTCGGCGAAGAGCTCCTCGCGCTTCTTGCGCATGATCTCGGCCTGCTCGTCCGCGACGCGCTTGCGCTCCGCCTCGTAGCCCTCCTCGACGCGGCGGTGCTCTGCCATGATGTCCTCGACGGGCTCGAAGCGGGCGCCCGTCAGCGCGCGATACTCGTCCAGGTCCATGCGGGTCGTCTTCTCGCCGACGAGCGCGGCGTCGACGCGCGCCGGGTCGCGGCGCTCCTCGCGGTTGAACTTGAGCTTGACGTGGCGCCGCTGCTTGCCTGGGAACATGTGCGAGATCATCTGGAACTCGGTGCCGAACATGGCGAGGCCGCGGTAGAAGAGCTCCGTCTCGGCGTCAGTCCACAGGTTGGGGCCGCGCAGCTTCGAGGTGGTCATGAAGGAGGAGCTGGTGATGAGACGCGTGAAGTCGTTCTCCTCGATGGTCTCCATGTCCTCGCCGGCGTGCGCGGCGGCGGCGCGCGCGTGCCGGTCCATGATGAGGGAGCTCTGGTCGACGACGATCTGACCGTCGACGATGCGGAACTGCGGGCCGGCCGGGGCGGGTCCGCCGCCGCCGCCGCCGCCGCTGCCGCTGGGGGCTGCCGCGGCCTCGCCGTTTGCGCCCGGCGTCGAGGAGCCGGGCGTGCCGGCCTTGATGCGCTCCACCTGCTCGTCGAGGGGTGTTCCGGAGCGCGAGCCGTCTCCATTGAGAGTCAAGCCTTCCTTACTGAGCTTGGCTTGCACACGTGCCTGGCGCTCGCGCTCGCGGAGCTCGTCGTGACGGCTGAACTTCTTGCCAATGTGCAGGTCGCGCGTGAGGTCCGACATCTTGAGCGTCTGCAGATCGACCATTTTGTTCTCAGAGTCGTCGGGTGTAGTGGATCGTGCTCGTCTCGCTCGGGCGGGAGCCTTGTCAGCGGCCGCGGCCGCCGTACTCCTTTTCCTAGGCTTCGCAGCGACGGGGGCTGCTTCACCTTCGATGACGGCGGCCTTTCTTGTTCGCTTCCTTGGTCGCGCAGTGGTTGCCTCGCTATCTTCGGCAGCCGCCTCGGCGGTCACGGCTGCTCGGCGCCTTGACCTCGTGGCCTTCGGCGCGGCGACGGCCGGGGCCTCGGCTTGCGCCTCTGGCTGTGATTCTGATGCGGATGTAGAAACCTGTTGTTCTGTCGATGGCGGCGTTTCCAGTTGCCGTATCTCAGCTGGAGGCTGCGTTTGTGCGGCTTGTGAGGCTCGTCTTTGTCGGGTCTGACGCCTCGTGGCTGGCGCGCTGTCGACTTCCTTCGCAACCGTGACAGGACTTTCTACGGGGGTGTCCTCGGAAATGGCCTCGATGTTGCTTCTAGCAGCCTCGGCTAATTGCTTGTACGTTGCCGCATCTTGTATGGGTTTGGATGTGGACGCCGCGCTTGACCGGCGACGCGGCTTTGGTTGTGAAGGCTCGGGTGCGGTGAAACGGTCGGCGGGTTGGGGCTCTAAGACCGAGTCCGACGGTCGTTGAAGTTCTGGAGCCTCGACAGGCAATTCCTCGACGACCTCGTCAATCGATACGGGCGGCTCAACGGGCTTCACAACTGGGGCAGGTGCCGGCGCGGGTGCGGCTGGTCGTGCTCTGGCTGACGGAATCTTAGGTTTGAAGGCGGGCGCGCCCTTTTTCTTGAACATGGAACTCATCGTGGGTGATTATTGAATATTTGGCTGTCGATAATGTTGGCTTTTGGAATATGACCCCTTGTTACATGTCGGGTGGGCTTCGGCTGGTCACCGTTATTTCTGGCTTGCTACATTCATCTGCCGTTCAGAGAAATTGCTGAGCGGGCATCGCGATAGCCAGTTTAAACGGAGTTTAGCCGCTGCAAGGAGGCGATAAGAGCCACGCAGCAGTGTGGCTAGTGCGCTGCCAGTGGGTCGGCGGTGCATCTTTGATTTGCCAGCCAACTTGGAAATTTCAAACTCCTGGCTTGTCATCAACTTGCCTCTTCACCATCTGCGTCCTCGCGATCTTGTGTATGATCGCCTGCACGGCCAGCTACGGGACGAGACTTGGTTGTGTATCGCATGTTTGACCCAAGCGCTCGCTCTACAGCTCTTCAGCGCGACCAATAAGGGCCCCCCTATTGGCGCTATTCTGATGCCTGCAGTGACGACCCCTTCGACGTCGCCTCGTACCTCCACGATTGTCAAGATGGAGGACAGGAAGAGGCCCGCCGTTGGCAGCGCCGATGACCTTGCGCCGCCGAGTAAGAGGGTTGCCATCAATGGATCCAAGCCCAGGGACGATGCTCCCGAGATGAAGGAGGAGAGCTGGATTGAAGTAAGTGTCGCGCGACACCCTCTACATCCCCAACCCAATGTTTTTGCGCCTTCTGTGGGCTGTGAACCCTTGTCCAAGGAATAGCGACACCTTCAATATTCCTGTTCTATCGCTTTCACCCGCGTTGGGTCGGTGCTGCGATGTTTACGTACAACGTGCGCATCTTATGCACGCGCTTCATGCCACATGCCCGTTTCACCCGCGCACACCGACCCGATTGCCGCAAAAAGCCATCAGAAGCAAGGCAAATATCATCAAATTTGCCTTCAATGCTAACCCAATTTTCTTGAAGGCGTATACAAAGGGCGCCATTTATCGCCAGATGCAAGAATATAGTCGCAGAGCCGCCACCGCAGAATCACGATTGGAGGAAGTACATAAACGAGCCGTTCACCACGATGATCACATCCGGATTATTGATGCATGGTGGCAACAAGTAAGCAAAGAGCTGGACGATTTTGACCACCAGAGTCTAACACGTGTGCCAGGTTCTCGAAGAAATCGAGTTGCTAGCCGACCCCTCTCTTGCGAGCAAAAAGCTGGATGGTAACACCGCATTCTTCCTGAATTGAGTGGCTCGGACACTAACATCTACAGGCCCACCGTTCTTAAGCAGCGTTTCTTTCAAAGATTTGCAACACTTCCAAAGTCACCTGCAGGACAAGGGGAAAGCTATCAAGAATAAGACAGAAGACCTTCTGCAGCGAGTCGCCGCACTTCGAGGAGAAGTAAAGCCCGAGACGGCAACGCTAGAAGGGAAAATAACAGGGCTCCTCGCCTCTCAAAAAGATTATCTTCTTAAATTGGATCGACTAAACAGCGAAAAAGATACACTATCAGAGCAGCTCAACACAGCTACACTGCGATATTTCAAGGCTGAGAAGAAGCTGGATCGTGCCAAAAGTTCACAGGTGCAGAAGTTGGAACAGCAAGCCTTCGCCAATGCCACACGACCACCCTCTGCTACAAAGGAAAGCTCAGAAGAGCCTACGCCTTCTAATGGCGCAGGAGCAGAGCTACTCTTAAAGTATGAGGAAACTGCGGCAGCGGCTACGAAGCAGAAGGAGCAACTCGACAACCTACTGGGGGAGGTACGAACTTTGCAAGAAGAAAACTCGACACTTAAGGCCAAACGCGAGTCCTGTTCAGATGAGGAGTTTGTCAGGACCGACGTTTTCAAGCAATTCAAGGGCCAAAACGAAGAGCTTATCAAGCGCATCAACAACTTGGAGGCAACAAACAAGCAGCTTCGAGAAGAGGCTGAAAAGCTACAAGCCGAACGAACGACATTCCGATCACAACTGGAAACTGAGGCTAGCCAAGTTGCTGCAGAGTTGGAAGCAGACATTGCTGCCAGAGATCAGGATCTCGCACGTGTTCGATCGGCTCGAGATGAGATTCTAGCTGAGAACACGCAACGAAAAGTTAGCATGGAGCAAGAAAGGCAGTCTTTGAAGCATATGAAAGACCTCGTATCTGCGAAGGAGGACCGCATTTCTGCGTTGGAGTCTGAGATCGCAAGATTGAGACCAGCTTCCGCCGAGCAAGTCACAACGGACCTTTCTGAAATGGATGAGGATGAACTTCGCCAGAAATTTAAGAAACTGGAGAAGGATTTCCAGGCCATTAATCATGAATTGCCGTCGATAGAAAAAGCATTCAAGAAGATGAGGGACTTAGGGCAGACGAGAGTCATGGACTTTGCAGGACTGGAGGAGAAGATGCAACTACTAATGGCGGAAAAGAACAAGGCGGACCAGAAGTACTTTGCGGCGCGCAAAGACGCCGATACGCGAAATAACGAAATACGATCCTTGCGCCATCAGAACAGCAAAAGCGCCGAGCTTATTGCGCAGTTGAAGGATCTCGAGGCGCAAAATCGCACGTTGCTCGGCAATTTGGAAAAACAAATGAGTGACTTGCGCCTAACAAACGCCACTCTAGTGGTTGAGAACAAGAAGATGGAGGCCGCCACCGTGGATGGGACGCGTCGCGTCGAGTCGTTGAATAAGCAGATTGCGGAGCTCTCAAGTTTGGTGAAGGCGAGAGATTCGGCATCGGCCGTTATCAAGGAGAGAAATACTGTGCAAGAGACCGAGGTGGAGAAGCTCAAGGTGCGAATTGAGCATGCGCAGAAGGACCGGGATAATTGGAGAAGCAAGGCGCTGAGCAACTCATCGGAGGAAGAGGAAATGTTGCGAACATTTGCTCTTTGCACCATTTGCCGGAACAACTTCAAGAATACAGCGCTCAAGACGTGCGGTCATCTCTTCTGCAGCAAGTGCGTGGAAGACCGCATCAGCAATCGCATGCGCAAGTGTCCAAGCTGCTCCAGAGCGTTTGATAAAATGGACGTCATGCCTGTTCATCACTGATGTTGTCCCTTTCGAATACGAGAGCATACGAGAGCTGCGCGATCACGGAGGATGGCCCAAGGGAGCAAGGGGCAATTTAGCGATGGGATGATATCGATTTCCCGCAAGCAGGGTATGGAGAGAAAGCATGACGGCTGTTGACGAGCTATTTTATTCCGATTCACACTGCAATATGGCGTTTTACGGCACAAAACAAAGAATGGAGTTATTTTTTTCTTGGAATTTATTGCTCTGTATATTTTTTTGGACTTTGGGAGTTTGCCTCTTTCTTCTCCTGGCGGGGAACTGAGCTGTATACTACTTGTGTACCTGTGTGGTTTTTTTGTACAATGAATCTGGGCGAGCAAAGGATAGTGAGGGGTGCTCTTTTTTCTTCTTCCTGGTGTATGAGGTGTATAAAGGCAAAGATGGGCTTTTTTTTTCCTATGGCATCAGGGATTCGGCGCTTCAATCGATGGACAAACGAAGGGAGGTGTTTGGCATGATTTGGATAAAGAAATAAATATTAGTAATTGATGATGAGCACTGGCTGTGAAGTGAGTTTTTGGTATTGTACAAATAAGTCATTGTAGCTACTGCGACACATTTTTGTCGCTCTCGCCCTCCTGGTACTTGGACTTGCCCACAAATGAATGATTTGAAGAAGCATCGTGGTGTGGTGATTCTCTCATCTGCGCCTAGTCGAGCCGAAGCCGGTGCTCTCGTGCCTATCGCCGGAGCCACCCCCGCGGGTGCGGCCGGAAGACGACGAGGGGCCAGCCCAGGAGTCGCCGCCGCCCCATCGCGAGCCGGAGGCGCCGTAGTTGTTGCCGCCCCAGGGCGAGTAGTTGTTCCGGTTGTTGTCGCGGTTGCGGCCGCCGGCGAGGTAGGAAGCGGCGGCGCCGCTGGCGAGACCGGTCCAGAAACCGGGCCTCCAACCCTGCTGCTGCTGACTGCTGCTGCTGCTGCTGCTGCTGCTCGATGACGGCTTGTAGCTGTTGTCCGAGCCTGGATAGGGCGGCGGAAGATCGTTGCGAGGACCCCAGCCGCCGCCGCCTCCCGGACCATCACCACCACCGCCGCCGCCACCGCCTCCATATCGTCTAGTCGTGTGTCCTTGTCTTCTGTTGTTGCCAGATCCGGCCACGCACGCCGAGTACGCGATCCACGCAAAGACGCCCACGAAGACGAGCGCAAACAGCCACGCCGAGGCGTCCGCACCGCCACCCAGCCCACGTCCTCCGCCGCGCGCCAGCTCCGGGTAGCGGCGCTCGCCCTGGTCCGTGAGGGCGAGGGTGTACTCGACGCCGCAGCTGCCCTTGAGCACGTACGGGTCGTCTGCGGACGCGTAGCCCTCGCAGACGACGTCTGTGGCGCCGAGCCGGAGCTCCGGCGGCAGCGAGGCCTCGCAGCTCCACTCGACGTCCTCGTCGCCGTAGGAGGACCCTTGGTTGGTGCAGCGCATGAGGTCGACGGCGTGCAGCGCGCAGAGGGCGCGGTCGGGGGAGACGCACCGCAGCTGCGGGATGGCGCGGACGCGGCGGTGGGTGGTCTTGGCGCCGCCGCCGCGGACGGTGAGCGTCTGCACGGAAGAGAGCAGCACGGCCTTGTCGGAGGGCGGCGGGCGCTTGGCCGCGGCGGTGGCGGGGAGGCCGAGGCCGAGAGGGAGGAGGAGGAGGGCACGGGCGATGTGCATGATTTCTTGCAAGCGCGGTTGGAGAGGGCAGGAGGTTGAGGTTGATGGGGAAATTTGATGACGCCGTTTGTTCTCTGTGGCCAGGTGGGTAGCGTATAAGAGGCAGCCCTATATCAGCCTTGTCCCCAGCAGATACGATAGATCAGTCGAGACAGATTTTTGCAAAATTTGTAGGAATCCTGGGTATATTACTACAAGAGCCTGTGAATAGAAAAACAAAAAAAAAAGAAGTTCATGAAAAGGTGCGGCTGATGATGGTGTCGCAAAGAGTCACCTCTCTTCTAGAGGACACCATGTCCATTGTGGCCAAGGCGGCAAGACGGGGACGCGATGACGAATGGAGTGCGCAGCCAGCCGCCACGCATGCTCTTTGTGAGAAGAGAGGCTATTCTTTTCTTTTCTTGGGCTTACCAGAGACTGGTCTGTTTTGTGCAACGGGCGAAAACGAAAAAAAAAAATTAAAATTGCCCATCGTGAGAGCACGGGCGGCGCGTACACTGAGTTAGTATGCGAGTGATGAGTATGTGAGTGATGAGTATGTGAGTGATGAGTATGTGTGATGAGTACGTGAGTGACGAGTACGTGAGTAGAGATGAATGTAGCCGCCAAGCAAGGCCGTCACGGGTGGCTCGAATTGCAAGCGTCGACCAGATTAGTTACCTAGAAGAAAAGAAGTGTGTTGCAGCAAGTCAGTCAACGTTTGGTATCCATGAGCATATTGTTGGTGCATGTCTCTTTGAGACTGTTTGATGCCGCGACGCCGGGTTAAAAGCCTACCTATGTACTTAATAGCCGGAGGAGGCGCAGGCATGTCGCTTTTACTCTTTCCTTCCAAGAATAGCGATAACACCAAGGTCAATAAGGCAAGCGAGTCGCCAAATTGACTACTGGCACTATAAAGGTATAAAGGGCTCATACCCAGTATTTCGGCATAGCCGCCGTTCAATGAAGTTTCCTCAGGGCCCGCATAGGTATCATCAATGCGCTCAAACCCCTGGCCGCTGGTCGTACCAAGCAGCGATGGATATTGCTGCCAAGAAGAAGCAGGCTCGTGGCTCATGCAGGTGCAATCGTGTTCTTTTATGTTTTTATGTAGTCATGATTACAGCCTCGTGAGAAGCGGTTGTATGTGATGGTGAGTGAGGTGATCGACAAGACCAAGACAAATGCACCCTGGTGGTGATCTTGGTTGGACATGCAGCTCTTGGTGGGATTGATCGTCCACAGTAACCAACTGCTTGAACACACCAACAGACTTGGCCAGCCAATCTAGACTCGCGCCAAGCCACGATGCCGCGCAACATGAGGCCATGTCGGTCGGCCCACCAGGCCCAAGTTTCAAAGCCATCATGCCCAGCCTGCATGGCTCATAACTAGTTGGGACAAGACTCAAGACTCACTGACACGCTCCTTGACTCGCTCGTCTAATAACTAACTAGTGGGCGGCCTGCATGAGATGCCGCCGCTGAGAAATGGCAGATTGACTCGTCCGGCCGCGGCTATCCCACCAACCGTATCCCACACGCTGCTATCCCACTCCCCTTGTTATTACAAACCTCTCAACCAAAACAAGCACCTACAGGCTAGGTACAGGCGAATTTTCCGAGTAATGATCGACCGTCGACAGATTGATAATTTGTCTCGTTATTGTATATTCATAGTAATAGAATGCATTTTAAAGTTTAATGCGCAGTCATGTCGCGCCCTATAAGATTGATGCCATCCGCTCCTCGAACCATCACCCTCGTTCAGCAGCACAGTCGTCCAAAGGAATTCAGTCTTTTCATCTACCTTACCTCCTCCGTTCTCTACCGACGCGCTCCAACTACTATATTCACATACGCACATCACAGCCATCATGGTCTCTTCTTCTCTCCTGCTCGCCCTCATCCCGGCCGTGGCCGCCGGACCCCTGGCCTGCAAGGCTCCCGCGGATGCTCAGCCGCCTACCGCCTGCAAGGCCCCCGCGCCGAAGCCGCCTGCCGCCTGCAAGCCCAAGCCGGCCGCGTCCGCCTGCACGGCCCCGAAGGGCGGCTTCACCATCAAGGCCAAGAGCCTGTACCCCGAGAACGCCGACTTTGACACCTCCCGATGCGTCACTTACATCTCGTACGTTTCAAAAAAAAAAAAAAAAAAAAAAAAAAAAAAAAGGGAAAAAAAAAGTATAGGCACCTTCCACTAACACAAAAGACAGGAACCTGTACAACAGCACCGTCACCGTCTACGACGCCGCCAAGAACGACGTCACCAACGTGCTCACCTTTGACGGCATCACCAACGAAAAGGCCTTCCACATCTCCGGCGTGCAGCGCGACGACAAGCACGACATGCTGACCATCAGCGCCAACGCCGGCGCCGCCTTCGACACCCAGGGCGGCGACATCTCCGGCTCCAACATGCTCCTCCAGTACAACTTGACCGCCGGCGCGCTCGCCTGGCAGAAGGACCTGACCTTGACCTCCAATGGCGTCTACGGCGGCTTCCAGGACATGGAGCACGACGCTGCCGGCAACGCCTTCGTCATCGGCACTTTCCCGAGCAGCATCCTCAAGGTCAGCGCCGACGGGAACACGGTCGATGAGTGGTTCGTCTCCAACAAGACGGGCGTGACCCCCAAGCCGCACGGCTTCACCGGCATCGCCAAGTTTGACGACTCGCGCCGCGTGCTCGTCACCGACGGCGAGACCGGCCAGCTGCTCAAGTTCGACCTGGCCGCACCCAAGGGCGTGCCGGTGGTTGTGCCGATCGGCGACGAGAAGATCGGCGCGGACCTGGACGGCGCGTACCTGCCCCCGCTGCACAAGAACACGGTGCTGCTGGTCTCGGACAACACGCTCGGCACGGTGGTGCTGCGCTCCAAGGACGGCAATTGGGACGCGGCCGAGAGGCTCGGCGTCGTCCCCAAGCCGGCGGCGGACACGGAGGGCTTCGCCGTGGCGACGGTGCAGATTGCCGACAGAATCTATGCCGTCACTGAGTACTTTGGCGACGCTCCGGACCCCAAAAACGCTACCGACACCAGAACTCTCCTCAGAGAGGACTACCCCTGGTACGACATCACCGATGACGTTCAGAAGTTGCTTAAGTGAGGGGGGCAAATTGTTTGTAGGATAGTGGCTTGGCCATGCTCAGTTCTAGATGAGCGGTCCTCGCTTGATCAACATGGTATTCAAAATTTATTGGACCTTTTGCGCTGTGAAATCTTTAAACACACTCTTTTCAACTTCTACCACAATGTGTTCTACCTCCATGTTAAAACTTCCCAGCAGTGCAGTAAACAGTCGGCAAGAGTGAAAGTGCCTGGGTGAGGTCAGCTACGAATATGAGCACCCGATTCCATCCGATGTTCTCCGGTATTTCTTCGGGACAATGATAATTATAACCAACCGGTGGCATTTCGTGTTCACTGCAGTAGCCAACGATGTCAAGGTCAAACATGAGGGCGTGGTCATTAAGAGAAGTGAGATTATTCCCGGGGGTGTAGATATGGCATGCTGTGCAACCACTTCGATCATGCAGGTGGCCAAGTGCAGGGCGTTGCCGTCGATCCTTTACCGCGTCAATTTAGCCACAGAATGCGACCATATTCATTATAAGAAATGCATAAGCAAATAGTTTTCGTACGAACGGCGCATATCCCACGAGCGAGGTTGCAAGAGACGAGCTACCCTGGAGCTGGATCTGGACCACCACACGTGAGCAACGAGGGTACACGAATGAACGAATGAACGGGACGAGGTGTACGGAGCACTGCACGACAGGCAAGATGATCATGGCCTTTTCCATGGTGTTGGGGTGTTACTACGATCTGCAGTTGACGATATAGAGAGCAAGTCCGTGGTAGCACGAGGTCGCGCAGAAAAAGCTGGCAGGAAATCCATGTATGCAGAAAACCGACACGGCGGGTCAGGACGGGGGGCACAATGTACAATGAAGCAGGATGAGGCATGGCTGCGATGAGAGGACTGTGATACACGAAGGCCGTAGTACGAGATGCTGCACATACAGAGATGGGAAGACGCCGGGTTGGACCTGGGGATCCGACGTGTAACAGTAACAGGATGAGAGGAACCTGAAATATTAGGCGAATTGCGCGTCAAACAGTCTCAGCGAGTAACTAAAGAGACCCAAACCATGAGAAAAGGGCGAATATCGAGTGAATCGTGTTTCACGTTCCATGCATGTGGTTTGCTGCTTGGTGTGGATGCCCGAGACGACAAGAGGGGAGGAATTCTTGGGGCGCGCCAAGACAAGACACGGCAAGATACATGCAGAGAGGAGGGAATATTCTAGAATCGAGGCTAGATGCAGGAAAAATGATTGCGCATAGGGATTTGATTAATGTCCATCACTTTAGAAGAAGAGAACCCAAGTGAACTTGGGAAGAGAGAAGAGGCAGCTGAATTCAACAGGGGACCTCTGACTCTGACGGGGCGTGCGCCCGGCTCGGACACTTGGACGGACCCGAACCCGGGAAAACTGGGTCAGCCCTGGGACGGTTCTGGGGTCAGGGTGCGTGTTGGGAGGAAAGAAGGTTTTATTTTCTTGTGTCAAGGGAAAGTTGCGACTCCTTTGGAGAGCATCGTACCAGCAAAAGCTGGATTCCATGCTCGTGTTAAAAATAGAGGGAGCCTGATAGGGTGTGGCAGAGTGACGAGACGGTGTGCTCGCTTCTCGAGTAAAACAAAAAGACAGATTGGACGGCTGGCCAGGTCGAGGGAGGGGGTGGTGTGCAATCGAGTGTGCAGTTACAGTACATATGTATGACGCACTCGGCGTACGGACACAACATTCATCATGCACAAGGTGAAGCAAAAATCATACGTGTTGCGCAAGGGTCAGCGAGGTGGTTCCCGTCTCCCCGGCACAAGTACTCCATGACGAGCAGCTTGTAACCTCTTCTGAAGCGTATGTACGGTACGGAAAGAGAGAGAGAGAGAGAGCAAACACTGCAATGATACGAACCCGGCCGCCGGAGATTGCGGATCAAGTTGTTGACGACTTGCCACGCGGACACTGGGCTTCATGTCGGTGTCTATTGCCGGATTGGTACCGGCCGGTGCAAGGCTGTGAAGGAGCGTGGCTGGCATTTTCCACTATTATAACAAGACTCTTGGCAGGCGGTGGTGTTGAACGATACCTAAACCTCGGGTGACGTTACGTAGTTGCCCTACTCTATACAGTAACATTGCGCGATGGCGCAGGGTAGCCGGACAAAGCAGCGTCCCGGCCTCTTTTTTTCCATCTTGAGTCGTCTTCATCATTGTACCTTAAAAAAAAAAAAGAAACACCCCTGAATATCTGATGAGAGAAGAAACGACAGCGTTATCAAGGGCTAGCTAGTAAGATGAGAACGGCTGACTGCTGGGTACAGATCCCAGAGGCGTCGTTTAAACCATACGGACCCCACAACGCAGTGGATGACGATTATTGAAGATTTTGATGTTGTTGATTACTGACATATTTAATTTTTGAATCTTTAAATTGCTATTTAGGTTGACAAGTTGAATCCTAGTGGCCATTTGGTGGCTGGCGGACTTGGTCAGAGTCCGGCGGGCCGTTGGCTGTAATAAGCGTGAACAATCAGGCAAGGTTAGTATCGAGGGATGAATGATGTACAACATATGTAGCCAGGTGTTGTGTCAACTTTGACGAGTCCGACTGTGATGGCGACACTGAATGCTAACAAGGCTATGTAGGCTGAATGAAACTCTGATTTTATGACACCACCTTTTCTTATGATTGTTTGTTTGGTGGCGCTGGTGCCTACACGGCTGCCTGTGCCGTGTGGCGGTTTAGTTGAGGTCCACTGTAGACGGCTGGCGGAACTGTGGCTTCAATGGCGGGTTTCGCTCCTTCAGCGGTCAGCTGTCAATAGTTGACCTTCAGCGGACTCTTCCAGCGGACTAATGGCCTGCAAGGCTGCCAAGACGACTCTGGGTTTGGTGCATCGTATTCCGCGTATAGCTCACCTTGTACATGACCATCACCAACAAATCACCCACCATCAATCCCCAATCCCCAATCCCCAATCCCCATGCACTATCACTGTCACCATCACCGCTGGCCACCACCCACAGGCCACCAGCTTCCATTTCCACCACATATGGCCGGCCATATTAAAAAAAAAAGAGAACTCCGCACACACCCCCATCCATCTTCAGCATCTCTCGGCGCCCCTCCATCCCATCTCCATCTGCTGCCATCTCTCTTACTATCGAACTCGCCTCGTTTGGCTACGTAAGATAGCAGCATTACTGGCCAAGTACGGACATCCATCTAATCAAACCCACCCACCCGCTGTTTCTTCCGTTGCTAACCCGGCCGTTGATGACTGAATAGCTAGCGCTTCTCCTTCCCACGCAAACAGGAACATCCATTCGAAGCCGTCTCTCACGCCGCGCCTGTTTGTTCGGGTCCCGGACTTCTCCTCGGGCCCATGCCTCAACCTCAGACCGACCTGACTACGCACGTCCGCACCTTAAAACTCTCGTCCACGCCGGCTAGCTAACTCGCGACCCCCTCTGAAATCTGACTCTGCTCCCCCGCCAGGCTCCTGGCTCCTACCTCCCCTCGCACGGCCCGGTATAATACATGGGCGTCCCAGACAATCGCCTCCCACACCACACCCCTCCCCTCCAGTCTCTCAACTTGCCCGACTCCGACTCCGACTCCCCTACTTCTCATTCTCTTCGCCATTGCTACTTTTTTGTCCTCTTCCTCGACATCCTCGACGACTTCAACTCGAATCTCATTCCGTCGCCTCGCTCTTCACCTTTAATCTTACCTAGCCACCGTCACCCATCCGTCACACACCCAAGGGACCCAACACACACGCCCCCTCGACGAACGCCCTCTATTTCTGTCTTGTCTCACATTACACCACTGCGCCAGTTTATACATTTCGTCTCTCCCTGGCCCAAAACAGGCAACCGGCGCGCTTCATCAATTGCTACCAAAATTAATCACTTTACAACATACATTGCGTGCCAGTCCCACGTTGCCTGTCTGTTGTGACTTGTGACTCGCCTGCCACAACCGCGGCCTGCTTTCGCTTCACTTGCGACTGCGCTCAAGCTCTCTGTTAGTCTTGCTCCCCGAGTTGTCTATTCTGACTAAGACATGCCACCATATTTCCCACCTCTCTGAACGTCCCTCCTTGCATATTTGTGTTGTCCTCTGCGCTTTTACCCTTCCCGCTTGCCATCCAGAGCTGACCTTTGCGACATTGTTTGCTCTAGCTCCCGCCGACCCTTTGTTACGCCCGCGCCAGAATTCTCGTCCCTCGGCGCTGGCAATCCCCGGCTGCCCTTTCATCTCGCCCACCCGTGGCTTGAAGCTGCCGACTTCAACTCGCATCTAGCTTCACTCACTCGCTTCGCAGGCCTGACCTGCCTCTGCCCTCGCCCTCCATGGCACCACAAATTTCAGAAAAGTCTGGGGAGCCTCGCGAAACTCCTCAGTTTCCTCCCCGATCAGACTCCCTGCCCGTTTCCAGTCATGGCGACTCTTCCGACCCCGAAAACCACCCCCTCGAAAAGGCAGACACCAAGCTCGCGACCCCTCCCAAGACCGCCAACCCCGAGGACCTCTACGCTCACCTCCCAGAACACGAGGCCGAGATTCTCAAAAGACAGGTCGATGTGCCTACCCTCACCAAAGGCGCTGGCGTCCTCTACCGTTATGCTTCTCGCAATGACAAGATTATCATCTTTGTCTCCACCATCTGCGCCATCGCCTCTGGCGCTGCTCTGCCACTCATGACCGTCATCTTCGGAAACCTACAGCGCGTCTTCCGTGAATTCTTCTTCGGAGGCTCGCTCACATATGACGGCTTCGTTGATCAACTCACCACATATGTCCTCTACTTTGTCTACCTCGGCATCGGCGAATTCGTTGTCACTTACATTTGCACCGTTGGCTTCATCTACACTGGTGAGCACATTGCTGCCAAGATTCGCGAACACTACCTGCAGGCTTGCATGCGACAAAATATTGGCTACTTTGACAAGCTCGGTGCCGGCGAGGTCACCACCCGCATTACTGCAGACACCAACCTGATCCAAGACGGTCTCTCCGAAAAAGTCTCTCTCACCATTGCCGCCCTTGCCACCTTTGTCACTGCCTTTATCATCGCCTTTATCAATTACTGGAAGCTCACTCTCATCCTCTCCGCCACCGTTTTCGCCCTCGTTCTCAACATTGCCATCGGCTCCAGCTTCATGCTCAAGCACAACAAAGCCTCCCTTGAATCCTATGCCGAAGGTGGCTCCATCGCCGAAGAAGTCTTTAGCTCCATCAGAAATGCGATTGCTTTCGGCACGCAAGAGCGCCTTGCTAAGAAATACGATCAGTACCTGGGCAAGGCCGAGTACTTTGGTTTCCGTGTAAAGAGCGCCATGGCCATCATGGTCGGTGGCATGATGCTCATCCTCTTCCTCAACTACGGTCTGGCTTTTTGGCAGGGAAGCAAGTTCATTGTCGAGGAAATCATCCCCATCAATAAGATTCTTACCATTATGATGTCCGTCATGATTGGTGCTTTCCAGCTCGGCAACGTTGCTCCCAACCTTCAGGCCTTTACCACGGCTGTCGCCGCCGCTGCCAAGATTTTCAACACCATCGACCGCCCCTCTCCTCTCGATCCCTCTACCGAAGACGGCGCAAAGATTGAGAACATCATGGGCAACATTCGCCTCGAGAACATATCTCACATCTACCCCTCCCGCCCCGAGGTTCGTGTCATGTCCAACGTCAGCCTAAGCATCCCCGCCGGCAAAACGACCGCTCTTGTAGGCGCTTCTGGCTCTGGAAAGAGCACTATTGTCGGCCTCGTTGAACGATTCTATTCCCCCGTCCAGGGCACAATCTACCTCGACGGTATTGACATCTCCACTCTCAATCTCAAGTGGCTTCGCCAGCAAATGGCTCTTGTCAGCCAGGAACCTACGCTCTTCGGAACAACCATTTTCAAAAACATTGGTCACGGCCTGATTGGAACGGCTGCTGAGCACGAGACGGAAGAAAAACGACGTGAACTTATCATCGCGGCCGCCAAGATGGCCAATGCCCACGACTTCATTTCCAGCCTGCCCGAAGGTTACGAGACCAACGTCGGGGAGCGCGGCTTCCTCCTCTCCGGCGGCCAGAAGCAGCGTATTGCCATTGCTCGCGCCGTCGTCTCTGACCCTAAGATTCTTCTACTCGACGAGGCCACTTCGGCTCTTGATACCAAGTCTGAAGGCGTTGTCCAGGCTGCCCTGGAAAAGGCTGCCGCTGGTCGAACCACCATCACCATCGCCCATCGCCTCTCCACCATCAAGGATGCCCACAATATTGTCGTCATGTCTGAGGGTAAAATCATTGAGCAAGGTAACCACGATGATCTCATTGAAAAGCGAGGCGCATACTTCAACCTCGTCTCCGCCCAAAACATCGCCGCCGCGGAAGAGCTTACTACCGATGAGCAGGCTCAGCTGGAAGAGGAAGAAATGGCCCTCATTCGTGAGAAGTCTACTAACCGTGCCTCACTCTACGATGCCGACCCCGATGACAATATTGCTGATAAGTTGAACCGGAGCGCGACTCGAAAGTCCGTCTCTAGCATGATTTTGCAGAACAAGGCGACAGGCGATCGTGAGCAAAAGGATAGCCTCGGAACATTGATCAAGCTCATTGCGTCCTTCAACCGCCCCGAATGGAAGCGGATGCTCCTTGGCTGTGTCTTCAGCATCATCTGCGGTGGTGGCAATCCGACCTCTGCCGTCTTCTTCGCCAAGGAGATCACTACGCTCTCCGTACCCATCACTCCCGCGAATCGTGGCCAGGTTAAGCACGACTCGGACTTTTGGAGCGCCATGTTCGTCATGCTGGCCTTTGCACAATTCATCGCGTTTAGTATTCAAGGTGTGGCTTTCGCCATGTGCTCGGAGCGCCTCGTCCATCGTGTTCGCGACCGCGCATTCCGATCCATGCTTCGCCAGGATGTTGCCTTTTTTGACCGTGAGGAGAATACTGCCGGTGCTCTGACCTCGTTCCTCTCCACTGAGACCACGCACGTTGCTGGCATTAGCGGCGTAACGCTGGGCACGATCCTACTGACGGCTACTACGTTGATTGCCGCCTGTACCGTCTCTCTCGCTATTGGATGGAAGCTCTCGCTAGTCTGCATCTCGACTATCCCTGTTCTTCTTGGATGTGGTTTTTTCCGCTTCTGGCTCCTTGCCCACTTCCAGCGTCGATCCAAAGCCGCGTACTCTTCGTCTGCTTCGTATGCGTCGGAAGCCATCTCCGCTATCCGCACCGTCGCGTCGCTCACGCGCGAGGATGACGTGCTGGCCATTTACCAAGAGTCTCTCGCCGCACAGCAGCGCCGCAGTCTCATTTCGGTCGCCAAGTCCAGCGCTCTCTACGCTGCCTCTCAGTCGCTTGTCTTTCTCTGCCTTGCTCTTGGTTTCTGGTATGGAGGTACTCTCATCGGCAAGCGTGAGTACAGCATGTTTCAGTTCTTCCTGTGCTTCATGTCCATCATCTTCGGTGCCCAGTCCGCAGGCACCGTCTTCTCCTTCGCCCCGGACATGGGCAAGGCCCACGGTGCTGCTCAGGAGCTCAAGACTCTGTTTGATCGCAAGCCCGCCATTGACACATGGTCTGACGAGGGCGAGCCCGTCACCGAGGTTGAAGGCACTCTGGAGTTTCGCGATGTTCACTTTCGCTACCCCACTCGCCCTGAACAACCCGTCCTGCGTGGCCTCAACCTGACTGTGCGCCCCGGTCAGTACATTGCTCTTGTCGGTGCTTCTGGCTGTGGTAAGAGTACCACGATCTCGCTCCTTGAGCGGTTCTACGATCCACTTGCTGGCGGTGTTTATGTCGACGGTAAAGAAATCAGCACCCTCAACATCAACGACTACAGATCGTTTATTGCTCTCGTCAGTCAAGAGCCTACTCTGTACCAGGGTAGCATCAAGGAGAACATTCTTCTAGGCACAAGCCGTGAAGACGTAACGGACGCTGAGCTGGAGCATGTGTGCCGTGAAGCCAACATCTACGACTTTATCGTGTCGCTGCCCGAAGGGTTTAACACGACTGTGGGAAGCAAAGGCGCTCTACTGTCTGGTGGCCAGAAGCAGCGTGTTGCTATCGCCCGTGCGCTGATTCGCGACCCCAAGATTCTGCTGCTCGATGAGGCAACATCGGCGCTCGACTCGGAGTCTGAGAAGGTTGTGCAGGCTGCGTTGGACAAGGCTGCCAAGGGTCGCACGACGGTTGCGGTGGCGCACCGTTTGAGTACCATTCAAAAGGCAGATATTATCTACGTGTTTGACCAGGGCCGCATTGTTGAACAGGGCACACACTCGGAGCTGATGCGTAAGAATGGTCGTTACGCAGAGCTTGTCAACCTGCAAAGTCTTGCCAAGCACGGTTAAGGCGCTTCCGGTGCTTGCCGGCTCATCTTCGTTGCATATTTTGGCGTTTTGTCATTTAGGAGTCACATGGATTAGAACATGGGCGATGCCATGAGTGTCATTCTGGGTCCAGGCATATAAAAATCAGTGCGTGCATATGGGATTTTTTTGGGTTTTGGATACTTGTCATATACTTTACTCTTTACGACTGCCGAACATTCTGAATTCCTCTCAATAGTACAAAATGTATGACTTTGAATGCTTACCTGTACTTGGCCGTTGTGCGAGCCTAATGGTAGCCTTGGATATACTTGCAGTGCTCCTTGGCGGCTTGCGTCATGAAAGGGTACATGCATGACGGGAGGACTAGACATGGACTATTATGAAGCCGGATAGCCGGACACGGCAACGGACAAACGGCAAGCCAAGAAAAATGATGAAACACCGAGGCGATTCTTTTTCTTCTCTTTAAAATAGCGCCGCACGGAGCGAGGAAGCCGAGTTGGGTGAAACACGTCGCCGTGGCCGTGCGGCAACCGACGGGAAGAAAATGTGAGAAATACTGAAAAAAAAAGAAGCCCAAGAAAATAGGCAAAAAAGAAAAAAAGAAAAGGCAAGTGAAGGAAAGATGATGAATTTCCTCGGATCTGATCGGCCCTTTCGAATGATTTGATACTTGCAACGGCGTTCACCTGAGACTGGGACACTGGGGGCTTGAAGGCTGCCGTGGCTGGTTATACGAGATGGAGAGAAGAATACCATGTGATAGAGTGACATTTGTCCTAGAGGAAAGTACCGGAGAAGTAATATCACTGCATGGTGCTATATTTGCTCATACCTTGGGCAGTAACAAAAAAACACTTGCGTCGAATGCTGGCTGATGCAGTTGCGCCAGGGCTCTTGTTTGGTAGATGTAGTCAGCCACTAGGATCTAGTCTGGCGAACTACGCGACCGACCAGACGAAGAAGCGAAAGGAAAGGAAGGAGGGGGATCTGCCGGGTCGAGGAGATAAGAATTAATTAACACAAATTAATGCTGCGAGAATAATATTATGCGGGAATACTGATTACGGGAATGCGTGTGTGTGGACTGCCGATGCAGGTACGGACATGGGGTGGGGGAAGCGGCTGGAGAGGAGACAGTACGGAATATGTAGGCATATAATGACAGTGAAGCAGAAGTGATGAAGTTTATCATTGTCATTTTCATTTTCATGTTGTCCTTCTACGAGAGAGGATGCAGAGAGGTCAAACTTGCAGGCAGCATCATGGCTCAATTTCATGACTAGCTAGCAGGGGGGGCTTCTCGTGGGTGGAAATGAACAAAGAGGAGACGCCTCATCGATCGCACCACCGAGGCCAAGAGTAAAAGAGTTAGAAGGGGGATCCAGAATAAGGAAATGAAAGTAGAGGGCGCTGGGTGGTTGAGCCGCCTCGACCCAGTTTTGAGCTTGGACGTTGAAAAGTGACCGGGTTGCTTCAACAAGACAAGAGCCTTTTTGCTGTAGAAAAGCTTAAACCGATCGTTGGTAGCTACCGCAAGTCAATGCCAGAGAAGATGTACATACGAAAAAGTTGCGGGCGGGTTCCTGCTTTTCGTGGATCGGGCTGCTGGTCAAGGTTTTGTTTGTATTCATGGCCCCCAACAAGCGGAAAGGGGGAAAGCCCGAGAGAAGCCATGGCACGGCTGGGCTGGACGGGCTTTATTATCGGCCGGGTCTAGAACATCGAGGGCCCTTCACGCGCGGCGTAGGCAAGCCGTAAGGAGGAGAGGGGAGGCGGATATCAATAAATAGTTGCTGGTAGGCGGAATGGGCTGCTGCATGCACCAAGCAAGTGCAGCACTGTGGTGTATTATTAGTATTATTAGTATATTACATTGTACGTATGCGCAGACAAGCCGAAGCCACGACGGAGACGGCGGGCGACGTCCTGTCAAACTCGTCCAGGCCGGCAAGATGCAGAGGTCAAATAAAGGGATGGATGGCTGAAGAGATGGGTGGCAGCAGCAGTGAAGAAACGCCATCAATCTGCGGTGTCTCCGTCTGCTCATCGGAGATCTGGCACTCTTGTTCTGCCATTGGCCTCGTTGAACAAAGTTGACCACACCTCTTGCTCTGCTCTTCCCCTGCTTCTTTGCCCACGTTTTCTCCTCTGAACAAGGATTCTGGCTTCTGATTCAGGAAACCCCCATTTCCGATAACTAATAAATATTGGGCGGCGAGCGATGGGGACCAGCCAGCAGAGAGGGGGGGTTGTTAATATGTGTTTTTCAGCTTGGTCCACCCCAAGGGGATGTCTTCGCCTGTCTGTTGCCTGCCTGTCTGGCTTGCTGTTGATGCATTCCTTCTTGTCTGAAAAAGTTTATTAATAGTGAGTGAGTGTTAGTGGATCGACACCGAACCCAGAAGCTTTTTCGTGCATCTTTCCTTTCTCTTCCGTAGGTAAAACTCAACGGCGTCGCTGTCTCACCGAGGCCACAGCTCTAGTTTATTTTTAAACAGTCCAGCCCGACGAACGGTGTACCTGAAGGAAGGCTGACAGCTCACAGTTGACGCGTACGAAGTACCTAATAAGGAAGACCTGGCGGAGCGCCATCGGCAGCATCTCTGATGCCAGAGCCTCGTTCGCCATGCCTTCGGACAGATTGTTGGAGCCACCCAGCCGCCGCCATGTTCCTGCCGCCAAGACCACTCGCCTTTGGAAGATCATATATTACAGAAAATCACGAATCGTAATGTTTGTAGAACCACCTTCCCTCGGGGATCCCCCCTGTTAATGGACAAGAAGACAACAATCCAATTGGGGCTCGCCAACCAGACACAGGCAACGACTGGGGTAAACGGTAAACTGTGTTCGAGGTCCCAGTCTGGAAAGAGCATCCAAGTCTGCTAAAAGTGACGCTAGACAACCCAGCTCAAATGCAAAACCACTGGCTGGATGGAGCCCTCGTTTTCCTTTTCTTCTCTGTTCGCTGCGACATCCAGCCGTTTGCCCCTTGTCATCTTGTTGCTGCGCTCTGTTGCTTGCTGCCGGCCTTCCTCGCAGTGTCAAGTTCTGTCTTGTTGTTCCCCAGCCTTGAAGAAACCCACGATATCACAAAATAAACAACCCGGCTCTTATCTCAGTAAGCAAATCCTTGTCACGCCATCCATCTTTTTTTTTTTTTTTTTTTTTTTTTTTTTTTTTTTTTTTTTTCGAGCGCCGCCGCCGCCGCCGCCGCCGCCAGCCCACCCACCGCATACTACTTACCCCCTCTGCATCCTTGTCGCGGTCAACAGGGACCCCAGCTGCAGCTTGCATTTATTAACTAGTTATTGATGAACTGGTAGAAAAGGGAAAGGCACAACGGAACCGCCTGGGCTGGAAAACGAGCTTGAATTTGGCTGCTGGGCTGGACTTTTCTCACCTTTCGACCCAGCCGTTGCGCTCGACAGCTTCACCACCCGTCCATCCATCCCTCACCACCACGCTCGTTGAAAACTCCCACTTCGCATCTATCCAACTGTCGCCATTCTTTCTTTCATCAATCATCAAAATTTGTAGCATCAATATACGGTACTCGCAAACTCGAGTTTGTCGCCTTTTATCTCTTTGCTTTTATTCGCAGATGCTTTGACACTCCTGTCTCGACCGCACCAACGGCCGCCCTGCAGCTAACGCACTCGAGATACCGCCAGCGTTTGAGCTTACCTGGTCGACGCAAGCTCGTTCTTCATCTGCTCTCCTCCCGTGCACGCGCCGCCCACTGCTCCAGTCGACAGGGAAGGCAAGCGAGAGGAAGGAATTTCTAGTTGAATCTGTTTTCCCTCTCTTTTCGACAAAGCTACGCTGGCCTCAATCCTCGTTCGACCAGCCCCCGGCCAGGTGGCTTCGAGACCAACGCCCAAGGTTGCTGTCCGCCGCATTGGGACCCAACACTCAACAGACTGCAGACGAACAACACCGACAACTACACAACACACAACTCGGCGAGGGCACGTCGACCTCCCGTCGATATGGCGAGTCAGGTCTCACAGTCCTCCGCAACTGCTAGTTGCCACTGTTCGACTACGACGACGACGACGACGACGATGCGCACAGCCCAGTGCTGCTGCTGTCGCCGTTCTCCTCCCCTACGCCGCCGCTGCCGCCGCTGCCGCCGCTGCCCATCCGGGCGTACCACATCGTCCCCAGCCTCCTCGACATGCTCATCTGCGTCGCACGACCGACCGTCAGCCGCCGCCACCATGTCACTCCGAGCCGGTCTTTTGGCTGTCCTCGTCGCCGGCACCGTCGCCAACCAGCCACTACCCGCTGTCGTCGCCCCTGTGCCGGCTTCCGCGCCGACAATACCCTCCTGGACGGCCGACCTAGAGCGGGATCTGCAACGGGTTCCCGATGATCTACACACCGCCGACGCGGCCCCGATGACCGTCACGCACTTCACGAGGCAGCTGGACCTCGTCAGGCGGGATCCTAACGCTGTTATCGAAGTCCGAGGCACTGCCGTTGAGGCTCGCGGCGATGCTGTCCCCGCTGAGCCAGCAGGGGGCTCAAGCGATTCCTCGACATCCTCATCTTCTACTGCTTCTGCGTCTTCCTCAGACGCCACCACATCGGCGCTACCATTGCCCTTCGACAGCGCCCCATCCTCCATCTTCAAGAGCACCAGAAGCACAAATGACGCCTGCCCGAACTTCATGCAGAAGCTCCTCGACGACCCGACCTTTAAAAAGTGCTATCCCCTCTCCATGATGCTCCGAGTACGTCTTCTCCTTGTTCAACCTATATCCCCTCGCCTTACTCGGCCTTGAAAACTAACTCGCCTCCTGCAGACATCGACATCCTTCTTCCAAGCCTCCAAGCAGCTCGTCAGCATCGTCCGCGTCCTCGATGCAACTTGCGCGCCCGACGTCACCCAGTGCGACACCTTTCTCACCCAAGCCGCCAAGAACCTGCTCGATTCGGCCAATTGCAAGAAGGAGTACGATGCAAACCAGCTCCAGGTCACCGAGGCCTTTCGCGGCCTGCGCGCCTACCGCGTGCTACGCGCCGTTGGCTGCCTGCACGACCCAACTACCCAGGGGTACTGCTTCGCCGCCGCCGTCACCAACATCACCAACCCGAGCGACGTTTTCTTCTACTCGATGCCGCTCGGCCTGCCACTGCCTGGCGGTGTAACACCATCCTGCGGCGCGTGCACGGCCCGCACCATGGCAGTGTTTCACGCTGCCACGGCGGACCGCGCGCACCCTATTTCGGGGACCTACAGCAACGCCGCGCAGCAGGTCAATACTATCTGCGGGCCCGGCTTCGTCAACGACACGGCCACGTCGGGTGCAGGGCGCAATGTTGCCGCGCCTGGCTTGGCGACGACGGTCGCGACGGTCGCCTTTGCGACAGTCTTGACCTTGACCGCTATGGCCTGGTAGAAGCAGAACAGCAAGAAGAAATGCTCTCGTCAGTTGGGGGCACATCTTCAACTGCTGGCTGTCGCCTCGAGCACTGCGTACCGTTATTATGGGGAGCTGTTTGCCAGCTTCCCTCCACTTATCCCGACCATGTATACCCTACTTTTGACATCTACGCAATGTACAAGTGCATCTTATCTAGGTGACCGGTTTTCGCCACCGTTTTCATCTCATACACAATCTACAAACTACCTGCCTCTTTTTGTATAAATTTCCGATTTTTGCGACGCGCACCTCGACTGCAAAGACATTTCTGCCCTTGCTGGTTTTCTTTCCCTCACTTTCACCCACACATGGCGGTTAAGACGACATAATATTTATTGCTGTTTCTTCTTGGTTTTGTTCTTTGTTATGATTTATACACAGGGAGTCGAAAATCCCAGTCTTCTATTCTTGTTGTCAAATGTGGCCTTGTCTGTTTGGCATTGTCGGGCATTGCATTGGCTAAGTTCTTCACGAAAGCAGGGCAAACCCAGTCCCTCACAACCCGTTTCACACTTTTGGATTTATATCTCTTTTATTACTGATAGTAGAGCAATGACATGACTTTAATTTTTCCACTTGGCTGCAATTGTCTTCGTTTTTCATTCTCGTGTTTTTGGAAATGCAGCTTGTTTTTGGTACTTTTGCTTGTTGTACTTCGCACATCCTCGCCTTTCCAGGCAAGTCAGGTGGCTGACTTTGTGAACTTAATCGTGCCACCGCAGACGCACCTCAGCGCCATCCGGAGAGAACGTCCGAGACACTCCAAATCTACACACGCGAGAAGAGTGTACGCAACGGCACGAAGGTGTAGTACCAAATGCCTGTTTGTGTGATATCACCATGCCCCTCTCCCATGCCCCGTCACATACGCATGACACTTGATGACCAATCTCGCCTGTCCTGGTTTTCGCCTTTGCATCGGACGTTTTTCAGTTCTGTTTTGCCTTTGTGCACCCTGCTGGGTAGAAACAGCGGCAGGTATCAGCCACTCACCGTTGTTTCCTGTGTGTCTTATCGACATTCCTCGTTTACTGACGCTGAGGCACCTTGCGATGTGTGTCTTGGGCTGGTCGTGGCTGACGTTCCTGCTTTTTGACAGCATGCTTATCAATTCTGGCTGCTTGAGATCTCGCGAGCTGTTCAGAAGGTTGCGAACTGCAGATGGACAAGCCATGGATGGTAACCCGAGCTTCGGCTAGTGACATGCTACCCCGGTGTTTCGGGTAACTGAGAGTGATAAAGCCAAGCCGTCTGTTTCTCACATATCCCGATTTCCCGTTGCAGCGACGCAGATTATAACGATCCACGTGTGATGCCAGAGCTGCCAATTGGGCGTACCGAGCTGCTCTTTCGGAATGCACAGTTCAAATATTCTCTTGCCGTTCTGCGCGAAGACCACCGCTAAGCGCCACAGCTGTAACTGTTAACACAGCCCGCAACTTATCTCGGACATTATAAGTTAATGTACGGCGCGTTGCTGTATAGGGGGTGGGGATGCGAGGCCTTATCACCCAAGCCATGTCTGACTTCCACGAGCCAGCGACAAACAAAAGGAAGTTCGCCAGCTCCAAAGTCTGGCGAGGTGCGACGCAGGCTTACACCGTCGTGCGGTATGAGGATAGCATCTGTGAAGTGCGTATAATTGTCAGGCAAGATCTGCAGAGTTTTACGGCATCAGCAGTGCGCCGACGGTCAAGTGCAGCACATTTTGGTCACAAACAACAATCGAAGAGCAAGTTCACCTCAAGTTTTAGAGGAAGACGAGGGATGGGGTCTGTAGGAGCGGTTAGTGTGGCTGCCGAGGCTGTTTGTCCGCCGTCGGGCTGTAAGACATGGCATGCATGTCCAACGACTAGAAGCGGTGCGTGGCTCGCCGATCACGCCGGTGGACTTGTGACAATTGACGCAGCAGCACTTGGCAGGGCGAGGGCAAAGAGGAAGGGAGAAAGGCCAGGGCTCGACCGCTTTCCCGGGTCGCCTAGCTGGGTGCCCATGTTCCAGAGGTCAAGAGTCCGTGGAGAGATGTAGGTCTGCAACAAAATGACGTGCGGCTTTGCCTCAGGATGTGGACGTCTCGTGCCGTGCCGTGTGTGATGATGCTCATTCGGGGATCGCTGCCGGGTTGAGCGGTTTCCTGGTCTGAAAGCAGGAAGTGTGCTGCTGGTCCTTTGCTCCCTCCTCCACAGTACAGTGGGTTTGGCTTGCATTGCAGTTGAATGAACCCACCATCTGGGCGGGATGAGGAGGAGGGGAGAAGGGCTGCCTGGGGCTCTCCGTGAATAAGTTCAAGCCAAACTGTTCGGTGTGCGGGCCAGCCACAGCCGGCATCGTATGCAGGCCAATCCAAGAGGACAGGCTCGATGGTGTCTGGGTTTGCGCAAATGGGGGTTAGTCGTTGAGGCAGAGGCAGAGGCAGAGGCAGAGGCAGAGAGGGCAGCGGGCAGCAGCACCGGATGAGTTAAACGACGATGATGTGACGGCTTGGCGTGCATATGGACTCAGCAGAGCAGGCTTTGGCAATTGGCGAATTGGCGAATTGACTTTTGGGTTGCAGGGTTGTCAAGGACGGGAGGCGTTGAGCATTGAGCGCCAGCCCGGACCGTTGAGCTGGGAATTTCATCAGCTGATCAGCCAGCCTAGTCCCGCCTGGCTGGGGAAAAACTGCGGGCGCCGCTTCCTTGTACTGGATTGACGGGCTGACTGGGTACTACAAGCTCCTGCCCTAGTTAGTAAATATTTTCCTCCGAACCGATGTTCCCATGAACTACACAAGAGGCAGGTGCCGTTGAACCCATTGAACCCCCACGCCCCTGCCGCAAATAACTACCTGAATTAACCATCACAAGACAAATATCAAGTTTGCCAGAGTCTCGTCACATGCCCTTGTATTATCACCCTGGTCACAACGTAGGCAGGCTTGCTCCGTTGGTTGGTGGACTGGTTGGTTGGTTCGTTTGCAGAGGGGCTGATCCTTTCACCCTTGCACCTGTCCCCTCCAATTCATTCGCCATAACTAGTTACTAACTACATCCTGGTCAACGTTGCGATTATCAAGTTGAGCCAAGCAACAGCCTCGAGCACTGCGCCCATTCATCACCGAGATAGCTCTAAAACTAGCTCCGGCCAGCTCCCATACAGGTGGCTCCAGGCTCCAGCTTCACCGGACCGCCGCCCTTCCGCCCAAGACATGCCCCAGTCTGCGAGACCTCGTCTTTTGCATCCTCATGGCTCTCAACTCTAGTATCCAGCCTTCAGTCGCCAATAGATACTTCCTCGTGTCTCGGTAAAAGAACCGCTCCCCAACTGAGAGACGCACAATGCCTCTCCAAGATGCGTCAAACGCACCATGCCGGTGGTCCATAGAACAACTCGCGGATCGGACGCTCTCGGTACGACAAGTTTGAGGTGGTTGAGTGGTCCAGACTGTTCCAACCGAAAGCTTGTACAAAACAAAGCAACATACTTACAGCATTCGATTCTGGTCCGAATATACCACTAGTCGCTTGCCACCACCTTGCTGGGGTCTCTCGGTTTGGTGTGGGACGGCCGGAGATGGCGTGCCCAGTGCCACATTTGCTCAATGAACCCCGGACTAATAATATCCAGGTTACATACATACCTCCCCAGTGGACAAGCTACAGATCCTCTGTGACCGCGCATTGCAAGTATCATCAGTACCACTGGGCCGGGCCGCTGACCGAGTTGAGCCTCCATCTAGTATTCGGTCTCGTCCCCTGCCTCTGCCTTGCATCCAACACTGCTTAGGCGCCGTCGCTTATCCAAGATGATCTGTCCATCCTATCAGTGCTACTCTCTTGCGTGACTGCCGCCTCCCCACCTGACGCCGAGCTTTTGCATCCCCTGTCCAAACTACGCTGAGCTCGCCTGACCAGAGGCCACCACAGAGGCACACTTCTCACCGAGTTCTACTGCTACACTCTGCCACCATCCCAAGACCCAATCCCGGCAGGCCCCTGAGTGTTCCATTGCTAGCGCTCTCAGGTTGTGCGAGCAAAGTACCAGGATGCACCCAAGCGCCAGGACAAGCCGGATTTCTAATATCGCCTGTCTGTGACGGCACTTCAGCATCTGTTTCACAGCCACGAGCGGCGTTGCCAGCTTCGTTTCGCCCTGCCTCCCAATTCGGACCGCGCCGCACACTGACTTCCAGACGTGGAATGCCCCATGGCCTTGTGTCCAGAACCGGCCATAGGCAATCTGAGTCGCCTGCGGGCCTGACAGATCCCGCGCTGCGCAGCACCAGGTGCGTTGACGTCACCCTTGGGTAGCTGTAGCTGGGCACAGTAGCTCTCACACTCACTGCCAGCGATACGCTACCAGTATTTTGTTGCAATGGGGGCGCTGGGGCGGCGGATTCCCCAGCCAGATTGGCCCTGCCGCCTGTCAAGGGATCCATGAATCGCCGTTGCCTCAAGATCAACGGGTCTGGGACCCGTCTAAATTTCCCGCTGAGGATGAGAAGAAGGCTGCCAAACAACAGACCATACAGACCATAGAGCCTACAACTCACGCCAGGATTTTCCCACCCCGTTGTCAATGAAGGACATTCTTCTGTGTGTGCTTGATTCTACAGCACACACGCCTCTCACAAGCACATAAACACGTACTACACGCAACAAGCAATTGCCCCGTTCAAGAGGCTCTCTACGGGGTCACCATCAAGCATACTTTTCCGGATGGCGGCGGCCCTTTTCCAGGCGGGTCTGGCAGCCCGGCCTCAGGCCGGACGGACACCAAGTTGGCTGGCTAGTTACTGGCTCCCTTTCCGGACAAGGATGCTATTAATGGACAAATGAGATCTGTCACTTCTGGCCGACCTACCTACGGACAACTCGTGTTCTACTGCGACGAGGCGCTGGCTTGGGCCTGGCCCTCAACAAGCCCCTCTAGGCAAATCTGCCATGCAACCGCAACCGCTCGAGGCACAAGCCATTGCCTGCTTCTGTAATTGCAACGGCTCCTCCGCAATGGCTTCTCTATTCTTAACGGCTCCCTTTCACCATTGCTACGCGGCTTACTACGCAGCACGTCCTCCCATCGCCTCCCATTCCATACCCTGCCGACAGACAACTTATCTTGTGCACCCAAGCCCTGATCGTCGTCAGGCTTTGTCGTCATTCCGCGGCCTCCTGCTCGGGCCACTCACTGGCTACTTGGGCAGCAGCTTCGTTGGAGACACGGTCTAACGTTACTGCAGCTGCTACTTGATGCAGGCAGCCTCATTCTATTAATCTAGCTGCCAGCCCTTTTTCTTTGCCTTTTCAAGTTCATGACCTCACACTTCCTCTGGCCAAACCCGGCCGCGTCCGCCTTGCCAGTCCTGCCGCCACCAAGCTGGCTTTCCACTTGTCTCACAAACTACGCCTCCAACGACGTCTTGTTCCCCGACCAGCACACCTACTACCATATGGTGGACCAGTACTCTACGCTTTTACGCAATCACTTGACTGTTTGAGTGCCTTGACGACCTGTCAGAGACATTTATCTCCCCGAGAATCTGTGAGACGCACGCTAGACAGCAGCCTCCAAACCCTGTCTTTCTTGTGGCTCGTCACCGTCTCAGCCATTCGCACACTTGGTGACGCCTCACTTGCCTCACTCTGGGAGTGAGTGGCCCGCTCCCTCCTCTCTGCCGTTCATTGCCTTCATGTATGTCTTGTTGTGCGCACTAGGAATCCACCTCTAGCTGCACACTCGCACATTCAGTTTTTTTCCCGCACTGGTCCACTGGGCTCTGCTCGTTGTTGCAGGCTTGAATTTGCTTTTGCTGGCGACTGGGGCACCTCAACGCCCGTTGCTTGCTTTGAACCCAGACCAACTCCCCGCACTACCCTGCTCAAGACGGCCACGGCGTTATCGCTCGACGTCTATTGATTCACAGAACAATTTTGCATATAACTACAGCAAACCCTCGTCACTTCTGCTCTATCATATGTTGTGTCTGCACTCAAGATTCCGGTCAACCACATGTCCGCATGCACAGTGGGGGCGACATTCATCTGTTCCTCTTGAACATCCCAAGCAAAGCCGACACATATCACAGCTTGCTTCCAGGCGTCCACCGACAACTCACATGTCCCTCTGACCCCAATCAATATCCCATATTGACATCAACTCCAGAGAAGCAGATCATCGTATGTTGTAGGTCGTCACAGTTGAGCTGGCGCCTGATTATGCGCGCGGGAAGCTATGCAGCCTCATCCGCACAATGACCGGCCATACGACCGACGGCAGCCTCCCCATTTCCAATCTTCAGCATCATCCAATCAGCATCTACCACTGCTTCCGCCGCCGGATAGCCTCCTGGCAGGCGCGCCGAGTTACGCCCATAGCCCGCCGCAAGATCCGCGCTATCATGGTACTCGAACCGTGACGCATCCCATGGCCCCGCCACCTGGATCAGCATATCGCCCTCAACACCCCAGGCATAGCCAAGATCAGTTTCACCAGCAAGATCCGTTTTACCAGCAAGATCAGTTTCACCAGCAATATCCGCCGCAACCTCATGCTCACCACCAAAGTGCATTTGCCGCTCAAGAGCCACAGGCTCCTCAGCAATTCTCCAGAGCACCGGAAACTCAAACCCGTGTGCCACTCCAGACGGCTCACAAAGCAACAACGTCGTCATGGGTACCAAATCTTCTCGGGCAAGATCGTGAACTGAGCCTAGACACCATGGTATTTGGCCTCGACGTACGCCAACAACCACGAGCAGCTCGAGCTTGTGGCTTCGGAGACCGAGACAGGCGGGTCATTGATCCTCCTCCAATTGTGCAGCTCAAATTCGACGGCCCGAGTCTGTCCGAGGAAGAAAAGCGGACGTATCTACGGTTTCCCAGCTATGTGATGAACTGTTCCATCTGGGATGAAACAGGAACTCGAGATGCGTCATACATGCCTGACGAGTACAACCATCAACGTCGACTCATGGGTTCGTTGGTGGGGACGCCTTTTGTTGGAGACGATGACCGAGGCGAAGAAGGCTGTTTCTTCTGCTTTTCTGATCTCTCTTGTCGAACACCCGGGGCGTTCCGACTCAAATTTACGCTCATAATGATTGATCCCGGCCGTGCCTCATCTCTCCGGCACTTTCCCATCCTCGCAGAGGTCACGACGGACATATTCCAAGTCTTTAGCGCCAAAGAATTCCCTGGAATGGTGGCAAGCAGTGCTCTGGCGAAGAAGCTGAAGGAGCAAGGATGCATCATATCAATTAAAAAAGGAAACGACAGAGTACGACGAGGGGGGGATGGCCGATCCGACGACGAAGACGATTGAATCAAGACCCGAAGCCGATGTTGTGCCAACGAGGAAATGGAGTTCGGCGTTGAGTACCTACCTGCTGGTGTATGGCTTACGGGACTAAAATGACTAGGGGAATGGACACAAGAAAGTCAAGCGTGCTGTTGGCCTTGCTGTGAATGACTGGTTGTGATGTTCTGGACTGGTGAGATCTTTGGTTCTATTTTCTTCTACTTTATCTATATACCCCATTTCAGATGCTGCTTATTGAGAATTGCAGAAGCATCGTCGCCTAGCATATTTAGCTCACATACTTTGGAATAACGCTGGACTGGAAGTATACGCTTGGTAAAAAGATTACCCGAAGGCGAAAGTGGCGAGAGCTGTGTTGCATCTGGGTAAATGCCTATTAACTAGTGGGTGATTCGATTTCCCCGGAGTGAGTTTGGCAGTTTGGCTGATGCACCTTGATGAAAAGGCGGCAAGCTGTACTATAAACTCTTTTGAGGCCGTTGCCCTTGATTCACTTTGTCATATCTGGCCGTCTCTGCCAGAGATAGGCACTGTGTTAGAGTCAGTTGGCGCCATGATCTGTAAATGAGGAAGTACGAAGGTTGTCTACCAATATGTAGAGTATTTCATCTTTGGCTCTCTCAAATTCACCCTGTTCATGCTCGGCTGGCGCGCGGCCGCGACAGCGGAATTCGGAGGCAGAAGTGAGGCTGAAGTGCGACATGGGCACACGGAGTGGCCGCGTGATTATTCTAGCCATGGGAGTATTGTCAGAACAAGAAACTCACTTGAATAAAGAGAAGGCGAAGTGTGCATCATTGTGAGCAAGGCCAAGTGGCCAAGGTAAGGAGGAACTTGTTGAGGGCATAGCTGCCATGTAGCGACAGCAAAACGCAGGGCAGCGTAGCAGCTGTTGACGGGAGGGACGATGACCAAAGGGGATTCTAGGCTGGGATGTTCCGAAATGTCGGGGAACATGTTCATTCCGGCCCCGAGGTCTCTTGATTGCAAGTCAAGAATCTGAATCTGGCTGCGTAGGGCAAGGGCCTATGCACGTTTGGGCGATTGCTTTGTTTGGAGAACATATGAGGGGTAAATAGTATGTTGTGCCACCTACGCGGTGTACCAGCCAAGAGGAGGGCATTTGCCAATCAACTGGATATTGCAGGAATGGAAGGTGGTGGTGACGGGATGTTAGGTATTATTAGTACAGAGGGCCCGATTATGATCTGACGGCGGCACGATGTTGACTTGTCAAAATGCAGAGGCTCGTGATTGGACGAGTAGGCGAATAGGACGACTGGTTCCTGTTTCAAAGAAAAACCGGCGGCATGCGGACTTGCATTTTCCGATGTTTTGGTGGATGGTGGGTGTGCACTCTCCAACTATGTAGGTTTGGCTCTGGTGCGATACTGGGAGGGGAGGGGTAGGGACGAGAGCAGTGTACAAACAGGGACGCTACTATCGGTGCAATAATGCCGCATAGTAATCCCTTATTTTTTACTCTCGATTTCATCTCGGGGTTCATTTCCACATGTCCGCGTTGTTGAGGTTGGACAAGGGAAAAACTTGGGCTGAGCAATCCGCAGGCGATGATGGTTAGATTACTTACTGTTTTGGCTGCGCCGCCAGGAACAGGAACGGGAAAAGAGGGAAGGGCGCGGGGGAGTTGGGTAGAGGTTTGATAACGAGGCGTCGGAAGCGGTTTCATATTGCGCTGACGGGAACAAAGAAGAGCGGCTGGATGTGGTGATGGTGGTGATGATGATGGTGGTGATGACAGAGTAGGACAAGGAGGTCTAGGAGCAAGCCATGTTATGGGATAGGATCTGTGAGCTGTTCTGAAATGGGGGAGCGGATGGGGAGAAGAGGATGAGGATCCGGGAGGGCTGAGCCGAAATAAAGATGGTGCTGATGGAGGCTTTTTGGCAAGATGATGGCGGACAGACAGACATGTTAGTGGCAAGAGCCCTTGGCATAGTGGCTGCCCTGCCCGTGAGAATCGTGGAATCGAACAAACAATGGGAGAGAAACAATGGACAGGGTTTGTCGATGTATCTCTTTGTTCTGATTTATCTTGGGCAGAAAGTTAAAAAAAAAAAAAAAAAAACTGGCTTGATTTAGCGTGTTTCATACCCAACGGTCTGGTGTGTGGCTCATCCAAGAATAGGGAACACGAGATGTATGGTGGCAAGGAAATGCCAGGAAAAGATACCAGAGGGGAATAGTGAGAAAGCCAGAGCAAGCCCACCCCTGCCATACATGCCGGTAATATTTGCGCTGATATGTCGATTACCTCTGTGTTTGCTTTTTGGTACCTTTATGCAGCGGCCCAAGAAACGCATAATGCATAAAAGATTGGAAGTTTATGCCGGTCGGTAGGTAGGAAACTCGCACAAGGCGGCAAGATTTTTATGGTTGAATTTTCAGCCCAATGAATATGCAAGCCTATCCCATTCAGCTCACGTCTTTTTCCCGAAACATTAATTCAGGTACAGGAAGGAGGCACGAATTCGATGTTGGACCACCACCACCCAACCAACTTGCGTTGCCCCTGCAGGAGTTTTGGCGCCGGGCCGGATCATCAGTGGACAAGTGGACTAGCTGGCTCGCTGTGGGCGGCAAAACCCTTGTTTCAGATCGGGGCTTTCTTTTGTGCGTGTGTCTGACAAGTTCAAGATGGATATTATTATTACCTGGGTTCGTTTTTTTTTTTTTTTTTTTTTTTTGCGGAGATGTCTTGGATTTCCAATACTTGGCGAACTGCGGCATAAACTGGATTGCGCATTCACTGTGGCTGCTGCTGGCTTGACACGGACCTGGCATCAAGGTTCGAGCGACAACCAAGGAATCTACCCGAAGAACCGGACTGGCGTCAGGTACAATCTATGTACATACATACATACTACATAGCTAGGCGCGATGAAGCTAAATCCCGACTAACCTCCCCTTTCTGGTAGGTCTGGGCTCTGCAGGTCAGCGCTGTCGCACCATCACTGGCAGCCCCCTCTTCCTTCAACACTTGGCCACTCACGCCGGCCTAGCGTGAGGATGGTTGGCCAATCATGATGCCAATGTACCTGGCGGCGGCCGATGGAAGTGAGGGGGCATGAGAATGGATGAAAGAAAGGCAGCCAGGGGGTTCCGGCGTCCAGAGTCGTGCCATGTTCGCGTGGTGGGATGCTGCGTATCTGCCCAGGTGTATCTGGTAGGTGGTGTCATCGCAGCAAAGATTCGTGAGAAATAAAATGGACGGTGGTAAGATTTGGTTTCCCAGAATAACAATTGATTGATTTCGTCCGGTCCATCAAATAACTGACAGGCGACTTGGCTCGTCTCGAATATATACCCTCCGCCACCGCATATGGTCACGGATCGTCGTGAATAAGATGGCAATTCGTATTTCTGAGGCGGTACTCAGCAGGGGCGCTCACAATATGTTGTATGTAGCGCCCGGCGCCAAGCTTGCTCTGCCTCTGCCTGCTTTTCTTCTTATTTCCCTTTTCTCTTAGTTATTGACGGCACAGGAGAGGGCCCGGTAATACAGGTAAACACTATCGGCAGCCCGCACCTTTATTAGATGGCGGATGCCGCTGAAAGAAAATACTGTCAAAATGAAAGAGAAATCCCAGAAGCTGAAGTATCTGCAAATCTCCAGCCAGTCAAGTCACCTCACCCGTGAACCGACCCCTGCTCGGCGTGTCAGTGTTCTGCAGCTGCATCCCCATTCACTCTTTCATCCACACCCACCACCCACTGCCCACCACCTACAGTGAGCCGCATCCGCTGCCCTTCCCCCACCACCACCAAACCAACCAGCACTACCACTGCACTTCCACTACTCGCTGCTTGTGCGCGGTTCCCTTCATTCTTAATCCCACCCGCTTCCCCTCCGCCCATCTTGGGGCTTCCTTACTTTTCTATATCTCTTCAACCATTCTTCTTTTCGTATCTCTGTCTTCATCTCTCCTCTCTCTTTTTTTCATTCCCTATCCACTCTCCTTTTAACGTGCCCACATTGCTGGACGCTTACCCTCCTTCCGACCTCCTCCAGACAGCTTTTGCTGTTTGTTACGCTCCTTTCTGCGTCACCCATCACGCGCAAGTCCGTGTGATTGTCCCCGTCCAGCTTCTTTTTTCCGTTCTTTATAGACTTACCGTCTGTATCTCTTTCACCGTCTTCTTTCTGGTGCTCTGGTAACACCACGATTCACCCACTCGAACAACCCGTCTCCCCGACTCATCTTCTGAACCACCAACAACTCCAACGCAAATTTGCTCCTTGCTTCAAAGGCAAATCGAAAATCGGTAACCATGAAGTTTAACACTGCTGCCGCCTTGGCGTCCCTCCTTGGTGTCGCCGCTGCAGCCAAGGACAAGCGTACCTTTGCCGTCCTGCACTTCACCAACAAGCAGCTCACCGTCGCTCGCGCCGATCCCATCGTCACCCCTGGCAAACCCTCAACTCATGTTCACCATATTCTGGGCGGAAGCGGCTTCAGTCTCAGCTCGACCGGCGCCGATCTCCCAAAGTCCAACTGCAGCACCGCCAAGGTAAAGGGCGACAACTCCAACTACTGGTTCCCCTCGCTCTACTTCAAGGACCCCAAGTCCAGCAACCTCGAGTCCGTCGAGCTCTTCTACGCCAACGTCTACTACTTCTTCGAGCCCACCAACGACGACATCAAGGCCTTCCCCATGGGCCTGCAGATGCTCATCGGCGATCCCAGCCTCCGCACCCCTCCCGCCGCCGGCGCCACCTCCAACCTCGACCCTTCCAAGGGTCCCGTCCAGCCCATCAAGTGGACGTGCCCTCGCAAGGACCTCGACAAGCCCGGCTGGCCGCTCAACTCCAAGGGCCTCACCTCCGGCATGCAGGATCCCCAGAACAAGGGCGAGGGCGTCGGCTTCCCCGACGTCGCGTGCGACGGCTACGCCTCCCCGCTCCGCGCCGACGTCCACTTCCCCTCCTGCTACAACCCCCAGGCCGGCCTGACCGACTACAAGAACAACATGGCCTGGCCGCAGGACAACAAGGGCAAGGCCGATTGCCCCAAGGGCTGGATCCACGTCCCCCACCTCTTCTTCGAGGCCTACTGGAACACGCCCGCCTTCTCCGGCCGCTGGGAGCAGGGCAAGGGCCAGCAGCCGTTCGTCCTCGCCAACGGCGACGTCACCGGCTACAGCCTGCACGCCGACTTCATGTCCGGCTGGGACGAGCCCCTCCTGCAGCACATCATCGACACCTGCGACGCCGGCACCACGGGCATGGAGAACTGCGCCGGCCTCTTTTACGGCCAGAACAAGGACGAGTGCACCATCCAGTCGCCGGTCGACGAAAAGGTCACCGGTATCCTCACTGCCCTGCCCGGAAGCAACTCCCTCACCGGTTGGTCCTACGGTGCCGGTGACAAGTCTCCCCAGCCTAGCCAGGGCCAGTCCTCAAGCGCCGCTCCTGCTCCCAGCAGCAGCGCGCCCCCTCAGTCTTCTGCCTCGGCCCCCGCCTCTTCTGTCCGTGCCTCTTCCGCTCCTGCTTCTTCTGCACCGGCCTCCTCCGCCTCGGGTGTCCCCAGCTCTTCTGCCTCGTCTGGTGTATCCACTAAGCCTGCTTCTCCCTCCCAGTCCGGCTCTCCCGTCCAGTCGAGTGCTTCTTCTCAGACGCAGTCTAGCAATGGTCCTTCGCCGACCCTCCCCACCGCTCCCGCCAGCTCCGGCGAGTGCAAGCCCGGAACCGTGCACACCGTCTACAAAACCGTCACTGTTACTGGCACCGCCATCGGCACCGCTACCGCCACTGCCCCTGTCAGCACCAGCACCGGTGGTGCTGGCAACCCAGTCGGTGGCTTCAAGTATGCCGGCTGCTTCAAGGATACCGCGAGCCGCGCCCTCAACGGCAAAGTGCGTCCCAACATTGGCCGCATGAGCAACGAGAAGTGCGTCGCCGAGTGCAAGAAGCTCGGCTTCTCCGCCGCCGGCACCGAATACGGCGGCCAGTGCTACTGTGGCAACGAACTCGTGGGCTCGGAGCGCCTCGACAACTCTGCCTGCAACATTACCTGCGAGGACAATGCCACGTCCCAGTGTGGCGGCAGTTGGGCTCTGTCCGTCTACAGCGAGACTGGCGAGGTCAACATGAAGAACGCTCAGCGCCGTCGCCACGCGCATGATCATCTGAAGCGTCACTCTGGCCGCTTCTAAACAGTGTGCGCAGCGTCTTAATAGGCAGCGAGCAAGGGTTTTGGGTTTTGATTGCTGTTGTCAATTGTGGCACTTGTCTGGTCTTGATCTTGGATATTGCTTTGTTCTGGGTTAGGGTGCAAAAGTCGGGTTAGTGATTGCTCATTGAAGCAAGGGACGTGCAATTTGAGAGGCTGAAATTTTCATTTTGAAATTTCTCACATTTTGTACCATGACAGTTATGACTTCTTCTTCTGCGTTTCCTGGGGTCTTTGGCCCTAGCGACGACGAGCTCTCAGCGGGCATTTTGGACACAGAATTTTTTTCAGCATGGCATTCATTGTATAGAAGCCATTGGCGGGTTATATAGAAACTTTCGAAATTCATCATTTTCCCGCACTTGATGGATAACTAAATTCATGCATCATATCGAGGTCAAGTCAAGTTGTGACTTACACGACCGTTGTGAGTTGTGGGTCAACCACGGCTAATTGCATTCGCTGCAAGTTTTCAGTGCCTGACACACACTCGAAGTTCATCGACCTCTCACGCGCGCAAGTGTTTCTGCCTTCCGCCTCCATCGTTTTCCATCATTTTCATTCTTTTCTCCTTGTCTTGAGGGAGTGGATCTTTCATCCCCGCCATGTCCCTCTATCACGAGGGCGCGGAGGTGGTGGTCGCCTCGTCCACAGAGGGCGGTAGTCTCAAGTCGCGAACTTTCGGCCGCCGAAACATCAAGTCGAAACCCGGCCAGCTTTACGCCCTTGTATTTGAGACGTGCAAATGGAGCATGGTTTTGAAAGAAGTCATTGATTCGTCTGAAATCTTGTCAATAGAGAAAAAGGTGCGGAAACACTTTGGAGCAGGTAGCTCAGGAACGATCCGCTAATCCTTCTTCCAGCTTACACCTGTCCTTGCTCTGTTGCTAGTGCACGACTTGTTATTAGCAAAGGGTGGCGTTGCGCTTCCCAAGACTCATGGACTCAGAGTGACGATTGAAAAGCACAAGGCCAGGTTAACGTCAGAGCTGACGCGCGCGAGGTTGCGGCGCAAAGCACCTACAATGGAGGCCCTCAAGGAGCAGATTGATCGCGCAGCGGCCGGTGAAGAGGCGCAGATTCCGCGCTGGGTCCGCATCAACACGATAAAAACTACGATAGAGGAGCAGCTCAACACGACATTCAAGGGTTACGACCAGGTGACAACCATTCATGAGGTTCTGGCACCATCCACGACGCCGACTGGTGGGAAGCAGCGCCGGATCCTGATCGACCCTCACATCCCCAACCTCGTCGCAATCACGCAAGGCATCGACCTGTCCAAGACGGAGGCGTACGCCGAGGGCCGAATCATCTTCCAGGATAAGGCCTCGTGCTTCCCGGCCTACCTGCTGGACCCGCACCCCGAGGACGGCGACGTGATCGACGGCTGCGCGGCGCCGGGTAACAAGACGACGCACCTTGCGGCGGTGTGCCACGCCCGACGGCCCGACTTCGTGACGCCCGATGGCGTGCAGCGCATCTTTGCGTTTGAGAAGGACAAGCGCCGCTCGCAGACGCTGACCAAGATGGTCAAGATCGCGGGCGCGCAGGGCTGGACGCGGGTCGGCTTCGGGCAGGACTTTTGCCAGGTCGACCCGGCGGGCGCGCAGTTTGCAAAGGTGGGCGCGCTGCTACTGGACCCGAGCTGCTCGGGTAGCGGTATCGTGGGCCGCGACACGATGCCGGAGCTGCACCTTCCAGGGACGGCACCGGGAACAAAGGCGGGCCAAGGAAAGGGGAGGACGCCTAATGGTAAAGAGGACAACAAGACGAAGAAGAGGAAATTGGATGACAGGGAGGCGGCTCAGAACAGCGTTATGATTGATGACGAGGGCAACGAGACAGTGGTCAACTCGGAAAAGGACCTCGAGGCGCGGTTGCAGGCTCTGGCTGGCTTTCAGCTCAAGATTCTACTGCATGCGCTCACATTTCCCGCAGCAAAGAAAGTCACATACTCGACGTGTTCGATACACTCCCAAGAGAACGAAGATGTCGTCATGAAGGTGCTCAAATCCGAGGTTGCGCAACGACGCGGCTGGCGCATCATGAAGCGCGCCGAGCAGGTCCGGGGCATGCGCGACTGGCCGGTGCGCGGGCTCCGCGAAAGCTGCGACCGGGACGCCGAGGTGGCGGACGCCTGCATCCGCTCCTACAAGGGTGACGGGCTCGGCGTCATGGGCTTCTTCGTGGCCGGGTTCGTGCGGGACGGCAGCCAGGACGAGGAGGCGGCGGCGGCGGCGGCGGCGGCGGAGGACCCGGACGGGCCGTACATTAGGGATGAGAGCGGCATGATTATGCGCGATGCGGCCGGGATGCCGTACCTGAAGACGACAGGAAGACCGGTGGAGCTACTGCCGCGAGATGAGAGCGAAGAGGAGGAGGAGGAGGAGGAGGAGGATGAGGATATGGATGAGGACGGGCCGTATGTGAGGGATGCGGCGGGGCTGATTTTGCGGGATGATGACGGATTGCCGTTTCTGAAGAGAAAGAGTAAAGCGGGAGACTTGGCTGTGGTGGAGGAGAGCGAGGAAGATGAGGAAGACGAGGAAGATGATGATAGTGATGGGCAGGGTGAGAGTGATTACGATAGTGAGGTGGATGAGGATGGAGGAAGTGGGAGTAATGGCGATAGCGAAGAAGATGGTGACGAAGACGAGGGCGACTGGGACGGATTTGACGATTGATGATGTTGATTTTGAGCTTGGTGGACTTGGATCTTGATTATGAGCGAGTTGGGTCAGGCGTGCCACAACAACACAACCTGCTATGAAATGTCGAATTTTAAATTTCCAACAATTCGCTTTTACTTTAATTTGGCTTCAAAATTAAACAAAATAATACTCCATTACCATCTTTGTGGCCCCCAGCGCAGGAACTTCATCCGCAGTCGCCGTGTTAGTGCGGCAAAACGTCGGGTCGTCCCACAGTGACGATGCCAGCTCAGCAGGATTCGGGACGCTGAAGCTGGCGTCCCGCAGCGGCGGCTTATGGCACATGTGTCCTAGACAGGTCCCAGGATATCCGCTTTCCATCAACATCACAACATGCCACATTTGCCCGTCGCGGCTCTATGTGACGCACAACCAGGACATTGCGGCACGATGCGCCGAGCGACTCTATTATTACTGGCGGCGTCCCGTCTCTGCGCGGCCAAGCCGCACAGCTTTAGCATCCACGAAGATGTTCTGGCACACCCAGAGGTACGCAGACCGGCAACAGCTACCAGGCGCAGGGATTGGGCAGCGCGCTAACACTGGGCTGCTCTGATATAGTTCGAGGTCGTTTTTGGAAGTCTCGCCATTTCCGAAAAAGATGCGAAACTACTCGTCCAACACCAAGCTGAATCAGCAACAAAGGCGCCGCAACCGACTACGCACGTCGACGGGCGTGGCGAGGGCGATGACGAGACGCCACTATACATATACGAAATAGTCAACATGGGTGACTACAGAGCCATTTGCTCGATACCAGTGATCGAGGCCCCGCCCGCGGAGAACAAGACGGCCACAGAGCTGGCCAAGGCCGCGGAGGCCCGCGAGGAGAGCCGCGCCGTAGCCAGTGGATGGGAGCTCATCGCCGCCCTGGAAAACACATGTCTATACTACGTTTCGGGGTGGTGGAGCTACTCATTTTGCAGAAACACGGAGATTGTACAGTACCACGCCCTGGCAAGCAGTCCCAAGGGCCAGCCACCGAGGCGCGACATGCACTCGCCAGAGTACGTGCTGGGGAGGGTGCCCACGATCCCCTCGCACGCGTCTACCACGGCGAACCCTGCCGACTACGAGCTGGACCCGATCCCGGCCGAGGTTCAAGAAAAGGGCAAGCAAAGGTACCTGGTACAGAAGCTCGCGGGCGGCACGATATGCGACCTAACGGAGCGCGAGCGCACGATCGAGGTCCAGTACCACTGCGTGCCGGGACTACAGGCAGACAAGATCAGCTGGATCAAGGAGGTAACGATTTGCGCCTACGTCATGGTGATTGACACCCCGCGACTGTGCAGCGACGCTGCGTTTCTACCCCCGGAGCCTACACGAGCGAATGCCATCACCTGCAACCCGGTGTCCGATGAGCCGTCGCTTCTCTTGGACGCGAAAAAGCAAGTCTATAATACGAACGAGGAGAAGAATACGGAGGCACAGACCGGTGAGGCTGCGAAAGACGCAGAGACGGCCGAGGGCGCGGCGGCAGCGGCCTCTGCGCTTAAAGAGCTGCTCCGGGGCACGGGGGATGGAGCCAAGGGCAAGCGGGCCGTGGTGGGCGACATCAACGTCGGGTCGCGGAATATCCTTTCTCTGGGCGACGAGGCGGGCCGGGCGCCGTTCAAGCTGACGCCGCCGCGGAGCTTCTTGTCGACCGGCCTCGCGCAGGAACCGGCCAAGCTGCCGGCAGTGGTGGTGGCACAAGGCGCGAGCGCAGAGGAAGGCGGCGGGGTGGAGTCGCTGTCGCGGGAGGACCTCAAGAAGCTGGACATTGACCCGGATACCGTCAAGGAGATGGCGGCGCGGGTACAGAAGCTGGCGGGCGACAGAGGCTGGCGCCTGGAGGTGTCGGACTCTGAGCTGGCAGGCTTGCGGGAGCTCAAGGGCTACTTTGACAAAGACGAGGAGGATGACGGGGAGCCGGTGGAGGATAGGCCCAAGATCAAGACGAAGCCGAAGCAGAAGCAAGCGAACAAGGAAAAGGCGGCTAAGAATCCGGGAAAGGCGACTGACAGGAAGGCGAACAAGGTCCAAGCCCAGGGCGGTGAGGAAGCGGAGGACGGTCCGGCGGGAGGAAGAGATCCCGAGGAGGCGGGGTTTGATGGGGATTGGGACGAAGCGGAGGAGGAGCAAGGCAGCCAGGAAGAATTCTACAGAGATGAGCTATAGGATTTGCGGAGGTAGTCGATTCCGGCCTGGACTTTTCTGTGGTTGTCTATATCGATACTGATTACGAGACTGGTTTTGTTCTTCCTCCGGAGGCAAGTACGAAATGAAGGATGAAGAATGAGGGCATTGTTATTTTAGACTGTAACGATAGCGAGCAGTGGTGGCGTTTATACATACAGAGGGCTTACTAGTAGCTTGGCCATGAATGAAACCGATCATCTAGATTGAACAGAAGCTAACAAGGTAAAGGTGATGGAGCATGAAGAAGTTTGCTTTGTGATAAAGTGGTGGTGAGAAGTGGGATAGAGCTGGTGAAGTGCTGGGGCGTCCGGCGGGGCGGCTTCTTTTCCCCGGAAAGATGAAACGGGGCCGTGATTGGGTCCCGCGTTGGCGGTGCGAGTGGAGCAAAAAAAGGGGACGGCAATTGGCTGGGGGGATGGAGGGAGGTCTGGAGTTTTGTTTGCTTCTTGGGGAGAAGAAAGGGAGAGAGCGGAAAGGTTGGCGGCTTTCTCCTGCAAAAAAAAGCCAGCGTTCACGCCCCTTGTAAATTTGAACGTGGCAGTGTCGAAAGCGATGGCAGAACGTTATGTGGGACGAAGCGAACGCTTTGACAGACTGGGATACAAGGGGTTTGGCTGACTCGGAGAAGCAGGACAAGGACAGGCGCAGAAATGTGCATGATGTTGAGGTGTTTTTTTTTTATCCAAGTGGCCGTTGTTCTTTGACCTGCAAGGCTCCGGGGGGGAAACGCAGACAGGGTGGGCAAAAGAAATATGGTGCTGGGAGGGGGAGGTTTCAGCGAAGAACAAGTAGGGATGATGACAGCGCAGGGAGGAGGGCTGGCTGAGGTCTGCAGGAGTTGATGAGCCTGTCTGTAGCTGTCAATGTTTGAAACAGCAGGGCAAGGATGTGACGAGGGCTACTGGTAGAAGCTGGGATGGCATCACGGAGAGTATTGCCTGGAAGACGACTCCCTGCTTCTACCTGTCCAGACAGATTCCACGCCAAATCATTGTTGGACTACTTTTTCCCCTTCCTTTCTACGATACAGTTGACCGCCAGATTGGTCTTTAACGAGCAACTAACTACTAATGTACCTATGGACGCTCCTGTCAAGGCACCTCACTAATGCAGCAGGTGCAGGCTAACTCGACTTACAGCGGTTTGCAGAATGTCCAGAGGTCCATCAGGGCCCCGTTCAGGCCCCATTGTTTTTAGGAGTGCCCAAGCACCTGGGTCGGCCCATTTCATGGGCAGCTTTGCCCACTCTTTTCCAGTTATGTACGTACATAGGTTAGTTAGTCAACTAAAATAGTTTCTAAAAACTTCCAATTTCCATTTTGCTGCTGCTGGCAAGGGAATAAATAGGCTAACGGGCCGCAGCGCCCACCCGCAGCGTCCGTCTCCGCGTCCGCTTCTCTCACCAGCAATTCAAGTTCCATTCTGCTGGTCCGCCTTAGAAAATCAGTTCCTGCCCTGTCCTAGCGCAAAGCCATTTTCATCATCACTACTGGAAAAATCTCCCAGCCATTCCCTTTTTATCATTTCAATATTCTTCTATTTTTATTAGTAGTTTTTTTTTTCGAACCCCTGCTCCTTCATGCACACACCACCACACACACATTTACATTAACTATTTCCTTCTCCTTCAATTTCTCCCTGCACTCTCCTTGTTCCCTTTTCTGTTGTACATGTATTCGATTCTCCGATGATGAACTATATCAAACGTCACCAATCTTATCCTTGAACTTGCTTCCGCCTTGGTCCGTTGGGTGAGGCTAGCCGCCGCTGCACGTCGTTACAGGCAACGGGCCGCCCACCACTGCAACCCAACGGCACGCCACGACCAACCACACATGCAAACGCCAGCAACACTTGCTGCCAAACCACCAAACTACCACACACCACCCACAAAGACGTCGCCTCTTTTCCGCATTCCTGTCGTTGTTATTTTTATTTTACTATTATTCCATGATCCGTCCCGCGCCAGCTCGCCCTGCAGACAAGAGACAGGAGACAAGAAACAATTCGCCTAGTCCCGTTACTCTAGTACCACTCTGCCGCCTGTCTCACGCCTGATTCTTGACTCCCTCGCTTGAACTCTCAGCTTGGCCCTCGTCTTCCTTACACCATACGAATCCTTTTCTAGCTGCTCGCCCCGAATATTCTCAAAATTACAAGTTCTATTATCATCCTCGCTTTCCGACAGCAGCCCCCCACTCCTCGCCATCAACAAGCGACCGCCCAACGCAGCGCCTCCCTTAACCACCTACGTACACCCGTTCGAAACAACAAAAACAACACATTCAACTCTTCCCTGTCGCATGGGTTTGCCTCCGCGCTGGCGCAGAGATCCGCAATCGCCTCCCGTCAGCATAGTCAACCGCCTTGCGATGACCGACATGTGCCCCTGCTCTTCTGCAAGCCTTGTCTGACCCATCTGCATCCTGCTCGACCACATTACATCTGCATTCCATGCTCTAGCCAGTCTCTGTTATCCTTTCCTCTTACCGATCCACCGTGCCGCTGCGCTGCCCTCATCCGATCCGCTCCTGTTCGTTCCCCAAACGGAAATACAAACCTCCCACAATGGACCCTTCCTTGTCCCAGCCTGGCCAGCGGCCACGGCCACCATATCCGCGCGCTCCCTCTCGTGCCTCTACCATTGCTAGCAACACCCGCAGCGTGAGCAGCTCCAACACCTCGCACATGCAGCCCGCCTCGCCTGCCCAGTCCTTTTCTCACCCTCAGCGTTTTCACTGCACCGCCACCGCGGCGTCCCCGCGATCCAGCTCACGAGCCACGCCCCAGCTCTCCCGCGAGGCTAGCGGCGACCTCGCCCGACCTCCCACGATGTCGACCTTTCTACAAGAGAAGCTTCAAAAGGAGCGCAGGGCAGAAAGCGAGAAGCTCGGCTCCTCCACCTCGTCCCGTCACAACCTCGACCTGAGCGCCTCCGTCGACCTTGGCCGTGTCGCCACCGATAGGTCCTTTCGATCCTCCGACCACGAGCCACAACGGCCACAGTCCAGCACCGGCATGGAGTCGGGCAAGAAGAAGGGCCTCGGCTTGAAGGAAATGGAGCAGGTCGTGTCATCCCTCCACAAGCAAAACTTTGACTTGAAGCTCGAACTGTATCATCGCCGCGAACGACAGACCAAGATGGAAGAGCGCCTTGAAGCGCTCGAAGCCGAGAAGCAAGTCTCCCAAAAGCTGACGGACAAGCTGCTGGCCGACTTAGACAAGCGCGACAAGGCCATCGAGGAGGCTGTCAGCATGATTGTTGAGCTCGAGGCCAAGGTCGACCAGCTGCTTAACGAGCGCACCATGGTCCAGCATGTCGAGAGCCAGGGATTCTACGCGTCAACCGACGGCTTCGACGATTACAACGACTCAACAGCCAACTCGTCTACTGGGGACCTAGCACCGCTCCCGGACCGCTCCAAGACGCCTACTGTGACTCGCATGCCCAGCTTCCTCTCTGATCGCAAACCGACCACCGAAAATCTGAGAAACATCTACGTTGGAAACCGCGCCAGCGTCATGAGCCTGCGATGCGTATCCGGCGGTCACTCAGAAGCAGACAACGCTATGGTGAACGGCTTGGCCAGCCCTACGTTGAGTGTTCTCAGTGAGAGTTCTTTCATCAGTGTCTACGGCCAAAAGGGTGACACGACCGTCGTTCCTGATTTCGATGAGCCCATCGCTTTGAGCGGCTTCGATGGTAGCTCTCCAGTTGTGGTACAGGAATCGCCTCCAAAGAGTCATGTGAACAACAACCATTTACTTGCTGGCAAGTATCAGCAAGAATACAGGCCCGCTACGGTGCAGCCTGTCAGAGACTTGCTGACCCAGAACTCACCGCGCCAGCGCCGGGAGAGAAGCAACTCTGAGGCTCGTCCCACCGCGGCAGATACTGCGACTCACCACATTGTCCGCAGCGAGGCTTCTCACATTCAGCATTGCAACAACAGTGTTCACGGATCACCTGCCCGCCGGTCTATGAAGGATGAAAAGAGAGCTGCATTGAGAAAGGTCGTGACGGACGCCGGTGGTGTTCGTCTCCACGACCAAGCGTTGCCTCCGACGCCAGATACCATCTCGTCGTCGACACTGCAAAGGTACAAGAACTCCAACGAAAATCTCTCAGTGCGCCATCAAACGTCAAACGAAAGACAGAGAATCCCGTCAAACGAGACACGACAAGCGCGGGAGACCCAGAGCGCAGAACAAAGCGGCGGCGTGTCCCTGATGCAAAAGGAAGCTCCGCGCAACGTACGCAGCTCGCGACCTGACACTGGTGCAATGCCTAGCTACGACCTGTACGGTGCCAAAAACATCCCACGGCCTCGCTCAGCCGGCGACACGACAGTCTCTCACAAACGGAAAAACTCGTGGGACAGCGACGACTCAGACACCAAATCGCTCCAGTCCAGTCTGGATATCTGGATGCGCGAAAGCACCAATCCCCAGAGGACGACGGGCCGCGTTTCGCCGGACCTCTTTGGGTTCCCGACCAGCATGGCCAATGGCGGCTGGGCGGCCAGCTCCCTCTTCGACCCCAAGCAGAGGCTCGGCGCCATGCCCAGCACCGACTACATGCACGACTTACTATCCTTGCGAGAGGCATTGCTGTCGCCTAACCTACCGCCCCCGCCCCCGCCGGATAGACGCTCAAGCCTGCACGGACATGTTGGCCGTTCCGCCTCGGCTATGCCCACGACTGAGAAGCCGCTCGCCGCCGAGGGCACATGGCAGCCGCCACCGCCATCTGATGTCGCTGCTGCAGCTCGGAATCGTCGCAATAGTGATGCGGTCGACCTCCGTTCCAGCACGCGCACACCCGTTCAAGGCGAACACAAGCGAGGCAACAGCAACGCCAGCCAGCACCCGCCCATCTCGTGGCAGCAGGGTCCACGAGCCGGCCTCAAAGGACTGTTCCGACGCTCCCTGCCCGGTAATGGCGGGCCACCAGCAGCAGCGTCGCCCGCCAAGGCTGAATCCAGCCCGGGTACGCAGGAGACGGATACTCCATCGACAGCGGCGGGATGGGCCCCCCGCAGCAGCGCCGGCGCGAATGATTGTGATCGTACCGGCGCGACGCCCCCGCCCATCATGCTCAACAATCCGCGCCAGGCCGCCCGGCGCAGCTCCGCCGCGACTGCCACCTCGTACGAAGGCGGCGGCGGCGGCGGTGGTGCCGTGGTGTCGCCTGACGCACAGTCCCTCCCGGCAGCCGACGCCATATCCCAGCATAGCATCCCGCACTCGCAGTCGACGACGGGAGGGCGACGCAAGTGGCTGCCGGGCTTCTCGCGCAACAAGGCGTGAACATGCATATAATACACACAAGTACATTGATAGTGCGCTTTCACGAGCACGAAATTTCTCTTTGCAGCATCTTATAACCGTCTGAGCACATATCATTAGCGTCAGAACTTGGCTTTTCTTCTTATTCTTCTTCATCTGGCTGTAACAGTACCAAGGAAGGGCATTTATTTCTTTTTCAGCATTGTTAGGAAAGTATGGATAGGATCATTGTTTATTCGACCAGTTTTTTCTTCTTTTGTAGCTTTTTTTTTTGGCATTTCTGTTATTCAGGGAAAAGGCAAGCAAAATATGATTTTAGTTGTACGCCGACGAGGCGTGTCATTGGCAGAATGCAAACACATGTTGGATTTCCATCTCATTTCACCAAGTGTCCGCTTCGTGAGGTTATTAACTGTGATTCATATGTGTTACTATCACTACATAATATGCGACATGTACATTCGAAATCCCATCAGCTGTCTATATCTCTCTATCCCTTCGAAGCAACCGTAGGCAAGCCACAGAGTGGCTGAGATGCACTCTGTGGCTAGACGATCCCATCACACCATCGAGCACAGACACACGGCCGGCCGACATGGTGGCGTGCGCTACCACATCCCGTATTAGCAGATGTTGCCGACTTAATGCATAATATTGATAAGAGTGAATTATTAGGGGCGATAACAGGTTCAACTTGAGCATTGCCAAATATTTGTATCTATCACTTGCTGGTAACTTCTACTATAATTGGTACACTCGTTATTCGCAAGCGTCTCGGCGTACCCGCCCAACCCCTTTGGTCGCAAGCCTCAAATCGCCGTCCCGCGTCACCCGGCCCAAAAGATTGTCCAACGCAATCCCTTGCATCCTCTCCCTCCATCCTCGCTATGAGCGGCTTTCCGCCTCGCCTCGCCGTCTAGCCTCTGCTGCAGGTACCGGCCGTCTCCCTCCCCTTTCTCCCGCTTGTTACGAAGGCGACGACGACGACGACGACCATGGGCCCCGTCAGTCGCGCCAACCTTGCCTTCTGGCTGCTCTGGCTCGCCGCACTGTTCTGGTGCGGCCGCAACTCGTTCGACGACCCGTCCTCCATATTCTACGACCAGGCCGCGGCCTACACGCAACGCTACTCGGCGCTGCGCGGCCTCGAGATCGACGCCTTCCTCGCCAACGACACGCGCGTCGCGGCCGCGCGCCCGCCCGACCACCACGACGAGATCCTGTGCGTCGGCGTGCCCAGCATCAACCGCACCTCCGAGGGCTTCCTGGCCCGCACGGTCGGCGGGCTCGTCGACGGGCTTACGCCCGCGGAGCGCGCCTCGCTGCACGTCGTCGTGCTGCTCGCCGACAAGACGCCGGCCGCGCACTTTGCCTACGGCCAGCCGTGGCTGACGGCCGTGGTCGACGAGGTGCTCGTCTACGAGCAGGCCGGCAAGGACCACTCGGCGCTGCCGGGGTACCGCACCATACCGTTCGAGATCCGCCCGGACGGGCGGCGGCGCGGCGACGGGCGCGTCGAGAACATGCGGCTGGACCACTCGGTGCTGGTGGAGACGTGCAGGGCGCGCGGCGCGCCGTACTTTGCGTTCGTCGAGGACGACATCGTCACGTCGCCGGACTGGTACCGCAAGTTCCTGGAGGGCGTCGCGCGGCTCGAGCTCCGGACCAAGCGCGCCCCCGACAGGGACTGGGTGTACCTGCGGCTGTTCTACTCGGAGATCTTCATGGGCTGGAACGCCGAGGAGTGGGCCACCTACGCCGAGGTCATCTTCCTCGTCTACGCGGCCTTCATCGTCGGCTTCCTGGTGCTGCGCGGGCGGCAGCGGCGCCGCCTCGCCGCCGCGCCGTCCGGCTACTCGCCGCTGATGAGCAAGGAGGAGCCTGCGGCCGCCCGGTCGGCGCAATCGCAGCGGCACCTGCAAAAGTTCAACCACCTGTCCGCCATGGTCATCGGGCTCTGGCTGCCGGCCGCCATCGCGCTCGTCTTCCTCGGCGGGCGCATCACCATGAGGCGGCTGAGCCCCGTGCCGCGGCCGGGCATCCGCGAGATGCCGCGCTACGGCTGCTGCGCGCAGGGCCTGGTGATCCCCAAGCGGCACCTGCCCACGTTTTACTCGCTGCTGCTCGATCCCCCGTACGACTTCCCGGGTGACATGATGCTCGAGGGCCACGCGGACCAGAAAAACCTGGCCAAATGGGCGCTGGAGCCCAGCGTCATGCAGCATGTAGGGCTGAAGCAGTCCTCGGAAGGCACTCGGCTCGCGGAGGTGTGGAACTTTAGCTTTGAGCGTCGAACGATGGCGACAAAGAATGGCTGAAGAACGATATTGAGACGGAAACAGGTTCCCACACGCATCTCCTATTGGGACTTGCCGTCTCGACTACTATACAACCTTGGAGACTCACGCAACCATTACCGCGTTTGCTCCTAAATCATGTGACTATAGAAGAATGGCGTGAATCATTCCCGATTCACAAGGTACATGTTAAGCTGAACTGGCCGCAGTACATCGGAACACATGCATGTGCTTTTATAGATATCTTAAATGCCCCAGACGGGCACATTGATGCTTTGATATGCAAGCACACTCGGGACTTTTGTGTCTTTGATAGTGTAATACGAAATTGAATTTCTTTTTTAACGTCTTGTGATGTTTGAGCTCGGTCTCGTTTTCGACGTGATGGCGAAATAGATTCGTTGGATTGGTGTCATCAGGGTCGCGGAGCCGCCTTGTCTGTGTAATGGGGATGTAACAGCCATCACGGGTATTAAAGTAACGAAGCGAGAAGAATACGCACACGCGAGGCAACAATGGCATTGTACCAGTACGAGAGTGCACCGTGCAATATAGACAAGCACCCATATAAAATATAGAATTGACAGCCCTCCGCGGTCATGTGGTGATGTGCAGCTGGACCTGGACCACGCTGGGGCAATGGGGCAAGTGGCGGTCCAGCGCGTGGATCGGCCACCAAAAACAAGCCACAGTTAAAAGCGCAGCGATGCAAGCTTCACATACAAAACGACCCCGACAAACGAGACGCGGCATTCACCAACTCATCTAGCGAGAGCCATTGAAAAGAGTTTGAGGAGCTTGGGTGGGGGTTTTCGGAGCCGGTCAGCAGCGCCCCATCGCTGGTGGAGGCCGGTTCTGCCTCGGTCGCCTATAAAGTACATAGGCAGCGGTGGCCCCCATGCCTGCTGCAATCGGCCTGCCTTCGTGGGTATAGTCCGTTTGCTGCTGGATGGTATTCGGACGAGGAATCGGCTCATAGCGTCAAAGATGTAGCTCCGCGTGCACTTTGGGTGCCGATATGCCGGCAGAAAGACCATCAAGCTGGAGAGTGGGCTTCTTACTGGAAGGGACTAAAAAAAGCTTGGGTTGGTTATCAGCGCCGATCCGAGCGAACAGGCATGGGGTTGGGGGGGCCTGCATCCTATCCCACCACTTAGATGTCGATCCTGCACCACGACCTGCCCGAATCGACACTTTGCGCCGGAGCGTGTGTTTGGTTTTGATGCCGTAGCCTACCGGGGACCTTGCAATGACGGACGGGCCACATGGGCAAGACGAGAGGCCTCGGAGCCGCCCGACAGCTTGATTGATTTCTTCATCGTGGAGATCGACGATTTGTCTGTTCGTCAGCTCGGTGTCGAGGTAGGCTGGTCAAGACGAGTCCTCAGCTGCGCACAGATGCGACTGATGATCGAACTGGTAATGAAATCCGATTCAACGTCGTCATTGGTGCTACCACGCATGTCCTTTTTTGTTGTTTCGATCCAAAGGGCGGAGAAGTGCTTCTTGTGTGTCGGTAGCGGCTGAAATCTAGCACAATGCCAAGTTTGTTAGTGCCAATGACTTGCTGAAGGCTTGCCCGTCCCGAGCGCCGCCCGTGCAACATGGCGTGGGAGGCTTATTGGACCGTCTGACTAAGTTGAAAGCTACTGTAGAGGACAATCTTAGTCGCTACGCTGCCCAACAACCAACCCCCATCGTCTAGCTTAAGAAGAGGCGGTTGCCCGCCAACTCAATGCTCGCATCCTCCCTTTCGTTCTTCTTCATGCTCAATCGAGGCTCGCCCATCTTTACTTCTTCCTTCTAATCCCCCAAGATGCAGTTCACCGCCCTCTTCCTCTCCCTCGTCGCCGTCGCCAGCGCTGCTCCCGCTGAGCTCGTCGGCCGCGACGCCACCACCTGCGGCAGCAACTACTACTCCGCCAAGCAGGTCGACGCTGCTTCCAACGCTGCCTGCAACTACGTCCAGAACGGCGGCACCGCCGGCAGCTCGACGTACCCTCACAAGTACAACAACTACGAGGGCTTCAGCTTCCCCGTCGACGGCCCCTACTACGAGTTCCCCATCAAGAAGAGCGGTGTCTACACTGGCGGTTTGTTCTTCCTTTCCTCCAATCTAATGTTATTACTGGAAGAAGAAAGAGGCTCTAACTCATCTATAGGCTCCCCCGGTGCCGACCGTGTCATCATCAACAGCCAGTGCCAGGAGGCCGGCGCCATCACCCACACCGGCGCCAGCGGCAACAACTTTGTCGGCTGCTCAGGCACGTCTTAAACCAAGTCCTTGAAGATTCTCTTTCCGACATGACATGAATTTCATCATCTTCGTTTGTTACATTTTATCTCCTCATGCGAACGGGACGGGCTTCCCGACTGTACATACGCAGCACATATACATGCACACAAACATCAAGAACATAGGAAAGGATCAAATTGCGTGGAACGAAAAACTAAGACTTTGTGAAAACTTGGCAGGGAACACGACAAAATCGGGAAATGACAATAAATCGAGCAATGACAGCAAATCGGGTAACGACTCGAAGAAATCCGCGGCCAGCACAGCCAAGTGCAACTTGCTTGGAGCTGTGTCGGGCGCGGGTGCTGCAGTCTTGCTCTACGTACTTTAAGAAACGATCGAAGAAAAAGAATCATGATGGTCCCGCCATTCAAGAAGCCCGTGCGCTTGCGATTTACCGAAGATTCCCGATTTGACCACGACATGGTGTCGCTTGCAAGTACACCCCGTAACCACGTATTGCTTGCAGCCCGCGTGCAAGCCAAGAAGACCCATTTCCATTTAATCGAGCATGATCACTATATAATATCGAGTAAGTTGCTATTTACACTGTATAGCGGAAGAACGTGGCGTCGTCGCCCTTTTCCGTCTCGTTCAACTTCTCCTCATACGTGTATTCCGCAGGTGGCTTGTGTATAGCGTCCCTCCGCGCGTTCTCCCGCCGGAGATGGATGTGCATCCAGACCGAGAGCACTAGACTCATGGACAATGTCCCGACTAACGTCAAATGCCCGATGAAATGCTCTCGGGCGTAAATGTACCCTGAAATTGCGCCGCCGAGGTTTCCAAACCCTACATGCATGGCAATCCCTACCGCTCTCTTCAGGGATCCGCCAATATTGTTGCCGTTCCAAGCCACACCCTGCGACACATTGGGGTACACGCCCACCGTTACGAGGAAGCATGCAAAGTACTTGACGCCGTGGCTCTGGACGCCAGCCAACAGCGCGAAGCCTAGAATTCTACATCAATCAACCGTGTTAGCAATCGTTGTCCATCGTTCGTGCAGTGACGATTTGACGTACCCAACGGCGCAGAAGCCAACCATATAGATGCCTCGTTGGCCATGGCGGTCGGCGAGAAACCCTCCACCAACCGTGAACAAGCAGGCAACGACATACGGGGGCACAGACATGAGCTGCGCCACCTCGTTTGTATATCCCAGACCCTTGACAATGGTGGGGAGAAAGACGGAGATGGAGTAAAGAGGGATGTAAATGCCGATGGTGATGAACATGTGCACCCAGATTTTCCAGTCCTTGAGGGCATCTTTGGCAAAGGATAGCTTAAACTCGTTGGACAATGCGGAGCGATCTTGCTTGAGGCGTCGGACCACTTCCTTCTTCTCTTCCGGTCGGAGGAACTTGACGGATTCGGGGTAGTCATGCATCGCGCGATAGGCGATGAGAGCTTTGGGGCTTCCAGTTAGTAGAGGATGGCGATTGATAAAAAGACGAATAGTCTGTAGCGAGAGGGAATTCTTGCTTACCAACAAGAAACGTCGCCAGACCTTCGAGGATAAAGATCCAGCTCCAGCCGTTGAGGCCGCCGACGCCGCTCATCTCCATGATGCCGCGGGCGAGGAGCCCGCCGAACGCGCCGGCCGCGGTGGCCGCGGAGAAGAAGATGGCCATGCGCAGGCCGCACTCGTGGCGGCGGTACCACATGGTAATGTAGTAGGTGATGCCGGGGAAGAGGCCACCCTCGGCGAGGCCGAGCAGGCTGCGGACGGCGAGCAGGCCGCCGAAGGACTTGACGAGGCCGAGCATGATGGTCATGAAGCCCCAGACGACCATGATGCTGGGGATCCAGATGGAGGGCCGGAAACGCTTCATGGCCATGTTGGAGGGGACTTCGGCGAGGACGTAGAAGGGGAAGAAGATGGCGACGGCGGTCTATAAGACGGAGCTGGTGAGTCGGGAGAGGGTCTAGGGGGAACCGGAATTGGAACTTACACTGTAGTCGTATCCTGTCATGTTGAGGTCCTTTTCCAGGCCGGCGAGCTTTGCGTTGCCAATGTTTGAGCGATCGAGAAAGGACAAGAGGTAGAGGAGGGAGAGGAAGGGCAGCAACGTGCGATCGAGCTTGCGCAGCAGCCTGCTGGTTTCAGGCTCGGAGAAGCCAACTTCACTGTCCTCGTCACTCAGCTCCTTGACAGCAGCGCTGTCGTCCACCGAGGAGGCGACTTCTATCTGGGCAGCTTCATCCTTTGCCATGGTTGCGTACCTTCGGCAGAGATGGGGGTGTACAACAAGATTTGTATCGAAAGATTCCGGTTCGGTCTTGAGATGCGAGAGTACAGATCGGCGCACAGAAAAGAGAAACAACGAAATCTAGGAAGACCAGGATACATGAATACTTTATATGCAAGACAAGTTTACGTAGTAAGTTATCGAGCCATCTGGTGAATGGAGCGCCGCTCCACCACCCGTTGGACGGCATTTTCACTTACATTAACTCGCACTGAAACAAGTTCCATTTACCCTCCCCTCCCCCGCCGAAACAAGTCCCAGGACAGACAAGACCAAATTGCTTGCAGAGAGCCCAGACCTAGGAAGATTATCGGTGGGGTTACCGCGTTGACTACGCCAAGATCGCATGGCTGAACGCCCCCGGCGCAAGCCACGGCGACAAGATCCCCTCCCCCTCATCAGCAAAAGCTGACCGGATTTTTGTCATGTCTGCGGCCACGATTTGTTCGGTCCGAGGAAATGCACCAGAAATATGGCAAATGAGCATCACGAGGCGGCAGGCACAACGGCTGCATGTACGCATGTCGGTGTGAGCCTGAAGGCTTGCGGACTCGACATGGCCAAGCAAGCTTGGCGGCGTTGCTGGGGAGAGGTAGTTGGTGGTGTAAATTCATTTCAGTCGCTGCAGGCCGGGCTGCAACATCACAGTCGTATCGCAGACAGTCCACGTACTGTAGATCAGTGAGTCAGCCGCAGGATTTGAGATGTTGTTTTTGTAGCGGGCAGGCTGGAACATTGGCAGCTCGTTCTATTGCCTCAGCCGCAGCGGGCAACGGTTACACTGGTACATAAACTTATCCATCATGGCTGTGGTAGGGGGGGGCTACGGAGGACGCACCGACGGCAAAAGAGACCGGCAGATTGCGTTTGACCCAATGTCGTCCTTGAGCAGAAACGATCGATTTTCGTCTGCTCCTCCTTCTCTTCTTCTTCCCCCCAGTGGTAGCTAGAAAACGTGGCTTGCTTCCGTTTGGCCGGACTGTGTGGGCTCCCTCTCGCAAGAAAAAACACAGCTCGAGCTGGATTGACGATGAGTTCGGTGGCGTTTCCTTGGCCTCATCCAATACCTACATAGTTGGATGTCAGAGTTCAAAGACGGCAAAAGAAACGAGCAGTCCGGGGAAAGGGGACGGAAGGAGGGAGGCTCGTTCACTGGTGGCCTTTCTCGCCACAGCGACTAGCGGGCCAAGCCTATCTACAACTCTAATAATTAATAATGTCGTTTATCTTAATGCTCCTACAACGATTGGACGCCACAAACAGCGCCAGCCAATGCCGCTGTGGAGCCATCTCGTTTTGCTTCATCAGGGGGGGGGGGGCGGCGACATTCCACTTTCATTCCACCTTTGCCCATGCCATCCATCCATCCATGGAAGAACGGAGCCTTTTTCCTTGAGTCCGTCGATGCTTGGCTTTGTTCTTCTTCTTTCCGCGCTCGGGGTCAATTTGTTGAGAAAAGGCCAAGGCGGACGCTCGGCGAGGACGGCGCGCGGCGCCAAAGTGCGGGGGAAGAGGACTGACCAACACAGTAAAAACACCTTGACCGGTTTGGCTGCTGCTGCTGCTGCCTCTTTGCCTGCCGAATCTTGCCAGCCTCGTGAGGCGTCCGCCCCCTCTCTCTTTCTCGTCTCGTGCGTTCTCGGCCGCAGCCCGGCCGGTGGACAAGATGTTGGAACGGAGGGCGAGGCGTTCTGGGCGAGGCGTTCTGGGCGAGGCGTTCTGGGCGAACGGCGGTCAAGTTTCCGTCAACACCCTGGGCGACAAGACAATGTGGCCAGGGTTCTGAAGAGCCGCATCATCCAGCCGAGAAAGCAACGAAATTGGCAGCAATGAGCAGAAAACGGCCAACGACGACACTGCGCAGCAACATAAACCAGGAAGCCATCATGGCACCATGTTAATCATCACTCGCCAGGCAGGCCGAGGCTTATCGCCGCCTTGTCTCTGGGATGAGCGACACTTTGGACTCGCTTATTATTACACCCGGTCCGGACGACGCTATGGTCCATGCGAGGTCCACGCCCTGCGCGCGCGCACCGCACATTGCCTAATCAAAGCTCATGAACCTTGACAACGTGCACGCCCCTTTCATCCGAATATCCCACAGCGGAATTCCCAACCCCCAGAGAGAGGCTGGCCATCGGGCAGCTTGGCATCCGAGGACGTCATTTGAGTCACTCACATTTCCACTTTCCGCAAGTCTGCCAATCACATTTGGACTGATTGATTAATGTACCCGTCTGATTCCACTACTTTAAACTTGTGTTGAATGCGCCGTCGTTCAAGGCGACTCCATGGCTTGTCAACAGCCCACGCGACCTTCTGAACCAAGTCACCACCCGGTCGATGAAGCTAAAGTCTCGCCATTGGACAAGGAATACCTCTTCTCCGCCCTCCATAGATTGCAGAATGGCTGCAGTGCATAAACCAACCCCATGCTGCAGCTGCCTGCTTGGCCCATGCGCATCCGGTCGTTACCACGCACGAGAAAGAAGCAGAGCGTCAGGCCGCCGTGAAGAGCTCGTGGCAAAACAGGCCGCACAACCAGTCGTTCAAGTTTGCATCATCTCCCTTGCTATCATGAAGCTGCTGCTGCAGCGACAGGATACCCATCGCGTTCTGCGCCGACGACATGTGACTGGTCCTTCAGCACGAAACCGCATCGTAGCGCAATGATAATCTAGCTGATAAATATTTCCACCACACACGCCTCCGCATTCCGTGTTTCAATATTTGGTGGCTTGCTTAGTAGACTGACAACTGGCAGATGTTTCTCATATAATTTCTGCGCGGATGTTTGACAAATCGTACATTGAGCATATCTGTCCCTTCGCATAGTGGTGCGGGTGCCTAAGATGGAGTCACCCAGCATGTATTTAGCTTGCCGGCCGAGTTTAAGGAATCTTGGACGTATTTGCATGTAACCTGAAGCATGCAGCACCGAGAAAGGAGTAGGCGATTACACAATGGAGAGTCAAGCAGATTGACTATAAAGAAGATTTAGATTCTTGCATTCCATTCGCATGATGTTTCATGGAATCTGTGCAAAGTTAAGTTGAAGGTTACTGTAGGGTAGGGTAGGTGATATCTGGACCCCTCCTCCCTCCCGATGGCTGCGGTAGTCGGCAGATTATAGATGGTAGACGGTAGGGGCAGACCCGATGCTACGCAGAAGGTTTTGATAATGCTACAATCGTTCTTGGCACTTTCCTCATTGATGGTGAGATGCTGGGCCGGCCGAGACATATGTGCTTGAAGCAGGTCCGTGGTGAAAGGACGACAGATGCGTCAATCCATACATACCAAGCGCCGTCAATGTGCCTGCTTTTGTGGTGTTAGCTGGTTGAGCACTTATAAGTACATTATAAGTACTTACATTAATGGCATCTCCAATTCAACAGCGCAGTCAGTGGTTTTGCTTCAGTGCTTATTGTTGTCAATGTGCACGGCATGCGTAACGTGTTATAGCTTGCATACCGATACCGGGCTTATTACATACAATGTTGCTTGCATACCGGACATACATATCTCCATACTTTGCATAAATAATGACAGCCTCACTCCCCGCTTCCCCCACGATCAGCTAACTAGTTAGAACCCCCCAACTTTGCGGGGAAGTGAAATGAGATGAAAAACAGGTCATACTATTATAAAATAAATCTCCCTTGCCTTGTTCATCGCAATACTTCACATTTACAATCCATTTAAATCGTGCACATTGCTTTTCAACTTGCAAAGCCCCCTCTCAACTCCCAAAGCATGACTGTCCCATCTCCACGACGCGTCGCGTGCCTGGCGCTAGGCGTATTAGGCGTCGGCATAGGCAACTTGGCAAGCCTCGTGGACGCCACGGCCAGTGCCTCAACAGCAGCCCAATGTCCGGACTATAATCAGTATGCGCAGCAACCGCACGCGCCATACTCGGAGGGCCCTCTGAAGCTGCCTTTCATGAGACCGAGTGAAGAGTGTCGCACATTCAACAGCCCGGCCGTTGAGGTAGGCGAATGAGATCAGGATGCAACCATGGATCATGTCTAAACTGTGGAAAAAATACAGAAAGTCATCGAGGACATGAAGGCACGTCTCAAAGACCCGGATCTGGCGCGTCTTTTCGAAAATACATTTCCTTCCACTCTCGACACCACCGTCAAGTACTTTGACCCGGCCCTGAACCTAGCATTCATCATTACCGGTGTACGTCGCGGCATCTCACCCCATTGAACCAGACCAAACATAACTAATCGGCCTATTGGAACAATAGGATATCACGTATGAAAGCAACCCTTTTTCTACTTGCTAAAAGCACTGACTGACCCTCCTCCCTCGACAGCGCTCAGTGGCTGCGCGACACTGGAAACCAGTTTGCCCATCTCTACAAACTCCTCCCTTACGACCAAAACTTGAAAAGTCTCGTCAAGGCCGTAATCAACACGGAAGCTCGATACATTTACCAATTCCCTTATTGTGGTATGCAAGCAGTCTCCTCCTTTCAGTAACGTGATATGGCTAAGGCTAACAACACCCCATCAGGTGCCTTCCAGCCGCCGCCGGAGAGCGGCCTACCACCAAGTCACAATGTATGCATGCAGCCCAGAAACTTGTACGGATATACTTGGTCGAATTGAGCTGATTTTTAACTAGGATTATGCCGACAATGTTCGCGTCAACCCGTATGTTCGCACGGCTCTCAAGACAGCGAGGCTGCCAGTACTGACCTTTATTCCAACAGTCCGGTTGACAATCAGACCGTGTTTGAGTGCAAAGTAAGTCAACGTACCTCTTACTTGGCATCAACGCTGACATTCGTGCAGTATGAACTGGATTCACTGGCAGGTTTTCTGAAAATCAGCCGCTCCTACTACGAGAACACGCAAGACTCGTCCTTTGTCAACGACAACTGCAAGTTCAGCAACCAACAACCGCATGCATAACCCGACTGCTCACACGCTCAACAGGGAAGAAGGCCATGCAGACGATCCTGGAGCTCCTCCGCGACCAGTCCCAGGGCTCCTGGTCCGACGACTGGACCTTTGTCAGCTACTACAACTGGACCGGCACCGCGGGCTCGCTGTCTCCCCCGGTGCCCAACGGCGGCAACGGCGAGCCGCGGCGCGCCAACGGCCTGGTCGCCTCGAGCCACCGCCCGTCCGACGACCTCTGCGTCTTCAACTTCATCACCTCGGACAACGCCATGGTCGCCGTGGAGCTCGCCCGCGTGGCCGACGTGCTGGAGGCGATCGGCGGCGACGACGGCGGAAAGATGGCGGTGCACGCGCGGCGCTTCTCCGGCATCATAGAAAAGGCCGTCTGGGACAACACGCGCGTCGGGGGAGGCATCTTCGCGTACGAGACGAATGGGTATGGTGGTGCGTATATCATGGACGACGCCAACGTGCCGAGTCTGCTGTCGCTGCCATATCTCGGGTTCCTCGCGCGGAACGACTCAACGTTCGTGAAGACCAAGGATGCGATGCTGTCGCGCATGAACCCGTACTATGCCGAGGGCCGGAAGTTCAAAGGGGTCGGGTAAGTTGCAAGCTGTACTCTTGACAGCGTAGTAGCTAGCTAACTGCCAGATACAGAGGCCCTCACGTCAACGCCACGTATCCGTGGCCCATGTCGCAGGTGTCGGCCATCTACGGCACGGACGATGACGACGAGATTGCTGAGCGTCTGGCGCTGATCATGGGGAGCACGTCCGGTCTCGGTCTGATTCACGAGAGCGTGCACATCTACAACGCGAGCGACTACACACGCCCGTGGTTCGCCTGGGCCAACAGCTACTTTGCCGAGATGGTGCTCGACTTGGCGCAGCGCAAGCCAGGCCTAATCCTTGAAAAGAACGAGCCGTATGTGATTGGACAGTAGATACGTTCACTGCTGTCGGGGGTTTGAAGTAAAGTTTCATGTGGGGGTTATATTGACTGAAGACTCTTGAAGCTGGTGACTAAATGAGGTAATGAATAGTCAAGTCCACAGTAGGTAGTAACATGTATTTGTCCCTATTATGTATCGTACTTCTCTTAGGCAACTTAGGTATGTTATATATCTCAGGTATTTTATATGTCTTAGGTATTTTATATACTCAACTATCGCAGGGATAGGTTGGATACCTACCTAGTAAGGGATAAATACATACTACCACCCACTGTGGTCAAAGAAGAAATATTGTAGAAATCGAAACATATATGTAAAAAGAAAAAGTCACCGTCTTGATCAATCACTCACTCTCTTCCATTTCCTTGCTCAACGCGGCAGCCTCGGTGGCAAGCTTCAAGATGCCCTGTGCCGCGATGTCGGGACCACTTCCGTTCTCCCTGCAAAGCTCCGCGAGCTCCCGCGCCCTAATCTTCATACCCTCAGAACGAGGCCCGTGGATCACCTCCGAGACTGCCTCCGCGAGCTCCGCGGCCTCGAAGACCGGCTGCTGCCTGCGCGCGCCCTTTCGGCCGACGCCGAGGAACTCGACCCTATTGGCGTACTCGTAGCAGTCCGTCCAGAACGGCAGAACCACGTGCGGCACCCCGGCCCTACGGATTGTGTCAGGTGCTAGATCGATAGGCAAGGGGGAGAAGGACTTACAGGATGGCTTCGTTGTATGAGCTGGCACCGCCGTGGTGGATCGAGCAGACGACGTTACCGCTCTGCAAGACGGCAAGCGGCGCGCAGTCGAGCCAGTCGACGATGCGGACGCGATCATCGCCGCCCATCTTGTCGCCAAAGGCGGCCCGGACCGCGGCGTCCGGGCCCCTCGCGTCGTACTCGCCGTCCTTCTTCAGCTTCCACAGGACCTGCAGGGACGATGTCGTCGGCCTGGCTCGCTCGAGGCGCTGCCGGTCCATGACCAGGTTCAGGCCGCGGGCGAGCTCGACGGCGCGCTCCTCGGTGAGCTTGAACAGCGAGCCGAGGTTGACGTAGACGGTCGGTCCGCGGGCGAGCCAGGCGGCGAGCTCCGGGTCGGACTCAGCGATGGGCGGCGGCGCGCGGATGATGGGGCCGCAAGGCACGATGCGCGGGTGGCTGGTGAGCGGGAAGTCGAGCTCGGGCAGGGTGCCGACGAAGATGCGGACGTGGTCTGGCAGGCTCTTGCCAGTGTTCATCAGACACCTCAAGGGCTTGCCCGTCTCCTCCTGGACGTGCCGCTTCGTGGTCGCCAGGCCCGGGTCCGTCAGGAGCTGATAGATCATGTACATGTAGTGGAACACGTTGAGGGGCTTTTGATGCCAAGGCACCGGGTAGTCAAATCCACTCATCAGGCTGCGACGCATGCATTAGAAGAAACGACTGACTCATTCATGTGTCGAGGAGACGGCACTCACGCGGGCCACTTCCAGAGCATGGAAAGGGGCTGGTAGCTGGCGGCAAAGTCTTTGATGGAGTTGGGACTGAGGTAGGCAAAGCGGACTCCCGAGTTCCAGGCGGCGGAGATGGCGGGCGACAGCAGCACGTCGACGACGATGAGGTCCGGCGCGACGGCGTCGATGATGTCGGCGAAGGAGCGGTACACCTGCATGAAGCCCGGCCCGTCCCAGCCGAGCAGGTAGGCGCACAGGTCGCGGACAGTGGCCATGGTGGTGGGAGCGTCCAGGGGCCGCGAGAAGGCCGGCGGAGGGACGGAGCTGCCCGGGCCGTACCTCTCGGCGTTGCGTGCGAGGACGGCGTCCGTGTGCGTCGGGCCGCGGAGGGCGTGGAATGTGATGCGGGGCCGGGCGCTTGCGTCTGTGCCGGCGCGGGTGGCCTTGTAACGGGTACCGGCATTGTCTGAGAGGGCTCGAACCTCGTCCTGCAGAGATGGAAAGGAGGCAAAGTGCAAGTCGACCGGGGACAAGGAGGAGGAGGAGGCAAGGAGGCTGGCTGCGGCGGCGAGGAAGACGCCGCATTGCCCGCGCTCGATGTTTGTGGCAAACAAAATCCGCGGGCCGTCGGGGATCGCCGACATTGCTTCTTTTTACCCGTGTCTCTATGGGAGCTTTTTTCGGGTGTTTTTTTTTCTTTCTTTTCTTTTCTTTTTCTTTTAATCAGGGCGGGAAGAGACAAGGACAATAGAAGCAAAACAACGGGAGACCAGGGCCCGGGCAAAGGGAACAAGGCAAACAATGGAGCGGATGCAAACTACCAAGAGATGGATTAGAAGGGGAAGACGGCATTTAGAAATTAAAGAGAGAGGGTCGGCCCAGACTAGTTAGCGGAAAGCGATCAGCAAAGACTGAGCTTCAGCTGTCTGTGAGCCGAGCCGAGCAGCAATTGAGCGAGGTACAGCTTACAGCTCAGTGAGTCTACGTGGTAGTGGTAGTCCCAGGTTACATTATTGGCCCTCGGTCTTTTTTTTTATAAAAAAAAAGGCTGTCATTGCTAGACTGAAAACTAATGGTATAAATTACCAGGTTGGAAGGTATACGCCTCGCACATGCCCATTGTATAGTTGGTGAATAGTGACAGATGACGAGGGGTTTGGCATGGGATGTCGACTCGGAGGGGGGGGACCCTTGGATTATTCTAAAGGGGAAAAAAAGGAGAGAAAAGATGGAGGAAGAAAAAAAATTTAAAAATTCCCGAGAGCGACTTCGGTGCTGCATACGGATACATACGGCCAGGCGGATACAACGCACAAGCATCGCAGGACAGAGAGAAGAGCTACCTGGAACAAGCCACCATGTTCATGCACGCAAAACGCGTTCTCCCGATGCAGATACATCCCAGTAGAGTACATACCTACCTAATCCGCATTGGTGAGATATATTGGTGCCCGTAGCGTCGTCAATCAACGCCACCCGAGGGAGACTGAAGGCAGGGGAAAGGGGCAAGGGGAGGGGGACGGGGAGGGGACTACCCAGCAAGTTAAACTTACTTGGTATAAGTTTTTACCACCAGTGAGTGTTGATGTGATCCCTGGATTGTTTCCGAAACATGACAGGGAACCAATCCATCGCGCCATCCGCACGTTTTATCAGTACAACAAGACTTTGCTTCTTTTCACATGTCGTCATTGCCCAGGTTTGCTGCGACTGAGACGGCGCCCTCTCTTGCCCCTCCAACCCCTGCCATCATCTGTTTTATTTGTTCCCGTTCTGTAGGTACTGACAGGACAGGATGGGATAGTCTGGGCAAGTCGGCATTAGTCTTGTCATCCCAAGTGAATTTTGCGGGCAATCCACGCACGGGACGGGGTTGATCAAAGCTTCAGATCTTCATTCCAGTGCCGGCCGCTGCATGACTTGGTTGGTTGCTTGTCATGACTACTTTAAGTAGTTGAGATGCTCTCGTTGCGCCTTGCTGGAGCCGAGGCGCCTCACCACACACCATGTCCTCATTGGCAAGCAATAGAAGAAATCCTAACGATCAGAACCATCGCTTCTATTGCTGGTCATGGAGAGACTGCTTGATGGGCATTCCCACCACTCTACCAGTTATTAATCCTGGCCATGATCTGATCGTCTCGCCCACTAATTAATGAAAAGCTAATTTATCGTGCCACACATGAATATTACCAGCCCAACGTACCACTGCAAAAAACAATCGGATCAGATCAGCATGTGCGCCAGATGCTTTTCGCATTTGGCAAGTCGCACAGTAGTAGATTTGTCAATTGTCAAAGCATAGCATAGTCTTGACCCCTCACGCCCTCTCTCAAGCTAAAGCCAAAGCCAAAGCTCAGTCCGCGCCCCCCCCCCCAGGAAAAAAGCTTGCGACCGTGCCATGACGAGCCAATTTATTAGCCTTTCGCCGGAATAGGACAGATATCACAAAGTAGGCAAACGTTGTCGTTGTATTGGGCATGATTTGGCATGCCTCGCTTGCTGGGGATTCAGCCTCAGTGTGTATTGTATATTCAGAACAAACAAGGGCAAACAGAGATGCTCAGGCTGTCTAGTTAGTCTACTTCAAATCCGGTGTATAATTATGGCAAAAAATTCGATGCTCAAGATTCAAGCCAGTCACAGTCCCGCGTCGGCCATGGTCTTGCGAATAGACGCCACCAGCTCCTCAATCGTCGTGTTGTCGCGGGGCACGGTGTGGCCCTTTCCGTGGTCAAACAGCGTCGCGCTGTCCTCGTCGCACACGGCGTACAGAGACATGGCGCCGTAGAGATAGGGGTCCAGGCTGCCGACGATGTGGCACGTCGGCACGTCAATCACGTCCTCGCACTCGTCGGCCAGCACGGCGCGGACCTTGTCGTCCTGTACCTTGCTGGGCGGCCAGCCGGCGAAGAAGATGCCGTACTGCACCGCCGTCACGATGTGTCAGCTTGGTCGGCTTCCTGGCCAACAGGTCTGCGATGAAGGACCTCACCTTGATCCTGCGCGGCGTGCCGTGCTCCTCCTCCTGCTGAGCCTCGTGAAAGATGTACGAGGCCGCGGCGGTGGCGCCTTCTGAATACCCAAGAATACCCTGAGAGAAGATGTGAGTGAGTTTTCTTCTTCATGAGAGAGCGGCCAACACGTACGTCAATCTCGGGATCCTCGTCGAGGTACTGCGTGATGCGGTCAAACGTGCGGCCGATGGTCTCCTTGCCGGGGATGGCGCCGTCGCCCCTGAGCAGCGACCGGAGCGTGTCCTCGTATGACTCGCCCTCGGTGTTGGCGCGCAGGGTGTCGACGAGCTTGGCGAGCCCGTCGACGCCGTCAAAGTCAATGTTGCGAAAGTACGGCGGGGGGCCAAAGTAGTCGCCGAACCCCGCGGGAGGGTTGACGGGGAACTGGCCGTCGACGAACTTGAAGCTGACCTCGCCGGTGCTTTCCAGCTTGGAGACGAAGGGGTCAAGCTGCGTTCGAAATGCCTGCAGGCTGCTGTCAGGATTGCTGTGTCGCTTCGGCGGTGACGAGTTCCAGGTACGTACCTTGGCGCTGCCGTACGCGCCGTGGAGGCAGAGAATCTTCATCTTGGGAGAAGTTGGATAGATTTTGAGGGGGGTCGGCCACGGTAGGTTTCTGCCTCTTCTTTCTTTCCTTTTTTTCTCTCTTCTCCTTTCTCTTTTTTTGTTGTCTTGGTTGACTACTGGTACTGGTACAGCGCGGTTGACTCGTTCAGCCTCAATCTCATCTCGCGTCGTGAGGTAGGTTAGTAGTTGGTGAGAGAAACACCAAGGTAATGTATGTACATGCTAATGTAAGGGCGGACAATTTAGCCGCTGTGGCTGCCAGGCGAGTCAGCGCGGGCCGGTGCAGCTAGTCAATCTCTGAGAAATGTCATCTACAGTTACTAACAATAATTACGGATAACTAACTGGTTACCAGAGCGAGAGCAAGCATGGAACAATTAGTTACCAGGTACTTACCAGTACCTACTAAGCCAGTTGGCAGGTACATACCTACAGCACCTACCTACCTACATACCTACCTACCTACCTACCTACCTACCTACCTACCTACCTACCTACCTACCTACCTACCTACCTACCTACCTACCTACTACACCTACCTACCTACCTACCTACCTACCTACCTACAATGTACATACATACATACCTCCTACTTACAGGTACCCAGTAGGGCAGTTAAGCCCCCAGGATCAAGCGCTGGGGTCGCTGCAGCCCCCCGCTGGACTGGGCGTCTGAATTATGAGCAAACATGCCACAGACACCACAGACACCACAGAGACCCCAGAGATGGCTCGGACAAGCCGCAACCACCTTCCCAGCGCGGCAACCGCTTAAACGCCAAGCTTCTTTTCCTGTTATCTTCCTGTCTACTACCTGTACGTCCGTTCGAATACAGATTCCAGAAATCCCCAACGAGTCGCCAAGGGCAGATTACTCCGCAGCTGCTTGACGAGGGGGGAGGGGTGCGCCGACTGACCTTGAGACAGTCAAGGGAGGGAGTATCCGATGTGGATCTCGAGACCCTTCATTCACTTCACATCACATTCACTGATAATAACCAGCAATTGGCAGAACCGTACGGTTCGTCGTTCGTGGGTTGCCATGAATGAGGAGCCGCTGCCTCGTCTAGACCCGGCGTCATCAAGGTCTCGACAATGACAGACGGGTCGGGATAAATGAAGATGGGGTCCTCAAGAAAAGATAACATCTAGCGCGTAGGGCGCGACAATCCTCCCACGAGGTGGCTGATTGGCCTCCCTCATCCCTGCAATCGTCACATCTCGACAGCAGCCTTGTCAGTAGGGACAGTATTCAATCCAAGCCGGCCCGTTATCTCTAGTTTTTGCTGTTGCGAGAGTAAGCACAAGGTAACAGCAATGGCGACGACAAGGGCAACGGCGATGCCACTGTGATAACATATCAGCACTCATTAAGCACATGGGTTACTACGAGCTGATGGAGAAGGAGTACAGAGCGAAAATACGAGGATACAAGCAGGATATAATTCGATTCCACTTACTACTACCTTTAGCATCGCTAGCGTTCGCTCGCATTTTCTTCAGCCACCAAATATCGGATATATTGTCCGAGGCAAGTGCAACCCTTGTCTACAACACATGTGTGTTGTCAGCAGTCACACTGTTATAATCCCAGTCTATGTAAGTCTCATACCTTTTCATTACAGGGTAGATCATGCTGTTGAGAGGGGTATCAAGTAAAGTTTATGGATCATGGCTCGATTGTCTGCACATACCATTCCGTGTAGCAACCGCAGCAGCCGCAGATAAACATGATGAAACATTTCAATCAAGGTTGTGGCGGAGATGGAATTCACAGGAGGCCATTTGAGGTGTTTTTTAGAAGCAAAAAAGGAGGGAGACATGCAGGCCAGGTTTGGAAGGTGACACGACATGTTCTGCAATGTATTGCATGCATGGCTTCGGTCTCTTTTCTGGAAGAAGGGTTGCGGTGCAACCTTGCTCGTCATGACTGTAGAGCGTCGATGCAGACACCGAAGAACACGTGCGGCACACAAAAAATGTCTCGCCGAATTACCCATTGGTTAGCTAGAAAAAAACTATCAACGGTCTGTCACCTGGATAGGAACATGTCAGTCGGTGTAGATGAGGCCGTAAGCAGAGCGTTGCAGCAGCCACTATGGATACCAGACAGGCTACCCTGTACACAGGACGACCACCCAAACGGCCATGTTTTAGGGGTTTTAGGGCATCTTGGCGGCCATGGGGAAGACGTAGCTGGACAAGGAACATAATTCTGGGTCGTCGAGGTTGTACGCGGGGTGCGTTTGAAGATGCGGATCCGGAGGTGAAGCGAGGGAAGGGGAAGAGGAGAAGAGGAGAAGAGAGGGGGGGGTGTACGCTCAAGACCGAATAGCTTTTCAAGACGTGGAGATGGGGGGATGCTGTGAAGAATGTGATCCAATGACAGATGCATGGACTACCCTGCTGGGCATCTGAAGCCCAAGGCGATGTCCGGGGAGGATGATAGATGCATGAAAGCTGGAACGGCTCGCGGCATCCTAATAGCGTCGTATTCGGACGGACGGCCTGGTGTGAGTCGTGAGGCAACGAGGGCCGATGATAACCTTGTTGTGCTCTGTGGTCCGGTATGTCGCCAGTTGCTCACGGGCTTCGTGCTTTGCCTGACAATATAATAAAGACATGGAAAGCTGCAGAGGGATAACCTGTGTGGCAGGTGGGCATTACTCGTGTGCCTGATTTAAGATGAATGCTGCAACTATGGATAGTTGGGGTACGGATATGGTTATCGGTATGGGCCCATCTAGGGTCAACTGAGGCAGAGAGAGGACCGTGTGTACTTTAGCTGGCACCTGAATTATCCTCTTTTTTTTTTTTTTTTTTTATGAACTTGGTACCTATGTAGGTATCCGCTTGGAAAGGTTATTTGAGGTTGCAGTGCTATTCACAGCGACCTCCGTTGGATAGGTACGCAAAAGTATCAAGGTGGTAATTGGTCGCAACAGTAGTGAAGTGAGAGGGGAAGCGGTAGGTACATACATACATACATATGTATGTACATACTGTACATAGGTAGTGAGCTACAAGTAGTGGTAGCGAGAGGGGCACGCCGATTCTCGTGCTATTTCCTCAAACGACGACTTTGGGAACGATCGTCCTGAGAAATGCTAGCTATACCAAACCTCGGTGTCTTGTTTGCATTATTTTTTACCGAGGCATCTAATCAATTACAGACAATAGTTATGTTCACAGGCATCGGGGGAACTGCAATGGGAGGGTGGTGTTGCATTGCATTGAATTGGCCAATTAATTTAGCATGGTACGAACCGTAACTGCGCCACACGGCGCCACAAGACACGACTTCTCCTTTCTTCGACCTCGAACAGCTAACTAAGCAAATCGTCGCTTTTCTCCCCCATCACCAACGCTCCTTTCCCCTCCCGTGCTCCTACGCGCCACACATACGCACACACACAGTCGCCATGTCGATCCGCTTGCCCCTCGGACGCCTGGCCAGCCGTCGTTTGACGACACCGCAGCCAATCTCGACAGCCACCCGCCCGGCCACCCTGCCTCGAGTGCTTCGCCAGCAGCAGCAGCGCGCGTACTCGTCCGAACCCCCGCGCGCAAACAACCCCAACAAGGTCAAGTTCTGGCCATTCTTCGCCATCATTGGTCTCGGCACGGCTGGCTACATCGCCCTGGCGAACCGCCGTAAGGGTAAGTTTTGCAGCATGCCCGTCCTGCAGTGTTGATGATTTCTCTCTGCTTCCTCCCCCTCTATTGTCCTCCGAAACGTCACGTCACCCGTACAACCCAATGCCGATCCCTGCAAAAGACCCAATTCCGATGAAGCCTCTTGGCTCGCTTGATCCGACAATGCCTCGAGCTTCTTCTCAGCTCCCACCACCCCCCGCCCAAGAAAAAACCGGCTAACCCGAGTGCGACACCTGCAGGCACCGCTCCCGTCCCCGGCGGCTCCCAGCCCAACACCCCCACCGCCTCCGGCGCCGCCGACGCCGCCGGCCCCGTCTTCTCGCCCAAAGACGTCACCGTCGTCTTCGTGCTCGGCGGTCCCGGCGCCGGCAAGGGCACGCAGTGCGCGCGCCTCGTCGCCGAGCACGGCTTCACGCACCTTTCGGCGGGCGACCTGCTGCGCGCGGAGCAGGACCGGCCCGGCTCGCAGTTTGGCGACCTGATCCGCGACTACATCAAGAACGGTCTCATCGTGCCGATGGAGGTGACGGTCAAGCTGCTGGAGAACGCCATGGCCGACGCGCTGCGCGCCTCGGGCGGGCGCACCGGCCGCTTCCTCATCGACGGCTTCCCGCGCAAGCTCGACCAGGCGTACAAGTTCGAGGAGTCGGTGTGCCCGGCCAGGCTGGTGCTGTTTTTTGACTGCCCGGAGAAGGTCATGGAGGCGCGCCTGCTGGACCGCGGTAAGACGAGTGGTCGCGCGGACGACAACGCGGAGAGCATCCGCAAGCGCTTCCGCGTCTTCGTCGAGACGAGCATGCCGGTCGTCGACTACTACGAGCGTCAGGGCAAGGTAGTCAAGGTCCAGGCCGTCTCTGCACCTGAAGAGGTCTTTGCTGAGACGCAGAAGCGCCTCCGCGAGAGACTTGGCGCCGGCTTCTAAAATGGGAGCGCCTGTGTCATAGTGTAATTTTATTCCCTTCCCCTCCCCCCGCACCTCTTCGTCGTCGTGCTTGAAAAAAAAAACATGTTCCTCTTCTTGATTGTGTTGCGTACCATTTTGGCTGGATGTTGGGAGTTTTGAAAAACCTACAAGAGATAAGTGGGAGCGCGCCTCGAGCAAGGCATACATACATTCATTTCCTATGTTTTTAGAGACGCTCCGGTACGGACGACTGCATCATATTATAATACACAAGAGCAGAAAGCATTCATTATCATTTACAGCGAATTGAATTAAATGACCATGTTCGTACTGTCTGTCGTCCCTCGAGAGCCACGCACCGGGTGGATGCAAGCACGGATGTAAATGCTGGTAGGATATGACGTCTTACAGGGTCACGGCTGGCAGGCATCTTCCAGCAACAGCAGTCAGCTGGCTACAAACATGATTTCAAGGAGGCAACATCCCGGTTGCTGGCCGAGGGGCAAACATGACAAACGGCCCATATGTACAGATTACCTGTGGTGGACATGACAATGCAATCTTGACTACATACCTCCAGATGACCATGGCCTATCCTGCCCAGCACTACCTTGCAGGTAGACTGTGACTATGTACTACCCTACGTAGTACCCCCAACCTCAGTTAGTACCTTGCAGGTAAGTCTGCACTGCTCACTGCACCTATCCGGCATGAACCCAGGCAGTATCAGGTTGTCTGGAGCATCAGCCACTTGACCAAACAAACGCTGTCAAGCCGCCCACGTCGAGTGAGTGATTCCACTAGGGTACTTGGGGTGCCTACATACAAAGCTAATTCTAGCGAGCGCTCCCCCTGGCAGCTGCCCCCACCGGAGGCCTTGCCTATCGCGACGCACTCTGGCCACTACACATGTACTCGGTGCGTCGATCCTATCAACTCAAAAAAAAAAAAGAATCCTCCTCGTTTACCGGCCCTCCACGCAATCTCTCCTCCATCAGCCGAGTCAGATGCTTCGGCCAAGACCCGCGGCCTCGGCTCATGTTCTGGTATCATCGTGCTACTAGATGGATTGCCTGGAGGGGCCGAGACCCTGGCATGGCGAGACGGAAACGAGCAAACCGCAAACCGGCGAGCGGGAAAGAAAGCCAACGGCAGACAGGGGAAGAAGGGCCAGAAAGAAAAGAAGAAAGAGAAAGAAGGCAAGAAAGAATGAAATAACGAAAGAAGGAAAGACATAGGAAAAGACGCAATTGCGAGACCAGATTCCGCAGAGGCAACCCCGGTCTAGTCTTTGCGTCCCCGTCTTCCCCTGGTCAAGATGTGCTTTTCTGCTAACTCGTCTCTGCACGGTTGATAGGTACGGACGGATACCTATGTACTGGACATGCTAATAAACTAAAAAGTTCAACCATGTCGCGACATCCCGCAATTTGTTGCTAGTCGGCTGAGATTCGCCCATTCCAAAACTCCTTACACACGCCACGCGTGCCTGACTGCCCAGCCGCCTCTTTAGCTCTACCTAGGTCGTTACTACTTGGCCGCCCTTTGGTCTTCTTTCTTTTCGCCCACCCATCTGATGGGCCCGGCCGCCTTGTTTCGCATCTCACTAGGACCTCTGCAATGCACGCGCCACAGCTCAGTCAAGTCGCCCAATCAGCAGCGTGCTGGGCCCAGCAAACACGTCCGACCACCGAAGCCATGGTTCATTGCGCAACCTGCTTCCGGCCGCGCTCGACAAGCACGGCCCGAACGTGCTTTGCGGCTCCCAGACGGCGGCTGCCACTCTCTTCCACATATCCATCCCATCTGCCACTGTCCGGGTAGCTGGTCTCCCGTTGACCAATTTCAGCTACTTTGCGCTGCATTCGACCGCGTTGACGGAATTCTGGCTGCAGTACGACAACCAAGCTCCCCAGCGTCGCACCAGATGCTGTCACCACCCGGCCAGCCCCCACACGCCCTCGCGTCTAGGCGTTCTTTGCCTTTGCTGCTGTTATTAGTGGCAACAGTGCCCTGAGTTGGGGAGTTAGTGAGAGCGACAGTGAGTGAGAGTGTGGCGTGTGAGTGCTCCCCCAAACCTGCAACTCGACTATGCCGTTTAGGCATATGCCAACGGCCTACATAGTCTGGGTGTGCCACCTTCACATGGCATACGGATACATATGTGATATCTTTATACCATGCATGAATATCCATACAGAGAGAGAGAGAGGCTCCTCTGGCCACCGAATACCACGCTGGACAGTACTGAAAATAGTGTACCTTGTGCACGCCCCGTCGCGGCTTCATCTAGCCTGGAATGGCCCCTTGACCACAATGTCTCATGTCTCATTTTTCCTTGCCCTGCTGTCACTACCCATTATTACCCTGCTTATTATACGCACCCTTTTTCTTTTTGATTATTATTGGCGATGCTCAATAACTCACTGAAGTGACAGGCTGATAGTTGTTCGGTGCTGCAGATCCTGCTTGTGACCCCTCCCTGCCGCTTGCCCGTATCTCTCAGGTCCAGGTCGTCCGTCCATCATGCCTCGCTTGCGGGAGATTCAGCCTTACATGGGCTGCAGTACGCAACTTAGACTCGAGATACGGTGGAAGAGATAGGGACTGGAAATACTGATAGGCCAGGTTCCTTCACATGCGTGATCCCCCCCCAAGAAAAAAAGACCCGAACCATGACTTACAAGTTTCTTCTCCAGTATTTACATGGCGCCACATCTTTGCCCTCTCGACTGATCTGCCCACGCCCCCTCCACCACGAGCCCCCGCGTTAAGGTGCATGGGTCTTTTTCAACCCTCACCCCCCTCCTAGTCGCGATTCCCACACTGATGGCAATTCCAGGTCTCGTCCGTGATGTGATCCCTTCCTTTGCTGCTTGGGATTCCTCGTGCGGCCTTCGCTGTCCGTGGCTCTCTTTTCACTGACGCAGTTGCCAAGAGCTTTCCACTCGAAAGTCCAGTGCTGAATGTTTCCCCCGCCGGGTTGTCTTTGCCACACGCCCCCAACTATGGCATCGTTACCTTCATACACCCCAAAGTCTTACACCCAAAGCTCTTCAGACACGTCCATTATTCTACGTGGTCTTCAAGTCTCGGTGGCCCCTCCTACTCTTGCTCTTGCCAGCCATCTCTTCATATATAGCTGCCCTCCTAGCTCCCTTGATCATCCCATCCTCTCTTTTTCTACTTCTGAAACTGTCCGCATGTGGCGACGGCTCTCAATACGTGCTTCTTGCTTCTTACATTACCATTCTACACTTCTTAATTCATTATACCCAAGAGTCGCGCAAGTATATTTCTGAGACTCATCATCACCCGCACATAAACACCACTATTTATTTCCTCATCATTAGACGCGAGTTTTGTTGTTCAGTTGCTCATTGACGGAATGGAGACGCCCACACCTCTTGCCATCGTCGGCATGGCCTGCCGTACATCTGGCGATGTACGGACTGTCGATGAGTTCTGGACCATGCTGTCCCGCTCTCGACACGGCTCAGGCCCTATCCCGAAGAACAGATACAACGCCGACGCCTACTACCACCCGAATCCCCAAAAGAAAGGTACCTTCAACCAGGTTGGAGGCTACTTCATCGACAGGGACTTTTCCGTTTTTGACGCGCCCTTTTTCAACATTACCAAGCAAGAAGCTAGTTCCATGGGTAAGCGTTACTCGTTGTCTGCATTGTCGTGTCGTCGCGTCGTCGCGTTACCAGTGCTAATTCGGCGCCTATGCAGACATCAACCAGAGACAACTCCTAGAATGCACATACGAGGCCTTGGAGAACGCCGGTCTGCCCAAGGGAAAGATCTCGGGCCAAAAGATGGGTGTCTTCATTGGAACGAAACGAGCCGACTATCGTACCGGGAGTTTACAGGATCTTAACCAAGTCGAGATGTTCGAAGCGACGAGTGGCCACAGCTCCATCCAAGCCGGCCGTATTTCATACTACTTCAACCTCAATGGCCCTTCATTCTCCGTGGACACTGCCTGCTCCTCGAGCCTGCACGCCATGCATGCCGCAGTCCAAAGCATACGAAGTGGCGACTGCAGCTCTGCCATTGTTGCTGCCAGCAACCTGTATATGAACCCTGACGACCTGATTCAAATGTCCATGCTGGGCCTCTTTACCCCGACTGGCAAGACGTACGCTTTCGATCACAGAGGGAAGTCTGGTTTCGCGTGCGGCGAGGGCGTCGGCTGTATCGTCATCAAGCCTCTCGCCCATGCCATCCGCGATAACGACAAGATCCGCTCCATAATTGTGAACTCTGGAATCAACCAAGACGGCAAGACCGTTGGCCTGACTTCTCCGAGTGCTCAGCAGCAAGAGAAACTCATGCGTGAGGTCTATGCCCGCGCCAACATCAGCCCCAGGGACGTTGGTTTCGTCGAGGCTCACGGCACAGGCACCAAGGTCGGCGATCCGTTGGAGGCCACTGCGATTCACAACTTCTTCGGTGAGGGCCGCACCAAGCGCTCTCCGCTCTACCTCGGCTCTGTCAAGACCAACATTGGCCACCTTGAGAATGCCAGTGGCTTGCTCTCCGTCATCAAGTCCACTCTCATGCTGGAGCGCAACTTTATCCTGCCCAACACCAACTTTGAGAAGGCAAACCCTGCCATCCCCCTCGACGAGTGGAACATCAAGGTTCCTACAAGCATTCGGCCCTGGCCCAAGGGCAAGCGCTTTATCAGCATCAACAATTTCGGTTTCGGCGGCTCCAATGCCCATGTCGTACTCGAAAAGGCTCCTCTCTCGCAGGTCGCCAAGGATCTTGCCATCGAAGCCAATGACGACAAAGTCGTGCCCAGACTCTTCGTGATGTCCGGCAACGATGAAGGCGCCGCGAAGCGCAATGCCACTGCTATTGGTATCTACACAGAGCAGCACCCCGAAGTGTTCCAGAAGCGCATCATCCGCGACATGGCGTACACCCTGGGTGAGCGCAGAACACACCATAGCTACCGTCTGGCATTCACTTGCGGCAGCTTTGATGAGCTTGTGTCTACTCTGAACTCGGAAGCCATGATTCCCACCGTTGCAACCACAGATGCCCTGAAGCTGGCGTTTGTGTTCACCGGACAAGGTGCTCAATGGCCGCAGATGGGCAAGCAGCTCCTCAATACTCACCCTGTTTTTGCCAATACGATCAAGACGGCCTCGGACTACTTGGAGAGCATTGGCGCTGAGTTCTCGCTCCTGGAAGAGCTGGTGCGGGACAAGAGCGAATCAATCGTCGGACTCGCTCATGTTTCGCAGCCAATCTGCACTGCTGTCCAGCTTGGTCTTGTCGAACTGCTCAAGACATGGAACGTCAAGCCTTCAATGGTGATTGGCCACTCTTCTGGAGAGATGGGTGCGGCCTACGCCGCTGGTGCCATTACCTTGCAGGAAGCCATGGCTGCGGCGTACTACCGTGGCCATTACGCTGCGCAGATGAAGCAGCGCAACCCAGACCTCCGCGGTGCGATGCTTGCTGTTGGTGCCGGCCCTGTCGAAATTAAGAGCATCATCAAATCCATGGGGCTCTTTGGCGTAACTGTGGCTTGCGAGAACTCTCCCAACTCCATCACTGCTTCTGGTGACGAGGCTCACATCGACTTGCTCGCTTCGGAATTGGAGAGGCGCAGCATGTTCAACCGCAAGCTCCGCGTCGAGATGGCTTATCATTCGCCTCACATGAAGCTTGTGGCCGATGACTATCTGTCGGCTATCAAGAACATGGCACCAGTTCCGACCGAGGGAGTGGAATTCTACTCTTCGCTCCTGGGCTCAAAGCTTGGGAGCACTGCTGCCCTCGGCGGCCAGTACTGGGTGGACAACCTGACGAACCCCGTCCGCTTCTCGTCGGCGTTTGCTGAGCTCTATCAGACTGGAAAGCCTGATATCATTGTCGAACTTGGCCCACACGCTGCTCTTGAGGGCCCGATCAAGCAGATTCTCAAGGGAATCAGCCCACAGGCGGCTGCCAATGCGAAGTACTTCTCTGCTCTGATGCGCAATCAAGAGGCTACCACCACAGCCGTCAAGCTGGCAGGCAACCTATGGAGTCGGGGTCACCCCATTGACTTTTCGGCTGTCAATCTGACACTGCCAGGCCAGGAGAAGCCGTCTTTGATCTCGGACATGGCGCCTTATTCGTGGTCGGAGCACAAGTACTGGGCCGAGTCACGAGCTGGAAAGAACCGTCGCCTCAAGCCATTCCCACGTCATGATCTGCTCGGCGTTCTGGATGACTTCTGCAATGAGGATGAGCCTACCTGGAAGAGTGTCATTACTACAGACGACATTCCCTGGACCAAGGATCACAAGATGCAGGGATTGCCCACGTTTCCCCTCTCCGGTTACATTACCATGGCGACGGAGGCAGCTTCACAGCGTGCCCAGCTTCGCGGCATTGCAGTGGAGGATGTCGCCGCATTCCGCATGCGTGACATCAAGGTTACCAAGGCCTTGATTCTGGACGAGAACAGCAGCTACGACTTGCGCTTCAGCTTGAAAGCATACGCCGAAGGCCTGGGTTCATACTCGGATGAGTGGGATTCGTTCCACATCTCTTCTTGGACGCAGTCTCGTGGCTGGCTCGAGCATTGCCGTGGTCTCGTCGGTATCAAGAAGAAGAGCTCCGCCAACCTTGTTCGGCCTGTGACTCATGACGCGGCTGTGAGCCGCAGGGCATTCATTGCTGGCAGCGACGCCAAGATCATTGATGTCGAGCGTTTCTACAGCGAGTTGGAGGTCAAGGGTGCTGGCTACTCAGGCAGCTTTGACAGCAAGGAGGAGGGAAGCCTTCGAGTGTTCGAGAACATGTCGAGTTGCTCTCTTGCCATCAAGGACACTGCTCAGTGCATGCCCTACCAGTACGAGACCAAGAGCATCGTTCACAGCGCCTTCCTGGATACCGTGTTCCAATCCGTCTTCCTCAACCTCGGTGCTGGCCAGGGAGACATGCCACACCTGTTTATGCCTGCTGCCGTCAACGAGCTTGAAATCACGCCGGAATCGCCCAACGCCGTCGGAGAGGTTGTTGAGGTTGTCACCAAATGCCCCGAAACCATGCCACCCGGTGCTGTGGACTTTGACATTGACGTCTGGCAGAAGAGCCCTACGGCACCCGTCATTTCTGTCCGCGGGTTCATGATGAACCCCTTGTATGGCGATGTGTTTGAAGGTCAAGAGCCTCGCTCGCTGTGCTATGATGTTAAGTGGGAGTTGCTCGCTGAGCAAAAGGCAAAGGGTGGTGTTCTGGAGGCCAGTGGTCAGTCTAATGGTCATGCCAACGGCCTTTCAAATGGACACGCGAATGGTCACTCCAACGGTCACTCCAACGGTCACTCCAACGGTCACTCCAACGGTGATGCCAATGGCTACTCAAATGGCCACACCAATGGCCATACCAACGGCGTCACCAATGGACACTCCAATGGTGTCGTCAACGGGCATGCCAAGGTTCACACCAACGGACACGTCAACGGACACGCAAGTGGTGAGACCAATGGCAATGCACAGAGTCTCGTCAATGGTACTTCGAATGGCCATACCAATGGACACGTCAACGGGCACTGCAATGGCCACTCCAATGGGTACGTCAATGGCCATGCCAACGGGCACTCCAACGGTCATATCAATGGGCACACCAATGGGTATGCAAATGGACATGCCAATGGTCACGGCAATGGTCATGTCAATGGTCATGTCAATGGTCATACCAACGGTCACACCAATGGCCACACCAATGGACATGCATATCCCAACATGGTTGACTTGAGCGACACTCCAATCACCATCATCTGTGATGCTGGAAAGACGCCATTGGTCTCTGCATTGGCGGATCTCATTGAGCTCCAGACTGGTGGTCAGATGCCAACCATCACCAGCCTTGCCGACGTGGAGATCTCGTCTGCCACGAGATACATCTGCCTCAACGAAGTGTACCGACCTGTTCTTCACAACATGGTTGGCACTACCTTTTCCCATGTGCAAAAGCTGCTGTTGAACTGCTCCTCTATGCTCTGGGTTGGTGCCGGCGCATACCACACTGCCAAGAACCCGTTGAACAACCTCGCTCAAGGCATGATGCGAACCATTCGCTCCGAATCTAGCAAGGTTGCCGGAACTTTGGACCTCAACCCCAAGTCGACCCTTCATCCTGTTGATCAAGCTCAGTTGATCATCACTGCCATGAAGACAACTCTGGAGACACCGGAAGACGACGCCCCGATCGACTTCGAGTTTGCTGAGAAAGATGGCAAGCTGTTTGTGCCTCGTGTCTATGACCAGAACGATGTCAACCTTGAGCTCTTCCGTGCCACTCAGCCTTCCCGTCCCTACTCCCAAGACTTTTCGCAGCCCGGACGCCGTCTCAAGCTGGCTGTTGGTACCTACGGTGCACTTGATTCCCTGTACTGGAAGGACGAGGAAGAGTACGTGCTTGGTGAAGACGAAATCGAGATCAAGGTTGCTGCCACCGGCATGAACTTCAAGGACGTTGTCATTGCCATGGGCCAGCTTGCTAGCCCTTACCTTGGAGTTGAGTGTGCTGGTACCGTCTCGCGCGTCGGATCCCATGTCAGCTCGCTCAAGATTGGGGATCGTGTCTGTGCCATGACGCATGGTGCGTATGGAACCTACGCCCGCTGCCCTGCGACCAGTGCAGGCATCATTCCCGAAGGAATCGACTTGGCGACCTCTGCCTCCATTCCTGTCGTCTACTGCACCGCATACTACGGTCTCGTTGATCTGGCTCGCCTGGAACCTGGCGAGAAGATTCTCATCCATGCTGCCTCTGGTGGTGTTGGTCAGGCTGCCATCCAGCTTGCACAGATGATTGGCGCAGAGATCTTTGCCACGGTCGGCAGCCTCGACAAGAAGCAGCATCTCATGATAGAGTATGGCATCGAGGAAGACCACATCTTCTACAGTAGAGACACTTCATTCGCTTCGGCGTTGAGAGATGCCACTGGTGGTAAGGGAGTGGATGTCGTCATCAACTCGCTTGCCGGAGATCTGCTGCGAGAGACTTGGTCGTGCCTTGCTCCCTTTGGCCGTTTCATCGAGATTGGGAAGAGGGACATCAACTCCAACACCCGGCTGGAGATGGCCAAGTTTGAGTGGAACTGCACCTTCAGCTCGGTGGACTTGACCAAGGTCGGTGACTTGAGACCCAAGACTATGGGACGCATCTTCCGCGATGTTATGGAGCTTCTAGGAAAGAAAGTCATCAAGCCCATCGGTCCCATCTCAACGGTCAGCATCGGCGAGGTCGAGTCTGCTCTGCGCAAGCTTCAGAGCGGCAAGACAACGGGCAAGGTAGTTGTCAACCACGAGCTGGGCGGAAAGGTCAACGCCACCCACCCCGAGCCCAAGACCGACCTGCTCAAGGCCGATGCCACATACATCATCATCGGCGGTACCGGCGGTCTTGGTCGATCCATGTCCAAGAGAATGGTGGAGCGAGGCGCGAGAAATATTGTGCTGCTTTCTCGCAGTGGCAAGATGACGGCAGAACTGGTGAAGCTGAGTGCTGACTGTGAGCTCTCTGGTGCCAAGATTCACGTCATGTCCTGCGACGTGGCAGACCAGGCCAGCGTGAACGAGCTCATCATCCGGCTGTGCAGCTCGATGCCTCCCATTCGTGGTGTTGTCCATGCTGCGATGGTGCTGCGCGACACCTTGTTTGAGAACATGTCGTTTGAGGATTATGAGGCTGTTGTCCGGTCCAAGGTTTCGGGAGGCTGGAACTTCCACAATGCTCTTATCGGCGCGCCTGTGGACTTCTTCATCGTCCTGTCATCGGTGGCGGGCATCGTCGGTAACCGTGGCCAAGCCGCGTACGCCGCTGCCAACACATTCCTCGACGCTCTAACTGTTCATCGCCGCCAGCTTGGACTTGCTGCGACCTCTCTCAACCTGACGGCAGTTGAGGGTGTTGGTTACTTGGCTGAGAACTCGGCCAAGCAGTCGGAGGTGCTCAAGAACCTGTCGGGCAGCACGATGGGTGAGAGTGAGGTGCTTGCGCTTGTGGAGGCATCGCTTGACGGCAAGGTGGACACTTTCAGCAATGGGCAGACGATCACTGGCCTCGACCTGAGCGACGCCAGCAACTTCCCATACTACGCTGCCGATGCCAAGTTCAAGCCGCTACGCGATGCTGCTCTTGCGGCGAGCGAGGCTGCTGGAGGCGCAGACGGCGCGGCCAACATGCCCATTGGCAAGCAGCTTGCGAAGCTCGGCACGGTGGACGAGGCCGTGGAGCTCGTGACGGCAGGCCTGCGGGAGAAGCTGGGTGCGATTCTGATGCTGCACCCGGATGTCATGGCGGCTAGGCAGGCGACGACGACCATCACGGCGTTTGGGCTGGACTCGCTCAACGCGATTGAGCTGCGCAACTGGATCGGAAAGGAGTTGCAGGCACACTTGCAGGTGCTGGAGCTGTTGACCAGCGGAACGATGGCTGATCTGGCTTCGCAGATTCTGCGCAAGAGTAGGATTCAAGGTGTCTGGAGTGAAGAGAAGAAGGAGTGAGGTGCGGCCATGGATGTGAAATGGAGAAAAAAAGCAAAAAAAAAAAAAAAAAAAAAAAACCAGATTGGAGTTTACTTGCGTACTATTCTTTCATTTACTGCTGGTTCATTTCTCATTGTCTGTTCTTATGTATCTGGGCGGCGTTTGCATTTTGGAACCATTGAGTTACTTACATTATTCCCCTCATACACGATTTAATAAAATGGCATTAGATGAAGAATTCAAGAATTTTCCTCAACGCAACAGCCGTTATGTTATCATTACGTGTGAAACGATGGGCAAGTGAATGAGTGAGCACTCCCGGCAAAGATGTGGTCATGGCTTATCTACATGGCTCGACTACACATGGTTGGGGTATACAAAATCATCAAAAGCAGACGCTTTATGCAAAGTGCTCCTTGGAACCTAGAAAGATTCGCATGCTTCTATAATCATACTTCGCCGTCGCCGTCGTTGACGTCCTTTTGCTCCGCCTGCTCGAGGGCGGCGAGGAGCGGTATCTCGGACAGCTTGACAACCTTTGTCCTCTTGACGCGCTTCCAGATGAGGTACGCGGCGGCGACGAGGGGAATGTCCAGGTAGGAGGAGACAAACGACTGCGCGCTCCAGTTGCCCTTTGTGAAGACGCGGAACCCGCCCGTCAGCAGGATGACGACGCACATGCCGAGCGCCCAGGCGGACGCGTACGGCGTCCAGGCGTTGTGCCAGGGCAACCGGGTGGCCGGGAAGCCCTGGACGCGGAGGGCGCGGCGCAGGCGCAGGTGGTTGACGAGGATGGCGATCCAGGAGACGAGGACGCCGGCGGCGGTGAGGCTGACGAACCAGTAGAAGGCGTCGAGGGCGCCGGCGGACAGGCTCATGAAGCTGAGGAGCGCAAAGACGGCGAAGAGCGCGACGCAGGCCCAGGGCACGCCCCAGCGGGTGGTGCGCAGGAAGACGGCGGGCGCCTGGCCCTCGAGGGCGAGCGCGTAGAGGGCGCGCGTGCCGGAGAGCAGCGCCTGGTTGGCCGAGGACCAGGCGGAGGAGATGAGGATGGCGTTGACGACGGAGGGGATGGCGGGCAGGTGCGCGGCCTGGGCGGCGATGACGAAGGGGCTCTGGGTGACGGAGTCGCCGGCGCCGTCGAGGCGCGGGTCGTCGCTGGCGACGAGCAGGCCGACGACGAAGATGGCGAGCATGTAGAAGAGCAGGATGCGCCAGAAGACGTTGCGGCAGGCGGCGGGGATGGCTTTCCGCGGGTTGCGCGTCTCGGCGCCGGCCATGGCGATGGACTCGACGCCCGCGAAGGAGAAGACGGCCGAGGTCATGACGCTCCAGTACCCGAGGAAGCGGCCCCAGTTGCCCGCGGCGATGTACTCGACGAACGGACCCGGGCTGCTCCAGTACTTGAAGTACAGCGCCGGCGTCCCCGGCACGCCGCCGAGGTCGATGACCAGCCCCAGGATGACGAGGAAGACGACGAGGGCAATCTTGAGCAGCGCGAAGAAGAACTCGACCTCGCCAAAGACGCGGACGACGCACGCGCCGACGCCGACGGTCAGCGCGACAAAGGTGACGATCCAGACGGACGGGTTGATGTCGGTCCAGAACTGGAAGAGCACGCAGATGGCGGTGATCTCGGACGGGATGGACAGCAGGTTGCCGTAGACCAGGTTCCAGCCGACGGCGAAGCCCCAGGCCGGGTCGACGAGGAACTCGGCGTGGCGCACGAAGGAGCCCGTGACGGGCAGCAGCGCGGACGCCTCTCCGAGCGCGAACTGCACCGCGCACACGACGAGCCCGACGGTCGCGTAGCCGAGCAGCGCGCCGAGCGGGCCGCCCGCGCGCACGGCGCCGCCAAGCCCGAGGAAGAGACCCGTGCCGACGGCGCCGGCGACGCCGATCATGGACAGGTGCCGCTCGGCGAGGCCCCGGCGGAGGTCGCGCTGCTCGGCGGCGGTGACGAGGTGGGCGGCGGCGGAGGGGGAGGAGGGATCGTCGTCGTCGCCGGGGATGCTGCCGTAGACGGTGGCGCCGTCGGGTTGCGACGAGAGGAGCGGCCGCTGCCCGTGGCCAGGGGAGGAGGAGGCGTCGCGGGGCATGGTTGCGGTGTCGCTGGGAGGCGGGACGGGCGAGGAGGAGACGCCGTGCGTCGTCTTCTCGTCACCAAGAGATGCCTTGGACATTTGGACGGCTGATGAGAGAACGGGCTGGCTGGGTGCGGGTGGTGGTAAGCGGCAGCGCTCGCTTCTGATTCGCTCAGGTCAGGTCAGGTCAAGGTCAGTGTCTTGGAGCGAGCGGCATGGCTGAGACGTTTTGAGTTTTGCAGCTGTCCTCAATCTCTCGTCCGTCCGGGTATCTATCTGTTGTCTGTCGTAAGAGCAGAAAAGAAGGAAACAAGGGAAGAATGGGAAAAAAGAGAAGGAAGCCGGGACCGTTTTGAGATTTGGAAAAAAAAAAAAAAAAAGATGGGCAAAAAAAATCACCATGCCGGGATCGGATGGCGTAATAGTAGTGGGCGACGGTAGGCGCTATTGCCCCGCGCTACAGATAAGCAGGAACTAACTACCCATATATACAACATAATCAACTACCTATACCGAACACTAGCCATTCGTATATACGGGCATGCGAGCCGAAATTGGCATCTATAATACAATAATAAAAACAATAAAAACAATAAAAACAATAAAAACAATAACCATAGTTCCCGTTGGAAATTGAGATGTTTGCGGACGCGGCGCTTCCTCTCACCCTACGGCTGTAGACCGACTTCACCTGTGCCATCACGGCTCCATCAATCATTCTGTTGTTCATAACAGGTGTATATATTGATTGATCCAACTATGCTATTCAAAAGAGGCTATATCTATCCTGGCCCAAAATGTGCCATCGCTTCGCTGTTGTATTAAATTCCATAATATGAGAGTCTTGCATTGAAAATGCGAATGTGGTGGGTGCAACGGCCAAAAGACAAAACAAGGCAATTTCAAATCAAAACGCCTCGCCATGCTAGGCTGTGTGAATGCTGTGTGTTGCGTGTACTTGCTTCAAAGCCCGCCACTTCCAAGCGCTCAAAACAACTATGTGTACAAAAAAGAATCAAGTGTCGTGTACTGTGTACTGGTACCGTGGCCATACAGCCACTGACTGGCCAATCTTTACACGAGAAAACAGCTCCGCTCAGCCTCTCAGGGGAAGACGCCCTGTCGCCAAACTTCCACTCGGTCCATCGAGGCACCGTTGTGCGGCATTTGCATCTGGTTGCTGGGCTGCATCCCACCATAAATGCCCCTGGCCCCGTTGTTGTACATGTTAGCACCGCCAAAGGTCTGCGCGCTGCCTCCTGCGTAGGGGTTCATGTAGAGGCCCTGCTGATGCCCATGGTTGAATGCCATGCTGTTTGGTCGGTTGAATTGACCGTGCGGGAGGAATTGGGCAGAGACGGGGCGGTGGTTGGCGATAGCGCCTCCACGGCCGTCGTTATACGCCCCGTTGTGGAATCCTCGCTTCTGTACAACTCCCGGGACGGTCAATGTCGAGGGCATTTGAGAACGCATGGCTGCCATTTTGGCGTCATTCTCTCGCGTAACGCGTTCCTCCTCCTGTCGTCGCCGTATCTGTTCCTGGACTCGTAGGTCTGGACTTTTTCTTGCGTGCACCGAAAGAACACTCGCCATGCTCATGCTGCTCATGCGACGCTCCTTGAGACCTCCGGAGCCGGAGCCGGAGCCGGGGCCCGCCGCGGAACCGCCATGTGCCATTTCTTCTTGACGAGCCGTCTTCTCGGCTTGCAAGCGCCGCCGTCGCTGCCCGAGTGTTTCTTCCTCCTCTGGCCCCGCCGCATCCACCCCCCTATTAGCGTCTTTGCCATCCATGGCACCCTCTGATCGTCCTGCTTCCAGAGGGTCAAACTGGCTCAAGAGCTCGGCAGAAAAGGCTGTGCTGACGGGCCGCGCGGAAGGTAAGGAAAGCTCTTTCTCCTCCTTCTCTCTCTCGGCCTCCAATGCCAGGCGCATTCGTCTCTCAGCAAGCGTTTCGTCTTCATTATCCTCAGGAGCAACAACGTTCAAGGAGATCATCGATTGCCGCGGCCGTGTATCGCCCAACCGAGCAGGGGCCATCAACATGCTTTGAGGTCGAGGCGCGGAAAACGATTTATCCAATCCTTGCAGACGCGCACGACGTTTACTCAGCGGCTCATTTTCTTCAATCTCTCTCTTCTCGATTAGGCCAATCGGACGCTCGAGATCTGCCATGTTCTTTGCGCCCTGTTGCCTAGCCGCGAGAATGGCAAGAGGAACGTCTTCATCGTCAGAGCCATTTTGGTCCAGGTGTGCGTCGGGATCCTCCCAGAGCAAGTTGACACGTTTGCTCTTGCGATCATTCTTCTGTGTCTCAGCGACGGCATCGAGCTCGAGAAGTGTAGCTTGCGTTCCGTGCGCATCCATGATTCTGTTCTGAATACGATCCTTCTGCTGCTGTTTGCGAAACTGCAACTCCGCAAGCAGAGTGCTTGGGGGACCAAAATAGGCTTCGTCCACCCCTTCCTTACCCTCTTCTCCTTCACCTTGGCCGTTTTCGTTTGCTGAGCCCGCAGGCACCCGTATGACCTGGTCACTGTCGACATCGCCCGACAGATGGGGAGAGTTGGGATCATCGTTGTGTACCTTGGCACTGTCTCGGCTATTGCGGCTGTGACTGCGCCTGCCGAGCGGCATCCATGAAGATCGCCGTTTGCCACTGTTCTCGCTGGATGGTGGCGCCGGCAAGGATGGTGATGAATCTTGTGACGGTTTCTTGGCTGTTCCGTAGACCTCTGAGCCAAGTTTTCCAGCATAGAGGTGATCAGTGAATGCCCCAACTGGAGCGCTGGCCCCAGCATTCAAGATATCGTCAAGAGCATTCATCGCAGAGCCGTCCTTTGCTTCGATGTCGGTCGTGAGAGCGGGCGAGTCAAAGTATGCACTTGCGCGAAGCTGAGCAGGAATATTGCCCATCATAGACATTCGACTCTTGCGCTTCTCAACTTTAGGCTCAGAAATGCGTTTCGGAATTCGGAGTGTAGAAGCAAGGTTATCGCAGCTCTCGCGCGTGGGCGCGGGGGGATCGGCGGGTTCGGGAAGAGGTTCGTTAATCCTGACCATGTCCTCGGTTGATAAGGGGAGGAATGAGGGTCGACGTTCGTGATGACGTTCCTTGGTAGGGCGAGGGTCATCGGCCGTCTCAGTCATGCTGCCTAACATGGGCATGGCTGAGGCTCGGCGAGCAGGGTCGCTGGTGGCGGACTGATGAGCGCCGCCCATCATGACGCTGAGCACCTTGGATTGCCTCGAGTTTCTCTGGTGGGCTTTAGGTTTGTTTGACAGCTTCTGGGGAATGTTCAATGTGGCAGGAACACGCGCCGGATAATAGTTCATCTGAACACCAGACGAAGGATCAAGAAACGATTGGGGGCGGATAAGACCAACCGGTTGCGGCGGCTGCGGAAAGGAATCATCTCCGTACGAGAATGACGGCGGCTGAGGGGTGGCTTGTGGAAGTTGTAACGGGGCAAGATCAAAGACATTGTCCTCCAATTCCCCAAGATGCTGGTCAATGGGGAGATAGTCCCGCTCGGCAGGGATGCGCTCGTTGTGGTAGTCGTGACCCTCGACATCAGTAACATTTTCCGGACAGTGGACCCCATCAAAATCGAAGAAGGCGTTTTGAGCCTGGTGGAACGTATCTTGCGAATGCGAGGAACTAGGGCGGTTTCCGGAGTCGAGTTCTGTAGCAACATCTCGATTGCGCTCTGTTAAGTTGCTATAGGCAGGTTGCTGGGAAGCACTGCTCTGCATCATGTGATGGAAAGCTTGGGTGCTTGGCTCGTGGTCAAGTTCCTCCTCATGGGCCGCTGCTTCATGGATGATAGGCTCTAGTTCCAGTGGCGGGGCATTGTCAGCCTCATCGAGAACAGTTTGTGTGAGAGAGATTGGCTCTGATTCGGAAATATCAGCGAGCGACAGTTTGGCGGAGCGCACGCTTCGGACGGAGCTTTTGCCAGGGCCGTGCCTGGACAAAACAGTGGGCGTTTCGAGCTCGGGAAGGGAGGGAGCCGTTAAAGAACCGGGTATCAGGCGAGCGCTTCCCGACGCACTGGGCGACTTGACGAAAGCAGCAGGTGAATAGCCTCCCTGGCGCGCGGCGATATTTGTCGATACAATGGAGGAAGAGCTCGATAGGTGCCTTTTTAGTTGGGGCGGGCCCAAGGGCGCGCTGTCTTCTCCATTTTTGAGGCTGGCGGCGAGTACTGATGATCGCCTAGAGTCACTTCGTTTCAATTCGCCGTGGAGATCTCGGATCGCGTCGTCGATGGAACTCGTCATGGAGAGTTGCTGCGCTGTCATTTCGAGTTGTGCAACGCTGCTGGCAGTGCCAGGGCGGCTGGTCACGTCGGCAGGCGCCATTCTATTGATGGGTTTCGGGTGAACCATTTTGGTATTGGCAAGGACAGTGCCAGTGTGGAGAGGTTGCATCTCTCCGGCAGGGACCAACGGCGAAGGGGCGTCATCAATCTTGGAGCGGGTATTGGCAGCGGCGGCACGGAGGGTGTCGCTGATTGAGTCGGTTCGTCTTCGCATGCACTCAGAAGCGGGCATTTGAGATCGAGTAGGACTGGTACCGGCTTGTCGGATCGGCGATGTTGAAGTCGTGACCTTGTCGGATCGGGTGGGAGAGGCCGGGCCAGACTCGGGAGTGAGCGTCTGGGGCATGCTTATGGGAGGACCTCTTTCGGCGGGATGGACAAAGAGACCGAGGGGCGTGCATACTCTGTTGGCGATGGGGCTAACAGCCTTGGACTCCAAGGTTGGAGACTGGTTTTGCGCAGGCAAGGTGGTGGAGGTAGCGGCATCTGCTGCGGCGTTTTCGCAAGGGGCGCTCGCGGGATGGGGTTGCGAGGTCCCGGCCATGATTGGCAAAGGATGACCGGTCAGGTCACCGGGAAGACGCAGGTCGGATAGGCAATCAGCTATAGATTTGCTTCGAGTTGGGAAGCCGACAAGTCGGGCTGTCGGAGTGATTGGATTTGAAGATCGGTAGCGCTGTTATGACGCAGAGCGGTAGCCAAGGCAAGGATTGGGGTCTCGAAAAAAAAAGGCGAAAGCGCCGAGACATTCACGATTCAGGGTGGGAGCGAAAAGGTGAACAGCTGTTGTGTCTCAAAGCATAAAGAAAGTCGATTCGGGGCGCCACAGAGGGCGGGCTGGTGTTTGCCGAAGCAGGTTGCGATGGTTGTCGGGTCGGATCGCGAGAGCAGAGCCAGAAAAGCAAACAAAAGGATCAGTCAGGCTGCATGTAAGCTGTGGGCGAAGGCGGCGAGTTTGGGGGTCGGATGGCGGATGGCGGAAGAAGCGAGTAGTGTGATTATAGAGGGCGCAAAAGGATTATGGAGGAGCTGGTAGAAGAAAAAAAGAGCGACGAGGCAGCAGAGTGGCCAGAGTTTGACGAGACTGTTGAAGATGGATGGATGTGTGGCAGACGCTAACTGAAAACTGCTGTGGGCGGCGGGAATGAAGATGGAATGCGTGGTTGATTGCCAGCCGGACAGGTACCAGTGAGGCGATACAGGAGGAAGTGTTGGTGGTGTTGGTGGAAGGTGGCGATGGCAAACATGCGGAGGGGCGCAGAAGAGCTCGAGGAGGCTGATGGATGGGTGTTGAGTGGTGACGATGCAAGTTGGGGCGATGACAAGAAATCAAGAAACGAGACAGAGAGACCTTGTAATCTGTCGGCCGGCACAGCAGGGAAAAGGAAAAGGTGCCATTGCCAACCACTGCAGCCAGTTAGTTACCTTATTATTAGTAGTACTAACTAATGGGGTGGGTGTGGATGGCCACTCCCGGTTGGCTGATGGCTGATTTTAGTGGCGGTCGGCAAGCACTAGATTTTTCTCGGCCTCCGTCTGGGCAGTGAGAGTTGGGCGCCGCAAGGCGGGCCACAAGGGCCCAGAAGGGGGAGCCGGACCTCGTTCCAGTCTTGGCCCTGGACATGGTTGCCCGGCCGGGGTATGTCTTGGACTCGCTCGCTCCTTGGGAACGAACACGCAAATTTGGATATAGGCGAGGGTATCTATAAGCAAACAAATAGTGTTGTAATAATTGATTGTGCTTTATTAATACGTCGATTCTTTTTTGTTTATTTTCTTTTTTCGATTCCCTTTTCCTTTTCCTTTTCCATGTTCTTTCTGGTAAAATTGGCATCTCGTGAGCCTGCAGCGTAGTGGGCCGTCCTTTCAGGCCTCCAGGGCTCTTGAACTGTCTCATTGCAGCTAGTACATACCTAGGTACCTAACACCTAGAGCAGGCAAGAGTCTGTCTCTCCATGTCCCCTGGAAACTGCACAGACTGCCAACTGTCATGCCAGAGCTGTCGTTTGTCTGCAAGTGCAGATTGCAAGCACTTTATTTTTACGAGGCCTCGTCCCGTTCACGAACTCACCCGCCCTGGGGCAGCCACCACGACAGCCACCAACAGCCACCCATTCACTAAAGATTACCTGGAGGTACCTTGTAGTCACCCGAGCAGCCACCCTTTCATTCTTGGCCTTTCTTATTGCCCGCGGCAGGCATTCAACCCAACTTCCTTATTCGTATCTCTCAGTAACATGCCAGGTAACATCTACTGGTACTGCCTCAGGACAAGGTAACCGACCCTTGCCTTATCATGCCGCCAAAAAATTCGCCTTGTGCATCCCCTCTTTCGCCCGCCCGCTTCCCGACCCATCCAACCGCCATCAATATGCCCAACCGCCTGTCACAGCGTACAGAATACAGAGTCCATATGTAGTTACACGCGAATGAGGTTGTGAGGTAGCCCGAGACCTACACTGTACGAGGCGGGGACCACTCGCCACAGCCAATTGGCGAGTCAAGACCCCCGAGACTCAAGAGTCAAGGCGTTGTCTTGCCTTGAAAAGTCTGTTGCTAGGTTGTCCCGTATCCAAGGCCCACCTTGCGTATTGGGCCTCACTGCCCAGTGTCCACAGCCCAGCATCAAGATATGATAATGACTAATTTGTAGTTAGCAGATACATGCAGTAGCTCATCATGACCTGTCACTCATGCCGTTATTTAACTTGCAGATGAAATGAAGTATTATTTTCTATGTTTTTCTTTGGGTACTGCATGAGTTGATGAGCACACCACACCTCCATAAAAAGCAACGGCTCCCACGGGCTTGGCCAGTAGTGCACTCCACCACACTGATCGACCTCTATCGTTGCCAAGCTCGCTAATAATACATTCAGTACCTAGGCTATGTAGGTACCTAGTGCTGGTACATACATTAGTTAATACAGATACCGAGGAACCGTCTACAACACACTGCAGTATCCAATGACTGTGCAGAGCAGACGCTTCTTCACCCCGTCTCCTTGCCCCTTTATCGCCTCATTTCAAACCTGTTGATTGCCCTTCATCTTGTCCTGCCTTTAATTTGACCCTCAAGCGTTTCTGCAGAGCATAACGCCAGACTCCTTAATAGTTGGTGTCTGCGACCAAACACGAATAACACAGTGATTTATACAGCAACGCTGTCCCAGTTACCTCCAGGTTGTACGTGCCACATCACTGAAACACCACAGGGAGCCAAAACCGTGCCAAATCGCTGCCCTGTCCTGGTCATCTGTGCCTTGCAGCTCCAACGCCCACGGCCATAGCCAGGCCTTGTCTGGCACCGCTTTAAATTGCGGTGGCTTGCTTGAAACGGTCGTTGACATGCCGCTTCTGGGCAGTCCCTTCCGGCCCGTACGGGTAGCGAGTATTTACAAACAAATCCCTTAATATCGAAACATTATCGACGGCAAATGCCCACGGCTATCTCCACATAACAATCGTTCTCGATGCGTCGTGTCATCTTGCTCTCCGTCAGCCTCTAAATAGCGACACGTGCATGTTCGTATGTGCGTCCTAAAAAGCAATATTTATCTGCAAGTCCTGTGGCTTTTCTGCAATAGTCATCGCCATGGCATGGCATGGCTGCAGCCTCCTCAGGCAAAGCCACAGTATTCTTCCATCCACCGTTGCTGCGCTGGCATAGCCGACGGTGTAACCAAAAGCACATTACTATCATTCGAGTGTGTGAGTCCACGAATAACTTGTTGGCAGGCTGACGAAACTTAACAAGACGGATCTTCTACTTTCTACCAATGAACGCTCGACGATAATTCTCGTCACAACAGCTGCCTCTAGTCTGTCTGGCCCCATTTGTATAACATTCCGTCGTACATTCTTCATTAAAAAGAAGGTATGGCTAAGACACAAAACTCAGCCTAGCTCACTACTTACCTTAGTTACTCATTTTCTGGACCACTACCAATACGCCGGAGTTGCCCTGATTCTGTTTGAAATCGAGACCCTGCGGTTCACATGTAAGTGCCGGAGACGAGACACGAAAAAGTGGTGGTTTCTACCAACACCCAACGAACCACCTGGTAGCCGCGCAAGTCTATGAGGTCCGCGGATGATGGAATGCCTGAATTTCTCCATTGTAATTTCAGAGTAATATTTTGTACCATTGCTAGTCTTGTCAGTAGTTGTTAGTTTCCCTGAATACTAAATTGCATCGCTTCGCTTCCGACTGGCCAAAGCACAGCTCGTGGTTCGCGCTAAATCCAGCGCATGGGCCAGCAGTGACCGGAGTTAATTATAGACACGCTGAAAGGAAAGGAGCAGAAAATGAAGTTTTTCCCTACGAATAAGCTAACTACCAGTAATATACACCGTTCAACGGAACACTTTAGTTAGTTACTGGTGGCCGAATGCAAGCCCTGGGTAAGGGGCAATCGGCGCCGGCGCCGGGCTGAACAGTCATGCAAATCCGGCAAGCTGTGGTTGTCAAGTCTAGACTGAAGACGAGAGATCGAGGAACAGCCGGATACAGAGTGCTCGCTCGTTGCGTCTCTATTCGTAAGAATCATCTATTTTGCGCCGGTCTCATCAATCCCTTGGACTAGCAGCGGTGCACTAGTTAATCTGCTTGACCAGCGAAGCAATTTGGTGACCGAAGCCGGCGACGGGTTAGAAAGTAGCTAGACAGTGTGGCTAGTTCGGGGAAACTGTATGGAGCTCCGGGAGTTTGCAGACAAATTCACAGTATGTCGTCCATCAGAACGTTTATCCGCACAGTACAGGTACTTGCCCGTAACCCCCGCCTGCCTCGAAGCACATTTGCGCGCCCCACCATCTCTCATTGACCAGCAGATCGAGGCAAAATCCAGGACGGCCAGACCCTTTTGCAGGCGATCTCATCGCTGCCTGCATACACACATCGGCCGTGTCTCGCATCAGCGTCACCGCCATCTACCTGCCGTTGTGCCACTGCCTTGCGGTCCTTATCTCGTTCCCCGCACGCTGCAGCTGGTGGCAACTGGCAGCACACGACCATTGGGGCTGATCGTCGTCCCATTCGTTCTGCCATTCAAGCTCAGGCGTTCCTGCTCAAGTGACTCGACCTCTCGACTTCTCGACGCCGATACCACCGAAACTCGCGATTGGGAATCACCGATACCTGCCCCTGGCCTTGATCCCTCGTTTCCTGTGATACGCTGGCGGCGACAATGCATTCCGAACCGCCACGGAGGCGCTTCGCGCCCGAGCCGATTGAGACAACGTATAAATCCCACCGTACGGCACCTCCGCCGGCCCAGGGCATCCGCGTTGGTCCAAACCCCGAACTGACTCCGGAACCGTCGCCGCGTTCACTCTCCCCGGCGTCGGCATATCCTCGCATCAGACGACGCTTTGCCCCCCAGTTGATTGAAACATCAAGAAGGAGTCACCGCGTGGGAGATCCGGGTCCCGCAACACGCCCTACCGACAAGACCGACATCACTCCCTATACCAATCACATATACACCGCAAAGGCCAGATCCAAAAAAAGGCACGATGGTGTCATAGCCGAGGAGGAGACGCTGCATCGCAAGCAGCCAACTCGGAGAGAAACCGAAGAGGAGGAGGTGAAGGAATATTTACTCGAACTCGCGGCAAAGGAGGCGGAGAGGCAGATACAGGAAGACGCTCTCGCCGCGTTCCCCAACAGCCATGCCCGTGAGGGTGGTGTCGCCCATTTTTACTTCCGTGATGGCTCGAGCAGCGAGGAGTCCCCAGGCATGAGCCCGGCTGAAGACGAGCGTGGCAGGCGTCGCTTGCGAAGGAAAACGTCGAGCCTCGACTTGAATTGGTGGCAGAGGCACATGCAAGAGCATGCAGAGAAGTTGGCTTACGAGAGGGAAGATGCTGAGGAGGAAATCAACAGGTTCGAGGACATGGACATGACATCTGACTCCGAGCTGGACAAGATGGACCTAACGGTACCACCCGATGCAATGTGGACCACAAGCCGACGTGCATCGCTCGGAGACAGTCGAGATTCTGCAAGTGAGCAGGCCGAGGCAAGGAAATGGGCAGCCGCTAAGGAAAGCGAAGCCCTACATGTATTACGGGGCCCCGCCCCCGAATCGACCACCATCCACGACCAATCTCAACTTCGTGCACAGCACCACCTACAACATCAACCACTACAAAAGCAGCACGAGCAGCAGCAGGCACCGCCGCAGCAGCACCAGCAACCAGCAAATGCGTCTGCCATCCGTCGTCAGCACGATCCCTTTGGCCGCCCCTTTGCTGCCCTCGGCATACGGCCCGACGCTGCGCATTTACAGCGCATCCGCAAGTTTGTGTCGCCTCCAATGCTGGGAAAGGAGCTCAACTTTCGCAAGTGCCCCTCGCCCAAGCAAACGAAGCTCGAGACAGACCACTCGTTTGTCCTCTCACAAAATGCAAAACAGGATCGGGACTTGTCGGGCAAAGGTGGCCTGTGGAGGGGCTACTGCTGCAGGTCGGAATCCACCGGCGGCTACCTGGTCCCGGCGGAGCTGCACCCGCCAGCCATGATGGCGACGCCGCGGACGCCGGGAACTCCCAAGGAGTTATTCGTGCACGAAGTCGACTGCGTCTTAGCAGTGACCGACGAACCCGCACATCTCTGGGATGCCGCCGCTGCTGCGGAGTCGGCCGGCGCCAGCGGCAACGGCAGCCTGCCCGGGACGTGCGCACCCGCCCCCGCCCCGGGGACAGCCGAGCGCCGGCTCCGCAGCGGCGCGCCCAAGGGCCTGCACATGCTGCATGGGCTCGATGAGCGGCTGCAGCAGGAAAAGGCGCGCGCCGAGCGCGACGACAAGATTGCGCTCGAATTTGGCGACGAGTTCGTCACGCAGGTGTACAACTACCTGTCGCTGGGATACCCGGCCATGGCGCGCTCCTTTGACGAGGAGCTGGCCAAGATTAGCCGCGTCAGCGTCGCGGAGCTGTGCCGTGACGACGACCAGCAGCTCGCCAAGGGCCACATGCTCGAGATGCGCCTCGACGACGAGACGCCCGAGGAGGCGCGCTGCCCGCGCTGGAGGGCCCTGCGCGTGTACATTCTTGAGTGGGCAAGGCAGCACCCGGACCTCGACAACTTGAACCCCCTGGCGTGGGGCGTCCACGAGCGGCGAGGCAGCTGGGCCATCTAACAAATGTGCTTAGCAACGGGGATCCAGCCAGGCAAAAGGTAGAGACGTTGCACTCCTCCGTTTCTACAGTCTTTGCCTTTTATCATTACGCAACCTCCTACCGTATATATATATATATATCGTCACAGTCTTCATCGGCTTCATCAGCTTCATCAGCGCACACTATTCTTACTCTCTCCTTTTTTTTTGCATGGGCTGGCGCAGACACAGCAGGTTTCTGAAACGTCAAGACCCTTCCTTCATGGAACAGGCGTCGTTGTTTTTCCATACAAGTTGTTGTTGGATTTTTTTTGGTTTGTTTCTAGAGCGCGCATTCTAAATCTATATAATCTTTTTATTATGCCACACCGTTATATTACTTTGAATCTTAAAAACCCTACCTCACGCCGAGCTCCGCGCGAGTCAGCATGTCATCATTCCTCGATGCGCGGACGTTGCAAAACGGTGGACTGCGTTGGTGCGGATAAAATCATCAAAATGTATTCTTTTTCTACCCAACGCCAGTAAATATGTGTTGGAGCAACGAGATAGTAGCATCCAATCTCCCCACACTTCCCTGTTCGACATGGTACAATGATGCTCTGCCAATACATGGATAAGAAATATGACACCGTCCTCTTCTGCCGTCCCCTAGAAGCCAGTCCCTGGGATTCGTCTCCCTCGCTCCCTACCCTCTCCGTCTGAGTTCATGATACCGTTGCCCTGTCTACTTTCCAATTAGGGTTTGCATTTTCTTTTGTAATTTTTGTTTCCGGGTTTCAATTGTCTCTTCTTCTTGTCTACTTGCGCTTCGTGAAGAAGTTGGCGACTTTTTGTAGCTTTGAGGGCGGCGCGGGCTCGGCATCGCTCTCTTCATCCTCGCCCATGGACTCGTCCACGTCGTCATGGTCCACCTCATCCTCGTCCAGCGACTCCTCAGCCGCAACGTCGTCGTCCTCCTCCTCGGCCTCGGATTCATCGTCGTCGTCGTCGTCCGAGTCGGGAATGGCGCCGTTGGTCATGTGCGCGTCCTCGTCGGCGGCGCCGTTGGCCAGCCTGCTCCCCGTCTCGCCCTCGACCCAGATGACGTCCTCGTCGGACCCGTCATCCTCGCCATCGCCGCCGCCCTGCTTCGCCGCGGCAGCGCCGCCGCGCTTCATCTTGCGACGGAGCTCCATCTGGCCCTCGAGCAGGTCGAGCTTGCCCTTGAGCGCGAGCAGGCTGTTGAGACCCTTGGAGCGCTCGGACAGCACCTTTTGCAGGCCGCTGAGGCTCTGGATGACCTTGGGCTGCGACGATAGCGCGCCGCCGTGTGCGATGAGCGTCCACTTAACCCAGATCATGAGGTTGCCAGCGCGGCCGGGTCTCCGGTGCAGACGGGCGGCTAGCTTGTTGAGCAGGATGCCGGCGAGGCTGCTGTCGATGCGCTCTATCGTATTCCGGATGGTCGTCAAGTCGGTCGTGTGCAGGCACGATTCGAGCAGGTCCGTGTCGTCGGTCTTGAGCGCTTGCGTCAGAACGGTGGTGAGAGACTGGAGGGAGGGCGGCGCAATAGCGGTGCGTGACGGCTGCACGGCTGTGCTTGTGACGGCTTGTTGGAGCAGGCTAGAGACATCAATGACCTCGTTGCCGCGCAGAAGTTCGCCAAATGTGGGCGACTCTTCTTCGGCGTCTGACCCAGCGTCATTGCTGTCGTTGGCGGCGGCTGTGGAACTTTCCTTGGTAAGCTTGTCGCTGGGAACCCCGGCGATCTTCTTGGTGCCGTTCACTTCCTTCGGGGCACCTTCATCCTCTGACGTGTACACGCTTGGCTCATTTGAAGAGATCTCTATCGTCTCAGGATGTGAGCTCTGCAGCGCGTCTGTGTCGGCAACTGACGTGTGTGACTCGTCAATTGTGTTCTTTGAGGAGATATTGGCGCTCTTTTTTGCAACTGGGGCAGCCAGCTTTGCCGGAGCTTTGCGTTTGGTCGACATGGGCATGAGGCACGAGGCAACAGACAGGTTGCAAGCGGCCAGAAATATAGGAAGAGAATATGGCCTCGTGGATAAGTATGCAGCCGATTAAAGGAATATAAGACGATGATGGGAATCTCGTAAGACAAGTGATGTGCAGACAAGTATCTTAAGGCTTTCGCTGTTGGGAAATTTTCCTCAGGCCGTGGTCTGGTGAACTTTTTTTGAGGCGGGCTAGCCAAACTTGCGGCGACAAGTGCCAGAAAAAAAATCGCCCTTACTTAAGCCACTGTTATCTAACTTATCTTATCGGGCGGTTCCGGTTTTTGGGTTAATAAAGTGGAAGGTTGAATATCACGTGATATTTGAGGAAGTCAACACTTATTACTTGACTGAAAAGACGGCTGACTGCAAAACCCACTTCAGGCGCCATAGTAGGCTACCCGCAAGCTGCATGCCATTGTTAACTGGTGCTTCTTTGCACTCCTTACTACGAGGTGCATGTAAAAGGACCATGACTTACGTGAAGAAACATCCGTTTTCATCTGAGTCACCTGATTGGCAGTGTCCGAACGTTTGCGCCACAGCTAGTGGCTCAAGTGTGGCGTGCGGTAATTTCATAATACCCCCTAATACGGGCCCCGCTATAGCGATATTTCCCATTTAAAGGAGAGAGCGGCCCAGGACCATTAAAGACAACGCGGTCCATGGCCGCGGAGCATGGCCACAGTCCACTATCCGCAGCCTGCAACTCATCTGCGACCCGGCCTATGTCTTCCGTCTTTCTGTACAGAGGGCACCCTAGCAGGCAATTGGCCTTTTATTTATACTCGTGCGCTCGGCGGTCGGGTTGACGAATTCGGGGACGGGACAATGGCATGAGACGAGAGTGTGTGAACGTGGTATCAAGTCTGGCGCATAAGGTAGTCGTAACTAGATGACGGCACAGCTGCTGAGGACATTTGGTTGTAACACAGTCGCACAGTAACGGTGCACTTCTCGAAGGGTTGATAGATGCCGCATCGCCCAGGTTCATCTCTGTGTCGCCTCCCGGTCCAATGCATCTCATCTGGCTACGCGATCCGAGCTCTTGGGAGCTGCGCAGGGACGTGGGACAGCGAGAAGCAATTGGCAGACGCCAGGATGTCGTGTGGATGTAGTGGTACAACATGCGAAGTTACACATACCCGCGGGCGACGGGAGAACAGAGACTGTTGCCAATCGGGATAGGTGCAGATGTAGGTTTTCAGTGTTGCCTCGCTTGGAAGGCGTCAGAAGGCGTCAGAAGACGGTTTTGATGAGAGGAGGTTATAGCAGAATAAGTTGCTGTCATACAGTGGAGGAGGAAGCTGTATCATTGCACTAATAAATGGAAGCTACAGTGCAGGCGGTGCCTTTCTAATTATTGAGGTTAGCCACAGAAGGGCTTGGGAGTAAATACACGCCCTTGCTAGTGGGCCATTTGGAGAATCTAGCCAATTAAATATGGTTCACGTAAGTGGGAGGCTGGCGTTTTCAGTCGCACTAGCCACATTTGCTAATCTTTTTGGTCTGGCTCGACCAAGTCCAATTTACACTCCCCCAGCATTTGCCACCCCGCTAGAGGCATGCCTGTCCCACCAAATCTTGTTTCTCTCATAAATACCAAGCGCGTCCGGCTGACAAAAAAAGACTGACGTGCACGCGCTTTCTCTTTCAGACCCTCCGCGCGACTCCGTCTTGAATATATTTTGTACAGCCCCATATCCAGCAACATACTTCCTTCTGAATCCTGCCTGCTTCTCTACCCACTCTATCTACTATGGCAACGCTAATCATCGTTCTTGACACAAATTAATCCTCCTATACGCCTCAATCCCATCGATCGCACCTAACCCTTGAACCACACGACCCGATTTTTGCTCCCATCGCCAGGGCTGCATTTGCGCCAACTCCTCTTCGTCGTCGCATTCGCCGGGCAACATAATCCCATCGCCCCTTTGCGCGCGATTTCGCAGTTTGCGTGCGCCTATTTCGTCGAATCGCGATTTGCGCCGGGATTTTGTTCAGCGCGGCTGCGTTGTTTGCCTCCAGCTCCCTCACTTTCGCATTCCGTTTGCGCCACCACCTCCAACAGCAACACCACCTCGTGCACAGCGTGCAGTGGCACTTCGCACAGCCTCACTTCATCGCCTCCGCTCTACGCCTATATATTTAATGCCGAGCCGATCCTATTGACCACCATCCACACACTGCGCATTTCTGCAAAGCGCGCCCATCGCGAATCCTCACCATGGAGTGGCCCAAGTCCGACGCACCACCGACAGCTGCGGCACCTGTTTCAGAGAACAAGCCACCGGCCTCCCCATCGCAACCCGAACAAAAGCGCGATAGCAATGGGTAAGTGCACCTGCTCTGACTTTCGACGGCGTCAACAATGCGCTCAAGCGTCATCACGTTCATTGTGCTCATTCAATGTCATGCGCACAGTTTCACAGCCACCGGATCATCACCGAAGCCTGCGGAATCCATCTCTGAGCCTTCTGCCACGACGACTGCCGCCGCCCCCGTCGAGCCTACATCCACAGCATCCGCACCGGTCGTCAACGGGAGTTCTTCCTCTTCCGAACATAACGGCGCCAACGGCATTTCTCAGGCCACTGAACCTTCACCCGAGAAGCCTGCCCCCAATGAGGTCATCGAAAGCGCGGCGTCCCCTCAACATGCCGAAGACAAGCTCGCTGCTCTATCCTCGACAGCAACAACGTCAGCTCCTGCTCGCGAGCTTGCTGAGATGAGCGCGGAGAAGACCCCTCCTAGGCCTGTTGCCCAGGGGAGCGCGCCAGAAGCCTTCAACGAAGCTGCCCAGGGGGCTCTTGGAGAACCCAAGGAGGAAGTCAAAGAGGAGGTCAAGGAGGAGGCAAAGGAAGAGGTCACGACGGAGTCCAATGACGTAGCTAAGCCGGTACCAAGCCTCGAGACTGAAGACGTGAAGATGGAGGAGCCCCCTCTAGTCGAAAAGCTTTCAGCCGAGCCCGTGCCAGTTGAACCGAGCCCCGCTCTCTCCGCTTCAAAGGAGGCGTCAGCCGCCGAGCCCGCCAAGACAACAGGCCACGAAGATATCAAAATGGAAGACGCATCCCAGGGCTCTTCCGCTACTGCCCAGGCTCCTAAGCAGCCTCCTTCTCTGCAACCACAGGATAGCGCTGCTCTGCCCACATCTGAGGTTGACCTTCAACCTGCCAGTATGTCGCAGCTCAACATCGAGACCCAGCCCGACACATCTCCAATCGTCGAGTCGGTCGAAGTCTCTATGAGCGACGCGCCAGTAGCCAAGGTCGCACGCGAGCGCGAGGATGACGGTGCCGATGATGAGCCTGTCGCGAAGCGTGCCAGAACTGAGCCCGAAGAAGACAAACCCATGGCTGACCAACCAGATCAGTCCACCGTGGCTGCGGCTCCTCCTGATGAGTCTGCACCAGTGGATCAAGTCCAAAGCCTAGACACGCTACCGAACTGGAACGATTCCGAAGCTAACGGAAGAACCTTCAGTCCCTACCAGCGCCGTGAAGTTCGCAAGACGATCGGCAGACTGAAGAAAACAAAGGCCGGCGGACACTTTCGCGATGCTGTTGTTAAGCTTTGGCCACAACTACGCGAGGCTTACCTTGCCCGGATTGAGAAACCCATGGATCTCTCCGAGCTCGACCGCAATGTTCGCGAGGCCGAGGGCCCGTATGCGACTTTTGGGGACTTCAAGAATGCCGCTTCTCTCATCTACCTCAATACACTCAACTTCAATGGCCCGACGCATGATGTTACCTTTGCCTCTTTCACCGTTGTCAAGGCACTCTGGGAAGAGCTGCTCGCTGCCCCTGCTGAGGAGCCACCCAAGCCCAAAGCCATACCCAAGGCCAAGCCTGTCCGGGAATCTCGCGCCGTCGCCATTGCCGAAGCGCCCGTCGCGCGCCGCATGTCTACCGGACCTCGAGGTAGTCCCTCGACGGATGCAGATGCCAAGTCGGCTGCGGGCGATCGTCGCGGCTCTACCGCCACCGAGGGTGATCGCCCGAAGCGCACAGTTCGGGCCCCCAAGCCCAAGGATATCGACTACACAACTAAACCTTCACGGAAGAAGCTTAAGCCGGAGCTGCAGTTTGCGATGGAAGTCCTCGGCGAGGTTATGCATCCCAAATATGAGCAGCTCAACATGTGGTTCCTCGAGCCTGTGGATGCGGAGGGCTTGAATATTCCGGATTACTACTCGATCATTAAAAAGCCCATGGACCTAGGCAAGGTTTCCGCGATGCTTTCTGGTGGTGACTTTTCTAACCTCAAGGAGTTCGACAAGCATGTGCGACTTGTGTTCGAGAACTGCTACAGCTTCAATGGTCCTCCCAACCAAGGAAACCCTGTTTCCCAGCGAGCTGCCGAGCTGGAAAACATCTACACCTCACAGATGAAGAACAAGGATTCTTGGCTAGCCAAATTCGCCAAGGCAAACGCGCCTACATCTGCCGACGTCAGTGACGAGGAAGACGAGGACGAAGACGCTGACGACGTTGCCTTTGCTGAGGATAATTCTAAGGAAATACAGGAGCTCCAGGCCAAGCTGGACGAGGAAACCAAAAAATTACACGCCATGTTTGTCCCCGGGGCCAATCAGTCTATGATTGACATTCAAAAGGGCATAGTTGATATGGTACAGCAAGCTCTCATCAAGGCCGTTGCTAGCGCAGGCGAAGTCCAGCCCAAGAACGACAAGGCCAAAAAGCCCAAAGGATCAAAGAGCAAGGGTGCCGGTGCACGAAAATCTACGGGCGGATTGCCAGCTAAGAAGGCCGGTGGCGGAAAGAAGGGTGCAGCCAAGAAAAGCTTGACAGCAGCCGATAAGGATCATATTGCCAACGCCATCAACGACCTGGAGATGCCTCACCTGGATCGTGCCATCGACATCATCAAGAGGGACACTGGTCAAAACGAGAACACAGACGGCGAGCTTGAGCTCGACATTGACCAGCTCAGCAATGATGCTCTCCTGAAGCTCTGGGAACTGTGCAAAAAGGTTCTGCCTGGCTTCGCCAAGGACACGACAAACACGGCACCCCCACCTGAGCCCGTCCGCCCTTCAAAGCCCAAGCCATCTGCAGGCAAAACCAAGAAGAACAAGCCGATGAGCGCATCAGAGCAAGAAGCCAGGATTAAGCAGTTGACGGCTCTTGCACAGGTGTACAAGGACGGTTCTGGTGGGCCTACTCTTGCCGCTCAGGATGGAAATGCGCACTCGCCGGGACCTGCGGACTCGAGCGATGATTCAGATTCGGAAGAGGAATGATGCAACAACCTATCAGTTGGGCGCTGAAGCGTTTTCGCATTGTATGAGTAAGACAAGGTTATGAGAAATGGGATTTACACACGAGTTACCGTTGCGAGGAAGAAAAGTTTCTAGCATCTATGGTTCTTGCTTTTTTTTTTCTCTCGACTATTGTGCGGGGAAGGGACAGATTCCTTCAAGCCCCTTGCAGGTAGTGGCGAACGAGGCAACGGCCGTCGGGCCTTGGCTAGATTCCCGCGAGGGAATTTTGCTTCATCGGAGTCGGGAAGAAAGGTATGCTGGCCTCGGACAGGCGCACCGGAGTTTTTGGCATCTGATGGTGCACTTCTTTTTTCGGTTGGATTTAAACGATTGGAACGAGAGGTCTCTTTGTTTCTTTCCTTTTTTTTTTTCAGGCGCGCGCGCGTTTTATAGTGGCAAGATTCTGTCTAATTCGTTGCTGGTTGCAACAAATAGTAAGTGGCCGTTGAGGCTGCGGAGATGCATAGGCAAAATATTTACGCCTCTAGATGCGGACTACACCTCTATCCCACCCTCTCTAGTGACCATCCCAAGTACCAACCTCGAGCAGATTGAAGCCGAGGTCATGTCTCGTGAGCGTTGGTGGGCATGGGCAGCCTCCTACGTAACCTGTTGCATATCTCGACGTAGCGCTCCTCGGTCTCGGGGGTGATCAGACCGTGGCGGATGAAGAAGTCGATCATGACGGGGCACACGTTGGGCTTGAACTCGCCCGCGCGCATGCGGCGCAGGACCCCCTGCCAGTCCATCAGGACGAACTCGTCCACCTCGTCGTCGTCGCCCGGCTGGGGCACCAACCCGAGCTCGCTTGCCGCGCCCCCCGGCGGCGGCGACAGGTCCAAATCGTAGACGTACAAGATCTCGCCGTGGACCAGCTCCGTTCGCGGGTTGCGGTTCGCGAGGGTGACGACGCCGGCGGCGCGTAACCGCGGCTTGACGACCTCGGGCGGCAGGCGCGCCTCCTCCTCGGCCTCGGCGAGGACGCAGTCGAGCGGGGCGTCGTCGGCCTTGACGCCACCGGCGACGGTGCTGTCCAGCATGCCGGGGAAGGTGCGCAGGGCGGCGGCGCGGCGGGCGACCCAGAGGTGGGTGATGGCGGCGGTGGTCGGGTCCCGCACGTAGGCGGTCAGGTGGGCGCCGCGGGTGTTGATGCCGAACAGCGAGGCGGCGAAGCGCTCGACGCGGAGAGGCGGGGTGCTTTGGATGCCGGGGATGCGAAAGTGCTCGCTGTGCATGCCGCCGCTGAGCGTGGGGAAGACGGTAGGGTCAGTGGTGGCGAGGGCGAGGGCGGCGTCGACGGCGGCTTGCAGCGCAGAGTTGGGATCGCCGCCGGGGACGAGGCTGACCCGGGCGGCGGCGTGGTCGACGGCGAAGAGACCGGGAGGCCAGGGGAGGCGCGAGACGGTGGAGGGGTGGATGAAGCCGTGCGGGCGGGGGTCGGGCGGCAGGAGGAACTTGTAGTAGGGGGCGTGGTTGGTGGCGAAGTTGAGGGGGAGGCTGGTGGTGAACGGAAGGGTTAGGAGCGGCTTGATTGGTGATGGGGAGGGAACTGGAGGGCTCTGTTCTCTCACTTGTCAACTTTGGTGATGAGGTCGAGGAGAGATGGGAGAGACTCCCCGTCGGTGGAGGCTGCCATGATTTGTGCGAGTTTCGTTTAGTGTGTGGTGTGTGAGGAAACCGCGCAGGGTCGAGGGCGACAGGCTTGCGGACGACAGGGTCGTAGGATGAGGGTGGTATGGGGTTGGTCGAACGGATGTTGGTTGGCGAGCGAGCAGATGCGAAGATAGAGAGGTAGAGAGGTTCGGTGTGGTTTTGGAGGCTCCACCACCTCTATGTACAACCGGCTATCACCATATTCTCATCCATAGTCCAATCAAAGCCGGAGGGTCAGAACGTTTAGATGAGCAGACTCTACAATAGCAACATTTAATGCGTTTCTTCTTCTTTCTTCCCTCTTTATCCAGCACAATTTTCAATGACATCTACATGCCATATCCCGTCTCGTTGCAGCTGACTTGATTCGTATGTACCTGAGAGCCCTCCTTCCTCAAGTAGCGCCGCCGGGCCGGTGTGGCGTCGCCGGACCGCCAGGTGCCAGCTGTCTTTTTGTTTGTCTCTCCAGCCGGCAGTGATTATGGGAATCGGAAACTACAAACAGAAAACAGCCGGTTCAGGCAAGGCTAAAATATGCCTCTTTTTTACACTCACCTCATCTCGCCGTCGTCCCATCCTGAGCTACTTTTGCACGCGATACATTCCGACCAGCTGATGATACGGGTGTGGCAGAACCATGTGAGCGCTAATGGGAACGCCCGCCACCATGTCACCGTCCTGCTGCTGAGCCTGCCGCACCTCTCATCATTTTCCGACCTTCTTTGCTTGGCACCGTTGAAACGTGAGATCCTGTGTTCATACATGTTATCCTCCATTCTTTGCTCACCTACTGTCTCGCGGGCACTTTCCATCTACAGCGTCATGTGCAGTAGCAGAATACAAGATGAGTGGGTGTGAAGGCGATGCAACATGACCGCCGCATTCCTGTCGTGCTGAGCCTATTGGAGTGTATAAGATGGGATGAAGTAGCTATTATTTTTGAGAATTTTATTTTCTTGTCTCACTCTGTGTCTCCCTGTTGCTTTTTGTATATACCTCTTGTGTCTTGCTATCCTCACCAACAATAACGGCATCATGGTCGGCATAGCGGCCTTGTCCCTCCTCGGCAGCCTATCCTTGGCCACCGCCTCTCTCTTACCCTTCCGGGCCGGCCCGAGGACGATCCCCGGGGCCTACATCATCGAATACGAAGACGGTCACGTATGTTCATGTGCACGACTAACCAACCAGAACCCCCCTTCCCGCTTACACCGAACCGTAGAATGTCACCACCGTCGCCGCTACCATGGGCGCGAACTTGAACCATGTCCGCGTTCACATTGACTCTGAGAGCTTCCGCGGTGTGTCCGTCCAGCTCAACGTCGCTGCCAACCTCACCGCCGACGCCGGGCTAGACGCGGTGGCCCACAGCCTGTCCGGCACCGGTGCCGCCAAGAACATCTGGCCCGTGTACGCCTACGACCGGCCCGACCTCAACGTCACCGAGATCGCGCCGTCCAGTCGCGGCGGCGTCCTCGATGACCCCGACACGTTCGCGCCGCACGTCATGATGCAGGTCGACCGGCTGCGCGCGCAGGGCTTCGACGGCGCTGGCGTCAAGCTCGCTGCCATCGACTCCGGTGTAAGTCCATCCCCCCCCCCCTCTCTCCGCACCGGGCCAACCCACAAAACTCAACTCATGCCTGTCAAAACAATAGGTCGACTACAAACATCCCGCGCTCGGCGGCTGCTTCGGTCCCGGCTGCAAGGTCTCCTTCGGCTACGACCTCGTCGGCGACGCTTTCAACGGCGGCAACCAGCCGCATCCCGACCCGGACCCCATGGACTGCGGCTCCCACGGCACCCACGTCTCCGGCATCCTCGCCGCCGGCCCCAACTCCGCGGGCTTCACCGGCGTCGCCCCGGGCCTCACCCTCGGCATGTACCGGGTGTTTGGGTGCTCCGGCGGCACCGGCACCGACATCTTGATGGCGGCCGCCGCGCGCGCCGCGCGCGACGGCGCGCAAATCATCAGCTGCTCCGTCGGCGGCGCCCACGGCTGGTCCGACGACGCCTTCTCGGTGCTCCTCGGGCGCCTCGCGGATCAGCGGGGCATCGTGTCCGCCGTGGCAGCCAGCAACGACGGCGACCGGGGCGCGTTCTTCCCGTCCGGGTCGGCCGCCGCCGGCAGCGTCAACGCCATCGCCTCGGCGGACCTGTCCGGCGCCCCGAGCGCCTTCTCCTCCTGGGGCCCGACCATGGAGATGGCGCTGAAGCCGCAGTTTGCCGGCCCCGGACGCGGCATCCTCTCGACGCTGCCGGGGGGCAAGTACGGCCGCGCGTCGGGCACGTCCATGTCGACGCCGATGGTCGCGGGCGTGATGGCGCTGCTGACGCAGGCGCTGGGGAGGGTGAGTCCGGCGCGCATGCGGCAGCTGCTGTCCGGCAACGCCAAGCCGCTGCCGTTCAGCAACGGGTCCGGCATTGACAGCGGCACGCTCGCGCCGGTCCCCCAGCAGGGCGGCGGCCTCGTGCAGGCCGCGGACGCGCTCGCCAGCCGGGCGCTCGTCCTGTCCCCCGCGAGCCTGTCCTTCAACGACACGGAGCACGCCAACGCCAACATGCGAGTCACCGTCACCAACGCCGGCAACGACACCGTCTCCTACCAGCTGTTCGTGCGGCCGGCCGTGTCGGTGTACGTGCTGCCCGCCGGCGGCAGCCCGTACCCGTCGCGGTTCCCCAACGACCGGGTCGCCGGCGGCACGTCCGGCGTGCTCAGCGCCAGCGTCACCGAGTTCACCCTCGCGGCCGGGCAGACGCAGGTGCTGCACGTGTCCGCCGCGCCGCCGGCCGCCGGCATCGACACGTCGCGCCTCGCGCTGTGGTCCGGCTTCCTGTCCGTCCGCGGCAGCGACGCCTCCCTCGCGTCGATCCCGTACCAGGGCCTCGCCGGCTCGCTGCGCGGCGCGACGACCCTCCCGGCCAACGGGACCTCCGTGTCGCGCGGCAACGACCAGAGTCACAAGCCCGTGCCCGCAAACTCCGAGTTTGTGCTGCCCAAGCCGGGCACGGCGAGGTCCAGCGACGACGTCCCGCTGGTCATCGCCGACCTGGCGCTCGGCACGACGACGATCACCGGCGCGGTGGTGGACGCGGCGTCGGGGTCGGTCGTGGGTGACTTCCCGGGCGTGCCGTACTACATGATCACCCGCGGCGCCGGCTTCGGCTTCTTCTGGGACGGCGAGCTCGCAAACGGCTCGTACGCAGCCGCGGGCACGTACAAGCTGCGCGTCAAGGCCCTGCGCATCTTTGGCGATGCGGCAAACGGCCGTGACTGGGACACTAGCGATACTGTGCCCATACATATTTCCTATAAGCAATAGAGATGTCCGTCTTTGCTGCTCTTCTTTGAGTTTGGATTCTTACTGTTACTATTATTCTTCTACATATTAGCGTACATCATGCCGAGTGCACGGCTCCCAACAACCACATACATATCCAAGACTTTCACTAGCATAACAAGGAACGGCAATGGTCTAAGAACAAAGTAAATATCCATTGGAGCATCAAAACGCATAATAAGAGTAGTAACTCCGTCTAATCAACCTATAACTACAACAAGCGAAATGTGGGAATCAAAGCGTGGCCCCCTGCCACACCTCACGGTTCCAAACCCAGGTTCCGAACTTGACGATGCAACATGTACTTTTTTCTTTAGTATACACGCTTGAAGGGAGGAACGGGTTTGCACTCGGCCTCATCCAGCGTCGTGGAGATGACGCCACGGTACGTCAGGTCGACCTTGCCGTGGGGGGTCTTCTGGAAGGACAGAGTGTGCTTCATCCATTCCTTGTCGTCGCGGTCGGGGTAGTCCTCGCGGGCGTGGGCACCACGGGACTCCTTGCGGGCGGCGGCAGCGGTGGCGGTTTGGATACTAGAAAAACCAGGTTAGTCGGGATGATGGTGCATTGAAATGAAGAAGAGGGTGACATACGCGCAAGTGAGTAGGTTGCGGAGCTCGAGAGTCTCAACAAGATCCGAGTTCCAGATCATGCTGCGGTCCTTGATACCGACGTCCTTGTAGGTGGCGTCAATCTCGTTCATCTTGCGCACACCCTCGTCCAGGGACTCCTGGGTACGGAAGACGGAGACCTCAGTCTGCATAGCCTTCTGCATAGCAAGACGAATCTCAGCAGTAGACTTGGGGCCGTCGGCATTGCGGACCTGATCGAGGACCTCAATGTGCTCAGCACCAGCATCGGCAGCCAGAGGCTTGAGCTTGTCGCCGGGTTTGAAGTTGTCGCGGATGGTGTGCGAGACAGCACGGCCGAAGACGACAAGATCGAGGAGAGAGTTGGCACCGAGACGGTTGGCACCGTGGACAGAGACGGAGGCGGCTTCACCGCAGGCGAAGAGACCGGGGACAACCTGGTCCTGGCCCTTGTCGTCGACAGTGAGGACCTCACCAGTGTAGCGAGTGGGGATACCACCCATGTTGTAGTGGACGGTGGGAAGAACGGGAATGGGCTGCTTGCGAACGTCGACACCAGCAAAGATACCAGCAGTCTCAGAGATACCGGGCAGACGCTCGGCGAGAATCTCGGCAGGCAGATGGCTGAGCTGGAGGTAGATGTGGTCCTTTTCAGCACCAACACCACGGCCATCACGGATTTCCATGGTCATGGAACGAGAGACGACGTCGCGAGAGGCCAGATCCTTGGCGGTAGGGGCGTAACGCTCCATGAAACGCTCACCCTCAGAGTTGAGAAGGTAACCACCCTCACCACGAGCACCTTCCGTGATCAGGCAGCCGGCACCGTAGATACCAGTAGGGTGGAACTGAACGAATTCCAGATCCTGGTTGGGAAGACCAGCACGAGCAGCCATAGCCATACCGTCACCAGTGCAGGTGTGGGCAGAAGTGCAACTGAAGTAGGCACGGCCGTATCCACCAGTGGCGAGAACAGTGTTGTTGGCAAGGAATCGGTGGAGAGTTCCGTCCTCCTGGTTGTAGGCGAGAACACCGCGGCATTCACCGTCCTGCATGATCAGGTCGAGGGCAAAGTATTCGATGAAGTAGTTGGTGTTGTGGGCGAGGGACTGGCCGTAAAGGGTGTGGAGAAGAGCGTGGCCGGTACGGTCAGCAGCGGCGCAGCATCGGTAGGCCTGACCACCCTTGCCGAACTTCTGGGATTGACCACCGAAAGCACGCTGGTAGCTGTATGGGAATTGTGTTAGCTTGGCGCGGCGAGCGGAGGCGCGATTGGGCAATTCTTCACTCACATCTTGCCCTCCTCGGTACGGGAGAAGGGGCAGCCGTAGTGCTCGAGCTCGATAATGGAGGCGGGAGCCTCTCGGGTCATGTAGTGAATGGCGTCCTGGTCACCGAGCCAGTCGGAGCCCTTGACGGTGTCGTACATGTGCCATCTCCAGTCGTCCTCGTGCATGTTTCCGAGCGCGGCATTAATACCACCCTGGGCAGCGACGGTGTGCGAACGCGTGGGGAAGAGCTTGGAGATACAGGCAGTGTTGAAGCCAGCCTCGGCGAGACCAAAGGCGGCACGGAGACCGGCACCGCCAGCACCAACAACGATGGCATCGTACTCGTGGTCCTAATCGAGAGTCAATGATGCATTCCAGCGCATAGCCTTTGAAGCGTTACGCTTCGGGTGCACGCACGATGACGGGGTACTTGTTGCTAACGAAGGGAGAAGCCTCCTTGGCGCGCAGGGGACCGTTGGCGATGACGCGAGCTGCAGAATTGAGTTGTCAGCATGATGTTTTCGCGATTGTCGGGGGCACCGTCACGACAGCTACTCACCGGCCGGGCGCGTGGTGGAAAATGCTCTGGCTTGCGCCTGCGAGAACTAGAGGGCGAAAACAAGTCAGCGACAAGGCAATGGCCGGTCGGAAAAAAGATCTCGGGGTTGAAATGAATCGAATGCGCAACGCTACGGATAGCAATGGCTCGCGACAGCTCTACGCTGGCAGCGGTGGCCAGGCCAAGGTAGCCGAGGTTATGGAGAGTTGAGGTTGAGAGGGCAGTACGCACCGCAGCAGGCCGAGAGGCCAATCTCCTCAGTAAAGAAGCCATTGTCGTCGCAAGTATCAATGACCGGACTGCATATGCTACCGGAGGATGGAGATGAAGACGGTAGAGGGGAGATTGTGTGTCGACAAACGATGCTGGTTGCACGTGTGGTGGTGGTCGGGTTGAGGAGGCACTTCGTGACGGGAAGAATTATGGAGTATTTTTCGCGGTCGGCCAGCAGTCTTACTGGGCCAGCAGGCCATCCGGAACTCTCGGCCAATCACAGCCAGCTAATGGTAAGCAGTGGACACGGCTAGCCAGCTTCACTGGCCGACCATTCCCGGCCTGTGAGAAGAAGCCGACTAAATCGGCGAGAGGATGCGGCGACGTGATGATTTTGGTAAATGCTGCCAATTCTTCTGCCGCGACGCGGTGTAATTTATTGCAGTCTTGCAGTGCCCGCCGTCATCATACTACATTGGTGCTATATCGATCGGTGTGTTTACCAGTGCCGTTGATCTGGTCCGGCCGGCAGCGCCGCCTTGTGTGGCAACGAGCTGCACAAGGTAGTATACGGATCGGATGTTCAAACCAAGCCATTGGATGTACAGGTAATAGCAAACAAGGTAGAGGCCATCGTTAAGCTCAATTGCGAATTCAGCCGTGAGCCAGAGAACTCTTTTGTCTGTCCTCCCTTCATCATCTTTGCCACAGAAATTATGTTACAATCGAGAGACAATTTTTATGCCATTTATGAAAGTTATGCAGCGGCCCAGTTTCTGCATGTGATACCACGGAGTAGTATCTGGGGAACCAAGGACCTGGGGTCTCAAGTCCTCTTTGCCTCCTGCATTAGCGCCAAGGCTCGGTATAAACTCATCTCCTCTTCATATTCTTTTCTTCTTGATTTTAGGACTTTATTTACCATTGCAATTTTATTTCCTAGCAATGCTGTCAAGATTGTTTTATGCCCTAGTCGCAATGTACTCGTCGTAGCGCTTCTACAGAGTACTATCTTGATTAGATTGATCTATGCGTGCTCGAGAGAGGATCTGGGATAACCAAACAGAATCAGAAAAACTAAAAAGAAAAGGGGAAATACACAGCGAAATGAAATATCGTGTGTCCTTTGATTTGTCAACGTATTTCTTGTTTGCATCGCCCTGCAGCCATTAGGTAAAGGTCCGCCTTGGAGCCTACCTACTGTATATCATCACCTAGCCCGCACCACTACGGCAGTAGATAGGCATCACTAACAGCCCCGGAAACGTGCTAGTTGATGTGCACTTCCATCCGATATCCGAATAAATGTCGGGCAATTCTATTTACGGCTTTGGGCGCCGATTCCGTCGCCGTACTTGTCGGACGGAGGATTTTGCCCCGGTACGTGAAGGGCAGACATGCACTGTCAATCGTACGATGCTCCGCGTCTGGCGGCACCATGAGCTCGATGCAACCAGGCTACAACTCCCATTCGAAGACTCCTGATCATCTGCCTACTCGGATGTATCCCAAAATGGTAAAATAGACGACTTTAATCGAACATGTAAATCCAGGTATATATGCCGAACTATGTACTCGCTTACGTCCGACTATTGCCACCAGCCTTTCTCCCCAGCCCATTTATAAACCAGGCTGTCCCGCCACTCCCGTCTCATCACCAGTCCCATCTCCCTTTTCACTGCCCACAGCTCCAACCTCACCCATGGCAGACCCTTCCTACTCGCGGCTGCTCACCAGCTGCCAGCAGTTCATCACCGACTTCTTCCAGCGGCGGCCGTTCCTCGCCACCTCGGCCGTGGGCCTCAGCCTCGCCGCCGTCGCGCACGTCGTCCGCTCCTACCGCGGCTTCCTGGCCCTCGGCCCCGGCGGTCTGCCCTACAACTTCCTGGGCTGGGCGATCCAGGCCGCCGCGCAGCCGATCGCGCGGCGCGACACCCGCGAGTCGCGGCCGTTTGCCGACCCCCGCGTCTTCGCCCGCTACGCGCCGCACGGCCGCACAAGCTTCCTAGATGGCGAGGTGTCGGCGCGCCGCGGCGAGCGCCCAGACGTGCCGTCGTACGTCGCGCCTCAGAGACAGATGACGGAGCATGCCGACGCCTCGCGGATCAAGGCGATGAAGGCCGAGCTGGCCGGCAGCGTCGGGCAGCACGCGGAGCTGCTCGCGCTCGCGCCGTCGGGGCTTGAAGGGCCGAAGCATCAGGCCCTGTGGATTGGCGAGGCGGCCGGCAAGCCGGCGTATCTTGCGAGGTCGACAAAGGGCGAGTTCGCCCACGTCCACCCAGATGGGAGCTCGCACCTGATCCTGAGCCTCGCCGATGCCGAGACGGCAACAGCGAAGGGTTGGGTTGAAAGGCATATGCTCAGTGGCGTCACCCTCCCCCTCAGCTATGTCCTCGTCTATGCCCCGCGAGACGAAGAAGAATTCCAAGTCTGGAAAAAGCTGCTGGCTGCCTCGATTGCGTTTAACACTGCATCGTCCAAGGCTGCATAAACAGTTCCATCCACCCCGCAAGCAACACCTCTCACTCGGCCAATGTAAATACCCATTCAATTTGAATTTCTAAATATAATTATGGAGACGAAAATTAAAAAGAAAGAAAAAGACCTCAAAGAACACCACCCGCCTTCCTCCAAAGAACGCGCTCATCTATGTCTTTACACCGCCCGGGCCGCCGCGGCTCGGAAGCAGCTAAACGTCGTGCCGCAACTCGGCACCACCATAGTGACGACCTGCGCGACGAACAGCCAGACGGCGATCCAGTCCGTGTCCGAGTGGATGTGGTTGCGCGCCACGATCAGCTCCGTCCACATAATCACCGGCCAGCCAAACACCAGCATCAGCGCCGCGCCCAGCACGATGGCCGGGTACCGCAGCGCCTGCACCTGCGCGCCCTTGGACATGCAAGTCACCTCCTCCGCCACCTCTGGTAGGTCCTCCTCCTCGTCCAGCTGCGCGACGTAGACGGCGACGCCGATGGCCAGGATGACGCAGAGCAGCGCGGTCAGCGAGTCGCCAATCATCCAGACCATGATGAACTTGTGCCACCCGGGGTTGAGCCTGCGCCAGCCGAAGAAGAAGAACTCGTAGACGCCGAAGCCCTCGGGCTGGTTGGTGGCCCAGGAGACCCAGGCGGAGACGGTGTTGAGGATCATGACGCCGGCGGTGCCGAGGCCGAGGATCACGCCCATGGGCATGTTGCCGGAGGTGATGCCGCCGAGGTAGCTGAAGGCGTAGACGAAGTTGAAGTGCACGGGCAGGAGGGACAGCGCGTGCAGCTCGCGGTCGCGGCAGGCCTGGTACCACTGTACCTGGGTGTACCAGTTGTAGGCGAGGAAGCCAATGTTGGACGGGCAGTTGTTGGCGATGCCGCCGATGAACTGCGCGGGCGCGAGCATGAAGGACGTGTAGAGCAGCCAGCGGTTGGTGAGGCTGAAGCCGTCGACGATGTGGACGACTTCGGCCATGGTTGTGGTTGTGCCGCTCTATTTCCGTCTTCTGTCGGGTGGTTCTGAGATCGCGGGCTGCTGTATCAAATAGTTGTGTAGTACACGGAGCCGAGCTGGTGGTTAAATCGGCAAGAACGATCAAATCTTCTTTTCTTTGCGTTACGATACACAAGTACGACAGAAAAAGACATCTACGAACCTGGGGAGACGCCTCTATTTCTTCCTCTCCTCGTCTGCCTGCATGGCCGCGGCCAACGCCCAACCGCAAGGCGGTTTCAGCTCCCCTCCCGCAGCACTAGCCACACCTTCATTCAAGACAAAATACAATCCGAAAAAAGCCAATATTCATCTTCTCGCGCCCGCCTCTTCCCCTCTCAGCCACAGCCACTCGAGGCTGACCCCCCTTCATGGTACGGGCCTTGCCGTGCGTCTTGGTTTCATCGCCCACATGGCCGCCCGTCCGCCCGCGCGGGGAGTTTCCGAGCTGTGAGGTTGATGAGGTCAAGGCCTCTAGAAGGGCTGGGATGTGGGCGGACGCGAAGCTCTGGGGGCTGGACCTCTCAGCTCAGGCAGGGCTGAATCACGCATGACACCGCTCGCTGGTTGTGGCGTCAATTGCTCATGCTTGGCTGGTCCTCGATCAACTTCTGTTCCTCCAAATCAGCCTTTTGCCTTTTTGCCTTTTTATCTTTTTCGCCTTTTCGCCAGGGGGGGGGGGTTGTGTTAAAGATAAGAAAGGTGAAATATATATAACTATAGTTATATAAAAAAGAAATTCCAGCGCGAGACACGACTTTTAAAAGCGGCATCCGTAACTTGCGCTCTCTTCCTTTTTCTTTTTTTGAGCGTCGCGGGAGCTAATGAAAGGTGGACAAAGCTCACTAAGCTCCCATAGGTCGTCCTGCTCATTTTATCATTTTTTATAATAGCACAGAACAATCAAGTTAGCCGTTGTTGAATGCCTATTCTTATACAATTTTGACAGAAGCAATATGTACATAGGATTAGCGCTATTTCCTGTGGTAACTGGTCGAGCGCAGAATGCCACCACACGATAACGAGGGCGACGAAGAGTTCAACGACACCCTCATTTTCGACGGCTGACAGGGCATAATATATTAAGCTTCATCTAGAGTTAAAAATAGGGCTTTGATATCACGGGAAATTACAGGGATTCACAGTAAAATATACCAAGACAAGGAGTCTTCAGAAAGTCCGGACGGGGGTTTGGCCGGGAAGCTCGGAAGATGGACTTGGTGGTCTTGGCGGCATTGGCACGAGTTTACGCTGTGAGTCTGAGGTGTCGAAGCTACCAGGTATAGAATATGCTAAAACAATGGCAAAACTTACAATTCTTTTCCAACCCAAGATTTGAATCAGGCAAAGCACCAATCAATGTCTTAGCACCTTATTATAGGCGCTAAAACCTTGCTAGAGCTTACCAGTACAGCGCCAGGTCGCAAACCCACGTCAGATTTGGTTAGTTTTAGACCCCAGAACCCTTGGGGAAAGTCAGTGGCCGACTGGTGATTTTGCAGATAATTTAACCAAATTTCCGGCCCCAGCAGGTTTCCATTGGTTGGTGGGTGGTGATGCTGCCGCTTTCTTCAGTGCCCTCGGCTTCAAACAACCCCTGTAAAAGTGGCGCTAACTTAGCAAGAGGATCTCGGCAACGCCGCTCCACATCAGCAACTCCAAAGTCTGTCTGGCATCACAAACTCGCACCTTTCAACACACTCTTCTCCTTGAATCCTGCCCTTACATCGCTCATAGCTTCCCGTTGAAGCTGTCTTGACCTGGTCATTGATTGCTTCCATTGACTGACTAGTTACCTGCCTTGCTTGTTCAAGCATAGCTCTGGATGGCTGACCAGTAAACAAAACAACTACCGCGATACCCTCGCAAACGACCTTGTCGGCGCAGTCATTGGCCGCCCTGACAACGCAACGCATCCGGGTCGCTTCATCCAATCATTGGTTCTAACTGATAGCTGATTCGTCATGGAAAAACAAGGCTTCCCCGACAGCCCCGATAGCCCCGACAGCGGCGCAAACGGAGGCAAGACGAAGCATGCTCAAGACCAAACTGGCGATGCGGATTCACCGCAGAAATCATCGCCAACCACCGCTTCTACACCCACGCCCGCTCCTCCCCTGCCACAGACCCGGAGCCTCCCCCAATGGCTCGACCACTTCAACCGCCGCGACCTGACCACCACCCTGCGCTGCACCATCGCCGTCTGGGTCGCCTCGCTTCTCATGGTCATCCACCCAAGCCTCGTGCGCCTCGGCCAGACCACCTTTCTCGCCACCGTCGTCATCTACATCATCCCGCCCGCCGGTAACCTCCTCGTCGTCATCATCGGCTACCTGTCCCTGCTCTTCGGCATGTGCCTGGCCTGGGCCTGGGGTCTCGCCACCATGAAAGCTGCCCAGGCCGTCCGGTCTCCAGCCGAGCTCAACGCCCGCCTCCAGGCCCTCCAGCAGCAGGTCGCTGCCACTGCCCAGGCTACGGGGAACAACAACACGGCCGCGATCGCTACTGTCCTCATACACGACGGCTTCATGCTCGATACCCGTGTCACCACCATCTACTTCGTCATGGTCTGCGTCTTTGTCTACTTCATCAGCCGCCTTCGCTACACCTTCAACCTCACCGTCCTCACCCAGCTCTTTGGCATCATCGCCATCGACATCTTCCTCGTCATCGGCCCGACGCTCACTCGCTGGACCCCTCTCCTGCCCGAGGTTGTCGTCCTGCCCGCCGCCTGTGGCTGCGGCATTGGCATCGCCTGCGCTCTCTTCATCCTACCCCAGTCCACCAGCCAAGTTGCCATTGGCCAGATTGAAGATTTACTCATCATGCTCAACCACCCGATTCAGACTGGTCGCCAGTTTGTGGCTGGTTCTCTCGATTTTGACATTAACCAGCTCAAAAGGACCAAGCGACGTGCCATCACCTTGTACTCACAGCTCCAACCCAATATAGCCTTTCTCCCCTTGGACGTATCCCGCGGGCAGTGGAGCTCTGACGATGTCAAGTCCGTCTACTCTAGCTTTCAGGGCGTCTTGGCCAATACGTTTGGCCTGCTCGATTTCCAAATCGCTCGCGTCACGAGCCAAGACAAGATTGGCAGGCTTCGGGAGATGCTCAACCCGCCTCAGACGGCGGCGTCGTCCGATGACAAGGAAACCAAACCCCGTGACCCCCGCCGCACCAAGATTCTCCAGAATCCTGACTTTATCAACGCCCTCATTGCTCCAGGCACGATTGTGGGTTCTGACGAAATGCGCACTGCCTTGCACCACAGCTCCGAGGCCGTCCTGGACGCCACCGCGGACGCTATTAGCCATACCGTAGAGGCCCTGAGACTTGTCAACATGAATCGCTGGTTTGTTTCCAAAAGTGCGCGTGCTAGGCTTCCGCAGGCTGCCATAGCAGTCAGAGACATCGGCGCCAGACTCGCCCGCGCCCGCGAGGCTTGCATTGCCGATGCTACCAGGGCTGCGATCGATATTCATGGCAATTTGTTTGACGAAGGCGGCCTTTTCAAAGCTGAGATGAAAGATGAGGCCAACAGAGTTGCTGGTCTCGTGATTGCCTTTGTCATTGAAGAGCATATTATTGCGACGGCAGCCGCCTACGAAAAGCTGACCGCAGAGGTAGCCCGGCTACTGGAAACGCGGACCACCAATCAATTCTGGGGCCCTTTGAGGCGGCGTTTCAAGCCAAGCCCCGACGAGGGATCTAATGTCCGGGCCATGTCTGGTCAGACCGTCATCGACCCGGACAGAATCCAAAGACAGACTAGGGAGGCTGAGAGGCGCATTAAAGTCGTGTCCAAAGGGCAGGGTATCCCCAAGGAGCGCGGGAACCCAATTGCTAGAGCCATCGCTGCCATCTCCGGTTGGCTGACTTCCCCGGGCAGTCTCTACGCGCTGCGCGTTGTCGCCGTTACAGTTGCCACTGGCATTCCTGCTGTCATTCCCAGTTCCGCCGGCTTCTACTACCGTGAGAAGGGAATATGGACTCTCGTTACGGCACAGACCTGCATTCTCATGTACATGTCTGACTTTACCTTTTCTATCATGACTCGCGCCGTCGCAACGGTCTTTGGTGGTGTCACCGGACTGGCTATTTGGTATATATGCGCGGGCACTGGCGCGGGTAATCCATACGGTCTGGCCGCCGCTCTGCCCTTTGGCATTGTCCTCTTCATTTGGGCCAGGCTTTGGCTCCCACAGGCTTACCTACAGGGCACCGGACTCGGCGCGTCCACCTTTGCGCTGGTTATTGGTTATAGCTGGGACATGCACCACCTCACTGTTTACGGCCTGCCTGGACTTGGATATGAGACCTTCTGGAAACGCTTGGTCACTGTCCTCATTGGATTTGCGGCTGCCTTGATTGTGCAGATGCTGCCCAAACCTCCTTCGGGGACGCGCCACGTTGCAAAGACGCTCGCCAACAGCCTGCATCAGATCAGCGACCACTACGCGCTTCTCATCTCCCACTGGGGCAGCGGCTCCGCTGTGGGTGAGGAATACAGCGGCGTGAGACACGTCATCACCTCGACCGGCCTTGGTCTTGGGCAGTCGCTCTCTGCGCTCAACGACCCCATTGCCATGCTCAAGTTCGAGACGACCATGTCGCCCTTTGACAAGACCAGTCTGCGCAGAGTCCAGGAGCTTCTGATGTTGATGAATCAGTCCCTCACAAAGGTGATGCTGGCGGGCACTACCCTTCCCGTTGAGTACCAGCAGCGGCTGATCAAGACGTCTGGCATCGCCGACGAGGCGTGCATCAGCAACATCATGTCGGTTCTGGTCCTTGCGAAGCAATCGCTGCGTAGTGGCGGCCCGTTACCGGAACGCCTTCCTACGCCGCTCATCGCTACGTGCTACGGCGACTTTTGTGCCAAGCATGGCTTCGTAGAGCTGCGCCGCGAGTACATGGAGAGCGAGGAGTTTCGCGGCTACTGCGTCGCGCTTTCAGCGTATCTCACGTTCCTGCATGCTGCGGATGAGCTCATCGTCCTGCTCAAGGGAACTGTTGGAGAGAGCCACATTGTGCACGACTGGAGCGAGCTTTCCGAGACGGTGTAAGAGGAGGACAACGTAAGTTGGATAAATGAGCGGCCATGTCGTTTAATGTATATACCCAAACTTTCACTATTTTTTTTCCTTATTTTAGATACACATGTAATCATAATAGTCATCATCATCAGTACTGTCATTATCGCCACTATTATCACTAAGATGCGTGGCACACTGGCCAGCCGGTGTGGGCAACTACGGGCCTCCACCGCCCAACGGCTAGAGGCCAAAAAAATCCATCACAACAAATAGCAAAGAGTTCACAACATAAGCCTCTTCCAAACCTCTCCCTCTTGCGCGCAAAATCCCCAGCATGACATCATCACCATGACCACCGCCGCCAAAATAGACGCCCTCGTCGCCTGGGCCGAGTCCCACGGCGCCGTCCTGCACCCCTCCGTCGAGGTCTACCATGACGCCGCCACCGGGCTCTCCTTCCGCGTGAAGCCCACCGCCGTCACCACCGACGGCCACCCGGCGCTACCCGGCAACTTCTCCGCCGCCGTCGTGCGCCTCCCCTCCACGCTCTCCCTCTCCTACCTCAACGCCATCCACCCCTCCGGCAGCTGCCCCCCTCTAGCCGCCGCCCTGCGCAATGCGCTCCCGCCGCACGTCCTCGGCCGCCTGCTGCTCGTCCGCGAGTACCTCGCCGGCGCCTCCTCCTTCTGGCACCCGTACCTGCAGTGCCTTCCCCAGCCCGGCGGCGCCTCCTCCGAGTGGCGCCTGCTGCCCCCGTTCTGGGACGACGACGACGCGGAGCTGCTCGACGGGACGAACCTGGAAGTCGGCCTCGCTCGCGTCCGCGGCGACCTGCGCCGCGAGATCGCCGCCATCCAAGCCGCCCTCCGCCAGGACCACCCGGAGGAGGCGGAGGCGACGGACAGGCGCCTGGCCGACCGGTTCACCCCGGACCTGTACCGCTGGGCGTACGCCGTCTTCTCCAGCCGCAGCTTCCGCCCCAGCCTCGTCCTCGCCGCCGCGCAGCGCCGGCTCGTCCCCGCCGGCGTCGCCGTCGACGACTTTTCCGTGCTGCTCCCGCTGCTCGACGTCGGCAACCACGACATGACCGCGCCCGTGCGATGGTCCATCCTCGACGATGGCTGCGAGCTGCGGCCCGGTCGTGCGCATGCCGCGCCCGGCGAGCAGGTGTTCAACAACTACGGCGCCAAGACCAACGCGGAGCTGCTCCTGGGCTACGGCTTCGCGATCCCGCCCTCCGCCGCGCTGCACAACGACTACGTCCACGTGCGCAGCAGGCGCGGCGCCGGCAACGCCAACCCGGGGACCACGGAGGAGTACCTGATCTCGGCGCGGCCGCTCGCCGACGCCAGCTCCGTGCTCGCGCGCGGCAGGTTACCTCCGTACCTACCCGCCGAGCGCGCAGGGGAGGTAACGCCCGCGTTCCAGCACGTTGCCCCCGAGATGGCATGGGACATCTTCGCCGCCCTCGCGCCTCCGGGCGTCCACGAGGCGCTGACACCCGAGGCGGGGGCGGATGAGGTCGAGCGGCGGCTGCGGTTCCTGACGGGGAGGGTGGGCGGCGCGTGCTTGCCGCACTTTGCGCGGACGGCGGCGGTGATGCGGAACAAGCTGCTGCAGGAGCTGGAGCGCCTGCGGGAGACGGACGTGGAGGTCGGCGAGGGGGAGGGCGCGCGGCTGACGGCGTGCCAGAGGCTGGCGCTGGAGTACAGGGAGCGCTGTCGGGGCGTGCTGGAGGGCGCGCTGGAGAGCATGGACAGGGACAGGACGCTGGCGGCGGCCATGGAGGCCATGGACGAGGAGGAGCAGGAGTAGAGCGGCGGCTACGAGCATGTGCAGCCATCACCATAGCTGTGAAGAGGAAGGCGGCACGTTGAAATGAAATGACAATGGCGTTGCTTCATGTATACAGTGGGTGGCAACATGTATTTGTCCCCTATTAGGTATCTTGCCTCTCTTAGGCATGTTGGATATTTTATATATCTTGGGTGTTTTTTTATTTACAATCTACACTATAATAGAAGTCCCAACATTGCTGAATTGTATGAAATCGCAGCCGTGCCTATGGCCTGTACGTGCTATCGGCCGCCTGCTCTTGCTGAGCCTCGTTAAGCCGGATAAAAAGCTCCGCGTGACCGGCAGAGAGGATGAATTGGCTGGCGTTAGTATCCCTACTCTTCAGAATAAATCAATTTGTATGGAAAACACAGCAAAAGGCGTTTTATTATATCATTAGGTAGCGCGTACCGCGACGTACAATAGAAAATTGGTCTTTGGCCCACCAGAGTTTTCGCGCACTCAAAGGGATACATGTAAATATGATGTTGTGAGGTTTTCAACTACAGTATATCCCACACAGTTTTACGAATTCCAAGAAAACCCTCACATGCATATCTCCCTTTAATGAAACTCGGCTTCCACACGCCCGTACCGCACGCCGTCCACCTTGAGCTCAAAGCTCAGACCGGCGCTATCCACAATCATCTCGAGCGTGAAATCCAAGTTATCAAACTCGACGCCACGCGTCGTCGTCAGCCGCGTAAACAGGCTGCGCGGTACGGCGTTAAGGTCGGTCGTTAGAGTACAGACCCTAATGAGATCGCGCGTGAGGGCGGTTGGCGGCTCATCGGCGTCGCACGCATAGAGGTCGTCCGTGACGATGAGCGACTGGCCTGGGCGGAAGTTGCGCGTGTAGTGGAAGCCGATAGGAGAGAGCGGGGAGAGCGACTCTCCCTTAGAGACAAAGAACGATAGGCGGTCTGAAATCATCCACCGCTCCCAGAGGGGTGACCAATAACGCTCGCTGACAGCGTGCTCTTTCTCGTCGTACACGGTGGCATACGACGTGCCGTAGTGCATGCGCGACTTGCGCGAGATGACCATGTTGCCCTCGAGGCCACGTAGCACGGCGCCGCGTACCACCGCCGTCCACGCGTACACGGGCTGCATGACTTCGATCGAGCTGCCCGCCTCGTTGGCGCTGGCTACGGCGTGCGTCGGACGCTCGCTATACGGCGGTGGTGCCGCGCTCGAGAAGTGGCTCTTGAGCCGCCGGAACAAGAACTCGCTCTGCCCAAATCCGCCAACGAGGATGACGCCTGACACGATATCACCCTTGGCGCGCAGCGTGTCGACCTGGCTCTGCACAAGAGCGCACACCTCCTTGACGACGGGCTCAAAGATGTCTTTGACTTGCTCTGCCGTCATCAGCAGGAATCCACAGTCGAGACCAGCCTCTTCGTCGTCGGCCAGACCAGGAAAGCTAAATTATGTCAGCGAATCGGTAAGTGAGCTCCTGAACATCAGCGCACTTACGGGACATTAAACTCCTGATGCTCTTCCTCGTTGAAGTTGCGCTTCACAAACTCTTCGAAATACTTGAGGCCCATCTGCCACGTCTTTCCCTTTTTCGCTTTCATCTCGTCGAACCGCACCTGGCCCAGTCTGCCGCGTACATGCTCCTCGAATCTGTAGTTGAGAAAGGCGCTACCGCACAAGCCGCCGGTGCCCACGGCTGATTCTTCCACCCGCAAAGGCTTCAATGATTTGATTTCGTATGCAATAAGACTGCAGCATTGTCAGTAACTTTAATGGAAAAGTATCGGCGGCCAATGGTTTGACATACTCGACTGTACCACCGCCAGCATCACAAACAATAAAGTTATCGCCGACATTTAGATGGTTTGGTTGAATGGCCTTGAGAGTGTATACAGCCGCGGCTTCAGGCTCGCTTATCATCTGAATCTCGGACCGGCTGCCCATGCCTGCGCGCTCCGCTGCCTGCAGCGTCGTGTTCTTGGCGGCATCGCTCCACACGGCCGGACAGGTCAGCACAAACTCGACCTTTGTCGACGCCATGAACGACTCTCCGTAGCGCCGCGTCAGCGTATCCATGGTGTGCTTGTAAATTTGTGTGAGGTAGTCGCTGACCGCATCGACGACATTCTTGTTGAACCGCTTGAGCTGAGCGGCCGTGTCCAAGGGGCTGACGTAGAAAGGCAGCTTCTGCGAGCGGTCGAGAAACAGCTTGATGCAGCGCAACCGAGACTCCTCTGGTTTGAACTGAAAGCCCCATTTCACATTGGGGTCGGTGCCTGCCGTTGCATTGGCCGGGATATCAAAGGAGATCTCAGTTGGCACCTTGTCCGACGTGATGCCGTTACTCCCCGGCCATGTTTTGATAATGTCAATGTCGTCAGGATTTGATGTATACACGGCTGCCACACTGCGCAGAGGGTTAGTCGTGCCATCGACCAAAGACCAGCATCGACACTCACCCAGAAAACGTCGTGCCAAAGTCGACACCAACAATCAGTCGGTCGCTGATCGGCGGCTGCTCTCGCGTGGGCTCGCGAACAGGGCCATTGATGGCCTCGGTCGAGCTGGCAGTTGTGTGGCTAGTGAAAAAGTTGCGGCTGTCCTGGTTGCGTTGGCTGACATTTGGCCGCAGAGGCAGCGCAAGGTTGGCGTTGTTTCTGCTTGGAAGGTTGTGGTTTTGCATGTTGGCGGTGGGGGGCTATGAGTCGCTGGAAGGATGTGAGGCGCTGGCGTCGACGTCAATTGCAAGTGACAACGAAGCAGCAAAGTGACATGTTCTTGTAATTGTGGCTTGGGCGGAAGGGTAAGCAAGTCGTTGGGGGCTCACTCCAGTTTACACGTCTGAATCTGAAGCGTGAGAGAGAATGCCTGCCCGCACCGCCACCACAGTGAACGCCTTGTGCCTTGCGCCCGATAAATCAATCGCCAAGGAGGGGAGGGGCCGGCGTCGTGCGCAAAGGCCGCCGGCAACAAATTCTCTCTTTCCAGGCAGGTATCAAAAATTGATGTCGCCAGCGGAGCGCACAGTTGTCGAGCCTAAAACGGTGCCTGTCGTGCCCGTTCAGCTGGGTACTTGACTGAGACTGTGATGGCGGGGTTGACGACGAGTCCCCGTGGCAGAACCATGCAGGCCAGGCGCACAGGTGTAGCAGGTCCGGGAGGGATGCGGTCCCCTTTTAAGCCGTCTATGCAGACAGAGGATCGCTTCAGGGATGCCTGGCCGGTTTTGCACTCGTCGGTTTATTCTGTTGCCTGCTGCTAACCATGTCGAAAGCAAGGACGGGAGGCTCTGATGACTGGGCATGGGCACAAACAAGCCGTCGGGCAACCCCACCACACGCACTAGAGCTCCACCAAAACCGCTGCGGCTCACAGCCTACTTGCCTCACCATGTCTGCACGTGACATTCAAGCTGAGAGAGAGATGCTTCACGTCTATCAACGTCTACGCAACAATTCAATACAAGGCGTCAAGCCAGCAAGGCCAGTCACACAATCAGAGACTGTCATAGTATAAAAAAAAAGTTGCTTTGAATTCCACCAGGCCAACTTGGTTCCTTGCATGCAGAGCCCGTCCGCATTATCCCTCCTCTTTCGACAACCTCATATTAAATACAGGTATAATATATATATGTAAATCTTGCTTCCTTGTGCAAGCCAGTCCTTGTCCGACTTGCACCCACCATTCAAACAAATGCAAAACATCTCCACGCGACAGAAAAGAAAAGAAAAGAGCTTGAGTCAACCTTGACAAAGACTGATATTCAGAAAACGACCAAATGTGAAAAGTAGATTGCTTTGCCAGCATATCGATGCAAGTACGACAGGGTTGAAACTCCAGGATCCCATTCCTCTTTTTTTTTTTGCATACTGCGTAGCCACAGATAGCTACTCGCCGCAGCCCGGTAAGTGAAACGCCATGACACCGTCAAAAATAACAACAGCTCCCGACAAAAGGAGAGTGGTGGGTAAAATAAAACAAAGGAAACAGTAGTGGTGAGAGCTTCTCTCTTGGAGTCCCAGGTTGTACAGGCTTTCCCAGAGTCCCAACCGGAATAATCTATAGGGGGGTATTGTGAAAACATGGAGTATGCAGGTCGCTGCAGATGTGAAGAAAAAGAATTCAAAGCTCGCGTTTTTGAACAAGAAGAAGGAAAGATGGTGCGGAGTAGGGGGATATTAGAAGGGTTCGATATTAAATGAGTGTAGCGGCGTTGGTCGAAATCAGATAATATGGCCAAGCATGACAAATACCAAGGTAGTACTAGTCCACTTGTCGGCGGACATTTTTCAGCATATAGCGGGAAGATGTCGTCGATACAACCGCATCCAGGTTTAGATCCGGTTTCCGGTGGCCCAAAGATGGTTCGAGCCGGACGAATTCCATTCGCCACCCTCGTATGGGGGCGTCGGCCACTTGTACTGGTTGGTATTCTTCTTGCCAAGGTCCAGAGGTCGTGGGGTCATGGTCTCGCTTCCGTCAGAAAACAGAATCTGGCTGCCGCTTGCCGATGGTGATGGGCTAGGGTACGGTTGAGAAGTGAGGCCGATGTTGCTAATCGACTGGCGGAGGGGCTTGCGGTTGGTACCATCAAGGCGGTTCATGGCATGCTGGGTCGAGTTGAGGACTTCATCTAGCAGTTCATCCTCTTCGGCAGGTGCTTCATACTGATGAACACCATAAGTCGCTTGCGAGCGGCGCGTACGGCTGGAGATGGGACCACCTCGCGCAGCGCCAATTAGGTTGTCGACAGAACGAGGCTGCTGTTGTGGCAGCGAGTGGTGTCGCTTGAGCTTGCTTGCCGAGGAAGCATGATGCATTGGGGGAGCTGGGGCAACGCCACCCTGTGCGTTCTGGAGAGCACGATCAAGAGACTCATAGACCTCCGGTTTTGGGGCTCCAGATTGATCCATGACTAAGGATGACCTGTTACTGTTCCAAGGGCCACAGCCGACCTGCGGCTCCATCTCCTCAAATGCGGGCGAGACCGGGGTCTGGTGACGACCAGAGAATCGACGGGCGCGTTTGCGCAGATGCGAGAAGAAGCTTTCTTTTTGACTGCTTGGGGGAGAGGCAAGACCAGTCTGGCCATTGAGCGCACGCTCAGCCTGCTGGCGGTGCATTTCAGTATTGTAGTTGTTGGTACTAGAAGCAACGGACAGCTGTCTCCCAAGCTTTTTCTTCTCTTGGGTGATACCGACGGGTGGTGGGGCATCGGCTGGTCCATTGTTGCCGCGAGCGTTAACGGCGTCAGAGAGTGGCGAGATAGGTCGGATGCTGGGAAGAATGGGCATAGGAGCGACGTTGGAGAGACCATTGGCCCACGTGCTGCGCTTGGTTGTCCGCGACCCTTTTAGATCGTTGGAAGAAGCAGCATGCACAACCGCGGGTCGCGGTGCTGGATCTTTGGCAACCACCGGCTCGGGGGCTTCGCTTCTACCACCTATAAGTGACTTGCGGAACCAGGACGACCTTGACGGGGCGTTTCCTGACGAGGAGTCTTTGGCTGAGCGACCAAGGTCGGACTGCTTGCGGCCGAGGATTTTGGAAGCAGCTGATCGGGGACGAAGCGGGTCAACGCCATCGGCAAAGTATTCGTGAGCCAAGGCTTGCGCAGATGTAGGGCGGGCCTTGGGATCCCACATCAGACACCAGGTGACGAAATGGGCCAGAGATGCCGGCCACTGAGGAGCTTGCAGAATTGTGTCGATAGCGTGAGGTGCCATTTTGGGAAATGAGAATCCAAGTTTGCTGGCCAGTCTGTTTCCCTCCCTCCACTCTCCACCGCCAACGCGTTGGCCAGCCTTGTTGTGCCAGTTACCGGGACTGCCCATAATCTCGCAGACGCGCCAGACCTGGTCCACCTCGTTTCCTCCAGGGAAGAGTGGCTTGAGCGTGGCGATTTCAACGGCCATGGCACCGACTGCCCAGATATCGACGGGTGCCGAGTACTCGCCAGCCCGCAGAAGAACTTCGGGGGCGCGGTACCATCGTGTGGAAACGTACGTTGTGTAGGGCAGTTTGGAGTGGGTCTCACGAGCGAGACCAAAATCTGCAAGCTTGACAGTGTATGCTGGTGGTGTTGAGGGCGGTGTAACGAGGGCAGAGTATCGTCGGAACGAGTTTGACGACTCCTGATGTGACGATGTGGAGACGAGGATGTTTTCCGGCTTGATATCCCTGTGGAAGAACTGGTGGGCGTGGATGTGCTCAAGACCATGCATAATCTGCAGCAGGATGCTCTTGACGCTGGCGTTGTCGAGACACTTGTGGTCGCGCGCCTTCATTAGTTGGTACAAGTTGCCTTCCATGTATTCCATGCAAATGTGCAGCTTCTTGCTGTACGGGTCGAGGAAAATGTCCAAGGCGGGGACCAGGTGTGGGTGAGGAGGAATGGTGCGTAGGAAGACGACTTCGCGCAGCTCCAGGCATGGCTGCAATGAATCAAACGTCTTCTTCATGGATTTGATAGCGACCTGATAAATAGCAATTAGAATCACAGGTCGGTGACTTGAAATGGGAGGGCCAACGAGGGTCAACATACGACAGAGCCGCGACGGGCGACATTGGCACCCGCAGTGCGAACCCTAGCGAGCACAACACTGCCGAAGGAGCCATCGCCGATTTCCTTGAGAACTTCAAAACGATCCTCGAGAGCCAGCGAGTCCTGGGGTTGGCCACGGTGGGTTAGTTCGCCAGGTACAGTCATTTTGACGGCGCTGTGTTGGTGTTGGTGCTGCTCGGCAGAGGGTATCTGCAGGTCGGGTGAGAGATTAAGGGTCCTATCAGGTCAAACCAATTCGGGCGAGGCGAACGGGAGTGCCTGAAGGAGGGCCGTGTGTTGGCTCAGCGGGAGAGCCTGCGATCTATCGGAATTGCATGCAAAAGAGAGGCGTGGTGAAGCTGTGGGCGAGCGCGTCGAGTCAAGTTGGAGTTGAGGCGTGGCGGTCGGTGTTACGTCGAAGTAGCGTGTCTGAGGCGGGATGATGCAGAAGGACGAAGGGTCAATTCTGTATGCAAGACACACAATGCAAGATGGAAATTGGACGCAAAGCACGGCTCAGGTGAAGAAAGGAGCGACTGGAGTGAGTGTAATTGCAGAGTGGATAGCGTTGATATTAGGGGAGAAAAGGAGATCGTTGGCGTCGCGGCCAGGGTGTATGTGGTGGTGGTGGTATGAGTGTGCCTGTCCTCAGATTCCCAGTAAGTACCTGGAAGCTCCGGAAGAGCAGCTGATATAGTGCGCGATGGTTGCTGAACGGATGCGCAAGGGTCGAGGCAGGGAAGCCTCTTCTTGCGTCGACAAACGAGGGCGTTCGCCCGGCTTCAGTGTTTGAAAATAGCGAGAGATGTGTGTTTGCAAAGTGAGAGGCAACGGTGAGAAACGTCTAGTTGGGTGAGACGAAGAAGAGAAGGGGGGGCGGGCGTAGGTTGGTAGCGACTTGTTGGTAGGGTGGAAGGGTTCTCAGGTACAGGCACACTTGAGCGGGCAGCCTAGGGGCAAGGTAGCTCGGAGAAGGCAATGTATGGCAATTGGGTGTGGTTTGATGAAAAGTGTACCTGAGGCCCACTGTAAATTTAGGGGGTAGGCGCTGAGTCGTAGTGGTGGCAATCACTAGAAAAACGCCAGAACTCAGAGACAAGCACGGGTTTTTCAATGGTCGGCTTTAGCCCTTGAGCGAATTGGACGACTGTGGGCGGGGGAATGTGCAAGGGGAATGAGGGAACAGGGAACAAGCAAAATACATGAGAACGAAAGAGTTGGAAGCGCGTTGTCGCGGCGGCCAAGTGGACGGAGTCTACCAGTACACGTTAGCTACGGATAGATACAGGTAAGGTACCGCACTGGCTACTACGAATTACCTACCGAGTAATAATACGCGGCGCGCCGGTCCGAGCTTCGAGGGTTCGTTCTTGAAAAATTACTTGTGAATATCACTCGTAATAGTACGAATAAGCGCCTATCTAAGGTAACTGGTAACTAGGTTACTGGAGAGTAAAAGTATTGACAGGGCGAGGCCCTCGTAGCAGCCATCAAGAAATTACCTAGGATCCTGCAGAACGCGAGGGCAACGAGCTGGTACAACAGCCAACAGATGTACCCTGAACAGTACTTGGGGTACAGGGAGGGACAAGACGAGGGCAATAATAAGCAAGAAAAGTTCTGTCACAGAGATGAGAGACGAGAGACGAGAGACGAGAGAAAAGCAACGAAAAAGTACGATTGCAATCATGTATCCGTACCTTTTGCATTGTGTCCAGTTGTGCGGCGCGCAAGGTATCGATACGGTAGTGCACCAAGCGGTGGGTTCTCAGGGGCATCCAGACCAGGCCAGCCAGGTACCACCGCAAAATGCATCCAGGTACCGCTACAGCGTGCCTGAAGGCGGGCCCCTGCCAGGACGGTCGCTTGGTTCAAGGAGGTACTTGAGTTTCAGGCAGTCGCAGCAGCGGTGGCTGGGTTCCTCACCGGGGCTAGCAACCACCCGCGGAAGCCTCCCGCCGCCGCACAGTTGGGCCGCTAGGTACAGTGACCAGCCATTCCTGGGCGCGTGCCAGGCGGGTACCTCCGAGCCATCCATCCAGCCCCTGCCCCACGGGGGAAAGAGAGAAAATCGTCGTCGGTCGCTTGCTTGCTTGCTTGCTTGCTTGCTTTTTGGTACCGAGTGTACTGACTAACTAACTAACTAGTTGACTTCAGCCATCACGATGTATTTTTTTTCTGCCTTGTGTTTGTTGTTTTTATGCAAGCAAGAGAAAGGTAAAAGCAAACGAGGGCTTGATGGTGACTCACTACCTCGCAGTACCCAGGCAATGACAGAGGCACAACACCACTTTTCTTGAACCAGTGCCAAAAAGGGAGGTTCCAACTTCAATGGAACCACGTTCCCAAATTTCTCTTCCAGAGGCAAGAAAAACAGAGAGCAAAGCAACACCACCTGTTCCCAAAAGGGACCAGCTCGTGGAGTCATATTCGTAGGTCTGCGGGGCCACCCCAAGAGCGGCCCGCCCTGACAGAAACTGGACGCACTCCTTTTCGCTCTTTGCTCACTTGCTGCTCGCTCTGCCTGCCAAGTCGCGTGTCGAATTCGGGACCCTTCTCGTCCTCGTCAACACTCTTCAGGCAGACCGCTAGCCTCGAATGAGCTTTTGCGAGAGACCAGCCTGTGACAGGTCACCAAGCACCTTCCCTGGTCGCATTGCTACTGGGTTGTCCTGGCCTGTGCCTTCATGCACTGTGATGGACGGTGTACCAATCACTCCTCCTCTCGCTGCTCCTCACCCATCACATGATGAAGGGTCTCCTCATCACCCAGCGTTCTCGCTGGTGCACTTTGCCGGGCACAGGCCAGCTTGCAAATGATGTGTTTCCTCGTTTTTTGTAAACAACGGCAACAGGAACAAACGTTAGCAAGCTCTAGTCTGCGGCGGCGCTCAAGCTGCAACGGCCGGCCGCGACGAAGCTCGCTATTCCCCTCGCGTTCCCCTCGCCACATCGCCACCCAGCATGTGCGGGCAAGCCAACTTGCCGGGACGCACGAAGCAACTTGATTGATAATGGCAAGGATGGCAAGGGGTATCCGTACATCAGATGACTGCGTCGCCCGCCCGTCATCTAGACATCCTGGCGATGCTCATGGGGCTGTGCTAGAGTTTGCAGAGCCACTCGCATACAAATAATAACACGCTTGCAATATAACACAGAAAATATATCATACCCGGTGTGGTTTCATAACTAGTTTGCATTTTCGTCATGTCACCCTCCACCTAAATACGTACATGTCCAAGTGGTTGGCCTTGTTATACTAAAGACTCTTGTTATATCCAAATAACCGGCGCCGCTGAAAGTTGTCGAGAGTTTCCATCGAAATTGAACCCACATAGGGTAGGTTTTCTACTCTTGAATCAGTATCTTTTTGCAAACAGCTTCCCGAGGATCATTTATTACCTTGGTAGCTCTACCAACTAACTAACTAGCAGCCAGCATGACCCGGGTACTGGCCGCAGCAAACCCTGAAGCACCATTGGTAGCAGTTCTTGATGGCACCTTCACAGGTTAGAACCGGCATCTTCCTTCCGTTGGTTCAACTTACAGGTAGGTGTATTGCAAGTCGTCATGCAACCGTTGAAGTCGGTGTATCTCTTTTCAAGACCTTCTTCATTGCCCATGGGGCTGGCCACGGCAAGACCGGCAAAGGCGGCGACAAGAACGGTGCTGAACTTCATGATTTAGATGAGGTGGTGTCGTTATTGTTAAGACGAGGAGAAAGTCTGAGATTGCTGTCTGGATTGATGCTCCAGGTCGAGAAACAGACGGTATCTTCAAGGCTATTTATACTTGACCATTCGAACGTCGACGCCTCTCTTACATCGAAAGTCAGCCGTTTTTTCGCATCCTCGTAAGTAAGCCGCCACAGAAACGAAGCAGAGCTATTTAATCCTACATGCATGGCACTGGAGATGTATGCAGCAAGTTGGGTTAAGGCTTCTGAGCTGAAGCTGTAAATGAAGCTGCTAGCCTCCGCGACTCCATCGTCGGGCTGTCGGTATATGTAGGCATAGTCACGAGCTTATTCAGAAGCCTAGTAATTGCCTTTCATCTCTCCGTGCGTGCGGGTATCGTGCATCTCAGTGTGGACCGTAGACCGATAAACGTTCGCCGAGTTGACGGAATAGGAAAGGGACATTATCTGATGCTTCGAATGTAACCCAGACTCGCCTTCTCCTCATACCAGACAGACCGACTCAAGGCAGAGGCTAAAATGGAGACAATCCATACTAACTAACTTGAGCTGCGCTGAATGTGAACGCAACGAGTGTACGGCACAATAGTTCCGTCATTCCGGGTTCTTGCATGTAAATACACATTTGTGGTTCAAAACTAGTTGACTCGGTAAATAAATATAACTAGATACAGAATCGATGCTGCATCCATGGCCGCCACTCGGGTTGGGCCATCAGCCTCCCCCACCGTTACCCGTGTTCCAAATGCCGAAGCTCGCTTGCAGGAACCGGTCATAATCGTACGTCTGCAGCTAACCAAAACAAAAAAGGGCCAGTTTTCTTGACATGTTGCTTTTTTGTTCTTTTGTTATACCAGTATGAGACGTTTGAAACAAGAGGATCGAGCGCTGCAGCTAATGTCTTTGATGCGTCTCTCATCCGCCAATTTATCAGGCTGTCCTGTCAAAACGCATACCAGCAACTTGGGTTTGTCAAGTCTCTTCATTTGCTTCTTTTCAAGCGCCAACCTGCAGGCAGGAGCACTGTCAAGTAGCAGAAAGTGGCTAGAGCTGAGGCGGCACGATACTGCGCTGCAAGTCCTCCGGTCTGTGTGTGTGCGTTTGTGTGTGCCATTTCGTTGAGAGGGGGGTTAGCTCAAACGCTTTCATTTCCATGCATAGGAGTGCCAGATGGCTGCCTCTTCCATTCTCCTTCTTGGTGACCTATTCTTTAATCTTGCCTCTCATTCCCCCCCCCCATCTTGTCGTGGCGTCGAAATGTCATTTACAGCTCGACCACTTCGTCGTGCTCCTTGTGCCGCCTTCGTCCAAGCACTGACTCGATGGGCAAGATTAGCAATGATTGATTGATATCAAGGCGAGATGGGCAGATGGAAAGACTGTTCCATGCTTGCGGCGGCATTAATACGTGCGCATACTGAAACAGACCTGGGGCCTGTTTCAAGACTGAAATGAGGCTGGCAGAGTGGAAGCTGAAGAGAATGCTTGGTGGTGCTAGTAAGATTGCGACCAGCGAGCGCCTCAAAGAGGTGGCGCAGCAGTGCAGCACAGTGGCTGATGCACCCACTTGCTTGCCTCAGGCTTGCTTCAGGCCTCTCAGGCTCCGGGCGGTCCCTCCTCAGTTTTCGTCGCCGTTCAGCATGCTCAGCTCAGATGGCATAGCTCGTCAAGATCTACAATTATGCCACCCGGTGCCAACCCACGGATTTCCGACTTAGGCAGGCCTTCTTATTGTTTTACAGCAGTTCCCCATGTTCGGGCACGGGCGCATCGCTGCCGTTCGGCTAGCAACCCTGAGCGGCTCAGATGCTCGCTCGTGACTGGCCAGAGCACCAACCAGGTGATGACAACATAGCTTCAGCCAACCAGCGGCTGACTGTGTACCTACTCTCCCCGTTTGTGCACACGACACGCTTGCCTGACTGAGGCCGCGCCCACTACAACAAATCATCCATGATCAAGCCATTAGGCATCGCGCACTCGTAATCATCATCCTTCTGGGCCTAGCCCTGGTCGATTTATTCATCTTGTCCGCCCAGTCTTCCCCTCTACAGCACGAGACAACCTTCCTTTCAACGAATGCGGGCTAGACAAGCACGCCAACGCCCAACGCTCCAAGTAGCTCCAGGAACACATCGTCCTGATCGCGACGGCGGCGAGACGACTGTGCGCTGCACCTATCTCGGCACTACAGCAAAATTACGGCGTCGATAACTCGCAAGCAACGATGAGCTCTGGGAGCCCGCATCCGCACGATGCTGCGCAGCCGGATGAGCCGCTCAGTGAGGCAGCCCAAGACAGCGGCCTCCACGTTCTCGACCCAGAGCCAGAGCAGGAGCTAGAAACGATACGAGAGGACTCTCCCCTACTCGCAGCCAGCGACTCTGATGGAAGTAACGGCGGCAGCTCTGCGGGAAGGCGGCAAGTCGCCGACCCAAGCCAAGCCACCAAAAGCGTTTGGTATCTCACCCTCTTGACGCTCAGTATCGGTGGTCTGCAAATCGCATGGTCCGTCGAGCTCTCGAATGGTTCGCCCTATCTGCTATCGCTCGGATTGAGCAAGGCCCTCATGGCCCTCGTCTGGATTGCAGGCCCGCTGACCGGCACCCTCGTGCAACCGTACATTGGCATCCTGAGCGACAACTGCCGAATCTCATGGGGTAAGCGAAAGCCATTCATGATTGGCAGCACAATCGGTACCATTTTCTCGCTGCTGTTCCTATCTTGGGTCAAGGAGATTATCGGCAGCATCTTGTCGCTCTTCGGTATCCAAGGCGACTCGGACTTTGCCAAGACGACCATCATCATCGCTGCCGTCATCGGCATCTACGTCCTCGACGTTGCCATCAACGCACTCCAGGCTGCCATCCGCGCCTTCATCGTAGACTGCGGCCCGGCCCATCAGCAAGAAGCTGCCAACGCAATGGCAAGCCGGCTCATCGGTGTCGGCAACATCCTAGGCTTCATTGCCGGTTACGTCAACCTGACCAAGCCACTTTGGTTCTTTGGTCACACTCAGTTCCAAATTCTCTGTGCCATTGCCTGTATAGCATTAACAATCACCATCGTCATCAGCTGCGCTTTCGTTCACGAACGGGACCCACGCGAGAGCGGCACATCAGCACCCAAAAATCCGGGAGTTTTTGCCTTTTTTGTCACACTCTTCAAGTCTATTAAGAGACTGCCTCCCCAGATCAAACGTGTTTGCCAGGTTCAGTTTTGTGGTTGGGTCGGCTTCTTCCCCCTGCTCTTCTACTCCTCGTCATACATTGGCGAGATATACGTCCAGCCGCACTTGGAAAAAAACCCTCATCTGACGCCAGACCAGCTTGATGAGCTCTATGAGCAAGCTACTCGCATTGGATCCTTCGCACTACTCGTGAATTCGATAGTGAGCCTGCTCACGAATGTCTTGCTACCATTCTTCATTGCACCCACGTACGACAGCCAGACGGCTATCAGCCAACCCGCGCCTGCGTATCAAGAGCGACGCGATCAGAAACGCACCATGCTCGATCGTTTACACATTCCAGGCTTCACACTGAACAGGGCGTGGTTCGGATCGCTGGTTCTCTTTGCCGGAGCCATGCTTTGCACACTGGTTGTACGATCGGTAGAAGCTGCCACGGCGTTGATTGGCATTGCTGGCGTCACATGGGCCATGACCCTGTGGGCTCCTTACGCCATCATCAGTGCTGAGATCAGCCGCCGCGATGTGCTGCAGCGTGCTCAGAAGCATCTACCGGCAGCTCGGGAACCTGCTGAACTTGCGCCTCTAGAGAGGCTGCCGAGCGGAGAAATGGCAACCGTGGTGGAAGATGGGGAAGAGCATGATGAAGCAGGTGTCATTATGGGCATTCACAATATGGCTATTGCGGCACCTCAGATCCTCGCCAACGTTGGGTCGAGCATTATCTTCAAGATCTGGCAGAAGCCGCGCGGCACGCCGGGAGACAAGAGCATCGCGTTTGTGATGGCCATCGGCGGATTGTTTGTTTTAGCGTCAGCTTTCTTTGTGAGGGATCTAGACGAGAAGAGCCCATCTCCAAGGAGCGTCGGCGATGACGAAGAGCACGCGGTGGTTCCCCACGAGTGAAGGGAAGAGCATTCAGAGCGAAACGTTTCGATGCTCGATCCGTGTGCCATTTACATTGCTTGGCATGTGAGCCAGGGCACTATTTCCCATTTGATTGAGCATTTTCATGCCGTCGTTCATTTTTTCTCACATATCCAGGCAATTTATCGTTTTATATTGAATAGCTCCATAGAGCAGTACATCCGTTGATCGTGTACATTCATTTCCAACACCATCTACCAGCTTCTCTATGCATGCAGTCCCTGTATTAGTAGTCTTGTTGTCGACCTTGGCATTTACATTAATTATGTAGCCGCTGTACATTCAAAGAGCGACCTTGTTGCCGGCCTTGATGAAGAGGGCGACGATGGTGGCGATGCCGGCGAACCAGGTGAGGCTGCGGACGGGGGCGGTCTTGCGGTTGCCGCCGAGCTGCACGTAGACGAAGACGAAGGCGAAGCGGCTGAGGACGTAGCCGAGGGTGAGGCGGTTCAGGAGGGCGGTCTCGACGCCGGCGACGTTGGCGGCGACGACGCCGGCGGCGTACAGGCCGATGGTCTCGAAGCCGTTGTCGGAGGCGGCCTTGGCGCGGGCGACGCGCAGCTTGGCCTGGGTTCTGTTAGCAACAGCCAAGGCGCAATCGGTGGTTAGGGAAGGAGCGTGCCTCCTTGTCGAGAGACTCGGTCTTTTCGAGGTTCTCCTGTAGGCTGCGCGGGTTGGCATTGTCAAAGACGCCCTTGGAGCCGGCGATGGCGAGGACGTGAGGGAGGACGCAGGCGACAAGGGCGGCGGGAACCTGGGCATCCACGATATGTCAGTCGCTATGGGGGATACGTTGTGGAGGTAGGTGACCCGAGGCGGCGCAATCTAATTCATGGATCGATCGCGCGCCAATTGGGCTATGCGCGTAAGCTTCGGAGCTCCTGACAAATTACAGGTAGAGAGAGGAGGAGCCAGTAATTGCCATGTTTTAAGCCGTAGCCCCCACGGGGAGGGAGCGGCGTACCGTGTAGTAGGAGATGTTCTTGGTGAGGTCGAGGCCGAGGAAGGAAACCATTGTGAAGGTGTGCGATGGAGCGACTTTGAGGTTATTGATGAGGAATGATGTTCAATTGAGCGACAGATAGGCAGACAGATGATATTTTGGAACGGGACAGGAGGATCACGGAGGCAGCATGAGTGACGAACGGCACAGGACTAGCTCTTATATGGGAGCCTTACAAGGCCGCGAGCTCCAAAAGCCGAACAGGAATGAGTCGGCGCTGGCTATGACGACGAGGTTTCCGTTATTATCCCCGTCGTGCCGATGGTTGGCCCAGTGGACTTTTTAATTCCAAATTAGCGCTCCGTCCTCCGTCCTCCGCTTTCCGCCCTCCAACCCGACGATGGGCGCGACGCACCTGGTTGACGGGGCGGCCGGCCATTGGATGGAACCAATTCTTGCGGGGATTTAAATGGCTAGGCTTGCTTTTAGTTCCGTCATTTGTGTGTTGCTTTCTATAAGTTGGTAAAATTCAGGTACCGTTTAGGGTGCGACGTTTCTAGCGTTGTTGGGGGACATTTATTTTGTTGATATGGGGAAATGGAGACTGGGGGATGGTGTTGGCGATGCAGCCACTCAACCATGTAAATACTTCTCAACGACCTTGCTGGGGGATTGGTAGGGCCTGGATTGCCTCGGGGTCTCGGAAGGCAGTAGTTATTATTCTTACACTCGATGGGGCTGGTATAGCAAGTAGCGGATGGAGTTCGGCTGGTGCTGGTCGCCGAGGTGAGCGGAGTGCCACGTATGCATGACTGGTGATTATACATTTGACGGGAACCTTAAACGAAGGCTGGGTATGATTAGAATTGCTGCAGTTATGGAGGATTGCATATGTAGAGGATTTATCCGAGAAATTCCACTTACAAGTCGAACAAGGCAGCACTTGTATTTCTGTTAGTGGTGTAGGGTAGCTGGCGGGAGCTGGACAAGTATGCCTCACTGGTAGCAGTAAGCACCTTCAGACCTGCCATCGTCCTTGCAAGTAATACTCCAATGGGTATTTATCTCACGTGGTCGTGTCTTTAATTTTGTCTTGAAACTTTCATGACTTCTTTTATATTTCTCTTTTATCCATTTTTCCGCGAACGCCGTAGACTGCAGCTACATGGCTCTATAAGTGAGGCCCGGCCAGCCATAGTAGTAGTATTGCGACAAGACCATGTATCCCTAGCTCTGGAGATCCAACAGCTCTAAATCAAACGGTGTCTACCTTTATACTTTGAATGACAGCTATATCCGTTGTCTCTTACATGAATTCTTTAGCTCCAGTGACATTTTTACTCCATTACCCCGACTTCTGCGTCATGGCGACACCTGCATAGGTAGAATGGTGGGGTACGACCTATGACTCCACCAACTTGCCCGCCCGCCTACTCACAAATTTTCTGCATCTTTTCTTTGCGACAGCAAATTCTCAATACACCGGCGATTAATTCTCCAAGGCAAGGAACTCTCTGTACTGTTGCGCAAGCTTGAAGTCGCATGGAATAGAGCCGGGCACTGCCGCTCGCTCCCCTTGGCCGCATGGCCCATGTTCACGATGTTGGCGTCAAGCAGCAGCTTGTTGACAAGGTGCCCAAGCGCTTTCGCGGCATCAAGTTTGGTATTCAGTAAGGCCTGCCTGCCTTGTGCTCCGCTCATTTGGTAATTGACCATTCTGACCATCCCACAGGTCCAACCAAGACATCTCCAACCAGGCCGTGACCGAAATTTCCAACCGATTGCTCTACGACATCGAAAACAACCGCGCGCCCTACCAGAATGGACCCCTCGACTACCAGCTCGGCACCTCGAGCAAGACGGGTAAGTGCGCTACTTGCAACGAGTCTCTGCAAAACTGCAACGGCCACTTCGGATACGTCAGGCTTCCTCTGCCCGTCTTCCACGTAGGCTACCTGCGCTTCATCATATCCATCCTGCAGGAGATTTGCAAGGACTGCGGCCGAGTCCTGCTCGAGGAGCCCCAGCGCCGACAGTTCCTCTCCGAGCTCCGCCGACCCTTCATCGACAACCTCCGACGCACACAGATTTGCAAAAGGATCAACGAGCAATGCAGAAAGACCAAGAATTGTCCCTACTGCGGCTCTGTCAACGGACAGATTCGCAAGTTTGGTGTCTTGAAGCTCGTCCACGACAAATTCTCTTCCTACAACAAGTCCACAGCCATCAAAAAAGTCCCCCCGGAAAGCAAGATTCTCTTTGACCTGTCATTTACCGAAGCGAAGCGCGAGAACCCAGAGATAGAAAAGCATCTTCGCAAGGCCATGGAGGATCTCAACCCCCTCCGGGTCCTGAACCTCTTCAAGATGATCACCGCCACTGACTGCGAGCTGCTCGGTCTTAACGCCGCCGAGGGCCGGCCAGAAATGTTCATCTGGCAGTTTCTGCCTGCGCCGCCCGTCTGCATCAGGCCATCCGTCGCACAGGACAATGCAAGCAACGAAGATGACATCACCACAAAGCTGGCTGATATTGTCTGGGTTAGTGGCATGATTCGCTCGGCCCTGCAAAAGGGATCTGCCATTCAGACAATCATGGAACAGTGGGAGTATCTGCAAACCCAGATTGCCATGTACGTCAACAGCGACGTTCCTGGCCTGCAGCAGCCTGGTTTTGGTAAAGCCATGCGAGGATTCTGCCAGCGTCTCAAGGGCAAGCAGGGTCGATTCCGTGGTAATTTGTCTGGTAAACGTGTCGACTTTTCAGGCCGAACTGTCATCTCCCCCGATCCCAACCTGGGTATCGATGAAGTCGCCATTCCCCAACTCGTTGCCAAGAACCTCACATACCCCGAAAGAGTGCAACGCCAAAACATGGCCAAACTGCGGGAATGCGTCAAGAACGGTCCCGATGTCTGGCCGGGAGCACAGAGCGTCATCAAGATGGACGAGGGTGGCTACAAGATCAATCTCAAGTTCGGTAATAGGAATATGGTAGCGCGAGATTTACGAATTGGCGATGTCGTCGAGCGTCACATTGAAGACGGCGATATTGTACTGTTCAACCGTCAACCTTCCCTACACAAGCTCAGTATCATGAGCCATCTTGTCAAGGTGCGCCCTTGGAGAACCTTCCGTCTAAACGAGTGTGTTTGCAATCCCTACAACGCCGATTTCGACGGTGACGAGATGAACCTTCACGTCCCGCAGACAGAAGAAGCTCGCACCGAAGCCATTACACTCATGGGTGTCAGACACAACCTCACGACCCCCAAGGACGGTGCTCCTATCATTGGAGCAACGCAGGATTTCATCACGGCTGCCTTTTTACTCAGCAGCAAAGACAGATTCTTTGATCGCAAGACCTTTACATATATGTGCATGCACATGCTCGACAGCCAAACACGTCTCGACCTCCCCCCGCCTACCATTATTGCCCCAGTTGCGCTGTGGACCGGAAAGCAGCTCTTCAATGTCATGATGCGACCAAACAAGGAATGCCATATCAGAATCAATTTCGAGTCCAAGTGCAAGACGTTTTCTGGCAAGTCTAAGAATATACCCGACATGGACCCCAACGACGGTTGGCTGGTCGTGCGCAATTCCGAAGTCATGTGCGGTGTCATGGACAAGGCGACGGTCGGAACCGGCAAGAAGGACTCCGTCTTTTACGTCATGCTGCGTGATTTTGGAGCAGACCATGCCGCAACTGCTATGAATCGCCTGGCCCGACTCTGCGCCAGAACTCTGACAAACCGGGGCTTCTCCATCGGTGTCGGTGATGTTTGTCCCACTGCAAGCCTTACTGCAGAGACGGAGCGTCTTGTGTCGATTGCTTACAAGCAATGCGACGATCTCATTGAAAGTTTCAAAAAAGGAAAGCTGGAGAAGTCACCCGGCTGTAACCTGGAACAGACGCTAGAAAACTCCATCTCCGGTATCCTTTCCAAGGTCAGACAGCAGGCTGGTGACTACTGCATTGATACACTGAGCCGCAACAATGCCCCGCTCATCATGGCCAAGTCTGGCTCCAAGGGTTCGGATATTAACGTTGCTCAGATGGTGGCCCTGGTCGGCCAGCAAATTATTGGCGGTCAGCGAGTTCCTGATGGCTTCCAGGATCGTAGTTTACCACATTTCTTCAAGAATGCCCGACAACCTCCCTCCAAGGGTTTCGTCAAGAACAGTTTCTATACCGGTCTTTATCCTACAGAGTTCCTGTTCCACGCCATTTCTGGCCGTGAAGGTCTGGTCGATACTGCAGTCAAGACTGCCGAAACCGGTTACATGTCGCGTCGATTGATGAAGTCTCTGGAAGATCTTTCCACACAATACGATGATACGGTCCGGACGTCCGGCGGCACGGTCGTTCAGTTCCAGTTTGGTGGTGATCGCCTGGACCCTGTGGATATGGAGGGCTCCGGCGCACCGGTACAATTCGTTCGGACGTGGCGCCATGCTGAAAATACTACATGGGACAATGATGAGCCAGCTCTGACTCCAAATGAGGCCCGTGAGCTGTGTGCTAGTATGCTGGCCGCCGAGCGGAAACGATTCCCTCGCAAAGGCCTGTTGCATGGCGAGGAGCTTGACTACGACGATGTCAGTGACTATGCTGTCGATGAGCACGAAGGTGCGCGAAAGTTCATCGTCGAAGTGGAAGATTTTGTCGGGGGCCTGACCAACAAGCTGGCGAGAGTCCGCGCCCTGGCCGGTCTTTCTGGTAATGAGAAGATGCGGACGGCGGCACAAGACCACGCCGACCGCACAGCCAAGATCACAGCAACAACACTACGGCTGTTCATCAAGCTGTGTCTACACAAATACAAGAAGGCTCAGGTAGAACCTGGACACGCCGTCGGTGCTGTCGGGGCGCAGTCCATCGGTGAACCCGGCACCCAGATGACTCTGAAGACTTTCCATTTTGCTGGTGTCGCTGGTATGAGTATCACACAGGGTGTGCCTCGTATCAAGGAAATTATCAACGCATCCAAGGTCATCAGTACTCCGGTTATTACCTGTCCTTTGATGAACAGTCAGCAGATTGAGGCTGCCAAGGTTGTCAAGGCGCGCATCGAAAAGATCTTTTTGCAGGATGTGTTGCACTACATCGAAGACGAGTGGCGGCCGGACGAAGGCAACGTGGTGGTGCAGGTGGACAGACAGGCGCTGGCGGATATGCATCTCGGTGTGAGCATCCACGACATTGCGCAGGCCATCTGCAAGGACCGCAAGATGAAGATCCAGCCGACAGACGTGGCCATCATCGGCGACCGCATCTCGATTCGCGTGCGCGACAACTCGAGTGTGGTGGCCAAGCGCACAACCCGCAGCAAGACGGCCGAGGATCCGAGCGACATGCTGCTGCGAGCCAACGCCCTCCGACGCATGCTGCCGGCGCTGCCCATCTCAGGGTACCCGGACGCGTCGCGCGCGCTGATCGAGACGTGCGAGGACAGCACGCACCGGGTGCTGGTGGAAGGCTACGGGTACCAGGCATGCATGACTACTGAGGGCGTGGTGGGAACCAAGGTGCGGACCAACAGCGTGACGGAGTGCAACGACGTGCTGGGTATCGAGGCGGCGCGGACGACGATTGCGTTCGAGATTGAGCAAGTGATGAAGTTCATGGAGATTGACCACCGGCACATGCAGCTGCTGGCGGACGCGATGACGTTCAAGGGCGAGATCCTGGGCATCACGCGCTTCGGCCTGTCCAAGATGCGCGACAGCGTGCTGCACCTGGCGTCGTTTGAGAAGACGCCGGACCACCTATTCGAGGCCGCGGCCGGCATGAAGACGGACAAGATTGAAGGTGTTAGTGAGGGTATCATTATGGGCCAGGGCATGGCCGTCGGCACCGGCGCATTCCAGGTCGTGCGACGGCTGGGCATCGCGGCGGCGGACGTGGGTCAGCGGGAGACGCTGTTTGAGGACGCGTGGACGGCGGAGACGAAGAGAAGGCGGAAGCACGCGTGAGCATGTCTGTGTGTGTGTCTGATACCATGATATTTTGAACGTTTTCTTATTTAGCTATGCATGATTGGGAAATGCGGCGATGGGAGTATGACGGCTATGATTTACGTGTTTCTAAAAATGGACAATAAAATGGACAATAAAATGGACAATAAAATGGAGAAATTCTGTCAAATGAAGTCGAGTTTTTGCTATACGGGAAGCAAGTTTGCTGTTTGATTTCGTGCGTGTTCGGCATTTAAGGTCCCGGAAGTTTTATTGTTGCCTTGTGACAGCTGGTTTCTCTTTTTGTTTTTCTTCTTCTTCTTCTTCTTCTTCTTCTTCTTCCTCCCCTTTCCCGGTTACCGGGTTGCTCATTAGGTCCCAAATAAATACCCTTCCCTCGTTGATCTCCCGTGGCCCATGCCGCGCATCGGAGCAAAACCAACGGCATCTTGCCTGTCGTTTGCCCTCTGTCTCTCACATCCCCCACCAATCAAGACTCACAACGCCAAGGAGAACCATGCCTGGAACAGAGCGGTTCTTCCTATTCGGGTTGTCAATAGGGCTGATTTCTGTCCAAGTGCTGGGATTGGGGGGGGAGGGGGCGGTCCGATAGGACGTCTGATGCATCCATGGTTTATAGAAGTTGAAGCAGGGACAGCCTCCCCGCAAGTTTATAAAATAGGACGAAGTTCCTCCATACTCTGATGACATGACTTTCCTGGATCTCATCCTTGTCGGCTCGTTCCAACTTATTTGACTTGAAATATATACATCAACTCTTCCAGCGCCGTCCAAACAACCAACTTGCAACCAACTCGCAACAACCCAACCCCATCACCTCCACCACCACCCCCAATAACCCTCCACAATGAAAGCCCCCCCCTTCCTCTTCCTCCTCCTCCTCCTCTCCGCGCCGCTCTCCCTCTGCGGCTTCGTCAACCGCACCCCCTCCGCCCCCCTCCCTTCCTCCATCCCCGCCTCCTCCGTCCTCGCCACCCTCGCCCTCTCTGCCTCGGCCCCCCTGCCCTCCACCATCACCGGCGCTCGCTACACGTCCCTTGCCTCCGCGCTCTACGCTGTCGAGCGCGACTTCTACAACGCGCCCGCCTACGCCACGCTCGCCGCCCACCTGTGGCGCGCCGCCGCCCGCGCGCCCGACGCCGACCGCGTCGTCCCCTCGCTCGCGCTGTCCGCGTGGGCCTGGGACGGCATCACCGCGGCCGGGTGGTGGGTGGAGGGCATGCCGGAGGAGGACAGGAAGCGCGTGGACGAGTTCCTGGGGAGGTGGGAGGTGCAGTTTCGCAAGATCGTGCACGGGGAGGCGGCCAAGGATGCCAAGACTGGTGACGGCGACAAGAAGGGGGCTGCCGCCGGGGGTAATGCGGCGCAGAGTTTGGTGGTTGTTTGGGGGGCGGCGGCACTGGCAGGCGTCATCGGTTTCGTGGCCGTCATGTGAGTGCGGCGTTATGCATCAAGCGTTGGACAGAGCGGGTGTTTTCTGTGTAATTGGGGAGTGAATTCGGGTTAGAAAGGGTCAGGCAAAGCGATGGTGGGTGTGTAATGAAAGGATGGGATTCAGGTTGGATCTTGTGGGAATCAAGTAATACATTGGCTGCGTTTTAGATTTAATAGTAATACATACTTTTCACGTAAGAAACGCCAACACTGCGATTCACGAGGAAAAGAAGTACATGACAAAGACATGCCGGGTTGTTTGTATGGTTCATATATGCATTGATATCGACTGCTCGCACTTCAAGAGTCTATCCCGAATAAATACAAGAAAGTGAATGAGGAAAATCATAAACGCAAGAATCGCTCAAAGTCATAAGTCATCCTTGATTCGTAAGTACTCGCAACGGCGGGCGCGTCTAGCCATCGCCGTACTTTCCAAAACGTCGGTTCAAGTGCCCGGCACCTGGGTTCCGGAATCGCGCATCAATGGAATCAGGCTGGTGGTCCTCTAGATGGGCTGAGCCTTGTAGACCTTGACGCTGTTGATGCTCCAGTAAGCTTCAGCAAAGTCCTTCGGATTGGAAGCGACATAGTCCTTGCACGATGGGCCATGAGCAGAGCACTCAGCGTTGGAAGCCCAGACCTCACCGGCCCAGTTACCGCAAAAGGTCGTGTCAAAAACAATCTTGTGGTCCTTAAAGGCCGAGGTAATATCGCATGTCTGGCCAGGAGAAAAACTACCGCTGGGCTGGCCCCAGCCCGAGGGCGCCGGGTTGCCGCTGGTGATGTCGTTGGGAATGCTATGGCGAGGGAAGAACCAGATGGCAATGCGCGCGTCCGTCCACTCCATTGCATAGACACCGCCACCAATAGCATTGAAGCCATCGCCGTAGTTTTGGTTGTCGCCTGACTGCTGACCACAGCCGGTTAGTGCGTTGCATTCTTCGCTGACGACGAAGGTGCTGGCAAGTGTAGAGTGTCCCAGCATCTGACATTTGTTTTTCGTGTGAAGAGTAATAGAGTTTTCAGTCTGCGTGTTGACGCCCTCGATAATGTCGATTTCTCCAGAGACCGGCCAGTTGGGACCAAAAGTCCAAAAAGCAGGCCAGACACCACAGGTGTTGGAAGGCATGTGAGCAATGTCCGCGATGAAGAGGCCTTTGGTGAAGGTCTTTTGAGATTCGACACGGACGGAACGACGGCCATTGGGGGGGTTGTAAGTGGTTGTGTCGACCCCCATGTAAATGGTGCCATCCTGACGGATTGCACTTAGGCCTGCATTTTGGGCGGTGGGAAGATCGACATACTCGACAAATCCCTGGGTCGGGTCGGGCTGATTGAAGTGCGTGAATTCCTGGAAAAAGTTGGAGGCATCGAACACCGTGTCGAGGTTATAGGTGGCGTTGGCAACCTGGCCAAGAAGCGTGGCAGCGATGGCCGTCAGAATGGTCGAGCGAACCATTATGGTTGGGATGAGTGTAGAAGACGTCAGAGAATTTTCTCTCTCTCTAACAGTTTTAAAAAGACAAGTTGTCTAAAGTCTGTTTTCTCAAAGAAGAATGTTTGCAAATTGCTGAGTTTGTCGGTTTATCGGAAGCAGAGACCTCTCGCCTTAAATGGTTTAAGAGACTGGATGAACAACCCCAGAGCCTGTGTGTTATGAAACAGGTACCGGCCGCGCGGTAAAGGTGGTCGTCGGTGGGACGAAGGTCACTGACGAGGAAGGACCGGGAAATTTGCGGTACGAGTGAATCCGGAGAGATCTGGCCAAGAGACTGAGGGAATGGGCGCTGTATTGACAGCAAGGTGGAAGGGGTCCTAAGACAAGCCGTGGAAAGAACGGTGCTGTGCGGGGATATATAAAGGCAGTACTGTAAAAAGAATAGAATAGAATAGATAATAAAAAGCTAAAGACCGGCTCAGCTGAATAGAAAGAATACCAAAGGAAGGATGGTAGAATCGAAAAGGACAGGAAGGAAGGAAACGACGAGGCTGTCGTGGGCTTGGAACAGTGCAACGTGAGGCGGGAATCGTTAGGGTGAGACAAAGTCCTGGCCGCGGACGGGAATGCACACGTCTAAATAGCGAAGAAGAAGAGAGGAGGAGGGGTAGACAAAGGCAAGCACTTTCTTGCCACCCCTTTTCCTTCTTCCATTGTTTCGTCGTTTTAGTCTAGTTTCTTCGGTCTTGTTTCGTTTTCTGTTTTTTTTTTCTCCTTGCGCATCGTTTCTCGCAGCCCGGCGCGTACAGCCCGGGACCCTAGACCAAGCACGAGCTGGATCTGTGTGGTGCGAACGGGGGCGGCCATTGCGGAAGAGCCAGTGAGGACTCGACAAGGCGGTTTTTGGAGGCTGCAGGGTTGCATTATGGGAATGGGCCGGTGTGGATGCATTGGGTGGTGGATTGTGAATACTGGTCGGCAAGTGGTGGCCGTCGTGGTGATGGTGAGGAGAGAGTGAAGCCGAAAAGCTGGCATTATTGGGCTGAGGCGGTGGTGGGTTGCATTCCATTCCCATCCAATTCTCTCCGTTTGCTGGATCGCCTCCCGTTTGCTTGCCAGCTTGGCTCGGGCGTTTGCCAGGGGCCGGCCAATGAGAGTGCGGCGCCAGCTGGCAGATCTGTCGACATGCTGCAGGGGCACGGCGCCAACGAGAGCTTCGAGATCCAATCCAATCCACTCACTGGCAGAGGGATGGACCTTCCCTTCTCCCCTGTATTAGCGCTGTTATCAGAGAGGCAAGCCCCCTGTCGCCTCCCCCCCCCCTCACTGTAGCGCGCCGTTCCCCCCTGGTCGAAACACTCTTGCATCGGAGCTTTTCTCTCAGGTCCTTGTCGATAGATAGACCCAAGTCCATCTCATCTCCGTGTCACCATTGCCCCCATATCGTCAATCTTCAGCAGTCGATCCATCTCTATGCGAAACCAAACGATGTGCACACAAGGAATCTCTTCCGTCCACATGCGACAACATGTTGAAACACGATGCCTCGTCCTGCATCTCGTGCTCCCATCGTGCTGCCTCCTACTAATCTCCTTGGTGAGCCTCATAGGTACGCCGCTGGAAAGCCTAGCCGCCCTACACCTCCGCCAAGCATCCCCCTCTCCTGTATCCCCGAGTGCATTCTGCCATCCCAACAGGGAAATAGCACGAGGCTTCATGCGAGAAGAAAAGAGGCACCACGGATGGATAAAAGCAACCTTGAATATCCACCCCGGCTTAGCCATTTAGCCGCCGAAAAAGCATCTCAGGCATCCCGAGCCCCTCCATCCACCGCAGACCACTCCCAACCACGCCGATCACCGCAAGGGAGAGACCGCCATAGCTTCTCAAGAAAGAAAAGAAACAAAGAATGAGTGAGGTCCGAGGGCCAACTAGTTCTCCATTCTCACTCTTTTCAGCCGAAAAGCCTTCTTCCCGTCCCGACACCAAGCCCGCTTGGCCGTTGTAGTCCGCTTTCTGTCGGGGCCGTGGCATCGAGTCCACCCACTACCAACGTACCACCAACAGTGACACATAAGCGAAAAGGGTAAGCAAGGACAGGAAAAGGAGTCTGGGCGACATCCTGCCAAAAGGCCACATGGTCTAAAGACGCACATGTCATGCAGGATCCCGCTGCTGTCCGACGCGCCCCCAACTGCCAGAAGCCAGAAGCCCAGGCCACAGCCACGGCCTGCAAACCCCTACCCAGGACGATGAACAAGTCCCTCTGTGCGAGACCATCGTACACATATCATACAATCTGTGCATGCATCACTTTAACAGTGCCGAGCTATCTTTCAATAGCAAGATGCAGCCCATCACGACGCTCGATCCTGGACTGCTTGTTCTTTGGACTCACTTAAAAAAAAAGTCACCACCATGATCAGCACCGCATCTGTACCACTTACAAGACTCCCTCTCACTTTGTCCTTTACTTCTCCTTTGCTGATGGCTGTTTGTATTAGCTCCTAGATCATGCCTGCATCATCTACACATTCAAAGAGCTTCACACGAAATAGCACGTCGCATAGTGATTGAGCAGCCTCCATGAGCAATGATTCTAGATCATTTTATACCAATTTCCTCTCCTCCTAGTTGTTTTATACATGTCTGGCTCCCATTTCATCAAATCTATAAAAATGCCCAATCATACAAAAAAATGTGTCCCAACTCTTTCAAAATGGAGAAAAGAAAACAAGAGTTGGCTCAAACCGTGGCCTGCGCTTTCTTCCACCTCTTACATCCATTCTTGGAGAATGTAAGACGCAGGCCAAGAAGAAAAAAGTATAGAGTAAAAAGAGAAATCGAAGAAGAAAAGAAGAAAGGTAGAAAAGAGAAAATGGACGAGGCAAGTAAGAAAAATGCACAACGCCGACACGAAGTAGCCCAGTTCTGCTCCCACCAATAAAAGACAAAAAAAGGAGCAGTCGCTATTCCTTCATGCATCATGATTTAGCCCTTTTTCGAAGCAGAGTTCCTCCCTTTGCGTTCAAGGCATCGCCGCCTTTCCTTCTTGTTCGTAGCGATGAAATGCGATGCTGCGCATTGGTACACTACCTTGCACGCAGCACCGTCGCCTTTTTTTTCGTGTTTTGCAAGTCAAATTTTGTGAATCGTAGGTCCGGGCATTTCATCGTCAAACGAGTAGAGCTTGCGGCAAGCTATGGCGGAGCATCTCACCGAGAGTTATCGAATGGATTCGCCAACGCCAAACAAGGACCCGTCAGTTAGCCTCCGTGTTTGGTACCACCGATACCCAAAAGAACGCCGACTCCTGTCCCCATCATCTGTAAGCAGCGCAATTTGCATCTGGTTCGGGCCCGCATCATAGAACCAGGTGCCTGGCAGCAGAAGCAAAATAAATGGAATATATATGTGCAGTGGAATCGAAATGAAATCAAGCCAATACAGCGTTGCAATTTCGCACGTCGGTGGTCTGCAACTTGATCCGCGGGATTTGCTAAGCCGTGTTTGGAAGCTCGGGTGCGTTATAGGCGAACATGCTGGCCGGTAAGGTGGTACCAAATGACGGCAACGAAGTCCTCCTTGAAACGCTCCCACGGGTTGCGGTTGAGCCAGTAGCTGAACTGACGATAATGGTACATTTCACCCCAGCAGTCACGGCCCCATTCGCAGCCAGCCATGTTGACCATGAAATCACGATCCTTCTCGTGGTAGTGAAAGCGTGTGAGGTTGGCACCAGTGCCGTCACCGCAAGCCGCAGGGGGGAAGCTGTTTATCATGCGCTGCGGCAAGAACCCGGTGTGTTGGCGGACCCAAGGATGGCTCTCGTACATGGACTCGAGGGCGTCCTGCTCCTTGTGCTCCCAGGCCATGTGCTTCTGCTCATAGGCCACGGGATCCCACCAAATATCCAACAAGCGCTCAGTCCAAGCGCTGCGGCGGACGAAAAAGGAGCCAAGGTTGAAGCCAGAGCAATCTTGCGAGAGCAGCAGGTTGACGGAGTTGGGGTTTCCGTCACCAATGGGGCTGCGGGAGTCTTCGTCGAGATACGGGTCGGTGAAAGGGTGGGTAATGTTGAGGGGGTTGTAGTCGTTGATATCGCGGTACGCATTCTTGCCGAGGCTGTCGAAAATGTGGTCTTGCAGCGAGTATGTGGGCTCCATGACGATCGTATTAAGGTCAAGCCACCAGAACCTATCAAATTGTTAGCAGCTGTTGCAGGCGGTGTTGAAGGAGGCGGCTCTCGGCGTACCACTCAGCATCCGGGTATTTACGCATGGCGTTGCGCAAAAAGTCAACCTTTTCCCAACTTTCCCTCCATTCGTGTGCATATCGCTTCTTGGTGCTCATGTCCACGATCTCGAGGTCGTAGCCCCAGCGGGCGACATAGTTGCGTTTGTTTCGTATGCTGTCTCGCTCAATGGCCCATTCACGAGCCCCCTTCCACTCCATTACACCGCCGCCAACATTGGCGGCGAGGACGATGACGAACTTGGAGCCGCCGCCGCCCCAGGCGGCGCGACGGTACCAGTAGATAAGGGCTGCAAGCGGGTTAGTAGTGAAGAGGTTTCCATACGGACAAGATTGAGACATACGAGAGTGATAGAAGACGTAGACGCAAAATAGAATCAAGAAGCCAATAAGCAACCGAAATTTGAGCTTGCGGCCCATGCGGCCGAAAATGAGCTTTATCCTTCCAAGAAGAGGCACCTTGTCGATGTACGAACTGGCTCCAAACTTGTCCTTTTCGTCGGAGGCGAATAGTGGTAGACTGTTCGATATGCGACGCATGTGACCGAGGAAGCCTTGATTCTGTGTGGAAACAGACGGATGGCCGTTTCGTAGTTTCGACGGCTCCCAAGCGACGGAACGCACACCATGATGGCTGCTGGCAGGACTGGAGCGGCCACTGTTCATGTTGAGACCAGGGCTGGACCAGCCACCATGGGCAGAAGGAGAGGGGCTGCGGGAGAGGGACATTGGAGAATTCGTTGAGGGCGTTCCTGCATTGCGAGTAGCACAGACGAGATTAGCCAGGCGGTTCAGGAAGGGAATGATTGATGCGGCGTTGTGGACAGGTGGACAGGTGTCGTCAGACGACGCCAAGGATCGGTTGTCGCGGCCAGGGCCTGTGGAGGTTTTGGATGGCTTGGGGAGCACGGCGACAGGAGACGCACAACGTCAAGCACAAACAAGAACAAGCAAGCCGAGCAAGCGAGACGGAGCGAGGCAAATGACCGGGGAGACGAGGCGGCGCGGCCGGGCGGCGCAAGTAGCGGAGCGAGGCTGCTGCTGTTGCTGCACTGCGACGGGGAGAGTGGATGCGTTGGTGCTGGGACGTAGTGCGCCGCGCAATTGGCATAGATTTGATTGTTGCAGGACGCAAGGCAGGGCAACACGTAGGAGCGTACGCGGGTGGAAAGGGGGGGTATAACAAGATAAGGACGTACCGACTATGGTGGGCAGGGACGCCTCGTTGGCCTGTCGCGGGTGTATCTCGAGAAGGTTGCCGGAGCGGTGCTGGTGGTCTTTTACAGGAGAAGGGCCGGCGGAGGAGCGTCGCCGGTGGTGAGAATGAGCCGGCCGGTCGCTGTAGGAGCTCGAAGAGCCGGCGGAAAGCTTTGAAGGAGCCAGGGTGGCGGCTTTGTCGGCGTTGACGGAAAGCAAAAAAGGTAATGTGTCGTCGTGAGCAATTGGGTGGGAGGCGGCGGCAAAGGCGAAGAAGAAGAAAAAAAAAGAAGGGAAGACAGATAATAAAGACTGGGCGGGAGAAAGACGCTGGCGGCCAGCTGGCGAGCCAAAAAAGGATAAAAAGGGTAAAAAGGGTGATAGCGCGGTGGGCAGTGGCCAGCCAGCCAGTGGCAGTGGGACAGCCAAGGGAGCCAACGGTACCTACTTCGAAGGTAGGTACTTGCCACAGGGACGGGGAGTTGATGCAGCAGGTGGTGCCCGGGGACAATCATGTATTTGTTTTTATTATTTAAAGAGCCAAACCTAGCAGGTCTAACAATAGAATGATAATATCAGTGCCCTTTTACTTGAAGAAATGCGGCAAAATCAATAAATGGGCACTTGGCTAAACATAGCTACTGCTTTGACTTTCACTTGTGCTTTGTGCTTTGCGCTTTGTGGTTCCCTGCGGATCCCGTACGTCTGTAATGCAGCGAGCCTGCAGTGGCTTCAGTGGCTGATCTAGGGGTCCAAGTGCTGTAATGGAATCCGCACTAGCCTTAACTTAGCTGCCGCCAGGAGAGCAGAGTGAAAAGATTGACCTTGTGGGGGCAGATGGCCTGCCCAGCATTACGGTATCAAAGTACCAAAGTACCATGGGAAGGCACTAACCCAACTGACCAGATATCAGCATCTCACGAACGCCTGTCACTAAAATTAATCAAAATCTTAGCATCATCAATCCCTCGTCATCAACCATCCCGAGCTAAACCTTCAACCGTCTACTCGACCGTCACTCGCCTCTCCCACCTCCAAAAATACTCTCCGCGTCAAGCCACCTCGTCTTCCGCTGTCAAAATCTCGTCTTCCCGACTGGCTAGAGACTCGTAATGAAGCGGCTAACCAGTGCCGATGTGCCCCTCCAAAACTAGCGCCTCTGCAAAACGAGGTCAGACGATGCGCCCGCTCTCTGCTTCGCTGGTTGCGATAACTAGCTAGTTACTGTGTGTATAGATACGGATACACGGCGCCGTCTTCGGTTGGGCTCGTATGTCATCGTGGTGATCATCCTCAAACAGAAATATGCCAAGATGCGCCATGCAACCCGACACATAAAAAACGGCTTGTTGCCGTCAGCCTCTTCACAAAGTGGCCGACAATGGTTTATGCGTGTCTTGCCGCTCCCGACTTGTGGCTTTATCAGGCAATCCTGCGTTTGGATTTTAATAATCCTAGATTTTGCGAAGCATTGGGCGAAAGAAAGTTGAGACAAGCTTCCCGCAAGAATGTCATGACAATTGCGGCCACAACGAATGCAACGAGGAATGAATATTTGAATCCTCAGACGATGAAGAAAAGAGCAAAAGACGAGTCGAAAAAAACACGTCGAATAAATCAAGAGTAGACCTAATCCACGACCTTAACTCATATGCCACGGCGAAGACTATCGCGCCAGGCTACCGACAGAAGAGGTTACCAGCCTAGAGTCTCGAAGTGGCTCGTCACCCCAATCAAAGACGATCATCTAAGTGCTAATTTACCATCAGTTGCTTATTATTCGTGCGATGCTTCCGACTTATTGGCCATGGCGTCTCTCGTTTACCATTCACTCACCGACCAATCACGCCAGCTACTGCCTTTGTTGCTTCCCCCTTTTCACGCCACCGGACCCGGCTCTTAAATATTATCACGGCCCCCAAGGGACCAACAGGAGAGCACCTGTCTGTGACGGGCCGTGACATCTTCCAAAGTTAGTGCCGCCCTCTGGCCCACCGTCTCCAGCTGGCCAATGCGACAAATCTCTCATCCAATGTACGGTATGTATACAGCACCATACAGTATGCTAACATGGCAAGGGGGCGCGGGCCCGAACCACCAAAGGTCCTTGCAATGGTCGGAAGGTGCTGCCAATAAAAGGGCTGGCTGGCTCCCTTGTAAGCGGTCTCGCTGTCCGGATAAGGTGCAGAAAGGCTCGCGGCTGAACCACGATTCCACGACACCCCAACCCTGGCCACACAAGACAACGAGATGAGCCAGAGCCTCGCTAGCATCGCAACGTGCGTCGAACAAGGCCCGCCTGCCGCTGTGCATGCCCAGAGCTGCATTGCCCATTGCCTCCAAGCTGCTGGCTAGTACCAGCCCGGTCGCGAGGCCAGCCAGTGAGGGCGGCGCATTGGTATTACGCTCGGTGGCGCCGGTCCATCTACAGTGCAAGCCCGCCGTCGAGATTGCAGACGACCTTAATTTCGATGTCGCCCCCTTATTATTGTCATCACCAAGCTTTTTCTTCCTAACAATCTACCAGAAGCACGCAACTCCAAAATAGCGCATGGCGTCTTGGCAATTTGCAATATGTGCCCTTGCCCCTTGCACTCACTCACCAATGCCAGATTTTCTGTCGTGAGCCTCAGCAAAAGAAAATGCATAGGGCCAACTACAGGGCTTCGTGGTGTTGCGTATCAGCAAAAGAAGCAAAATATCCAGACATCCAGTCATCGACTTCGCTTACACAAAAAAACAGGGACAGCTCATTGACCCCGGTCAGCCCTTCATACCCAGGAAAGCGTTAGTATTATTACTATTATTATTATCATCATTATTAACTCTACTATTATTATCAGCCGCCAGATATTCGATTCCCCTTGAACCCGGAGTCAGCCACAAAAGCATGCACATCATCTCATCTCCGGTGCATGAGAATGGCCAACTCTGGTTTGTTGGTGGACACGTGCTCCACGATTATTGCTCGCTCACTGTTTTGTCCATTCCAGTGCCGTCCTTGCGCTCTGGCGATCCAGGAAATTCGCCATCCACAGACGGGTGGTGCTGGGACGCCTTCCTCCCTTGGTACCAATGTGCCTGGTGGCGCGGTTTTGGGGCAGCACCTGGCACCATGGAAACAAAAAAAAGCTTAAATCTCCCTGCAACATGGTACCATGAAACAGGTTTTCGGTCCTTTTTGGGGACATTCCAAAGCCTCTCCCAGCCTATGTCCTGTGTCTAACTTAGGTACGGCGTATGTGCAGGGATGCAATGACGATACATCTAGCCGCATGGCGCAACTCTAGCCTGCACACTGTCGCACACCTAGGTAGTTAACTGATGCTTCCAAGCATTGGTGATGATTCTAACTACACTCCATAGAGACAGCTGACCCGCGATGCTCCAGTCTCGCATCAAAACTTGGCCAAAACAATCGACAGAAACATAGAGATATATGTATATACTCTTTTTCCATCATGACCCACTCGTTGTTATTTGTTTCAGTCGTATGACAACCTTCTTGCAGCCAATGCTACATGTCCTACAGACTAGTTACACGCTTCATCGCTACATTGTGTCTTCCTGTTTCTGTGCCTGTTGTTTGTTGTTACTTACAAGCTTTTATTAGCGTCGTCTGCTGAGCTGCTTGGCCCCCCGACTGCATTCCGTATTCCAACCTGTTAGCTTAGGCTCATGTAGTTCGTGGTTCTAGAAGAGTTCTGTCTGCGCTCCCGCGCTGTATCTAGATCGACCAATCTCGGGGCCTGCTAGTTCCGTGCCCGCTAATCTGCAGTCGACACGGAGAACTACATAGATTTAGGATTTAGTTTTTGCCGCGTGTAGATACTATGCAGCTCCAGCGATACGCTGTTCGAGCCGTAGGGTAGTCTCTTGCCTGCTTGATGCTGGCCGTACAGGTAGGTGCAGTCGGATGGACATCCGAGGCTGCGAAGCGGGTCTCAATACATAACCTCATTCGTACGATAGTGTTATGGTATCCGACTATGGAAACGTATCGTGGAAGTTTGGGTCTTTGTCTCATTTTTGGTGATTTTCAAGGGTTGGTGTAATCCTTGGGTTACATATGTCCGGCTCCTGGTGCCCAGTTGCCTTGACTCTAACCCTCAAAGAGCGCATAAGTTGTATGCATCAACTCTTCAGTCGATGAGAGCGCAAACTGCATGGCCCATAATTCACTTGACTATTATTCCCTACCGACACGAACTATAGTTGCTGGCTTGAAGCCCGATATAGTGCGCAGCTTTAGGATGCAGACACCAGGGCTCAATGCATGTTGTTGTACAGGGTAGCGTATCTTCAACGGCGCACGAGAGCCAATCGCGGCGCACCATGAAACCCGGGCGGCTAGCAGCCCACCAATCAAAACACGTCCCTCACGTCCCTCACATCAGCACCAGACGCAGACCTATACCTATGTATGTATATTCATGTATGTATATTCTGTATGTACCTACCCAATATACCATGTACACAATCACTCGGCGCTTAGCTCTGTCCCGTCCACCCACGGCCGCTTTCGTCCACCCATTCATCGTTGTTTTATCCTTGCCGTTGCCACTGACCAAGAGGGTCTTGTTCCTTATTTTAGCAATGAGCGCATGCCTAGCCATGCAGCATGGCGGCGGTGGCCTGGTGCAGCTGCCCCCCGCCGCTGCCACTTGATGCTCACTCGCCCATTGTCGTGTGCTGCCCTGTACATACATACTTCTTCTCACTCTCCCAATATCCAAAAGTGTTTCAGATTCTTTGGCTTCTATTACGTCTGTGGTTGAGACGCGTACGCTCTTTGTGCACTGCTTCGTTGTTTGGTTCCTTTTTGCATCATCTTTCACTGTCCCTTACTTCTTTCGCTCGCTCTCTCGTTCTCTCGTTGCTTCGACATCATTTATTTAGCCCTCGATCATTTACGCGCCCAACTGTACGAAGCTGAATTTACTCCATCCTCAACACTTGAATCTTTGGGGATTTCTTCAAAATATCGCCTCAGACCCCTCGGGTCCATGTCGGCGAGTCCGCAACGTTCCTGCTGCAAACGACGACCACCTACCCACCTACCAACTATAAGCTCGCACCAACACTGAAATAGCTCTCATGAGCTCGGGACCATACCGGAAAAACGGGCATCTGGCCCCATCCCCTCAACCAAGCGTCGCCGACTGGGAAGAATGGGAGGATGCGAGCATCACGGCCAGCGACGACGAGCAAGGCCTCGTGCAGCAGCAGCCGCCTCCCAAGCCGCCGTCCGACCATCTACGACCAGCTAAAGCTACGACAGTGCGAGTCTCTCGTTATTCTACGGCCAAGATTAAGCGTCTCAAATCGCGAAAGCGGCAAAAGGCCCAAAATGCCCAGGCCGGCATCAGTGTCATCACCGACATGACGGCCTTTCGTCGCGACACCAGTCCAGAGGATCAAGATGCCGCCAAGTTTGCCGACTCTGCTGCGCTTCGCGCGCTTGAAGGCGAGCAAGACTCTGCCTCTGTTGGAAACTGGAACTGGCTAAAAAAAGCCAAGGAGCAGAGCCCGTCTGCCTCGTCGCAAATCAACCAATCACCGCATCACGGCCTCTCCCCAGACGACCGCCCAATCATGATCGGCATCTCAGTGCCACCGAGCGTTGCGCCTTCTTATGACCAAAATCCATATGCTGATAGGAGTCATCAACTGCCAAACATGGTTCCAAAAGGAGGTCTTGGCGTTGTTCCTCGCGACGATCGTCAACCACAATCTTTTTGGTCTCCCGATACCCCAGATACGACTCAACCATTTAGCAATAATCGACCGGCATCGAGCGTGTATTCCATGGCGCCATCATCTGACGCCCCTACCTTGATGGACATGCCTCCTGTGCCGTCTCTTCCCAAACAATACCAAAATCAGGGCAAACTCATCAGCCTGGAGCTTCAGGGCGGCGGCGCAGAGGATGACGATGCCGGCACGCCCTGCACCCTGTTTGAAGAAGATGGCACTACTCCTAGGAGCGCGGGAGCTGCCAGAAAGAAGATCATCTCACTAAGCAGTGCAGTCTCAGCTTCACGCGGCTGGTGGGATCACGTTCTTACACCGCTGGTTGAAAATCGCATGACCTTGAGCAGTCGCAAGCAGAAGCTGGATTCACCCAAAGAGGCAAAATTCAGGCCACCATCGTCGCACCTCTCAGTTTGGCCAGTGATTCTCCCCAAGGCAGAGCCGGTCCTGCCTTTGACGACTGACAAGACACCCATCGTTCGCGTTCCCACTCCGCGGCGGTCACCGTCGCCAAGCTCATCAGCCGGGCCGTGGCAAACTTCAAACTCTCGAGTAGCACAGTACATATCTGAGTCACAACGCAATGAGAAGAACAGGATGGCCGTGACAGACGAGGAACAGCCCACAACGGACCAGCCGCCCCCGTACTCACCCCCGCAACGACCACAACACGACCCGATTCGATACAGAGCCGTGTTTCCTCCTAGTCACCCGCTGCATGCCCAGTTCCCTCCGTCTCCCAACCCTATCTCGCCAGGGCTGGCAGCGACGATGACATCGCAAGGCGCCACGCAAATGACCGACTTGCGAGGCGTATCCTACGAAGCACAATTGCCCGCTCGCCCTGTGGGAACCTATCTGCCGCCAGCTCACCTGGTAGACGCACCGGGGCCTCACAACCGCGTCGAGAGAACCAGACGCCGCCACGAAAAGGAAGACATGATTGCGCGCCGCGCCGGCGGTTTTTGGCGCGGCCGTTGTTGCATCCCGGCCAGCGGCTGCTTCGGTCGCACCGGGAGAGAAGGCCGCAAGAAGCGCCGAATTTGCCTGGGGGTCTGCTCTGCCGTCATCGTGCTGATAATTGTCGCTATCGTGCTGGCGGTGGTCCTCACGCGGCCGCGGGCCAAGCACGAGGTGCCCTCCATCTGGGTCAACCTGACCGACTTCCCGCCGATGCCTACCGGGATCCTCACGGTGGCCGGCCCAGACAACACGATCGCCAGGAGTGTCTGCACGGAGCCTACGACTCTGTGGAGTTGCTCACTGCCAAAGGATGACCAGAGTCCTTCCGCGCTGTACCAGCCGAGCCAGCCTCCACTGATCATGCAGATCCAGTGGGACAACAGCACCCGGAGGGCTTGGAAGGTGCCGAATGAAGATGCGCCGGTTCCTGTTTCGAGGAGAGCTCCCGGTTCTGCCGCCAGAGCCCATGCGCTTGTTCAAGCGAGGGCCGCCTCTCAGTTCAAGCCGGACCCGGCACCCCCCGACTTCAAGGACATGTGGTTCTTGGGGGAGACTACGGACAACATCGTTTCCGACACCAAGGCAGGAGAGCCAGCACCCTTTTACATAAGCATACTCAAATCCCTCAGTGACAAGGTTGAAACCCCCAACTTGCAGAGACGTGACGGCAACAGCAGTAGCGACGCCGAACCCCCCGGTAGCAGTGCGATTGCCCAGGGTAACATTACCGGCCTCCTGCCTCGCCCGGCCCTGGAGCCGGACGGCACGCCGGCGCCGGCGGTGCTGTTCCCGAACGTGGTGCAGCAGCCGGTGCGACTTTATGACCGCGGGCTCAGCACAGAGCACTATGGCTTCTACGCGCATTTCCAGCGCACCATCTTCCTCAAGTCCGTTACGGTGCCCAATCGCGCCGACGATCCCTCCGTGCCGCTCGACCGGGACGGCGGGTGCCGCAAGTCCGAGGCCAAGTTCCTGACGACGTGGGGCGAGACCCGGATGCTGGTGCGCATCTGGACGCGCAAGCTGGCGACCAACTCGTCCAGCATCGTGCAGCCTGACCGCAGCGACGGTGCGGGCAAGGTGGTGGCGGAGCTGCGCAGACCGGGCACGATGCCGTGGCCGGTGACCATCACGCTCGACACGCACGGTGGAGATCCCAAGGGGAAGCTGGTCTGGGAGACGCCGATGGACGACCGCATGCAGCTCGTCAGGGCGCAGTCCAAGCTGCTGGTGAACAAGATGGATGCGGGCGGGACGTGGATCAACCCGCGCGGCACGGGGGACGCAAAGTATGGAGGCTTCGACGGTGGAACGGGCGGCTGCAAGTGTGAGTGGGTGAATTGGGTTTAAGATGACTTATATCCGTATGCGAAAATTGGATAGGCGAGACACATGATGGAAATAATTGGCTTGGATGGTCTTCTTGATTGCAGGCAGGCACTTTGGAAGCTAGCCTGAGATATTTGCATTTGCAAGATTTAAAGTGAGCTATTATGTTTACGATGAAATAACTATATAATAAAGAAAACTTTCTTCCGGGACACATGATCCAATCTCTCGTTGTATGTACATAGATAGATGCTGTCGTATAAGTTGCGTTCCACCATCCATCAGCTTGTCTCCACTAAAAAGTTGCAGCCTCGAGCCTCGACGACAACCCACCATCCTCTCTCCCTTGTTACTATTCACCATCAACCAACCCTACGATGCGACCCATTGCGTCCCCGGGGAACATCTTCACCGCGGGCTCACGCCTACGCCGGCGACACCCCCTCACCTGCCACCGGACCCTCGTGACGCTCGCCATCGAGACGTCCTGCGACGACACCGCCGTCGCCATCCTCGAACACCACAGCAGCCCCGGCCCATCCCCCTCCGCAGACCGCCGCCCCCGGACGGTCCTGCACTTCAACGAGCGCATCAGCTCCGACCTGCGCGCCTGGCGCGGTGTGCGTCCCGCCGCCGCCCTCGACGGCCACCAGCGCACCCTCGCCTCGCTCGTCCGCCGCGCCCTCGCCCACCTCCCCCGCGGACCGCCCGACTTCGTCTGCGCCACGCGCGGCCCGGGCATCCACGGCAACCTCGCCACCGGCCTGTTCACCGCCAAGGGGCTCGCCCTCGCCTGGGACGTGCCCCTCCTCGGCGTGCACCACATGCAGGCCCACGCGCTCACCCCTCGCCTCGTCCGCGCCCTCTCCTCCCTGCCCCCCGCCGCGACCTCCCCGGAATTCCCGTTCCTGACGCTGCTCGTGTCCGGCGGCCACTCGCAGCTCGTGCTGTCCGCCGGCCTCGCCGACCACCGCGTGCTGGCCACCACCGCCGACGCCGCCGTCGGCAACGTCCTCGACCAGACCGCGCGCGTCATCCTCCCCGAGGCCGTGCTCGCCGCCGGCCCGGACGTCATGTACGGGCGCCTCCTCGAGTCCTACGCCTTCCCCGAAGGGCAGGGGGACTTTGCTTCGTTCTACGCGCCGCCGCGGACGCGCGCGGAGGAGGTGGCCGACGAGGTGGACACGGGGTACGCGTGGCGCGTGCCGCTGCCGATGCGCGCCACGCGCCGCATGGCCTACTCCTTCTCCGCCGTGCACAGCGCCGTGCACGCCATCGCCGCCCGGCGTGGCGCAGCCATGGACGAGCCGGAGCGCCGCGCGCTCGCCCGGCACACGCAGCGCGTCGCCTTCCAGCACCTCGCCAGCCGGCTGTGCTTCGCGCTCGAGGACCACCCGGACGCGCGCACGCTGGTCGTCGCCGGCGGCGTGGCCTGCAACAAGTTTCTCATGCACGTTCTGCGGACCACCCTCGAGGCGCGCGGCCTCCTATCCTCCTCCGGCGGTGATGGGATTCGGGAGATCGTCGCGCCGCCGGTGGAACTGTGCACGGATAACGCGGCGATGATCGCCTGGGCGGGCATGGAGATGTACGAGGCGGGGTGGCACTCGGACTTGGACGTCGCGCCGGTGGCCAAGTGGCCGCTGGATCCGGCCGTCAGGCTGCCGGGGCAGGCGGCCGACGGTGAGGGCGCGGGAGGGCTGATGGGCGTCGGCGGGTGGTTGAGATGGAAGTAGACGGGAGCGAGAGGGCGGGTTTGCAAGTCGATCTTCATGTTGTTTGGCGGTGAGGAGATTGTACGATATATGGCACGGACGAGCAGATTATGCACGACTTGTATCAACACTGTATCATTATCATAGCATGGCATGGCGCAAAAAGAAAGGGGTTTGGAAACAAGGGCATTCTACCGGTCGATAATACATACACACACACACACACACACACAAATGCACACACAACCACATTACTCTGAACCCAAGTTATGAGCCAAAGAAATCTGTATTCTTGTACTGTACAAGTTGCAGGGAGCACAGCCGACTTCGAACCTTCTAATAACATCCTAAAACACAGCTCCTTTGTGCTCCCCCGGCGACGACTTTGTGCCATCTCCGCTTCCCCATCATCCTTCATCCACTACAGCTCGCTCGTGACGTTGGAGAACTCACCCTTCTCCAGCTTCGTCTTCCAGAAGATCGGGTTCGTGTCGTTGAAGCCGTGCTTGACCCAGCCCTCCTGCTTGACGTGGTAGAGGTTGATCGAGCCGCCCGAGTACGCGTCGCGGTGCGTGGCCGCCAGGATGCTGCGACGTCCGAGTTCGAGCGCGTCCTCGTCGCTCAGGTCGTAGCGGTACTCGGCGTCCAGCACGCCGTACGCGAATGTCTGGCCGGAGCCGACGCAGAACAGGTTGCCCGCGAGGCGGGTGCCGTCATTGTCGACGTAGTACAGCGCGGGCCCCTCCTCCGGGGTGACGCCCGCGCACATGGTGCCCATGCTCAGGCCCATGCCCTTGTAGCTGTACACGAGGTTGGCGAGGATCTTGCTCGCCGCTGCAACACTGATGCGGCGCTTGTGACGCAGCTCGTGCAGGCGGCACTGCATGCCTAGCCATGCCAGCCAGTACTGGCAGTCGGCCGCGCCGCCCGCCATGGTGCCCAGCAGCACGTCGTTGATCTCGATGACCTTCTTGACCGTCTGTGACGCGATCCAGTTGCCCGCCGTCGCGCGCGAGTCCGTCGCCACGATGATGCCGCCCTGGAAGCGGAACGCCAGCGTCGTGGTGCCGTGGGCAATCTTGATCGGACAGTTGGGGTTCGAGCGGTCGTCTGTGGCCGCGCGGAGCCAGGCAGAGGGCTAATTGCGAGCGGTTAGTCATTGCGATAAATATGCAGGAGTGTTAATTCTCCCGCGGAATCGGTTGTGGCCGTACCTGAGCGACGGGAGGCATCGCAAAGTTGAGAGACAGGTTGGCCATGGGGTCCAGGGTCATCAGGTCCTCATCCTCGAAGGACTCGTTCTGCGCGTGGGCAGGCCGGCTATATCTCGAGACTAGAGCATCCATGGTTCCTGTATTGAACGTCCTCTTCTATTTGTGTCGCACTGAGTCGCCTAAACAGCGGAGGCTTTACCAGAGCACCGGGTCTTTGTGCTGGGCTGGCTCGTTGGGTGGGTATCGTAGGAGGCTTCCGGTATGTTGAAAAATTCGAGAAGTATACTGCAGCAGCTGTGAGTAGATGCAATGTAATGAAGAAGCGTCGAGACAGGTGGTGATGCTTCTGATTGATGCGAGTTTGTGCCGTTTGGGATGACAGGGAAGAGAGAGGGTCGAAAGGCTCAGGCAGCTCTCGGCTCGCGCGTCACCAAGCTGGAACCTGGCTGGCTGGAAGCTCTGCTGCTTGAGTGCAGAAGCTTACCAAATCAGTGGGTGCCTGGGTACGTACTGATGGCCGCAAAGTTGATGCCTTGTTGCCTTAGCCAGAGCTTGTCAAGTGGGTCGCGCGGTGTTACCAAGAAAGGAAGGATATCACAGAGTGTTGTTCTTTGCAGCTACCATTCGCTCCAATCTACAAAGAAATAAATAGTTTTTGCAGGTTCAAACAAAGTAACAGACAGAATATTGACATCAAAAAGAATGCACTCGCCAGCACCATCCCATTTCCCTTGTAATAATTATCCAGACACAAAGAAAGACGCTCAAACAAACCCCCACCCTTACACATCACCATCTCAAATGGAACCGCTCACGGGTTTGGCGTCGTCTCCCGGCTGACGCGTGATGACTCGCCTCGCTTCAAGAGCATGCTTCTGCGGATGCTAGTCGAACGCGGGCTGTCTCTGATGCTAGCAGAGTCAGCGGCCTGGAACGTACTCCTGATCACGACGGTGCCGCCACCAATCGTAAGCTCCTTGGGACCTGCGCCCGTCTCGTCCACAAAGTATGGGTGATCCCCCAGAGCGTCGTCGCTGCCAAAGGTGTGGTTGCCCTTGACCTCAACTTTGAACTGAGAATCGGCAGCGCAGTTGAACCTCAAATCCTCGTCGAATGACCATTCGCCCGTGGAAGACTTGAAGTGCTTCGTCTTGCCTACCGTCTTCTCCTTTGGAGCAACCTGCGAGATGGCGATGTATAGATCGGTAGAGCCAGGGAAGCCAGAGGCGCTGACAATTGTGAAAACGGCGCTCCCGCTCGGCGCACCAGGCATGCCGCTCTGGATAGAAGCAGCGCCAATGCTAGAAGCGCGCCTGTGCGAAGGGCTGGGAGTCTCAATTGACGGGATGGGCAGCGATGGGTTGCCTCCGGGAGTAGGTGTCAAATCCCTTCGAGCAGCCGTATCCAGTGTAGGTGCTTTCCTGAGACCACCAGGTTCGGCGACGTCAACAGGCTCGGCGACCTCGACAACAGTGCCGTTGCTATCCTTCTTTCCAAAGATACCACGTCGCACAAAGGAGGCACCTTTTCCAACACCATGGCCGACAGCTCCAGCAACCGCGACGCCGCCCTTGATGGGAGCACCGGCAACGCCAGTAACAATACGAGTGGGGGCTCCGAATGTGCCTGCAAATGACGAGGTACCATGTCTTTGGCGGGTGACGTAGTCTGGGCGGAAGAGCATTCTGATTCGTACACTACCAGACTTGCCGTCGAGAGGGTACTGAGTCTCGTAGGCTTTAAAAGGCTCCAGCTGGGCCAAGCTAATGTCTGTGGCACCGAGAAGGTCAGGCGAATCAGCAAAATCATAATCCCAAACAGTGCACTTGAACTTGGCAGCTGTTCGCGAAGGAACAGGCACCTCAAAGTTCTCGTTCCATGTAGGGTTGAGCGTCTTTTTGATAATTTTGGTCTTGAAGACATCTTGCCCATTGAGCTCAAATCGGCAGTAAGGATCGCTCTTGCCGTTGCGGTCAGCGGAAGGCAGACCAACACCATCCAAGATGTCAACACGAAGGTTGCCCATGTTGTTGATGCTCTCGCTAGGATCAAGATTCATCTTGATAGGGATATACTTAAGGCTGACCTTGACAGAACCAGTCCTGCCATCTTCAGACTTGAGCTTGAGAATGGTGGGGTTGTTGAGACACTGCTTCAGAGTGTCAAGCGTGTTGCCGGTTAGAGATGCCAGAACGTCGCCGTTGTCATCGCCCTTCTTCCGAGCCTTGAGCGTAAGTCGGGAAAAGTCGAGCTCACGAATGACGCAGTCCCCAATCTCATCAAACTTGTAGCTCTTGGTTGAGGTGCTGTTGGTAGTGTACGCAGGGTACATGTAGTCGTCGACCCAGACCTCTAGATGGCTTGGAGTGTCAGGCACTTCCGCTTCGAGAAGGCGGAAGATGAGCAGACCACTCTCTTCTCTGAGCAGCTGCTCGGGACTCATGTGAATCCTGGGAGGACCAGTCTCCTTGTCACCGTTCTGTTCAAGACTTGTGCGACTCTTGGCAGACTTGACAGATTTACTTGTGTCAACGCTTGGTTTGCCCTTGGTGTGTCCGGCAGCGGGAGCAGCCTTGTCGGTAGCACCGTTGGCAGCCTTTTCGGTGGACGTTTTGTCAGTGGTACCGTTTGCGGCCGCCTTTACCGCATCCTTGGCAACTTCCTTCGTGGCGTCACCGTTGGTCTTCTCGGCCGTCTCCTTTTCTTCCTCTTCCTCTTTAGGATCCGCAATGTTGAGGCAGGGGTAAAACGCGGCTGTGTAGTGAAGCGTTCCCTTGGGCACACCCTTGCCGTGAAGACGGAGAGCACCCTCACGGTTATCCTTCCTATCGTGCACTAGATACTCGCCGAGTTCGTTCAATTGCATGAAGTCACCAACAGCCAGTTCAGTCAGGCCTAGGCTCCTATCCTTGCCAACCTTCTCCATATCCATAACTTCAAGAGTGAGCCTCTCGCGCTCGGAGTGAACAGGAACATAGAGGACTTCGTCCCATTCAGGGTTGAGGTCGTTTCTGAAGGTAACAGTTTTTCCCTTGTCGATACCAGAGAGCAGAACGCGTACGTACGGATCGGATTTTCCGAAGGCTTCGAAGTTGCGCAAGTCGCTTGCCCGTTTAAAGTGCAGACGCATAACACCGACGGGAGTCTGGTAGCCGCCGGTTCCAGCAACGCCAGAAATGGCGACAGGTCGCCACTGAGCCATCATCTTGACGCGACCAGTGGAGACGCCCGCTAGGCTGTACCACTCCTTGCCCTGAGCCATACAATCGAGCATTTCGTCGAGCTTAATCTGGTACTTGCCGACGACTTGGTCCCCGGCGAGTTCACGGTCATCCTTGATGATGACACCGAGCTTGGCAGACTTGCGGTCGGTAATGAGGATTTCCTTGGAGCCGTTATCCCAGATGGGGTTGTTGGTGCGCTTGAGCTTCTTGGTTTGGTGAACAGGTTTGCCATTGAGTAGCAAATCAGCGTAGGGGCTGAGGCTACCGACAAGACTCTTGGTGCCGTCAAGATCTTTGGCTTGTTCGACAGTGAAGCGGAGAATTCCCTGGTTAGATTCCGGAGCGGGCTCAATGGTGCCATCCTCGAGCTTCTTCTCAGCGAGAATCGGGAAGAAGCGCAAATCGCAGTTGACAACACCGCGTGCCTTGCCGTCAGCGAGAACCTCGATGCGCTCATTCTCTTGGATGTTGAGCTCCTCGAGGTTTTCCATGGCAAAGGTAGCGACACCAAGTTCCTTGGATTTGCGGAAGTCGTTCTTGTCGAAGACTTGGATATCAAGAGAGTCGGAGAAAGACGTGACAATGAGGTAGTGCGTCTCGTTCCAGCGTGGATTGGCGTTGTCTTGGACGGTCTTGGTCCTGGCGAGTTCCTGGCGACGGTTGAAGGTGATGACTGCGTAGGGATCGACGCTGCCACCGAGTTTGTCCGTGTTCTTGAGACCCTGGGCGCCGTGGAGGGTGACAGCCAAGACACCAACAGCTTGATCAACGGGAGTACCGGCGAGCATCTTAGCGACTTCAATGGGGAAGACCTTGGGATCGTACATCATAGGACCAAGAGTGCCATGGATCTGCTCAAGGATGAAGCTTTCGAGACCGGGAATGAAATTGATGTCGAAGCCAAACGTCTCTCCACCAAGCGGCTTGCAAACGTAGTCGATTTCAGGACGACCAAGGAAGCACATTTCAACACGGTCAATGTGAGGGAAAGGAATCTGTAGCTTGATCTTGAGGCGCATGATGCCGGAAAAGGCCATATCCTCGACAATGACGTCCAAGCCCTTGCTAATCATGGCCTTTCCGATACGGATTTCGAGAACAATCTTGGGGTTGATCTTGTTCTTGATCTGGCGGGAGGTAAGATCGGCGGTGTCGTTGGGGGTGAAGCTGAACTTCCAGTCCATCATGACGATATCGTCCTCAGTCTTAGGGTAAGTCTTGACGTGTTCCATGCGCGGAGGCTTGGAGCCGAGGGTGAAGGTCTTGAGCTTGAGACTGTCGAGGAAAGCAGGGGTAGATGAGCTAAGGACCTGGTCGACGGAGTTGATGATGGTCTGAGCGAGGACGGGTTGGTAGATGGGCCAGAACTTGACCATGAAGGAGTTGATCCACTCGAGAGATTCGTTGTCAGTCTCGAGCTTCTTGAGAGCCATTTCGCGGCTAATGTCGTCGCGAAAGTTGCGGCGGACGCGGCGTAAGGAGGTACGGTAATAGGTGGCACACGTGGCCATGACGATAAGTACCCAGCCGAGGCCACCCCCGAGGACAGCAATTAGCCAGGAAGTGATACAGGCGACGATGACAATGGCGGTATTGTGGTACCAGTCTAGTAAAGAAGTTTGGGGTCAGCAGGATGCGCAGTGAGATGTGTTGAGGCGTGGGCTTTGCCGCGTTAGGAGCCTTACCTCCGTAGAGCGTATCGGGGAGTCTGCCTTCAAGCCAGGTAGAGTGGTCCAGCAAGCTTTCAGCCTCGAACGTCTTCTGCGAGGGCCAGCCCATCTTAGGAGCCCAGCCGGTGCGCATATACAGAGGCTCTGCGGCGCCAGGGTCGGCACCAAGGCCAAGTGGCTTGCCGCTGGCGTCTCTGGCGACATCGAGGACGCCTGCTTTGGAGGGTTCTGGCAAATCTTCGACGGGGCCGGTACCATCATCCATGTCAGTGACGACGGCAACGGACCTTTCGGGGCGTGATTGGCGGAGCTCTGCGGGAATGGCCTGGGGGAGGGACAAGATTAGCAAACATGGCGAGCGACGCGACAAAATGCAAGGCAAGATGGCCAAGGCAGTCGGAGGAGAATGGGGGAAAAAACAGGACATACAGCTCTGGCCTGAGCACGCTTCTGCTCCGGACTGGCATCGGGATCAAAGGAAAAGGCAGGGATTCCGGAGTTGCGAGCCTCGGCGACCATCTTGCGCTGAGCATCGTCGGAGGTGACGGTGCTCTGGGGGTTTTGGGCCGCGGCGACGGCATTGTCCACCTTGGCCTCGCGGGCTTCGTCGGCAGCCATGACGAGTTAACTTGGGAGATGATGCGCAATAGGCGATGGGTGTTGAGATTGAATTGGATCTGTATATCGCAGGAGGGGAGAGTCAATTGGCGCGCGCCCGTCGGCGAGGCGACATGCAGAGGCAAGTCGACAGTACTAGGTTGTTTGCAGGACGGAGAATTGGCGAGAGCTGAGCTGTCGCAAGCAGCGCAGACTTGGAGGAGGAGGAGTCGTGACTAGTAGTCGGAATGTCTCAATGGGACGACTGGAGCTGCGCCCACAAAGATGAATTCGGGTTCTTGCAGCCCACCACCATAAAATGACGCTGATCTGACAGGGGTGGGAAGAGGCGGCGGGGGTATCTTGAATTAGTAGGATGTATTCGTAGAGAATGATATCGATGGAATAACAAAAAAAAACTAATAGCTGGCGATGCTAGCAGCAGCACTGGGGAGCTGTCAGGTAGGTAGTAGATTGCAAACGCGGAGCTAGAGCTGAGCGTTGGATGGGAAAGGGCCAAGAGGATGACGGACAGAGACTTACGCCAAACGGTGAGAAAAGAAAGACAATGAACGGATGGAAGGACGGACGGATTGGATAAGAGAAAAAGAGAGGCAGGGAGTAGGAGGGGGGTGGCTGCTGGCAGCTGGCAGCTGGTAGGTTAGGTTAGTAGGTACCTGCTGGCAAGCTGGGCAACTTGGGGAAGCGTGGTTGATTGGTGACGACGAGGAGCAGAAGTTAGTAGTAGGAGAGAGGGAGCACCGAAAAGAGTGGAGGGAAGCAAGAAAGCTATCAAAAAGTCAAGCTGTGATTAGCGCAAAACCACAAAGAGGGTCCCCCGATAGCTTGCTGGCTTGAGGTACTAGTACTTGAAGCTTGGTCAGAGGGAACACGGAGAATTCCAGTGCAATCAGAACAGCGCTCAGGACAGCAGTTAGGGCAAGCTGCTAAGTAATAGCCGCCCGCGCACAAAGACGTTCACGGTTGATCTGGTGTATGTATTCTACCTACCCAGTAGCGCCTGGGTAACTTGTCCAACTCATCTCTTTCACAGGCTTTAGGCACTGTCCCTCAAGTACAAGTACCGTCCCCGCCCCAAGCACAGCTGCCATGGTCCCAGCTCTCTGGTCTGATCCTGGTTCTGCTGAAGGAGGGGGGCCGCCATGGGTGGCACCGGTGGGCTCTCAGCCTCCTCCGGCTAGCTGGTAGCCCGGGGGGGCGAATCAGGCCAGGCAACTTTTTGGGGGGGTTTTTGTTTTCTTACAATGAGTTGCGAATAGAGTAGACAGAAGACTGCTAATAAGAAGCAAGCGGAGAATCATTTACTTGTTGTACGTCAATTCGTGAGCGGAAGAAGCCTGATGTGCGCGATGGCGATGCATGTGGCTAGCTGTGCGTGCCAAGTACTTGTACATACATACTGTATGTCTGTCTGTCGCTTCCTGTACGTGGCCTCTTTTCTAAGAGCATTTAAGACATGCAGCTGCATCCATTCATTGTAATACATCTGCACGACGCCATGCCGCAGCACTGCAGGATTACTGGCACCTACCTCAGATTACACCTCGGTGTTTGGCTGGCATGTTCCTCGGCCTACAATTGTCGCTGACCCCGACACTCTCAGCCATCAACGACCCATTCCCTACTCCCTCACTTAGTAACTCACTCACTTACACACTCTCTCGCTTGCTCGCTCACTCATTAACTCATGCACTCATTCACTCACTCGAGCACTCGCCAGTTACTTTACTACTACCGCCAGGGAATCTCTCATCGTCTCATATCCTGGGTTTACCAAGTGACGAGTGAATAACCACAGCCTCGCACTCATACCAGGCAGGACATGTCCGTCGCAGATCGGATGCGGCCAACCACACCAACCCCCAGTGGACCTCTACCGTCCGCCCCGTCCGCTGGAGCTTCCGAGGTCTTGTGGCGCTCTGCTAACAAGTTAACTAATAAAGCGTTAGCCAAATCCCTCCCAGCTGGACATGGCAACGAAAGTCGACGCCGCTTAGGAGGCTTGGAATCCGAATGTACCAGTACCTGCCTCGTCAACAATCTCTCCGTCATCTGCCAGTACCAAGTACCAGCTTCGCGCTTGCCCAACCTCCGGCTCAAGCTGCCGCGTCGCCCCGATGGCTAACAAGCTCTCGGCTCGCCGATGCCGTGCCCTTTGGCGGCCTCTCTTTACTGAATCGCCAATTCCTGCTTTGCGTGTAATGCCAACTGTGCGAGGAAGATGGGTGCAAATCTTGTAGCCATGGCGCGTGTCAAGTTTCGTAGAAATGAAGTCGATGTATTTGTTGCCCAAAAACCTCACCACTTTAAAATTCTAGCCCTCGCCTCTGCTTGGCTTTAATCAAACTATTTCCCCACCGAGTAAATGTCTCCTCCTGTCTACAGATGCTACGAAGTGAAAAGGTAGCCCGAGCCTTTCCCCATTTACCATAACTCCGTCTTCCATCGACCCATGATCCGCGTAGCCTTGCGGGCCAAGCACAGTTCACCATCCTAGATAAAACTTTGCATGCCATTCCTGCTATGGTGACTACCAACTAGACCTCGCCGCAGGTGTGGGCAGTGACAATTTACAACGTTGCGCAGCGTGACGCAAATCGCTTGAGAGGAAATCAACATAAAAATGCAGGACCTTATCTCGTTCCCTCATGAATCGACTAAGACTAGGAAATTGGACCCCGCGCATCACTATCATGATCACCAAGGTCGAATATACTACACGAACAAGAGTGCGCTGCAATAATTCATGCCACGTCCAAGAGGCCGGAGTCCTAACACGCCAAATGGGAGGGAGGGACATTGCATCACTGCCGGCACACCATTGGCTAAATTACTGCGGTGCATCACTGGCCTTTATTCAGTCTAAGATATTGCAAATTGAAGATGCCGTGATATAGTAGACAGACAGGAAAAGATGAATAGAGAGGGTGAGTAGTATAAATGTACAAAATCAAAATCGCTTGCTCCCAGTAGAAAGACCAAAAACAACCAAAGAACACAACACAACTCTGAACAACTCCACAAGAACCGATGATATGCGGCACACGCGCACAGGCCGCCCGAATCACTCCTAGAATCCGAAGCCGTCGTGCTGGTGCACTGGGCACCGCCCAGGGTGGTTCACGAACCAGGCCGCAATGCAGGCGCGGTGGAAGCGGCAGAGGCACTCGAGGCGCGCCATGGGCACGCCGACGGCGAACTCCTCGAGGCAGATGGTGCACTCGGCGTCATCGACGCAGTCCTTCTCGGTCGCTGCGTACGTGTACATGCCGCTGCGGCGGGGCGGGGCCGGCGCGACGCCCTCGGCGAGGGGTGACGGGCTGCCGCCGTAGGTGCTGTGGGACTGGATGCACGCCGTGATGTGCTGCTCGCGCTGCGTCTCGAAGTCGGGAAGCGTGGTGGCCGGTAGCTCTCGGTGGCATATGGGGCACTCGTCCTCTTCCGCGATCTGGGGCGTCGGCGGCAGCGCCCGGTGCCGGGAGGAGGACGGCGTCGCCGCGTCCTCGAACAGTCCTGGCCGGGTGCTGAACTGGGACGGCCCAGCACGCCCGGGGCGCATAGATAGGTACTGTTCGAAGGGAGTCTGATATGAGGCACTGCGGCTCGATGTCGGTACCGGATCGTGCCCCCTTGCAGAGGGGTTCTGATTATCCTGTTAGCTGTACCATGCCGCAGAAAAGAGGTAATGCTTTCACATACCAGGGCAATACTCCTTGTGCGAGAACTGAGATATTGGGATGAATCGTGGATCCCTGGCAGTGTAGGCATCCCGCCGTATGCATTGCTGAGGCTGCTCCGGGACCTGTGATGCGGTGAGCGCGGTGAATGCGGCGTCGGGCTCTGCGGCGGCGCCGTGTTCGGGTCGGGAACGCAGGGGTTGCAGAGTCTGACCCGTTCACCACCAGGCATGCCGTCATGCTCCAGGAAACTGGCTCCCATCGGGTCCGCAAACAGGCTCGAGGCGAAGGAAACGTCCGAGTCTGGGGGGCGGACAATGTATTGGTTCGGGATCGTGATTCGGTGAGGGGAGCACGAGTTGCAGACGACCCGTCCGCATTTCCTATCGCCTTATTAGTAGCCGCATACGAGCATGCCGCCGTTGCCTCGCGAATCAACACACCTGCAGTGGTGCTTTCGCACCCATATGCTGAACTGCGTGTGGCAGATGGGACAGAGGGTCACCTCGGCATCGGGCTGCCACCTAGGGAGAGAGAACTCGGGCACCTCTCGGCGATGCCTCTGCGATCGCTCTCGCGGAGGAATGAATTGTTGACGGAGGCTGCTTCGCCTGCGTGTGGATAGAGGCGAGCCCTCCGCTACGAAGCTTGATCGGAGCGGGTACATGACGGATGAGAAGGCCACAACCTGCCCGTCCGGACCGACAAACCGGGTATCGGGCGAAAATTCGACGCGAGAGTTCGACGAGGTGGCGGTCGTTTGGACTGGTGCGGCTCGCGGTGGTACGAGGTCTGGCAAGGTCCGGATGGGAAGAAGCGTGTTGGTTGCAGCGCCGGCGCCGCCAGCAACGTCGCCGGCGGCATTTTCTTCTCGGGCGGTCCTATTGGCGTTTGTATCGTCTCTTTCTGAATTTCCATTGCGTTCTTGTGCAATCTCTCGCCTCGTGTCTGGTGTGACGGCAGCGGAAGGCGCCTCGTTGGTCAACGCCAAGGGTTGCTCGACTGCAGCCGTACCTGCAGGCGAGGAAGTGTCACCGGCCCGCGTCTGGGCGCCCTCGCGACTGCTTCCAGGGCTTCCACTGGAGGCTGCAGACAAGCCGACGCCATCCTCTGTGTCCTGAGTATGTGCAGCGCCCGTGGACTGGCCGGGGTTCGTTGTTCTGTCGTCCATCGTGTGGTTCGTCGTTGCCGTATGCGCTGCAGGTTCAGGGTCTCGCGGGGTCGCCATGCTTCTCTAAAACATCGGGGCAGGATGTGGTGCACTTTCGGGACGCGGGGTCTATCGAGGGCGGGACCAGGTAGGAAGAAGGAGAAAAAATCGAAGACGAGTGAAGAAGGAAAGATAATCTTGGGATGACGACGGGCGGCCTTCTGATTTGGCAAACTTGGGCCTTCGGGAGTTGAAGGTACCCTTGATTTCGTTCCGCCACTCCGCCACTTTCACTCCATACGCGTGGGTTTCTTGGCGCCGGGTTTTGCTGATGAACAGCCCTGATAAGAGCACGTGTAAAGAGGACGTAGAGTTATGGGAAACTGAACGCCAAATAACTCACCAACTCCAGAGAGTTCGACGGCCTGGTGTTGGGACGGCAAGTCGAGACACGCGAGCAACCCTTGCGTCAGGAAGTGGATGTTGTTAGCAATCGGCATCGCCACTAAAATCAAGACGAGACCTGTCACACGCCCTTTGCCCCCACTCTGTAAGGGGGACTAGGATCGACAACCATGTTTTCAAGCAAGCATAAATAGAGCAAGCCATCATTCTCGAATGAATGATATTAGTCTTCCCTTGATCTCTTGTGTATTCTGCTATTGCTTACAGGCTCAGTGCTGCACTTGTACGAGACCTCTTCGGGCTTGATATCAAGAGACTACGTCCACTCACCAGAACAGGACGCCCTTTCATTCAATGTGCGAACTGCTAATTTCCCTACATTCGCTATGTTATATGCTTCTGTAAAAACTATAGTATACTATACAAATTATATTCCAGTACTTGCCACGCAAACATCATTCGCCAACCTCGCGATCGTCCGCCCAGTGTACCAGTGTCATGATGCGCCACCGCCATGTTTTGGTTCGGAGCACCTTGCCCCAAAAATACAGTGGAATCCATAGTATGATGACAGCCGTAGAGATGCCAGCCATGGCGCCGTATGCATTCTGATACCCGGACTTGTTAATCCAAGGGTTCGTCTCGAAAGACAGCAAAAATCCAAAAAGTGCTGTGCAGAGCTGTGTTAGCGGGACACGTCGTGTATCGGCAGCAGGCAAACTCACATTTAAAGCCCATGACGGCGAGGGTAACTTCGCCTGCAACAGGGCGATAAGAGTCAATCACATAGACGATGCAGACAGTGCTGGCCTGTGTAATAGAGAAGTTCACTACAACCCCCTGTTAGTCACACTCAGCGTCATAGAGACGAGCGAAGATCTGTCCACCTACATAATGCCAAGCCGATAGTTGGGCAGATGAAACTCAGGTGATGCTGAATGCCAACCCCATAGAGCACGAGAGCCAGGGGTGTTGTGATGGCGGAAATCATGATGGTGGGAAGTCGCATCTCCGGCTCTCGGATACCTCCATTCCGCCTCGTGAGATAGTCTGCGCATAAGTCGCCGAGTTTGCCTCCCGCCGGAAGACCAAGTATGGAGCCTATAATGGCTGCAAAGAAGCACAACCCAACTTGCCACGGCTGAAAGCGGTAGGCCTCCTCAAAAGCAGGGTCAACATTCGACGTGACAGCTACGAGGAAGCCGATAGTTACAGCTAGGACTAGAGCCGCCCAGAGTACCGACGGCAAAAGAATCAGAGCGAATGGTCGCATCATCATCTTCACTATGCTCTCATTCGTCAAAGGCTGTCGGCGGAAGACCTTGAGCGATTGCCAGTATGTTTGCCTGGCGACAGTGGATCGACCAGTCTCAGCGTCACTGTTTTGGCTTGCGGCACTTCCCAGGGCATCAGAAGATCCCAGAGAGATATGTTTGCTGGCTCCAACCCGCTTATATGCCGTTTCCGGGAGCGTGAAGAACAGAAGGAGAAGGACGAAGCCAATCAAGGCAGAGCTGACTTCATAGATTGTTCGCCAATCGCTGTTGGCAGTAATACCTCCTGAAACAATCATGCCAAAAGCGACGCCAATGGAGAGGAAGCAAGTATAGGCGGACATGATGGCTCCGCGTTCATGCAGGAAAAACAGGTCGGTGATGGTAACTGGTGCAAGGGTTTCTGCCGCACCGGCGCCGAAGCCCATCAGGATGCGCCCAACAAGGAATCCAGCATATGACTTCTCAAAGATGAGCCAAACAGCCGTCGCAAAATATATTGCGTAGCTGGCGATATAGATGGGCCTCCGACCCCATTTGTTGGCAGCAGGAATCCAAAAGAGATTGCCCATGCCCTGCAACAGCGACGTTGAGGTAAAGAAATACGCGACTCTGGGGATGGCATAAGTTATGAGACTACCATCCTGAGCTGCCTGGGGAAAGAAGTCCATTGCTGTCTGGACAATTGCGATTGACGGGCCGGCCGCCAAAAAATTGCACATGGCCATGGCCACGCACAAGACAATCGCAGCGTACTTTTTGCGCCATTGCGACCTGTTGTCGATGGGTTAGACACGAGTGGGCAGGCAAAGGATCAGAGCAGACAAACCAGTTCAGCGGGTCATTTGGGTCAGAGGATGGCGTAGGAATTAGGATGATTTCGTTGTTTTCCTGATCTCTGAGACGGACATTGCCCAACGTCGCCTTGCGAGTGGTGACGCCGGAGCCTCTGTCAAGAGGGCGCGTCACCGTTTGTACAGCATCAGTGGCGGCCATGGCGAACCAGCGTCAAGCGAGGCAGCAAACGACGGCCGGGACGCACTGATAACAACTAATACGGAAGAGGCACATTCCCCCAGAAGGATCGAGTCGAGCGGGATCGAGGTTGGAGATTGGCGAGACGACGAATTTATTTACTCAGTGCAGCGCCACCCTCACTCAGTCAGCTGCCGAAAACCGGGGTATCTGTAAGGATCAATTAGTTATGATGCAGCAGTCCTCGAGGCCTAGAACAAGGTACCTACCGCAGTAGATAACTTAGGCCGTACGAATAAAGCCATTGACTGGGCTGCTGGGCTGCTACAGTAGGTATCTGGCGAGTGGCGGGCGCAGGCTTGGGGGAGGGATCTAGCCGGACGCCGAGGTCGTAATAGGCGGTACAGGCGGCCTGCGGGAAGCAAGGTGGCATGGCAGGTTCCGTGGAGCAAGTTAAGTACCGAAAGCACCCCAAGCTGGTCAATGTCTCGTTTTTAGTGTCTGAGAGGCTTTTTGGTGGCTCACGGGCTGCAGAAGGAAGGAAGGATGGATGGATGGATGGATGGATGGATGGATGGATGGATGGATGGATGGATGGATGGATGGATGGATGGATGGATGGATGGATGGATGGATGGATGGATGGATGGATGGATGGATGGATGGATGGATGGATGGATGGATGGATGGATGGATGGATGGATGGATGGATGGATGGATGGATGGATGGATGGATGGATGGATGGATGGATGGATGGATGGATGGTTGGTTGGTTGGTTGCTGTCGCGGATGAGACGTCTAGACCTTTTCCATGTCCCTTTTTGTTGGCAGCTACATGGACGAAGGCTATTCTGGTGGTGGTGTCCTGATGGCAGCACAGCGTCTCAAATTATTCCATGCGAATGAGCACGCAAGTTGCCGCCACAGGGCGCCGCAGGGTCCCAACCAGTTAGTAATTACTCAGTCCGTAGAAGTAGGTAGTGCGACAATTACTACAGAGTAGTACTTCGGACTACTTAGGCACTAGGTTGTCGGCCGGGCCTTTCCTGATGGTGTGGTCCGGCTGACAGCGATGCGCCAGTCTAGATCTGTAGTTATGTGGCCAAATAGAGTTATTTGGTTGAACTGATTTAAAAGAGCAATATAGAGTTAACAGCCGTTTGCCAACCAATGTAGAGGGTGTCAAAGAAGAACCAACAAATGGATGGTGAAGTGGCACTGAAATGTCATTGCGCTTGCTTGAGCCCGTTTCCCTGACTAATGATAACTGTGAGGAGCGCCGGCAGTCGCTGCACCGAGATCCTGTCAAAAACGCACATCAACCAAGGTGGGGGTTGAAAATCAAGGTCATCTATGTATGTACCTGTCAGTACGGAGTAGCTAACTTAATGTTACTCTGTACGGAGACGTACAGTATGTACATGCGAGGATATCTGCACATATGTACAAGTCATGTATGCGCGGCTGAACATTATTTCTAGCCTATCGCATACTCCGGCGGCCGTTCCGCCCACATTCTTCTTGCCTTCTCTCTTTTCTTTTCTCATTTGTACCATCCTGTCTCGCTTGTTCCGTCAATCAGACCCAGGCTGAAACTCTCTCCATCTCTACGGCTAGCTATGTACAGCACGTAGGTACTAACCCACCCTACACCTGAAATCTCGCCTCTCGCCGAGCGGCTTGCCTCCGACGTCAGCCATGAACTCAGGCCTCCCCCCCCTTCCCACTCTCCAGCAACCCAGACTAACAGCACGCCGCTAAAATAGTGCCACAGCGTCGCGGATGATGGAAGGTAACTAGTGATCGTCCTGCAGGCCGCTGGCTGCTGGAGCTCACAGAGAGAAGTTCTTGGGTTCACGGAGTCTCCGTTCGGCGCTGTCTCAGGATGATATGATGGATGGGAATGGCGCTACACTTTCCTGTCGCCCCCAGGCTTCCCGGCAAGACGCATAGTCAGCAGCGCCCAACCCAATCGTTGACGGAAACGGCTCCGTGATCGTTTTTTTTTCGAACCTCAGCCGCGTCACCGGCCAGCCTTTCTTTAATTTGACCTCTCTCCGATATCCCTGCTCATACCTAGCTCTTGCGACCACGGCTCTTGGGCTGCCGCGTCTACGCCTTCCCCGTCCATTCTGTCACGCGCATCCGTACTCATGTACGGAAACGCCTGGCCCTGAGCCCACGAACAGCTCGGCTTCTCCAAGCTGCCAAGGCGACCATCCATCATGAACAGGTCGTCCTCACTGTCCAAAATCTTGGACCCTCAGCCTCCTCCCCTGGATCCGCAGCAAGCCCAGCAGCCGTTTTACAGTCAAACTCCCGACAGTGCCCACGCCAGCGTTGGCGCGCAATACTCTGAACCCCCTTCCGGCTTTAGCACTGCCAGCCCGACAGTCGCAACCTCGACAGATCCCTTGCAACCACATCAGCCTTCCGCCACGACGCCTCGCAAAGGCCACGTAGGGAACAATCTGTACGCCTGCCGGGATTGTGGCCGCTCATATTCGCGGCCTGAGCATCTCGTCCGGCATGTCCAAACACATACCCTAGGCCGACGCTTCATCTGCGAAATCTGCCAGAAATCCTTCGCTCGGAAGGACCTCTTGCGTCGGCACGTCGCAAACCATGCAAACGACTCCCCCGCAAAGCGTCGCCGCAAGCAAGCTTCACCCGGACCCGGCCGTGTCTCCCAGGCTTGTCGGCCATGCGCAACCGCCAGGGTCAAGTGCGAAGAAACCAAGCCGTGCAAGCGCTGTGTCTCGAGGAAGCTCGAGTGCGTCTCGTCTGAGATAGGCCTTGGCCACTCAAAGAACATTGCGCACTTTCCAGTTGAAGCCGTTCCTCAGACTACATCTACAGAGTCCAACGAGCCTTCTCCATCGCATCCATCGCAGCCCTCCATTCCCGATACCTCAAGTTCTGTCCCGGTCGCGCACACGAATACAACACCCGGGTCACAAACCACTCAAATACATCTCGACGACGGCCAATTGCCAACGCCCGAAAGCGCACAGGAACACAATGGATTCCACAGCAACCAATTGGCATACAGTCTCGCACATGCCTCTACGGAACCAATGGACGGCTCACAGATGTTGGCGCCACCGACCTCCAATATGATGGATCCCACGACGATGCCCTTCTTCGACTTCCTGCGAGACGTGCTGTACGATCAGCCCTTTAATCCGTCACGATCCACAGATCCACAGGGTCTTGATGTATTGGACTTCTGCGACAACACCAGTCTTGAAATGACTGACATGGATTTTGGGCTCTTAGATAATTGGAATCTGGATCTCATAGGAGGCACACCGCGGTCCACACGCGAGGGTAGCATCAGCCGCCCTGAAACGGCAGGTGAGGTTGCGCAGATGCGCAATGCTCTTGTCAGAGGATGGACGGAATCTCCCTGGCGCTGGCAGCCCAAAGACCACGACACAGGGTACAACGAGCTAGGCCATATACCAGTCAGCAACAGCCACGCCGCCAGGATGCATTTGAAGAGAGGAGGCGAGCACGCTTTCCGAGTTTCGCGAGAGAGGCTGGAACAATCGGGCAGAGATAGGCTTCTCTCGTCGGTGCTTATCACCTGCAAAACTGACAACAGCAGGAATCAGGTTGCTGCATCGTTTCCGACCGTTGAACTTATGGACAGTATGATCCACATTTTCCTAGCAGCACATGCTTGCCAGGTTTCAGGCTGGATCCATTTCCCAACATTCAAACTGAATGAGCAGTGGCCTGAATGGATAGGGAGTGCGGCAGCGGCCGGGGCAGTGTCAACGCCTGTACCAACGCTTCGAAAGTTTGGATTTGCAGTGCAGGAGGCGATTAGAATTACTATCCCTTCGCGATTCGAAGAGAACAATACCGCGATTCAAAACCTCGGCCTCGTTCAATCCCTCATTCTTTGGGAGGACATTGCGCTGTGGAGTGGAAATCGACGTAAAATGGAGATTGCAGAATGCCATCTTGTCATTCCGGTCACCATGATGCGGTATCGTGGCAAATTTCAACGCGCCAGTTATCCTTTGCTTCAAGTCCTGGCGTCAGATGAAGGGCAAGAGCTGGAAGAGAAATGGAAGGCGTGGATCTCGAGAGAGCAGTGGAAGCGACTGGTTTTCCACTGCTACCTCCGTGAAGCACAGGCATCCATGACAACGCTGACGAACCCGTGTATGTCGTATGGGGAAATTACGCTACCGTTACCAGAGTCTCGAGAGCTGTGGTTTGCTCAGACGGCGGCAGAATGGAAAATCAAATACATGGAGCGTCATTCTGGGCAGACGAAGCGGCCGCCGTCGCTGGGGGACTTGTTTTGCGACGTGCACCAGCTTCCAGCGAATGCATCACGTCTGGATCTTCAGCTTTCGATTTCGATCTACCTGCATGGATTCTGGGGCATGATTCTGGAGTATCGGCAATTGTGCGCGGTGCATCGAACGCGATCGTATACGAGCAACATGAACTCGGCCGCCAGCCTGCTTCTCAACTCGCGGCACCAAGAGATGGTACGGGAGCTACAAAACTTCCAGGCGGTGGCCGCAGATTGGCCAGACATGTCGGTGCAGGAGCTTGTCGTGCTGCATCTGCTGCAGATGAACCTCCATGTGTCGCTCGACGACCTGCAGCTGTTCTCGGGCAAGGAGGGCGAGGAGCAGGCGCGTCGCATCTACCCCGTACTGCAACAGTGGGCGGCCAGCACGGCGGCCCGAACTGCGGTGTTTGGGGCCGGCCAGATTCTGCGCTACGCCAAGATGTTCCCGGCGGACCACCTGAACGGATTCTACGCCGTGGCGGTGCAGCATGCGGCGCTGGCGCTGTGGACATACGGCGTGGTCAACAAGGCCAACCGGCAACAGACAATGACATCGCAATATTCATACGGCAATGTATACCTCGACGACGTGGACTCTTTGTCGGTGCAGCGATTCATCGGGTTCGACCAAGGCCGGCCGCTGATTCGCGGTCCGGCGGTGCGAGGGGCCGTTGGGGGGGAGGCACCACTGCAGGACACGAGGGCATGCATGGAGATTGCGCAGGATATTTTGCGGACGAATGTGTCTCACGGGAAGGAGGCAACGCCACCGATTGTGGAAAACTTGTGCCATCTGGTGCAGCAGCTAGGGGATGCGGCATGGGCGGTAGGATTGGGTTAATAACTCGACACGGAGCAAACTGGGTAGGGTGGTGCTGTACTCCGTAGGTACAAGCGTTTGTACCAAGACGCAGCCATGTACTGTATATGTCGCAAATTTATAGAAGGATTGATACGGATAGATCAACTTGACTTGACTAAGACATGCAGCCACCACAGGGGGCTACAGTTGCCAATTTCGCCCTGTAACTAGTAAGTACTAGGTAGGTAGCGGGTCTTGCAGGCGCTGGGGGCCGCAACCCACGGACCAGTAATCGGGCGCTGGCTGAGCCCGTTTGCGCCCAATGGCATTGCTGTGGCTGTCTGGCTGTCTGGCTGTCTGGCTGGCTGGCTGTCTGGCTGTCTGGCTGTCTGGCTGGCTGGCTGGCTGGCTGGCTGGCTGGCTGGCTGGCTGGCTGGCTGGCTGGCTGGCTGGCTGGCTGGCTGGCTGGCTGGCTGGCTGGCTGGCTGGCTGGCTGGCTGGCTGGCTGGCTGGCTGGCTGGCTGGCTGGCTGGCTGGCTGGCTGGCTGGCTGGCTGGCTGGCTGGCTGGCTGGCTGGCTGGCTGGCTGGCTGGCTGGCTGGCTGGCTGGCTGGCTGGCTGGCTGGCTGGCTGGCTGGCTGGCTGGCTGGCTGGCTGGCTGGCTGGCTGGCTGGCTGGCTGGCTGGCTGGCTGGCTGGCTGGCTGGCTGGCTGGCTGGCTGGCTGGCTGGCTGGCTGGCTGGCTGGCTGGCTGGCTGGCTGGCTGGCTGGCTGGCTGGCTGGCTGGCTGGCTGGCTGGCTGGCTGGCTGGCTGGCTGGCTGGCTGGCTGGCTGGCTGGCTGGCTGGCTGGCTGGCTGGCTGGCTGGCTGGCTGGCTGGCTGGCTGGCTGGCTGGCTGGCTGGCTGGCTGGCTGGCTGGCTGGCTGGCTGGCTGGCTGGCTGGCTCACCTTGGAGCTTCAGCTGCAGTCCGCCGGCGTCAGCCAGTAACTACCTATGTACAGTAATAACTATGCCCCCTCGGCAGGACCGGCTTTCAAAATTGCTTCGAATTTCGTCATCGTCTCTCTTCGCCCTTGTTTATCTCGTCTCTCTCTCACTCTTTGTTCTTTTTTGCCTACTACACTACCACCGTGCTTGGAATGCCAGCCAGCTGCTTCTTGTCGCCAATACTAACGTGACTTGTTTCACCTACATACATAAACTCGTCCTGCCTCATCCACGTCTCCCTTGTGCTGAAGGGGGCGACCTAGAGTGCTCTTCCTTGACTTGACGATAAACACCTCGTTCATCTAATTCACCAACCATCACTCGTCACCGGCGCATCTTTCTCTCTCTTTTTTTCTCTTTTTTCTCTTTTTTCTTCTTCTCTTTATTTTGTTCTCATCTCAAAACATATAGACAAATCTCCCGCAACCACATCGATTCCCATCTTAGCTCTCACAAGCGTCATCATGCTAGACTCAGCAACAACGGTCACGTCAGCGGCCGCCATTGCCACCACAGCCGCCATGGTCACGGCGTCAATACTCATCCTATCGCGTGAAGTCTTGTGGCCTCGCTGGGCCAAGGTTCTTCGCAGTCCCCTCAAGACGACGCTTCCGCGCCTGAGCGAGGAGGAGGCGCGACACTTGGTTTACAAGCCTGATGTTTTCCCAGGTGCGCGAGACGTCGACACCCCCGTAGGTTGGCCGCTTCTATCCCTGTGGTTTCTCACTTTCATCATATGATCAACACAATGGCTAATCAGTCTTCTCACAGTATGGCTCCATTCGCGTGTACGAGTTTGGTCCGGAAGATGGCCAAAAGGTCCTCTTTGTTCACGGCATCACCACCTCGTGCATCACCCTGCTCTATATTGCGAACAATCTCGCCAAGCGCGGGTGCCGTGTCATGCTTTTCGTAAGACTTTGCCTGTCGTCGTCTTGATTCCAGTTCTAACACGTGTGCTAGGATCTCTTCGGCCGTGGTTACTCTGACGGTGTCGGCGACATCCCCCACGATGCTCGCCTCTATGTCACGCAAATGCTTCTGGTACTCGCCTCCAGTCCCCTATCCTGGACCGGCGACGACTCCATCAACATAATTGGCTACTCCCTTGGCGGCGGCATCGCTGCTCATTTCGCCGGCACATTCCCAAACATGGTCCGATCGTTGTTGTTGCTGGCGCCCTCCGGTCTGATTCGCGCCGAGCGCTTCGGCCACATTACCAAATTCATCTTTTCCTCCGGCGTCATCCCGGAGCGCATCCTGCACGGCCTCACCAGCCGCCGTCTGCAGCAGCCCATCGCCTCGTCCGTAAAGGTCCCCAAGCAGGCGGTCATTGGCAAGGTTGAGGCCGCCGCCAAGGTTGCATCCGCAGAGGTTCCGGGCACTGCCTTTGGCAACGAGGACTCCCCGGACCTCCCCATTGAGCAGCGCGTCACGCACTATGTCCGCTGGATGGTTACGCACCACCGTGGGTTCGTCCCGGCCTTCATGTCTTGCGTCCGCCACGCGCCGCTCACGCACCAGCAAGAGAGCTGGAAGCTTCTCGCGCAGCGCAAGCCCGGCACCACCGCTGTGCTACTTGCGGAGAAGGATGAAATCATCAACCTGGAAGATTACGAGGCTGACGGCCTCCCTTTGCTTGGCGGCCGAGAAAACGTCTACTGGAAGGTGCTCTCGGGTACTCACGATTTTGTCATGACGCATCCCGACACTATTACCAAGGAAATTGAGCACCTCTGGGGATTGAAACCCCCAGGTGTGTAATGTAACGTGAATCTAGAGTTGGCATTTTGTTGGAGTTTTGGTGCATGCTTGGTTGCGCTGGTTTATAGATGGATACATTTGGGGTGATGTTAGAATTTGATATGAGTTATTGGAAGTTTCTACTGCATTGAATCAGGAGAAGAATACAAAGTACGGACAGATAAATTCGAAAGTGAACATGGTGGCCGTTGGTGTTGAGTCGCATCAACTGTCGTGCAGGGAGTATATAGGGGCAGCGGATTGAAGCGAGGCGGCAACGGCCCGCATGCACATCACCCATAAGAGCGGTTGTGGCTGTCCTTGAAATCCTTTCATAAATTGGAGATATGAAGCGGGTTAAATATTACATTCTCGTTGATGCTGTACCAGGCAAGTTCAAGACTTGGGTCGAAACCATCACTACCTGTCATCACCACCTGCTGGGTGACTCAGCGGCCGCCACCGGCGATGGGCGGCCGCGAATTCTGCATGTCGTCCCAAAAGCTCCACAACACCAGGCCTCGCGCAGAGAGGTAGAAAAGCACCACAGGGCTTAGGTATTTTTCCCTCCCGGAGGCCGTCATCTGCGGATGAAGACCGTTTTGGCAACCCTTCGGTCCGTTCGACCATCGCGCCTGCTATCCCCTTGCCTGCCCGCCCGACTCCCAATCGCGGTCCGTTCTGCTATCTGCTTCTACTCGACGTCGCTCCCTCACCACGACGAAAACACCATCGACATGGGCGGCAAATCCAAGTTTGAGCTCAAGACCCCCAAGGGCACCAAGGACTGTAAGACCACTTTTTGACCAACTACCCCTCCCCCACCATCACGACGTTTGTCTGCCCACGAGTCGACCACCACCATGGCCACAACAACCCCTCAATCTACCTACCTACCCCATGTCACCCTTACTTTGGTCCCGTCCGGCTACGTCCATGTACTAATTCTTATGCCTGCTGCTTCTTCACAGGGGATGGCAAGGACATGGTCATCCGCGACAAAATCTTCAGCACCATCACCCAAGTCTTCAAGCGCCATGGCGGCGTCACCATCGACACCCCCGTCTTCGAACTCAAGGAGATCCTCGCCGGCAAGTACGGCGAGGACAGCAAGCTCATCTACGACCTGGCCGACCAGGGCGGCGAGATCTGCTCCCTGCGCTACGACCTGACCGTCCCCTTCGCTCGCTTCCTCGCCATGAACAAGGACATCACCAACATCAAGCGCTACCACATCGCCAAGGTCTACCGCCGCGACCAGCCCGCCATGACCAAGGGCCGCATGCGCGAGTTCTACCAGTGCGACTTCGACATCGCCGGCGTCTACGACCCCATGCTCCCCGACGCCGAGGTGCTGCGCATCGTCTGCGAGGTCTTCGAGGGCCTCGGCTGGGCGCGCCGCTACACAATCAAGCTTAACCACCGCAAGATCCTCGACGGCATCTTCCAGGTCTGCGGCGTTCCCGAGGACAAGATTCGCACCATCTCGTCGGCTGTCGACAAGCTGGACAAGCTGCCCTGGGCCGACGTCCGCCGCGAAATGACAGAGGAGAAGGGCCTCGACGAGGCCGTCGCCGACCGCATCGGGGAGTGGGTGGTGCACAAGGGCAAGCACGAGCTGCTCGACAGGCTCCGCAACGACCCCGCGCTCTCGGCCAACGCCTCCATGCAGGCCGGTATCGCCGACCTCTCGCTCCTCTTTGAGTACCTCGAGTCCTTCGACATCCTCGACCGCGTCTCCTTCGACCTCGGCCTCGCCCGCGGCCTCGACTACTACACCGGCCTCATCTACGAGGTCGTCACCGAGGGCTCCGCCCCCGAGGCCACACCCGGCGCCGCGTCGGCGGCAGCCACCACCCCTGCTCCCAGGCGCAAGGGCAAGAGCGGCGACGACGACGACCGATCGAACGATCCCACCGTCGGCGTCGGCAGCGTTGCCGCCGGCGGCCGCTACGACAACCTCGTGGGCATGTTCTCCGGCAAGAGCCAGATCCCCTGCGTCGGCATCTCCTTTGGCGTCGACCGCATCTTCTCCATCACAAAGGCCCGCATGGCCGCCGACAAGTCGGCCGCCCCGGTGCGCAACAACGAGGTCGACGTCTACGTCATGGCGTTTGGCGGCAAGGGCTTTGTCAACGAGCGCCTGGCAGTCTGTGCCAAGCTGTGGGAGGGAGGCATCAAGGTAAGTAATCCACGACCCAGCATCTTCCAGTCACATCTATGGGCATTTACAGACCCGCCATCAGGACAGCTTGCTAATCTATCGTGTCCACCAGGCCGAGTTCTTGTACAAGGTCAAGCCCAAGGTGCCGCAGCAGTTCAAGGCCGCCGAGGCCAACGGCGTGCCGTTCGCCATCTTCCTCGGCGATGACGAGGTTGCTCAGGGCAACGTCAAGATCAAGGAGATGGGCCTCCGCGACGGCCACCCGGAGAAGGAGGGCATCCTGGTCAGCCTTGACAAGATGGTCGACGAGGTCAAGTCCCGTCTGGAGCGGAAGAGGGAGTTGGAGAGCGTAGTCCAGCAGGCTGAAGGGCTCCGCGTTGTCGACGGCATCAAGACGGACGATGTCCCTGCTACTGCTGCTACGGCTGAAGAAGCGGCGCCTAGCACTACCCAATAGATGATGATATGCAAAAGACAGAAAATATACAAAAGGGAAAGAAGCGAATAGCAACAAAAAGGGAGGCCTCTCCGGATAGACAAAGGATGCAACTTCGGAAGAAGAAGGCATATGGGGAGGGTATAGGCGAATAACAAAAAAAAACGCAAAACACATATGATTACATGGCAACAGAGGCTGTATGTCGTCGATCGATGGTGTTCGCCGCATTGTCTGCCCCTCAAACGATTCGTGACTTACCACACATGTACAAAATGATTCATGATGCTTGCACGGCCGCAACTCTCCGTCATTGACCCGACGCGGTCTCGGCACTTGCTTTTCTGTCGTCCCGCATCGGGGACGAGCTCGCACCCGCACCGCATGCCCCCTCCCGTCACGGCCATGAACAGATAGAAGCCCGAACCTGCGTCTCCTCCTTGAAGACAATCAATCGGCGGGGGTAGATAGAATGCAGAGCCGGGGTTTTTCTTTCCCTTGCCCGCACCGCTCCCACAGACCTCCTGCTCCTCCTTCCCGCAGTCGGGATCCGGCCTTGCGCCAACCGGCATGTCCCCTGTTCGGCGACCTGCGCATCGTCACATCTCGAGTTTGACCTTGACCTCGGCCTTGCCCCGAGTCAAGATCGCGAGGGGACGAGCCGGACTCGCTGCTCACCGGTACGCCTTCCTCCCCCGCATCTCAACAACACTTGGCCAAGATTTGAGAGGGCAGACGAGATACATCTTCTCTTTATTTAGCAGTTAATACCTCAATTCGTCACCGTCTCTGATATCTCGTGCGGAAAAATGGGTTCCGCTCAAATGCATGCATGTTAGTAGTAACCAAAGTGGGCGAGGGAGGATGCGGCCAGTCAACATGGCTTCATAATTGCTTATTCGTCTCCATCTTGCAGCCGATACCAGTTCATCGGAGTATTACCCAACGGCAATGGGTCATTTTTTCTTTTTCTTTTTTTCTTTTTTTTTCTTTTGGCTGATTTTTCACAGTAAACGAGCCACCCAAGTTGCTTCTCTTATTATTAGTCGTCTGATATGTGTTCACCAAGAGCAAAAGCAAAAATGAAGACTGGGCTCTCACGATTCTATCTGCATCTGGATGAGGAATGCCTTTGGACGGTGGTGTTGTGAGTAATAAAGCAAGCTCATTTGGTAAAACAAGAATGGAATAACGTCCCGAGCAAGCGATCCCATCCGTAACTGATGACATCCTTGCATCGTCTGCGCGTTGTTAGTGTAGAAATAGTAGAGGCGTAGGGTAAAACAATGCATTGTTTTAGATGGATAATGATCTGCGAAAAACATTTCGTCCTGAACTTCGATGGTGCACCAGTGTCGCTCTACATGCGCCACTCTTGTGCAGCTTTGTTTCGTTTACAGCCGCGTGGTTGAACCTTCTTCCCGAGTAGGACCGCCGGTCGTGCATGCATCACGGGCGCGCAATTATTAGGCAGGGATGCGCTAATGTCGACTGCGAGGCGTTCCTGTTAGACCATCGAGGTAGCGCCGTTTGATGAGCGCATCCTCCATTCTCTTGAACACAACGTTTTGGCGCATCTGGGGCGATACATAACGGCCAAGCGAGCGACGCGACAGGCCGGGCCCGAAAGGACATTGTCCAGAATTGCTCAACTCCCGTTTCTATGACTTTGCATGTGCCATTTGCAATGAGAGATACGAGAATGTCAGTATCTCCTCCCAAGAGGCTTTGACGACAAGAGAAAAGGTCCATGGGACACGGACGCTTAGCGTTGAATTGCGACAAGGGTTGTTGCAATGACATGGCATCCGGGGATCTGTGCGCGTGGAAAAGACTCTCGGTGCAACGCTAGGACGCCGATTCCAGCATGTATGTACAGAAGTGGCAATGAGCATTCGCCCAGGCCAGTTGGCAACCCGTCCGGGGCTCCAAATTTCGTCCCATGACGACGTCTGGCGCAATGGCTGCCACGAGAGGGCGCCATGGCCAGCAGGCTGGTAGGAAACGGCTCAGCGCCATTCCTACCTAGCGGCATCGTTGTACGTGGGTTCATGCGAATTTGCTGGCGCAGTGAACTACTCAGAACACCTTAGTTGATCGCTCGGCCCGTGGTTCCCACGTTTTTCATCTTGCTGTGGACAGCAAGCTTTTCCGTCCATCAATGCAAAGGAGATAATGGCACGACCACAGGTTTGCTTGCTCGCACAGGCCATGATATACCAAGGGTTGTTGTGGTCCGTTGCTGAACCTCGAGCATCTGCTCAATCGTCAGCCAGGACACTTTATCAGACTTGTGACATGATCTTCTCGCGGCAGCGTCATGGCCCAGCAACACATCCCTGCCCATTACCGCTGACACACTCGACGAGTCGCATGCAAAGCGAGAATAGCGTGTGGGCGCTTTGATAGCTAAGACGGGGGTGTGCTAGTTAAGCCATGGCTGCAGATGCAACAAATGCATGCAGCACAGGTGCTTCGATTTTGCCAAAAGTGACAAGGTAGCTATGCAGGCGATGGCATGGATATCAATTCTGTTACTTGCAAACTCTTCATCATACATTCATTCGGCTGGGAGGATTTGAGCATTCGGCATTTGCAATTTTTCTCGCGTGGTCTGAACGCTGACTGCTGGGGCCACCATGGCGAAAACTGGTGATGGGGCTGCTCCGCGGTGCGCGTGTATGGCCCACGCTGTCTTTCTTTTTGTCCCTCTTCGTATAGGAAGGTAATGAATTAGGAAATGGCATCATTCCCTAATTGGACGGTTTTGTCGTCCTTGGAATATTCCCAGGCCGTGCTTTCTTTTGCCGTGGCCAAAACGACGTTAGTGATATGACCGCGTCGTCCAAGATGGAGGGGCCCATGAACCCAGGACGAGGACCGATCGGCTCCTCCTTGCAAGACCCCTCGCCGTGAGGGAACGACCGTGACACCATCGGCCGCCGACCGAGTGGGCACTTCTCCAGCAGAATCGGGCGTGTTCCATGTTATATTTTGGGGCTGGCAAGCTGGTTTCGTCCCCGGGCCTTGCTCGCTCCCTGTCCCCCCCAGGCGCCTTGAAGACGTGTTTCACCCGCACGTTCCTTTAAAAAGGCTGCCGCATCCGTCCGGTGCACTGTCTCCCGGTTAGCCACGTAATAGCATCTCGATACACAAACATACATTGTTTGCCTCTTTGTCTCCCTTCAAACAGAAAGGGACTGTACTGCCCTCGCTCCCGCAGCCTAAGACATCTCGGCTCCAAGGTCTCACCATCCGTTCCACCGTTCATCGTATTGTGTGTGCCCTCTGTGTATCGTTTGAGCCACCTGGGCGCATAATAGAGGACGAAAACAAAAGCCTCGATATCTTTGGCACTGCGAGCCTCTGCAGCAGCCATCGCGTTCATCTTTGTTGTTTGCTCCAAGGAACTTTTTGCAGACCTACAGCCTACAGCTGCGTTTACAGTTGCCGGCCCGCCAGCTGCCCACACTTACAACGCCGCCTCTTGCCTTCCTCCTCCGCCTCTCACAACCTTGACGCCGCTTCATCCTCGCTTTGTTCTCGAACTGTCACGCCTAACATGGCTATGGTTGCATGCCCTGCTTCCACAGTTCCAACGATGTTGTCATGTCGCAGCGGCTTCATGGCACCCGATTCGGTACCGCTACAAAGCTGGATCGCCTCACAGCCCGTTCAAACGACAAATAGGCGCGCGGCCGCCAAGTCGCTTTCATTGCTGAAAGACATTCCATGTACCGCGCTAGAATGGAAAAGGGCACTCGCTGAATTGAAGCGAGATTACAGCAATAGAAGATATCGCCTTTGCTCCGCTCGCTGCATCGAGCTTCTCAAGAATGTGCAGACTCGAGTATGTTATCTCGACGATGTTCGGATGACTTTCGCCAGCAATGATGCTAATATGGTAATAGGATAACATTCAGCCTGCTTATTTGATATATCTACATTTTTACGCCGCAACTTCGCTAGAGATACAAGCGCGGGGCCTACATGCTAGCGCCCATCACCGCCTTAAGCTTCTTGAAGAGGCCCGCGAGCACTACAGCCTCGCTTCTAAGACATCTGAGGAAGCCGATAAACAGGCGTACCAGATCTCATTGCGGCCCACGTCGCCGTCCTCCAGTCTCCCGTCGCCCATCGAATCTTGCCTCTCACATAAATCTACATCGACAAGAATGTCGTCTCCTACACCTTCTACACCCTCCAATAGCGGGCCACAATTGAAGAGAAAGAAGAAGGTTGCTTTTGCCGACGAGTTGGAATACGATCTTCCCGCTCGACCAGACTCGCCGACCCTTGGCTTTTCAGACCCAGGCAGTGGGCGCACGTCGCCGTGCGAGGGTATTCCTCTCGATCCTCTCCCTCCTTTGGTTCAGACCATGCCTGACGTCTGCCCAGCGTTCTCTCCAACACCAAGTGTCGATGGAGACGACTTGCCGCGGGCTATGGCCGACGAAGAGCTGCACACGTCAGAAACAAGAGAATCGCTGGAAAGATTCTGCACCGTACTGTCTAGTATCCAGCGTCAGATAGCATCCCATCTCGTTGCTATTGACAGAGAGATCAACGCGACCTTGGCACCCAAATCCTCCTGTGTGCCGGTCAATGAGGATATGCGGGCCCTCGAACTTCGGTCACGAATCGAGCGGTTGCGTGCAAATGGCTGGAAACGCAAACGTTTCGATGCCAGGCGCTACGACGAGTTTCGCGAGCAAGTAATGGCAGACATGGTGATTTAACATATAACAGGTTCCGTCTCTAGCGATGACAAATGTGCTTGGGAAGCTGCTGGCGTTTATGATAATATGTGATGGGTGTTGAAAATGCAATGATTTTATGTACTACTATTTACGCGACTAGGGACATTGCTCAACTTTGAGCAAAGTAATTTGGAATAATGTGATAATGTACTATACTTTGTCAGATAGCTGCCTTGGTAGTAGAAGCGAAGAGAAACAAACACGAGAACCTGACTTCTTCCACTATATGAAAGAGTCAAACTTCAAAGCAGGCATTGCTGCATAATATGACCTGAGACAAAATATTATACTAGGGTGTGAAATCATTTAGCAAAATGATAAATAACCGAACAAGAAACAGGCAGGTGAGACCAAAGTCCATGATTTACCAGCTGAAAAGCTGCCACTTTTCTCAACTCCATGGTTCACTACAGCAAAGGGACAAAAAAGAAAAAAATGGGGTAAAATGCCCTTGCACAAAACGCAGAATTGACAGCTGTTCACATAACATTATCTCGTAGCAATCTGCCTTGTTATAGAAACGGCCCCAACCCCTGCCCCCAGGCGCTCGCCCCCTCCCAGCAGCCCAATCACGAGTGTTGCGTGTTGAAGCTACGGCGGCGTGCCTCCTGCACGAGATCCTCGTCCGTCTGAAGGGCGGCCTCCTTCTTGGCCTTTTCCTCGCGGACCTTGGCGAGGACGACCTCGCGAAAAACGGCGCCGCTCCTGACGGTGTCCTTGAGCGAGGGCTTCTTGGTCTCGCCGCTGCTGCCGCTGCCGCTGCTGGACACGCTGATGCCGGAGAAGGCCTTGGCGAGGCCGGTGCTCTCCACGTTTTGCGCGGCGTCTTGCAGGTCGTTGTCGTCGTCGTCTTCGTCGGCCTCCTGGCGGAGGCGGACGATGCGCTTTTGCAGCTGGATGGCGAGGATGGCCTTCCTGAGCTTGGCGCGCGCCTCCTTGGCGCGGCGCAGCTCGGGAAGCAAGTCGTGCTCGGTGGCGTTCTCGCCGCTCAGCCAAATGTGTCTCAAGGCTTCCTGCAGAAATGGTGATTTTGGTTAGTGGTTGAGGACCTAAAGGGAGGCCGACCTCGTAGGAGGGGATGGAGCTTTACCTGGCTAGTGGCTCGCTGGTCGGGGTTGGGGACAATGAGGCATCGGATAAAATCCTTGGCATCTTCGCTGACATCCTTCCAGTATCTCTCGTGGAAAATAACTGAGTGCTGGGTGCACTCCTCGAGCAGTTCGGCAAGGTTCTCGCTGCGGAAAGGCGAGTAGCCGCAGAGAAGCGTATACGTGATGACGCCCATGGACCACATGTCGACGGGTTTTCCATGGCCCTCTCTGTTCATGACTTCGGGGGCGGCGTAGCCAAATGAGCCGGCCATGGTCTGTAGAGTCTCCTCCTTGCTATCGAGTGTCTTTGCGATGCCAAAATCGGCGAGAACCAGGTCAGAAGCGGGACCCCTAGTAACATACAACAGGTTCTCGGGTTTCAGATCTGGGAAGTGTCAGTACGCATGCGACAAACTTCTCATGTTCCGGGCGCACCTCGATGGACGACCTGGTTGCTGTGCAGGTAGTCGACAGCTGTGAGGACTTGCTTGATCGTCTGGGACGCGTCCTTTTCTGTGAATCTGCCCTGGTCGCAGATGCGGTCAAACAGCTCGCCGCCGGTCGCAAGCTGGGTGACAATGTAGAACTTGTCCTGTTACAGGGTCAGTCGTGGCCCAGCCTATTGTAGGTCTCGCTGAATCGATCGAGGGGGCGCTTGTTGTACCTTTGACTCGAACCAGTCGACAAATTTGACAATGTGCGGATGCTTAAGTCGTTGGAGCATTTCAAGCTCATCATAGACCATCTTTTCGTTGCCCTTTACATTCTTCTTGAGAATGATCTTGATGGCGACCTTGCCGTTGGGGCCGTCGGCCTCACGGACGACGCCATAGGTTCCGGCACCTAGAGTCCTGCCAAACTTGTATTTCGATCTTGGCCAATGCGTGTTAGAATATTGATCACCGAGCGTCGAAAGAGACCCTGGAAGTTCGGCCGACATACTTTTTCTCGTAGCTCTCGGGCTGGCCGCCCAGCTTGTGCAACATGCCGGTGACTATTCATGGTTGGGTCTGGTCAGTCAGGCCTCTCGCGGCAGTTCGTCTAGCCATGCGTGCAGCTTGCGCATAGAAGCACATTCTGCGCGCTTCGTCTGCACGCGGCTGCACGCGGCTGCACTGTGTTTGGGATGTCGAGGACAACATGGAGGGCAACATACAGCTCATTTTTCCCTCGGTGCTCAGCTTCGTATTTCGTAGGTATGGCGGGGTATCAATAATTCGGCTTAAGGAGGAGGGGTTGCGACCGTCAGGCCAGGCCCAGGATGCTACCTTAGCAGCGGATGGATGGAGTATCAGGTAGGATCTGTATGTTGATTGCTCCTAGCGGAGGCGAAGGGAGAGGCGACTGAAGTCCAAAGCGATGCTATCGTGGACAGGTTAAAATAAATAAATACGATCCTCAGGGTAGGGGTAATAAGAAGAAGGGTTGGGAGGGTCAGCAGAAAAGTGGTAAGGTTGACTGCGAGCGTCACAGGGAATCGGCCCTCGGAGTGCCCGCTCAGCCACACCTTGCCCCTCTTGGGCAACCATGGGATGTGGGCGTCAACAGCTCAGCAGCCAGGGAGCTTAAAGTTAGGTAGATAGGAAGGTTGCACATTCAGGTGGGCTGACTTTTGATATTTGAACTGGACAAAGGGTCGATGACTGACAGTAGCATGAATCACTCCGCGAAACTTGAGGACCTTGGATCGGTTGCCATTGTGTAAAAGAGCCTGCCCCACCACGATGTGCAAAAACGGCTACCTAGTTATCCGTTGCGGCAGGTTTGCTTTGGTCAAGTAAAGGCTGGAGAGCCAGCTAATAAGTGAGATAAAGGTAGGTAATGCAGCGTGAACGGATGCACATGACAATTTTCATACTTACATACCTCGTACGCTACCAGTGAGAGCTGGCCAAAAGCGAGGCTGCATGGTTGGCAAGGCGTTGTCTGCTAGTGTTTAACAGACAGGCAGCTTCGTCTAATGTAGCATTTCCTGCATTTATCAATTTAAATTAAATTGCCTCAAAACATGGATAGGTGGCGGACGTCAGCTCGGCACCAGCCTCTCAGCATACAATATCTCATCACAAGCAGCGACACGGTTGTGCCACCCCCGAGTTATCTACCTACATGCCCGGTACCCCCACCCCCGCCTCTGCCCGAGCTCGTCACCATTCGTCTGCTTCCAGAATACGATGCCATGTATGCCCAAAACAATATAAGACCGTATCGCGCACACATTTTGCCGTGAACTACACCATCTTCTCGCTGTAGTCACTCTGTAGCACCTTGTTGCGCGTGGCATGGCCAGGGTGACCCACCGTGCTGCGACAGGCGGATAAAAAGCGCCTTGCCCACCTGGCCTGGATCCTTCATCGTCTGTTGGTCTCACACAACACAGCACTCTCGCTCGCCATCCTCGCCTGCGTCTCCCGCGCGAGCTGCTCACCCGCTGCCTACGCGCCGGCTCATAGCGACCACCTTAGTGCGCCGCTGTTATTGAACCTCCCCCCGATAACCCACAACCATGGCATCGCTGCGAGCAAACCGATTGGCCAAGGAACGCCAAAAGGTAGGTGGCGATCCTACTTGATCCATGTCGCTATGCCAGGAAGCTCCAGCTCACCACCGTCTGACAGATCGATAGGCAGGGACTGCCACCGGGAATCGACCTCATATCTGGCGAAGATATGCGAGAGTGGCAATTTGATATCCGCGTGCTTGACGGCAACCCTCTCTACCACAACCAGATATTCCGGCTCAAGATTGTCTTTGGCGACTCGTACCCCATCGGTAGGCCTCCGTTAATCATGAATCGGCAAACTGAGTTGACAAATCTCTTCCGCAGAGCCGCCAGAGGCCACATTTGAGCTAGGGCCAGACCGTCACATCCCCATGCACCCACACATATACTCGAACGGAATCATCTGCCTCGACCTGCTCGGCAACCAGGGCTGGAGTCCGGTCCAAAGTGCTGAAAGTGTCTGCATGAGCATCCAGAGCATGCTGACCAGCAATACAAAAGACGAAAGACCCCCAGATAATGACCAATTTGTCAAGGGCAACCGTCGACGTCCTCGTGACATTGATTTTGTCTACCACGATAACACCGTCTAAGCAACCTACGCCTCACAGATTATCGCCCCAAACTTCTCGCCCCTGCCCGCTCTCACGATTCATGATTTACAAGCGACTCCAAGCGTTACTCTCATCTGATAAATGTTACATCTTGGTCTATCATTATTTTTTTGTCGAATACGTCCGCCAAGTGAACGTACCCTCGCCCAGACGGCGCGCGTCGCTGTTCGCAACCAGTGGGGCAGTTACCTGGACGCACAGAGGCAGCAACGTATCAGCGCAACCCGTACACTATGTTGTGCTTTAGAAGAGTACGATTGTAGAATGAAAGCAACTTGAAACTCATGTTTAGATCTTGCATTAAAGAAAGGTGAAAGATAGACGAGAAGAAAAGCTATAACCAGTCAGCTTGCTCCCGAGATGACGTCTGGTGGGGTGTCCCGATCTGCCAGCTCCTCAGCCACCCCACGGAGCTCCCTGCCTCACCGCCCGCTAATTGTAGGCAAACGGCGGCTCACCAACCTTCCTTCAACCACGCCGAGTTGCCGCCTAGCTCTTCCGAAGCGCCGCATCGATTGCGGTGAGCTGCTATGGCGCCCCGACCGGAGTTCACTACCGAGCAGGTCCGCGGCAAAGCCCGTAAGGACTTGCTCTACCTTCTCGAAGGCGTACGCCTAGCCCCTGCTACAGCACTACTGAGCCTATTGGCGACTAGAATCACTGACCGCGTCGCAGGTTCGCGGCAAGAAAAACCTCGTCTTTGATCGCAGCTTGGTAGGGCCCGTCGGGCTTATTGTCAAAGTCGCTACGCTTCAGGAATACGGAGTCGACAAGTTCTTTGTCTTGGAAAACAACAATGTCGACGCTAGCCAGCACAATATTGTCTTCATCGCCCGAGGCGAATGCGCACGACAAGCTGACGCTATCGCGAGTATGACCAGTCACTGAGCGTATTCCGTACAGAGCTACTGACTGACTGTGCTGCCAACAGAGCAAATCAAGCGAGTACAGCGCGAAAGCCAAACCACTCACGAGTTTCATGTCTGCTGGGTTCCGCGCCGCACCTTAGTCTCCGATCAAATATTCGAGGAAGCCGGCGTCCTTGGCGACGTCAATGTTTCCGAAATCCCCCTCTCATTCTTTCCTCTGGACAAAGACGTTCTTTCACTGGAACTGGACGATGCCTTCCGAGACCTCTACCTCCACAAAGACATCACCCCCAATTACTTGATAGCCAAGGCGCTTATGGACATTCAACATGTGCATGGCCTGTTTCCTAGAATTATTGGAAAGGGCGACAACGCGAGAAAGGTTGCAGATCTCTTGATTCGGATGCGACAAGAAGCGTTGGCGGGTCAAGCTGGAGATGATACTGCCCGCACCAAGCTAACACCAAGCTTGACCAATGACAGCGTCATTATTATCGATCGCGAGGTTGACTTTGTCACACCACTCCTAACTCAGCTGACTTACGAAGGCCTAATCGATGAGCTGTTCGAGATCCGACATAACCAGACAAAGGCCGATACCACAATCGTGGGACCCGGAGCTCAGTCGTCCAATGCATCGCAGAACAGGAAACGAAACATCGTTTTGGATGGAAGCGATAAACTTTACGGGGAGCTCCGCGACTCCAACTTTGCGGTCGTCGGAAATCAGTTAAATAAAGTTGCTCGTCGGCTGCAGCAGGTGCAGAGCGACTATGAGGCAAAACACAAAACCAAGACCCTTGCCGAACTCAAAGACTTTGTCAGTCAGCTACCTGGATACCAGCAAGAGCATCAAAGTGTTCGCCTCCATACGGGTCTGGCGGAAGAAATTATAAAACATACCAAGAGCGATCAGTTCATCGGCTTACTAGAGGTCCAGCAAAATCTTGTTGCTGGAGCGGACCCCTCTTCTCAGCTGGATGGTATTGAAGAGCTTATAGCAAGAGAGGCGCCCATTCGCGAAACGCTGCGACTGCTGTGCGTGTACTCTTGTATCTCAGGCGGCATAAAGCCAAAAGATTTCGACCAGTTCAAACGTCTGATCCTGCAAGGCTACGGCTACCAACATATGCTCACCCTCAACAACCTGGAAAAGCTGCAGCTCTTCCTTTCTCGCTCGTCTCCCCTGGCGGGAATGATACCCATGGCTGCCAATGCTGGCACGGCTGGGACGAAGACAAACTACACCTACTTGCGAAAACAACTTCGCCTGATTGTTGACGAGGTCAAAGAGGATGACCCCAATGACATTGCATACGTATACAGCGGCTACGCCCCGCTATCTATCCGACTTATACAATGCGTTCTGCAGAAGCCGTACCTTCAATCCATCACCAAGGGTAATAGCGCGGCAAATGCTGGCAACACCATGGCAGCCAGCGGGTCCCACGGTTGGCACGGATTCGACGAAGCTGTCAAGCACGTTCGTGGGGAAACTTTCTACGAAATTCAAAAGGGAGAGGATAAAGCTGTGAAAGCACGCGCTCTTCTCTCCAGCAGCGGAAATAAGCAGACAGTATTTGTGGTTTTCGTTGGAGGCATCACATTTACAGAGATTGCTGCTCTGCGATTTATTGCAAAGCAAGAAGAAGGTCCGTATTTTGCACACCGAATTCTACTGAACTAATACTAATAATCACCTGCAGAGCGACGAAATATAGTCATTTGTACCACTTCAATAATCAGTGGCAACAGGATGATGGACGCCGCGATCGAGAAGGCATCCTACGTCAGGGTAGAAGACGAATCTACTTCCTCGCCTTAGACCCCGTAATATGTATAGTAAGCATAGCAATCGAATAAGAATTCTAATTAACACTGTTGAAATCTAGCCGGCTCTATTCCCCTCTGGCCTTGGAGTCGCCTAATCTTGTCGGTGGGTCGCGCGTCGCGGTGAGGGAGTGGCATAGGGCCCGTAGATTCCTGACTTTCCCTAGCAAACACTAGGTATCATCCAGCATTTGGCCATTCATCGAATGAGGAGCTGTCCGATCCTGCCTCTGAACTGGACGTGGCCTGCCCTTGCTGGTTATTGCTATTTTTTTGGCCTCTGCTGCTGTACAGCTCGAAACGGCAAGATTAGGGAATCGCCCCACTGTCGTGGCTTTGACGACGCTTTTGCACGTGACTCAACGCTTGACAGTAGTTTCGGCGACCTGAGGGGCTTCATGGATGCTGTAATTCCGAGAGCCATCTCTATGCGTCCTTGACAAAAGAGATTTTTGGCATTCGCTTCGAGTTTCGTCGACTAGAGGACCACCGGAGTTGGATCGATGGCACAATTACCTGTCTCGAGGGGCTAGTGTTCGAATCTGACTATATCCCAGCAGGGTCGCACGGAGTGAGTGACATTAGATCGGCCTTATTTATATGAGCCTTGCGTGAGACTGTATCGTGGCTAATTTGGGTGCGAAATATCAGAGCCAAATTTTGCGTTCCTCTTGCCATATGGTCATGCAAAACGTCCTGTCGTAAACCTGCACGGCGACCCTGAAATTCGAACTCTCACAAGAGCTAGCCCGCAAGTTCACACTGGTATATCGCTTGGCATCTGCATCTACCCGGCTCGACCAATATCATGTCTGCCTGGCATCAGAATGGAAGCAGATGTTCATAGCCAATATAGGGCGGGGCACGAACTCGATGCTCTACAGCAAGCCGGTAAAACTCGAGCGATGGATTCACCATCATCTTTGAGCAACGTCGCCACGACGTCAGGAACCGGGGGCGGCATCCCGCCCGTCGACACACAAATTGAAGATTCAAGTACATTCTCTCATAATATCCCATATGGATCCATTTCTATTGCCGAAGGTCCGGACAGTATGGAAAGTTCAAAAATGGAATTGGACCCTGTCAGCCCACCCTCAGGGAGCCAAGTATCAAGGTAAGCCGTTCACGATGCAAGATGTATAACGTGGGCTATTTATTCTATTGATGGTCTAACAATTCGTCAGTAAAATCAAAATTGAAAAGCTGGATTGCGAGATATTGATACCACCCCTAAATAGTGGCGCAACGGAATCATTTTCCTCCGAGCTGTCTGATCTCTCATCTCGTCAATCATCTTTTTCTAGTAAAGCGACGACGCCGGCTGATAATGATACACCAAGAAAACGTATAGCCGAGCTTTCGACCCCGACGATACCTCAGCGCAGCTATCCAAATGACGGCGACCGATTGGACTTCATCATTCAACCCAAATCGTCCATTCCAAGAGATATACCCTCCTCGCAGTATGCAACTGAATGCATCATTGCAGCAGAAAATTCGAGACTAAGCCCATATGCTCTCCATACCGAGGAATATCTTCTGCTACGCCATCACATTTCCAACGCTCAGGTGACCACGTACCTGAATGTTCGCAATAGTATTCTGCGCCTTTGGCTGGAAAAGCCGTGGCAGGGAATCACGAGAGAGGAAGCTGTAGGGTGCGCGAATTCCCGTTGGTTCGATGCTGCTAATGTATGCTACGACTGGCTTGTTCGTCGTGGGTATATCAACTTCGGCTGTCTTGACTTGGGGCGCGTTGCCACGAAAGCGAAACACCACAGACAAACCAGAAGAAGGAGAACAATCGTGGTAATAGGAGCTGGAATCTCGGGCTTGTCATGTGCTAGACAATTAGAAGGGTTGTTCAAGCAATATGCGAACCGACTTCACGACCTTGGCGAAGACGTACCAAAAGTCCAGCTCATCGAAGGAAGAGGCCGAGTTGGAGGCCGAGTGTACTCCCGCCAGTTCAAGACGCAGCCTAAATCGCCCATGGATGGATTTCACAACAAAAGATGCACAGCGGAAATGGGTGGAATGATCATCACCGGGTTCGACCGCGGCAACCCCATCAATGTCCTGGTCCGTGGCCAGCTATGCCTGCCCTATCATGCTCTCAAAGCGGAGACCACAATCTATGACAGCGAGGGAAAACCGGTCGACGCTGAGCGTGATCAGCTGATCGAAAAATTATACAATGATTGCCTCGATCGTGTCAGCGAACACAAGTACAAAACGGTGCCGGTAAAGCTGATACAAGGCAACCGTGATTTACTGGACCAGGGCAAAGACAGTCCGATAGACGGGTCCAAAAGCATTGCTCAAAGCGAGGAGATGACGGCCAGCCAAGCCAGCGCGTCAACTTCACCACAACAAAGCGATGGAGATGACATACCGATGATACCAGTATCCTCGGACAAACTGACTGGACGGGTCTATACAGAGCCCGGGGTGCCCGCATCCTCTAGAGCCCCTGCCAAGGCAGCATCCATGGGGTGGACGCTCAATCAAGGAATTGACCCGGAAAGAGATATAGACTTAAGCCATGCAGTACACGACCCTAACTCGACCTTAGGCTCGGTGCTTGATGATGCGATTTCCCAATACAAATCGCTGGTTGAATTGAACGCGTTGGATCACAGGCTGATAAATTGGCATATTGCCAATCTCGAATATAGCAATGCTACGAACTTGCATAATTTGAGCCTGAGTCTGTGGGACATTGACGCGGGGAATGAATGGGAAGGAAGCCATACAATGGTCGTTGGCGGCTACCAGAGTGTAGCAAGGGGTTTGCTGCATTGCCCAACCCCTTTGGACATCACAACTAGGTCACCCGTGAAGCGCATTCGCTACCGGGCTGAAAAGCTATCTGGGCCTGCAAGCATTGAATGCGAAGACGGTCGAGTGATTGAAGCAGACTCCGTCGTTTGCACGGTACCACTTGGAGTACTAAAGCACGGCAACATCGAATTTCACCCCCCTTTGCCTGAATGGAAATCTCAAGCAGTCGAAAGACTGGGCTTTGGTATACTCAACAAAGTGGTCATGGTGTACGATACGGTGTTTTGGGAATCGGACAGACACATCTTTGGGGTTCTAAAAGACGCCTCAGATCCGCAGAGCACATCACAACATGAGTACCGTGGCTGCCGCGGTCGCTTCTTTCAGTGGTTCAACGTCACAAATACCACGGGTATGCCCTGTTTGATTGCCCTGATGGCTGGAGATGCAGGCTTCGACACAGAGACTTCAAGTAATGAAGACTTGATCCGTGAAGCTACAGAGACTCTACGTAGCGTTTTCGGTCCAGACGTACCGCATCCGCTAGAGGCAGTGGTGACGCGCTGGGGCTCCGACCCTTTTGCGAGAGGCAGCTATTCCTCGGCGGCACCGGATATGCAGCCTAAAGATTATGATAACATGGCCAAACCTTTGGGCAATCTTTTCTTTGCCGGTGAGCATACAATCGGCACTCACCCAGCGACTGTTCATGGCGCCTATTTGTCAGGCTTGCGAGCCGCCTCGGAAGTCGCAGAGGCAATTTTCGGCCCGATCGAAGTTCCCACGCCGCTCATTCTGCCACGCGACTCATTACTCCTGCAAAAAAGGAAGGAGGCCGCAAAAGATCCCCGCCAAGCACGCAAAGATGCCTACGAAACCGAGGCGTGGGATCATGTCCAATCTATGCTGGGAGAGCGGCCCGTTCCGCCAGCCAAAGTGGCTGGCAATGCCTACATGCTCTTCAGCAAGATGTATTTTGACGAGGCTCGTCGGCGGTGCGAAGAGAAACTCAAGGCTGGTCGGACCAAGGCGATGCCCAACGACGTGCGCGTCATGACGTCGCGCATGTGGAAGGAGGCTTCCGAGGAGACTCGCCGGCCCTTTGAGGCGCAGGCCGCGGAGCAGAAGCAAGCATATGCCGAGGCCATGGCCCAATACACCCAGTCAGCTGAGAAATGGGACCTCACGGCTATTGACATTCGGGCGGATTACGAAAGAACCCATCCTTTTACGCCGGAGCCCGGCGATCCGGCGACCGGTTTCGAAGGCGGCCGCGTGCTCACGCCCAAGAGCCGGCGCAGGCTGAATGTGAGCTACGCGGAAGATGCTGACAGTAAGATGGAGTTTTAAGCGATGGCGGTGGATGCATTCCTGTCGAATTACTGTATTTTTCTTGTCTTCCTTTCCACGACTACAATGCGTCTGTATACACTGTTTCTGGTTTGGCGTTTGTTTGGAGTTGGCATTAGCGGAAGATGCCTAGATTTTTGTATCACTGCATGTATTCGGTAGCCGGTTGAGTAGGCCGGCCTATGGGTATTGCAAAGGGCCATTAGGTAGCCCTCTATCCAACCTTGATAGTCTATTTAATATCGTCATCAAAGCATGGGGCGGCTATGCCAGTCTTTACATGGGATTAGCATCGCATTACTTTGCCAGCTCATAACAAAAGGCGAACTGGTGATATACTAAGGAATTTATTGAGGCTTTGATACACGGGGAACCCCCATAGCGGGCGAGACCTCTAGAGTTTGGTACAAAGGGAATCTTTTCACAGTTATGATTGCACCTCCCAGCATTTACATGTCCTCCGAGGCAGTGGCACCGGTAATAATTTCGACAAGTTCGCCGGTAATGACCGCCTGTCGGGTACGGTTGTAGAGAATCTGGTACTTGCCAATCATTTCACCAGCGTTCTTGGAAGCGTTCTGTGGGGTTCAGTTGTCAGTAAATGGCGCATCGTTAAAGGACAAGCCAGCAGGGAAACTCGGTGGGTGAACTCACATCCATGGCGTTGCGACGAGCAGACTGCTCGCAGGCGTGGCCCTCAGCCAGAGCCCAGAAAAGGGAGTTGGCCAGGCTGTACTCGCGAAGGTTCTCGAGAACCTCCTCGTCGACCTCGAAGGAGGAGATGTTGGCTGGGATCTGGTTAGCTTTGCGAAGTCACTTTCGGGTCAGAATATCAGAAAATAACATACGGGAAGCGAGAATAGCCTCCTCGGAAAATGCCTCAATGAAGGTTGGCTCGTAGCTGGTGGCGTTGATGAAGCGGTTGTACAGGATCTTCACGTCGGTGTACTCCTTGGGCAGCATGATGATCTGGTCGGCGATGGCCTGGGCATCGGCAAAGGTAGGGATGCTCTTGCCGACACCAGCGAACGTGAGTTGGATGGCCTCGGCGCTGGTGCGGGAGAGCTGGGCGCGGCACTTCTCGCCGACGATTGCGAGGTCGAAGTGCTCGCCCTCGGCCTGAAGCCGGCGGATGAAGCGGCTCATGCCAGAGTGGATGCCGCCGCAGAGGCCCTTGTCGGAGGAGCAGACGATGACGAGCGTCTTCTTCTCGCCCTCCTCGACGGCGGCCGTCTCGGCCTGCTTGAAGACCTCGTTGGACGTCTCACCGTAGGCGCGCGAGTCGTTCATGCTGCGGGTGGCGCGGGTGAGCTTGGTCGAGGCGACAATCTTCATCGTGGAGGTGATCTTCTGGATGTTCTTGATGGACTTGAGGCGGCCCTCGATCTCACGGAGGGTGGCATAGGTGGCTGCGCTGTTGGGACCGGCCGTGGCAACTCTGCAAAAGATGGTCGCAAGCGCGCGTCAGCAAACGGGACAAGGGATGCAAAATAAAATAAAAGGCTCGGTTGAAAGGGCTTCGTATGCTCGAGCGGCTCCGGCAGGACTCATTATCGGGTTGTAGTGAGCCATTGGGCGCCGATTGCTGCGTTCTGCCGAGCTCGTCGGAGCTTGCGTCGGTGCTCTCTCCCCCAAATTTCCAAGACTGAGGCAGTTCCGTAACTTACCGAGTCGAGGTGACCGCGGCGCGGACGGCAGGGCGGGCCGCTCTGGACAGCATCTTGACAAAGTTCGAGAAGTCGGAGTAAGTCTCAAACGAGCGGTGACCCAATTGATCGTAGTTGTCGGATCAATTGACCAAAGGGGGGGGTGAGAATCGTGGTTTCGGGTGGTTGAGGTGGATTCTGGCTCGTTTTGCTCATGTCGCTATTTTCCCGGCAAATTGGCGGGACTACTTAGTCACGTGATCCACCTGTGCTAACGGCGCGCCTGGCCCGGTGCGCCTGGCCTCGCAGCACCGATCTCACTCGATTCCACGCTTCAGCAAAACTTAATCCTTTCATTATTCACCACTCTCCTTAAAAGGTGGCCTATTTTAATTCCCTCTTCACCTGTACTAGGCGTGGAGGGGTCGGCTTTCACCGCCTTACTCCCTTTTTTTTTGCTTCCTATACCAGAATCGCTCGTCAATTCGTCTCACAGCTGTCTTTTAGGCCAAACTACACCTTGGTTCCCTCGTCTTTACTCGCGCTTTCCAAGATGTCTTACAGCAGCTCCGACGACGACGTGCCTCTCGCCAGGCCAAACGGAAACGGTATGTGTGCTCTGTGTCAGGCTTCAATAAATGTTGTGGATATTTTGGCGGTTACACGCGCTTTGCGACACGTTGAAAGAACTTTCTTCCACCTCCCGTCCGCGCCGACCGCAACCTCGCATCCAAAAACGACGCGCCCGCTGACCACCTCCCTACAGTTTCGGCTGCAAAGGTCACCGCATCGATGGATAAGGCACTCGACCGCTCTGTACCAAAGTCATCCGGCGATAACATCCTCGTCCGTAACAACTCGGACGCCATGGACATTGACGGTATTTCCAACAACAAGCGCAAATCTCGCACGTCAATCACCAAGATGAGCTACAAGGACGATTCGGATAGCGATGTCGCGCCCTTGGTAAGATGCCTAGCCACAGAATGCAGCTCTCTCTACTGACACGAGCATCAGGCCAAGCGACGTAAACACAAGACCGTTGTCGACTCCGATGATGAAGATGACATGCCTCTGGGTAGCCTCGCTAAGAAGAAGGCATCCATCGAGAAATCTGCCGCCAAGGAGGCCCAGGCGATTCGCGCTAAGGACGCGAAGAAGAAGGCAACTCCGAGAAAGAGCATCAAGGACGAGTCTGATGACGACGCTCCTCTTGCCAAAACGTCTGGGAGCAAGCGAAAATCAAACGGTGTCACCCCCAAGCGCAAGTCGAACGGCGTAAAGAAGGAGGAGTCCGACTCTGACGTGCCGATTTCGAAGAAAGCCAAGGCTGTTACGCCAGCAAAGAAGGGCAAGTCTACATCTGCCAATGACACGAAGAAGGGGGTCAAGGAAGAGGAGGCGGAGGAGGAAGAATACGAATGGTGGAATGCACCCAAACCCGAGGATGACTCCATCAAATGGCAAACTTTGGAGCACAACGGTGTTTTGTTTGCTCCCGCCTACGAGCCTCTGCCGAGCCATGTGAAGCTCAAGTATGATGGCCAAGATGTTACTCTCCCCCTCGAAGCGGAAGAAGTGGCCACCTTTTGGGTTGCCATGATGACCCCTGCATCCTCTCACCACCTCGACAATCCCACGTTCAGGCAGAACTTCTTCAATGACTTTGCTGAAATCATCAAGAAGAATGGCGGTGCTAAGAACACGGCCGGCGACAAGGTGGCGATTAAGAGCTTGGATAAGTGCGACTTTGGAAAAATGTACGATCACTGGCTAGCGAAAACGGAGGCTAAGAAAAACAAGAACTTGTCCAAGGCTGAGAAGGAAGCTGCTAAGACCGAGAAGGACAAGTTGGAGGCGCCCTACATTACCTGCCTTTGGGATGGAAGAAAGCAAAAAGTGGGTAACTTTCGTGTTGAACCGCCCAGCTTGTTCCGTGGCCGAGGCGAGCACCCCAAGACTGGTCGTGTGAAGACGCGGGTCTGGCCGGAGCAGATTACGATCAACGTTGGCAAGAACGCCAAGGTTCCGGAGCCTCCCAAGGGCCACAAATGGAAAGCTGTCCAGCATGACCAGAAGGCTACCTGGCTTGCCATGTGGCAAGAAAACATCAATGGTGCCTACAAGTATGTCATGCTGGGAGCTGCCAGTGATGTCAAGGGACAGAGTGACTTCAAGAAGTTCGAGAAGGCCCGCGAACTCAAGAAGCACATTGGCAAGATTCGCCGCGATTACACCAAGGAACTCAAGAGCGAAATCATGGCCGATCGTCAAAGGGCCACAGCCATGTACCTGATTGACAAGCTGGCGTTGAGAGCGGGCAACGAAAAGGATACGGAGAATGAAGCCGACACTGTCGGCTGCTGCTCGCTAAAATACGAGCACATTACCCTAGAGCCACCGAACAAGGTGACGTTCGATTTCCTGGGCAAGGACAGTATCCGCTACAATGAGACTGCCACGGTCGATGCGCAGGTTTTCAAGAATCTAAAGCTATTCAAGAAGCCGCCCAAGTCTGATGGAGATGATCTTTTCGATCGCTTGACCACCTCTCAGCTCAACAAGCACTTGAACAGCTACATGCAGGGACTCACCGCCAAGGTGTTCCGTACGTACAATGCCTCATTTACAATGTCCAGACTTCTGCGAGATCTTGAGAAGGATCCTCGGTCCAAAGGCTCGATTGCAGAGAAGGTCAAACTGTACAATGACTGCAACCGAGAGGTTGCCATCCTCTGTAACCACAAGCGCTCAGTCGGTGCTGGCCACGAGCAGCAGATGCAGAAGCTAGGCGACCGTATCAAGGGCCTGCGATATCAGCAGTGGCGCACCAAAATGATGATGCTTGACATTGATCCTAGCCAGAAGAAGAAGAAGGGCGCTGCTTACTTCCAGATCGACGAGGAAATCGACAAGGAATGGATTCTGGCGCACCAGCAGTTCCTTGTTGAGGAGCAGCGCACCAAGATCACCAAGAAATTCGAAAAGGAGAACGAGAAGCGCAAGTCCGAGAAGGAGAAGGCACTACCAGAGAAAGAGCTTAAAGAGCGACTCATTGCTGCCAAGGACCTCGAAACTAAGTTCAAGAAGGAGAACAAGACGAACAAGGTTGAGGCCGAAGGGCGCGGCCCGACCGTTGAGAAGCTTGCCGCGGCGGTGGAGAAGTTTGATGACCGCGTCAAGGTGCTGGAGACGCAAGCTGAGGACCGTGATGGCAACAAGGAAGTCGCCCTAGGCACTTCCAAGATTGTAAGTCAAGCCGAAAGGGACGTGCCAGTGCAAAGGTGGCGTGATACTAATACATGTGCTAGAATTACATCGATCCTCGTCTCACGGTTGTGTTTTCGAAGAAGTTTGACGTTCCTATTGAGAAGTTCTTCTCGAAGACTCTGCGAGACAAGTTCCGCTGGGCCATCAAGTCGGTGGAGGACGCCGACGATTGGGAGTTTTGAATGGGAAAATGTGCGCTGCATTTGTTAAGCTTCACAGGGAGGTTGCTACTGACATATTCTATTATTATCTCATCGTTTTCCTTTTATTACCTTTTGATTTGTACTGTTTTATTGGCTTTTGTCGGGATCTCGCATCTGCTTTATGTTTCTTGTTCTGGCGTACCTTTGCACGGAAGAGGAGCGCTATACAACATTTCCAAGTTACCGGGGGACCCGCGCGCAAAAAACGGAGAGACATTGGAAGCCGAAAGGCGGCAATTGATGATATTTTGTTGTTGTACAATGACGCGCGTTTTTGCTGCACGGGGGAACGGGGTGGGGGGGGATTATGGCGTTTTTGTCGCAGGATGATAAAAAAAGAGAGGAAGAAAGGACCATCGAACGGCGGACAGACACATTCGATACAAGATGCAGCAGCTTTTATGAGTGGGGAGGTGGAATTGCGTTTTTCATCATTTCAGTACGTCTATACGGGCTTGGGTGTATTCTAGTTGGCGCCATCATCACGTTGCTGCTAGTGGGAGAGCGAAGGCGGGCAAAATATATACACTGCATACACAAATTGCATTGAAATGGCTTAGTTAGGTCCCTGTATTGCTGAATTCGATTCACCTGGTTAAATGGTTTTTTGAAAGCAATTCCAAGTGCGTGTTATTATGCGCTGTGTCGCGATTTGTAGTAGCCATTCTATCCCATCCGTCTATATGCTTTGTGTACCCTTGTGCGTGAACGTCGTCTGTGAGTGTCCCGAGGGTTGGCAACGATTGGCCACCCTCCATCATATATATACATGCGCTTTGTATGTGTGAAAGCATTCGTGAGAATCAATACCGGTCATTATAACATGTTTCTTTTGCCCGCCCGTCTCAGGGAGTTCTGCCCATGAAGATGGCCACGCCGACGGCCACCGAGGCGGACACGGCCGACAGCAGCAGCGAAGGCGTGGCGAGCGCCGCGGCGGCGGAGCGCATGATCTTGCCCGAGGACGTCATGTACCAGCCGCTGGGGATGCTGCCGCCGGTGGGCGGGTTTGTGCCGACCCAGGGCCAGCCGGTCTGGGTCTTTGTCGCGGGGCTGCCGTCCTTGACCATGCCGCCGACGGGCACTCCCGGCCCCGACGTGGTGGGCGGCGCGACGCCGGTGGCGGTGACCGTCGGCGCGTTCTTGCTCGCGCCGGCGTTGCCGTTGACCTGGCCGCCGACGGCCTCGATGGACTGCCAGGAGCCGGAGGTGTCCTTGTAGCGGTACTGCTTGCCGGTGGAGTAGTCAGTCACCCTCAGGGAGCGGACGGTCATGGAGAAGGGCCCCTTGGAGAAGTCGGTGGGCCCGCGCGCCCACTCGACGGTGCCGGGCGGGTTGCGAGACGGGTCGCCGCCGGCCCAAGTGCCGAACTTGACCTGCATGGGCGTCTGCGGGTACTGGTCCTGGTCGGCGTCCTGGCGGCGGAGCTCGCGGACGGCGGCGCCGTCGACGATCCACTGGATGCGATCCTGGGTCCAGTCGATGGCGTAGGTGACCCAGCGGTTCTGGGTGCCGGCGGGGACGGCGTGGAAGCGGCCGCGGTTGTAGTCGGTGGTGCGGCCCTTGCCGAAGTAGTTGGACTGCAGCTCGTTGGGGTTGCTGCCGAGCCACTCGACGTCGATCTCGTCGAGGTCGTCGGACTCGAGGACGAGCGAGGAGACGATGCCGGCGCCGGGCGCGGCGCGCATGGTGATCTCGACGCGGCCGAACATGATGTAGAAGAGCGAGTTGAGCTGGGGGGCGTCGCCGCTGGCGGCGACGGTGAAGGTGGCGCCGTCGGTGCTGCTGTAGCTGGGGACGCCCTGGGCCTCGAACGAATTAACGGAGCCCTTTGTGAAGTCAACGTCGATGGTCATGCCGAGGGCCGTGTTGGGCGGGCACGATGCTGGAGGCGGGGTGTTAGTATGTTGGGCTGCAAGGGATGAAGGAGAGTTCAGTTTGTTTGTACGCACTCTGCTGCAGCGGATTACATTTGCTCCATGTTTGAGCCGCTGTCGTGGCAAGAAGAGCCGTGCCTGCTGCTATCCGGAATGGTATTCTCATGATTGAATGTGTGTGTGTATAGTAAAATATACTATTGGGGAATGTGATGCGTTTGTTTTGTATATGGAGGGGACCAAACGGCGGGTTGTCGTTTGCCGTTGCTTGGTAATTGGCGGTCTATAAGTTCCCGTTCGCGTATGTAGGTAGGGGAGGGGACGATGAAGAATAGAACAAAGAGACCGAGACAGGATACTAGCAGACATGAAATATAAAAAGAAGAAAACGTTAGGCGTTTTGAGGAATCAGGCACAGGCCCGCCAAGATCGGGAGCCAGGGTGCCGTTGCCCAATGTCGAGGCTTGTTTCCTTGATTGAATTGCGCGTTCCCAGCCACGCGATATGTATATGTAGGAAGTATAGTACCTTTGTAGGAAGGCAGTGTCAGCAGGGTGGATGGGATGTAGAGATGTGATGTGCTAGGAAGTATACAATACATCCAACCATACGAGAATCACCTGTACAGCATAATCAATTTTCAAAATATTGAAGTGTCATTGATATCTCCTCACTATCAAACAGCATAGTACATACATAATAGGTGCAGAGTGTGGTGAGACATCAACTGTAGTCTCGTCACCTCATCTGCCACCTGTGGCTGGTTTCAGCGTTTGTTTGCAGAGGGTTTGTTAAGCAAAGTGCCCTGTAAATCCGCTGCAATGCGCTGTAAATTTGAAATTTGCCCAGACGGGGTCTCTGCGCTCTTGGTGGAGCTGGGTGGCTGGGCTCGCTTAAATTGGTGGCTGGGACGACAACAGTTCTCTTTACCTGCGAACCTCTCTGTACTGATACCTGGCCATCATTTTCCAGCAATTTCTCGTATAGCGAGTGTGCAATTCATCTCCGGGATGCAACCTGTGTGCTGTGCCTCTTATGTCTCTCATTGAGCCGTCCTATCCTCCCCTCCGGCACCCGCATCCGTGCTTCCACCACCACCACCCACCCGATACGCAGCCCTCCTCTCCAGAAAGGTAAACAACAAACATATTCAATCAAGGAGGCTATCCCGAGCCTCGTAAGGCCGCCCAAGTGCCGCCCCCAGTCCCGCTCGCTCGTATTTCCTTTCTGCAGTTCCTTCAGCTCTCTGGATCGGCATTGCTAAAATTAGCTGCGCGGAGCCACCAGCCGGGAACCTTGGGCCCAGTATCACCGCAGTCCACCGGCGGCGCCCCCTCACAAACCCGCCTAGGACGTCATTATCGTTGCCATTGCCGCGGTGCCCATCGACCCGAAGATTGTGTTTTCCGGCTCCCGCAGTCGATAGCCCTATGCAGAGATTGAGCGCGAAAACCAAGCCCGCTGCTGCGGCTCCAGACGCCACCTCCACCCATCGCCATGATTCCGGGAACCCGCGCTGTTTCCCGGCGTACTCTGTCAATTGCCGCATTTCGGCTCTTGGCTGGCGCAAAGTTGATAAAAGCTTCCTCTTTCGTCGGCCACGGTACTGCTGATGAGCCGTATACAGCCATCTCGAGTCCACTTGCAACAGAAATGACATCGACGGCCCTGCCCATCAAGAGGCCGCTCTCGTCATCCCGGATTAGCTAGTTCGAACTATGCCTCTGTAACGTACAGTAAATACGACTCACTAGCAAAAAAGGCTCTGTTTCCTTGACAAGCGGAAATGCCAAGCCCGTAAGGCCATATGTTCCGGCCGGTACATCTGCCTATGACGTCCCTGGGTGGAACACGTTGCGGGCCATCGCCGCTGGTGAGAGTTGCCGACAGTCCTGATTCGATGTGTGCATGTCAGCTTTGACTTGACTGGGTAAATACGAAGAACCAAAGTTACCTGCAGACAGCCATCGATGCACCTTCTAGCGCGGCTCTCTCTTGAACCTCTCGGAATATAAGTATACTCAGTTCGCCCTCCTTGATCCAGACCTTCTCATCATCAAACCATCGCGCTCTACCTTCAACCACCCTTTACACTTGCACACCAAATACCACCCTTTCAACCGTCACAATGAAGTTCACCACTGCCTTCGCCGCCATGTCCGCCCTCGCCGGCGCCGCCTCCGCCGCGGCCATCGAGATGCGCGACACCTGCCTGGCCGAGTACGGCGTCTGCTACAAGCCCGGCCAGCCCAACCCCTCCGAGCCCTGCTGCAGTGGGCTCATCTGCGTCGCCGACCGCTGCCGCGACCCCAAGAAGCTCACCGCGACGGCGCCCGCTCCCGAGCCCACCTGCCTGGCCAAGTACGCGACCTGCTACGTCGCCGGCGGGCCCCAGCCCGACAAGCCCTGCTGCGAAGGTCTGATCTGCGCCGCGGACCGCTGCCGCGATCCCAAAGAGGAGGAGGCCAAGCCCGCGCCCACCCCGGAGCCGACCTGCCTCGCCAAGTATGCTACCTGCTACGTCGCCGGCGGCCCTCAGCCCGACAAGCCCTGCTGCGAGGGCCTCATCTGTGCGGCTGACCGCTGCCGTGATCCCAACGAGGAGACGTCTGCTTAAGAACGTTGAACTTGGACCAAGATGTAACACTAGAAAAGTTAGCAACTGATGGAGGACCTTCAATAATGCACCGAAATAGACGATAAACAATTATTCATTTACATGGCCGCCAAAGTGAAGTGCAAAAGTTGACTGGGAGGAACCACATGGCAACAACTTACCAAGAATGTGCCGAGCTTTAAACTGGCATCTATAGTTATCATTGTCCGATATGGAATTTATTACAGTGACTCACACGCCGAGCAATTACTTTCATTACTTATCTATCGCAAGACAAAATATCCTAGCATTTTGCGCATGCGGCCAAACAAGTACAAAGCGCAAACGCCGCGAAATGCCGCAGCGCATAAATCACCACCACGCAATGCGCCGCTGCGGGGTTATGCGGACATTTATATCAATCTTCCAACCACCAACAGCCACATCGACAGGACCAATCCGCCGCAACCTTTCTTCCACGTCGACGCCTTGGCCAATATTTCGAAAATGACTGATCGATTCGGCAATTTCTACTGCCTAATTTCCCTTTACAACATGAAAGTATTACGAGTCGCACATGGGCTCAGCTTTCGGCCAAGCTAGCCTAGGACGAAAAGGTGACGAAGCCGATCGCGTCCTCCTCCATCATGGTATGGCAGCGTCCCATGGTGGCATGGGCGGATTAGTGATCTAGGCATTCGTCACATTGTGGCTAACTTTGCCAGCTTCTACCATGCTCGGTCCGTCACGGAGTTTTGACGTTGTCGTGTGTATATAAAGGTGCCCGGTCTTCCGCAAAAGATGTTCCCTCCAGGCCTCATCACAGAAAGCAACAACGACGAGAGCAGCAGCAGCAGCAGCAGCATCATCATCATCTATAGAAAACTCACCAAACAAACAAAGAACATGTCAACACCCTCGACTTCCGCTCCTCTCGTGTTCGTCGTCGGCGGCACCGGGGCGCAGGGCATGGCCGTCATCCGCGGTCTCGTCCACGACGGCGCCTACGCCGTGCGCTTCCTCACGCGCGACGCCACCTCGCGCCGCGCCCTCGAGCTCCTGCAGCTCCCCAACGTCACCGCCCTCGAGGGCACCTTTGCCAGCGAGCCCGACCTCCGCGCCGGCCTGCGCGGCGCGCGCTTCGCCTTTGTCAACGTCGACGGCTTCAACGCCGGCGAGAAGACGGAGACGTTCTGGGCGATGCGCGCCTACGAGCTCGCCATCGAGGAGGCCGGCGTGGAGCTCTTCGTGTACGGCAACCTCGACTTCGCGTACAAGAAGGGCGGGCACGACCCGGCGCTGCGCTGCGGCCACTACGACGGCAAGGGCCGCGTCGGGGAGTGGATTCTGCAGCAGAACCGCGACCCGGCCGGTCACAACATGCGGGCGGCGCTGTTCACAACGGGACCCTACATGGACATGGTAGTCGGGGCCGGCACGCCCTCGTCGCCCTTGGTCGACGCGGACGGCGTCGTGACCTGGCGCGTGCCGCTCGGCCGCTCCGGCGCCGTCGCGCACGTCGACCTCGACGACTGCGGGCACTACGTCCGGTGGCTGCTGGACCACCCCTCGCGCGCCGACGGCATGGACCTGGCCGTCGCCGTGGACCTGGTGCGGTACGACGAGCTCGCGCGTGCCTTTTCCGCGGTCACCGGGCGGCCGGCGCGCTTCGTCGACGTCGACCTCGCCGAGTACTGGGAGTCCGGGCCGCTGAGCCGCGCGGCCGCGGCGCCGGCCGGGTACAACGCGGACCCGGCGGACGCCGCGACCATGACGCTGCGGGACAACTTCACCGGCTTCTGGAACGTGTGGAAGCGGTCCGGGGGGGAGGACGGGGTGGTGCGCCGCGACTGGGCGCTGCTGGACGAGATTCACCCGCGGAGGGTGCGCTCGGTGGAGGAGTGGTTCCGGAGGGAGGAGGAGCGGAGCAAGGAGAGGGGGCTGCCGGACCTGTGGACGCGTGTGAACAACCTCCGTCCGGTGCTCAAGGTCGCGGAGGACGGCAGAAGGGGGAGGCTGTGAGGATCCCCGGTCATGGTGCTGCCGGGGGCCTCGGAAAGCCCGGCTCGCCATGGCACGACGCTGACGAATTCATACGCGTTGACCTTGCACATGTTCTCTGTCCCTTGCCATTACGGCTCTGACACTTGGGGTTGTCAACCGACTTGACGTCAGATTAGCCAACCCCTTTTCCAACGACAATAAATACGCGTCTACTCTATCCTTCTTCGTAGCGTCATCCATCGTGGTCCTTGCCGTGCATGCCCTGCGCCCTGCGCCGCTTTCTCGAGCAGCCCTCCGGAAAGCCGGCACGCGCGGGATGCGAAGTAGGGCGGAATCTGGGGCCATGCTTGACAAGCATCTGGGCGTGGCTGTGATACGCAACGTCCTATCCTCTGGCAACACACATGCTCGCCCTGCTGCGTAGCATCTGCCGGTTCGGCGCGTGGCTGTGACGACCAGGGGATCGATGGTCCAGCCAAGCCCTCGCCGCCATCTCGACAGGTGGCCCTTCCGCCACAGCCTCCTCATTTGGTGGCATGGTTTTGCTCTCGTCGAGGCCGGTAAGCAATAACACGGGATCGTCTTCTGATCCATTTTTCATGTTCGATTTCGTTGTCGTCTTCAAGACGGTACAGTCTTATGAGAAGTGATTTGAGCACAAAAGACTGCCGCTGTCCGTTGCTTCGGGGGAGCTCACCCAACAGCCATGGGGGTGAGAGCGGTTGCTACGAGCATTTGACCGAACTACGTTGGATCGGCGCAGTTCATGGTAAACTTTTATGTGTTGAGGAAATGCCAATGTCCGTGACGTCGAGGCCAGGTTTGAGCAGTCGGGGCGTGATACAGCATTTCTAAGCACGCATCTGTCTACATTGCATTTCCAATAAATGATCCGCCTAGCTTCGTCTCTTGATATACTTATCACCTCTTGGACGTTCTCACGCGGTCAGTTGCCCTTGTGGTCCTGGTTGCTCGAAACTCGGTCCTTGATCCAGCATCACTAGCAGACATACAACTCGAGGTCGAGTCACCCATCAACAGCACACTACAATGCCTGTGACCTAGCAACAGACACACATATTCTACTTGTCATCTCACTGTGTTTTATTCTGTCTCCCCAGTGTGTTTTCTTTTACTGCGGACTCGCGGAGCCATCACTCCCGATCCAGCCTGCCCTACCCTACAGCACCCGCCCGACTAGGTTGTATGCCTTTTTAAGTTTTCGAGTCGCCCACCGTCGCTTGCCGTATTGGGCCAGTTTTTAGCCTTCATCAGGGCCATGCGCGAGCCATTCTCGCTAACAAGCGAGCATGTCGCTTGACGTAGTTTCACCAGGCTCTGGGGTCGTGGTGGACAGGCTCGGCATTCCAGGCATCGCCCTTGCTGAGGGAGGACTGATCGGAAAGACTACACGTAATCAAGGGAGCAAGGGCCCAAGAATGACGTATCGTGACATTGGGACCAGGTGCAGCTCGCTCGGGCTTGAACATACACAGACGAGATGACAGAACACGTGTCTAGAAGCACAGATAGATGGACGCTCGGGATGAAAGCAAAGCCTCGTTTCTCGGCGGATATCTACCTGTGCACTGGCTCGACGTGGCACGCACTGGGCACTGGCGTCTCCCGCGAAGCCGGAGCGCAGCAAGACAGACGCTCAAGCCTTTTCTTCGCATCGTGAAACGTCAATCACTAGGAACACGTACAGGCTTCAAAGCTAAAACAGCCCAGAAGCTTAATCCAAGAGGGCGCGGAGCTGATGGTTCGCGATGGACTTGAGATGGCATCTTGCTAGACGCACCCTCCCTTGAGCAACAGAGAATGCCAAGCAGCGCACAAGTGCTTGTTTCGAAAAAAAAAAAAAAAATGCCAATCCATCTTTTTTACTTTTCGATGCGCGTGCTTTTTTGTGCGGCAAGGGACTGTACTGCTATCGAATTGACGTGTTGGCGAGCAACGTACCAGTCACAGTCAACTTACCCATGGCGCGAAAAAGAAAATGTAAAAAGAAAATAGAAAAAGAAAGCTGCAGAGGGTTAAAAAGAAACCACCAGCTGTACCCATATTCACACATTCATTGCATACCAACAAACCTGAGCTGTCCCAAATTTTTTCAAAAGAAAAGCAAAGAAACGCCATCAGAGTTTTCTTGTCAGAAAATCCCCGACGCCGCTTCTTTCGTGTTTTGCGTGGCTGATATCGCTGGAGATCCCCCCGCCTTTTTTCCTTTTGCTTTTGTCCCCGGCAGGTGAGGCATTCATTCATTCGCTCAAGCTGAAGAGACATGACGAGACCGCATTGACCTAGACTGGTCACAGAGTCTGTCTGATATGGGTCTGGCAAAATAACCTGAGCCTGGAATTGGGAATGAATGGCACGTCATTCGTGTAACCGAATGCCCCAACCGAAGCACTTGGTGATGTATCGAACCACGAAGCAAAGCGAGGGTTGAAGCTTCAGCTGGCAATTCGTCAACAGACTCTCCGAGAAGCTAGGGCACGGGAAAGGCCCTGCTTCGGAACGAAGCTGAAAATGACAGGCATCCACATTCCAGTCAACCTTTCGACGCTGAGCCTCACGCGTCGGGACCATGCGCACCTCCATGGAGTCAAACGAGAGGTGTAAAAAGAGAGGCATGGACAAAAAAAAATGCATGAAGCGGCCTGTCTCGGACTCTCAACCACCGCCTCTTTCCTATTCCTTCAACTTTCGCCCGGCGGAGCTTCCGGGACACAAGAGCAAAAGGAAAAAAAATATCGAAAAAAAAGAAAAGAAAGAGGAAAGGTAAACCAAAGAGCACCAAACCCACCTCGGACTGTTTCCCAACTCCTCCACGGTCCTTGTGGGGGAAGAGATGCGCTTCCTCCCTGTCTCCATCGGGCGGCCGGGCATCTTATGCGTCAACGCCACGCCGACCAGCACGCAGAGGGCCCAAACGGGTGACAGGATGAGTGGCTTGCATGAACGAGATGCGGCGACGAACAAAGCCAACCAAAAACTCCGTGTGGTTACACTAGCATTGAGTGGTGGGAAGAGATATCAAAAGCAAGCACCACCAAGGAAAAAAGAGGCGTCAATGCAGCTCCGATGCACGTCCATAGCCGATGCCGGATTCGCGGCTGGGAGCCGGTTGACAGCTGCAAATACGAGTTCCTGATCGTGTAATCCGTAATCTGTACACTATTGGAACAAGTCCTCCGGTGAGGGAGGTCAGCCAGGTATGTATAACTGACGAGTTCAATCGTGCCTGTGTCCTCGGTTCCCGTCTTTGTCGCATTTCTGCCATGACCCCTTGGCCATCGAATGATGATGGTTCGCCTGACAGGTAGCGCTCAGACCGGCTCCGGCCCGGATTTTGGCTTTTTTTGTGACCTGTAAGTTGGGCCTTGCCAGACATGCTGGCAGGACCCTGCACGCCAGGGAAGACAACAAAAGTGTCAAAGCGATGAGCGGGCAGGGCACTGTTCGCACCCATGGCCAGCCGCTGAACTTCAAGGGTATCTTTTCCCCAAAGAAACGGCAACGCCAAGGCGAACAAGGAAGAGAAAGGCAAATGCTCTTTGTCTAGGGGACAAGACACGCAGATGCAAAAAGAAACCACTGTCCTACAGTCCTGGTAACGCTAGTTGACATGGTGGGCAGAAGCAAAAATGGCTCCACGCGACCAGCGACAAGTCGACGCAGGCTTTGCTTTTTCGGCGTCTGTGTTGAATGCCACTTGAACCCTGCTGGTCTCTCTCTGTGCAGCATTTCTGTGAGATGGATCTCATCTTGACTCTGTGCGCGCCCTCGATACCCACACAGGTTTCTGGCGCACCACCCGCCTTACTGGTAGACTGTCGATCAGCCTATCAATACGGATACACAGCAGAATGAGATACATCACCTAGTATGAGACCGACTGATGGACCTGAGCTCCGCACCGTAAAATCGCAATATGTAAGGGGATGATGGCGATTGAGTAGTGATGAACAAATAATTGCGCGCCTGCTATCAGCTCGGTATCGGACAGGGACGGGACGGGAAGCACGAGCGCTTTGGTGGCCTGTTTGCCACGAACTATAACTTTGCAGGGAACAACCCCGATATCTTTTCCCCGATACCCATTGCGGGAACAAATCGACTTACTCAGTTCTGCAGCGTGCCTCCCACCTCGTTGCGTTGTGGGCTATGAGCTAATAGACAACACTGCTAATAATAAACCGGAAAGAGTGACATCCCAGAAATTGGGACCTGCTAACTTTTGCTTTCTTGGGCGAAGCGATCCAGAATCCAGATGGCTCGTGCACTTGCGGACAAATTGTCGCGACCCAGTCAGTCTTGGGCCATTTCCAGATGAGTGAACCATTGCCAAGGTGGTATCAGCCGCGTGCTAGCACCCTTGTCAGCCGTTTCCATGGGCTCAAATTGCCGGCCCGCTGGGTTGGGTGGTCAAGTCGGCGAAACCTTCCAGAAGGCCGTAATTAGCTTCAACCAGGGGTGCTCGAAAAAGCTAGCAAGGTCTGAGAACCCTTCTCTGCTAACGAGAATCATTTCGCCTAGCAAGCGGCGTTGGAGAAAGTCGGAAATCGGTCCCTGTAACTAGTTAGGTCATTGCCATGATCCGGACTTGGGTAGAACTCCGTCAAGCATCCAGGCGTTCGTGAGCTCTGTGCCTGTCTGTGATAAAAAGCCTCAGTCAGTAGAGTCGTGGAGTGAGCCACCTGAAGGACCGAAGGACCCTGGAAGTCGGTGCTATTCGTAAACTGCGCTACCATAGTCTTGGTGCAAGTGCAAGTGATAAGAGTAAGTACAAGACCTCTAAATCGAGCATGGCGCAGAACCAGTGTGTTCTGACAACTATTTAGCTCATATTCCTAGTGTCGACTGTGAGGCAAAAAATCCGGGGACTGAAAAGCCCAGATCAACTAGACGTGGATATGAGGTGGGCTCGAATATCCTTGGAGGCGGGGCTGTTCATCTGTTTCCCAACTGGCCAGGTTCGCCCGCGAACGCGTCGGAGGAGTGTACAGATTGAC